CCCCCCCGGACTTACAGTAGAGGCTTCTCGAGTACGAAGCCGCTGTGGGCTTCGGGAGCCCTCCCTGTCCATTCTCTCAACCCCAGGCTGCCCCTCTACCACCTCTTACGTCTCCATGAAAGGCGTATGATCCGGCGCTGCACCCTTCGCCTCTTCCCACGCCCCCTCCGTCGCGCTCAGCACATTCTTCGGCAACGGGCCCTTCTCCAATCCCGTAAGTGTCGTCTCTAGCTGCCCCGCGCTACTGGCCGCGACGATCATGGCGTCGCCGAATCCGGGGCGGAGCGCCCTGTGGTGCTGCACCCATCGCAGAGCCACCTCATCGCCGCTGATGCCCTGCTGCTGCGCCAGCTGCCGCACCGTCGCGATCGCGGCTTGTGTCTTGTCCTTGCTGCAGGCTTTGCGCGTATGGTCGCCCGCAGCGTTGTCTAGATACATGGGCGTCCCTGAGGGCGCGAAGGATCCGTCGGCGGCAAGGCTGTAGGCGTAGAACGTGATGCGGTGCTTGCGGAGGGTGGGGAGGAGGGCGGCCTCGGGTCACGGGCCAGGGCGTTGTAGTGGCCCTGCTAGCAGAGAGGGAGGAGAAGGTAGTTGGCGTTGCAGTTGGTGACAATTTCCTCGATTTCGGTGATGGGGTAGTTGGAGATCGCCCAGTGACGGGCCTGCCCCTGCGGGACGGCAGCGGCCATGGCGGGAACGGTGGTGCTGAGGGGTACGGTACGGTCGGGAACGTGCAGGTAGATGGTGTTGAGTTCGGGAATCTTGAGCGTGGCAAGACTGGTGGCGATGGAGGCTGCTATCTTGTCAGGGGTGTGTGATTGCCTGGACCAGGCAAGATCTTGGAATCGATGGTGAAGCGGGAGAGATCGGTGCTTCCCAGCAAGGTCTCGGAGCCAAGCGAATTGCCAGCTGGGTAGCGAGCAGAGGTATCGATTCTGGTTTGGCCGTGGGAAATGAGAGCATCAAGCAGCGGCTGTAGTTGCTCGGTAGTATTGATTTTGGTTTGGAGAGTCTTTGGGGGTTAGTGAGCTTCACATGTGGTAAGCATGTCTCAGAAGCGACACGCTGGCTGGTCAGGACATTCCTGGTAGAGCCGAGTTCAAAGACCAAAGTATGCACGGGCGTGTACTCGCGGTATCGACATGCAAAGTATGGCACGCTGATCGTCAACGGTGCCCTCCTTATGCCTTCTTATCGAAAGCTCCACGGGAATGAGCCTGGCTGGAGTGTCGACACAGGATGATATATGGGTGACTTACTTGCTCGTTGCCACGTATGTTGCCAGTGCCCAAGACAATGCTAAGACCTTGGTCGTCAGGATGATCCATCTTGAGATAGAAGACAATGTTGTTGCTGTCTGTCTCTTGAGTATCGGCTGGTGGTGTGCTGAAGGGACTGCGCCTTATCATCCTATTACTTACTTAACTTGACCTTCGAAATTCTCCGAAGAGCGTTATACACTGTTAGGAGGTTGTGGTATGTTGGACAGGAAGCAATTCCTATACCTATAGACTCACATCAACGGCTAATGGAATGTTTTTTGTTAGCCATGGACCATAGACGCGAATCTGACATCGTATACATGTAATACATTTGTACTCATGCATTGCTAGGCCGAAACTCTAAGTGTTCATTAAGCGTGGCCGCTGCAGTGAAGAGCCTTGTGAAGTCTGCATTAACATGGCTTTGGCAATTCGTCAGCTGTATACGGAGAGTTTGCCTGCATGCTCGAATGGGATGGGTGCTTTTCTAAGGTCCTGGTATCGTAAGGCGGAAAAGCGTGAGAGCCATACCGGCACGACGTTAGTCTCAATGCTTTGCCAAAATACCAAAGCCCATAACAGTTGTGCAAGGTCTACATGAAGCGAAGCACACGCTCGGCACGTGATGAAGCTTCTCGTTACATCATTGGCCGAACCGAAGATCAGCCTCGACGAGCCTCGCTCTGGGTTCTGTCGCTTAACGTGCCGCATCAGGAGCGAGTATGCCGCCAAGAGAAAGTCGCACTTTCTGCACATCACCGCCGCATCCAACATTAGTCACTCCTGTCGACAACCAGAACATACACCGGAGATCCTGTCAAGAGTAAGTCGGAAGCCGCCGCTGTTCCTACTGTTCAATTGCTAATAACATCTACAGTGCAGATGTAAGTTCCCATACAATACCGAAGAACACAGCGAATCCCCGCTTGCCACAGAAAAGTCCACGAACACCTGCGAACCACAAACACTAATATATTTTGCGCACAGCTTCGTCAAGACCCTGACGGGCAAGACTATCACCCTTGAGGTGGAGTCTTCCGACACCATCGACAATGTCAAGTCCAAGATTCAAGGTATATCAGATACATACCCAGATGCCGGAGGCGCATATTGACGATGTCCAGACAAGGAGGGCATCCCACCCGACCAGCAGCGCCTGATCTTCGCCGGCAAGCAGCTCGAGGACGGTCGCACTCTGAGCGACTACAACATCCAGAAGGTACGATCCCCGCCAGAATTCACCTCACAACGATCGAGGAGAATCTGTATACTGACCTGCCGACCTGTAGGAGTCGACTCTGCACCTGGTTCTCCGTCTCCGCGGAGGCATCATCGAGCCCTCCCTCAAGGCCCTGGCCTCCAAGTACAACTGCGAGAAGATGATCTGCCGCAAGTGCTATGCCCGCCTGCCACCCCGCGCCACCAACTGCCGCAAGAAGAAGTGCGGCCACACCAACCAGCTTCGCCCCAAGAAGAAGATCAAGTAAGCGGATCGCGTCCGATGCAAGTGTGGGAGGATGTGGCGGGAGCGACGTGGCGGAAGAGCGTCGAAATGCATTCGCGGTGTTTTGCAGCGAGACATTGCAGACGTGGCCTTCTCTAGGCCGGGAACGAAGGACGGCCCGAGAATGGGATGCTGTTAGGGCTCTACGATGCATGACTCGGCGGAGTTAGATCTCAAATGAGACATCAGAATTCAACAAATCTTGAACTGTGGCCCGACTTTGCGAAGATGGTTGTTGTGAACAGCTATGAGCTGTCAGTGCTTCAAGAGAGATGTGAAGCATGTCGTAAACGTAGATCAATTCCGCCGCTGGTGCCAACACCCATGCTGCAGCCTCATGGTGGCTGTCCTCAGCCAACGCATTATATTGATTATCCGGTATTCATACACGGTGGAAGTTGCAACTGATCAAAACATCAGAAGCATTTTGTCACCGTCGTCGTCATCGCCGCCGTCTTTCTTTGCCGGACTCTTGTGGCTAAAGAAGAGCACCTTGACAGCCACCGCCAATCCTGCATGCAATAGCACAACCACGACGAGTAATATCTGACTGATCTTCTTGTCCGTCGCACTGATGATCGGGTACAGGTTCTTAAGTAAAAAGAACACACTGACGGCATAGCCCAGGCCGACGAGCGCATAGTTCAGGCCATTGAGCGGACTCCAGCTCAGCAGAGACACACCGATCCAGAACAAGTTGCCGTAGCCGTATAGTGCCCAGCATTCTACAAGCTCGAGGCCCTGTGCACCAAACCACCTCAGTGCACCCCAAAGTCCTAGTGGCACGAAGAGCGTGTATCCATATATCAGGCCTGCGGCACCCGAGAGCAGCTTGAAGTCGTACTCGAAATGCTTCTTATTCTCGCTCGCCAGCTTGTGGCTGATCGTGCCTGTCAAGAAGAGAATGACTACCACGGTGGTAGCGATCCAAAACGGTCCGTACAGGTCAGGGTTTCCATCGAGTGTGTCCAGAAAGGGTGGTGTGTTTGGGAGAAAGGGAATCAAAGCGGTGCGGCAGCGGTGTAGAACGGTGGAGGTGTCCACATCGAAGAATTGAGCGTAAAAGGATAGGGACCATAGCATGCGTTTCGTAGGCGGCGCGTCCGCCGGTAGGTTGGCTGGGTTGGTTGCAGAGGAGAGGAAGGGGGTGTTGTCGGGTTGAATCTTGCGCGAAGAAGTCTGATTGAAGTCTGATTGCGTGTTAGCTGCGGCCGGAGAGAGCGGTAGAACTTGAAGGACGTACTAGACTGGTGAAATTCAAGGTCATCGTCCTGAAGATCAGTGTGGCCTAGATCACCCTGCGCAGATGTTAATAAATTGTGCCTGTAAACCTGGACCGGCATTGCGCACCTCTTGATCCACATCGACGACGACATCGTAGCCCCGATTGGCCATCCTGACGATGAGATGTGGTGTTGATCGGTGAGGCTGAGGTTGCTCAAGAAGGTCGAGGGTAGTGGAGGGACGATGAGAGGTGTTCGAATGCGCGACGTAGCCTTGCATAGGCCGCGAGCCCATCATCTCCACTTCCACTCCCTCCGACTTTGATGACCACTCTCCGCTCTCGAAGATGATGGCTAGGATAATTATTCGTTACGCAGGAGGCCTCGGACTAGGAACGCTCATTTCTTGATTCTATTCGAACATCGTGCGCCGTGTAGCACTTGCCGTCTATATGCTGCATCATTGCACCTGCCTTCATGGTCTCGATTCTCATCCGTGCCCCTGCTGTCCGACGCCGAGCAATGAAAAAATTATTGAAAGTACATAGCGGTCTTGCCCTGATCGCCTCAGCCATATCGAAATGGCGCCAATGGCGACGGTAGCGGCAGTCGTTGCAATTGGACGCCTGTAGCGGAATGCTGTCTGCATAGCCCTTTGCCTTGCTTCTTCCCATTTCACTTCCTCCGCCTGTTTTTGGAAATGCTTTTCTGCTTCTGTGAGGGTACAACATCTCTCGGCAGACCGTGCAGTCTTGAGAGCGCTCGATGAGGATATACCCCGCCACACTCGGCTGGGTAGCCGATCAGGTGGATGCTCCGCGAACACCCTCAGTGCATCTGCGATCAATGGTTCCAAATCCACGGGCTGGGGCAGCTTCTGCAGAGTAAAGAATAGCATATCATGATCTTCGGCCGGGATTTCCAGCAGTGTCTCCCGCCGGGACATGATAATAGCCGCGAAAAGGTAGATACTCATAACCGGCTCGTGGGCCAGAATGAAATCAAACAGTCTTGCAATATCGCTGTACTGTTCTATATCATGGGCGTACAAGGTAAGTGCCGCCGGGAGGGCGTAATGGACATGCGGCAGGGACACATGACCGGCTAGCTCGCGGTCGGCGGACTGCAAAATGGCAGGGAGCAGCCGAAGGTGTTTGAGCGCCGGAGCCAGCGAGGGGAGCATGTAGTCCCGGATACGAAGCAGTGAAATCGCCTCAATGGAAAGGTATGCATCGTCCGGTCCCAAAACAAGCATGACGACCTGGGCAATGTCGTGAAAACCCTGAAAATAGCAAAGCATTGGATGAGATCGCAAGGTGCGCACTATCAGATCAAACAGGGCGCGCTTACGGGCCTGAGTCGTCTTCTCTGATTCATCTGAGGTGCTGTTAGCCTGGTTCTGCCACTTGCCGAGAGCCGGGGGTTGAAGGAGGTGCTTCGACATACTATTGGGATAGTGAACAAAGGCTCTGTCCACGTCGCGCTGCACCTGCTCCTCATCTTTGTGCCTTGGCAATTGCCTCCAACTTGAATCATCGTCGTTTGAAGCAGTTGGGCAAGCAAGCAGAATAGGCCCTGGCCAAGTATTAGCAATGGGACCAGGTTTCTAAGCGAGGGTTGATTGAGGAGTCTCACAAGCCAACCGACGAAAATGGTCTTCTAGCAGACCGCCAGGCGAGTCAGCCAGTTGGACCAGTAGCTGGAAATCTTTCTGTTCACAAGCGTTCTGGATTTGTACGGCTTTGGAGCTCCGGGTGCTGCTGTCCGACATTGATTGCTGTTCGAGGAAGGCAACGCCTGCTCCGCCTCCCCTTTCGTCGTTGTTGGCCATGCTTTGTGCAATCCCCGTAGGCTTTCAAATAATAATGCAGCTTGACCGCTTGACATGTGCATAGAGAACCACGCTCCGGGATATAAGGAAGCCTCTACCGTAGGCGACCTTGCATGTCGCGGATCTGGGAGCCGCCTGTCCAGTCAAGTTGGAAACAGATCCACTCGGTGGGTGGCTTTGTTACACCGTGCAGCGTTTGATGGTTTGCACGTTGGGGTTGTTTCGAGACTGGCGGGCGGGACAAGAAGTGACAGGTACCACAGGCTAGGAATCAGATTGTCAAGGACGGCCGAGTGCATGCAGCGACGTGGAGGGTCGGCACACCTCTCAACAATGCCCGTCCATGTCTCTCAGATGACTCCGGCACGTTTGGAGCTGTAATATTTGATCTTTTACGCAGACATATGGATGGAAGTAAGAGTTAAGTTGATGCAGTGGCGATGGATGATGCCAGAGAGGCGCGGTTTTGGCGGCGCGCGCGTCTGGGCGGCAGGGCTCCGCGCGAGGACCAACAGTAGCATCGAACCCTGGTTAGCATATGCATCCTCACCACCACCCTGGTTTTGTTCTCATGCTCACCGCGCATGACAGACGTGCCACACGCCTCGATCATAGGTCCTGGTCGATACCAACTGGGGGAACTGTCGAGGGGTCGTAAAACTGTGCCGAACATTAGCGAGCGACTCCGTCGAGCCCTGCTTGATGACTTCTACCCGACCTGAGCCAGAACAGATATCCTTCGAACACTTACTGGATGAGGCAGGACGCAAGTCGCTCGAAAAGGTTGCCTTGTTCCCCTCGAAGAGCTTCGAGGCAGGATGGGTCACTGATGTCTTCTCGCAAGACTTCATGTACGTCCGCCCGTCCACCTTGACTACTTCAGTGCTTGCTACAGGCTAGCCTCTTGTGACGCTTTGTGCTTTACTGAACGTCTTCTATGCTTACTAGAACAAGTACCTGGCCGCAATGGACGTACCACCACCACCGTTCGAGATGAAGTCGCCACAGATGGAGGGGATTCTGAAACACACCCTCAGTACAAGTCCCTGCGTGAGATGGATCCTTCCTGCCCGCATACGCTGCCCGTCGAAGGAGGATCTTGTCTTTATCGGTCAAACGTCAGTGCAGCTGAGGGAATTTGTCTCCAAAGGTGACCCTCATCTCGCCGAGGCCATCTGCAAGCTTGATCTTAACGATTCCATCCTATCCGCAACTGTCATCTCTTCAAAGATTGAGACAGTGTCAACGATTGAGCAGACCCTCCGCCAGACCGTCGAAGACGAGCAATTTACCGTTGACGGGCGCGCGATCAGGGATGATGAGCCACCACAGATCCTCGTGTTAAGCACGACACGTTGTGAGCTAGTCTTCGTGTACGCCCACCAGGCATATGACGGTGCTGTTCGATTCATTTACGCGAAACGGCCACTCCTGACCGGTACCGGGCTAGGAGATCAACTTGGTTCCCATCTCGCAAAAGACCCAGAGTCTCGCGCAATAGCCATCGCGCCTAGCAGCGGGCATTTCATCATATGCGCTCTTCGGCCTCTGGATCAGATTCGGAACGAAGTCGCGAACTGGACCCCTGCCAATGCCGCAAGCTTTACACCTTGGCTACAACAACGATTCATTCAAGTGGACGGCGCTATCGTACGTATGGAATTTCTGCACAGTCCGAAAGACGAGCCCAGCAGAGTCATCCTTGTTCTCCTTGTGGCTAAACAGGGTCGATCCTATATTCTGCTCTATCGCTGGGACAGTACACAGCCTTTGCACCGTATGAGGCCGATGCGGTCAAGTGGTCAGCTGCTTCCAAAAAGAGATGGCATACCCCTGATGCTCATTCCTTGCACCGCTAGCGCTTCATTTCTTCTCGTCACAGAAACGGAATTTGTCCTGTATAATAGAGTGACTCACTCTGAAGCAAAGAGGACGGCATATGAGTTCCAAGACCCTGGTGCGTTCAATGGCCATCGGCGCACCAAACTCTGGACGCAATGGGGCAGACCTAGGCGTACTTATGGTTACAGGAAGAAAAGTGATGAGGTTGTTCTCGTCCGCGAGGATGGCTACATGGCAACATACGAAATCAATGTGCAGTCAGATGTAAAGGTGACGTTTGCCTCCAGCCCAGGCAATCTCGGCTTTTCTATGGATACTGCATTCTGTTTCCTAGCTGCACCGCTTCATATCAATGGAGGCGATATCATCATTGCCGGAGGATCCATGGCCGAGGGTGGGGTCTATCACCTTGCCGCCACCCAAAGACCAAGGCGCATCCAGACGCTTGTCAATGGCGCTCCGTTCAATGACCTCTTACTCCTTCCAGCCGCCAACAGCTCCAGCTCACATGCATTGGCCCGGCCACGGCCTAGGATCTACTCCTGTTGTGGCAATTATGAAGGCCAGGGCTCCTTAGCAGAAATCCAATATGGCCTGGAGGCAGAGACAGGCTGGACGATGGAACATCCGGATGTCACCAGCATATTGCGCATATGGGCGCTCGAGATCGAAGCCATGCACACTTTACTACTTCTCAGCAGCCACCCCACTCACACCTCACTGATCACACTTGGTCTGGACACTGCAGAGCTGGAATACGTAGACGATAATGCGCTCCCAGGCGTGGAACTAGACGCATCGACATTGGCTGCGGCTACCATTGAGAATGGTGCGCTGATACAAATCACCACGGAAAACCTCAACGTGATCTCTTTGGGAGGCCACTTCCGTCCAAAACGCCAAAACGTTGGTGCTGCTACACCTGTTTGCGCCGCTATTTTGGCGAGCTGTGCCGTTGCTGCCGTTGCGCATCCTTCGAACGATGGATATGCTTTGAGTATGTGCAAAATCGAAACCTCGGACAACCAGTCTGCCGAAATAAGTGAGCTTGGTGATCCATATACACTTCAAGGACGTCCAGTTTCAGTCGCGATTGCAGACTTTGCCGGCGCAATCGCCGTACTAGTAACGACAGACCAAGGCGACTTGCAAATGCTGTTATTAAATTCAAGAGGCGACCTTGTGCCCATGGTTGCCCTGCGCTTGGCCGACCTGGACTTGACTCTCGAAGGGTCATCTGCGGGCAGTTGCTGCCTGCTTTCTAAACCTGGAAGTCGTGTTGGACTTGTACTGTGTGGCCTTAAGAATGGTTTCCTGGTGTGCCTTGAGGTGCTGGCAGACGACAAAGATAGGCAAGGCCGAATCACCTGGACCTTAGTGTCCCTGTCTCGACTAGGCTTGACAACGGTAACCGTGACTGCTGACGAATATTCTCGACAAGGAGGTATTTACGACACGGCATTGATTGCGTATGATTCGACCCTGGAGAGATTGTCGATCAGAGCCAACGAGGCTGGTGCCGAGCTGGACTGGTATCGGGTATTCATCAGGAATCGGGATGATGTGAGTGGTCCAAGGGCGTCAGACGACTTGTGCTAACATTTACAGCCATCATTACCTCAAGACCTCATCCACGCGGTGAACCGAGTTCCTCGCCTGATGTCTCATCGTGGCGCAGACACAGCGGGCCTTCTCGTTCATGTCACACCGTCTGACATTGCGTTTTCTTCCATCGTTGGCCAACCAAAAGCCGTAATCAAGCACAACGATACGACAGGAATGGCAAAACGAGTGATCTACTCCAAGTTCCTCAAAAGGCTTGTTGTGGCTGTAGACGCAAAACGACTCTTAGTGAGCGACAAAACGCAGCCTAACGATGTGGTCCGATCAGGACCGAGTGCAGTTTCTGTGCCCCGACTTGCCTTCGCAATCATCGAAGATGGACCATTGGGTAGGTTATCGTTCGATACGCAACAAACCGTGGATTTGGGTGAGGTTGGGGAGACAATATCTGCGTTAACACATTATTCACCCACGAATGGGATTCAGCATTTCGAAATGATCCTTGTCGCCCTCAAGACAAGCCATAGACTAGAGTCAGGGGCTTTGAAGATCAGCAGTCGCATTGTTTCCGTGAGCGACAAGCACGTACAGAACAAAGGACTGGCTACACCACGAAACGTTATGCGACTACCTGGCAAGAACGTCACCGCATTATGCCCGATTGGTCTATCGGGAGTACTCATAGCGTCCAGCAACGAGCTTCTCCTGCATGACCTTGATGTATCCACCAAACGATGGACAACCATCACCCGACATGCTCTACCATCTCCTGCAAAAGAGATACGTGTGCAAGGCTCCCTGGTCTATGTTGCGACCGAACGCCACTCGCTACTGATCTTACGGCAACATGGCAGCACTCTGAGTACCCATGGGTCAGACACTCGGGCGAGGATTGTCAGTAATGTGGTGCCCCTCGACAGGCACCGGACACTTCTGGCAGACATGACCGACAGAGGGACGATTCTCACTGGTGTGGTCGAAGATACGATGACTTCAACGCTGCAAAGATCGTACGAGATCAATGTGCCACATGATATTAGTCGCATTGAACAGAGTCGCACCCGATGTGCCGGGGATGCAAGAGATGCGTTCATCGCCAGCGCCACGGATGGCACGTTATATTCCTTCTTGTTGCTGACAGCAGACGAGTGGCTGCTATGCCACTTTCTACAAGGCCTCTGCGATCCTTTCAAGAGGGTCATTGGGAAACACAAGGCATTCATGCAAACTCTGGACGCCAGTGAATGGATTAGTCACGGGAAAGGTACTATCCCACCTGCGTCGATGGGTATTGACGGGGACTTGCTCGCAGCTATGCTTGAGCCTGGAGCACACAATCTTCGATCTCTGCTGGAGCCGCCTGTGAAGGAAGAGGATGAAGATATCAGTTTTAGGGCTCAGAAGAGATCGGATGAGCTGAGGGCACGCATGCAGGTGTTGAGGCAGCTGGCCGAAAGAGTAACTCACAGAGTCAACGAGGCCGATGTAGTGGGGTCTGTGATGATTTGGCTCAGAAGTCTCATGCAATACTAGGCTGGCAGGGCATGACTTGAGTAAGTGTTTGACTGAGGATTGCCGCAATGCGAGTTGACTGTTGCTGTCAGTGGGTAGGTTTTAGGTGAGGGGCATGTGTGTTTGTCATTCTTAGGCCTATGTAGTCTAGTTAGGGACCATGTAGATGTTACTCACAGGTCACCCATGTTATAGAGAGACTTCCCTGGTGTTAGGTGGTATCCTACATGTTCAACTTGTAGGTATGTTGTTTGGTGAGAATTGGTGCCAAGCCATGCCCGAGGCTGATGACTCCTCGCCTATTCTCTACGTCAGGTTTCGCCCCACCAAACCATTTGATTGAATTCATTCCCCCCCACTCACAAGACCCTTTGCCTGCGGAAATATTTGATTCTCTGTTTGCCATCATTATCTCCGTTGGCCACATATTGCACTAGCACTCCTTAATTGGTGCTGCATAGTTCTGGAGTCAACTGTTCTTTCCAATTCTAGAACGGCGTCCGTTAACACTGACAAGCCTTTCTCTTTCATGTCGCCTCCGCTGAACCGTGGGCGATACATAAATCTCACATCAACTTTTCTTCCCTTAAATCAGCGGCGCAATGGCTCCTAAAAAGAAGGGTGGCAAGAAGCAGGTGGACGACTGGGAGAACGATCTTGGCGAGTCAATTGAGCCCGCAGCCGAGGCAGCCGCACAAAATGGCGACCATGCTCAGGACACAGCTGAGGCGAACGACGAAGCGGACGCCGGTGGGGGTCTTCTAGCTGCTATTCGCAAGAACAAGGACAAAAGAAAGAAGAAGGGCAAGATCGACAACGACTTTGTGGAAGGCGAAGATCCTGCACAAACCGAAGCAGCACCCGAGGCCGACCTCAATGGCAAGGCTGCTGAGGAGGCCACGTTCGATGACGACGATGTCTTTGCCGGCAATGCAAACAAGAAAGCCAAGGGTGGTAAAAAACAGCCCGAGAAGCCAGCCGACGACGACGATAATGAGGGTAGTGGGATAAAGTCAAAAAAGGAGAAAGAGCGCGAGAAAAAGGAACGTGAGAAGGCTCGTAAGAAAGAGCAGGCTTCGAAGAAGAAGACCGTGGCGCCCACCCCGGCTCCCGAGGCCAAGAAAGAGCCCGAGAAGGCGGTGCAAGAAGTTGTGGCGCCAACCCCAGCTGCCGAGGAGAAGGGCGGCAAGAAGAAAAAGGTCCCTGCCCATCTTGCTGCAATTCAGAAGCAACAAGAGGCTTTAGCAAGGCAGCGAGAGGAAGAGGCTCGCTTGGCTGCGGAGGAACAGGCCGCTGAGGCGTTGAAACTGCAGAGGGAGGCCGAAGAAGAGCAGAAGAAAGCCGAGGCGCGCCAGCGCAGGAAGGAGAAGGAGAAAGAAAAGAAGGAGCAGCTTCGTAAAGAGGGTAAGCTACTTACCGATGCCGAGAAGAAGAGACAACATCAGCAGCAACTCCGTATGCAACAGATGCTCGAGGCTGGCGGTGGAGTCAAAGTCGCTGGGCTCGCCGCCGAGACTGAGGACAAGAAGAAACCCACCTTCGACAGGAAAAAGAAGAAGGGCCCTCAGAAGCAGGATGTCGACCTTGAGGCTGCTGCCGAGAAGGCACGAATGGAAGCCGAGGCCGCAGCAGCGGAACGCGAACGCAAAGCTAGAGAGGCCGAGGAAGCCGCAGTCGCAGCTGCAGTCGCCGCATCTACTACTAAGGTGGTTGACGACTCTGATCCCGAAGATTGGGAGAAAGCTGCAGCCGCAGATGATGAGGTCAAAGACAGCTGGGATGCCGACTCGGACGACGAGACTTCGAAGGTTACACCTGCAACGAACGGTGCTAATGGTGCGGCGGAAAAGACGGTTCCTGTCCGTGGTGGTAAGACTGCCGATGAGGAGGAAGAATCGGCTTCAGAATCGGAGGAGTCGTCGGAAGACGAGGAACTCACAGCAACGAAACAAGCAGAGGCCCGGAGGAAAGCCGAAGCAGCGGAACGGCGAAAAAAGGCCCACGAAGAGGCGCTCGCTGCGCGGTCTGCGGATAACCTCCGATCTCCCATTTGCTGTATTCTCGGACACGTTGACACTGGCAAAACCAAACTACTGGACAAGATTCGTCAGACGAATGTGCAAGAAGGCGAAGCTGGTGGTATCACTCAGCAGATCGGCGCGACTTACTTCCCCACGGACGCGCTGTCCCAGAAGATTGCCCCTGTCAACGCAGACGGCAAGTTTCAATTCAAAGTACCTGGCCTGCTGGTCATTGATACACCCGGTCACGAGTCCTTTTCGAACTTACGATCACGAGGATCGTCACTGTGCAACATTGCGATTCTCGTCGTTGATATCACGCACGGACTCGAGCCTCAGACACTCGAGTCAATGAAGCTCCTCCGGGATCGCAAAACGCCGTTCATTGTCGCTCTCAACAAGATTGATCGTCTGTACGGCTGGCAGTCAATACCCAACAATGGCTTTCAGGCCAGTTTGGCTGCACAGAAGGGTGGCGTGAAAAGTGAATTCAAGGACAAATTGGAGGCAACCAAAGTTGCGTTTGCCGAGCAAGGCTTCAATGCTGAACTCTACTATGAGAACAAGAACATGGCTCGCTACGTGTCACTGGTGCCGACGTCAGCCCACACTGGCGAAGGAATTCCCGACATGTTGAAGCTCTTGGTGACATTGACACAAGAGCGCATGACATCGAGCTTGATGTACTTGTCCGAAGCCGAGGGCACGGTACTAGAGGTAAAGAAGATCGAAGGATTCGGTACAACGATCGATGTTGTGTTATCCAACGGTGTCTTACGTGAGGGCGATCGTATCGTGATTTGTGGTCTTGATGGAGCCATCGCGACCAACGTACGAGCGTTGTTGACGCCTGCACCGCTGAAGGAGTTGCGACTGAAATCACAGTACGTGCACAACAAGGAGGCCAAGGCGTCTCTGGGTGTCAAAATTGCGGCCAACGATCTGGACAAGGCAGTGGCTGGATCGCGTCTACTGGTTGTCGGTCCAGATGATGACGAAGAAGAGCTGGAAGACGAGGTCATGGCGGATCTCACACAGCTTCTCAGCAAGATTGACAAAGCGCAGCGCGGTGTCAGTGTGCATGCATCTACTCTTGGTTCACTCGAGGCGCTGCTTGAATTCTTGCGGCAGATGAAGATTCCTGTAGGTAACATCGGCCTCGGCACAGTCTTCAAGACGGACGTGATGCGAGCTGGCACGATGCTGGAGAAGGGTCTGAAGGAGTATGCGGTCATGTTGTGCTTCGATGTTTCCGTGGACAAAGACGCGGCCAAATACGCGGAAGACAACGGGGTCACGATCTTCACGGCCGAGATCATCTACCACCTTTTCGACAACTTCATCGCCCACTCGAAGAAGCTGTTGGAAGAGAAGAAAGAACAGTCGAAACTGGATGCGGTCTTCCCTGCTGTACTGAGTCCACTGCAGGTGTTCAACAAGAAGGACCCGATTGTCATTGGTGTGGATGTGATTGAAGGCAACTTGCGGCACGGAACACCTATTGCTGCGGTCAAGCATAATCCCGTCACCGGGGTCAAGGAAATCGTCAAGTTGGGCAGAGTGTAAGTGAGACTGTCTTTGTGTTGGAAAGGCGACTAACAACTTGCAGGACATCTATCGAACGCGAGCACAAGGCTATCACGGTGGCAAAGAAGGGCTCACCGTCGGTTGCCGTCAAGATTGAAGGGCCCAACCAACCGCTCTATGGCCGACAGCTCGAAGACAAGGACACGCTATACTCGCTTATTTCACGCAAGTCCATCGACACACTTAAGCAGTTCTATCGGGACGAGGTGACGAAGGACGAGTGGTCACTGATAGTGAAGTTGAAGCCGCTGTTCGACGTCTAAGGCGAGGAGAAAGCCCAAAAAGTATCTGCATTGGTGGCCAGGGATAAGGATGGTGATGGTTGTTTGACGATTTTTGGACGCAGAGCAAACGACGACACGGGTGTGATGTGGCCGCTGGCCTCACCTTAGACTCAGCAATGAAATCCACTTTCTTCTTTTAACAATACCATTAATTGCGATCATATAGACGGGCTGTACATAGTAGTAGTCTGATAGTGTGGTCGGCTTAGTCAAGGCGATCGTACGGCACGGGCACGCGAGATTCCGACCATGTCCCTGCTACCGGTCAACCAATCACAACCGTCAGCACAGCTTGCCGTAATTTTATTGTGTTGAGCGCACTCGCGCATTCGGTCCTCCGATCCAGCAATCTGTGCGCGGGCAGATCCTTTTGCAGCCAAGAGAGCGGTGTACTCTTTTTCGAAGGTCATCTTATCAGTCTTTACCACCTCTTTCCTCGCCCGTGGTGTGCTTGTGTGCTTGTGTGCTTGTGTGCTCTACTACCCTAAGACCGAGCATCAACGCGACTGGCCTGGCTAGCTGTTTTAGCTATCTCGCCCCCAGGCACCCTCCCCGTTTGATTCGACCGCGAACCCCCGTCCTCCATCACTTGGCTGCGGTCCTTTGGGCTTTCACAACATGGAAAGCCTGACGAATAACTCCGCGACGGCCTTTCAGTCGCCGCTCGCGGACGCTCAAATCACCCTGGCCGCCACCTCATCCTTCGCCTCGGGCATCGTATCTAGGTACATCCAGCAGCTGAATGTCTGGACGGCGGCCCTGACCCTCCTGCTGCTCGCCATCACCTATGATCAGCGTAAGAGCAGTCTCTATACTCCAAGAACTGGGACCCGGCAATGCTGACAGTATTCCATAGTCAGCTACAAATGGCAGAAGCATGGCATTATCGGTCCGGCGTGGAAGATCCCCTTTATGGGACCCTTCCTCGAGTCCGTCTTCCCCGACTTTGAGAAATACAAGGCCAAATGGCTGAGTGGCGAGCTTAGCTGCGTTTCCGTCTTCCACAAGTATGTTTGGTCCCTCTGCGACTCGCGATCACTGCTAAGACTTTCCAGATTCGTCGTGTTGGCTGGGACTCGCGACATGTCCCGCAAGATCTTCAACTCACCTATGTTTGTGAAGCCCTGCGTGGTTGATGTCGCCCACAAATTGCTCCGTCCCGACAACTGGGTCTTCCTTGACGGTAAGCCACACGTCGACTATCGCAAGGGCCTCAATGGCCTGTTCACTCGCCAGGCCCTCGAGACCTATCTTCCCGGCAACGAGGAGATGTACGACAAGTACTTCAAGACCTTTGTGCGACAGACCAAGGAAAACGGTGGCAAGCAGATGCCCTTTATGCCCATCTTCCGCGAGTTGCAGTGCGCTCTTTCCTGCAGAGCATTTGCTGGTCACTACATCTCGGAGAGCGCCGTCAAGAAAATTACCGACGAATTCTATCTTGTCACCGAGGCGCTGGAGCTGGTCAACTTCCCCATCATCATTCCCTTCACCAAGACTTGGTATGGCAAGAAGGCCGCCGATTGGATCATCGAAGAGTTCATGAGAAGCGCGGCCAAGTCCAAGGTTCGCATGGCTGCTGGCGGTGAACCGAACTGCATCATGGATAGATGGGTTCGGCAGATGCAAGAGTCAGCCGAGTACCGTGCCAAGCTTGCCCGTGGTGAGAAGGTCGAGGACACCGAGAAGCCAACTCAGGTGCTCCGCGAGTTCTCCGACTTGGAGATCTCCATGACTGTCTTCACCTTCCTCTTTGCGTCTCAAGATGCTACCAGCGCTGCCTGCACCTGGCTCTTCCAGCTGATGGCCGACCGCCCGGAATGGCTCGAGAAGGTTCGTGAGGAGAACCTCCGCACCCGTAATGGTGACCGGAACCAGAAGCTTTCGCTAGAGCTGCTCGAGAACCAGCCCATTACCCGCGCTGTGGTCAAGGAAGCTCTTCGTTACCGCCCACCAGTCATCATGGTTCCTTACCTGGCCAAGAAGGACTTCCAAGTCACGCCTGGCTACACTGTCAAGAAAGGCACCATGGTCATTCCCTCCGTCTGGCCTGCAACTCACGACCCCGAGGCGTACCCGGACCCTGAAACATACGATCCTGAAAGATGGATCACGGGCGACGCTGAGAAACAGACCAAGAACTGGCTAGTTTTCGGAACAGGACCACATCATTGCTTAGGGCAGCAGTACGCAACACTCAACCTGCAGGGTATGATCGGCAAGGCTAGCATGTTCCTCGACTGGGAGCACTTCCCTACCGAGAAGAGCGAGGAGATTCAGGTGTTTGCCACCATCTTCCCCAAGGTATGCTATACTATGATGCACTGCATGAGAGTAATACTAACTGCATGCCAGGATCATTTTCACGCCACCTTCGTCGATCGGCCTGCTCCTTGAGCAACGTCCTTTGACTCACCTTGATTTTGACACTTCTGCGTTTCAGCGACTTCGACATGAAGCGATAGACCATCGTCTCGTGACTCATGGCTTCCCCAGTGTGGCCTGTACATATTTTGGAGCAAATGAATGGGTATGGCGGACGCGGGAAGACCAACAGGGCCGTGTCTGCTTTTAATCGATAACTGGTCTTGATATCATTAGACCGATCACCGCGATAGTAACGGTATGACATAGAAAGCATCCATACAACGCTCGCTCCGGCATATGGCCGTGTACAAGTCTTACTGATTTTGTTCTGCGCCGTGGGACTGACGATGGCTGTATTGAGGCAATTAACCATGTTGGCGTTACGGCCGACCGCCGCCTTGGCATCGAAGATAGTCAATCCTGACCCCGGGCGCTCGTCAATCCACCCGCTCCCAATGCCCAGTACAGTCATCGGTTCTTGACCATACAGCATTCTCTTTCGTTTGTGAGCGGTTTTTTTGAAATGTGCAGCTGCAGCCACTATCGCCTTTTTGATACATGACCCAAAGATCGACTGGTTCTAAATGCTTGTGCCAGAGCGGCGAGAATCGGAACAGCTTCTGTGTTGACCGGCGCCTTATGATGCCTGTATAGCTGAACATCATTATTTATATTGGTAGCTGGGAGGCGCACTTGCATTGGACCAGACCAGCCCGTCCGTCCGCGCTACTGCCAGTCTTAATACAGATACTGGGACATTGGCTGAAGCATGCCTTGGTCACTCATCCGTGTGGGACGACCAGTTGCATCCCAACTGGTGACCTCACGGGCATTCTCTACCTCATCAAGGCTAGATGCGGACTTCACACATGTCGTAAGAACACCGCACGTACCCTTCCCTAAACCAGAAGATGCTGAGACTCACAGGTCATTGGGGGTGGTGCGGTGGGACTTGCTATCGCTCGCGAGCTAGCTGCACGGGAGGGCACATCAACGCTCTTGATCGAAAGACACGGCAGTGTTGGCCAGGAAACTAGCAGCAGGAACTCAGAAGTGAGGACCAGTAGTGGAAGAAAGATGCGTTGATGCTGATCTGACGACAGGTCATTCATGCCGGCCTTTACTATGGATATAACACCTTGAAAACAGACCTTTGCATCAAAGGTAGGCATATGATATACGATCTCTGTGAGAAACAGAAAATCCCTTACCGCAACACCAAGAAGTGGATAGTTGCTCAAGACGAGCAGCAAATGGGTGAGCTGGAAAAGGTACATAAGTTTGCCACTTCTCTGGATGTGCCAACTCGATTTCTATCTCGAGAAGAGATCCACGAACGCGAACCTGACGTCCGCGCCGACGCCGGCGTGCTAGAGAGTGAGAGCACCGGTATCGTTGACAGCCACAGCTTTATGGCCTACCTCGAAGGCGACTTTCAAGAACTTGGCGGCTTAGGCGTCTTTCACACCTCGGTCACACGGATAGAGCCTATCGACAACGGCCACGGCGGCTATAGAATATACTCCAAGGCCAACAGTGGACAAGCTGGGGAGGATGTCATCGAAGCCGAGACCCTCATTAACAGCGCCGGCTTGGGTGCTATCAGCGTCAGTAATATGATACTGCCGCCCGAACGTCACCGCAAACCATTCTACGCGAAAGGTTCCTACTTCAGCTACGCCTCCAGCCACCCCAAGCCCAAGACGCTGCTCTATCCAGCCCCAGTCCCCGGTCTGGGTGGGCTAGGCACTCACCTAACACTTGACATGAACGGCCGCGTCCGCTTCGGCCCCGACGTAGAATGGGTTGACGACCCTACTGATCTCAAGCCCAATCCTGCAAGACTCAAGGATGCTCTCGACATGATTGAGTCTTACCTACCCACCGTCGACCGCAATGCCGTCGATCTGGACTACTGTGGCATACGTCCAAAGCTCGGTAAGACGAGCGGTACCGCAGGACCGACGTTTGCCGATTTCTATATCAAGGAGGAGGAGGGGTACAAAGGGTTCATTAATTTATTGGGCATTGAGAGTCCGGGCCTGACGAGCAGTTTAGCCATCGGGGGGATGGTCAGGGAGATGCTCTACAAGGGTAAGGAAGGCAAGAGCGAAGAAAAGGGCGAGCAGCCTAAGTTCGAGTTCCATCATTGAACCTCGATCGGATGACAGTATCCGAGCGAAGTCACCGGAAAGCACCGGACTATGATCAGACAACCATATGTCGATGTTCCTCATGATGCTGCTGTTCTTCGGCGAAGCAGCCTCACGATAGCTACTCACCTTTGTCTGCTGGGCTTTGTGCGGGCCACCATGCCTCGTCTGTTGGAGGTGTCGAATCATTATCGTCAACAGCTTCACAATGCAATGACTTGTCCCCAGACAAAGAATCTAAAAATACGTCTGTGCTCCTCGTCAATGGGACGAGTCACCAGCATCAAGTCCTTGCGAACGCGTGCTCATACACCAATGCTTTGCTAACCATACCACTCAGGCAGTGGATCACCCTTGCCAGCAGCAAAACTTAACGAAGCATGGATCCTTCGAATCGCCCACAGAGCAACATCAACAACTGCGATGAGCCGGTCTCGCCGCGAACATGTCCTCACAACTATACTGCCACGCTGAACAATAACAGCTTGTCCCTGAACGCAGGACCAGACACCGGTAGGTTTCGACGCTCCTCTGCACCGCCATATACTCCCAAAGAGACACATCAGCAAGGCAAACCCTGTCAGCGACTGATCAAAACGCGTATCCTACAGTACACAGGGCACACGCTCGGGAAGCGAGGCAACCAACGCTACCTCCTTCCTCCACCACCTAAACGACGCTGTCTGCATTCCGAGCGCGCTCCCTCCGACCCATCCCTCCAGCATCTTTCCTCCTATCCAGACATCTATCCCACAGCTGATCGTGACCAAGCCCAACGCGCCAACCCCTTCGTGACCACCTACCACACCGACCCCGACCTCTCCCGACTCCCCCTAACCGCCCTTGAATTCGCCTCCATCGTGCTTCCCCCCGAGCCCGAACGCGACTGGATCGCCGCCATCGGCTTCGGCAACGACAACCCTGCCTCCACGAACCACCGCAACCTCAACGTGGTAGGCGTGCATCCGCTGTTCCGCCAACTGCTGCGCCCGGCCCACGACGGCTGCAACAGCTGGCACAACAGCCGGGCGTTTCCGGACCTGTGGCGCGCGGCGCAGCTGGCGACCCGCTTCCTGAGCAACCAGCACACACTGGCGTTCTTCCACAAGATCCTCTTCCAAGAGCCCGCGCTGCTGGAGCGGGAAAGTGAGTTCTACGGCGTGGACGTGCTGCATCTGGCGGAGGCGCCGGAGGACACGTACGGACTGACGCAGCAGCAGAAGACGGTGACAACGGACGCGCTCGCGGCGCTGGCGCCGCATATCGCCATCGCTTTCGCCACGGGCGCCGACACCCATGCGGCCACGACCTGGGCCTACACCACGCGTGTCCCCTCTAGCAACCCGACCGCAACGCTCACAGCCCGCAGACAGCGCCACAAACCCCTCCTCACAGCCCGCACCACGCCACCCCCAGCCCAGTCCACCACCACCTTCATCGACCCCGCCGCCCCCTCTCCGGCCGACATCGCCCACCCCCACGCCTGGAGCCCACACCACTTGCCCGTCCTCGACAGCTACCACCCGCAAACCGCCCTGGTCCGCAGCCTAGGCTTCCGCGGCACCAACGCGCGCATCGCCCTCTCGCCCCTCTTCCTACGCCTCCTGCACCGCCACTCCCACGCCCCCACACCCCCCTTCCACGCGCGGCAGTACGCGCTTTTCTTCCTGGCCGTCACGCTCGTGCACGAGGTCGCCCACGCGGCGTGGATGTGTCGGTGGCCCGCCCCTGCTGCTGCTGCTGCTGCTGCTACTGCCACTACTGACGGTCACCCAGCAGAAGGCCGGAAAGAGGAAGAGGAATACGAGCCTTTCGTCGGATCCCATCGCCGCGCTGAGCTGGGCCACGCGTGGGAGGCGAGTGTTTTTGGCGGGAATTGCGTCGAGGTCCTGGGCCAGCGCGCGGCAAGCGCCGGTGGGGCGGATAGGGACTGGAGCGACGTGTTCTCGCTGGGCGTCGGAGTTCGGACGTGGCCGGATGGGAGGGAGCAGATGGTCCGCTGTGGGGTTTGGGAGGGGGTGGTGCCTTTGGCTCGACTCGTCGATGATAGCGTCGATGCGGGTGATTGTGACTTGGAGGTCGATGAGAGCAGCGGGGAGTTGGCGTGCCCAAAGGCGCAGAGCGGCGATCGCTGGGAGACGCTGCGCATCGTGCCGTTTCGCTTCGTGGCGGGCTTGTTTCAGGAGGCGTTCTGGGAGTGGGCGGATGACACGACGGTGAGGGTGAAGGAGGGGAGGGATGTGGCTGCTGGTGGATGTCGACCGCGGCGGAAGCGGGAGGTGCAGCAGGAAGTGGTGCCGCCGTTTCGTCGGTGGATGGAGAGGCAGGTGCGGAGTTGGGTGGGCGTAAGGTTCGAGAATGTGGATTGGAATATGCTGCGTGGGGCGAGGCCGGGGGATTATGATGTTGAGATGGAGGGGGTTCGGGCGGAAGAGGAGGAGCATTAGTGGGTGTAAGAGGTGTGTAGATTGTTGGGGATCGAGTAGAGCTTGATGGAGTGTAGACGAGGTAGGTGAACACGCACACGACGCCTTGGATTGATTTCCGCGAGAGCGGGCTATGCCGTTTAATGTAACAGTCTATTGCACAATATATCAGCACAATTTGCTTCTTCACAAAGACTCTTTGAGGGCGCACCTATCACGCCTCCGCCGCCTCCAGCATCTTCTGCACGGTCCCCATCTTCTCCCTCGGTTTTCCCTGCTGCGAGCCATCCCGCTTCTCCGCCTGGTCGATCTTCTGCCACTGCTCCCAGTGCACGGGTTTGAGCTTGAGGCCAGATCGTTCCGCATCGGCCTTGACGCCTTGCCAGCCAGCTCGCTCCGGCAGCTGTCCGGTCGAGCTGCGCCTCCAGTCCTCGACGATCGCTTCCGCCGTCTGGAAGGCGTCGGTCATGGTGGAAGCGATGACGCCGGTGGGGCCGCGTTTAACCCAGCCGGCGCAGTAGACTGAAGCATTGGACGAAGGGGTCGTCAGCTGCTCTTCGGTGCCGATGGGCGTGGCGCGCCCGAACCCGTCGTGCTGGATGGTGCCTTTGCGGGTGTCGAATGTGACGCCGATGGCTTCCATACCTGGGATCGGCGTGGCGGCGTAGCCGATGCTGCGGAAGAGAGTGGAGGTTTCGAGCTCGGTCGTGGAGTCCGTGGGCGTGACTGCGGAGCTGGGATTTGCGGGCTCCGCGAGCTGCGTGTGCTGAAAGGTGATGCTCTCAAGCACAGATGGGTTGGTAGACGAATAGTTTAACGCCCTGGGTGCAAGACAGAAGTCCAAGGCCCAGGACTTTGGGGCATCGGGCTTGAACGGCGAGCCTTTCTTGAGCAGCTCCATGATACGGCGCCTTGGCCGCTCCAACTTCTTCAGATCTGGAGGGAAGAGATCCTCCGGAATCGGCGTAAAGTTCACATCCGGAAGTTGTAGCAGCTCACGCACTTCCTTGATGGTGAACGCGGCTTGGAGTGGGCCTCGACGGCCCACCACGCGGACATGCTTGATCTTGCTCTCGGAGAGGGCCTGTATGGCATATTCCGTCATGTCGGTCTTCTTCAGCGTGTCGATATGAGTGAGCAACGCACGAGCGACATCGAGGGCAACGTTTCCCTGTCCCACGACAACGGCACTTTCTCCGGACTGGAGATCGGGATTGAGATCGCGATACTCTGGCAGGCCATTATACCACCCCACAAAGGCTCTTGCCGAGTAGATGTGCGGTCTCTCCTCGCCTTCTAAGCCGATCTTACGGTCTTTAGATGCGCCATATGAAAAGACAATCGCATCGTAGTGTTTCGCGAGCAGAGGAAGAGGCAGATCCTGTCCAAGGCTGACATTACCAATGAAGGTATAGTTGGGCGACGCGGCAAGGTCTTCAAATGTGTCCTGGCAATTCTGTGGTTGCGTCAGACAAGTTGCAGTACGAATCGCTGTCCGCGCACCTTCACCTCAGGATGATCTGGAGCAACTCCATACCTGACCAGACCGAATGGCACCGGTAGTTGCTCGTACATGTCTACCCTCGTGTCTGGGAGCTCTCTCATGGCCTTCTGTGCCGTGTAGAAGCCTGCCGGCCCAGAGCCTACGATTGCGATACGCGGGCCCCGTCCGTTTGCAGCGGCCGCATCGTGACGGGCGCGACGAGCTCCGGCGACGTAGTGTCCCTTAACACGGAGCAGCTGCCTGGCACAGGGCTGCACGAGAAGCATTGTAGTAGCGTGGTGGAATGCACATGATCACCGTCCGCACATCTTGCAAGATGTGTCTGGTCCGCACGACAGTCAGTCAGTCGTTGACTCATTTATCGAGCCTTCTGAGATGAAAGCTTCCAGCCTTGCAACTTCAGCCTTGCTCGAGGCCGAATGCCCCGGGGAATGCCGAGCTTTCACTGCCTGAGATTAGAGAGTATAGGGTCTGGATGTGCATGACGGCTAGAAGACGGGATACTGAGGTCGTAGAGGAACTCGCAGAGGATTCCTGGGCCAAGATTCTGTTTATTTCACTACATACAATGTCGAGGCAAATGTGTCCATGGTCTCGATTTTGATTCCCCAAGAACGCCAGCCATCACAACCAAGACATCCCTTCTTGTCTTCATCAGACAGTCAGAACATATGTGGTCGTCCCAAAACTCCTTTGTCGTGTCAAATCCTGGTCAGCCAGATCTCACAAGCCTTTGAAGCGCGCCCATCCGGCACTCTGAAATGTCTTCTGGGGCGTGGTCTCCTCGACAATGGCTGCCTGTCCATCCATGATCTCCGTTTGATAGTTACCACCTCGTCCCTCTTCAGCCACTTTGCCGCTCACGTCGCGTCTTCTCGCCATACCCCTTCCGAATTCGGGTCCAAGACCAGCATAGCCGCTGTGCAGATCCAATCCCGTTGAGTTTGAAGTCTGACGAGGGCTGTTAAACTGAGTTGGCAGACCTTGACTCTGAGTCTTTGAAGGCGACATCGGAGGAGGCGGCGTTGGAGAGTAGTGGTCGTTGTTGCTAGGTGTCTGCAGGGAAGATCTTGTCTTGTAGGGACTCTTCTGGCTGTAGCGATATGCTGGCCGCGGAGGTCGTTCACCCTCACTATCACTCTCATAAACTTCAATGTTGCCACTGTAGTCACTTGCACTTTGCATGCTCTTCATGGTCCGGGACCGATCAATGCCGTTGCCGTTGTCAGCCAGTCTATCGTCATCACTGTCAGGATAGATCTCGACAACATTCGCATCTGCATCCTTGGTCTGATCCACTCCCCTGCCGTTGATGCTTGCACGAAGGTCTCCGTAAAAGCGGGATTTGGTGCCACTACCAATGAAGGATGATGGACGGCTGTTACCGTTGGTGGACGAGAGGATGGGTCGAACAGGGCTCGACATCGGATCGTGCGTGCCCTGTTGTGCGGTGTAGTAGTTCTCATCGTTTAAGTCGTACTCTGGCCCGGCAGGAGAGGGCGGATGCATGCCAAGAGGTTCACGACTCCGTTTAGGTGTAGCATGCAGTGTAGGAGCCATAAGTGCGGCTACATGAGGCATGTCACCATTGGCATCGCTGAATCTGTTGACATCTGTTGAGGGCCGGTTGCTCCAGGAGTGCCCGAGCGGTCCGTGCGATGGGCTGGTCGAAACCGGCGAGATGGGACGAACTTGCTCATCAAGTTGCTGGTTTGCAGTGTCGCTGAGATCAGTGGGCATGCCTTCATAGTCAATATACGAAAGCCATGACGATGGTCGAGCTGGAGAGCGGTTGGGAGAACGCTGCGGAGACGCATTGAAGATTGAGGAACGTGCTGGGCGATGATCCAGCCCAGCGCCAGCAGCGCGGGTGTTAGGAGCCGGGCTATGTGCTGAGCCAGGACGTAAGGGCGACCCTGGTACTGATGCGGTGGAAACTCTGTAGGGATCTTTGGTGACTTCCTCAAAGCCTTTACGCATTTCGACTCTTGAGTTGCGAGCATATTCGTTGCCATAGAGAGTGACGCTGTCGGCAGAATCGGTGCGGGTATGTATGAATGGAACTCTCTTACCCATGCCCGAGTCGCGGTTGGTGACGAGAGTAGACGCGCTCATATGTTTCTCTGTAATGTTCATGGAAGACTTGTTGCGCTTGTGACCGAATCGACTGGTCAAATTGTCTTCCAATGGGTTCATGTCAGGAGGCATTTTCGCGATCTTGCGGAACGTGACCGCTAGATAGACGTCGAACAGCAGACATAGCGCTAGCAGACCGCACTCAGTCGTGCTCAGGATGAAGAAAGCGAAAATGATCTTGTAGGAGACCTCGGTGTCGTTGAACAAGGTACTCCATTCGTACATGTTGTGAGCGTGATCCAGGTAAGACATGTAGGCAGAAAAGGCGAAGAAGGGAATGAGACCAAGATCGATCAAGCCGGAAAAGACCATGTAGCTAGCACTCGATCCAGGGGTGCGGCTAGTGACCGATCGGCCAAGATGGTAGACGGCGTAGAAGAGCTGGCAGAGTGCGACCGCGGGCGCGCAGCGGATGATCCACGCCACTGTTGTGGTGGTCTTATTGATTGAGATGACACAGAACAGCAGGCCCATGGCCCCCAGCAGGGCAAGCCATCGCAAGACAAGCAGACCAGTCCTAGCTCTTACAACTCTCTTCTTGGTGTTGGGATGCATCGGTTGGGTGGTCAGATTGCCGTAGGGTACGACGAGATAGGAATCGGGGTGCTTGTTGAAGTCTACCAAGGGACCATTCGACTTAGGCTTGTTGGCTCTCGGTGTCCATGATGCCTCGGTCGCGGCTTTGGGATTGAAGCCTCGACTGGTGGGAGCACCGAAGTTCCAGCTTTGGGGTCGGTCGTAAAGGAAGGGGGCATTGCTACCACCCATTCTGTAAAGACAGGACACTCCTGTAGCTCGTGCTCAAGAATGACGAAAAGTGTCCAAGCTGCGACGATGAGCAGGTGGAGAGGAGGAATGCTGAGGGAGTTGCTCGCTTAGCATTGTACAGTCATTGGCGAGAAAGAATCCCTGTCAACACAGTGACGCAGGTGAGAAGGGTACCTGGTTGGCATAGCAACCGAAACACCCCTCTGGTTTCACCCCCTCCCGGACTCCGTACCCAGGATTATTATTAGCGCTGTCTGGCATGATGAGTGCAATGCTCAGGAACGTGTCAGGTTGTCCAATAGACATGGTCGCTTGTCGCTTTGCCGGAGATGAGATTGGCGAAATCAGTCGCTGTTGGGCGGCAGCGTCACCATCAGGACGCTGCAAGCGCGATCCTCCAGTCTCGAACCTAAATTCCACCACCACTTCGCACTCTTACCGTCAATCATGGGCCATCCCCATGCCAAAGAATACCCTACACATCACCCAGGCCCCTAACAGAAGCTGTTCTGATTGTATGGCACTCACGCCAGAATGATTCGGGCAGCGATACTGCCAGAAAGGGCTTAAAGGGGCCTCGGGGGCCATACAGGGGGCCGGGCGGAGTCAGCTCGGAGAGCCATTCACCGACAGCCGTGGCAACCACTGGTACGCTTTTGTCGACCGCATAAAGCAGATACGCTGGTGTTGCATGTCGCAAAGCCTCTTGAGATATCTCGTCCACTGAAATCTGTCGACCAAGCATGTCACCGGAAGATCTCACGCTCGGAATGGCGGATTCATGGCCGATGTTTGTGTTGTATCTCATCGCAGCCAAGATCTTCCATGATCTTTGTCTCGCAATCTACCGCGTTTACTTCCACCCACTAGCCAAATTTCCAGGCTCAAACCTTGCTAAGGCCACTTACTGGCATGAGACCTTTTACGATGTCTTCAAAGGTCACCAATATATCTGGAAGATCAAGGAGATGCACGAGAAGTATGGTCCTGTCATAAGAACCAACCCAGATGATGTGCACATCCACGATCCTGACTTCTTCGATGACCTTTACACACTCAAACTCGATAAATGGGCATGGTGGACTCGCGGCTTTGCTGTGCCCACAGCCGGCGGTATGACCGTTGAGCACGAGGTGCATCGAAAACGGAGAGGTGCCCTGAATCCTTTCTTCAGCAAGGCCTCAATTGTTGGCAACATTCCCATCATCCAGGAAAAGCTGGCTATCATGTGCTCTCGGCTCGACAAGATCGTCGGTAGTCGTGAAGTCCTGGATCTGGAGTCGATCTACTTGGCAGTCACTACAGATGTTCTCACCCAATGTTCGTATGGCTGGACTTACGACTACATCCACAATCCCGAATGGGCCATGAAATGGAAGCTGGTCAATACTGGTGGACGCGCCTCCGCTGCCATTGTTCGCTCCTTCCCACTTATTGGCAAAATTGTACGCTCAATGCCTCTTGCCGTGGCACTCAAGCTGGTTCCCCCCGTCGGCTTCATGAAATCATGGATGCAACGCGTTGGCATACAAGTCAAGAAGATCAAGTCCGACCCAGAGACAATGAGTATGATCAAATCCGAGAAGCGACGGAAGGATACCATCTTCGCCCAGATCCTCTCCACCGACCTCCCTGAGCACGAGCTTAGTGATCAGCGCTTGATCGACGAAGGTGTGCTCATTGCGACCGCCGGTTCTGAAACTACTGCATGGGCAATTACCATCACAACTTACCATCTTATGAAGACGCCCTCGGCTCTAAAACGCATGCGCGAGGAGTTAGCTGCCGTTGACATCACCCCAGGCGACCCTGTCGCACCATGGACGGCCCTCGAGAAGCTTCCGTACACCACAGCCGTTATCAAAGAAGGACTGCGCATGGCGGGCGGCATGCTCTCTCGTTTGCCTCGAATCTACGACAAGCCCATCCAGTACAAGGAATGGCTCATCCCCGCCGGCACACCCATAGCCATGACTCCACATCTCGTCCTCATCGACGACACCATCTTCCCAGAGCCGCGCAAATTCGATCCGGAGCGCTGGCTCGATCAGTTGGCCGAAGGCAAGACCACGTCACGCTTGGACAAGTACATTGTCGCGTTTGGCAAAGGAAGCAGGAACTGCATTGGCATGCACTTGGCGTACGCGCAGCTGTATATGACGCTTGCGGCGGTGGTGCAGCGCTACACCCTGGAAATGTACCAGACTGATGACAGTGATGCGACGCCGACGCGGGACCTGTTTACTGCGGGCGTGAAGTTGGATAGTAAAGGGATACGGGTCATTGTGCACGACAAGGATGAGAAGCTCTGAGACGTGTGCTGTATCACCAGGAGTCGACGAGATTGACGGGCAGGCTCCCTATATCCATAGCGGATGCCACCCAGAATGCCTCTCTTGTGGGGTCGGGGAGTCTGCTCGCTAAATCTGTCGACCCTTAGTATAGGTCATCGGAAGCTATGTGTTCTACACCCAACGATAGGTATCACCGGCGCGGGATGCCGCTTCTGTAGCGTTGACCAGATCAATGAGACCCTCAATGAGAAGATCGTCACAACTTCCTAACATCACGGTCAGGAACAGCACCAACATGCAGACCGGGAACTAACTCACGCAGCACCATTGTCTTCATACCCAGTCGCCCCCTCCACCACCCCCTCAGCCCCACCACCCTTGCCAAACATGATGCGAATGTCATCCACGAGCGTCTCAGGCTGCTCCCACGCCGCAAAGTGCCCGCCCTTGTCATACTCACGCTGATGCACCATCTTCCCCATCGTATTATACCACAGCCGTGGGAAAGCGCTCAACTCAACGGGGAAATGCGCAATGCCGAACGGCGGCTCCACGGGCCCGCGCTGCGCCGCGACCGTGCCTTCCATGTAGCGCGCCTCATAGTAGATGCGCACGCTGGCGGCGATGCCGCCGACGCTGAAGGCGTAGATGCTGACCCAGGTGAGGATCTCGTCGTCGCTCCAGGCGTGAGTTCTGTGGTCGGACCAGCAGTGCAGCACGTCGTAGATCCAGGAGAGGAGGCCGACGGGCGAGTCGGTGTGCGAGATGCTGATGAGGGCGGGCTTGCTCTCTTGGATGCGGTAGTAGCCCATTAGATTCTTGCCTGTGTGCGCCGTCAGTGCCATGTCGGCTTTCTCGCGGGCCGTGAGGGTGTGGGCTTCGACCTGGGCGTGGAGGTCGGGGTGGGATTCGGCCGTGGGCTTCTCCGGGATGGCGAGGTTGACGTGCCAGGCTTTGACGTGCTGAGGGTACGCACGGGCCATGACGTGAGTGGTGAAGTAACCTAGATCGCCGCCTTGGGTTACGAAGTTGGGGTAGCCGAGCTGGTGCATGAGTTTCTTGCAGGTTTCGGCGTGGTGGTTTACGTTGAAGCCGGGCTTGGTGCATTGGTCGGAGAAGCCGAAGTTGATCAAGGAGGGTGCGACGACATGGAAAGCTGGATGGTCCTTGCCGCCCTGGGTCAGGAGAGGGAGGATCTTGGTGACCTCGATGAAGCTGCCGGGCCAGCCATGCACGAAGAGGAGAGGTATGGCATTCTTTACGGGGCTGCGCTGGTGAATGAAGTGGACATTGAAGGTGCCGAAGTCATCAAGAGGGATCTTGGTGGTGAATTGAGGGAACGAATTGAGATGCCTTTCGGCTTCCCGCCAGTCGTAGCCATCAGCCCAGCGGGCTGCAAGCCGCTTGATGTCTTTCAAGGGCGGCCCCCGTGACCATGAGTCTGCATCGTCAGCCTCGGTGGGATAGTCGGTGAGTGCCAGCTTTTGCTTCAGACGGTCGATTTTGGCATCTGGAACTGAGATCTTGAAAGGGCTAGGGGCGTCCATGTTGACTCGGCTCGTTGATAGTATCGCCTGGTACGCTCACGCTCGGTGGCAGGCTCTTTTATAAGACGTGATCGGACCTGCCGATCAACTCACCTATTGCCGAGTGATGTGGTTGTTTCTATTCTAGGCCGAGGTATCGGACGGAGCATCATGTTTAGAGAGTATCACGGCATATGCCACTTTTGAAAGGCTGTGGGAGTGGCAAGGCACACTGTGTGGGGCCGTACTGGCGTCTGTCGTACCTAAGTCGCCGGGGTCGAGGTGATACAGTAGTTGGTAGGCAAACAGGGGTAGGGCTTGGCGAGGCTCGTAAGCCATTATGGCTATCTCCGCCTTACCTCCGACTGCGGCAATGACTGCGACTGCGACACAAGAATGTCTGTGCCACACACCCCGCTTCCATCCCAACCATACTCCTTATCAACACTTTGACGCGCAATTTCGGATCATGATCGATGCCGACCTTCGAGGTGAACGACACTGTCGTGCTCAAGAATGACTGTTCCCTCGTGGGGACTATCGAGCGTACTGCAGGCCTCTCGGATGGCTTTGAGAGCACATCGCTCGAAGATCTACTCATCGTGAATTACACAGACGTCCCCGAGCGCGTGTTAATTGACTTCGTGAACTCGGCTATACCTCCCCGGGAATATGTCTTCATCATATGTGTTGATGAAGAACGCGGTGCGTTCTTGACCCACGAGAACGATCTCGAGCTCCTCAGCCGATCCTTCGACCTCGGTGATGTTGTCAAGAAGAACGGCCAGTCCTCGTCCATGATCGGCACGGTCATAAACTATACCGACACGTATGCACTGGACCATGTGTTTCATGAAACAAGAGACGGTCGGTTGATTTCTTCGCTGGCGCCTGATGCTAAACAGCAGATCCCCTCTTGTGGTGACAACTGTGTAGCAAATCTGTCTCCCCACAACTACATCTTCAACGTCTCGGCCCAAGACATTACACATGCACAGGACGTCTTCGAAGGAGACTTGGCTCTGTACGATGACTGGCTAGGGGCCATAGAGGAGGCAGAATTCGATATTGTCCTACGCCTAACAAACGACTCTATTGTCATACTTAAATCTCCACAAGACCTCCATCTTCCCATAAAGGACCCCGAAAAGCCCCTCGTTTCTCTGCCTGAGTTTGACAACTTGAGACGCCCCAATGTCATCGATGCCTTCCAAGGCTGGTCGACCATTCCGGCCTTGAAGACGCCTGGACTCGGCTCTTTCGTTGCTACAAGCAGAGCCACACTTAAAGCTGGTCGATGGATCAGAGGCGAGTATATCGGCGCCACACCCCCTGAGGGAATCGTCATTGGTGTCATCCCACGAACAGTCGATGCGCGTTGGATTACACCAAGTCCCTTCACTCGGAAGCCAATTCGCGATCTCCAGCATCCTTCACATCGCCATACGGTATACAAAAACATCAACGCATACAGAAACCCTACCGAGCTGAAGCCTCGAGAAGGATTGAAGATATGCGACGGCACTTCCTATCCTTCCGCACGTTCGCAGACAGACAGTTCCGTGGCCCTTCTCAACAACGGGTCACAAGCACGGTCGACAGGTGCTTATCAAGACCTAAGACCAGGTGATCAGGTGAGGTTCCGCGATCCGACTGCAGCAAGCGTCAAGTACGCGGGCGTGCACGGAACTCGGCATGGTGCGTTCCGTAGGATCTCCTCATCACAACATTGTCCGGGTTGGGACCTGAATATCTTGAAAATCGTGTCCAAAACGCAAATGGTGGTAGTTCAGTGGCAAGATGGATCTGAAACGACTATTACAGCGAATGAGCTTCACAGATTCGCCGCTTTCGAATCAGCCCTTACGCCGGGTCAAGCGGTTCTCAACCGCGCCGGCCTGCAACAATCGCTGGTGGGACACGATGGAGTGGGAGCTTCGGCGCCGCAATTTATTCCCTTCAACGAGATGGCATTTTTCGAACGTCCGCATAATCTGCATCCCTCGAAAGTAGGCATAGTGCAAGCTGTCGACCATCAGGAGCGGGTGGCCAAGGTACGCTGGTTTGAGAAGCCCAAGGTTGTCCTCATCGAAGCTGGCGAGCTCCTCAGCCCTGAATCGTGGTTTGGACCGATCAGCTCTTCTATAGAGGAGGTATCGCTGTACGAGATCATGACCTTCCCAGCCTTCGATAAGCGATTACGCGATTTTGTCGTATTGCCACCAAACACAACCCTTGAAGAGCTGCGCAAGAATATCAAGAACAAGAAATTAGACGAAGCCTACGATCTCCCGATGGCAACAAACCCAGCGCTCGATTTCGACCGATTGATCACTCGTGCAAAGACGTGTATGCATGCAAAGCACATCGAAGAGACACAGCGTGCGATCAGTAGCGAAGGTGATAATGGTGATGGCACTTGGATAGGCGAGATTGTTGGAATTGGTTTGGATGGTACCTTGACCGTGAGAATGCGAGGTGGAAAGATCTGCCGCGATACCCAGCTGCCGCTGGACGTTGTACTCGCTTGCATCAACGTTGACGAGCTCGGCGTTCAAGACTACGATGCTGAAGAAGACTTGGAGGAATGGTGGGAAGATTATGTTGAGGGTCGAGATGATAGTCGGAGCCCGTCACCTATTTCTCAGTCGTTCGAGTACGAAGGTGGCGCTCGCTTGGACACTGATGAGGATGACGACGCCTGGACTTCTGCCGAAGAAGACATGAGCGGTAGTCAACTCAGCGACGGAACGACGGCCGGTGCCCAACATCTCGAGGCTGATGAGGATGGGTATATCGATGAGGACGTCGAAATGGCTGATGCTAGCACCCAAACTGCCGTGTCGCTGCCTAGTGCACCCACTGCTCCACCTCGTTCTGGCAGCTTCGCTACGCTCCGCCAACACCTCCCCTCGGAGCCACCTCTACCCTTTGAAGTCCTCGACATTCTTCCACCCGCAGACCAATACTCCGCCGACCTCCATCCCAGTACCTCCTCAACCTTTCTCAAACGAATCCGCAAAGAGCACAAGACCCTCGCCTCCTCGCTTCCCCCCGGGCAGATCTACGTCCGTACATATGACTCCCGTCTCGACCTGCTGCGCTGCCTTATCATCGGCCCACCCGACACGCCCTACGAAGACGCGCCTTTCCTCGTCGACCTCTACCTCGGCCCCAAATTCCCCGATGAGCCGCCCATAGCACACTTCCACAGCTGGACGTCCGGCCTGGGCCGCATCAACCCGAATCTCTACGAGGAAGGCAAGATCTGTCTCAGCCTGCTGGGCACATGGCCCGGAAAGGAGTCCGGCGAGGGCTGGAGCAAAGACGCCACCATCCTGCAGCTGCTGGTGAGTCTGCAGGGGTTGGTGATGGTGCGGAACCCCTTCTTCAACGAGGCGGGCTTCGAGGGCTACGAGCAGGAAGGCGGCTACCGGCTCGAGGCAGCCCAGTATGCGGAAAAGGCGTTCGTCATGGCCAGAGGGTTCGTGCGGCACGCCCTCGAGCGCCCGCCCAGGGGCGTAGAGGACGTGCTGGCGTGGCTGTTCTTGCCTGACGAGGCCAAGCAAGAGCAGATGGGGGCCATTGATCAGGCCGAGGAGAGCCAGGAAGAGCAGAGACGAGGCCTGCTGCTCAAGATTCTCCAGCGGGGGCGTCGGCTGATCGAGAGCAGCGAGGCGGTGAGGACGAGCGCCATGCAGGTCGACAACGACGGTCAGTCAGACCAGCAGCAGAGCCAGGAGGTGCAGCTCATGGATGCGGCGGGCTCGACGGGCGATGCCACGAAGGCGTTTTTGAGACCGCTCAGCAAGGGCGCGGTCGTGATGCTGCGGCGCATGCTGGCTGAGTTGGATGCTGCTGGGTCTGTGGCTGAGGGAGGGGCATAGCATAGATCGCCAAGGCGGAAAACGTGCTTTTTGGGTTGATTGATATAGATGAGAGACAAAGTGAACAATGATCACACGCGCATTTCCGTAATTAGGCTTGAGGGTGACTAGAGCTAATGTCCATCCGACGAGTGGTACAAGGTTGCTTGCTGCTGACTGTGGGTGCCATCACCATCATTAATCACCATCTCAATTTGACCACTCAATTCACGTCGCGTACACCCTGCCTCGAGTCCCACCCCATTGGAGCGAGGCTTCAGTGAGCACGCAACCCAGCTCATCGCTAGCTATCGGACTCCCGTCTCAAGGAAAGATATATCGAATTGAATGTTGGCGGTTCATTAGGTTTTCCTCAATTCTCTGGCCCGCCCCACCAGCTCCGTCTATGCGTCCCGCCTTGACCCCTATCCTAAACGCCGAAAATAGACGCAGAAGAATGAAAGACTTTGTCTATGCCAAGAAAAGATTCAAAGAAAATTGGTTTGGTCCTGTGGGAGGGTGTTTTTATAGGAGAGCGAACAAGGCCGCGACGGCGGCAGCACCGGAGAAGGCGGCGGGGACCAATTGGCTAGCAGCACCGGTGTATTTGGGAGCGCTGCTATTGCCGCTGGCGCTGCCAGGTTGTTGGCAGCCACCGGTGCAGGTCTCGACGGGCGGGGTGGGTGCGGGAGCGTTGGGGGCAGTGTTGTTGCTGGGCGCAGTGGCATCACCTTGACCCTCGTCGCAGCGGTGGCAGGTGCCGTTCACCCAGGTGGTGGTCGTGTTTGCAGGAGCCGTGTCCCCCTCGTAGTCGTTCCAGCTGGTTGAAGTAGCGGTCGGGACGGAAGTCGCCTCGACGGTGCCTGGCTCGGACGCGGTATCTGGCTCGGCAGCGGTGGCAGAGCTGCTAGGTACGGGAACGCCGGCGTTGGCGCAGAAGGTCTTGCCCCATTCCTCGGTGGCTGCGAAGAGATGTTAGTAAAGTCTTCTCGAGGCATCGAAGGAAAGCCAGGACGTACCCGTCACGTCAGCGTCGCCACATCTGGTAGCAATGCCGGCCTTGACGGCATCTTGGAAGGCAGTTCCTGTGCAGAGGCAGGCGGTGTCGGTGGCCTGGCAATTGGTGGAGCCAATGGCGAGGAGAGCGGCACTTTGCTAGAGAGAGGATGTCAGTGTGGTTGTCGGCTTCGATAGATCTCGGCAGCTTACAGCACAGGGGCTTAGGCCCTCTAAGCCGCTGCTCTGGGGGGCTGCAATAGCGGCCGAGATGACAGCAAGCAGGGGTAGATATGACCGATACATATTTCTGGACTTATGCGATGATCCTGTGACTGCTGTATAGACTCAAACGATCGTGGGGAGAGGTAGGAGCAGTATAAACAAGAAGGATTAGAGTTCAAAGTTGACACGACTATAATGGCTGTGGTTTTAATAGGAGATATAACAAAGCCTTGCCAGTGTTTTGCTGGAGTAGGTATAGCAACAACCAGATCTGGATACTGGAATGCGTAGCTCTGTGCGGTTGCAATCAAAGGAAAGAATCCAGTGAGCGTGAACGGGGCCTCGGATGGATCGAGCGCTTTGTTTGCGAACGGGCCTCCTCTTCCGACAGCAGGTATCGCATCGTCACTTACCAGATTTGTTGCTCCTCATAGCCGTTAACAGCTTCTGCAGAGTCCCATGGTTGTTCAGCGCATGTCGATCGTTGACTCGTATATCCTTTGCGAACGGTAGCCAAACACAGGACCTGAAGGCGGAAAGGGCTTGAGGTTGCCGTGGTTCACAGCCGCGTACATAGGGTCCAAGCTCTGCCGCCATTGGGCAAGTCTTTGTTGTGCTAGCAACATCAGGCAAAGCCTTGAGATGTCGAGTCTCGATCATAGGACAGCGTCGAGGCTCCTGTTGGAAGGGAGAGAACAGACGTTTGAAGAGAGTGTACGGAATGGTCAAGGCGGCGAGGCTGACGAGGCTTGGCGCCGGCCCTCATTCATCGCCGTCAAGCTTGCTTTCAACGCCTTCTCATTCATGATGAGGACACGTCGAATCCCCAGCCATCGCTTAAGTTGATGAGGCAACGGGTAATTGTCCGCGTTGGACTTTCTTGATTTCAGTCTAGAACGTCTGCGACGCTGCGGGCAACCCCGCATCCAAGTTGCACCTGCATATCAACAGGGTTGCAGCTTCCCAATGCTACTGATCCAGGTACCTCACTTTTGGGAGCTACATAGTGACTTCAATCGACCGTCAAAGTCACACTCCGGTAGGTCAACGAGTTGCTGAACGTTCCGTCGAAGGCGTGAGTATCATTATCGTGTACTTATTCTTATCTCAACCTCTTGCCAGCTAGCACCGATCATGACCTCCGCCTGGCTATTGATAGTCTTGCTTGGCGAACTGACATTGACCACTGCACAGTCGATATTGACAACAGCTGGCGACACTGCAGTAATACCGGGATGGTACCTGCACTCAACAGCGGGTCTTCCGAGCGATCTCAGCAGTTTATCTCGACCTGACGCGAACGTTTCCTCATGGTATCGTGTATCATACCGTGGTTCAGTCTTTGCAGGTCTAGTTGAGAATGCCGTCTACAATGACACGGACCTCTTCTTCTCCGACCACCTCGAGACACTGGTCGACTATTCAGACTTTCAAGTCCCGTGGGTATACCGAGAAGAGTTCGATCTGACCCTGCAGTCTGGCCAGCACTACTTCCTGGTGACCAACGGAATCACTTCAAGAGCCGATATTCACCTCAATGGAGAGCTTGTCGCTTCGAACGAGACCCAGGTAGGTGCGTACGGGGGTCAAACATATGATATCACCCACCTTCTCGCAGATGGTCCAAACTGTCTCCTCATCACTGCTTACCCTACCAACTACCTTCGAGATTTTGCCATGGGTTTTGTTGACTGGAACCGTATGTGTCCCCGTCTGTCCTACCGAGTCTCTCCATGTATTACTTATCTGTACTTATCTGACTCACTTCATCAGCTTATCCACCGGACAATGGCACCGGCGTATGGAGGGAAGTAAACCTCCACCAAACCGGACCGATTGCTATCTCTGTCCCTAGAATCAAGACCGACTTTGAGTATGCGTGGAGGCAGTCTGTGACGACTGTCGTTAGTGCAGATGTCCTGAACAACGCGAATCAGTCCACCAGCACAGAAATCAGCGTCGTCATCGGTTCAGAAGATGGTACCCGGTACAATGCCTCTCAAATCGTCTCACTCGAAGCAGGCGAGGAGAAGACAGTATCTTTGGTTATTGTGATCGAGAGACCACAAGTCTGGTGGCCTGCACAATGGGGTGCTCAACCACTTTACACGGTCAATGCAATTGCCTCTGTTGATGGCATCGTGTCCGACATTGCTGAGTCTCGCTCTTTCGGCATACGTCACGTCTCGAGTCACGTCAATTCATGGAATGACATTGTCTTTCTAGTCAATGGTCAGCCGTTCCTCGTACAGGGTGCGGGATACTCTGCCGATATCTTCTATCGATTCGATTTGGAGCGGGCGCGTCGCCAGCTTCAGCTGGTCTTGGATATGGGTCTCAACACTATCCGTCTGGAGGGAAAGCAGGAACATCCTGAGCTCTATCAGTTGGCCGATGAAATGGGGATCATGGTCATGGCGGGCTGGGAATGCTGTGACAAGTGGGAAGGTTGGGCTTACAACGACGAAGCCGATGGAGGGAAATGGACGAACGTCGACTACACAACTGCAAATGTATCCATGCTCCATGAGGCCGCGATGATGCAGACCCACCCCAGTCTGTTGGCATTCCTAGTAGGATCTGACTTCTGGCCTGACAATCGAGCCACCCAGATATATGTCAATGGTCTTGACAGGTACGACTGGCCCAACCCAATTGTTGCCAGTGCTGCAAAGCGCGGCTACCCAGAACTACTCGGGCCGTCGGGAATGAAAATGGAGGGCCCCTATGATTTTGTACCGCCGATATACTGGTACGGCGATGAACTCGGCGCTGCCTTTGGCTTCGGAAGTGAGCTTGGGGCAGGCGTCGGAACGCCAGAGATGGAATCATTGCGCAAATTCCTGTCCCAAGACGATCTTGATGATCTTTGGCAAGAGCCTGACAAGGGATTATATCACATGTCGACCAATGTGTCGAGTTTCTACGATCGATCGATCTACAATGAAGCTCTCTTCAAGCGCTATGGCGACCCCACCAGTCTCGAAGACTACTTGGTGAAAGCTCAAATCATGGACTACGAAGCAACACGATCTCAATTCGAGGGCTTCGCCGCACGAAAGTCGGACATGCGCCCGGCCACAGGTCTGATATATTGGATGCTCAATGGAGCTTGGCCCAATCTGCATTGGCAACTGTTCGATTACTACCTGGCCGCTGCTGGCTCCTATTACGGCACGAAAGTTGGAAGTCGGCTCGAGCACGCGGTCTATAATTACGATCAACAGAGTCTGTATGTGGTCAGCCATGCTCTGAACTCAAGTGGCACACGCAATCTGACTATCGACCTTATTGACCTCAATGGGACGAGCTTGAGTCATCAGGAGAGCGGGATGGAGGCATTCCCAAACTCGGCTCAATATTTGGATGATGTGCAGGGAATCGACAACATTACCGACGTGGGCTTTCTGCGACTGCTCCTCAAGGATGGCAACGGAACAGTGCTGAGCCGCAATGTCTACTGGCTGACTGCCCAGAACGATGTGCTCAATTGGACCAACAGCAGCTGGTACTCCACGCCAGTGACCGAGTTCGCGGACATGACTGCATTGTTCGGTATGGAAAACACATCGTTGAGTGTGTCAGTGTCAGGGGGATCTCAGCAAGCCAACATGTCCACCACCCGCGTCGAGATAGAGAACCAGTCTGGGATCCCGGCCTTTTTTATTCGACTGACATTGGTCGATGCAGTGGGCAACGAAGTGCTGCCGGCATTCTGGACGGACAACTACATCACTCTGTTCCCTAAAGAGACTTTGACCGTGCACGCTAGTTGGGAGAGTGACATGCAGGCGGAGAATATCCTAATCTCTGGTGTCAATGTCGTGCAGCAGAATATTGCTGTGGCGTGAGTAGTCGAAGTCTAATAGTGGTAGATAGCGTTAGCTGCAAGTATTGAACAAGGTACGAAATAATGTCAGTATTCATACAGCAACGGATGAGAGTCGGTTGCATACATATCAGCCATTGCTGTGACCGGTAAAAGAATGTGCAATCGACAGTGATGAATGTTGAAGTCGAAGGGGTGGCAGCCTCGGCTCATTCGGCTAAACAAATAAGCATTATCTTATCTTATCACATCATCTACATCATCACTCTTCAACTTCAGATGAGCAGCCTGCGCACTACGATTATTGACACGTTGGCTGCTTGCAGCAGCTTGCGGCGATGGAAGACAGCATACTGCCTTCCGAGCTGCTCCGAGCAATCCGAGAGTCCCTCAAAGCCACTGTCTTCACCACCGACGACGACCGTACCTTCGATCCCCGATCTCCCGCGCTCCGAAAGCTCGTGGAAGCTGTCCTGTTCAGCAGGAAATTCGTAGTAACATACTATGCCGTCCTTGCGGCTTCTCTACTGGCTGTCGGGCTTTTGAGATGGACCAAAAGACTCCTGCCGTCACGGAGGGCGTCGCAGTCGCAGAGTCATACCCCCGCATCCTTCGAATCCTCGAGCAGTACTTTACGAGGCGACGCCAGCTCAGATGATGTGGAAGACTTTGAGCGTCGGCCTCTACTTGGTAAATACGAGGATACGCACGTCAGGCGCCGAACATTGTTCTTAAGACTTGTCAGCTGGGCCAATGCAGCTAGGATCTATCAGCCACGTCCGATTCCTGCTGTAACGGCACCAGCCAATGTATTGCCAGCCAACGGCACATCAGCAGCAATCGGGCTGTTCATCGGTGTCAACATCTTCTACCTATTGTTCCACACGGCACTCAGTGTACCAATGCTCTTTGCTTTCGCCGATCGCGCTGGTCTATGCTTTGTCATGAACTTGCCCGTTTTGTATCTTCTTGGGGCAAAGTCGAATCAGCCGGTCCAGTTCCTGACTGGATGGACTTACGAAGGGCTGAACATCTTTCATCGACGCCTTGGAGAGTGGATGATCGCACTGGCCGCAATGCACTCATTCGGTATGCTCGGCGTCTGGTATACCTTGCTCCGGCCGTTGCATTTTCCATTGTCGCGCTTCATCACCGGCAGGGTCGGGCTCCTGGGTATGTTCACATTTGTGTCATATCTCGCCATATATATCAGCAGCATAGGGTGGATCAGGCGTCTTTTCTACGAGCGCTTTCTGGTTCTTCACATTGTTTTGCAGGTAACTGCACTTATATTCCTCTTCTTCCACCACCGCAACAGCAGACCGTACGTGCTGGCGAGCTTTGGCATCTGGGCTCTTGACCGGATTGTTGTTCGCACATGCCTATCAAGTCAGAAATCCATTGCTACACTCGAAGTAGCTGCCGATCAGGAGACGGTTCTGCTATACTGCGACATCCCGATCCGGGCTCGCCGATGGTTGAGCAAGGTCACTATCCGCGAGGGGTGGCTGCCATCACAGCATGTGTTTGTTACAGTGCCCGGTATGGGCTATGCTAAGCACAGGCTACAAGCACATCCTTTCACCATTGCCTCACCGGCACCGCCAGTATCTCACACTGGGCCCTGGACACTCCAGCTAACAATCCGCGCTCAAGATGGCTTCTCCCGAGAGCTCCTCGAGTACGCCAAATTCCATCAACACACCGAAGTCCTTCTTGATGGGCCGTACGGGTCAACTGAAACCCTTGATGCCACAAAGAAGGCGGACAGGGTCTGTCTGGTCGCAGGAGGCAGTGGCATTGCCGTCACCTACCCCCTGGCATGGAGCTTGCACGTCGAATCCTGGGCTGACTCTCTGCTGAACCGGCGAACGATCTATGCTAACGGGCAACTCGTCAAGTCTTCGATCACTAGCTTCAGACCACTGAACTCGAAGCATTCGCATATCTGGGTCAGACAGGATGCCGGTAGTGACGAATGGCTTACGACCTTCCCTCGCTACGACACTATCAGAGGGCAAAGCAGGATGCCAATGACCTCAGCACGCAATGTCGAGGCAGACGGTAAGGTTGCGGCGGATCTGGTCGACGCCAAGTTCGAGACCGGCGGGGTTCATGGGCATCGTCCAGACCTGCGATCCGAACTACGTGCGTGGGTGGAGGACGTCTCTCCTACCCTGTTACAGACCGACACCCCAACGACGAAACGTGAGAAGCTCGTCGTCGTCTGCAGCGGGCCGGAAAGCTTGGTTCGAGACGTTCGCAACAGTGTGGCTTCGCTTGTACATTGGGGCTGGAATATAGACGTGCACGTGGAGAAATTCGGATGGTAGCTTGTTAGCAGAACGAAGGTGCGAGCCTAGACATATGATAACATGCCATCACTTCCCACCCGGACTTGCCGGGTCGCCAGACCATCATCTATCGACGCCGCAACTCCTACGTGACCGTCTTAGGCTTATATTGACCTGACTGGCTTCCCTAGCAAGTCATCAGGCGTCATCAGCGACGGCCTGGAACACCATAACCTGTCGCTTGATAAGCACCACTATCGAATCTGCTGCCGCTAGCTACTATGTCTGTAGAGAATGGAAGTGCATGGCAATACTGTGTCGGTCTAAGACCGGGAGCAGCTTGAAACAAGGCTGCGCGCGTCTGGGCCAATTAGAGCCGCGCATTCGCTCCTCAACCTCAAGTCCTTCAGCCGCCGCAATTTCCGTACACGCCACGCGCGAACTCCTCTCAGCGACTCGAAGCGATCGGATAATGCTCGTCTAAGCTTTGAGGCTCTGTGAGACATCGGCACCGCCCGAATAGTGGGTTCATCGCTATATCGAGCCCAAGAGTACCACGGGCATACGCGCTTGAGCTAGACATCTAGCTCACCACCACGACGCGGTCGGCGCCTTGACGCTGCCGCTGGCGCTTTGTTACGAGACTCATGGTCCGGGAATCATTGCCGATGCGGCTCTTGCTCCATGTCTTCATCTATCCACATCGACCGGGCTACCATGTGAGGATAGTTTGGCCGAAACGTTTCATACTGCCCGACACTCACAGATTCCTTGGTTGAGAGCAGTCGCCCGAAACACTCCCTACTTTCTTGCTCTTTGCGCGCGCCTTGGGAACGCTTGGTTCTACTCCTCGACAGTCAGACAAAGCCGCACACGTGTAAGTGGCAGGCGATAATGGTTGCCAGAGTATCTTAAGACAAAGATATACAAAGCCGCGATGTCTGCCTCTGTCTGTCAGGTTTCGTCGTCCAGCCTCTTGCCCTCGCGCATACTTGCTTCTATTTCATTTGCTGTCTTTCGTTATCCACGTTCGTTCATCACAAGCATTGAGTCTGTCGTTTATATCTCAACCACCCCTATCGTTTAAAAAGTTAGCATCACTGCTGGTCAGCCATCATGGTCGCATTGAGTGCTGGCCTACTGGCCTCCGTCTTGCTCCTACAGCCGGCGGCTGCCACATTCAACTGGGGCGCTGCAAAGTCTTTCCCCAATCCTGCCAACAGCAACAATGTCTGCACAGATCAGCAAAAGGGAGGCTTTGACTGGAAGGATCTACCTTCTGGCAACTTCAATAAATTTGGTTCCTTTGACTTTTCTGGGTTCAACTGCCAGGATTCCTTCACTGGTCGCAAGGGGAGACGCGCCCTGGAGGCTCGTGCTGGATTTCAAGTATGTCTAACTCCGAACACTAACCAGTTCCCCATGCTAAGGTGCAGCAGCAAAAAGTGATTGAAGGTACCTGTACCAAGGACAGGTCTACATCTCCCAAGATTTCTTGTCCAACCGACAAAAACTTCTCTATCAAAACCATGGACGTCACGGTCGAGTTTGACACCGATATTGACATGGTCTTTGATATGCCTGATGGATCAACCTGCAAGCAGACGCAGAAATGCTCCGCGGGCGGTTCTACAATCTCCAACAAGCAATGCGGCGGTGCGAAGACGGTGACATTCCAGACCCCCCAGAACGGTCGAGACTGCAAGATTGGTATTCACAAGATCGACTTTGACTGCGAGGGCTCTGCTCCTCCTCCTCCTCCTCCGCCACCACCTCCCCCTGAGTCCTCTACGACCACACAGGTCAGCACGATTGTAAGTACCAGTTTCTCCTCCACCATCTCGACCCAAAGCTCCAAGACGAGCACCACGATGACATCCACAACAACCCATGCGTCTTCGAGCTGCACAAGCTGCTCCCAGAGCACAAGCACATCGTCCGTGCATACGACTACCATGCCCACTACCGTTCCTGATACATCGAAGACATTCACTACATTGCCACCGTATACTAATTCCACATCGCAGAGCACAGTTTCAACTACCTCAACTACCGAGGTACCGAAAACCCTGACCTCGACGACGGAGCTGCCCAAGACTCTTACCTCGACTACCTCTGCGCCGGCTACCATTACGACCACCTCTGAACAAGTCACCACGGAGCTCACATTTGTGACTCTCACTACCTGTGATGTGACTTTGACGCAGACGACTGGCAACATAACGCTTACGCAGACAACACAGACCCTGTCCACCACGACCCTGACATCTACGGTCACATTCTGCCCCAAATGCGGTGAGACACCGCCCACAAAGCCTGGACTGCCTCCAACACCTCCATCGTCGACTGGTGAGCTTAGCCCGCCTCCACCTCCGTCTTCAACCACCCAAGTGTCTCCCCCTCCACCACCGCCACCAGCCAGTTCCACCACGATACCGACTTCTTCAGCACCTTCTACCCTTGCAACATCCGCTGTACCTTCAACAACTAGCGCCGCGCCCCCTCCGCCGCCTCCTCCCCCACCACCCGCAGACACACCCCAGTCCCCCTGCCCCGAAACCCTCCCACGCTGCATGAACACCTGGCTGTCGCTCGCCAAATGCACTTCCAACAGCGACGCCGCCTGCATGTGCCCCAACGCCGACTTCACCAAGAGCGTCATCTCCTGCGTGACAGCCTGGTCCAAGTCCGACGCCGAAATCACCGCGGCCCTGAGCTACTTCGCCGGCATCTGCGCCCCTTTCGTGCCCCAAAACCCGGGAATCTGCACCGACGTCCCCACCTCCATCACCCTAATCCCCACCGTCACGCCCATCGGCCCCCCGCCCACCTCACCACCAGTCGCCACTACCACGGCTGTAGTAGTGCCACCCGGTGGTGGCGTCAAGCCCGAAGGCCCCCAAGGCGGCGGCGGCGACGGCGGCGGAAACAAGCCCGCCTCCTCGGTCCCTTGCACGACCATCACGCTCGTCAACACCATCACCGCCACTTCCGCTGGTGGCACCGTGCAGACCACGACCGTCTTCGTAACCGTCCCACAAGTCACGTTCGTCACCACGCCGCCAGCTGCTCAAGCCTGGGCTGCGTCACCAGCTGGTGGTGGTGGTGGTGGTGCCTCCTCCGCGCCGTCTGATTCGCCGTCTTCGCCACCGCCGCCGCCCAATGTCGGCCTCGTGCCCATGCCCCAGCCTGTACAGGCTGGTCCTACCACTGCCGCCGTAGCCGCACCCACTGCTGCTGCAGCTCAGCCCAGTGATAGTGGCAGTGGCAATGGCAGTGGTCCGGTGGCTAGTGTCACGTCCGGGGCGCAGAATCCGCAGGTCTCGACTTTCACGGGCGGCGCGGCGGCGGCGAAGTATGAGGGTGGTGCCAATGTTGTGATGATGGGTTTGGCGGGGTCGTTGGCCGTTGTGGCTTTTGCTTTGTAAGGGGGATGGATGGGGGGTTGTGTTTATGCAGCAAGTCAAGCTTGTGTCAGGGCATGGGGCGATAGAGCATGTAATTGATGGGCAGAAGTGCTTTTTGCGGGGATTGGGTTCTGCCGGTGAGGTTGGTGTTGTGAGAGTTTGGGACAGAGCTGAGAGCAGAGCAGATCAGAACATATACCACCGTACAGACAAGATTACAAGGACATACAGAGACACGCCTCTATGGTGGGGAATAAAGCTTTACATGTATACTACGTACACACACACACACACACACACACACACACACACACACACACACACACACACACACACACACACACACACACACACACCCATATGCTTGTTTCTTAGTTCATTCAAAAAGCACAAAGTGTTGACTCCCACACTGCCAGCCAGCTTCGTTGGTTCGTTTGGAATTCAGGCTCTCAACGAAATGGTTTCGCTTTGAATGCCGGTGCTGGCGCAGCCTGCAGGAGCAGGGGTCCGATAGAGTTCGGACCTTGGTGCTCCAAGTCTAGGAAGACGGGCTTGAGAAGGGGGAAAAGGGGGGGAAGGGGACTTTGTTTGCTGTGCATCTTTGGGGAAAGAGGGAAAAGAGAGGAAAGCACAGAGGAAACAGGTCACGTCTTGGGCAAAATCTCGATCACGTCAACATCATCGCTTCTTCTGCGGCTTCCATATTTCATTTCATCACTAGTCCATCAGACATATAGCCGTTTGTTTTTTCCATCTCAAACTAATTAAAGCAATACTCATCGTAGCACGCCCCACACCCATCCGGCAAAGACCCACCACTCTTCTTCATGATTCCACAGGCCAGACAGAGCGGCCAGTTATCCTTGCCGCCATAATTCGCGGTCATGACGCCGTTGGAGATCATGCCCTCGGTTTCGTTACGATAATACTGGATCTTGGCTGTCGGCTCGCCGCTGGGGAAGGTGTAGTTGACGTTGGGGATGAAGACGATGGTGGCGGTGTCCGGGCTGTCGCAGCCGAAAAAGGTGGGTTTCTGGTTTAGGCCTTCGGAGACGAAGGTGTCAACGGAGGGGATGACTGGCATGCGCGTCAGGCCGGCTGCGACGGCGGCGTTGTACGTGTTAAGGATTTCGCTTCCGTTGGGGAAGTTGGTGGGCGTGTCGGCTGAGTTGTCGTTGACGATGATGACGTCGATGTCGCGGTGCAGGAAGGGCCAGATCGGATTGCCTTGGTAGTTGACGCCGACGCCGCCATCAACGAGTTCGAGCGTTGTTTGCGCCGAGACTTCTGGGGAGACGGAGTAGCCCTGGAACGGGTTCGGGAAGAGGCCGAAGATCTCGCGCTCTGGGACGCCGGGTTGTCCAGGAAGGGCGACGAGGCCGGCGAGATTTTCGGCCAAGGCGGTTGCAGAGGCTTCGCCGGTCTTGTTGGCTGGGACGGCGCTGCAGGCGGCGGCAAAGACGTTGGAAGACGTGCCGAGGACGTAGCCTAGCTGGTCATAGTGGGTGATACATTCGCCAGTGGGATGACCGTCTGAAAAGGATGTTCCTAGATACTCGGAGACAACGAAGGCGTCTACGCCGACATCCCACGAGCCAAACTCGTAAGGATGGAATTCGTACTGTGTTGCGTTTCGGGCAGGAATACATTCCCCGGCCTCGACGCCAAGAGCGGTAATGACGGGATAGGGGGCGTTATGTGCTGTGAAGTTTGAGGAATCCGCTATACTGGACATGGTGTCTTCGACTCCACCGTCTGGGCCGAGCAGAAGGCCATAGGAGAGCAGGCGGCCCCAAGGATCAATGATGGATGGTTCGAAGCCGGCTGCGCGCTTGGCATCGACATCGGCGTCCACGGCGGTGTAGATGGGATTCGCCTGAGGTGAGACCAAGATCTGAGGTACCAAGAGACTGAGCTCCAGTGCCGGCTCCCATAGGCTGGTCTGCAGCTCGCTGATGGTTGGATAGTCGTTGCCAGCAAGCGATGATAGCAGCCAGGATCCGCCAGAGAGACCTGCTTCGTACGTAAGAGCTTGGTAGAGCCCACTAACGCCAGTCGTGACTTCCTCGCGGCCGTCCAAACCCTTGATGAGTCCACCACCAGCAAGCATAGCACGGTAGCCACCACCACTTGATGTCAGTGCTATGACAGGCGCCTTCCCCTGGCCTTTCCCATGTCCCTGCCAGTCACCCCAGCCACCGTGACCAGATGCGAAACCGTCGTCAACGGATTCGAGCCATGACTGCAGAGCCTCAGAGGCTTTGAGGTATCTCTCGGCGATGTACTTCGACTCGGCGTCCGAAATGCCCGTGGCTTGGCGCACAAGCGGTGTCGACGGGCACGTCACCGGTCTAGGTGCATAGCGAGAGGCAGCTTGTCGCGAGATAGGCGATGCTGTAGTGACGACTGCCCAAGACACCCAGGCCGTGATGATGGCGAGCAGCACCATGTTCAAGGGATGGTGACAGATTTAGGATACCGGCCCTCTCAAGCTCGAGCTCGCAACAAGCAACGGACGACCATGACTATGTACTCGGTAGCCACACCGACATACGCCAGGGCCGCGGCACATGATGTCAACGGCGGGTTGAACCACGTAGCATTGCCGCTTGCGTTAAAAGGTACTTACTTGATGAGGCAGGTTGGTGGCGTAGCTGAGCCTTTACCAGCTACACCATCACAAGGTTACACGTGGACCGCTGTAGATTCACTTGGGCATGCGGGGTACCGGGTAGAAGAATGCTAGAGCTCTTAAGGTGTAGTCGTACGCATGCTAGCGCCCGAGACATCTTTACCGATGATCATGGACGACGGCAGGACAATTGCACCGTGCCGAGGGAGCTCTAGCTGCCAGTAATGAATCACTGTGTCTCGATCTCACCACCCTGAAGAGCTGACCCAGGCTGTTGCAGCGCTAGGGAAACAAGTTCGTAGCACCAGTCATGGAATATTCTCTGGAAGCTTTTCAGCTACAGGTACGGATCATCGCCATGACCGCTTGAAGGCAACCCGACGTTGCGAGTCTTCCGGGCGGGTCTGCGCCATGACTGACTTGGTTAAGCGTTGGGCGACGCGTGCAGTTTTGGATCCGCCCAGCCGCTGGGAGCCGAGGCTTGGGGGGCTCGCGTATCTTGGGACTGCAGCCCGAATATGAGGCGTGCCATCGACGGTGAAGTGGACGTCAATGCGCCCCAACCATAACCATCATCAGCTATCTAATAACGTCCCTCCAGCTTCGCCTTGCGCACCAACTCCAGCTCCCTCGCCGCAATCCACACGCGCATGGCCTTCCACCCCCTCAACTTCCGCCCCTGCTCCTCCCACCACTCCTGCACCCCCTCCACATCCAACCCCACCATGCCCGCCACCATCTCCGCCTCCCTCTGATTCAAGCCTTGCCCCTGCACCCCCATCTTCTCGTAACACTCCCTCAGCCACGCCCGCCGCTCCTGCGACAGGCCCATCGCATTCGTGTGCTCCGTGTCGAACAGCTGACCCACCAACTCGGCGAAGCGCTCGCTCACCCCCAGCCGCAGCAGTGCGTAGCCGTGAACCGTCTTGTGCGGTGTCGGATGCAGCGTGATGTATTTGGCCTCGTGGTGGTGTAGTCGCGCGTTCGCCTGCAGGTTGTACACGTTCAGGATGCGTGAGACGGTGGGGAGCAGCGTGGGTGGGAGGTCGAGGTGGTTGGGCATGCTGAGCGTGATGTCTACCGGCGCAAACTCCCATTCGCGGATCAAGGGGGTCGTGGGCTCGTCGTTCGTGGTGGTGCGGCGCCCGTCCAGCGGTGAGTCGGTGATGTCGGCGTCCGGGATGGTGTTGATATGGCCAGGCATCTCGTTTGCCACGGTGGTGTGCTTGGCCGTCTTGATGGCGCGGGCCGCGGCGAGGATGCGTAGCTGAATCATCTTTTGGGCGGCGGCGGCGGATGCGGCGGCCGCTTCATCCGTCGACCAGATCTGGAGGGTATCGGTATTGCGCTCGGAGCCAAGGAAGGCCGCGATCGACTGCGAGAGGCGGGCTTCGCTACCGTGCTTAGCATAAGCGTCGAAGATGCCGCGAGTTTGTGTGCCAAGCTCTAGCTGCGTGGATTTGGGTTGCAGGTTGAGCTCGCGCTGAGCATCTAGGTGGAGGTTCTGCAGACGGGCTTGTAGGTGCGCAATGTGCTGCAAGCGATCGGTGTAGGTCTGCGGAGTTTCGTGGATGGAGGGTGCGGTGAGAGATGTGCGGCGCGATGAGGATGGGTTGCTGACCAGGTCCACCTCCATCACATCAGCGCCAGACGAGGTCGCCGTGCTGTCAGAAGGGATGCGGTTCGACGCCATGACAGCTACGTTGGACGAGCGCTGATTGGCAACAGAAACTTGCGCCAGTATGGTGGCCAGTAAGACTAAGGTGTAGTAGAACAGGAGGAACTTCAAAGAATCATCAAGAAAGACTTGTATGGTGGCTGGGAGACCAAGTGAATAGCCAGCAAACAGACTGCGACTTCACATTTCATAATGTTATTCTCGACATTGTTGCCTGGCCAATTCACCTCCACTGAAAGACCACCTGGGAGCTGCCTCGAGCCACTGTCATCGCCCACGACATCAACCGCAAGCTTCCTTTGCTTCATCTGCCTTCCTCGGCCTGCTGTTTTTCGGCTCTCTTTCGAGCATTCTCCTTGCGGCGCATCTCCTTCTTGAACCATTCGCTTTCCGGCCCCTTGGCTTTCTTCCCACCCCGCTGCGTGTTTCGCTCCGAGTACAGCGGCGCCATCGTTCCACCGCCACTAGCATCAGCCAAAAGACCGGTTTGGCGTTTGACTTTCTTCTTGCCTGGATTGGCTGCATTCAACCCACCCCACAGATTGTCATCTCGGACCTTCTCGATCTCGGCGGCGGTCTCGGACTCCAGTGCCACTTGCGAGAGCAACTCCATTCGTTCACTCTTGGTCTTGTAACGTAGCCCAGGCATTTTATCCATGCCGGCCAAGTGAGTGATGGTCTTGAAGGCGTAGCCCTGGTCGACTAGAAAAGCCTGTCGCTTGGCACTATAGTGCATTTCGTTGGTGTCTTTACTCACCAAGCTATAGAAGAATGCGTTGAAACCTTCGTCGTTGCGTCTCTTTGCTCGCAAAATACGACCAAGCCGCTGTGCCTCCTGTCTTCGGGAGCCGTAGTGCGAAGAGATCTGGATCAAGCAGGTGGCTTCTGGCAGATCCAGCGAAGTGTCGCCAACCTTGGAGAGGAAGAGAGTACGAACGCTATCTTCGTTCTGAAATTTGTTCAGGACATCGATGCGTTCGGATTCGCTGGTGTCGCCATGAATGAAGAACTTCTTCATGCTGACAGCATAGTGGCGTAATGCAAAGATGTTGTCGCTGAAGACGATGATTTTGTCCCCTCTCCGCTCGTGGTAATCGATCAGATACTGGCAGACCTGATACTTGATCGGGTTCATCATGTAGTACAGCGCTCGTTTGCGGTTGCTCTCCCTCTGATATTCAAGGTAGAACTCCATGGACATCGGGCACCAGACCTCGGCGCACTGCACCTTTGCAATATGGCCTTGATCTGCGAGTTCCATCCAATTGGCTTCATAGAGCTTGGGTCCGATGAGGAAGTTGAGATCCCCGATTTTATCGTCCTCTCTCAAGAGTGTAGCTGTGAGTCCAAGCTTACAGTGCGCACTGATGTTGCCGACCTTCCGGAACATCTTAGCTGGAACAACGTGCACCTCGTCAAGAATCATCAGACCCCATTCCCGGCTCTCAATCCACTCCATCACCTGATTGGTATCATACGCTCGTTTACTGGAGCTGGTGAGGATGCTGTACGTGGTGACTAGTACGCCGGATTCCCGCGGGAAGGTAGCTTTCGAATCAGCAGTAAAAATGGCGATGTCTTGTTGCTCGATCTCGGCCCATTTGCGGAATTCGTTGGCCCACTGGTGGGTTGACATGGCACTGGTGCAGAGAACAATAACGCTCTTCTTGATGTGACATGCTGCGGTGATGCCAACGAGTGTCTTTCCCGCACCGCATGGTAGCACGATAATTCCACTTTTGCCACGACCATTGCCAAACATCTTGCTCAAAGCCTTCTCCTGATATGGGCGAATCGAGGTACTGGCTTTCAGATCGATAGGTAGATTGGCATTAACGGTATCTCCCTCAAAATCGTACTCGCTGACGGCTGGGTAACCGATATCAAGACACTGCTTTGCAACCGTATCACGTTGACCATCCTTGATCTCAAAATGATTCACAATCTCTTGGGTTTCTTCTTCTTCGCCCTCCTCATCCAGCAAGTCAGCAATGACAGACTGTTGCTGCGGTCGAGACTCCCAGTGGTTTGGTTCATTCTGATTCTGTGCTTGTCGCATAGCCGTGGCTTCCTTGGTACCTTGAATCACAGCAGCTCGTTTCTGCAGGGTCCCAGACTCGATCTGACCTTGGCTACATGGTCCGATGACTGGGTCCTTCAACAGGAACTCGATAAGATCTCGATCTTCCGACTCAACAAAGAAGCGATTATCTCGAAGCACCATGCGGATCTTGCCGTAGGTTTTGGTGTGCCTATTGATGAATTCTATGACGGTTTCGGGCACAGGAGATTTGGAAAACTTCTCAAGGGCGCCAATGATATCTGGACCTTTGAGACCTACTGAAAGCGCGGCGTACAGACTATGCTCGGTGAAACGGTATTCGTGCATGTACGAGGGTCGCGATTGCGGCTCAGCAATGGTTGTGAGCAGATCAGTGGCTTGAGCGGCTAGAGGAGAGAAGCTCTCGAGAGTCAGCTTTGGACCTTTTCGTGACCCAACGGAGACCGAAGGGTCTATCCATATGGGCCGGTTTGCGTGATCCGCTTTCAGTTTTTGCCATGAAAAGTCTTTGGAACCAAAGGCGGCAGATGATCTGTGCTTCTGTTTCGGTGTAATGGCAGCGAAGTCTAGTTTCGCTCTGGCCTTCTGAATGTGCTCGCGCTCGCTGTCATCAGCATCTGACGGAGCATCATCGGAGCCAGCGTAGTCATCATCGCTCTCGAGACTGCGGGGCGTAGAGGGAGCGGTACTCGATCGCTTGGATGCTCGCTCTGCACGTCCGACATCATCGATCGCCTTTCGCTTGAGGGCTGCCATGGTGACCCAGAGACTGAGCACGCACAGTCAAGATGATGGTAAGCTCACCGCATTGATGAAGAGTGGAGGTTTCAAACAAGTCAGTTCCACACGACAGTGAAGAGGAAGAGATGGTGGCGAGTTATCTGGAGGAGTCATGAATACTTGTAGTCTACTGACATTCGCAGCTGCGGCGTGGCGCTGCCTGTCCCGCCCGCGGCTGCGATATCCGAAGTCTCCACTTCTTCAACGGCGAGCTGCGGACCTTTGGACCTCTGCTCTACTAGGTCTCTTGCCTTACTAGTACTATCACACCTGTTCTGCCTTTCTTAAACTTCTCGGCCAAATCGGTTCCTCATCTGGCAGCAGACAGGTTCCATTAGAACCTCGCGGTAGTCGCTATGAATACTGTACGATACCTCTCCGATGCATCACGCCACATGCTAACCATGAGTTCCAGATACGTTCAACCTGGTATGTTTCGCCTGTCAGACAGCCCTCAACATCCGCAGCTCCATTTCGTCGCTTACAAATGAGAATTGCTTCTAATTGACCATGAATTCGCAGGCTTGGTTGGGGTGCCTTGTGCGTCGCCGGCGGCGGGGCCTATTATTTCGCAAAGAAAGAGATCAATGCCGAGAGAGCTGCGAAGCACAATGCCATCATGAAGAAGCAGGCTCGTCTAGAGCGTATCGAAAGCTCATCAACAGGCCGTCAGAAAGCTCGTCAAACCGACCCTAACAGCGGTACACACAACTCCAAGGGCCTCGATCATGCCGGAAGCCCAAGCAGCGAGATCAGCGAAGATGTTGCGCCGGTCGGACATGCCCCGGAAAATGCCGAGCAGAGAATATCACAGAAAAGCAAGTACGAGGCGGCTGAACCTTTCAGAAGTAAGAAAGGGGATAGGTTCAGCTAAGGTGGTCAATGGTGTTAACTGCCTTTTGATCGAGCAAGCGCGCATGGCGTTGTATCAACATTGAGTGGCAACCCACACCTGTGAATATCTATGGCCCACGAATCTGAACGCCTCTCTAATATACTGTCGATCCTGATGTCTTCCAACTCTCTGTCGTTGTCTGCATCGCGGCAGCCAGATTATGGCTGCGCAGAAACCTGGTGCGGCGCGTGGCCGTTAAGAGCAGATCATCATTCGTCGTTTCTCAAGGGTTTTCCGGGTCGTGCATTGTCGACATCATGAGTGACAGCAGAGCGGGGCATGATGCTTTATGTGCGCATTAGGATGTCCTGATTCTCGTTCGCGTTTGGACTCAAGAGCTGGTGGCACAAATGGAAGAACAACCGCAGCTGTTATCAGTGATCCGGCAACTGTCGACTGCAGCCTGCTGGCCGGCTTGGTAGCCTGTGCGGAAAAGTGTCGGATTGCTGTTTGTGCCACAGAGCTGGACACCACCACTGGAAGGGCCATAATGTCGGCTAACGTGATTCGAGATGGCCGAAACGTGCTGTGTAGCGGCTGCGAAAGTGCTTGCAGGAACGAATGCTCTTTTCAAAATCTCACAGAAAGAACAACACAATACCAGATGCAGAAGAGATGTAAGCCGGGTCGTACGAGCAGACTGGCCTTTGGTAAGCAAGGTGACTCTTTAGATTGCGCAATGGCACTCAGGTTTCGCCAGACCAGGTTGGAATACCACAAGTGTGTCCGTGGCCTGACGATACCCGAAATCCTCTGCTGCGATAGGGTCTTCTCAATTTAGTCTGACATTTGCAAGAGGAATGTCACACCACGCGCGACTCTCGCCATGTATTTGTGCCTCAGAAGCCCCGCCTGGTGGAGGATACAAGCTTTAGAATCACGCGCCCTCGGAATTCGTGCCGCTTGTGGGGCTCATTGTCAATATAACGATTGCACCTCCAGTGGAGGACCTCGGGCTATGACTGCAACATGAGGTGCAACGTGATAATCTATAGCACAGCTGGCCGCGGTTTGTAAGCCGTGTATTGGTCCAATCATTCCTACGATAATGTCAGCACTACGTTTCCAATATGTCGGGGCTGAGCCGTACTGTGTACTGGCTGAACCGGGGCTATTACAGGCGAGGCGGTTTTCCCGTTGGCGGCTTGGCAAGGGCAATGAAGGGAAAGCGCAACCGGCTGCGGTTTGCTGAGTTCGCTTCAGGCCGTGATCTTTGGTACATGTCCAGTACGACTGCCACCTCGTCCATGCCCGCCCTTGCGCATCTGTACTGGTAATCGCCATGGCATCACACCATCTGACTGTCGCGAAGGCCACATTCGCAGCTTCTCTTCTGCGACCTGATGTGATCAAGATTGACCGCGAGGAGGTACCTCGTGTTCATACCCTCCTAGAGGCAGCGATATTTAAATGCTCGCCGTCGAATATACAGGTCTGCAAACTGCTGTGATACTCGTTGAAATCTAGATCAAGTTACTGAGATACCTCCAGACGTGCAAGCAATGGCTACTCGAGAATATAGTACCGTCTGCCTCGAGGACGAGCGCCTTTGTCAAATATGCTACTGCTCGGGTTAGACATGCCAGTGCTCCCGAGGACTCGTCCTCGAAGACGTCCCAATACAGGCAACGGTTGCACTGTCTTTACTTGCTGCACGACCTTCTACACCACGCGAAATACCATGCCCATAATCCGACTATTCAAAGCAACCTTACTCAGGCTTGCCAGGCATCAGCTGTCGAAATCTTTCGCTTAGCAGCCTCCGAGAACAAGCCAAAGATACGCGGCCGACTGCACAACTTGGTCAATATCTGGGAGGCAGACGAATTCTTCGCTCCCGATCTCCTCAACCAGATCCGCAAAAGCATCAGCGATCCTTCTGCACACGTGTCCGAGAATGAAGCTTCGACAGCGACGACGCTGGTCCCCAAGGAGATCCCATTCATGATGCCAGCATCACATGGAGAACCGGGACTACCCTTCCACGAGCTTCCGGCTGGTAATCTTATGCCGCATATCCATCCGAACAAGACAATACCTATGCGACCTGATGCAATCCGTCCATTACAATTCTCGGCTGGTCCCGCCGATGAATCGCTTGTCAACGCTATCAAGGACTTTCTCAAAGACGTTGACGGTATAGAGGGTACCTTCCAGCATTTTGACGACGAAGGTATTGTTCCCGATATTGATGACCTGGGTCAGCTCACGTACACCAATGAGGCTGGCGAAGTTGTTGGGGACACCTACTACGGCTGGTCGCGGTCATTCTGTGAGAAGATGAAGGCTAGACGCAATACAGCATTCTACGGTGCAAGTGGAACGAATCGATCCAGGAGCTACAGTAGCAGCCGAAGCCGAAGCAGCTCGCCACGGAAACGACGCCGCTATAGTGACTCGAGTCCGGAGCGGTCGTCAAGCAGGCGCTACAGTAAGCCTGCATTTCAGAGACCATCATCACCAGAACACGCAGGTTTGGCTGTCAGTCAAGTTCGCTACTCGGCCACGGATTCCCGCCCGGAAGGAATCTACGGAGCTCATCAACAACCTCAACAGGTTCCAGCCTCGAGCTCTTTCGACTCGCAAGCTTTTGCCTCAGCTACTCCTCGCATGCCGTCTCTACCAGTGCCTCCCCTTGGTGCGGACGGTCTACCTCTGCCGCCTCCCAAACCTCCTAACTGGTCTGGGCCTTGGCCACCCCTCCCACCACCACCACCACCCCCTGCTCCATCACATTACCAGCCTCGAGGTGGCTTTCCTCCGTATGATGGTCGCTAGAAGCCGACTGCACGTTAGCCCAGTGTGGTATTCTTAACATTTTAAGTGATCATTACGGTCTCACTGTTTGCGATTGGCGGGAAAGTTTGAACCCGAGAAGTACTGATTAGAGGAATTCTCATCCACAGCCTAAGGCTATACGCAACAGCATGGGCTTTCATTATGGGAACCGGGTACGATTGGTTGATTGACGTTGCGAGGTCAGCATGCGACCTTTTCTTCTGAGCATCTACTTGGCTGGTCGCCTGACTTGGCACTAATCTACATTGCTCACTACGGGTACTTATGTGGCCATTGCCGGCCTCGGACTTAGAGCTGACTCTTTACTGAGGACCAAGCATTAGCAAAATGGCTGCTAGTAAACCAGTTGCACGGATTGTAGACCGAAAGCACTACGACCAGCAATATCTCTTTGAGATCGACGAGTCGAAGCTGCCCACCTTGGCACCGTCCTCGGTGCGAGTTCAGCCTATAATGCTTGGGCTCGCAGCGTACAACCTATCCTATTGTGCTCTGGGCGACATGCTCCACTGGTACGATGCATACACTGTGCCCAAACAATTGCCAAGCCCATATAACAACGCCAACCAATACGCGGTGGCTCCTGGTTGGGGTTATGCAACGGTCAAGGAGAGTACGATCGAGGAACTGAAGGCGGGGACTATGCTCTACGGCATGCTTCCTACATCGACGATGTTGGCGGATTTGGAACTCGCCCAATCAAAGGACGATCCTCAGCGCTGGATCGAAGTCAGCGAACGCAGGAATGCGATGATGGAGCTATATAAGCACTATTCGGTTGCGGACCAGGATTTCAGCAGCGATGTCAATGAAGCTTTCAGGCAATGGCGCTGCGGAGCCTTTGTGATCTTTCAGTGTGGGTATGTGATGAACCGATACGTTTTCAGTGCATGGCCCCTGGAACCAGTTGTGTCACCTTTCCCAGGCATGACGCCATGGACGGCGGCAGACGCCGATCTAACCCGGTCTGTTGTGATCACACTGGGCTCCGGGAGTAAGACATGCCGCAGTTTCGTACATCAGGTTGCAACTAATCGTGCGGATGGACGTGGACCGGTGGCTGTCGTTGAAGTGACGGCCAGTGGCAGGAGTGGTATTGAAGGCATTGAAGTCCCATTCAAGCATCGCGTCGCTGACTACGACGAGGCTCGGTCTCCCGAAGTATCGCAATGGATTATGGAGACAGGGGCGGATAACGTCAAGGTACTTGACTTCGGCGGTCGAGGCGACTTTCTGGAAGCTCTCACATCCCACTTGGGGACGACTTGGCCACAGGCAGCGGTGCAAGTCATGACCATTGGCACGGCACCCAAAGTCTACACAGAAGAGGACATGAAGGAGCGTATGGCGAAGGGCGCCAAAACGCAAGCTGTACGACTGAACACTTCACCGATCATCGAGGCCCTCATGAAGGAGATTGGACAACGAGAGACACATGAATTGCTGATCAACGGATGGCGTAAAGTGGTGGAGAGCGAAACGGTGCGAAATGCGGGGACTACTCGTGAAGGGCAGGTTCTGGGCCACGAACTCGACGTCAGAAAGGGCGTGAAAGGTGGATTGGACGTTGCCTGGACCCAATTATGCGAAGGCAAGACGGTCAGCAACACCGCGGTGGTCATCTCTCTCTGAATCGTAGATGGTGCGTGGTATCGACAGCCGACATCTGACAGCGCTCTGTCGTGGTGTGATGGTCGCTGGAGCACGATATGATGATGAGCATGTGGTCATATCATTTTCGTGCACGGCATGAGCGATAGCATGATGATCGGTGTTGGTGTCAAGCCGTCCGCGAGCACCACCCGCATCTCGATGGCAGAGGATGTTACTCCAGTAATATGATGTAGGACATGGGGCTCTTCTATGGAGGCGGCTCTGCAAAACATCGCCATGAACGAAGCGAAGTCCACTTGACGCAACCGGCACAGGGGGAATCATTCAGGGGTCCATCAGCTCCGCACTAAGGGGCCAGGCCCCGCGAGGCTGCCAAGCGACTAATCCCTATCAAGCCTATGACGCATGAGCCTCTTTCAACGGCGGCGATGTGCAGCTCCCTCGCTGTGACCCTTCCCCATCGCGCCGGTTGCCTTGGCCTAGAGTTCCGCCGCAGCCCACCCCTTGAATTCCTCCGCCGCTGGTGCCAAAGCATGATGATGCCAGTGGCGGTGGCGGTGGCATTGGTGGCTGCAGCCGCTCTGAACTACTCGCAGCTGAGGAATCGTCCCAACTATGTCTTCAGCCGCCTTTGAAAATGTTGTTATTGTTGTTGTTTTTGTTGAGTAACGCTCCCCCGGTTGTCCCTGGCACCTACAGACCTTTCAACGAGGAGCCTCCCGCCAAAAGATGGAGCATCCATAGACCCCGGACGCCTCGCAACCATGGTCCCAACCAATCGCAGTACCCGGCCACGTACAGCGCTCCAGTCGAGATGCGTCCATGATGGCAATCTCTCCTATCGGTGCTGACTTTGGCATGCAGAATGGCGTCCAGATGAGCGCACACACGGGCCAGAGTCAACACTAGACCCCTAGGGTCTCGCTTGTCCCGTTGGTCCAAACACAAGAGAGCCTTTTTCGAGGGTATGATCTGCAGGGTCTGCTCTCCACTAACGACGTCTTCGTCTATTGTCATAGGCCCGATACGTATATCAGTCTCACGAATCTCATACTAGGCTTGCCATCGACGCCCACATGCATGCTAAAGATGCTGGTCCAAGCGCTCTAGTCTGCCCGGCAGAGTAGCTTGACTGACGGCACCCTGCAGAAGCTTCTGCCCATCCTCCAGTCCAGAGCCAGAGATCGTCATGCGCGTTGGCCACTCATGCGTCATACGCGACTGGACACAGTGACCCACTGCGTCACGGTTCCACCGCTGACTGCATGGTTCTACTCCCCGCCGACCTGTCCAGACTTCGGGGGCGACAGTCGCCATGGCCTATATTTTGGCAGGCCGCTGCCTTGCATGAGTTTTTGTTTTGATATCATCAGCAAGCCCAGTCTTATTAACAACAATTCCGCATATACGCCTCTACCTCGATCTATTCAGCAACGTCTCTCCTCCGCCGTTCAATTCACTCAATTGTACTTTAACACTTAAATTCTCTCTTCGTCACCATGTCTTCCTCCAACCAGGTTGAAATTCTCTCTGCTCCCGAGCACACTTACGACTTTGAATCCGACCCGGTTCAAGCCATGACCACGTACTCGCGCGACATGTTCTCTCACACCAAACAACAGATGCAATCAGCATGCACTTCTTCACGTCGGCGTAGCGGGCAACACAACAGTCCCGTTGACGCCCAAGTCGGCCTCTCACAATCATCAACCCGAACCAGTACATCGAGTGAGGCCTCATTCTGAATGTACTTGTGAGGCATTGTTATTAGCCATGCTTCAAAAACGATTGAGCGTTTTGTGAGCATTTGATTACCGACTTTTAGAATTACAAAAGTCCGCAGTGCGGACAGTTACGAACATGTTCCCAGCCGGCCGTTGGAGGTGTTATGTCTTGCGATGGTTACAAGACCAATTATTTTTTTTATCATATTTGAGGCATTGACGGAAATGATCAATATCTTTTCAAAACAAGTTCTCTTGTTGTGCTCAATGTATGACCATGTCAATAACCCTGCAAATGCTGGATCACATTCGATCCCAGTTTTTATAACTTATCAGGTGCACACACCCCCCTTCCCCCCGCCTCATACCCGCGTAAACATGCTCCTGTCGATAGTACTTCCACCTTTCATCGCCACGCAATCCACAACAACAGCCCCCTCTCATGACAATCGAAAGCTTAAGCAAACCCACTGACCTCACAATTTTCCGAACCCATCACCATTGCACCTCGGTTTCTCCATCTCTTACACACCCACCTCACAAACCCACATTTACATATTGCCGATCCCAACATCACCCTATTCCTAAGAACTTTGTATGAACCAAACCTCCACCACATTGTAGATCTTTGTTGCCAACCATGTCCATTTCCTACAGCACAAACAGTCCCATGTCCCATATCAGTGACCCCCACACCCTTCCCTCCCTTCCCAGAAGGACTCGATCACGAAACCATTCTATTTCGATCTTGATCCCCTTTCCGAGTAAAAAGCATTCTTTTGCATCTACAGTACCCGATTTGTTCAATATCGCTCAAGGGTCAAGACTCAAGCCATGCATGATACGAGACTTACGAGTTTACTGTATGAAGGATTGGCAGGCAAGTGGCATGTTGGCCGTCTCCTAGCCTCCTGTGAGATGGATGGGTGGACGGAGGAGCAAGGGGGAGGTGAGCCCTGCCTCAATGACGGATGTTAGATAAAGACTGCGCATGTGAAACAGTGTGATGTCGCATTCGTAATCGTGGTGTACTTTGGACGTTATCGCTGGCTAGCCCGGCCCGCAGAAGGAAGTATGGCTGTAGCCGGGCGAATTTAATGCCTTCATGCCCTTCTGTCGCGTTAGGCTGGCTCTTTTGATTCTGGTCTTGTATTGATGAGACTGACTGGCTTCATGCGCTGCTTTCTCCTGGTTTACCCAAACCTCATAGGCTCCTTTAGCCATCTACTTCGCTCACAGGCGTGTCTTCCTGAGAAAGGTACGAAGGTCTGGTCAGGGGGGGGGGCTTCAGTTGGATTACATTGTCTGCTGCACCGCGGACATCTGGAGATGATGACGGGGAGAGTTGTAAAATCCAAGACTCTTGGTATATTCTTCTAGCTCAGGCACTCGGCCTCCCAAATTTAAAGTCCTGTGACTGTTCGAAAAAAGTGAGGCAACCTCATAACTTCACCTTCCCGTGCTCATTCTGGCTCTTCCCCACCCCATCCCAATGATGCTTGACCACGGGCGCCTTCTTTCCACTGCTTCCCTCGCCCCCTCCACTGCCACCACCCCCACCACCATCTCCGTCACTCCCATACGCCGAGCCCCCATAGTCCAAATATCCCTGCAACTCCAGCCCATCCCCCCTGGTGATCTCCTCCGCGTCCCCCATCACCCACACCGTCTGCATGCCCATAATCATATGCTGCAGCGTGTGGCAATGGAGCAACCACACGCCCGGATCCTCCACCCTGACGCGCCACGCCCGCCACCCCTGATCCACGCCCTCCGCCGTGTCCGCATCCGTCGTGTATCGGTACAAAAACGTCGTGTCGCGCAGCACCGGCGTATAGTGCTGAAAACGCCGCTCATTGGCCTCGGCGTCGTAGGATCCGGGGCCGGAGCCCAAGTCGTAGAAATGCCCGCCGTGCGCGTGTAAAGGGTGCGAGTCGAAGCCGCCCGCAGGGATGTTGGGGCGTTGCAGCCAGACGATGTCGATGACGTCGCCGAGGGAGGCGGCGTAGGCGTTGAAGGCGGAGGAGAAGGAATTGTTGGTCGCGGTGAGGGCGGGGGAGGGGATGGCCGCGGCGCCTTGGCGGTAGATGTCGACGAGGTAGGGGGTCGGGCGTGGGTGGTCGACGTCGAGGCGCTGCCCGTTGAAGTGCCATACCAGGGCGCCTGAGATGTTGACTTGTTCGGTCACGATGGTCACTTGGCGCGTTACGTCGGAGAGGGTGGGGAAGTTGTTGGGGGAGAGGGGTTCGAGCGTGTATTCGAGCCAGGAGGTGCCGTGGGGGAGGGTGATGATGGGGGAGTTTTGGGAGGGGACGGCACCGCAGCCTTGGCCGTCGTAGCTGAGGCAGGCGTATGAGGTGTAGTTGACGGGACGGTCACGGATCTCGATTTGTATCCAGAAGTTGTGTTTGTTGAGGGTTGTGAGCTCGGATTCGGTCTTGGTGGTGAGAAGATAGTCGAAGCGCATGCCGGAGCCGAGTTCGAGGTGGTCGGTGGTGGCGGGTTTGGTGTATCTGCCGTCTGCTTCGATTATGGTCAAGTTGTCGTGGTCTTCAATGCCGTAGGTCATGGCCGAGAGTGCGGCCGCGGCAATGTTTCGAAAGCGATACGTCTTTCCTGGTTCGACACGAATGAGCTCTGGGCCGCATTGGCCTTCGAGCCCGGCGTCGTCCTCGGTAGCTTCACTCTTTGCTTCGGCGCTGTTGCCATTGACCAAGATGGCCATTGCCTCGCCTGACCAAACGAATGGAGATACCAGGAGTCCCTCTACGATTGCGTCGTCGGACTTGTTGAAGTATTCGGTGATCTGGATGATGCGCTCCTCGTCGTATTCGTACGGACATCCGTCGACGTCTTCAATGATGAGGGGCCCGATGGCTGATACTGTCTGGAAACCTACGTGGGAATGGTAGAAGTAAGTTCCCGATTCGGTCTTGTTAGGATGTAATTCGTAGTCGAAGAAATGTTGCGGCTGTAGGAGGTTACTGGTAGGCAGGATCTGGTTGGGAAGGGTTTGCATACCGGTATTGGCCATTGACTGACGAGTGGGGTGCCATCGCTGAAAGGGGCGATGGATTGTGATAAGCCATGCCAATGCATTGTCAAGTTCTCATTCTCCATGTCGTTGTATACTCGCACCCATGTCGTCTGATCAGGCGTGATGCGTAGCGGCGGCCCGGGCGAGGTGCCGTTAATGACTGCAGAGGTCCGCGACCTGCAGGCCATGTTGACCGTGTTATAAGTGACCCGAAGGACCTCATCTGGCTGAAAGCTATCATCATGTACTCGCATGCCCGCTTGGCCAAGCTGAGCCAGAGCCAGGCATGAGAGTAGTACCGGAGCCCTCATGGTGTTGCTTGTGATGCAGCGTTGCCGCTGGGCTGGGTTTCAGGCACGGAGTGCGTCTCGGGGAGACCCATGTCTATAAGGCATGGAGAGCTTAGCTAAACTCAACATTGGAATTTGTGTAACACATTCATTCAGAGAACTGTGCCTGGGGGCCACGAGGCGTCCATGACATCACGCCTCGTTCTCGCTCAATGCGATGAGCTGACCTCAGCCGCGCAGAGCCAACGGACAGCGGCCACGGGCCACCACGCAGTTACACAGCGGCACGTCCAACCCCAAACCAAGAGCTACGCCAATCTAATCACAGGCAGTCGGCAGATCTGTGGACATATTGGCCTATTCTCATTGGAGACAAGTTGGCAATAGGAGGCCTGAAGGCAAGCACCTGCTACTTCGGCCCCCATATTCGGGGACCGCAAGCAGTGCGGGTTGGGGGCTCATGCCTAAGATATTTTCCGAAGTCTTGCTTCAGCGAGTATCGCCTGTCGGGCCGGTTCTGAAGTTGACGAATGTAATAAATGGTATTGAGTGAAGACAATGATCCGAAGGTCAATGGCAAGTCTGCTGCCAATCTGCGATTGGTCGGCGGTGACAAGTTTCGCCGAAAGCACTCTGATTGGCCGATGCTTCATTACTGCCTGTACAAAGCATTCGACAATGCCTCAGTACCTCCAACAACAGATGAACAAAGAGAGCTTTATTCGGCTTGGTCGCATTACAATGTTATTATTTGCTCTCTCCGCAGCTCAGGCTGCATGTAAATATGAGCCAGGTCTCGCCAATTCGCATCCAAACCCCCCACCGACCAGACCTTACAAGCCCTGTACCAAAGAACCTACACTAGTCCAAACTGCACAACCGCACACAACAGCACACTAACCCAGCAACCTAAAGAATGGGTAGACTATCCCCATCCAAACACAAGAACGCCTTTCCCCCCCGCGCCCGTAACATCGTCCTCACCGCCGACGACTTCGACCCCCTCACCGACCTCGACATGCCCCCACAACCGCCCTCCCCCACCTCTCCCTCACACCTCTCGCCCACCCCACCATCCACTCCCCGCCGAGCCCATCACCACCACCTACCGCATCACCCGCTCCTCCGCCTCCGGCGGCCCACGCTCCGGCCCCGGCGCCAAATACATCAAGACGCGCACGCAAGTCTGCGCCGGCACGTACGTCGAGTCCATCGTCTCCGGCCCCCAGGGCCGTTACGACTCCAAGATCCGCCGCCTGCTGCACGGGTACGCCGCCCATCGCCATCAATCGGCCCGTGTGGAATAGGTTCATGGCCAGGTTCCCGGCGGACAAGCGGATCACGTTTGTGGAGCGGTTGGAGGAGCATCCAGGGGGTGTAGATCGGTGGGGTTTCAGTGCCAGCCTTCTTGAAAGGGGGGAACAGCTGAAGTTGGGCTACTGGTGTGAGTCCCATGTGCCCTCGCGATGCCGTTCGATACTCCGGTGCCGGTAAGCCTCGTCTTTATCCCATCTAGTTCCATCCAATGATACAAGCCCCCTCCCCCTGCTCGCTATTCCTGTTCCCCCTCCCCCCAATTCTTCTATTACCTTGAGGGTTACATTTGCCGTAGGCGCTAGCCCGCTACTTGGAAAAGCACAAAGTACTACTACAGTACCCCCTTTTTAACCTGTACCTCAGGGGTGCTGAACGAGCTACCCGCGCTAGCTTTGGTAGAAAAGTTGACACAAAGAGACTCTCCAGGTTGAATCGTTCTACCGCTCTCAAAGTCAGCTTGGACTTGCCTTATATACAATAACGAGAAACGCACAATACGGCTCAGGGGGGAAAGAGACACGGAGAAAAAGAAAAATAATTGTAGCCATCAAAGCTTTCAGGAAAAAGGAATGAGGGCCCTTCCAGTCTGACATATGAATTATACGGGGGAGCAAAGGAGAAATAGGTGGGGCCGATATCTTGCCCTGGATCCCCCTAGCTTTCCTAAACCCTCTTCCTTTGAGATCCCTTTCTCCGTGCCGCAGCTGCAGGCTTTCCTCTTCCCATCCCCATTGTACCCATTATGAGAGCGGTTTCCGGCTCTTTTTCATAGGCTCGCCTATATCAGTCGGGGGACGAGGCACCGTCGTCGCCCAACTCACGACGCTTTGAACTGGCTCTTGTCATTCAGTAATCCGCACGGCCGACACGACCCGGCTGAGGTTTCGATCGCCACATCTCTCGGTCTATCCAACCATCGCATGCTGTGCCGTCCCAAACTCGACCTCAGAGGGATACAACTTCCCATCATCACCACCACCATTACCAGTGCCATTGAGATGCTCCACGAACCTCATCGCCACGTCCTCAGCTTGCTGCCCCTGCTGGCCACGCTCCCCATCCGCGCTCCGCGGCTCAGTAGTCATCATCATCACCTGCATCCCCATCCCCCCCAGCGAAGCAATCGGCGTTTCCTCCTGAGACTCGTCCATCTCCTCATCCAGACTGACATTATGAAGCTGCGGTGCAAAAGGCTCCGGGATCGTCAAGCGCGCCGTGCGCGGCGTCGGCGTGCTCTGCGATCCCAGCCTTGGCGCCGGCGGACAGACGAGGAAGCGCGGTGTGGGCGACCGGAGCTCCGGCGGGCGCTCTTGCGGGAAGAGTGGCGCGGGAGGCCATTCGAGTGGTGAGCTGAGATTAGAATGCCGGAGCTGGAGGCTTGCAGGGCGCGGAGAGCGGCGGGTGGGGAGCGCGTCGACCGGGACGGGCGAGTCGGCGCGGTTAACGGTGTCGTCTGTTGCGTGAATAGGTTCGCGCGAGAGGGTTGGCGCGGGCGCTGAGGCGCGTTTGACTGGTGCGGAGGCGCGCTTGATGGGCGGAGGATCGTCTTCGATTACCATGAGACCAAGGCCGGCTAGTTGAGGTAATGCGTCCTTGGAGCTGCGGATTGGAAGGCCACCGTGGGACGTACGTGTGTCTCTTCCGAGCAGGAATGATATTGTTGTCTTTAATTCCTCGACTTCTGTCCTGGCAAATTGATTTGTTTCCTTTAGTAAAGCGCTCAACTCCTTGACATTTGCGCTCAGAGCCTGAATCTCTGCCATTGCAAGATCGAGACGGCGCTGTAGGACGTCGTTGTGGCTGGGACCTGGTGGAGTCTTCAACGGGCCGTCATCGTACCCTGACATTCTTTGGCGTGCAGCATCGGACTTCAAGTTCGTGGGTAAGCCCCTCTGACTTACAGATTGCTCCAAGGGCGTAGCTGGAAAGCTGCTTGTAGCTGGCGACCCTTTCGAAGCGGTGCTCGAAGAAACAGGCGTGCAATCTTTCGGAGATAGGAGGTCGCTGATCATAGGCGAGCCCTTTGAAGCGGTACTGGAAGACACAGGGGTGCGGCCTAGGTTTACATCTCGCCATGGAATGTCGTCAAAGTTCAGCTTCAGCGACAGTAGCGGCTTGTTATCGGCGCCACTATGACCTGAAGCTGCTGAAAGTCCGGCCAGAAATTGGTGATTTCTGGTAGACCGCTTCTTTGCATCCTCGGCCGCCATTCTCTGAAGCGCGGACTTGACCTTGGGAAGGACGTGCTGCACTGCCCACCGGTCAACGGCCTCCACGAAAATTAAGAACTGCACGAAATGCTCGTCACTCGTGAGGTCAAATTTGCACAGCGAGGTCATGCAGAAATCTTGACCATCGACCCAGTGAAGGTTGATTATTGCTAGGGACTTGTTAATCACACAAGAGAAAGAGGGCGGCACGGGTGTGCTTTGTAGGACAGAGTCAGCAGCGAACAGCATCTGCAGCGACCTTGCAGACCAAGCGCCGTCGATGGCACATCGGTTATTGGCTGTCTCGATACTGCTTTCGCTAGAGCCGTGAAGTGGCTCGAGGTGGAAGTACGGGCTATAAACGACGGCGCTGGTGGAGACATAGCCGGTGTCGTAGTCGATGGTTGTTCCAACAGGGCCCATGTAAGATGGCATTACTTGGATCTCTTCATCGGAGAAGGCATCTTGGGAGAAGCCGCTCGAGAGGCACGGGCGAGGAACAGACAGCTCATAGGACGGCCGGCGCAGACTAGGCGCTCGTTGCGGCAACGGTTCGCGATCGAAGGAGGGAATGAAGTGGCGGGCCAGTTTTGTCTCGTCGTCCAATGTTGGCAGGAGATTGGGAGAGAAAAGCGCAGAGGAGCCTAGTCCACGGTCGGTGAGGACTTGCTGGCGAAAGGCTGTCATCTGCATCTCGAACCTGGCAGCGTGCTGTGAGGCGGCGCTGATCATAGCCTTGAGATCCTGCGGCAGCCGGCCGTTGGGTGCATGGTCCAGTATGCGAATTTTGTGAGGCACAAGAATCTGAGCGCGGAAGGTCTTCCATGGTAGATGACTGCCGTCATAAGATGATTTGGGCAGGCCACTATCAGCGCTGCTGTAGTATCCACTGTCAGCGGAAATGCCTGAGCAGGCAGAAGACGCTGAAGACATGGTGCTCGTGAGTTGTTGTGCAGAGGTGTGGCAGACTGTAGTATCAAAGTCTGCGACTAAAGCCCTGCTGTTGAACGCTCGTCGGCTGGCTAAGCGGAAGCAGCAATGCCGCTGTCCTTCGACGCAAGAAGCGTAATACACCCTCGAGCAGTGCTCAAAGGCTAGACAAGCAGCACATGGCTACTCAGTAGAGTCAACTGGTTGCGACAGAGAATGGATGCTCCAGCACAGCCGTGGACGAGGTTAAGGAGGGGAGCCGTAAGGTCTGGGGAAGGGTGGGGCATTATCATTTCATGAGTATTGCCCAAAGGGGAAGCCATGTGCTTTCGCTTCGCATCGAGGTAGACGAGGCTGGGTGGGCGCGTAGGGGGTGTGCACAGACATTCAGTGATTGACGGGCTGCATCAAGTTGCTAGCCGCCGGGGCGCCTGCAGCCTGCAAGCCAAGGCATTAGCCACCCGAGCAATTCCTCACCTTGCGTTGTGCGGTGCAACTCGGAGCAAGGGTCGCTGTAAGCACCTGCTCTAAGCGTACTCATAGCGGTAGGACTGCTCTTCAATATAGCCTCGGCTGGGGGTGTGTATCTGGATGAGGTGGACGTTGCCCGTCGATGTTGAAGCAAGAAAAGAAGCATTCGCACGCTAGTCCCAATGCAGTCTGGGGGAGTGTGCGCCAAGACACGGCTCGAGCTGCTGCTATGCTGGGCTTCGTTTCAAATAGCCGCCGACCTTTTTTGGGACCCGGCAAAGTCCACTGCTCAGTTGTTCGTTTTCTCCTAGCTACGTGATGACGAGGCGGTGTGCTTCCCCTCAGTCCGTGGCGCCGCTAGCAATGATCCTCCCGGAACTAAGTCGACCCCCAAGCAATGGTCGCAGCCTGGCAACCGCCCATACCAATGACCCGACCTCTAAACAGTATGGCTAGCCTTTCGTTTATGTCCATGCCAGCCTGTGTTTTTCGTACACTATCCCGGTCTCTGCTCAGTCCACGCGCCGTCTCTCCTTTTTCGAGAGGCTCTTTGTAGATCTCAGCAACGGTGGCTGTCCCTTAGGATGTGGTACCTTGTTCTCATAGGCTGTGAATGGCCAAGTCGATTACTATCAATGCATGGCTGGAGAAGAAACATACTAACATGGACCAAGAATGCAAAATCGTCATAAGTTCATTGGCCAAATCCTTTGCTGCGCTGTACGACTCTCATCAGACCAGTGCCGCTCGCTTCATCTCAGTTGACCCCCGAGCGCCAAAATCCGCTCCGTCCAAACCCGCATCATCCATCATTACCGTAAGTCATATCTCGACCCGTGACCAGGAGGGCATGCTGCTGCCAATAACCGACATGAAGAGCCCCTTCCTATCCCCACCGCCCATCTCTGAGCCGCGCGCCCCCACCACGTCCATCGGCCCTCTTGCCGCCGTCTCTTGATCGGCAACACACTCACTGAAGTTGACTCGCCGGTCCAGGATGCTCAGGAGATCCGTGATGGCTCGTAATCGCACGGCCTCGGCCCAGGCGAAAATGCTCTCGATGCGAGCCAGCATCGCCGCCATCTCCGTCTCCGACTCGAGGTTATACGTCTGCACGACGCCCACCGTCTCCGCGACAAAGCCTTCTGAATAGTGCGCGATGAGCCGAGCCGATTTCTTGTGGATGGCCAGTGCAAACGATGCAATGCTCTGATTGACGCAGTCGACCAGCTGATCATCCGGCGCCAGGGCGTTGGGGTTGAGGAGCGCGGACGCCAGCGTCATCAAGGCGTTGTTACAGCTTGCCGTCCCGTCGATGGCCAGGTCACTCGCCGCCTGCATGGACGTGTCGCTGATCTCGACCACGAAGAACGGCCAGTAGGTATCCTGGCAGATGTGCGAGAGTTTGCTGAGGTCGCGCGGCGCACCGTCAATGTCTGATATGAGGCCGTGCTGTAGCTCTCTCTGGTGGTTGCTAAAGGTCTGCGGACGGTATCCCGCAGTGATCGCTGGTCGGGGCGGGAACATGCCCACACGTCGGTTGGTCGTGGACTCGAGCCTCGGCGCATAGTTTGGAATAGGTTCGCGATTAAACACATTGTCGTTCGTGATCGTCGTCCTCGTGTGCTTGACCGCCGACGGCGCAATGGCCGACCACATAATCTCCGTCATCTGCTTGGCCTCGATCTTGCGCCGCTTCCCCACCTTGCGCGACAGCCTCGCCGCCTCTTCTTCACCCACGACGCCACCACCGGCGCTCAAGAACGGATTGATACCCATCCCCTGCGCCGCCGCCGTCCATTGCTCGCCGCTCAACTGCGGACTCTTGGCCGTGCCCGGATCGATCTGGTGCGAGGAGCTTTTGGACTCCATGCTCACTGCATCGCTGCTGGCGTTCGTGGTGAAGGAGCGCGCGGACCGTGCCCGTGACCAGGACCGTGGCTTGGACATTGTATGATAAATTCCACGTTTCAGGCGATGGGAGCTGACGATACTAGTCGCATCGCGCAAAAGTCATATTTTTTGAGAAGAGCACCTCACATATAATCGCAGGGCGTCTCCCACGCAAACGGCATTGCCTTCAGCGATTTTCCTTTTCCAACGCGGCACAGTTCGTCAGGTTATAGAGTAGAAGCCTTGGCCCACGCGACAGCGAACGAGTGGAATGGACAGGCGATGTGTACCTAAAATTGGAACACCCAATCAGTCCCTCTAGCAGGGATAGCGGGGAGTTCCCAGGGTGTCCCTTGAGCCGCGTCCTCGGCAGCCTTCGGCCAGGCGCTGGCTCATCCCGTTGGCCACTGCTCGCGTAGGAAGCCTGCAGCTCAATCTGCACGTCAGCTTTGTGCTCTGGGCGGGATGCAGGCAAAATAAAGAACTGTGGTGCGATCCCTGCAGGCCCTAAGCGCCATTGCCATTCTTGCCCGTGCCGCGTCGAAAATGCACGCGTACCGCTGGAGGAGGCCGAAGCTAATTGCCAGCAAGCTCATCTTGACTTGGGCGTAAGCGCCTAGGCAATCTAGCCTTTGTGCAAGTACTGTACGTAGGTACAACAATAACCGTGGAGGCATACTGGTGGTCTGATACCATGGCCCACCAGCCCACAGATTCGCTTAGCTGAAGCACTTTGGCGGGCGGCTAGTGGAGAAGCGAGCCATGGATGCAGGGTTCGGTGGGGGGCTGCTGCTTGACAAGAGCCGCAATGCTACTGCAAGCAGCTCGGTTTGGAGCGCTTCTTGATTGTGAGAACGACGAGAAGATTTGCTACGTGGGCGCTGTAGCGTTGCTTGCGTGATTGACAATGCCGTGCTTGATGATGTCGACGTCGGGCGCAAGTAGGGCTCGGTTTTCAAGAGAATTTTGGTTTGTGGTTACCGACGTCCAGACCATTCTGCGGTACATGGAGAATTAGTACATCTTGTGCCGAGTGCTGGTCTGGCAGACGAGGTGTCCATTCATTGAGCCCTGACATTCGAGACACTACGAATGCTGCGTTGGCGAGATCCAGTTTGGCCGACGCCTGAATTTGGTTGCGGCTTTGTGCACTTGAACCCGGGGCTTGCCTGTGAACACCCGAAGGAGATACCGAGACATGTTGCGGATGTGGCAAAGCAGCGCTGACTTGGACAAGCAGGAAAAGAATCGTGCCTGGCTCTTACGACTTGTGAAAGGCTCTCTTGGTCTTCAGCAATTACTTCGATCTCTGCGACCCTGTCTCATCACGTACCGGGACATGTCTCTGCGCCGTGGCAGCGACACAAAGACATGGCGGCATCTAGAGCAGCTTCGGACCGAGAGGCCGTTCTCTGGGAAATGGTAGGCTTGATATATAGTTCTCTTAGACGTGCTGAGATCGGAGAAAGATGTCCTGCACCAAGCACAATCAACACATCCAACTAGACCAGCCATTCCACAGACTACAACGACCACCCCCTCAACAATGGCGACTCTCAATTCCTCTTTCCCTTGAACCCTTTCGACGTCCTCGGGGTCTGGATAGCCAAAGGTCAGAAATGCCTGGGCCTCAATCAGCCAGGGGCGCGGGGAGGCCCATTCTGCAATTACCCAGTTGGCAAAGACCGTCGTTCGGACGCCGAGGATATTCTGAGTCAGATGTCGGCTCGCTCGCCTGAGCAGGTGTTAGCTGGCAATATGCTCGAGAAGTTGGCGCGCATCCTTCTTTGCGAACAGTGGCACAGAAACGTTGGCAAGCATTGCAATGTGCAAAGAGTTGTGGACCAGTGGCGTCAACGGATCACTCAGTTCATCGCGGCCAGACGGCGGGCTTTGGAAGCCGGAGGACTTGTTACACGCACCACTGCTCAGAATCACCTCGTCCCATGGCAACACTCCGACCAGAACCCCGGGGCTTTCATTCACGCAACACCAATGACCTCGATATCGAGAAAGTTGCCACTGGCTACAAGCAACAATGACATCGAACCAGTACCAGAGATCGAGTCTGAGAATGCTCAACCAGCGCGTCAGCAGCGAGGTGTAGGTCATACTACCTTCATTGAGCCAGATACAGCCACCAGAGTGTCGGTCAAGACAGATTCGTCTGCAGCCAGGTCTGCAAAATTTGGAAAGCACGCAGATGTCAACGCAAGAGTGAAGGCGGTACCCAGACGATGCAGACCTCATGTCTGTATTCCTGAGGCTAAAATAGCGCCAACAGATGCATTCTGTCGCGGGTTCAATGACCCTCAGAAGGCTACACCGTCTTCTTCAGTCGTCGACTCAGACAATGCGCACCCCGAACAGACTCGTCGAATCGAGATATCCGGAAGAGTCAAGGACAAGGTAGATCGTCAGGTGTCCCCTGGCAAGAACGGCCATGTCCCGGTGATAGCCGACAGCGACGGTGTGACCAGAAATCATGTGAACGACGATGTTGCCACCTCACCGTCGCCCCGTGCAGCAGCTCCCAGATCCAGAACTCTCCCAGAATCTAGCCAGTCGCATGGTACGCGGCGATCGGCTGAAATCAAAGTCACGACAAGCGTCCACATCGACCAGTTCCATGCCTTCTGCACTGGTATCCTGATGTTCTTCATGCTGATAAACATTGCCTACTACTTGTTTTGACACACAGGAGCAGAAGTTCGGGAAGCTCGATGTTTGGGGTTTGTCTGAAGGCAAGGAGAAGCGAGTTTGTCGGTTCATGGACTTGATGGATGTTTCGACATAGTCTGACAGATAGGAGACCTGCAAGATCGTGTCTGGTGAGGTCGTTATAGTCGCCATCATTGTTAGCATACCATGAATTCCACGTGGAACTTGACATCCGACGTGAGCTCAGTGCTGGTCTCTGCGTGAGCCCACGGCGTTAAGATATTAGAGCATAATACGACGCTCATAACAAGATTCAGGCTTCCAATATTGTAGTGCCTGATCCTCCTGTGATCTCAGATCCGACGCGAGTAGGGTCATATTCACCATCAAGTATCGGTTTGTGCTGAGGCCCTGAATGTGGTAAGCTCCGACTGCAGTCAAGTATCATGTTGCTAGATCCATGAGCGGACCCTGGCTGGACAATTGTTCTGACGACAAAGGCACTGCTCAATCAGAATCATAGTCACCTAGTCCAAGTCCTAGAGTTTTTGGCGCAGTTGGCAGCGGAGGGACAACGTCTGCCGTCTTTTTGGCCAGCACGGGAACCAAGGGCTTCTTGGGCTTCTTGACTCTCTCGAAGGTCGGCACCGGAGGCCTTGTCGGCTTAGCTTCCACAGCATCTACATCGCCTTGGAGTTCGATTGCTTCGTCCAGCCGTGCCTTGTCAACGTTGGCTTGTTGAAAAGCTTTTCGGGCGGCCTCCTCGTCTGCGAGCTCTTGTGCGGCCTTCTGCTCATCTGCTTGCTGTCGAGACAATGCTAGAGCTTCTTCCTCTTTGTTGCCCCGCTCTCCTCGCTCTATCCGTGCATTTCGAGTCCTGATCTCGTCCAATGCATCGGCAATCTGCATTTCTCGTTTGCTATCCTCCATCTTTTGTTCGAGCTCTTCCATGGCATTGCGCTCCGCGTTCTCGGCCTCTTCGGCCTCTTCGCGTTCTAGTCGATCTAACCGTTCCTCATCCGTTTCCTTGAGTTCGGTACTTTCTGGGTCTCTCCATGACTCGAAATTTCTCTTCGCACCACGTTCACAGGCGTAGTCCATATTCTTCGGATCGGTCTTGAACGTGATCTCTGAGCTACATCTCGTGCAGCGAATATAGAAGCGATAGATGGGAATGGTGAGGTACTTTTCATCTGTGGTCTCCTTCCGAGCATTGAATTTCCGTCCTTTGTAGATGTACTCGCCGCACGAGGTGCACTTCATGCTGAAAGGCGCCATGAGACGCACTGGCATAAGCTTTGGTCCAGTCGGCCGCTCCGACTTGGGAGTTCGCTTGATCTTCGAGGGATCGAACTCGGGCGGGTAGTACTTGGAGAGTACTTTTCGTTCCGACATCTTCGCTGAAGCTCCTGGCGATCACTTGAGGTATGCGGGAGCAGTCAGCTTAAGTTAAATGCCCTCCAGAGGTACGGGTTGGCAAGAGGCGAGAGACATCAAGAGAGTACAGAAATCGAGAGGCAACCACTGCGGGCAAAAAGCACCCAATAAACAGCCAATCAGCATGCCGTATTTTCGGCGAACGCGCCTGCCCGCCCCGCAAACGCGCTGCCCACCTTCTGCGCAGTGGACATCTATGGCAGACTGTATGAACTTCTGAAAGGGTCGTTGAATCGAGATTTGCAGGCTTGTTCGGGAGAGGGTGAAAGTGTCGTTCGATCTTTACTGGATGGTAGCTTTTCGCCATGGACAAGTTCCTCCGTACCTGGAGACAGGACGCTCTCAATAGAGGACAACACGATGCCGCGGTCTATGTCGGGGACAAGGTGCTCGCGCTTTCTAGTATGTCACATATGAATCTGGGACGCATCTGACTGACCGATCTAAAGATAACGATGCCGACGCCTTCTGGCTTGCACAAGTTCACTTTGGCAACCACAACTACACGCGAGCACTTCCTTTACTGTCCAGAAAAGACCTGGTCGAGCGAAGTCTATCCTGCCGATATCTTGCCGCCCATTGCTACGTCAAACAAGGTCGCTATGAGCAGGCACTAACTCTCCTTGGTGAAGAAGATCCTGTCCATCTTATTCCCACAAGTCAGCACGTCAGACGAAAACTCGCCCATGTCAATGGGGCAGGGAGACATGGAGTCAAGGGAATTCGTGGTCAAAGAGATCGCATCGAAGCCAGTGAAGAGCGTGAACGAGACCGAGAGCAGGAGAAAGAGCTGAAATTCCAGGCAGGCATGTGTTACTTGAGAGGTCTATGCTATGCCAAACGCAACGCCTTCGACCGAGCCAGGGATTGCTACAAGAATGCTGTGAGGATAGATGTCCAGTGTTTCGAAGCGTTCGACGAGTTGATGAAGAACTCTTTGATGTCCCCTGCGGAAGAGATGGCATTTTTGGAGGAGCTCGACTTTGAGTCAATACGAATCGACGACCAGTCTAATGCTGCAGAAGCCGCCGAGTTCACCAAAATGCTCTACACTACCAGGCTGTCCAAATATGCGTCGCCAGCATTACTAGCACACGCCACCGAGACACTCTCTACGCATTACAATTTAGCATCAAATCCCGATCTCCTGCTCACCCGAGCCGAAACGCTCTACACGCAGTGTCGTTTCCACGAAGCCCTTACGATCACAACCGACATCCTCAATTCCAAACCAGACTCGGAAACGCTGACGGATCAGACAGACAGCAATACAGCTGCTTCTTTAGGCCACAGTCGACAGCTGTATCCCCTTCACCTGGCCCTTCTTTATGAGACGGGTTCTCACAATACGCTATTCCACCTCTCTCATACGCTGTCCGTCCACGCTCCCCACGAATCATACACGTACCTCGCAATTGGTACATACTACTTCTCAACGTCCAGGATAGCGGAAGCACGCCGATTCTTCTCCAAAGCTTCCTTGATGGATCCGCACTCTCCCGCTGCATGGATCGGGTTTGCCCACACCTTCGCTGCGGAGGGCGAGCATGATCAAGCAATTGCTGCATACTCAACGGCAAACCGCCTCTTCCAAGGTAGTCACCTTCCACAGCTGTTCTTGGGGATGCAGCATCTGGCTTTGAACAACATGCAGCTAGCATGGGAATATTGTATCAACGCATTTGAGATGAGCACCGGAGTTGCGAGATCAAAGGCGCCAGGTGAGGTAGAGATCAGCACCAAGATGTTTAACTCACGCGACTTGGGGGGTGATCCTTTGGTTCTCAACGAAATCGGTGTAATTTTGTATCATCAGGCAAACCTACCGGCCGCTGCACGGCTATTCAAAAAGGCACTTGAGTTGGCGGCAGACCTCGGCTGCAACATGACTGCTTGGGTGGCGACTCGAGCGAACCTTGCTCACACGCTGCGGCGACTGCAGCGTTTTGATGAGTCCCTGGCCGAATTCGATGAGTGTCTGCGAACCGCCACTGGCGGTGCATCAACAGCCACAGCATTTGAGCCCGGATCTAACGTTGCTGCCTTTGCGAGTATAAGTATTGCTGATGCCTCCGCATCGAATGCAAGCGGCGCAGCCAGCGGCTATGACGAGCGAAATCTGATCGGAAGCATCCACACCAGTCGAGGCATAGTGCTGCTCTCCATGATGGGACGGACAAGAGAGGCCGTCATGGCCCTCCACGAAGCGGTCAGAATCTTGGGCGGTGATGCTGGGGGTGGTGGAGTAGCTGGAACGCTGCTGAGCAGAGCGATGGAGATCTGGACGCTCGAGGACAACGATAATGAAGAGGACGAGGAAAATACTGCGCCTACAAGGAATGTCAACACCCGGACACGCCGAGGACGCGGCAAAGATCCTATGAGGCCGCCGGGACCCGGAGACCCTACTCACGGCGGCATTCTAATGAATGCTGTGGGCCATGAGAGAACGGTCGCGAATGTGTTGGATGCTAGTGCAGACGAGATCTTGGACGCGGCGTACAGGTCGGTTCAATAAAATGACAAGAATGCTCGATTGGATGTGATATCCGAGCTGATGGTTGGCATGATGGCAGGCAGGAATCAAAAGCAATGGAGTGTTCAGATAATGGTTGGTTAACGTATGTCTTCTGGCATTAGCGGTGGCGTTGGGCATGCAACAGAAGGAATGGAACAAGTTAATCTTCTTGACACTACGGGGACGCATTATTCTCGGCCTCTGGAAAGACCAAAGCATCTGTCAGTATGGCTTCGGCGGTAAAGTGTGTGGAGGAGATAGGAATGAAGCTTGTGGAACTCAAGTGGATGCTGTGAGTTGGTGAGGGTATAGAAAGTCACGAGCTTCGATCAGACGAGGCAGACTTCTTGAACAGTGACTTCTACGGTTGCTCTAGGTGAAGCGTGGCGGAGCATCTTGGGCTAGACGATGGCTGCAGTTGTGGATTCATGCTAGATGCAGATGCAATGCAGACTGTCATGTAGGAGTACGTTATGCTTGGAACTCAGACCAAAGGTCATGAAAGGACTTTGGTCAGCAAGATGCAATTCTCAGCCTTGCGACCGCAGCCTTGCATTGTGATGTGAGGTCGAAATCGCATGATGTTCGGCCACATCTCCTACTACTATTGTTCCTCCTGCACACCTTTGAATACACTTCCATGCGCTTCCTGCGGTCGTAGCTGCTGCATACGCGCCACTTGGCGTCACACACGTGTAAGCGAGACCTCGCAACATGGCGGACAGCAAGCCCGAAGAAGGCCATCAGACCGGCTTCCCGCAGTCGCCCTCTGCTTTTGATGACGACCCGCGCGTCTCGTTCTCAAGGCTGGACGACAAGTACATCCTCGAGACCGATGAGGGCAACGAATATGAATGGGATAGCGATCTCAAACGATGGGTACCCGTGGTAGGCATTTTTCGCCCGTTCTTTTTACGCGTAGCCACCCGCCAATGCGATTTGCAAAACCTCTCCCCCACACTACGATGAGCGCCCGGAACCGGACGATTGCAGAGACACTAACATATCCCGCGCTTTGTCGGAGAAAAGTTAGACCAGGAGCTCCTGGATCAGCAAGCGGCAGTTTACAGAGTGGAGGGAGTAGACGAGAATGCACCAGCGGCACAGAACAAAAAGAAGCGGAAACAGAATGGCGACGAGGTATGTTTGATTTCGAGTTTGGACATGAGATTGGCACTGATGGCTGGCGCAGTCTGGTCAGAAGCAGAAAAAGGCGAGGGTCAATACTGCCTGCTATGTCACATCTCTTCCTCTTGATGCGGACAAGGACGAGATCAAGCATGTCTTCGGCAAGATGGGGTGAGTACTCCTCAAGTCCGTTTTCGAATGCGACTGATCCGGGTACAGGATGATTGCAGAAGAGATCGACTCTGGCCAGCCTCGAATCAAGATGTACGAGGATGACAAAGGCCAGTTCAAGGGCGATGCACTCATCGTCTACTTCAGACCTGAGTCTGTTGACCTCGCCATCCAGATGCTCGACGATACCGAGTTCCGCCTAGGGTCCCAGGGTCTCAATGGCAACATGCGGGTCCAGGCAGCGGACTTCTCATATAAGGCTCAGCAGGAGGCTCCCGAAAAGAAGAACAAGCGCGACCAACAGAAAGTGATCAAGAAGACGCAGAAAATGAACCATCGCTTGGCTGATTGGGATGACGACGATCCGCAGCAGCTGGCAGAGACCAGCTCAAAATGGGACAAGGTTGTCATTCTGAAGCACATGTTCACTCCGAAGGAGCTTGAGGTGCGTCAGGCTGCCTGATCCTGTGACTTATTGCTGATCCGCACATAGGAGGATCCTTCCGCCATTCTGGATATCAAGGAAGACATTAGAGATGAGTGCTCGAAGCTCGGAAACATTACCAATGTCGTCTTGTACGATTTGGAGGCCACTGGCGTTGCAAGCGTCAAGTTTACCGACCCTGATGCCGCTCTGGCGTGCGTCGAGGTCAGTACTGCCCCACGTTACAGGACTTAACTGATCAAGCTAACATTCACAGCTTATGAACGGCAGGTGGTTCGACGAGCGTCAACTTGAGGCTTACATCGCCAACGGCACCGAACGGTTCAAGAAGTCCAGCGATAAGTCGCAGTTACTCGGTGGCGATGAGAATGAGGACGAGAACGAGGAAAGTCGGATAGACAAGTTCGGCGAATGGCTGGAGGAAGAGAGGTAGACTCTTTGCCAGAAGTCTGCAAGATGATCCTTGGAAACTCGGCGATCCCGATGTACGACATCATTGTATAAGGGGTGTAGGCTGCATAATGCTGGTACGGTACGGACGTTCCACAACCGTGCCCCGTCAAGCAGGTTAGAGCTCGTACGACTACGGAGCCATTCTTCCGCTTCCTGATGGTATGATGCAAGCAAGCGATAATAGAGCTCGTCGTAAACTCGGCGTGCCGCCCACCGCCACTTGGGACATCATAAAAGATTGAGCTAACAAAGTGCCACAACTTCTACGGAGTATGTGTATGGAGTAGCTGGATGCCAAAAGTCCTCGAAGGAGGCAGTGAAACGATCTGCCCAATCAGCGAAAGTCCCCGTTCTCCGTACTGGATGCTGCCGCTTTTGGTGTTTTGGGACTCAGCCTGGTCTTTGGTCTGGCGTCTCTACACTTGGTTCCGATGGTGAACGGCGTCCCAGATGGTAGTAAGTTTCGATCAGCCCAGATGGTATGCACATCAAGTTCGATCTTGGTCCATGACCTCCTCAAACAAGTATCTCCTGCCAATGAGGCTGCAGTGCTGTCAATAACTGCTGGCCATCAACACCTATAAAGCGGCGATATGTCGTCTGTCCCTGGTATAGCCGCTTCCATTAAACCTAGCACCCGGGTCGGCCTCACCGAGCCCAGAGCTATTACGAGGCGAGCCAGTCGTAACACAAGAGGTTCAAGCAGTCAGCAACCTGGGACAAGACTAGCTGACACCTTGCTTCGAACCATCTGCACGTCAAGGTAGGTCCTTTTGTCAACCTTCCAACTTCCAGGCATTCTCTGCCCGCCAATCCGGCACCGACTAGCTTCACTCCAGCTCCTAGAAGCCCTGGTGGGAGTCCCCAAAGGACCCTCGGCTGTCGCCCGCTCCGGCTACCTGCTGTTTCTGTATCCAAACTCCAGTCACGGCCTTCAGCCTCAAGGCCAAATCGTGGCTCTGTTAGACGGCGAATGAGCCTTACTATCAATATCTAAAAGACTCGCTGTGGACTCGAGAGCGGTTTGTTTAAAAAGTACATAATTACGCGCTGGCCGTTGCCTCGTACCCGCCGACCACGACTGTAACGTGTCAATGTCCACTGCCACTGCCACTACTGCCCTTGGAGCATGGGCGAACAATTCGCCTCTGTACCCGAGTGATCCAACAGTCTCATCAGGCGTCATGTATGTTCCAGCCAGCCAACCGTACGAGTATCCTTTGCCCCAGCGGATTCCCGGACCCCGATTCGTTCCTGAGTCTGGCTCGCCGGATCTGGCCACCACCACGACGGGTCACTTGGCACCTCCTCGCAGGAAAAGGGCCTCCAAGCCAAAAGGTAGTGTGCACCATCTCCATCTCATTGTTCTGTGTACGTGGCCCGCCACTAACGATTACTGGTAGTCCGGACAGGATGCTCGACCTGCAAAGTATGTCCCCGCTTCGCTCGTATACCTGCTCGGCTCGGTCTCGCTTGACAGACCTGCGCCCATCCTTGTTTTGACCTCAATCTCGCCCCCTTCATACACACATCTTAGCTGAGACACCGACTTCGGGTTGCATGACTAACATGGCGATCTCAGATACGACGAATCAAGTGTGATGAGTCCAAGCCCAGCTGTAAGTCTTGCATTCGACCATGGCACTTCTACTTATAGTGCTCACGTGAACGCTTAGGTTTACGGTGTACATCTACCGGTCGAAAATGTGATGGGTACGAGTTCCCAAAGAAGACTCAGACAGAGCCGCAGCAGGGCCGGTCCTCCCTCTCGCCACCGACTAAGCGGCCCACTGTTTCATATACGGGTCTGATACTACCTGCTTCTCTTTCCCAACCATTCGAGGGCACCCTTCAGGAGAAGCGAATCTTTCATCGCTTCCAGGTCCGGTCAATACCAAGCTTCATCGGAGGCTCCGAAGCCAACTTCTGGACCAAAGTCGTGCTCAAGGCTGGCCAACAAGAACTCGTCGTTCGTAACGCAATCATAGCACTCGGCGCTCTGCACGAAGATTATCAGATCCGCAGTGGCAAGTACGACGCTCAGCTCATCGAGGATCAAAGCTACCGAGACGTGACCTTACTGTACGGCAAGGCTCTCCGTCAACTGAACCAACGCCTCAACGAGCCCACTAAGGAGAACGCCAAAATCGCCATTATATGTAGCATTCTCTTCGCCTGCTACGAAGTTCTCCGCCGCAATAACATGGCTGCTGTGGTACACTACCAACAAGGAATGAGACAACTGATGAGACAAATGACCCTTCCACCTGCCGCCTCCCCCACTGACGGCACCCTAACCACCTACCCAAATCAACAATCCAGCGTCACCGTCCGCTTCCGGGAGATACCGGAAGACGAGCTCGACGACATGATGCGCGTCTTCGCCCGCTACGACATCCAGGCCTGCACATTCAGCAAAGACATCGCCGAGCCACTCGGCACCGACGCCACCACACCGCGCTCCCTCCCTGCCGACCTCACCATCTCCCAAGTCCGCACCCACCTCGACAACCTTCTCATCTGCGTCTACCAGCTCATCAAATCCGACCTCCGCATGTACCGCTACTGGGATGTCACCGCCGTGCCCACGCAATGGCAGCACCGCCGCACCGACGCCATCAAAACCTTCCAAGACTGGCTGACCGCCCTCGAAGGCTTCTTCGCCAAGCCCGACGCCCCGTTGCGCCTCGCGCCCTCCGAGGAGAAATCCCTGCTCGGTCTCCGCCTGCAGATCCGCATCGCCATCATCATGCTACAGATGAGCATCGACCACAAGCCCGAAACCAGCTACGACGCCTTCAAGCCCGACTTTGACGACATGGTCACGCGCGTCGAACGACTCTTCGCCTCCCTCGCCCTCGTGGACGCCAAGCCCCTCGACGTCGAGTCCGTCGACTTCACCATGGAGCTGGGGCTCATTCACCCGCTCTTCTTCATCGCCACCAAGTGCCGCGATTGGAATATCCGACGGCGCGCGGTGGCGCTGCTGCGCAAAGCGGGGAAAGAAGGCGTGTGGGAGGGCCCCATCATGGCCGTGCTGGCGCAGAAGGTCATGAGGCTGGAGGAGCAGGGCATTGCGAGGGGTACCATGGTGCCCGAGCGCAACAGGTTTCATGATATCAAGAAGAATGTGGATTATGATAATCGGTTGGTGCTGTTTGAGATGAGTAAGCCGCTTGATGGGACGTATGATAATTGGCATTATCATAAGGATCGGGTGGCGTTTTGATCACGGGGGGTTTTGCGTATATATAGAGAGGGAAATATCTCGTGAGCCTATGGATAGGGGCACAAGCGCCTGTCTGTTATGAGTGGGACGACAGGCCCTGGGCTGCGGTGCGTTTTAGCGGCAATGCATACAGCGTGGGTAAAAGCGCGGTGTTTGGACGGGAACATGACTTGATGGGGTGCGTGGATGGGCTTCGAAGAAGCACAACCCCAATAATATGATACTATTACGACTTGAGTTGAGTTCTCCAGTCCACTTCCACTGCGAATCTTCCTGACGCTGGAGCTGCACTATTGCATCTATCATGGCGTTTTGTGTTGCCAGTGTTCCCAGCAAGGGTTTGTCCACCATCCCAATCCCGCACAACTTGAGGCCATATATGCTGCTCCGAACCGCTTCCACTCCACAGCAACTGGTCACCGCTACGCCCGCCGCTCCACGAAGCTGAGAATGCCCGTGACGATGTAGCGCCTCCCCAACACCACATTCTCAAGTCCTCAGCCCAATCCGACCATCATCACGCCCTTTGGAACCCGTCCGTAACTAACACTCAACCTCCCGCATCTCCTCCACAGGCACCACGCCCAGCAGTTTTGCCATCCCACCCCTCGCCCTCTCCGCCCAGGCGTTGCTCCGCGACCGGGCACCATCCTCAAACGTCGCCAGCGCCTCCACTGTGACCTCACCTCCGCCCTCTCGAATCAAAGTGGCCAACTCGGCGGCATCCTGCCACGCCGCGTTGGCGCCCACGCCCCCTACAGGAGGCATTGGGTGCGCTGCATCGCCGACGAGTGTGACGCGCGCATTCGTATCCCAGGCCGCGATGGGCGGGCGTGCCATGAGGAACGACAGCGGCGCGGCGGCGTCGGCGAGTTGATGCTCGGTGATGGCGCGAATGGTGGGGTGCCAGTTGGTAGTGAGTTTGGTGGCAAGGGCGGCGGCGCCAGCAGATTTGAGAGATAGGAATTCTGGGTCTGGCATGGTGGTGCTGGTCGTTTGCAGGAGGAGCACCCAGTAGAGGTAGTCGTCTGGGAGGCTTACTGGTGGTGGCGCGGTGGAGGTAGATAACAGTGAGTGGTTGAAGCGCATGGTGTCGCAAAACAACTTTACCTCTGGCTGTGCGGGATCACTGATGACGCTGATACCGTGGTTCAGGACTTGCTGGGGAACGGAGGTCGGGAGGGAAGCCAGCAGGGTCTTGCCGAAGATGGCGCGACCGGTGGTGTCTAGAACGGTGTAGTTGGGAAGGAATTGGCGCCGCACGGGCGAACGCACGCCGTCCGCGGCGACGAGAAGAGTGCCGGTTGCATCGGTGCCGTCGCCGAAGTGTGCGGTTACATCGTCGTCGCGCAGGGTGTAGTGGCTGAAATGCTTACCGAAGGTCATATGCTCGTCTAGTCCTTGCAGCAGCACGTTGCGAATGGTCGCGCGATCGACGTTCCACGCTTGGCCGGGTTGAGCGGGCATGCTACCTGGCGAAGACTCTGCGGTAGAGGCATCGATTTGGCAGCCATTTTTTATGACGGGAGCCGAGGTCCGATCGAACTGCTCATACAGCTGGGCTGGAAGTAGGGATTTCAGGGCGGAGGCCCCATCCTCAGAGATACGGATCCGGTAACCTTGCGAGCGAAATGAGCTTGATGTGTCGCGCTCGTAGATATGAAAGGGGATGTGCTGCGTGAGGAGTGACTGTCCTAGGGCTAGACCAGCAAGGCCACCACCGATGATGAGGATCTGAGATTTTGACATGGTGTGTTTGTATCTTAGGCTGGGAGCTGTTGCAGAGGGGCTATATCTGTCCCTTTGTTCTTTGCTTCAGCTCCGGTTCATATAGGTTGGGTTGAAGCCCGTGGTTCCGCTCGGCGCCGAAAGCTGGAATACTTCCAGGAAGGGTGTCCGAAAGGAGACATGGTAGCACCAGACGCAGCCAATCATCAATGACTAGATGATTAGCCTTTGCCAATCAACGAGCTGTTCGCCAGGCAGCTTGACTCACAAGATGAAGACGGCAATTGCAGTAGGCTCAGATACGAGGCTGTGTGGATGGACAGTTTGATGATATTAAGCACTTGCAACTGTATTAATTCGTGTAACGAGAACGTACCACGTAGAACACAGCACAGGGACCACCACTCTTACGAGCCTCTGCGGGCACAAACAAGTACCTTGGTCATCCTCGCTGGTACTGGAGCAGACAGATACTGTGAAGCTTGGAACCCGCGCTGGTGGCGGAATGATGCTGCATGACTTCAATGCAACGTCGATACAGACAGAGCAAATCGACCAGGAGCGACTATGAGGACGAGAAGTCATGTAATCTCCTACCTATTGTAAGCGCTTTGATGGGTGAGCTGCAGAGCCTGCCGAGCTTTGTGTGCTGTAGCTGAACAATCTTGAGCGGGTCGGAGGAGATACCACGCCTTTCGCTATCTTGAGGCCGATGGTACACCGGCATCGCAGCCACTTCATTCAAAGACTCAGAGGTATAGTTGGAGGTCAGTCCTTAGGTCAGTGGCTGCCTAATCATCTATCAGAGGCACAGGAGACCGAGGAAGAGCTGCTTTCCGAAGGAGCAAGGATTGTATAATTAGGGTAGCAATGCTTCGTTCGCTTTTCCAGAAGGACCGCCTTGTTCGATTTGTGTGGGAAATTAGCCCCGTAAGGCTAATCAGAAGCAGACTTGGCAGCAGTGCGCATCAAGGAGGGGCGGCGATCACTCCATCGGGATACTATGCCTTGGAGTGCTGTACGCTGTATTTGGATGTCATACTATATGGACACGATCGTCCCATGGCCATGCTTTTGTCCCTGCATGTTGCAGGCGGAGTGAAAGGCCACATTGCGGTCATGGAGCTGAGGCTATCGGAAAATAAAATGCACGCGCAGCAGCGCAGAGTTTTACTGAACAGCGGTGACCCCTGGAGGCCGCGGCTTTGGCGTCGGCCCGCGCGCCTTAGCTTGACCCAGTCTTCACTACACGCTGGTCTGACTCGTATTATCGTGTTTCGGTACTGTGCTCAAGAGTATTCGTCGTCTGACATAGACTGGAGGAGAGCAAGCAGTTGTGCATATAGCTTTGTAGTGGGACCTCGATAGAGGAAATCAGCGATGGGACATTCTCACGGACCTCGGATCTCACCAGCGTCGTTTGCACCAACATCATCGCTGGCATAGAGGACCATAAGCACCTCTAGAATGTGCGCTGGACAACGAAATTTACCGTAATTAATGGTATGGGAACATACGCCCCAGACTGGGCTACCAATCGGACGGGCGCACGTCACCGGCCCCTAGCGCGACGGGCTGCACCTTTTTCCTCCAGAAAGCCGGTCCCAGAAACTTGACCTTTGATGACACTTGAACACCTTGAATCATTCTACACGTCCACCGCCTATCCGTAACTTCCCCTACATCGGCCAGCTACTGACATTGCTTCGCTGTGAATGTCATGCTGCGTGCCATGTACCCTCAATTCTCTATCGCCCGCCATACCCTCCTCTAATCTCCCCAACGCTTCATGAATCCCGAGGAGCGCGGTACTCCACCTTCGCAATCGCCTCAACGCGTTCCCGCGCCCTTTTCGCACGACCGTTTGGCGGAGATCGTCCACGACCCTCAGAGAGGCCCCAGCCTTTCGTCCAATCCTTCCGACGTTGACAACGACTGGGTCAGCCCCTTTACTCTGCCTCCGCTGCCTGCCCTCCGCCGCAGTCGCGACCAAACTGGTCTTTTGAAGTCTCCAGAGCATCTACGCCAAAGAGGTGGAAGTGGTGCATATTACGCAGCTGCCTGGGGCTCACCCTACGCGTCACCCAGTCCGGAGTCTGCTTCCAAACGGTTTCGCGACGCCCGGCGTGGTAGTGACAACGACATAACCTCACCGCCGCGCTACGTTCAGTCTCAGCTCGCTAACACCCAGCCTCGCGCACGTCATTCACTTGACCTGAGCGACTCGCTTGAATCGCGTACGCAGGCTCTGCAGGGAGAATCTGAGAGACCTAACTGGCTGAGCGATTCAGACGAGAGCGACCGCGAGCGACCCCCTAAGAATCAGCGCACTCCTACAGCACGTACCGAGCTGGGGAGCTGGGGCCCGTCACCAGACCAGAGTCCGCTGAACTCCTCCCCAAGCAGTCGTCAGACCCACCAGACACACGAGTCGGTCGATACAGTTACTCCCGAAACCTTCAACGAACCCCAGACTGGTCGCTTCTTGCGGAAGCCCGCGCAGAGCAAGATGTCACAAGTTGAAGGTCTGCCCGCGGATATCTCACCAGACTCTGAGACTCAGAAGCCGCTGCCCGTTGTACCTAGTCACAGCCGACAGGGAAGCGTCGTTACATCAAAAATGGAAGCATCGAATTCCCCTTCTCGGCCACGGATGGGTTCGATCAGCTCTTTTCAGAAGCAGCGAAAGAAGGTTCTGTGGAAAGGGAGGAATTGCATTATTTCGTTGCCCATGACCGATCGTGAATCATCTGGTCTTCCACCGGTTCTCTCACCACAACAAGTCAAGGAAAGATTACAAGCCCTTAGATCCGAAGGCTACAGCACCGATGGCTTCGAGCTGACCGACACTGATGGCTCGTCCGCAACATTGAGCAATGGTCAGAGTCGTCCTACTTATCCAGACCCGACAGAAATGCACGCAGAGCGGCAGATGAGATCTTACAAGGTCTACATTCCCGATCAATCTGAGTGGCAGAAATGGGTCGAATACCTGCAGGAAGAGAAGCTTCGTGCCTTGGGCGTCACTCCAAGCAACTCTGAACCAGCGCAGTCAGGTCCCTCGCCGTTGTCAGCCTCCCTTTCGCGCAACTCGTCCCGTTTCCCTGGTCCAATTTCTCCACCAATTGGTACTTCCTCGGCTGCTAGCAATTCCGTCAGGGTGACTAGCAATCCCTTCTCGCCGGCCTTCAGCGCATCATCCGGTCGTGGATCAGCTATCGGCTCTGGCAATTCCTCACAGTTGAATGGGTTCCCTGGCCCCATGCATGGCTACAAAGGCTCAGTTGCTTTCCCTCTGGGTCAGGGCCGTATCACTTCTCCGGTGGACTTCGTCCCTGGCCAAAGTCCATACATCCCGAATGCACGCTCACCTGCTGCTGGACTCAATAGACAGCCGACGAATTTCTCACCAGTCAATCCACATGGCATTCAGAGCCTGGATAAGGTCGTTTTGTCTCCCCTGAATGGGCCCTCGAACAACCCTCAGCAGTCGGTTCCAAGCAACAGCCAGTCTTACTTCCCTGTTCAACCCACCGGGCTCGCCCACAAGGTTCAAGGGCAAACTCCGTCAAGTCTCAGCCCGCCAATTTCCTCTCAGCAGTCAATCAGTCTACCCCGTACACCCAACATCGAACAACTGTCCCGACCGCCGATAGAGATCCAGCACCCTACGCCCAGAAGCCACCGTCATAATCTCAGTGCTGCATTCCAGAAAGAGATCGATGACGCCGAGGCCGCGTTGGAGCGCGAGGATATGGAATACGAGGCTCGTGATAGAAGTGGTGCTGTGGACCAAGATGCCAAAGAACCAATACAACCAGAGGATGAATCTCACGAGGAGCTGCCTATTCTCAAGCGACCCGAGACTATGGGCGGAGCAGACGACCGATCCGAAATCGAAACCAATCCTAGCATTGCGGGTACACCAATGCTTCTGGACGACAAGAACCCTTTCAACAAATGGCAGGTATTGAGTGATGCCGCACGTGGCGACCGGCTAGAACCTACCAAAACCCACAAAGCACAAACCTCGCTGTCCAGGTTTAATGTTGAAGCTAAGGAATTTAATCCTACGGGTGGATTTCGGAGCTCAAACTTCAACTTCAGCGCTAACACTGGCATTACGCCCTTCGCTGCACCTTTCCAACCTTCTGCACACCCTTTTCAGCCGGCACCTCCGAAGCCTGCTGCGCCTGTAGTCCGGCCGACTCATGCATCAAAACCTTCGTTCTCACGCCTGAATGTCGGAGCTCCTGCGTTTGTACCAGGGTCAATCAGTGCGGAAGCTCCTGCTTTCGTCCCAGGCGCATCTGTGAAGCTACCAGAAAAAGCAGCGGAGAAGAGTGCGCCACCAGAGCCAACTCCCTTCAACTTTTCCTCCGTTACCTTCAACGTGGAAGCCCCGGCGTTCAATCCAGATGTTCCATCATCCGAAGTCTTCAAGTCATTTTTCAGCTCCAGTACTGGCCCCACACAGGATTCCAAAACTAGCATCTTCGGCGACATTAAAATTGAACCCGGGACCCAAGCTACTAGGAGAAACAAGGCTTTACCGATTGTGAGACCAAGGTCCAAGGATGGTCCAGCGGGTTCTGCCTCACCAGCGGCAGCTGAGCACTCGTCCGCAGAGGAGTCTGAGGGTGAGGACGGTCGGGCAATGCCGCCAACAGATCGAGCAAAACGAGCCCGTAAAGTTGGTAGCGATGGCGATCGCAGCCCAGTGTATGCGGAGTCCGCTCCATTCAACAACAATTCTCAGATCCTAAAAGAGATCGTCAATGATGCTGCAGTCCGTGGGGTCACCCCAGAGAAGCTGGACGAGAAGCCGACGGATGGCTGGTCCTATATCGCTGCTGATCCCGAGAGTATCGCGCCTAGGGCAATTACTCCAGCGCAAAAACTGAGATCCCCCAGAATGGGGTCGCCTTTCATGTTCGAGAACGAGTCTGATGCTGTCAAGTTCAGCGAGTCGCACCCTAGTCCTCACGGGTCAGCGGAACGGGACGCTTTGCTGGAAGATCTTGCCTCGTCCCCACTCAGCGACATTCTTCGGTCGCCAGAGCCGGCTCGGGACACAAGTCACAAGCCCAGGTTCTCTCTGTCGGCGCTTGCAGAGCCCTTCGAATTCAAGCCATCAAGGCCGGGAGATGTCGAGGCTCTACCGACTTCAAGCGCTCCCGAATCCGCCGGAGAAGCTTCCAAGGACTCGTCCCAGCAAGCTCCGCAACCGGCCCCGAAACCGAAAGGAAAGGGTCTCATGGCTTCTCGCTTTGCTAGCATGCCTTCATCATCACCGCCAAGCTCACCGCCGCCAGCTATACAGGAGCCATCATCGCCTCCGCCCACATCAGATTTACCTGTTCCGGAACCGGCCACAGATGACATTGCGAAGGATGTCGAGCTCTCTGAACCGCTGGACGAGACTGCTACATCCGATCTGGGCGAACCAGCCGGGACGATTGAGGCCAGCAGTACAGTTCAAAGCCCTCAGTCCGCCAAGCATCAGCAGGAAAGTTCATATCCGAGTTCCACGGTGGCACCAGAGCTGCACGATCGCGTTGCTTCCCTGGCCAGTTCCAGATATGCGCCGCGCAACGATCACAATCTATCCCTGTCCAGTTCTAGATATGCTCCCCAAAATGACAGCTCGTCTGCCATGGCAAGTCCTGCCTACATCCCTGGACGGAAAGAATTGCCAAGAGTGGAGTTCTCTGACGAAGGCGATGATCTCATGCCGTCCTTTGAGGAAATAGATGCTGTCATGAAACAGTTCGAAACCAATCCTGAGCTAGGTATCGAGCGACATGATTCTCCTGTGCAGTCTACGCCGTTGGTAGACATGCGCCTGGGCAATAACTTCCGCAGCGATGCACCCAGTCCAAGTCCCAGAAGACTTGACCGACACCCAGACCCCAACAATGAAGCTGCACAGGCTGCTTCCTTCGGTCTAGGACTTGGTATCCACAGACTCACTGCTGCCAAGGACGATGTCAGTGATTGGAACGATGCTATCTCTTCCACTGAAGAGGCCAAGCTGAACTCTCGGGCGCAGTTCTTTGATGGGCATGTCAACGATTTGGTCGATGGCGTTCTGGAGAACCGGCTGGGTCCGCTGGAGCGCACACTACAGGCCATTCAACACTCGGTCGCTCTTATGGCAGTGCGACCAGCTAGCAAGCAAAAGAGCATCTCAAGCGACCTCAAACAGTCTGACGCTGATGACGAAGATGAATACAACGCCTTTGAAGGCTACAGCGCTTACCGATCGCGATCGCCCGACGCGAAGCGCGATCGCAGAACCAGTAGAATTCGTGCTGCGGTCGCAGAAGGCATTGCGCAGTACAAAGAAAGTATGCCGGCCGCCGTGGCTCCTCCTACCGATCTCGCTGAATTGCGAGCCGAACTTGCGGATATGCGCGAACTGGTACAACATTCCTCTAGCAATGCACAGCTCCAAGCAGAGCTAGCGGAGATGCGGACGTTGCTCGAGAAAGGCGTTGGCAGTGCTGGCCAGAAGGACCTCAAGGCAACTCTTGAGCATGTCATCTCGTCTCATCCCCGGCTCCGTGGCTCCCGCGTACAGCAGGACCATGATTCGAGCACCACCAACGTCAAATTACAGCTCGATGGCCTCGAAGCGATGCTCAAGGTCGAGCAAGAACGTGCAGAACATGAAGCTCGATTACGCAAACAAAAGGAAGACGAGGTTCTGGAGCTGCGACGTAAACTTCAGCTGGCGGAAGACGAAGCTGCCGAGCAGCGAGAGGCTTCTGACCAGGCGGAGCAGAATCTCAAGGCCTTTGTCCATGAGAAAGAGGCTTACTTGGCATCGCAGCAGCAGGTTGAGAAGCTCAATATGATCATCGACGAGCAGGAAGAGAATCTCAACGAGTACCGTCGGTATAAGAAAGATCATCAAGAAGATCTCGACCGAGTTAGGCAGAGTAACCGCACGCTCATCGAGGATCTTGAAGCTTCACGCACCAAGACAAGAGAATTGGCACTTACCATCGAGGATGAACGGTTGAGGATAAAGGACCTGACCGACGATCTTGAAGACGAGCAAATCAAGAACAAAGATCTCACACGTACCCTGTGGGATGTCAGAGATCAACTCGAGGAGAGGACCAAGGCCTCGCGTGCGCTGCACGTCAAGACTGATGCGCTCCGTACTGAGGTTACAAATGCTGTCCGCGAGTTGGGTAAGGAGCAAGCTGACTGGAGACAACGCGAACACGAGCTCCTCACCAAGATGACGATCATCGAGGGAGCGCTCGACTCAGCAACGCGACGACAAGAGAAGGCTGAAGTTGACCACGACTACGTGGCCAAACAGCTCAAAGATGCCCTTGTCTACAAAGATCGCTTCGAACATTTGCAATCTGATATGGCTAAATCCCAAGAAGCCATGGCAGCGCTTCGTGCCGAGCGAATCAAGCACGAGGACAATGCCTATCGGCTCGATCGCGAGCTTGCCCATGTCAAGGAAAGCAAAGCTGCCGATATTGCCACTGCAACAGCCCGTTTACAAGCCGAAGCCGAAGGTGCTCGTTCTCAACTCGAAGGGCTCCGGTCGGACTCGGAAGCCCGCATTACTCGCCTTCAAGCAAGACTCGATACTGCAGAGATCGACATCGAGGATCACAAAGCCAAGTACGACAGCGCCATTACTGAAGCCGAGGAGACTCGGAAGCAAGCTCTTCAGGAACAGGCGGAGAAGCATGAAGCTGTCCTAGAGGAGCAGCGATCCAGCCATGACCGGCATTTGGCCGACTTGAGAGAACGCCATACTCGTGCTATGCATAATTCGTCTGATGACAAGCATAGACTCGAGCACCAGTTCAATGAGAGGCTCGCCTTTAGTGACGACAAGGTCAAACATCTCGAGGGCAAGGTGTCTGATCTGGAGGAGCGTCTGGAAGTTACGAGATCCGCGGCGAGAGCGGCTGTCGAAGCTGCAACCGGCAAGACGGTCAATAATCTGCCCACTCCAGCCAACTCGGTCGTAGCATCTCCTCCCCAGCGAGCCCAGAGCGCATCGCTTTCGCTTGTCAAAGGTACCGAGATTCCAGAAAAGATCCCAGTACAAAGTTTGCGCGAGTCGATCATGGTTCTACAAGATCAGCTGCAAAATCGCGAGCAGCAAATCGAGAAGCTTGAGGCTGAAATTGCTGCTGTGGACAAGGAGGCTCCCAACAAGCTTAAGGCGCACGAAACCGAAAACACCTGGCTTAGAGAGCTTCTTGGTGTAAGGATCGATGATATCGAGGACATCATTCAGACCCTATCCAAGCCAGACTACAACCGAGAGGCCGTCAAGGACGCTGCGATCCGCCTCAAGACCAACATCCAAATGGAACAACAAATACGTGAGCGTGCCGCCAGCAATGCTGGAGCCGCACCTGCTCTTCCATCGTTATCGTCTTTGGCTAGCTACGCCCAGTCACCTCGAGCTGCGCTTCCAATGGCCGCCGCCGCAGCCTGGGGTAATTTCCGCAAGGCAAGAGATGTTTCTATGAACACGCTTGGTCAAATCGCCAACGATTATGCCAACACCCCGTCAAAAGCCGGTCGCGGTCGCGCAGTCAGCCCTGCTGGCAGCTGGTCTTCTGGCATCATGACTCCGCCCAACACAATTCAACAGCCTGGTCGGACACCGTCAGCTGACGCCTCATCAATGCCGCCGCCAGCGATGCGACCTCTCGCTGCCGCCGCAGCAGCCCGCAAAGTGGCCACACCTACACCAACACCTGCCAGTGCCTCCCATGAAGCTCGACCACTCCGGGCGTTCAGCTCGCAACCTAGAGCGCTGCGGACTAAGCTAGAGTCGGTCGATGGTAGAGACCCTCTAGCCGACGCCGGTGAAGGCAGCAGTCTGCGAAGCCCGAGCCCAGAATCGCCGACCGCGATCAAAGGTCGGCAGAACATCGACCTTGGTGACGACGTCGACGAGGACGCGAGCCCGCTTGACGAACGTGGCGAATTGAAGCCTTTTGACGATCTCCCTCCGACTCCTCACGAGATCGAGGCTGAGGCTGAGCGGGAAAATGCCGAGTGAGCTAGCAACTCGCCGTTGACGCATATGCTGCTGCACTCGAAACGACACTGAAGTAAGAAGTGCGCACGCGCGCGCCGCTTCTGGGGAAGAGGAAGACGAAGTAGAATGAAATTTACGGGCACGCGCCCCGGTCAGAAGAACGCATCTCGCGCCCAGTGAAGAAGAGGAAGAGGGAAAAAAGGAGGAGGAGAGCAAGCGAGTTTTTACGAAGATTGTCGAATTTCCTTTTGTCATTAACTTGATGTGCATAATTTACCCTTTTGTTTAACCCTGTTCAACATGGTCGGCTTTGGAGATCAGCGAGACATAACAACATTCGCTTCCTTTTGCAAAGATTCTGGGATGGGGCCCTAGACGGGCAGCATGCAGCAAGCAAGCAAGCACATACCTTAATTACCTTTTTCTTGTTGGCGGAGGTTCAGTTCAGGCAAGCGTTTGTGTTGTGTTGAGTGTGTGGATTCATGAGATTGCAGCGAGAAGCGAGCACCATCTTTTTCCGGGAGAGGAAGGAATACCCAATTCCAAGACTGACTGACTGTCCTTTGTTGGCTTTTTTGTATTTTGTGTCCGGTTCGACTTTTGTTCGAATCGAAAGAGAATGATACCCCCCCTTTGCTCCTTGCTGCTAGTACCATTGTTTTTGGTTTGCTGGAGCTGAGATTGTTGGAACGTTGAACGTTTGGCTGATTCCTGGGATGGATGATTACTTCCGGCACAAAATGATGCTGTGGGTGTCAAACGTAGTAAGTACATAGATTGCCGAAAATGGGAGATCAAATACTCTCTGCTCCTATGTACCTCTTTTTGGGCGGTGGTAGCTCGTCGTTCTTCCTGGCTGATTGGGGAGGAGTCTGGCTTCACACGTTCATCCGCCCACATATGGTGTCGAGGTTGCTCGAATGGTCAGCTTATTTGGGGGTCTAGTAGCCACACCACGGAAAAAGCACATGTCGTCGCCATCATCCTTATGTGGCTTATTCCACTATGGTCATGCTCCCCACGTCTGGGACACCTACAACGGTTGGAAACGGTCATCCAGGATTCCGGAACCTCGCGTCCACCCACATCGCATCCAGGACAAGGAACGTTATGAGGAAAGGCAGCGCCAGGAGCCACCGCCTCTTCACCTCCCGGCCAACAAGCAGCACGAGAAAGACGCCGAAACCGGGAATGAAACTATAATACGGGCTCCAGGCCACCCAGACAAGCGAGTCCCAGTACATCGTGTAGCTGCACCAGCTCAGGATCACCATGATGTCGAAGAAGACGGCCGCCAGCAGCCACCATATCTCGTCTTTCAGCCATTGCTTGAAGCTGAAGGTCTTCCGCCACCGTCTGACCCTGGCCCAGTTGGTTGCGTCGTCCGTCGGGCAGAGGTCGGCGTACGTGAGCTGAACATTCTTGCTGAGGGTTTGCAGCTTGGAGTTTGCGTGCAGACGGACTTTGTCTGGATCGAGATCGACGAGGGGTTCTTTCATCGCTTGCGACATGTCGAGGACGGCGCGTTCGATGCCCATGTGACGCTTCAGAAGTTCCGGGTGGGAATGCAGCCAGGAGTTGAGGTGCAAAGCGTACATTCCGATGGCCCACACGAGGGCGGCGACGACGTAGGCGTAGAGCAGGAGGAAGGAGAAGCCCCATTGGTATTTGACTTCGCCGCGTTGCTGGCAGCTGCTGGCGTCGTTGAAGTCGGCTTCGTCGTAGATGGTTTGAGATTGGCTCTCCCAAAACAATGGATTCGCGACGTCGAAGACTTTGCTGCCAGTGTCTCGGTCTACCCATGAGTGCCCGCTTGGCATCCGGTCCCAATCGTCCTCCGAGTAGCCGGCTTGCTGCATTTGGGCCAGGCTTGCAGCGAAATGAGCCGAGATATTCAAGGCCGGATTGAGCTGGATCGCCGTCGTGGTGTTGCTGGAATCGTCAGGTTGCTGGAATGTGGTGTTGGACGCGCCCAGCAGGCCGTAGTATTTCCCGAGCAAGCCGTACTCGGCAACGTACTTGGATACCGCCCACATCCATTTGCATTCATTCGTGGTGGATGAACGAAATATAATTCGTCCGCTAGCCGCATCCACATCATCGACCCCATAGGGGCTGCAAGAATAGATGTTCTGATAAGACAGCATGGCGTCGCCATCAAACGAAAGAGCAATCCTAGTTTCATCGATGAAGCCGTCTCCTAGCCGCGAGCCATCATGCACAGTGTACACCACTGGCTTGAAATTTGTGGCTGGGACCAGGAGGGAGTCCCTGTCCTGGACAAATAACACTACAGCAGCGGTGTATCCGGTCATGGCGCTAACCCACGTAGGCGTCAGCAAGACAAATGCACCGGCGAATATGATCCAGAGGATGGTTGCCTTTCCGCGAGATCCCTTTGTACTCCACAGACCCTTTGCGAGGTTTGCCATACCCGCGACTGTGTCGTTCTGTAGGGTCACGGCCTTGAAGGTGTGATGGTGAAGTGATGACCTCTCCATCAGGTAGCTGATAGCTTTGGTGAAGACGGAATACGAAATCCAGGCGAGAAATGCCTGACCACCACGGCCGACTCCCTGGCATCCACAGTTAGAAGCTTTTATCGTGAGGCTCAAAGGTACAGGAATACACAGACCACGTCCCATGAAACATCGATGAGTTTGGCAATGCCGAACGAATAGCTGCCGAACTTGATGTTGACAGCAAAAAAGGAGCTCCGGGTCCAAGGTGTATAATGCAGGTTGTCAAGTGACAGCTCGAAGTCTCCATCGGGCGTGCAGCCTCCGTCTTCCTCGGTAAAGAAGATTCCGGGCAGGCTTGACATCAGAATAAGCAGTACGAGTAGGAGTAGTATCGAAAGCAACGGAAGGAGATGCGAGAAGAATTGTCGACCAAGCCATCCGAACTTGGAGTTCTGCACATCGCGTAACACCTGGATCCAGAACGTCTTCTGCCACACGAAGCCTCTTTTCTGAGGGCGATCATCATACTTGATCAGTGCCGGTGTTGTCGATGTGGTCCGTGTAGGCGTTTTACCCTCACCGCTGCGATTATCAACATCGAAGGGGCGAAGAGGTTCATAAGGCTGAAAAATGTCGTTGTTCCCGGCAAGGATGGAAGATCGGGCTTGGGCTCGGGCATCTGATATGTCACTGCAAGCAATCCAGGTATCTCCCATGGTGTATACGGTATCGTCAGGCTGAACAACAGGTTATGGGAACAGCCCAAAGCAAACATTAGAAGATAGCAAAACGAGGTTATGTGCAAGGCTTGTGCGATATATGCATCGTGATCCTGGGGAATGGGCGCCCGGCTGGCAGCGACTTGCTCGTGTTTGACAATTGACAGCACGGACTTGGGCTCGGCTTGCATAGCCCCCACCTTGATCACGAGAAATGGTGGGTATACCGTGTTCAAACTGAGACGCACAGCCTAATGACCTAACGCTGTCGATTACCGAGGTTGGAACAAGCAGGATTTTCGCCAAAGGAGACTCGTTGTTCATGTTCGGCATTTGCGCATTTCGTCAGCTGGACGGAAGCTGGGAGTCGCCTTGTACGAAATCTGGGGAAGAGGAATGCAGCGATTTAGGCTCAGAATGGGGACACAGCCACCAGACCACCAGACGAAAGGCAGCTTGGCAGCCAGCTTTGCAAGCCATTGGGCTGAAATAAGTTACATAACGTAGTGTGAATGGAGGTGTTCCAGCCTGGTCAGACGCCACTGCTTGACGGCCTTGTAGAAGTGTTAGAGCGGGCCTGCTTGATTGTAGACCAGTCCACCTCCTTATGGGAAAGATGTGCTTGTATAGTTCACCCAGATCCCACCAAGGGTGCGAGGTACGGTCATCTTACGGCACCGCAGTCCCGAGGTCCCAATGAACATCCCCCACGGCGGTATTATGTCAAACTCCCGCTCCGCCCTCGTTGCCAAGAATACGACGTGTTCCAGACCGCCTGGGCAACTGAGCTGTCCCGGCCTCCTCTGCATAAAAGCCCGAAAACATGCACATACTTGAGTGCAAGCCTATGAGGCCCTCTAGCTGCGACGCGGCATCACAGCAGCAGGATTCTCGAAGAGACTGTGCGATCTGGATATTCTATCTATCCCATCGAGGCAAGGGAAACATCAGGCAGTGAAAGTCGCGCTAAGCCTGATCTGGCAGTAATTCACGAATATTGCTTCAACGATCACCACAAGCAAGCGAACACCGGACTGATAGGCCAAGTCCCTAGAAGTGTTGTTGAGCGGAAGCGAAGTCGTTGGGGATCATGACACCGCCACGGGGAAGGACATGATGTACAGATCGTGTCACGCAGAACGAACTGCGAACACCACCCCCAAGGTTGTCAAGACGTAGGATGGTGGCCAGACTACGCTTCAGTCAACGCTCAGCTCTTTGGTCCATCTGACGTTACCTACTGACGTCCTTTAGGCTCTGCTATAGATAACTCTCGGTCCTGCTCGGAAGGGCAAACAACTTTCACCTCACGGCATCCGCTCCAGGAAAGAGATCGACGCACGTATTCGCACTCTTGAAATCCTTGGCACGAATCTGCCTTGTTCGCCGTCTTTCAGCCCCTTTGAGACCCGCAACATGCTTCTATTACAGGTATGAGATGTGCATGACGAGCTTGGCCAGCAGCGTACTCGGAGCAGAGAAGTAGAAGACAAACTCCAACACAGGCTTTGGCAGGCCACGGCGTTTCTTCAAAAGTTGAGCACATGGATATTTGTGGTGAGGCACGGTACTCCGCGTACAGCTTCGCGAACGGTATATAAAGCAGCCATGCACCCCTCGAACGGCACAGCACAGCAAGTACTCAGCCTAGCGGAGCAGCTCAAGCCGATACCAGACCTCATCATGTCCACTTTCACACTATTGACTGCTGTCCTCGCGACCCTCCTCCCCCTCTCCACCTCCACCCCCCAACACTGCAAGCCCATGCCCAACACCCCCAACTGGCCCTCCCCCACCGCCTGGCAAACCCTCAACAACACCCTCAACGGCCACCTCCTCTCCCCACCCCCACCAGGCGCCGTCTGCCACCCGACCCACCCCCTCTACAACAACGCCTCCTGCACCGCCCTCCTCACCTCCTGGACCTCCTCCGACTTCCACGCCCGCAACCCCATCACCTCCGACTACAACGACGACACCTGCCGCCCGGACCCCACCCGGCCCTGCTCCCGCGACGGCTACCCGGCTTACACCGTCAACGCCACCGAAGCCGCCCACGTCGCCGCCGCCGTCCGCTTTGCGCGCGACACGGGCGTCCGCTTTGTCGTCAAGGGCACGGGCCACGACTTCCCCGGCCGCTCGGCGGGGCGTGGCGCCCTGTCCGTGCACACGCACTGGCTGCGTGGCGTGGAGGTGCTGCACGAAGACCCCCGCGCCGCAAAGTACGGCGGTGTCGCGGCCGTCAAGATCGGCGCCGGGATGCGCTGGGGCGAGGTGTACGCGGCGGTGGCGAAGGAGAATGTGACGGTCGTGGGCGGCGCGGATCTGAATGTCGGCGTGGGCGGCTGGACGGGCGGAGGCGGCCACAGCCCCGTGTCCAGCATGTACGGGCTGGGCGCGGACAATGTGCTGGAGATGGAGGTGGTCACGGCGGACGGGGAGGTGCGGACCATCAACGAAGAGTGTGAGCCGGACTTGTTCTGGGCCATGCGAGGCGGCGGGCCGGGCACGTATGCGGTGATGCTGTCGGTGACGATGCGCGCCCACCCGGCCACGATGCTGTCGACGTACGCCTTCTCCTACAGCACCACCGCCCTCAGCGCCGCGTTCTGGAACATGACCGCCTACTTCCACACGCAGATCCCGCGCATCGCCGACGCCGGCGCCATGGGCTACTACTTTACCGTCCCCAACATCACCGCCCTCGGCGCCGACGCCTCCGCCTTCCCCGGCAACATCGATGCCACCACCGTCGACGCCTCCCAAGCCGGCCTCCTCGCGGGCCTCCTCCTCTTCCCCAGCACCGCCAACGCCACCGAGATCATGACACCCCTCGAAACCGCCCTCGCCGCCCTCGAGCAGCCCCACCCCATCCACACCTCGCACACCGCCACGCCCCCCACCGACTTCTGGACCATCTGGTCGCAAACGCAGCCCCAATCCGTCGGCAGCACCAACACACGCCTGGGCTCCTGGCTGCTCGGCGCTGAGGGCATTACCAGCAAGCCCGTGCCGGAACTCGCCGCCACGCTGGCCGCCGCGAGCGGCGGCCTCCCGCTCCCGCAGCTGGGACACATGGTGGCGGGCCCAGGCGTGCGCAACGCCCCCAAACGTCTGCCCGGCGGCGGGGACGCGGTGCTGCCGGCGTGGCGAGACGCGTATACGCACGTGGTGCTGCCGGCGGGGTGGGCGGGCGCGGAAGACGAGGAGGCAGCGACGGCGGCGTTGAGGAGGAGGGTGGGTGCGTTGAAGAGCCTGCAGCCGGGGAGCGGGGCGTATTATAATGAGGCGGACCCGACGAATGAGGCGTGGAAGAGGGATTATTATGGGGAGAATTATGGGAGGTTGGCGGCGGTGAAGGGCCGGTGGGATCCTGAGGGCGTGTTCTGGTGTAAGGCGTGCGTGGGGAGTGACGAGTGGGTGGTTAGTGGGGGGGAGGGGGTTGGGCAGGAGGCGGAGAGGCTGTGTCGGAAGGCTTGAAAGGGGTCTGGAGGAGAGGAAGTGGTTGTGGGAGTCTCTCTTGGTGTGGCGGGTGGGTGGTACCTTGTATACGTGGAAAACAGGCTATCTGTCTTACCAAGATCTTTTAAATTCAACCGAACATGCCGAAATGAAGAACAACCAAAGACACTAAATGGATCTATTGTGCGGCTTTCACAACTTGGCCTTCTCCTTCCCTAGACCGGGCGCAAAAGTCGTTCCCTGCTCGCCGCCCAGCGCTCCGACGATGGCATCCACGCTCTCCAAAATCCACTTATTGCCCTCCTCACTGGCCAGCCATTCGCCTCCCTCCAAGTCCTCCTCGGCAGACCCGTCCTCGAACGCCTTGCGCAGCCCAAAGACATGGCTCAACACCTGTGGACCCACGCCGGTCTGTGCTCGCAGGCACGCGATCGCCACCAAGCTAGCCAGTACGCGTCCGACTTGGGCAGGCATGTTGTGATCCGGGTCGGAGAGCAGGGTGCCGTAGTGCGCGGAGATGATGTGGATCGGCAAGTTGGGATGCGACGCGGCGAGCTTGTCCACGAGCTTGTCCTCGAAGGGCCGGTAGATGCTGTTCCAGAGGGCGCGGCCGCGTGAGACGACGGCATCGGCGTTCTTGGAGGAGAGCTGGCGCGTGCCGGAGGTGGCGAGTTGGGCTTGGACGTCCTTGGGGAGACCGTCGCGGAAGGCGCCTAGGTTGTTGATGACGCGGGGAATGCCGTTGAAGGAAATGCATTTGAGGCCGACTTCGCGCATCAATTCGGCGGATTCGGTGGGGGTCAGTGTTGATGGTGGCTGCGACGCTATCGAGTGTAGTTGTAAGAGTGATGCTGGTGAGTTCATTGTCATCGTGGTGGCAGTGGAGATGGTGAGCCATGCAGGTGTTCCGACATTGTGTGACCGTGCGGACTCGGCGATTTGGCTGTATATGGATTTAATGTTGGTGGGAGCTTTGGTGACGTTCGGCCTTGCATGGGCAGCATTGATGAGGGCTTTCAGGCCCTCTGAGAGCTTCGACATGTTTGCTGTCGATGGAGAGCGACGTCCTTGGGGCTGCCGAGGTTGACGTGAGAGCTGGGCAGTGTCTGATCATGAGCTTCGTAATTCAAAGCTGCGGAATTTTCAGGGACTGAATACCTTTCTGCGCGCTCTTTGTGCCGGTCTCTCCCATATGAGGCTCTTTGGGACTTGTGCAGGGGTCTGCTTAGAATGGCCAGGTGTCCGGCTGGTCGTCACGATTGAGAACTTCGGCAAAGCATCATTGATGCCGATCCCTCCTCGGCATCTGTCGGTCATATTTTATGACCGCCTGCCAAGCACGAGCAGCCCCCGGGGGGTCCCCGATACGGGGCCTGTGGCATTCGGCACTCCGGCCTCTTTCACCGTTGTTTGTAATGTGCACGTAGCTGTACAGTGTTGCAGATGAAGATACGTGCCATCAGATGGCTCTTGACTTCCGCCAGAGACCATGTTGTGGATGGAAACTCGAAAGTAGGCATAGTACAGATCTTTAAACGTCTGGCTGAAGACCTCCCAGGCGCCGACCGGCGCCCATCGGACCTGAATGCGTACCTAAGAATGGTACCCACACATAAGCATCAGCAAGCCTGTCAAGGTTGCTGCAAGCTTCCTGGGCACCCACCCCGGGATGACATGTGAGGGTTGGCACCTTTCTCATCCCGTCACCCCTACAAAGATCGTCCTCTTGTGGCCTGCCCTGCCCAATCATGATAACGGCACGGGACTCCGTGGTCCTTGAAGCTGTTCCCGTTCCCCGGCCGCTGTCATCCCGGACAAACGATGTAACGCGCGATGTAGAGTAGGCCTAAGGACCCTCTCGGTCCCCAGAAGAATGTCCTCCAGCGGAAACCCCCAGCAGTTCTCGTGGGGTTGGACGGGGGTTGATAAGCAGAGCGTTCCCCGGATTGAGGGTCTGAAGTTTGATTCCACCTCCATATTCTGTTTCGCATCAACCGAACCTCAGAACGTTCATCTTTTTACCTAGGTCTGCATCTTGCTTCAGGTCTTTCAGGATGGGCGGCAAGACAGAGAGTCTCGACGGGGCGCGAGATGTCATTGCTCCAGAGAAGGCCGAGATTGCCATCCATGAGGAGGATGTGCTTGCGAGGAAGATGACGAGGAAAATTCTGTGGAAGCTCGACACAAGGTAAGTTCAAGTGAGGCCGAAGTGATGCACAGGTGAGATCAAGATGAGTCGGCACTGATACCCTACCAGGGTCCTCCCAGTGCTCGCCCTGCTATTCCTCTGCTCATTTCTCGACCGCACCAACGTCGGCAATGCCAAAATCCTCGGTCTCGAGGACGATCTCGGCATCAGCAACGACCAATACGCCAACGGTCTTGCCATCTTCTACGCCTTCTACATCGCCTCAGAGGTGCCGTCGAATCTGGTTCTTAAACGAGTCACGCCGCGGATCTGGCTGCCACTATTGACCTTCCTCTGGGGTGTCGTCGGCATGTGTCTCGGATTCGTCCGGAACTACGGCGACTTCCTCGCCGTCCGCGCGCTGCTGGGCTTGACTGAAGGTGGTCTCCTACCCGGCATGGTCCTCTACCTGTCGTCGATGTATACCCGAGCAGAGCTAGCTCTACGCATTGGACTCTTCTACACCACAGCCTCCCTCTCCGGAGCCTTCGGAGGTCTACTGGCCCGTGGCCTCAGCGCCATCCCCACCACATCCGGCGTCGATGCCCAATGGAGGTGGATCATGATCATCGAAGGCGTCCTCACCAGCGTCGTCGGCGCTCTGGCCTTCCTCGCCCTGCCAAACTCCGTCGCCACCGCTAGCTTCCTCTCCCCCGAGGAACGCGAGCTGGCACAGAAGCGCCTCTACCTATCGCACAACACCTCCCTCCCCCGCGCCACCGGCCCCCCGGAGCCCGAGCGCTTCAGATGGTCCGAGGTCGTCCGCGGCCTGACATCACCCCAGCTCTGGCTCAGCGGCACCGCCTACTTCGCCATCCTCAGCGGCCTCTACTCCTTCGGCCTCTTCCTGCCCTCCATCGTCGTCAGCCTAGGCTACGAAGCCAACACCGCCCAACTCATGACCGTCCCGCCCTACGCCGTCGCCGCCGCCATCACCGTCCTGGTCGCCTACCTCTCGGACCGCCTGCGCGCCCGCGGCATCGTCATGCTCTTCACCCTCCCCATCGCCATCATCGGCTACGCCGCCATCGCCAACGTCGGCGACGACGCCAACGCCGTCAAGTACGGCATGGTTTTCCTCATGGCCACGGGCCTCTATGCGTCTGTGCCGCCCATATTGGTGTGGATCTCCAATAACTCCGCCGGCCACTACAAGCGCGCCACCACGACGGCCATGCAACTCGCCATCGCAAATTGCGGTGGGTTCGTGACGACCTTCATCTATCCGAACAAGGAGAAGCCGAGTTACTTCAAGAGTCACAGTATCGTGTTGGGGCTGTTGTGCTATGCTTGGGCTGCGTGAGTGTTTCCTTTCCTCATATTTCTTTTTTGCCTAAATTGTATCTTTTCCACGATTCCTGTATCTATATTTTACTGACCAGCAGCAGCATTCTGTGCAACGTTCTATACTGCGCGAAGATCAACAGGGACAAGGCTGCAGGGAAGTACGACAAATACAGCGGCCTTGGTGATGATCGGGAGCCGACGTTCAAGATGGTCTTGTGAAGCAGCAAGCCTCCTGACTGAGTTGCTCAGAGAGCCAAAAGGGCCAATGAATGGATGAAGGTGAAAAATATAGCCGGCCGGTATATTACATCTGGAGCCTTTGCCGAGAGAATAATTTCATCCATTTTAACATAACCTTTTCTACAGGAGATCAAGGGAAAAGCTGGAGGCCCCTCCTCTTCCCTTCATTTGAAACGGGCAAACTGCGACGGGAATACTAACGTACCACCCCCGGGGTTCCCTACTCCTCGCTTGGAACGCTTCAAGAAGGCCTTGTTGAACAACCGTGCCCTTAGCGTCAAACCCCGTTTCCGTTCAGCTGAAAGCGTTGCCTTTCCTGTTTCCTGTCTCAATGAAGAATCCTCAATTTTCACACTGCTACGACCCCACTAACAAAACCGCCGCCGCCGCCGCCAGCCCCAATCCCAGCACCCCAACGCCCCCTACCCTCGCAGCCCCATTCTCACTACTCCCACTCCCACTCCCACTCCCACTCGCTCCATCACCATTACTCTCCGCGGCCGCACCAGGCGCCTCGCTGGGCAGACTCTCCAACGCCACCCCACCCGTGATAGTAACGGGCATCTCGCTAAAGGCAATGTCCTCGGTGGCGTATGTGGTCGTGACGGTAGTTCCCGTACCGGCAACACTGGCGTCAATGGTGCAGCCGATGCTGCCGGAGCTGATGGCGCAGTGGGTGTCCATTGTTAGGAGGTTTTGGGATGTGAATTGAAGACCCTGTAGGAGAGAAGCCATTAGCATATTCTACTTCCGGGGATGGTGGTCATGTGTCGATGTGGCCGTGCGTTGGCTGATGATGCATGGCTAAGGCATGTCGAGTATCATAGATAGACTGGCGTGAGAGGAAAGAGGAAAGATGCAAGGCTCACGTATGTAGACGGCCCATTGACGATCGTCATGATAGGGTACTGCACATTAGGCCCGCCAATGATCTCCGCGATATGGTATGTCGTGGCTGAGGGCTCCGCTGCGATGACTGAGGCTAGGAGCTCGACATCTGGGTCGATGGAGACGGCGGTGCCTTCGAGCGCGACGAAATAGACGGTGGCTGGCGTGCCCGAGACCGAGGGGGACGCGGTAGAGGAGGAGAAGTCGCTGCCAGTGCTTGTTGGAGTGAACAGGTCGGTTCGGGAGTTGGATGAATCAGGCGGGGCGAATATGTCGTTCAGCGTGGTGGTCTGCGCGTGGATAGCACTGGCAGCCAGTAAAAGACTGCTTAGGATGTATTGGTGTTGCTGCATCTTCGTAGAGCAGTGACGCTGTGCGATGGAAACGGTGACGCCTGGCTTCAGCAACGATGCCTAGCTCTGTATGTAGCGCAGATTCGTGATACTGTTTATTTGTATCTCATGGAAATGAGAGAGGGAATAATGATCCAGAGGACATAGTACAGCGCGACACCTGAGCTTTTTGTAGAAGAACTGATTATTGTCTCAGCCATTCCCAGGGTATAGTCGACCACAGTGTAGCGGAAGCGATCGTGTGATGTCTGCCGTAGCTGCGAGATTGCTGGCTCGCAAGGCTCCTTGGAGGCTTGGTGACTTATAACAAGTCGCCGTTCGGTCCCGTCGCAGCGACTGGTGGTGCCAAGTTATTGCTATCTTTGGAACCCTAGTTTGCTCGGCGGGCCGCCAAGAGTGGTGATTCGGGTCGATCTTTTTTGATGGCACGGTCGGGTATGACAAGACCGTTTACTCCGTATGTTGACCTGATTGATGACCCGTGCTTGCTGTGATTCGATGACCATGATCAGCTTGGTTCAGTCCATGAACGGCGCGATCATTAGTCCTTCATTCAATTGGCATATCTGACCCGAGACGACATGGTCCTGCGCGCTCCCGCTGAAGCGAGGTGACAGACTGCCCCGATCTCCGGGCCGAGATGATTGATCATCTCCTATCCTAGATCAGACAAGATCAAAAAGAGGCTCTTTCGACGCGCACACTCTCGCTCACACCAAAGTCTCCCCTTGACTGAATGCAGTCCGCCGACAACGTCCCGGCGCCTGCGGCAACGAACACCTTGCCGAGCGCGACAATCCAGACCCCGCTCCGCTCTCCTTGCCCCTGTCATTGCTGTCTTCGTTTTCAACGCTGATAGAGAGGTCGGAGAGACCTGGCCTCAGCATCGGCAGGCTCTCAAGCGGTTCACCTCGATCATAATTCTCTGGGTGAAGCTGACTTAAGGAGGGTAAACGTCGAGGTCAGAGTTGCTGTAGTCGCTGTGGTTTCGGTCTTAAAAAGTGCAGTCGGCACTGCGGGAGCTGGAGATGAAGTCTCACTGCACATTGACGGTCCATGTGCCCTCGTTGGTAGATTGTGGGGCTATGAAAGGGGGACTCTTAACTGGCTGAGCAAGATTCAGAGAATGGTGAAGGACCGATGTCGGATCGCTAGACAAAGGCGTTCTATGTCAGATGCCACTGCAAACTGTCGTACGTTTAAGGTGGCCGTTCCGAACTTGGTTCCCCTGCTGCTCTTTCGGCTTGTCCGCCATCGCTCCATGTGCGCATGTCGGTCCCCTGAGCTTCGGCCTCGACGTCGACTCCAGCATCAGCCACGTGCTCCGAACCCTCAGTAGTCCACGGAAGGGCCCCGGTAAACGCAATCTGGTCAGATCGGAAACCCCAGGGCATACCAAATCCACGACGCACCGGCAGATGGTATAAGCGAAAGCTGTACCAAGCGGTAATAATCCCAATCACAGCACCTGCGACGATGTCGATTCCGGCGTGATGAAAATCAGCATAGCGAGATGCACTGATGAACAGAGCAGTCCCGACGGGGAACATTGCGACCGCAACCAACCAGAGTGGCGGCGCAGACGCTTGTCGGCTTGATCGAGAGACTGCATCATGATGAAGAGCACCTTCAGGTCCCGTCAACTGGTAGTGCCCGAGATAAGGTAGCCGCGCCGACAATTTTGCGCATAGCCACAGTGAGAGGTACAGCAAGCCGGCCCAGGAGAAGGACGAGTGACCTGAGGGGAAAGCCGAGAAGGCATCCCTGAGCTTCTTCTGGTCGGACTGGCGACAGATACTGGCTGAGACTAAAATGGGCGCCTCGGATTCGAGTGATGACCCGACGCCCCCCACCTCGTACCTGGTGATGTTGGTGAGATCAGCGTGGCATACCGCAAGCATATCAGGACGTGGCTTCCCCACAATGGTCTTCAGTCCCTCGGTGACCAAGAGCGCGGCGGCAACACTGAGACAAAGACCCGACCAGCCGGCATTGGTGATCCACAAACGCTCGCGCAGAGTCTTCCTGATTGATCTTCGCGAAATGTCGGTGGGTGAGCCGAAGGTGAGCGCGGCAATTATGGCAAGGGGTACGAGCAGCGCAACGGCAGCGACGACTGAGAAGGGTACAATGTCTGGTTTGGACGGATATGCGATCGCCTCGTCGGTCAGAGCAAACGGACGCCGATAGCCGTCCACAAAGCTCAAGCTACCTCCAGCAGCAGCGACTATTCTTTGTGTGCCGTCAGTAATGTCCAGAATCCCTGTGGCCCACTTACACAATGACCATCCAGTCAATTAGGTATGTTACCACAACGCGTATTTTTGGAGTCACCATGGCGCCTGAGCGCGTCGTTTGCTGTCCGGATGTTTTTTTGCCCCATCAACATTGGATGATGGAATCGAGAAAAGGAAAGTGTCACACGAGCATCGTGGAGCTGCTGCGGGAACGCTTAATATATCCTCTCGTGTCCTGCTGCAGATCTCCTACTCGCAGGCTGCTTTTAAGGTTCGCGCAAATCATGTTTCAGCGAAATCCAGAGCAGTGCGACCATCGTGAGCCGCGAGCGCTGACATCGGAGCAGACCAGCCTCTCTTCGCGAAGTGTGGCGCGCATTCAAAGGGATCGAAAACTGTTCCTTGGCTTGTCGAGACCCAGTGTCGATCCCCAAGGTGACTGTCTCGCTGGGTGGTGTCCGAGATAGAAAGGTGCTAAGCCACTAGCATGTCATCGTGACATCTGCCCGCTTTTCATACTGGTGTACGCTCTGTACTGAGTTAGAAGCACACGAGTCATGGTTGCTCGCCCGAAACTGATCAATAACAGAGGTCAGAGCCTGTGTCGCAAGGGGCATGGCGGTCGTGGGCGCCCGACTCGCCGGTGCTGGTCCGGGTGGCGGGCTGGGCCTTAACGCCTGAAATACTAATACCCACCTTACGACATTCTTTTGAACATCAAATGGGGACGGTTACTTTACTTCTGTACAGGCTTCTGTCGGAATTGACTGCCAGCTGTCCGGGATGGTCGTATGAGCCAAGTGGCTGCCGTCAGAGGACCGAGTCAATCTCTTTGGTACGCAGATCATGCTGGGTGGGCTTACGCTGCTCTTTCAAGCGCACGCTCGCAGCAACTTGTCGTGACTGTGAAACAGCGCTGCTCCGTTGCGTCATGGCGTCATTCTGAAATCCAGAACACTTCCATGTGACGGGGTCGGAGCCATGCAAGCATTCGAAGCGCCCCTCGCATGAGAGCCAAGCCGAGTGGGAACCCGCCCTGAGAAGCTTTGCTAGCGTTGCCTGTTTTTATAGTCGTGAAGGCTATTCCTGAATGAGGTCGAGACCAGCAGATGGATCCAGGGGTCTTTGTGTTATTGGCGCGCAATATGGCTTCCTTAATACATCAGCACAGCCTAATTACCAAATCTCAATCTGGAGCTGGAGTTCTCCTGTGCATGATATTTATGCTGATCGGCCGGTGCATGGCGGCTTCGGCTTCTTGACCATAACTATGCCTCGCAGAAGCTATCGGACATCGGTATCAGCCTATCGAGATTCTGCACCTCTGTACAACTCAGAAAAAGAGGGCAACCTGCGACTTGACAATGATAATATCGACTTCGAACACGTGAACGGGCGCAAGCGGGTCATTCGTCCGTGCATGCTCGGCATCTCTTTCGGACAGCTCTCCAGGCATGTCTACCACTGGTCGCTTGCCTTCTTGTAAGTGCTCTGCCTACTTCGCAGTTCGTACGCTCAATGACTTACCCCAGCAAGGGCCATCTTTGCATTTGGCTGGTGTCTTCTGGGCGTGACCCTGCTGTGTTATGGAACCTTCGATGGTCTATGGGCGAGCAAACCTGGCCGAGGACCAATAGAGGCATTCGGTACAGGGCCAAATTCGTGGAAGGCAGCACATTCCACCGCCTGTTGCACACGGAACAATGTGCTTAGCCAAGCGAGTAGGCCATTATTGGATGACTTGTCCCGCATCTGTGGTGCGGTCGAAGCCGATGTATGGCTAGATGATGGTCAAAGGGTGCTCGTGGGTCCGACGGAGGCTAGCTTGGACGTGAACAGAACTCTGTCGTCTCTGTACATCGAGCCCATGGTGCAAGCATTGGAACTGCGACACGGGAGACATCACGCTCTGAAAAGGCCGCCGACTCCCAACGCCGACCTCGTCGAACCTGACTATCCACAGACTTTTGTGATGATTATTGACTTCAAGAGTGATGGAGTTGCGCTGTGGAATCATGTGGATGCAGCATTGGAGCCGTTGAGGAGAAGGGGGTACCTCACACAATTCGATGGACTTGATGTTGTCGAGGGCGAGGTGACGGTGGTAGTCTCCGGAGATGCTCCGTTCGCCAAGGTCATCGAACAAAGAGAGCAGCGAGATATATTCTTTGATGCTCCCCTTGAGCTGATGTCGCCAACCGGACCAGCGGTGTTTCAACCCCTGCCAACCCAACGTCTGGCCACGTCTAATGCCGAGTCGTTGAGTGTCCGGCCTGCAGGCCTGGGTACCTTTCGTCGAAGCGATACTCCGGTAAATGCAGCAGTATACAGTGCTGCAAACTCATACTATGCCTCGGCCAGTTTTGAGCGCACTATCGGACGCATTTCGGACTCAGGTCCAACGCAGTCGCAGCTCGCTCTGATACGAGCCCAGGTTCGCGGGGCACATGCTCGTGGTCTCCAGGTTCGATACTGGGATGTGCCAACATGGCCGTTGGGTATCTTTAGCGATATTTGCAGGACCCTGCTGCAAGAAGGGGTTGACGTGGTGAACGCCGAGCATTCGGAAGCAGCTGCGACCATCACCTAGAAAGTGCCACTGCCATGATGGTCACCATCTTTCCGACAGTGATCAGGTTTGTTAGACATAGATACCGACGAGCTTTCAGACATGAATCGGATAGTGTAGAAAGTATAGGAACCTCCCCAGATTCAAGAAGACGGAGCATCTTCGAGGCAACAAGACTCACATCCGCGCTATTCCAGATGCAGCTAGGCACTTGGCAAGCGAGCGAGCGAGCGAGCTCCGCGTTCGAGTCCGACGCCGCGCTGGAATCACTTGCCCTCCACTCTCCGCGCTTTTCGGATCGTGCCAGCTGATGCTCTTGTGAGCTTCCGGGGCTTTCGATCATCGGGTTTGACCATGCACTTCCGACATGAGCTCAACCGAAGCAAGTGGCGCGGATGCAGCGCCTCCCAAGCAGGCAGCCTGTCTTGAGTGTAGGAAAAGCAAGATCAAATGCATCCGCGATCCAGACTCTACCATATGCAAACGATGTCAGAGCAACGGCAGCGACTGTGTTATCCCAGAGTACCACGTTGGTAGGTACAAGGGCGTCAAGAAGTACATACAGTCTGTCTCTGGCCAAGATCTCTGCTGACGATTCCTAGCAAGCGGACTGGGCTGGAGAAGGCAATTCACCAAGTCGAACAAGCCCTCAAGCGCTCCAAGGGCAACAGTGTCACCTTTGACGGCGACAAAGATGTCGATTTGCGCCAACTTATTGATCAGTCGCAGGTCAACGGGAATGTCACAAGCCCCCAGCGACGGCAGTCCTCCTCCGCTAGCAACTCAAGGCCATTTGGGTCTATCATGTTTCCGTCGCCAAGTGAGCCGTCCAATGTCCATCACTCCGCTGCGACGCCTCTACCAAACATCGCTGATGCGAGCGGTGCACATCGACCGAGTATCGCCACTGCGCAAAGCGTAGACCACGCAGAGAAACCCGACGAACTTGCACTAGACAATGCCGACAACCCGCTGCAGCTCCTGGCTATGGCCTCGTCCATGCCCAATCAATCGCCGTCGACGGCCATTACGCCCTCTCCCCTGGGTGGACAAGTATCCGCCGAAGCGGATGACGCCGAGCTGCAACAGTACTTTGGGAGCTTGATGCCAGTGCTCGACAATACCCCAGACATTGATGTCATCGAATTGGGCTTGGTCACTACCGAGGAGGCTGATTTTCTATTCAAGTACTTCTACGACAACCTATCTCACACAAGATGGGGCCTGGACCCGGTCTTACACACAGCACGCTTCGTCAGATCGCGCTCGGCATATCTTTTCACCTCTATACTCACCGCATCTGCCACTTTCCTCCCAAATGCGGCAGCCCTAGCGAGGCGACTATCTGCACATCGGGAGCGTCTTGCTCAGAGAGTCATCAATAAACGTCATCGCTCCATCGAGATCGTTCTAGCCTTCATGGTAAATGTGCCGTGGATGTCGCCAGGGAAGCACTGGACCGATGACGAGACATGCGCGTTTCTGTCCATGGCCCTGACGCTGGCACTCGACCTACAGCTCAACAAAATCGTGGTCCCATCTCCAACCATCCGTCCGACCGGCTTTCTAGAGCGTGTGGCCAAGGCTGACTGCATAGATGCAGCAAGGGCTCTTCAACTTGACGGTTTCGACAGTGTCGATCCCACCTCGGCTTGGGGCCGGCGTCTTCTCCGAACACGGGAACGTGTCTGGCTAGCTCTATTCGTTTTGGACAGAGGTATCTGCCTCGCCCGAGGCCGGCCCTATGCTGTCCCTACCGGCCCACTTGTCGACAGCTGCGATACCTGGCACATATCCGACATTGCTGACAGGTGGGATGGCAGCATCATATCGACAGCAGTCCTTCGACGGGAGCTCGTGGGCCTTATTGCTTCTGTCAGAGAGACTTGCGACAACAGTCAGCTGAACGTCATGAGTGGCTCAGCCGCCGTCAAATTTCTCAAAGACAAAATCGATCGCTACTTTGACCAGTGGTACGCCGTGTGGTCCTATCAAATCACTCAAGGGGATGGTCATCTACCGCCATACGTTGAAATCTTAGTCTCGCATACGAAGCTGTCCACTTATTGCAGTGTCATCAACCATCCTACTGCCTCTTCAGATGTCAAGCAGTTCTTCCGTGCCGCAGGTCTCTCTTCAGCGCTAAATGTCATGCGCGTCGTTGTGCAAGGCGAGTCGAGGCTTAAATCGATGCCAAACAACTCGGTCATCATGGTATCTTTTGCGGCTTGTTTCGCCCTGGGCCTCAGTACCACCACATCGAACGATCGTTCCATGATTGCCCCAAATGCGCGATCACTCATCGAAGAGACTGCTCGGGTGCTGGAAAGAATCGGCACTATGCCCAAGCACCGAAATGGCACTTCGGCTCTGTTTGGTCGTCACATCCGCCGAATAATACGCCAATCATTTCCCGACCAAAATGCTTTGCACAACGCCAACCAAAATTCCCAACTTGCCCAGCAACCTCTATCGCAGATGCCGGCTCCCGCGGTGCCTTCTGGCGCCCAGGAGACGCCCAAGCCATACACTTTTGACATGACGGATGATCAGATTATCGAGGCGATCAACAACGCCAGTGCATCGCAGGAGCTCTTTCAGATCGACGAGACAATGTTCCTCGACTGGCTTGAGTGGCCAAGCACAACTTGAAGTTAAACCCGAATTATCAAATCTTAGCCTTGACTGCCGTGGCAGTCGTTGGGAGATCTTTCGACATTCCTATCAATCGCTGCAATTGCTCCATAAACACGAATGTGAGGACAGTGTAGGGAGTCAGCCTCACCCACGCGGGCAACCAGCCCCTCATCACGAAGGCAGGGCCTTCATGCCGAAACGAGTCTGAAATAATCTTTGCAAGACTCGGCTTCACACCGTCAACCGCGACGGCATTCTGAACACGGCTTTTGAGGACGTCTGCAGGTGCACATGCCGTCGTGGCGACCGTGCCAGCGATGAAGGACGCCAGGAAATGAGTTGGCAAGCCATCGGTGAGGCCATAGCGAGGATTGGTGAGAAGCTCGTGCTTGGCAGCAGAGTACGTCGCAATCTGGCCCACGTTCATGATGACACTCCGAATGATGTTGGGAGTCAAGCCACGGCCGAACGTCTGCAAGCCTTCTTCACGACCGATGCGCAGTATCGCGTCGAAGGAGTTCTTATATCCGAATTGCTGCCCCGGAGCCTTTGCGCCATCGGCGCACATTCGCACTAGGGCAACTTCGGTCGGATTACCTATCATGCCTGCCAGGCCGCCAGCTGCGCCAGCCAGCGCGATTTCTGTTATTGAGGACAGCTTCTGCTGGCCGGACTTCTCACGAGCCTGCTGGGCCATGTAGTTATATACGCCGAACCGCACGGTCGTGTACGTGCACTGCCGGAGTATCGACGCAGATATGCCCGACCACAAGGAGAAGAAGCCATCCCTCTGGGCGAAGTGAACCATGGTTCTGAACATGCTCTGTCGCGTCGCCATGGTCTGCATGCGGTATTTCGTTTGGTCGAGAGGATGAGTGATACATGCTGAGAGGGAGCCTGCAGCCCCTCCGAGCCAGAAGGGCGGCTGCTTCTTACTGCTCTTTGATGTTGACATGTTGACAGCTTTACTGGCGGCTATAAATGTATAAAATCTCAGAGATCAAACCTCGGGGATGTGTAGGAGGCGATATATGGAACTCTTTCAACTAGGGCGCCTTCACATGCAAGACTTCCCTGCCGTGGGGCTCCCATGTTCTAAAACTCTTCCACGCATGGCTATCTCGCGACAAGGCTTTGTACACCGTGCGGCTACAATCCAGCCCGGCAATATAGGTCCGCAGATAACCCTCCGGAGACAGAAATCCGCGCAGTGCAGCTCCATGCCGGGCGTGTCCCAAAGTCTCGGCAATTCTCGGTGGCACTTCTATCGCCGAAGCCAAGCTCCCGCCTTTCACGTGTCGATCAGTCGGTGATGCAGCGAGGCCAGATCTCCCTGGGGTTCACGCCGGCGTCTGGCCCTAGACCCCCATCCGAAGCTCAGATCCATAAACAGTATGATCGGAAGAAGTCCATGACCTCCAAAAAAGTTCCCAATCCAATTCGAACGGGTTCTGACGTGCTTTGTTCATATTCTATAATTTAGATCGCCTATCGTCATACTGTTTCTTACTGTACACCACACCAGTCTTCTCTTTGTCTACGCAATTCAAACATGGCCGGCCGACGGAGCCTCTTGCTCGCCGTCCACGACATCAAGACGCCATGTCGGCCAAGCATACGGCTGTCGGCGCCGCGGGCTCGCAACTTTGGACGGCTTACCCAACAGCAGCTTCTGAGATCAACGGGACCGGTGATAAGACCGTTCAGCACGTCGAGGTCGAAGTGTGAGGCTGTGGCAGCCACGCACGGTCGAACCAGCGGCTCCAAGGTATGGAAGTCCGCTGATGAGGCGGTGGCGGATATCAAGTCTGGCTCCGTGGTCCTCAGCGCGGGCTTTGGCCTGTGTGGAACAGCAGGTGAGTTTCCTGTTGGGCTCTTACACTGCGATCTCATCACGCCAAGACCTGAAATTGCAGCTTACAACTTCCAACAGAAACCATCATCCACGCCATGGTCAACCGCGGCGCCGACAGCCTCAACAACCTAACCGCCGTGTCCAACAACGCCGGCTCCTCGGGCGACGGCGGGCTTTCACCACTCACCCGCTCCGGCCAGATCTCCCGCTGCATCATGTCCTACCTCGGTAACAACAAGAAGCTCGAGGAGAAGTACCTGTCGGGTCGCATCGCCATCGAACTCTGCCCGCAAGGCACGCTAGCGGAGCGCATTCGCGCCGCCGGCGCTGGCATCCCCGCCTTCTACACGCCTACGGGCGTCAGCACCTTCATCCAAACCGGCGAGATTCCTGCCAAGCTGGGCACGGACGAGTCGACAGGAAAGCCGGTGGTGCTGGAGGGCGGCAAGGCCAAGGAGACGCGCACCTTTAACGGCCGGCAGTACGTCATGGAGACGGCGCTGCCGGGCGACGTGGCGATTCTGCGCGCCTGGAAGGTCGACGAGGCAGGCAACTGCCAGTTCCGCTACACGACCAAGGCGTTTGGTCCCATCATGGCCAAAGCCGCCACGCTGACGATCGTAGAGGCCGAGGAGATCGTGCCGCTCGGCAGCATTGACGCCAACGATGTGCATCTGCCCGGCATCTTCGTGGATCGTGTCGTCCCCGCGACCCGAGAAAAGATGCTCGAGATCAAGAAGCTGCGGCCCTCGGAGAAGGAAGCCGCAGGCGAGGAGAAGATGACGGACGCGCTGGTGCGGCGCAACCGCATCGCCAAGCGCGCGGCCCGCGAGCTCAAGGATGGCATGTACGTCAACCTGGGCGTGGGCATGCCGACGCTGGCGCCCAGCTATCTGCCCGACGACGTGAAAGTGTGGATCCAGAGCGAGAACGGCATCCTGGGTATGGGGCCCTATCCGACCGAGGACGAGGTGGATCCGGACATCATCAACGCGGGCAAGGAGACGGTCACGCTCGTTCCCGGAGCCAGCACCTTTGACTCGAGCGAGAGCTTTGGCATGATCCGCGGCGGGCATGTTGACGTGTCGATCCTCGGCGCCCTGCAGGTCTCGGCCGCGGGGGATCTGGCGAATTACATGATTCCCGGCAAGGTGTTTAAGGGGATGGGTGGTAAGTTTTTTTTTGGTCTCTTTCCTTTTTGATTCATAGATAGCTAACGCTTACGAAAACAGGTGCAATGGATCTCGTTTCCAACCCCAACCAAACCAAGATCGTCGTCACAACCGACCACGTCGACAAGAACGGCCGCTCCAAGATCGTGCAGCAGTGCGCGCTGCCGCTGACGGGGGCGCGCGTCGTGTCCACCATCATCACCGACATGGCGGTGTTCCAGGTCGATCGCGAGAGGGGCACGCTGACGCTGACGGAGGTGGCCGAGGGGCATGATCTCGAGGAGGTCAAGGCGAAGACGGACGCGAAATTTGAGGTGGCGGAGCCGTTGGGGTCGTTTTAGAGGGTTGGTGATGCAGACCTTGCTGGGTTGAGCTTTTGTGCGTTGGCTGTGTGTTTGTGTATGGCAGGCCGGGACAGACTAGAGTGGTTTCGTGGTTGGATGGTCGACTTACAGGTATATAAAGCAGGCGCTGGATACAGCGGGAAAACTCCATGTGGTATACATATACAGAATCGTACGGTTGCTCGCTCTCTACTTTCTCGTTTCACCAGAATCTTTACGGGAGGAAAGCTGCTGCAGCTGCTTATACAACAGCACCCCAAGGGCTGCGACATAGTCACCAAGCCTGTGGGAGACGAGCCTCAAGCTCTGTCTGTATTCGCACCTTACATCCATATCCACGACAATAGGGCGGCTCACTTGGATGGGAACGGAAACGGAGAAGCCGATGTATACACACACATATCCATGTATCCACATCCCAAATACTCACCAATACTCGGCCCACCGACTGCCCCCATCCAACACGCCCAAAAACTCCCTGGCAATCACGCGATCCGTCTGCGTGCTCGGATGCAACTCGTCATACCACATGAAACTATCGGGACTCCCCCCACCAAACGCCAATTCACAGCGATCCCACATTCCATCCTCCCCCTCGCTGCACCGATGCTCAAACCCCTGCACATCCGCCCCTTCGGTCCCATTCAAATACTCGTTTGGGTGTGTATACACATCCTCCAACAAGCCGCCCACATCAAAGACGGCGAAACTCGCCCCCGGGTACCGCTTCGCCACAAGCGCCTCATACGGCGTGCGATACCGATACAGGGCATTCACATTCGCGACGGCCTCGTGCATCGTCTCGGCGACCTGCGTGGCATTCGTGGCATTCTTCAGCGGCCAGTACTGGTTGCTGCCCGCGCCGTGCAGGGTGGCGTTGGCGTACAGTGGGGCCAGATGCAGGGGCGCGGCGTTCATGAGCACGAAAGCGCGGGCGCCGGACGCGTACAGGCCGTCGAGCACGCTGAAGACGCAGCTCATGTAGTCCGGGATGGTGGTGCCGGGGACTTGGCTGTTGGTGAGGAAGGCCCAGATGCCGAGATCGTTGGTGCCGATCCAGAGGGCGTAGGCGGCTGAGGTGGGGGCGAGGGGCGGGGTGAAGTAGGCGGTGGTGGGGGTGGTATTGTTGCGGGTGGAGGGGAGGTCGGCGAGGAAGGCGGGGAGTTCGTATTCGAGGACGGAGGGGAAGTTGGCCTTGATAGCGGGGAAGGTGCTGGGGGTGGGATTGTGAGTGGTAAAGAAAGGGTGGGGGAGAGCGTGGTGGGAAGGGGGTAGGAGAAACCTACCGAGGCGTGATCTCGTTGGAGCACACGGCGCCGGAGACGGCATAGTTGTAAAGGGTCAATTTGGGATCCCACTCGTTGGCGCTGTTGCTGCCGGCGTACTGCACGACGTAGCGGGGCCATGTCTTGCCGCCACTGGCGGTCGCGAAGGACTCTGGTAGGAAAGTGCCTGCTGGAGGAGCCGAGCCGTTGTGGCTGGCGAAGTAGTTCAAGCGGTTTTCATCGGTGTAGCTGTCGCCAAAGGTGATGAGGGAGTTGAAGTTGGACGCCTGCCAGACTGTGTCTGCACCACGGGGGAGAGAAGCTGCTACGGTATACGAGACCAGAGTCGCGAGAGAAAGGGTGATGGAGAACATGGTGGGCGGACGGTCACTTCGCATGTACCTACCGTTTTTTCAAGTTTGGGCTTGACAACAGCTACATATATAGCTGTGAAAGTGCCGACATTGTTGCCCATTCGCCCGCGGAAACGGAGATATTGCTGGCTAAAGGTCACGCAGTCCAATACTGAAGCGGCAAAGCATGAAGTACCAGCAGCTCTAGAGTGAAGCTTGTTGATGTCAAGACTGAGCAAGACATGCAAATGACATCAGGTTGGTGGACCTATTCAGGCTGTATCTGAAGATGAGCAGGGATGAGCAGTCTCCAGCCAATTGGAGGAGTGATCCCGCAAAAGAGGCCTTCGGCTCCATTGGAGATCGTCGACGGTCTTTTGCAGCGTGCAAGATCCGAAACAGCCACGGCCGAGAGGTATCTGGTAGAGACCCTACCCAGCCAGGAGAATGAGCATAGGAGTATGCTAATCATAGTCAGGGTATCTGCGGCGTGCTTCGGCGGTTGTGAGGCGTTCGCCGGTCTCGTCGAAATGCCGGGAGCACAAGTCTTGCCAGCGTCGATGACCAGACTCCTTGGCCAGTTCCGCGACCTTGGGGTCAACAGCACCTTTTTTGCTGCCGCTCGGATATGCTTGAGCCTCAGCCTTCTTGCCATCTCCTCCATTGCCCTTGGCCTGCTCCGCTCTCTCTTTCAAGGTGGTCTTGTAGTGCTCGATGAGCTGAGACTTGGACTTTTTGTCGATGGCCTTGAGGATTTCGTCCCATGGCTTGTCAGCGTTCTTCATTTGGATGATCGTCTTATTGTTGGCCTTGCTGTAGGTTTCTTTCTCATGCGTAGAGCCGCCAGTTCCATTGTCCGCTGCACCATTTCCGTCCTTGAGATTGTTCTTGTAATGCTCCTTGAGCTGGGATTGCGATTCCTTTTTGATGGCGCTTAGAATGTCACCCCAGGTCTTGCCAGCGTTCTTCATCTCAACGATGACCTTGTCATCGCCCTTGGTATAAGTCTCCTTGGCGTGTGCAGAGTAGACTTGAGCACCAGCAGCCACGTCGGCGGCGTTTCCATCCCCTTGGAGATCATTCTTGTAGTGTTCCTTGAGCTGGGAGAGCGACTTCTTGTTGATGGCGTCAAGAATTTCTTTCCAGCTTTTATTCTCACTCTTCATCGCCCTAATCTTCTTATTGTCGGCCTTGGTGTAGGTTTCCTTGTCGTGAGCAAAGTGAACCTGGGCGCTAGGCTTCCCGTCCTTGACGATTTCCTTGCCTCTACCATGGCAGTGAGTACACGGTTTCTCCTGTTACTGTTATTCAGCACATGTAACCAGTGGGACGATGGCGAGTCTAGACGTACTGGTTCGATTTGCTTGACCTTGCGTACCGGACCAGGTGAGAAAGCGGCATACCAAGGAACCTCAACTATTTTCTGCTTGCCGGTCTTGTCGGTGTAGACTGCTCTGAACGACATGGTGTTTGTGAATTGTGGAGGATGATTAATGGAGAATGGGGTGGGGAATAGGACGTAGAGTAGGAGAAGTGGGAGGTTGAGCACGCTTCTGTGGTGGCGGGTCTGGCTCTTGGCATAGGTTGCTAGAGCGCACCCGGGCAATGGGCTCAAATCGGCGTCGCTGCATAGAAAGCATCATCACCGCAAGGACAACCTCGCTGCGGTTCTTGATTGCAAGTTGTTGTCTTCCCGGGGCAATTCAAATCGATAAGATCATACAAGGTATCCCTGTACCGTGGGCATGACTGCACAACGAAGAGTTCATAGATAAGTTGATGCAATGACTTACTGTAGGCTGGACATCGACATATTGAAGCGGTCGATGATCCTTCACAGAACCTACCATTGAGTTGACTGCAAGTGTGCTAGGCGCTGAGCCTTGCGTTGTTCATCAAGCGTGTAGCAGCAAGGTATTGCGGCATTCTGGAGCACATGAAGTAGGTGTACAGCGTCTCACCCTTCCACAAATATTGTGCTGAGCAGGAATACGTAGTGAAATGAACGTAGACGGAAGAGAACATTGTAAAGAGAACATTGTGTTACGGGCACAAAAGAAGTGATCTTTCTGCCAAGACGCTAAGATACCAGTTGGTCCAAGCGCGCCTGCCCCCTTCGCGATGTCCAAAAAGTTCCAGGAGGGACATGTGCCAACTGGCCTGACATACGAAAAGCACACGACCCTTCACGATCCTTCACTCGAGTCGGCCTTCGCCTACCAGTCCCTTTTCTCGACCCTGTTTCTCAGTTGCGCATCGTCGGCCACCATGCGATTCAACCTGCTCCCGGCCCTGGCGGTCACCAGCTGGATAGGGGCCGCAGTTGCGCACAACATTCAACTGAGGGCACATTCGAGAGAGTGCTTCCATGAAGAGCTGCATACAGGCGACAAGATGACTGTGACATTTCAAGTTGGCGACCGTGAGAATGGCGGTGCCGGCAATCTAGACATCGACTTCCGCGTACCGACACCCCCTCGCTCGTAAAGGCTTCCACTAAATCCGTGCAGATTGATGATCCCAGCGGAAAACCAGAGGTCCAGCTGTCATCCGTTTCCTCCGGCGACTGGTCCTTCGACGCGAAAAGGGATGGCAAATACCTCTACTGCTTTAGCAACGAGAAATGGTCCGCCAATTCCAAGGAAGTTTCCTTCAATGTCCACGGCATTGTTTACGTACCCGAATCCGATACTCCTGCCGATCCACTAGAAGCAGAAGGTATGGCACTATTTTCTAAACGGTCCGACAGCGCTGACGCGCAACAGTCAAGAAGATGTCCGAGGCGCTGGCGCAGGTCAAGGACGAGCAGGCCTATATCGTTGTCAGAGAGCGCACTCACCGTAATACGGCAGAGAGCACAAATGCTCGTGTCAAGTGGTGGTCTCTCTTCCAGCTTGGTGTCCTCATCGGTGAGGGTGTTTTCCAGGTCTGGTGGTTAAAACGATTCTTCGAGGTCCGTTCTCCATCCCTGCTACAAGTATACAACTAACATATCACCAGGTCAAGAGAGTCGTGTAACGCTAACGAATACATGCCTTGTATCATAGATAATAAAAATGTTGAATCCAGCGTCCAACCAAAATTGAGGCGTCTGAAAACATCTACTACTTCTACCGTTTGGCCCGATGCGAAAGACACTACTGGCTCCTGAGCAACGAAGATGTGCATCCAACCAGACGAGGCTCCAGTGAAATCGTTCCATCGAAGACATCGGAGACCCATCTCGTGATGCAAGTCGACGCTTACTCGGCCCGAAGACCCTAGCATTTGCCGGTGACCATGCACCAAAATCAACGCCTGTCCATTTTGGAAATATGGGTAATATTAACAACCCCCTGCGGATTGTCAGCTCGCATCGAACGGCGATTTCAACCACGAAGGGTATGGTGAACGAATACCATGCAGTCTTTGACTACAAGGTTGAAGCGTGTGGGGAAACACCAATCATGGTGCAATCCCCTCCCTTGAACTTGTCACTGGCGTGACACGATTCCTGCAACCGAGGAAGCTCGACAGCACTATCCTCGTGCGGTGTGCTTCTCGCTTCCAATCGCCATCCAAGTTTGCAAGTCCAGAAAAGGTTGCAGGCTTATGATGGCTTTGGTTCGGAATCGCCTCCTTCCGAATCACTAGCCATTAGCTTTTCCCGATGAATTTCCCATATATCAATTGTCGTTTTCTTGATTGCTTGGTGTGTTTCATGTTTACAGTGTATATAGAACTCCCGTTTCAGCATGAGGTTGCCTTGGGCCAAGCAGACCCAAAAGTCTGCCAACAGCTCTCCTTCTACCGAAGGCGAGAATTCCCCAGAGACTATCGCCACTGCGCCGGAGAAGCCAGATGCAGTAGACACAGTCGAGTCTAGCAATGCAGCACCAGATGCCCAGAATTCGAAAGAACATGAAGCGGTGCGAACAGACTCGGTCGCCTCCAGCTCTGGTGTCGAAGACGAGTCGAAATACTTGAAGGGTCCTCCCCTGTTCTTCCTCACCCTCGGACTTTCTTTGACGACCTTTGTTATTGCCCTGGACAACACCATCATCGCCACAGCTATTCCACGCATCACTACCGTCTTCAACTCCCTCGACGACGTCGGCTGGTATGGATCAAGCTACCTCTTGACAACCACGTCTTTGCAGCCTTCCTTCGGCAAGGTGTACACCTACTTCAATGTCAAAACCACTTTCATCATTGCCCTCACCATATTCGAGGTCGGATCCGTTCTGTGCGGTGCCGCAACCAATTCTACCATGCTCATCGTCGGCCGCGCCGTTGCGGGAGTTGGCGCCGCCGGTCTTTTCTCTGGTGGTATGACCATCATCGGGTATTCAGTACCTCTGCGGAGAAGACCGATTTTCATTGGATTCGTCTCGTCAATGTTTGGCATCGCTTCGGTGGTAGGACCTATTCTAGGTGGCGCATTCACAGATCGTAAGTTCTCTGCCGTGAATCCCAGCCTCACTAACAAGTCTCCAGGCGTATCCTGGCGCTGGTGCTTCTACATCAATCTGCCCATCGGCGCCATCGCAATCCTGACGGTGTTCTTCTTCTTCAAGAACCCCGATCGCGACCACAGCAACCTCACCCTCAAGCAAAAGATTCAAAACATCGACCTCCTCGGCGCCTTATTCCTCATCTCCGCCATCGTCTGCCTCCTCCTCGCCCTGCAATGGGGCGGCATCACCTATCCCTGGCGAGACTCCAAAGTCTGGGGCTGTCTCCTCGGCTTCGGTCTGCTCATCGTCACCTTCACCTGCATCCAACTCTGGAAAGGCGAGCAAGCCACGCTCCCTCCACGCATCATGCTCCACCAACGCACCGTCTTCACCTGCGCTTTCTTCTCGGCCTTTCTCGCCATGGGGCTGTATACACACATCTACTACCTGCCCTTCTACTTCCAAGCCGTCAAGGGCACCACGGCCGAAGGCTCCGGCATCCGCACCATCCCCTACCTCGTCAGCAACACGCTCTTCAGCATCGTCATCGGCGCCACCATCACCTTTGTCGGCTGGTACGTCCCCTTCACCTGGTTCGGCAGCGCCCTCTTCACCGTCGGCTCCGGCCTCCTGTACACGCTCAAAGTCCACTCCTCCGCCGGCGAGTGGATCGGCTACCAGATTTTGACCGGCGGTGGCTCCGGCACCTGCGTGCAGATCCCCTTCATCGCCGTGCAGGTCGTGCTGGCCAAGAAGGACATGCCGACGGGGAACGCCGTCGCCATTTTTTTCAACTCGCTCGGCGGCGCCATCTCCATCAGCATCGCGCAGAATATCTTCGCCAACACCCTCGTCAAAGAGGTGCCGAGGTATGCGCCGGGGCTGGATCCGCAGATCTTGCTGGCGGCGGGCGCGACGAATGTGAGGAGCGTGGTGCCGCCCGAGTTGTTGGATGGTGTGCTGTTTGCGTATAATAAGGCGGTCACGAGTAGTTATATTCTGGCGGTTGCGTGTGGCGGGCTGGCGGCGTGTAGTAGTGTGTTGTTCGAGTGGAAGAGTGTTAAAGGGAAGAATTTGATGGCGGGCGCGGCTTGAGATCGGAGCCTGTGGTGTGGGTAGGCTGCGGTTGTGACTGCAGAGGTAAGCGTTCGTAAGACATGCAATGGATTCTGTCCATGGGCATTTTTGGAGTACGGGCCCTGCTGCTCAAGAGCCGCTGATCCGTATCAAGCTCTGGTCAAGTCTCAAGCATTACGGAGTGAGGACAGTGCTCCCAGCTCATGCTAAGTACTGCGACTGGCAGCAAGATGGAGTCATCGTCGTTGGCACCCCGGAGTACCAGGCCTGACATGATACTTACGGTACCTAGCAGACAAAATGCCCATCAGCTCTAAAGCCGAAAGGGTAAGCAAAATGCCAGCTGGCAAATGCCCAAGAGTGGCAGATTAGTCATTTCCCGGAAATTTATCTGGTTGCTAACATAAGCGCGCTAATACCCGTAGCACTTCCGACACACGACTTCCGTATCTGACATGAATATGGCTGTTATGCGATGGCGGTGGTGGTGATCACGCTGCTATTACACGCTCGCGCTGGTATGAACGTCAGGGAATGTATCGCATCAGCATGGAGTTGACTGGGCAGCTGGCTCGACATTCCAGTGCGGGCGAATCGCCAAATAAGGTACAATCACACACCCGGATGGGTGATATCAAAACTGCGCTTGGAACGTGGTCTTTCTCATAGATGTCGAAGATGAGGCAGCAAGGACAATGAAGCTTCGACTACGCCGACCACAGTCGATACCGATGAGGGAAAGTGAGCCTGTTCCGAGACGGCTTGGATTAAAAGAAATGTTGAGCACTTCCATGCGCCTATCAATGCATGTCTCAACACCATAAACGATCATGTCGCCCTTATACGACACTCCGATAACAATAGGGCAGTGCACGCAGCGATTTCTGCGGGACAGAATAAGGATTGAGATCAAGCAGTGGATTTGTGCTTTGACGGCTTCCGCCGGTAGGGAAGCTCATCGGGGGCTCTGAGGAAGCAATGGGAAGTCAATGAGCGGTTCGTCATGCTCAGAGGGGCGTCAGTGAATTCGACAAACGGATTTTTCTGTGAGTCATGAGCTCCGTTTAGCCTGGCCACATCTCCTTGAAACTGCTCCGTCTACACTGCATCCTTCTTCTTGTCCACCTCCACTCAGCTGCAAGACATCGTCGTCTTTGGCTGCCTCATCACGTCTGTTTTTGTCCCACACACTGCTGAACCATGGCGCCGCCCAAGAAAGATTCGGCGCGGCCTCAGCCAGCATTCCGGGACCTCGATTACAACCTCATCGACGCTTCTACCATCGAACAAGCTGTTGGTGGCATCGGAAGTCAGCCGAATCCGCCCCGCAATCAGAACGTCGTCGCTGTTCCTAGAAGAATAACAGCAAACCCACGCACTAAGAGTATTCAGCGCCTTCAACTTCGCTTTCCTCCGCCGCCTCAGCAGCTCCTGTCCTTGCGGCAACAGGTGTTGTATCACATACGCCAACGTCTAAAGAGTATCCAAGTTGACACTTCACACCTCCCGGACATTGTCTTCGCTTGTGAGTTAGATACATATTGCTAAACAGAGATTTTATTGCCGTTTTACTAACATACTCAAAACTAGGGGCGCTGCCAAAGTTGAATGCCTCAGCTAAAGACTGGAATCAGCTTCTTCTTCGACCTTTGACTGTCAGCTCGGAGCAACTTTGCACTATGTTCAAGCTACGAAAGTCAGCGGCAAACTATGATCTACCTGCGGATACGACTATCTTCTACGTCCGAGTTTTCACGTTTGGGGTTGGCGAACTTCTGGATGTCATACAAGCCTTGATCGACGAGAGAATGGGTACTCAGACCAAAGGCTACATGCTTTTTGAGGAGACTGCTCATCTAAAAGATGGAGATAAGGTCTATGTCAAGTACTGCGGAACATCCTCTACGTACAGCGGACACAAGAGGCATGAGCAAGATCTGTACACACCACGGCAAACATTCGTCTCCATGTTTCTTCAGAAGGCTTTAGAACTCTATCCCGAGGTCGTCGACAGCTGCGAAGTCTACGAGTTTGTTGAGGCCGAAATTGTGGTTCCCGCGAAGAGCGATGAGATTGCTGATGTTCGAGAGCAAAGCCTCATTGCACTCTTCGGCCTACCCACCCTTCTCAACACTTCTTACGGTGGTATTGGCCCTCATGTCAGATTCCAGGACCTGGATAATGACCAATTCATCTCCCTTCGCACCTCGCTGTTCCCGAAGCTTAGCGTGGCCTCGGGCGATCACAAGATCTTCAGCGACCGCACGCTGATGAAAAATTGATTCAGCACTATTCAGAAGTGATTCAGCAATACGCAAATCAGCATCCCAACTCCACTGGTGCCGGCCGTTATCCGATCAATGAAGACGTCCGCAAAGCCATTGTCGATTCTGCGAGCGCCCGGTTCGTCAAGGACCAAAATTACACTCTGATGCTGACCGTCGGGTCCGATTTTCCGCTCAACATGCGCGAAAGTTTGCAGCCTTGGTGGAACGGCGGCTTCGCAGCGGCGGATGTCACGATTGAGGTGCTCAACAATTTTGTCCGATGTGAGCTCGGCCATGGCACCGACTTCAACTATGTCAAGTCCATGGTTGACATGTGTGCGCTTCCTTTTGTTAATCTCTTTCCGTGGACGAAAAAGACCATGGAGGACTTGAAAGAAGCGCTGCAGATGCTGCGACAGTATCTTCAGATCTCCCGACCGCTCATCGTTCTCACATTCTCGAACCTGGTCTCTAGTGCCGCCTGTACCAACTTTCAGCACGGAACGGGGTACTCGGTGCCCAACATAACTCAGGCTGCAGGAATACCTGTGATGGGCAAGTATGATGAGAAGATGGACGTTGCTGCCGATGAAAACTGCTGTGTCATTGTTCCCTGCATGCACCCTGGCGTGCTGCGCTACAGCACCTCGACAGAGGATGTGATCATGCGGCTCCTGACCAAAGCTCTGAGCATAGCCTGGGTTGCTATGGACGGAGCTGTTGGGCTGATTCCAAACTCCACGACGAAGAAAGCCCTGTGTCAAGATGTTATCAATCATGTCAGAGCCAAGACAGGCCCGGAGACCGAGTTTGGCAAGGAGTTCAAGTCGCTCAAGGAGCAATATCTACAGCACCACCAAGATGTCTACAAGCTTAACAAAGGTCAACTTGGCAAATTTCGAAAGACGGGTGACAAGAAAACGCAAGAAGCGATTGCGCGCGTGCAGAAGAGTTCGGTCAAAGTCGCACCCGCCGATGTCATCAAGCGAACTGCCGAGCTCGCCACAGGTGAGCCCGAGGCGGAGGATGAATCTGTGAGACGTGTACTTGATCATGGTGAGGTGCTCGTGATACAGACCGCCCGCGTCCGTTGGAGGCGAGCATTACAGCAACTCTACATCGTGACCGACTGTGGATGCGCGTATGGCCAGCCAAATCCCAAGGAGCGCAAGGTGCAAGTAGACTCGATTGCGGCCATCGGGTTGGATCATCTGATGGTTGATGACTTGGAGACCACCAAGCAGCGCTTCCTGAACACGGCGCGTGGCCAGCTTTTTTTCTTCGAAGCCAACTCACTCGACGCACAGCTTTCAACCATCCCCGACCTGCTAGCTGTTTTCCTCTCGAAGCACGACCCAGCGACAAATGAACCAGTTCTCGTTGATAACGCCGATTGGCGCCGGAACAAATTGTTGTGCCAGATCGCCTCTGCCGACATGCAGCAGTGGATTTTGGACACCTTTGTGAACCAGGGTCGGCGCTCTACAACCACTTTCGAGCAAAACGTTCTCAGCCTTCCAGACAAGATGCAAGTGCTTCTGGCAGAGAAAGACCCTTCTCTGGCTTATCGCTTCCGCTTGCAGCGTCAAAAAGAGGGCAAAGATGTTTCTGTCTTCGAACAGAATGGCCAAGAGGTCATCATTCGGCCTGGCCGTAACGTCCAACACAAAGCCTCACTCAACATTCGCTGGGCAATCGAGGACCTGGATTACGAGATACAGGACCTGCCACTTCCAGCGGGATGTTCACCGTTGACTGTGGGGGAGCCGCGACACCTTTTCTTTGTCCCTCAAGGCCTTGACATTAGAGATGGAGCGGGACGCTCGTTGGGTGTTTCTGGCGATCGGGCTGTGACCCTGCCCTTACAGCATCTCATTGCAGCTCTAGCGGATAACCCGATGGCTGATGAATTCTTGGAGCTCTGGTCAGCAGTTACTGGTCTCAGCGCTGACGATGTTCTTTACGCCGACATACAGCCGATGGAGACCTTGTCCGTCTCCTGCTTGCCACCTGAAGCTTTCAATACACGACAGCTGCCGTTCGAAACCAAACATGGTTTGAGCATCGAAAAGCGTGTCGCGGAGCTAAACAAGAGCCTGCCATTCCAGCCAGGTGACGCTGCGTGGCTCGTCAATGAGTTCCTTGAGCATTACATCCCCCAGGAAGGCGTGATCGATTGCGGTTCACGAGACCACTTTCCCGATTCCGACCCCGTCTGGGCACACCTGACCGCTTTCCTGCAGAATCCTCGATACAAGAATCACCCCCACCTCCGCAACATGGTCGCGACGACGGCTGCTGCCACAGGCGAGGGGCGTGGGTTGAACAACGAGACTACCAAGGTTGTCGCAAATCTTACTGTCGTTGTGCGTGTCTTACGAAGCTCAGTCGAGGTCAAAAAGGCTCAGAGCTCGGTGGGACAGCGGAAGAGGAAGACTATGCTACACATTGGGGCCGCTCGATCGCACGGCGCGGTGATCAAACTCGACGCTGCGCCAGATACAGTCCCGCTCCTAGGCGACCAGGCAGAGTTTGTGGACGAGGATGATGATGAGAATGACGAGGGCGCGGCTGATCAGGGCACTTTGTTGGCAGAAGGGAGGCGTGGGAAGCGACGAGCTGTGTCTGACGATGAAGAAGAGGATGACCACGAGGCTCAGCTCGCGCGGGCGAAGCGTGGAAAGCGGCGAGCATGAATTTGACCTTCTGAGCCCAATAGACAACGTCTCAAGCAAAATCCCAATTGATTTCTAGCCTTGTAGCCTTCCTGCTTCTCCAATGGTCGAAAGCTGGCTCCAAATGTGTGTACAAAAACCGGAAGATGCACGCTTCTAGAGCTCGTACGTCGCTTCTAGAGCTCGTACGTCGCTTCTAGAGCTCGTACGTCGGATGCTGAGTTGATGCGCGCGCTCTCTGCTGCAATGTGGCCTTCATCTCGTCGGCGCTGTCGTCGTAGAGAAGCGTCTTGGGGCTCAGCCATGAACTTACCATGGTAACATGGTTGACCTGGAATTGTTCAGCAGCATCTGAACACTGCTGACAAGATGAGGGATGTCGGGCTGAGGCAGCTCTGGGGTGGCCTCGCGCCTCGGAGCCATGTGCAATTCGACCTCATCGTGCTGCAGTAGTCGCACCTGTAAGCCCGACGATATGGCGAATGCGCAGGGAGCTCGAACTTAGCGCAACGATGGGCTTCGGATTTCACGTGGTCAGTCAAGGGTCTTTATGAAAGAAAGCTCCGGCTTCACCTCACTACAGTCGTCTCAGAGGCCACTGACACAACTGTGAACTGCTTGGAGCTTGCTGTGGCTGAGGCCTAAGGTTGTTGGGCTCCCTTGGTATGCTTGGGTGGAAATGATAACTCAGCGTAACCACCCGCAAAACGATACTGCATCAACCTCCTTCGTAATAACATCCTGCAAGAGTCAGATTGTGCCTCTCGAGCTGGTGATCGTTTGGAAACATCTTTTTGAGCTCAACATGCGATTGCCTTGGTCGAACTGTTCACAGTTCGTGTCTGAAAGACATCAGGCGCCGAGGCTACCTGACCTCACCATGTTAGCCACACCTAGGGGACGCTGGTTGTGTTAGCAAGCGTACCGAGTAGCAAGCCGTCAGCAGGTAGAGCGGTGGATGGTGACAAGCTTCCCGCAACACTCACCTTACAATGCTTCCTGGGCAATCGTAACCACGACTCTTGACCTCGGCCATATTTGCGTTGAACCTGAGGTCATCGTGAACCATGTTGGTCCTTGGCATGACGCACATTTCTTACACAAGACCCACTTCATCATAATCAACTTGAAAAAAACCAAAAAGAATCATGGAGGTTCAGGAGTTTAACCCGAGATATCTCGACACCAACAGGACTTGAACCTGTGCGGGCGAACTGCGAAGGTGTTAATTGCTGCTTCAACCGGCTTCAAAGAGAGCTGCTTACCCCATGTGATAGCCTAGAAGGCAAGTTCTAGTCACACCTGATGAGGGTTAGAAGAGGCAGACTGCCAGGGACAGGGTGGACTAACGCCTTAACCACTCGGCCATCTGGAAATCATGTTAGGATGGATGGTTCAAGAGGTCTACGCTGCGAGTCTTACAGTGTCTGGTCCCAAATTGTGCTTGGTTGTTGGAGTAAAATTCCAGATTACAAATATATATCCACTCAAAACCAGCAGTGCGAGATATGCGGTGCTTAGAAGCTTGGCGGTACATCTTATTGGGCATTTTAGGCTGCTCGTCTCTGCCGCATAGTGCCTTCTCCAGAACGAAAACACGTGTCAGCTCTCAACCAGTTTCACGTTTGAGGTTTGTCCAGACATTCGTTGCTGTCCAGAAATTGAATTAATCCTCCCCCGAAGGCGCCCTACAGCTCCCACGATTTTGCCCAATAACGCTCTGCTAACATTTGGAGATTTCCCCAAGCAGCCGCAAGAATCCCGATCAATCATGCAGCCAGCCCTCCACCAACCTACAGGCGTATCAGCAGTTCGCAGACCCTCACGATAGATCTGAGCTTATCCAACGGTGTGGGCGATGGTGGCTGTTTCATAATCCTACGAAGACGGGCCTGTTGCTCTCAACCACCCACACAAGCGCTGTACCTAGATTCATATGAGCAAGCAGGCAAGACTCAGACACCCTGCCTCATTTCATGCACATTCTGGCTGCAAGATTCGTCGTAGACAGGAGCTGAGTGCCGCAAGTATATCGTCGGACGAGCATCGCAAAGCAGTTTGACAGCACCGCAAACTCAACAGACGAACAGACGAATCTGTGATCTAGAAATACAGCTTCGTTTGAACGATAGGCTCTACACCTTTTCGGAACACAACCTGTCCGGACAACAAGCTGTATAGACGCAAGATACTTCCACAGTCTGGGCATACCTAGCAAATTCGGTCTTGTAGCAACAGGCCCTGCATCATATTAACTAATACTCAGAGAACATCATAGATAGCACTTCACATATCCTGGACACTAGACTCATTTGTGAGATAGCTACACGTTGTCCAGTAATCATTCTACTACCACTTATCACCATGTATAAAACTCAGAGCGCTTCTAAAACTGGTTTTGATAGCTAAGAGCTAAATTCCACTTCTTCATTGACCTCTCACTATTAATTGATTAACTCTATACTCTGCTCAAGCTGCTAATGAGGGTCAATAGTAAGAGCTTATCGAATTTGACTCTAGTTCTAAGCTAAGGGGACTCATCTCGGACGCAAGTTTGTGAGTTGACGGATGTGCACAGGCTTCTCCGGGCCCCTAGGTCGTATACCATGGGATAAGCCCTCCATGAATCTCGGGGTCTGGATCTTCTGCTTACCAGGAGGCGTCGCACGAAAGGGCCTAAGCGGTGAGTAGCTTATGTCCGCTGGACTTTCCGGATTACCAATATTTCGCTCTCGGAGAACCTTTCTGTAAGAATGAAATATCTGATGCTGTCCTGGGCGGGTCAAAAAAATTGACGGCAAGGCTACCGAGTGTCACAAGAGGCTGCCACCCACAAGCCTCTATAGTGAGTCCGAGGAGGGCACCAGTCAGTCTTTTCCGACTCGAACAGGTGATCTACTATATCTCTGGGGGTCCCGCTACTCAATTTTGTTGATGGTGAAAGCACAGCAGCCTGTCAAGGCTGAGGGTGGAAAGGGGGCTCTGGTCTTGGCACTTCACACTTGATAAGCTGATCGAGGAGCTCAAGTCAAGGCATGTCCAGTATCTGCTGCGAACCCAGCTGCACATACATGGTAAGCATTTCGCTCAAGTGAGTAGAACAGCAACACAGCGACTCACAGGGAGACTAATCGGCTTCAGGTTGCTAGATTCGACTTCGACACTCGCAAGTTGACCTTGCAAGCTCTCGAGGACCGCACTCCTTCCGAGCCGCAGGATTTCCCGCCCAAGAGTGATTCTCTGCAAGATCATCAAGATGCGCTAGTCAAGGCTGCGACGAGCCCATCTGCTGCAAGCGACCGAAATGTGGAGTTACGAGAGGATGTCCTGATATGACTTGTGACAGAAATTGATCAGACATGACTGAACGATAGAATAACATAGATTCGCAGGGCATAGCATAGCATCGAAGCAGACCAACACCTCTAGCTGCGGCCACAGCTGAAACGACCAAAAATGGTCATAGGTACACGCGGGTGTGCCCCATGATAGGGTCCAGCAGTATCCACGTTTAGAGGCTCGAGCATCTGATCCAATGCACTCAATGCACACCCACCATCAACAGAAATGGACAGCCTTTGCCCTACCTAGCGTACTGAGACCGCTGCATCCTTCATCCTCCCTCCATCCCACAAGACCCAACACACCCCCCGCTCACCGATATTCCTCATTCCTCGTCACCGCCAAAAACGTCAGACTCCACAACTGCCGCACATTACTCTCCGTGCCACCACTCACGCCCGGCGGCGGCGGCAGCGCTCCCAACGGCGTGACCTGATATCCGCCCATCGTCCCATTGCTGCCACCACCGCTCGTCCCATTCCCCGCACCCGCCGTAGCATTACTATACGTCCAACTCCACACCTCACTCTGCAACTGCGCTTCATTCGCCTCAATGCCATCCCACAGCGTATTGTACGCCCGCCTCACATTCCCATACACCTGCTGGTCGCCGCACCATTCCAGCGCCTCCCCGCCCCCCTCCTCACTGGAGCTATCATTATCACACCTCGCCAACTGCCGATTCAACCCCTCAGCCATCATGGCCAAGGTCCACGACCACACCACCGTGCCATGATACGCGCTATTCGTAAAATTCGCCGTGAGGACGTCACTGCCCGACAAAGCCGGGTTGGCGACGACCATGCCGACACCCGTGCTTAGCCCCGCGGGGAAGGGGCGGTTGATGTCGCTGGCGGTGGCGTTGAGGAAGGTGGTCAGTTGCGTTTGGTTGGTGCCGTTGACGAAGAAGAGGCGGAAGGACGTGTCGCTGTGCAGGACGGGAATGCTGCTCAAGTTGTTGTAGCTGGAGTCAAGGGCGAGGGCGTAGCTCGTCAGGTTCTCGCCCGAGGGGGGCAGGGTGTCGGCGTGCGTGGGGCCGGAGTAGTAGTCGACGCTGCTGACGAAGGTGTCGAGACGGTCGCGCGCCTCGTCGGCGGGGATGCTGAACTGGAAGAATTGCAGGGTCGAGTCCTCCCAGACTTGGGCGCGGGCGTTGAGGTCCGCGGCGCTGAAGCTGCCGGCGGGGAAGACGCCTTCGACGCGGGCGAGTTGGGCGAGGGCGCGCAGGGCTGCAGGCACAAGGGCGGTGTTGACGTCGAAGGGGATGCGGCCGCCGCCGAGGCCGTAGGTGCTGTCGCGCCATTGGCCGACGAGTTCGTCGGGTTTGAGGTGGATGAGGTTGTCGATGGTGGGGTCGTCTGCGAAGGCGGAGGTGATGTTGTAGATCTTTTGGGCGTTGATGGCCGTAAGGTTGCCGTAGGTGAGGTTTTGGTTGGCGATGTTGATGGTGCCGGCGGCGCGGAAGAGGAGGGGTTGGATGCGCGAGGGGAAGCGGCTGAAGTAGCGGGACATGATGATGGGCAGGTAAAAGTCGGTGTCGATCATGGGGTAGACAAAGACGGCGTCCGTGGACGTGACGTTGTCTTGGAGGTTGAGCCAGGTCGCGTAGTCTCCCAGGGTTTCCTCGTGGCAGACGCTGCCGTCGGTGCGGTTGATGCGCTCGAGTACGGCTCCGATGACGGCTTCGGTGGCAGAGCCGTTGCCAGTAGACAATACCGGCTCGAGGAGGAGGGCCGCGATCATGCTATCTCGACCAAAGTAAGTGAGGAAACGCCATGCTCCGGCCACGAGCTTCTCGGTGTAGGAGAGGAAGGAGAGGGAGGTGGTCTGCTCGGCTTGCTGAGTGATAAGCACTTGCGAATCGTTGTTCAACACCTCTTCCGGGGTCAGCTGCTGTAGTTGCGGATAATTGAAGGAGGCGGAGAAGACGTAGAAACCCGCGCCGAAACTGAGGGTACGGTTGTCGATGGAGATGGTGGAGTTCTCGCTCTCGTATGGCATCAGGGTGAAATTGGAAATGGTGGTGTTATCCAGCCAGAGCCGTGAGATCATGGCGCCGGTATCGTTGTACTGTGTCACATTAATGGCTCCTTGGATCTCAGGGTACAGCAGGCTGGGCCCCTCGGTGAAGTCACGAATGGTCCGGACGCTGCCTAGGATTGGGACGGTCAAGCTGGCCGAGCTGTTGAAGGAGATGACGCCTTGTACGCCAACATAAGGGTAGTCCGAGTTCTCATCCTCGACGTGAACGGGCCCGAGTGGGCTGCCATACGTGGAGTTGACGAGCGCAATGGCCAGAGTACCGTTGGGACCATTCTGAGGCTGGAAGAATGTAGCGATGCCACTGTTACCAGCAGGCCAGGCAACGATCAACCTAGGTCCGATGATGGTTAGATTCGAGTCGGCTAGTGGACTCGTCACCACCGCCTGAGCATCGACATTACAGTCGCTGTAGAAGTAGTTCTCATACGGCGGATCGCTCAGGTGCTGAGTCACCGCCTGACAGTCATCCGACTGGCCCACGACATACTGGACGAGCCAGGCACACAGCACGGTGAGAAGCGCAAGCATGATGAGAGCGAATGGAGGCCAAGTCTGGATTCCAGCATTCACTGCCTGAGGTCGAGTTCGGCGACGACCGACAGCTTTCAACGACATGAGCTTTCCATGACTAGCTCTTATGGCCTAGACAAAGCTCCAGCTCGCCCGATGACGTGGATTGAGACCTTCCATGTGAGGTACCATTTAGCAAGTATCTAAGGCCGGTGCTTGCCTGTTCAAGGCTAGGATAAGCGAAACGGCAGAATAAGCTAATGCGGGGGAGGTGGCGGCGGGGGAGATGGTGAAAGGGTGGCGGCCACGAGCTCCAATGAAGAATGTGCCCGGCAGTCCGCGGGTCGATCAATTAGCAGTGGGAGGGAGAGACACGATGTCGCAAGCTAGCATGTAGCGGATAGGGTGGGAGATCCCTGGGCGTGACAGTGAGTGTGGGTGTATGTATGGTGTAGCACGCAGGCGTGTGACTTGTCACCTTCACCTTCTCCCACATGCATGGGAGCTTTAACAGCAATACCGACGCATAGGAGCGAAGGAGGATGATCACACGAAACCCCTTTCTGTACGATGGCAGCCCAGCAACAAGCCTAGATGAATAGAAGGTCCAGCAGCAGCCACCGGTAGAGCCTTTTTGAATACTTTCAGCCTTGTACAACTATCCCCCTCAACACTCCTCCACCCACTCACAGCCGAGCCTGCAACTTCTCCCTTGTGTCTCCCAGCGCATACTCATTCGCATTCCGCTTACTCCTAACCTTCTCACCCTGCTCCGGCGTGACAAACCTGGCCTCCACTGCCGGGTTATAGCCCACACCGCTGACCTTCTTGATCTCCGCATCACTGACCTCGGCGTTCTTCTGACCATCCGCCCTCTTGTAGACGGTGACCACCACGGCGCCGCCCAGGCCTAAATTGTGCTGCAACGCCACATCCGTATCCTTAACGAGGCGCCCATTGTTAGCCCAGCCTCTCAACTGCCATACCAGTTCCGCGCACTGCGCCAACCCCGTCGCGCCCAGCGGGTGGCCCTTGCTGATCAGCCCGCCGCTGGGGTTGATGATGGGACCCTTGCCTCCGTACGTGATGTCGCCGGCACGCACCATCTCATGAGCTTTGCCTGGCGGGCAGAATTCGAGGCCGTCAAGCAACAACAGCTCGTTGGTGGAGAAGCAGTCGTGCACCTCGGCCACACGAATTTGCTTGGGGCTTACACCCGCTTCTTGGAGGGCGGCGCGCGCGGCACGTCGTGTCATGTCGAAGCCGATCAGGTCGATGGCGCTCTTGGAAAAGAGTTGTGGAGAGTCGGTCATGAGCGCTTGCCCGGCCATGAGGACAGCCTGGGACTTGAGGTGTGGGCGGGCGTCGAGGAAGGACTGCGAAACGATGACGGCGGCACCGGCACCATCCGAGGTGGGCGAGCATTGAAGCTTGGTGAGCGGAGGGTGGATCATAGGCGAGTCCAGAACCTCCTGCAAGCTGTACTTCTGCCGGAACTGGGCGTAGGGGTTGCGTTGCGAATGCTCGTGCGAAATGCGGGCGATCTCAGCAAAGTCCTCAGCTTTGGCGCCGTACTTGTCCATGTACTCCTTGCCGGCATTGCCGAAGTACTGGGCGTTGCGAGGCGTGTTGTGCTTGCCGTTGGTGTCCTCCATCATGGCGGTGGAGAGACCCATGGGAGAAGGACGGTCGTCCCAGACGGACTTGATGCTGCCAGGACGCATCTGCTCGAAGCCAATGACGAGGACACAGTCGGCAGCACCGTTGCGGACAAAGGTCCGGGCGAGGTGTAGGCCGGTTGAGCCAGTGGCACAGGCATTGTTGGTATTGTAGATAGGGATGCCATTCATGCCGAACTGATAGAAGACCCGTTGTCCGCTGGTGGTGTCACCATAGCAGTAGCCTGTAGGGAGTCAGCCATCATCCAACCCGTCCAGCACAAGCGCGCCATCAAAGAGCCAGTCGCAGGAGAAACGTACAAGCCACGCCCGTCTCAACATCGTCGAAGCTAATCTTCGCATCCAACATGGCCTTGACACCAGCTTCATAGCCGAGTTCCGGATACTCGCGCGTCCGGCGTGGCTTGAGGAACTGGGTCAAGCCGACCCCGAGGACGTACGCGGGCGTGTTTCCTCTCGACATTGTTGTTTCCGATTTCACTCCTGATAGAGATATACGTCGAAGTAAGAAGATGATATTCTAAGGGAGATGAGCAGAGTGGCGAAGTGAAGAAGGACAGCATTCGAATACTAATCTATCTAAACGGTACAAACTGAGAGCGGTGGTGAACCCCCGCACCCTTCAACGCCGAGCTTTCAGGCCGAGGTTGAACTTAGGCGGTAGCCGGCACCCAGACTAAACTCCGCTTTCTCCGGGGGGTGATGAAGCCTGCGGCCCGGCCTCGGTGCTGGAGCTCGGATGTCAGGCAGTAAATGAACGTCTCATCTGGACGCAGAGAACTCGTAGGCTTTGCGCAGCAGGACTCCATCCACGGTATGACAGAAAGTTCCGGTACAGGCCAGGCCGGACCATATCGATATGAATGATGCCAATGATGCTCCTATGCATCCAGGTTTCCATCAAAAGAGGGGCGGTCCTTCGACCTCGCTGCAGAATCCTGCGACAAGCGTTTGAAGCTGAGACTCGTGAGCTGCGGGCCTGAGGCGTCAGGATTGTCCTTGGCGCCTGCACTAGCCACAGACTCCAGACGACGGCTCTCAGTTTCGGACAAGGTCGAACCATCAACACCGTCTTCAGCTGTGCCGTCAACGCCCTTGTCCGATTGACCTCGATCTCGTTCATCTTGGGAATGACTGCGCACCTGCAGGTCGTTTGGCTGCTCGACCTCATCATCCACTTGCATCGTCTCCATGCAATACAAGAACTTCTGTCCCCATCTCACGCTCGTCTGCTCCTCCACGACTTTGACATTGGACTCATGCCGCCGTTTGCGTTCTGGAGGCGGCATGTGTAGAGCCATGTGAATGGCCTCCGAAAAACGCGGTGTGTCCCACGGGTTGATGATGACCGAGTCTCGCAATGTGGTGGCCGCACCAGTGTACTGCGACAGCATCAGAACTCCAGGTTCTTTGTGGTGGCCAGTGCAGGCCTGTGTAGCTGCTTTGTGAGCCTGGCAGATAGTGTATTCGTACGAGACGAGATTGAGACCGTCCCGGATAGGGGATACCACGCAAATATCAGCAAGCGCGTATAGCGCGCACAGATGCTCGAAGGGGATGCTGCGGTGGAGATATACTACAGGCGTGTAAGATGCGGTACTGTGATTACCGTTGACGCGTCCCACGAGTTGTTCGACTTGATGTTGCAGCTTGACGTATTCGGTCACGCCCGGGCGAGTAGGTACAGCGACTTGGATCATGACAACTTTCCCGACGTAGGATGGGTTGTCCTTCAAGAAATTGTCAAAAGCAAGTAGTTTCTGCGGAACGCCCTTGGTGTAATCAAGGCGGTCAATGCCGAGCAGTACAGTCTTGTCAGCGTACGTCTTGGTGAGAGAAGTGAGCTCCGATTGCACTTCAGGCGTAGAGAGAGCCTTGCGGAATCGTGACGGGTCGATCCCAATCGGAAACTGATGCACAATCACCGTGCGGTCTCGGTAGTGAAGGTCGTGGGGAGATCGACGAACCCCCGGCAGCACCTTTTCGGCAGAATCCAAGAAATCTTCCACATAGCCTCGAGTGTGGAAACCAACTACGTCAGAGTTGAAGACACCTTCGCAAATGGCCTCTCGGAAGGGGAGAATGGAAAAGAAGTCTTCGCTTGGGAATGGCGTGTGGAGGAAGAATCCGATCTTGATCTGAAGAGGTAGAGATACTCAGCATGGATGATAGACGTACACTAGGTGAAACGGGGGCGACTCACCTTTTTGTTGCGTAGACGGCGGCGAATGGCTGATGGTAGTAACAGTAAATGATAGTCGTGAATCCAGACCTTGTCCCCATCCTCAAGCTGGGGGATGAGGTTCTCTGCAAAGATTTCATTTACCTCTTTGTATGCATCGGACCATTCTGGATGAGAGTCGGCCTTATCGCTGCAGCAACCATTAGCGACGTGTCCGCCCGATCGATTACAAGGCAAGGCAGGGCCCGACTTACGGCATACGATGGAGTAGCGGCCACAAGATACTGTTACTGAAACCGTTATAGTGTTTCTCTGCCAGCTCTTGTGAGAGAAAGACCGGCACAGCACTATGCTGTCGTTCGAGTTCTTGGCGAAGGTGTTCTTTGTCGTTGCGATGGACCTCGATACCGGGCCATCCATACCAGACGAACTTGGTCTTCGACGCCAAACCAGATAGAGAAGATGCAAGGCCACCGGCAGAGGCACCAAAGTCGAAGCCGCCATCATCCCTCTGCTTGATAGAGATGGGCAATCGATTCGCAACGACGAAGAGACGGCTCCCTTGCTCCTCGTCGTCGTCTTCGCCTCGAGGTTTTCGTGCCATTTTGGACAGGTGCTTCTCGTCGTCCGCTTCGAGCGTACGGATAAGAGTAACGAGGCACGTAGGCAGTGGGGTATTTGAGCTGCTGTATATGACCAGGAGAGTAGGCAGCGGTCAGCAATATCTTGCGAGCAAACGCGTCAGTCATCGTGGCCAAGGTCGACTTGTGTCATGGATTGGCAAAAACCGTTGAGGCTCATTGGGGCGTGCATGTTGAAGCGAGCCTTTGCTCCACCCCTTACCCACGTTCGAGGGCAATAAGTGCGGATTCAGGATCCGATGGCTGGCAACGGCGGGTCCGTAAACCTGCATTGACGTAAGTATCACCAGAAAGGGAAGAAGTCATCCAAGAACTCGGTGCATGTGCACGGTTTTGCAAAGGTGTACAGCGGGCAGGTGCCTCGCGAACGCTCTTCTATGGGCTATCAATCAGTTTGTGAGAGGCCGGCAAACCGGGTCATTCCACAACGGCGCCTCGTGGCTATACAAGTGTGGAAATATATCGCCGCCAAAAGTTGCCACGGTTGCGTCAGAGCCAAGAGTAGATCGCCAACGGACCCCACGAAAAGACACAGCTGCAGGTGACTAACACCGAATCCTACAGGAACAAACTTCAAGCAGACGACAAGGGAGCGACCAGCTCTCATCAGTACGGTCCCTGTCTTGAACTTCTACTGCCTGCTAAGGCTCATGTCGGAAGACGGCTAAAATCGAGAACAGGGAAACAGTATATATATTCGTAAGGCTCAAGTCGTATATTCGTACAATCGTGAAGACGAAGCCTCCTATATTTTCAGGCTTTCTGTCCGGGGTATAGATCTATTCTCCACACCTAATCAGCCGATGAACAGACCCTCAAACGCCAGCAACGGCAGGGCATGGCACTGATGCGCCGCTGACGACCGTCCCACGTTTGTATGAGCCATGTAATTAACATTCGCACCTCCCAGCATAGGGTAGCACTCTCCTTTATGGCAAAAGGAATTGCCCTGCGCCCAAACGGGAGTTGCTGATCAGAAATACACCAAGACATTTATCCACTGTGGTACCCGTACATTCGAGAAAAGTAAGGTCCGTGTCCTTGGAAAGAATTGAGCGTGTGATTCGTTTGGAATGATAATTGTTGCCGAGGTGAAACAAGAGGACGCCGATGGCCTTGCGGGGAAGCAAGAACAGGAGCTCGGTTGTCGGTTCGGGATCCAGGCGAGAGCTCCGATGCTATGCTGGAGTCAAAGCGTTGGCCGCGGAATTCGAACGTGTTATCCATGGGTCCAAGAACCATCGGACCAGCAAGATTTGGGGAATGCGTCATGTCGTCGGCTGCTGAGTGCATCTGGCTATCCGTCTCATCTTCTGTGACCATGTCCGGCGTTCTTGGTTCTTCCCGTGTACCCGACCCGAGCTGGGAGAGGTCTTGATCGTTCTGATCGTTCTGGGATGGCGGTCTTATGCTTCGAATTGGTGATGGAGGTTCCTCAGGCTCTGATACGACAATGTGTGTTTCCCAACTCCGGTTCTGCTCAATGTACCATTTGTGCTGACTGCTAATGTGGTTTCGGCAATTGCCTAACCTCTTGTATGGGGATCGGGTGCAATGGCCTAGGACTACCAGTGGGCAGGTGTAAGTTGGCGCGGTAGATGGGTCTCCGATGTCTGAGCCTGATCGCGGCGGCGAACGTTCTCGAATCCTGGACCGGTCTGAAGCATCGGAGACATTGCGTTCAAGGTGACTTGACCGTGATTTCGCTGAATTCGATCGGGAAATATCCGGCTCGGATGACTGCGAATGCCCTGACATGCAGCTATCATCGAGTATCGATCCCACGGACGAGGCTCGGAAACGTAGAAGAGCTTCAGCTACCCGGGAGCGTGATGCTGGTGTTGGCAAGTTTTTGAGAGCAATCCAAAGATCTGCTGTCAGCTCCAAATTAAGGCAACCATGTCCGCTCTGGGCTGCGTGGACATGTTCTCCCTTTTGTTGTACGAGCTTGTGATACAAGTGGGTCGTTTCAACATCGCGATTCAGAAGATAGATGACCGATTCCCTGAACCTCATATCTGAGCCCCTGAGCAGATATTCAACATAATCTGGGGAAGGTGGAACTTGGAGATATGTGGTGGGATGACTCATGTGCGGTAACGGGTTCCAAGCAAAATTCATGCTCCAAGTGTCGAAGGTGGTCCGCTTCGATGACAGAAAGTTCCTGGGCTTTGTCGAGCACCGGATGAAACAAAGGTAAAGTGGCGGGTAGTATTTGCGAATCGAAATCGTGTTATTGAGGATTCGGTCCGCCCAATGTGTAATCTGAAAGTGCTTGAAGGACCAAGCCGCCGCGAGCCGTCAAGTTACCAAGGCACTGAGAGAAAGATGGTAGAGGTACAGTAATCACAGACAATGCCGACCTGGCCTGATGATCGGTAGGACAAGGCAGGGTAAACGCCTCAGAAATGAATGAATTGACAAGAAGGGGTTGATGAGCATTTCATAATATTCAACACCTGGATCAGACTCTTCTAAAACAGCAGGGGACCAGGATTCGGAAGTGCATCGGATTGTCAACGGAGGTATCTGCACAGCCCACGGGGTAGTGGATACCCTTCGAAGTGAGGCTTCGGAGGCAGCGTAAATCGTTTTCTCCGGAGTATAGGAAGCTGCCACTCACGTGCTCTCGATTTTGCATTAGTACGAATGTAGTACTTCGTGATGCTCTCGTACGGCAAGACAGTTCACACAGCTGGTTGATTCGAAGATCGAAGCTGGTGCGTGGCCAGAGGCCTCATGGATCGCACCAAAGGTTGACACGAAAGTTCCGCTGATGTGGCTGAGGCAGCGCAGGAGTACCGAAATGGTCTGGAAGCTGAGCTAACGTGGTACAAGGCAGACACTAGGCATCCGAAGCTACTTTGGCTAACGAACCTCTAGCGGTTGCCTTGATCATATGGCGCTGACGAGAAGGAGTAGGATGAGCCGCACATGACCCCGCACTCGAGGCTCTTAGCCGTTCATCATATAGATCATATAAGGGCTCGTGCCCGGGCAGAAGCATATGGTATGCTCGTGTGGGGATGAGGTGAAATGATTAAAGGCAGGCGGTCGTATCTGAAGTTGATCGAATGTGTGCCAGCAGTGTCAATAGCACTGCCCGTGAGGCCATGACTGAGCCACAACGAAGCACGGCTTCCGCGCGAACCATGGAAAGTTGCAGAGATTGAATTGGAAATGTGGTCCGTCCCTGGCACTACTCACTTCTGATTGGCCCAGAAGACTCGAGGAGACCTGCGGCATCGTGGGTTGATTGGCCAGTGCTGCCAAGATCAGGCATCGCTCAGGCAGCAGTCCCTGGGCAAGATCGATCTGCGAACCATCGGCGGATGCGAACGACATCTGACCGGTTAGGAATTTGTCGGTCCAGCCTTGTGGCATTTTCTCATTCCAACTAGGGTTTGGGTCGGAGAGTGCTCTGCATAGGACTGATGCTCCAGATCAACCAGCTGACAGCGTTCCACAGGGCCAATGGTACGGCTTCGAGCCACTTCCAGAGTCGAGTAATTAATCACAAGACCTGGTCCTCTTGTCAAGGAAGTCCCACAGTATAGTATGTCGTTGCATCGCTGGCCAGATTGGATACATCTGGGAGCTGTGAATGCTCAAGCGACTGCATCAATTCCATCTGCTGTTGCTCGCTCAGCGATCCCATGCCGTTGGCTGCTGGTCCGTAGGCCTGATGTAGGTATCTTGAGTATTCATCGCCAAATGCCGGTAGCCACGGGGGAGACCCATAGTCAAAGTTTGGTGACCTTGCATAGCCAGTGCTCATGGTCGTGGCTGGTAGAGTGGAGGTCCATTGAGCTAGACTGCCGTTCGTGGGCACAACTGTACTATAAGGATCGAAAGACGGCAGACTGTAGTGGATGTCCGATGGCGGAACCATCACATTAGGAGGTGATGTGTAGTACATTGTGCCAGTTTGTGCTTGTGGTTGAGTCTGAACAGTGCTCGTGGTGCTGTTCGGCGAAAGCCTGGCAGCTCCAGGATCAATACACCCATTGGCCTCGGTCTTGAAAACCTGGTGTGAATTCATTGGAACAACATTGGCAGACTGTGGCGATTGAGGTCCGTATAGAGAGGCAGTTGTTGCACTGGAAGGGCTGTGGGCGACTTGCGAGGTTCCAGAGCTTAGGTCGGGAACAGACGATGTCGAGTATGGTGATTCTGCGACCCGGTCGTTATCGTATGCTTTGAGACAGCTCTGGATGAGGTTCTCGTAAAGCTGAAGCGCCGATCGAACGCCAGGCCACCGATCAGCACACATTCCAATAGCGTCGTAGGCAGCTTGTATTTGGCCACGGACCTCGTCTATAGGGTGTAGACGTCGCACCTCTGCATATGAGATCGACCACAATACCGTGTTGAGCGCCATGTTGATGGCTTGAGTAAATATCCACGTAATGTCAATCAAGCGAGCCTCAACTTGCTTTTTCTGTAGGTGGATATTGTACACTGCCGCATCGTAGCAGCGTAAAGCGGCTTCAAGTGTAGGATTGGGAATTTGGGGCGAAGGGCGAAAAATCATGACGATCATGGTATTTTTCCTGCCGGTGAACCAAGCTGGACTTAACCCGCTCCCCTCGTCGTTGTGTGGGCAGTTCGAAACCCATTCGTCAATGCGACGCAAAATATCTCCAAACCAAGGGTCTTGATCATTGATTGGCGTATCTCGCTTCCTTAGGTAGAGCATTCTGCGAACTTCGGCCTGCAGTAGTCGCATTTTGAGGAAATGGATAGCAATGCACTTCTTCATAATTGGATGATGACCCGGTAGTAGGCCGTCGTCAGTAATGTAGCGATCATCGCAAAGCTGAAAGAAGTTCACGTTGAGGTTATCAACCGTCACGCCGAAAGCGCTTGGACGTCCAAGGCTGTGAGACAGGCCGTATTCCATAGAAGTAATGATCCAGAATAACCTCCTCCGCATGTCGACGTCCAGAAATGTGGGACGAGATCCAGCGTTGGGTGAATCAATGGTCGCTTCTTCACAAATGCCGAGCTCTTGACACAATTTGACAGCAAGACCAACAACCCAGTAAGCCGCTGTGCGGGTTGGCGTCAGGAGCGAGTACTGGGCTATCAGCGCGTAGCATTGAAGCGTCGAAAGATCCTTCTTCTGTATGGCCCCTGTCAGAAATGGCAGAGCTGCCAGGTAGTAGCTATCAGCTAAACCCGCATATTGCGTGTCGAGCTTCTGCATTGAGATGGCAACAACCATACGGACCTGGAAATTGAGAGTCGAGTCGTTTGATCCATTGTAGACCTTCTGCAGATCTTCCTTGAAAGACGGCTCATGAAGCAATGGCAACATATACTGTGCCTTGACCATGTAAATATCAACCAGTCGCTCCATCAGATCGCGGTTCGGGAGGTCGGGCGCGGCAACCGAGCTGATAAGCGGATAGACCTTTGAAGTAGGCTTGCTGCTCTCCATCTCAAACTTGTCTTTGATTTCCCGAGCCGACTGCTGGGAGACAACATCTTTGATGGTTCGTCTAGTGGCGTTGCGCCGTGCAAAGTCCATGACAAAGCGTGTGATGGCAATGCCGCTCGAGGGTCCTAAAAAGCGGCCCTCTTCGTTTTCGCTGAATTGTACCAGTCCAGCTTCTCTTGCCATAGCTTCGTGATCTGGTTCTTGCTGATCGTCAGTTGCAGCGCCATTTAGCTCTTGCTGCAGCCGGCGAACGGTATCTTGCAGGGATGTAATGTAGGTACGCGGAATGACCTTGTTTCGCGAGGAGTCGAAGTACTCGCAATGTGCGTTACTCCGTTCGCATGGCTCGCATCGGGGAAGCGTTGGATCGCATCTTGTCTTTCTCTGGCATACTCGTCAGCAGTGCGGTATATGATATCAGAACACAGCAGTACCTGTCGACACCGCACACATGCTGTCACCGTGTGGTGAACTTTCCCTGCAGACCCTGATCCATTTGGCTCATTATAGCCTGCGTCTACAGCAGACATGGGTTCAGAAGTTGTGACACCGGGCCAGACAAACCTCGATACATTGCCGCCAGACGCCGGTATCTAGATGGCCATTCGCCAAATGAAAGGAGTGGTCGTTCGTGGAGAGGGTGATCCTAATAATGCTGACCTCGTATTCCGGAGGCTTGCGTAGGCCGCGTATTTGGCCGGAATGTCGTCGGCAACAGCCTTTTCGTGGGCTTATGCACGGAATTTTGGCTGGCTGATTAGGCGCTTTGGGGCAGCGTGGGACAGCCGCTTGAACAGGGGTTCAGAGGAATAGGAATGTGAGTTGAGTCTCGAGCTTCACATGTCAATCCAATGCGGGGATTGGCCAGACAAGCGGCTTGGCAAGATCCATTACTCGCGGTGCCCCTCTTCCTTCTAGAACGCCTTGCCCAGCGTCCGGATGCCCATCTGCCGAGCCGCCCACATGTTGTCTGCTTATCAGGGAATCTCTTCTATACCACGGGAATGATCGAAGCCATTGTTCGCGGCTTCAAGCAGCCCACCGTCTTGAGGCCTTTTGGACCCTTCCGACTGGGCCGCCGACATGCCGAAAGGGGAGACCATTGACTCGCTACTGGACCCGGCGTTAAGAGTTTCAAGGCCAGTGGCAGCGTGCTCGCGATGCCGTTCGGCCAAGATCAAATGTACTTGGGGAACAGCCGCTTGTTCGGCTTGCGAAAGGTCGGGGAAGGTGGAGGGTTGCACCAGCGCCAATGAGGAATTTGCCCGAGGCAATGAAAGGAGCTATGTCGCTGCACTGGAGGCGGCTGCCGAACGACTGCAGAGAAAGCTCGATGCCACCAAAGCCAGCAACGCTCTCGCTCCCATGGGCTTGCCACCCACCGCTCAGCCTCGAGGCAAAAGCAGGAAAATCAGTGGCACCCAACGGAAAGAGGCCTCTGATGTAAATGAGCTGGTCAGTGATTTTGGCTTCCTTACTGTCAATGCCACCTCTCGCGACTTTCATGGCTTCACCTCAACGATGTCCTTTGCCAAACTGCTGCTGGCCATGGCAGTCAAGACCGACTTGCCTGCAACAGCCACGGCAAAGCTTCCACCTCGCTACGCTGTCATGCAGGCCTTGGAAGGTTACTTCGGCAGAACATTCGTACTGCTGCCATTCTTCTCCGAAACCGACTTTATGACCTCTTTGTCGAGAGTGTATCAAGATGCCATCAGTTCGCCGGTGACTCCGCTTGACTTCTGGTACGTGAGACTGGTGCTGGCCATTTCCTATGCCACAAGCAGCCGCACAAAAGGCGATGATAATGCACAGTTGGCGACCCAACATATGGCTGCTGCCATGCAGCTGGCAGAATACGTGATACGGCCTGGGTCGATTGCAGGTGTACAGGCATTACTGCTTCTTGTTGAATACGCTCTGCTCGACCCCACGAGCTTAGACGCATGGTATCTCATTGGCATGGCGTCTCGATTGGTTGTCGATCTTGGTCTTCATTGCGAGCCTTCGGCAGAGACCAGGATCCCGCAAGAAGAGTTGAATATGCGGAGGCGTGTCTTTCATGCTACCTATGCGCTGGACAGACTTTTCTCTATATCCACAGCTCGTGCCTTTTCGTTCACGGACGATTCCGCCTCTGGGGTTCCGCTTCCTGATACAGGGAGTGAGCAGCAGACGAGCGCAGCGTCAGGGCTTTTCCTGCATTCCATCAAGCCATCATTGTATCTGTTCGACATTCGAAGAGTGCAGTCGGCATTCTATCAAACAACAAGATATTCATCCAGATCACGATGGTCCATCACTCAAGCCAGCAGCTACGTGACTTCGACCTCCAACGATGTTCGGGCCTGGTATTCGAGCATCCCATCCTCGCTCTCACAGACGCACCTAACGTTCTTCAATCTGGAACGACTGTACACTCACATTCTCGTGCTCGGCCCTCATCCACGACATCCTATGTCAGACTTATCAGAACTCGACAAAGCCATGATCTTCGAATATTGCACCCAGTATGCCGAGCTCCTTCATCCGGTCACTAATAACATTGACCACCATCCTTTCTTCTGCTACACTGACATCTGCCGGACACGATGGGTGGGCAAGCAATTTCTTGATGTGATGTGGTCTGATTTTGATTGCATGATCAAAGCCCAGCATGTGATTGCTGGCAATATGAGTAGCAGCTTGTCCGTCCATGACAACTGTGCTCGTGCTCTCGGCTGCATTAGGCAGATCAGTGACATCCTCAACGTTGCAGGCACTAAGTTGCAGATGACCGAGTTCAAAGACCAATACGAAAAGGAGTCTGCAGTACTGGTGGCCCGCCTAAGCAATCGCCAACAAGAAACGTCCACGGCCGGTCCGTCTGGAGCTGATGGAACATTCATGCCGTCCATAAATCCGAATTATCCACCCTACATCTACACCGACGCAACTCAGTATCCGCTGATGCCAGAAGATGCCGGTCAGCGCATAAGTCCCGGGAGTCGACGGGTTTACTCATTCATTGGTGGTAGCCAGCAGTAGCAGACCCCTCCAGGCCATCAGAGAGGCATAGTCGTGTGATCAAACAATGCTGCGGTGTCAGCATACGGTGAGAATTCGGGGAAAGCTATGCGCTGTATCCCTCAACCGAACCTCTGGATATTACGAATGTCTGTCGCGTGAGCAGCTGAATAGACTCATGTGCTGCAGACGACATAGAAGGGTGTGCAGCGTCGCAAGCGGTCAGCCGACGGGCAACCTCACGTTGCGGATCTTAGGCATCTCATTGGCGGCTCCGGGGCATGCCTACTCTCGAGGGTTTCCGCCCGGAGGTCGCTAGTGAGCCACGCTTCGATCCGCTATTTGCGGGGTGGTATTCGTAAAAAGAGGACGTTAAGGCCAAGGCAGCCCCTTAGGACGAGCTCACTTACAAGCAGCATCCATACTCATCCTAATACACGGTTGTTGTGTACATTGAGAATTCTGGATGAACGAGTCCGGAGCTTGTTGAGACTCTCGGAAGACGTTGCGGTACCTGAAACTAAATTCCAAGCCCCTTGGACCCCACGGAGGTGGCAGCCCTCCGCCTCTGACGTAGCGACCCCGAAATTCGTTTACCGGATTCGCTTTTCCAGCTGCTTTCGCAGACATCCGATCAATTCGCCATTGCCAGCAAGATTATCAAAAGAGCCTCATCAAGCAAATCATGCTGAACGCGAACGCCTAAGACAGCTCTGGAAAGTGCTTATCGTCAGCCATGGTCCGCTTCACTGGTGGTCTGCTGCTATTTACTGCCTATGCAGCAGCTGTGCCTGCGGTTTCCGATCAGCAGCAAGTCATACGAAGGCCATCATCGGAGACAACACAGAGGAAGTTGCAAGGACGATTTCTGCATATTACAGGTAAGCCCGCTTCTCGGATCGCTGGACCAGCTTAACCATGCTCTTTCAGACGTTCACCCCGACCCTTTTTACGAACCTTACACCGAACCTGATGGGGACCACCCTTGTCATCATAAAGGAGGGAAAGGCTCCGCCGGTCACTTTGGTGCTGAAACTACCGATTGCGATACTCCTTTTACTCTTGTAAACGCGACCTTCGACTGGATCGACCAAAACATCAAGGATGACATCGATTTTGTGGTCTGGACCGGTGACTCAGCGAGACATGACAACGACGAACACTATCCTCGCCACAACAAGCAGATCATTGATCTGAACAAATTTGTAGTAGACAAGTTCGTTCAGGTCTTCGGAAAGAGTGGTCAGATCGATCCGAAGAACCCCCTGGACAGCTTCGTTATCCCAATCGTCCCAACCTACGGCAATAACGATATCTTACCTCACAACATTTTTACAGCCGGCCCGAACAGATGGACCAGGACATTTGAAGACATATGGCGCGGCTTTGTCCCACAAGAGCAGAAACATACATTCGCAAGAGGGGGTTGGTTCTTCTCAGAAGTTATTCCCAATCGTCTGGCTGTCTTCAGCCTGAACACACTATACTTTTTCGACTCCAATTCGGCAGTCGACGGCTGCGATGCCAAATCAGAGCCTGGGTACGAGCACATGGAATGGCTGCGCATTCAGCTACAGTTTCTCAGAGACCGAGGCATGAAAGCTATCCTCATTGGACACGTGCCACCAGCCAGGACTGATAGCAAGCAAAATTGGGATGAGACATGCTATCAGAAATACACCCTCTGGCTCAGGCAATACCGCGATGTTATAATTGCCAACATTTTTGGCCACATGAACGTCGACCATTTCATGTTCCAGGATGCATCGGGACTGAAATACAAGTTTGACATCGATGGCGTAGACACCGCCCTTGATCGCCTAGTCGACTTCGATAACCATACCGCAGACCCTGAATTCTCAATGGCCGGCAAGACCGCCTACTTGAGCGAACTCCACGATTCCTGGGCCAAATTACCAAAGCCACCCAAGGGGCATTCCTACGCTGCACTAGGGGATGCCGTCGATATTGCGAAGAAGAAGCGCAAAGAAAAAGAGCTCGACAAGTTTCTACGATCTATTGGCGGCCCATACGGCGAGCGTTTCAGTCTCAGTCTAGTCTCGCCCAGCGTTGTGCCGAACTTCTTTCCCACACTCCGCATTGTCGAATACAACATAACAGGGCTGGAGCACGACCACCCTGCAGCGACTATTATGGGCGTCCCGGCTGAAGTATATTACGAGCGGCACAGCCTCCCAGAGGATGACAGCTCCCGAGAAGTCGAGCAACAAGAACTTCGCAAGCGCGATCACCAGCAAAGTGGCCACGATGACGACGTCAACCTGGAGAAGAAGAAAAAGAAGAGAAAGAAGCACCACAAGAAGAAGAGGAAGCCAACCTTTCCTGTGCCTGAACCGCCGTCGAAGACCGCTGCGCCCGGCCCTGCCTACTCTCCTCAATCCCTGAGCCTTCTATCATGGGAACAGCTCTATGCGAATCTCACGAAGATTAATGCCGCATACGAGGAAGCTAAAACAGTCGGGCATAACAGTGGCCACAAAAACCAGCAGTATGTTCATTTTGAAACCGAATACACTACAAAGCACGACAAATACTACAAAATGAAAGATCTCACCGTCCGCAGCTGGCTGGATCTAGCTGAGCGCATCGGTCGGGAGGAACTAAAGCACCCACAGCTTCAATTCGATGAAGAAGAAGAAGAAGATGATGATGATGAAGAAATCTACGATGCAGAGTTGAGCAGGATGGATGACAGCGACCTGGATGATAGCCTCGCATCGGATTGGGCGGAGACTTTCCTGGATGAGGTGGAGATCGAGATCTCAAAGCGGAAAGACAAGAAGGAGAAGGGCAAGAAGAAGAAGGGAAAGAAGATGAAGAATCATCTGTGGAAGGAATTTCTGCAACGAGCCTTCGTGCAGACGAAGCGCGATGATGAGCTGGATGACACTTTTGGCTGAGCGCGCCGCGGGTCTTGAAGCATTGAGTTGTTGTTCTGCAATATAGAAGCGTGCTTTTATGGTACAGATACGCCGCATCTTTCCATGAATCATCAGATTAATGATGCCCTTTTTATCATGGATGGGGTAGGACTGCCATGCTCCTGGCCAGGTCAGTCCAGCCACCAACGGCGGCGGCGGCGGCGACGCCTCGCGGACGCCTCGTTTCAAGCCGCGGGTTCAATCGAGCATGCGGAAATGCGGGGTAAAACCGCAGAAAACGAGGCATCAAACAAATCCACTCTCTCTGAAGGCCAGCCCTAGCATATATATACTCTCAGTCAACCCACGGACACGAAGCACTCAAGTGACCCCCCTTTTCCCTCTCTCTTAATACTTCTCCATTGCCTTGCCCTCCCCCGCATTTCTGCTTTTCGGATCTCACCTGCCTGGCCAGACATGTCTGATCGACCCTAGACCCATCCCCCGCGTTTGCGTCAGCCTGAGACAGACAGACAGAACCAAACAAGCTACTGCGATGTCGACGCCGCCGCCGCCGACGACGACGCCCATCACCGTGCCGACAAACTTCCCATCCCTGATCCCGAGCTACACATTCAATTTCCGCATCGGTGGCGGAGCCAGTCCCGTGGGCGGGTTGACGCGCGGCTCGCCGCTTACCGTCGTGCATATCGTGAGGGGGACGGTGAGTACGGAGCCGCAACCGCAGTCGCAGTCGCAGTCGCAGTCGCAGGCGGGGAGGAGTGATGATGGGGTGGTGAGGCTGGAGGCGACGGTTCGGGGGCAAGGGATCGATTATGTGCGGAATGATCCGGACGGGGGGCGGATGAGGTTGGATGCGGGGGTTGTGGTTGAGTGAGTGTTCCTGTTTGTTTGATATGGTGTTCCTGGGTGGGCTTGGCGATGTGGTTTGCCTTGAAGGCGGTGCTGATTGATGTGTGTGGCGCTGGTAGGGATGACGAGGGAAATGTGAGTTTTTGACTGCTCAAGTGTTTCCAATGTGTTGAAGTCAAGCTGGTGGGCCCTGGCTGACGCCCGTGGCGATACATAGCTCGTTTCGATTCGCTATACGGGCATCGTGGACATCAATGACCAGCTGACGGCAATTCTGGCTGGGAGGTCGGATGCGAAGAGTACGGAGTTTGGGCACTCTTGTATGTTTGACACACGATTCTAGTTATAGAATGGCTTCCGCTGACTGATTCAGTCATCAACGTGTCATTTGAGACAGGTGCTGAGAGATACAAGGAGCTGGAGCGTGGGCTGTTTGTTGGGGCCGGGAGATTCGTTTTTGATGGGCATGGACTGGGTGTAGAGTACAAGATCAGTCGCGTGGGATGGCGGCCACCATGAAAGGCCGACTGATGACAATGGTATGGTGTCTGGACGATAGTGAGTAGAGCTCAGAGATGCGCATTAAGATGGGCGACTCAGGTCCTACATCTTCACGGTGCTAGGAGTGGCCGCCGTTCGTCACTATCCGGCGCCTCTTGCTCAGTCTGAGTTGCTGTGGACGTCCCAACGAGCCGCCACCTCTGATTCTTTCTCAGACCCCACCACTGAGCTTGGTATATTCGCCACCATCCCGGCTGTCGCCCTTTCCAGCGCCTGACGCACCACTGCAGAAAGATGGACAACATCCACACCAGGAGCATCCATGCCAATGTTGCCAGTACCGCAACAATCACGGACATCAGAGTCATGGTGGAACACCGGCAGCTGAAAGGTTTAGCACGTAACTCCCACCGCTCACGCCATGACAGAGGGCAGATGCTTTCAGACTTTAATGGCGAGAGGATGGCGAAGGGATGTGGCATGAGCTGATTAGGCACGCAGGTCGAGCTAGTTGCGCACCATGAGCAAGGGTACGGCGAGGCGAGGCATGTGTCGCATGTGAAATGTGGCCAGCAGCGGAAAAGTAGGTCGTCATCGCTTGCCGCTGATGAGGAGACGTTGGCTGCCATCGTGTATTTTGCGTCTCACGTTGGCTATATAAGCCGAACGATGGTGACTGTCGAGGCTATTGGTAAGGGGCCTTGAAAAAGTCTTGCTGTCATCAAACAGCTCGCAACTTGGCTGAGAGTCGTAATCCGTATTTGACGGCAAGCTTCAATATATAGGAAGAGTCCTATGTTGCCCGACTCAGAAGTGGGAGGTCAGAAAAGGCCGAGCTGCTTATTGGCAAACGAAACGAGGCATCCGGGTCCACATTTGCCAAGAGGAAAGCAAGTTCATCTTGACCACCACCGCTTCACAACTCTTCCCATCTTGGATCTTCCTAGACAACAGCCTTGTCAGCTGTACTATATACGAACAGCCATTTCAATCGCCTCGTTTCATGCACTTGGGAAGAGATGCACTAGTTAGCTGCAGGGCTTGAAGACGGCCTGACCAGGTCTCTGGGCTTTCCACTCTTCCCGTAGAATGAGCCCAGCATGCTGAAGCCAGCTTGCATGATGGCCTTGAGTCCGTCAGAGCCATTGTTTCACACACCAATCCCGCGATGGCGCCGGACTATGCTGGTTCATCTCATTTTCTGGCTGCACCTTCCTAAGCAGCAGCATCGATGGGACCAAAAACATGGCAAAAGCGTCCAATTGCGTCTGGGAGCGCAAGGCATGCAGCCCACAATAGATCAAGTCTCAGTTGATTATATAGTTCTCTATGCCCTGCCTTTGTGTGCGCGGGCCAAGTTGAGATGCGTCACAACGCCGCTTTGTTTTGTATCATCGAGCAAACGCCGCGGCGAGTTGCCTTGTCTCTCATCGCAACACAATGACCCTCGACATCTTCGCGTTATCTCCTGTTCAACGACTACTCTCTTTTAATTCGCTATTCGATCACTTGAAATTTGCGAACCCATCAATTACTGGTGTTGCAAGCATCAGCTTTGATTTCACCCTGCCTCCTCGTTGCCTGGTGACAACTTGCCCTCTTCCGCACCGGTGACAAGAAATTCGCGCCACTCATTTGTCTTTGCATTATCATCTACTACCGACAGGTTCCATCGCCTTGACATTTCTCTTCTTCAAACACTACCGAATCGCGATACCATCCGTACCTTTCCTTTCATCCCAAAACCAGGCTACATCCATCAGAATGGCCAATACTGTGAATGCTGCTTGGGGACTTGTCGGAATTCCCTTGATCGGCAATACCGTGGCGTCAGTTGGAAGAATTGCTATATGCAACATTTCGCCCGGGCACTCTTTTTGCAACAACCGCAACCCTGCCGACGTGTTCATGGATCCCAACTCTGTCTATCCTGAGGTATCCATCGCTCCCACGCCTGTCATGAAATGGCAAACCGTGACATCGACCGAAACAGAGACGGAAACCCGAAGCCAACAAGAGGTCCGGTCATACACTGCCACGCGCACCGAGACAGAAACGCGGCTGCGACTCAAGACTGTCACTCAGATGCTGACCACAACCGAGACAACGACCGAGAAAGGTCCGACAGTCACCGACTGCACATTGACATCTTTTGACACTGTCTCTCCATCTCGTGCCCCCGACAGCCACTCTTCTGCGAATCAGAGTTCAGACGCCTGGAAGAGTCCCACGGTGTGGCTCATCATACTGACCATGTTTCTCATCGGCCTTTTTTTCGGATGGCAATCGGCTTTCCGCACAAAATGGACAAGAACTGTCCCCGAACGCACCAGCAAGAATGACAACGAACGCGAATCCACCGCGGTTGATGTCGAGTCCAAAGGACAGAAGGCCACTTCTTCCCAGCACCATGACTGCACCGATCATAACTGCTCGAAGTGCCGAGAGTTTTGGGCTGAGAAGGGCGCCCACAACCTTGCCAAAGCGGCGGATGGGTGTCAGCAAGATGAGGAAACAGCAGCCATCCTAGGCTGCCTAAGTCGCGTCTTCGACAACGCCGACCGCTGCCTGGACCGAAGAGAGCTGGCTGATGAGCTCGCTACCGAGCTCATACGTCTTGCCAACAAGAATAAAACTCGCGCTGACGGACTACACTGCACATCCGAGGACCATACGAGGGGCTACCGAGTATATCAGTCGGTTGCCGGCAAGGAAGCGGCACAATTCCTTAAGGACAATACACCGATTATCGCGAAGACACTCCTGGCCGATGTCCGTCCGTTTGTCAACAACACGATCTTGCGCCACTGGACCAGCCGATTTTCGCAGACTGCAACAGGTCTTGAGCAGTCTGCAGGTCACATATACGCGACATGTCCAGATGGCGTTCGGGACCCTGGTGTCAGACTTCAGCGATTCACGCGAAGTCCTGACAGATCTCGTCGACATTCACCAATTGCCAGCAACGACAGAACACGTCGGCCTATCAGGTCGCTGTTGCCATCCCGTCTGATTGGTCGCATGCACACATGGACTGTCAAAGAGGTCGAAGATGATCTGCTCGATTCTGGTGTGCCAAAGTCATGGATTGACAACCATAGAGGTACCTTAAGGGCTAGCTTCCGGAAACACACAACCAAGGAGGCCGCCGTTTCAAGTCTCAGAGCTCTATACCAAAAGTCCCCCCAGGCTAGAGACAGAAGTCATGCTGCCAATGAGACCCATGTTGTGTCAGTACAGTCAAAGAAGAGTACTGAAGCGGTTTCGGGTATTCCTATCATCAAGATCGATACACCCTCTGAGAAGACAACCGATCAGCAAAGCCAGCAGCCTCAGCCTGACCCGATTGAAGACAGCCCCAAACAGCAGCAGTTGACTACCTCTGGCAAAGACTCAGATGATAGCCCTTTGTTAAAGAAATATCCGGCGTGGGAACAAGCGGTCCGAGAGCTAAGTCTACAGCCTGAGCCCTTGCGTGATTCTTCCACGTATTCCACCTCTAAACCTGTCGAAGATGATCATGCTGGCGAGGCTGAACCCCTGAGTAGCATTTCTACAACCAAGCCGGAGAAAACACCCGCAATCCTTGAGCCATCTGCCAGCGCGACTGTTCCGGTCCAGGACGCCAGCAGTACGGTACCGATCGCAGAGCAAGATCTTGCAGTTGAGGTATCGATCAATGTCCGCCAAGTTAGTCCTGCCACAAAAGCCGTCGAACAGGCCACGGACTCAATCCGTAGGCCGTACCTGGAGTACATTGGACCGGACCACGTCAGCTGCATTTTCGGGCCTGAGATTCAAGACTATTACAACGCCGCTTTTCCATGTGGTCATGACAAGGTACAGGCTGATGCAACGGATAGACTATGCGCACTCCATGCGGCAGATCTATCCTTCAAATATCAAATGGGTCAACAGCACGAGTCGGCAGCCTCTATCACTAAAGAGCTCTTGCTGCAGATCTTCCGCGACAACAACTACACTGCAGTCAAGCAAAAGCGCGGCGAGGAGAATTCTGACACGCTCAATGAGGATCAGATCGCAGACTTGGTTCATATTGCCGGAAGAGACCTGGGTTTGAACCTCGCCATTGGCGTCATCAGCCCTCCTGCTGCCGGCACCGCATCGGTGCCGAACATGATTTACTGCTTCGATTCTGCTACACGACCACTTCCGAGCGATGTGTTGTGGTTATACAATGATAATTTCGAGAACCATGGGGAAGCGCTCCCAAATGGTCTAGTTCGGGTGAGCCATTGGGATGGCCTTCGTCCTCTCAGCGCGAAGGAAGTCAGCCAGCAGGAAATCGCTCCTCTGGAGACCGTGGCTCAGGAGCCCGTTCCTCAGTACCAGGAAATTATCCCTCAGGAGATCGTGCAGACGCAAGTCGGCCAAAACGAAGTCGACCAGATTGACGCACAGCAGACTAAAGCCGAGCAGCCTAAGCTGACCATCGAGGAGTTCGATGGTCTTGATCAGGAATTAGCGGAGCAACAACACTACCAAGAGCTGCTGGAAAATCGCTCTTTGTGGAACGGTGAACTTGCGGAGATGTGGTTCCAACGATCTTTTGAGCCACAATATCCACCGGTAGAGATCATACTTGAGCGGGACTCGATGAGCGCGATCGAGGCAGCTCATGTCTCGATCCAGAATCAGATTCCAGCCATGTCTAACGTCACCTATGAGGAGCTCAAAGATATTTTTGAGTCTCAAGCCTACAAATCTGTTCTGCGCTATCGGGGCGAGCCTGAGTTAGAAGATCTCACTGCCGACCAGATCGCAGACGTCGTGTATCTCTGCGGTCTGAATTATGGAGTCATACTCAGCACTGGGTTCTACCATCCTCTTTCTACCAATACGCAGCCAGTCGCGGCCAGTATCATCGCTTTCGATCAGTCGGCCAACGAATATGTCTGGTTGAGCAATGACTGCAACAAGACTCGCTGCGGCAAGATTGTAGACCCCTCGGTCGTTACCCGCTGGAACGGCTTGCGAGGGCAGACTGCGGAAGAAAAAGAGCTTTCCGATCTTATGGGCTGGTCGGATGGTGATGAAGCTGCGGCAGATGACGCCCCATTATATGACCAGCCCGACGATCTTGGTTTCCCGGCAGATAACCATGCATCTCCCGGGCCGGTGTCGCAGGTTCCTCTATCCAACGAGCAGGAAGATACCGCGCCTACTAGGAGCTGCGGCTTGGGCGACTCAGTCCCTGCCATCACAGGAACGGCTGTGGCCATGGGCGCCCCCTCCCAAGAATACGTGATTTCTCCGCAGCATAACACCCCGAACCCTGCTGGTGGTAACCCAGTATTACCTGTAGTACCTGTTGCCTCAGGACTCGATACGATGGGAGACTTTTCGCCGGAAGACTTCCCGCCTCAGCCTTTAGAAGAAGGGCTTAGTCAAGATACCACTGATCATTATCAAGGACTGGATCATGGGGAGGCTATGGATCGGTTTGAGCACACTGGTTCCGCACGGGAGGCTTTTCTACCAGGCTTGACCGAGCAGAATGGTCTTGTGGCCAGTGGGAATTACGAGCAATCCGAGGACTTTACTGATATGATTGGTGTCGAGTCTAATGGCTCTGCTCAAGAGGGTTGGAGAGCATCGGAACCGCCTGAGCAGCTTCTCTCTGACATCGCCGCCGTATACGAAGAAGCCGAGGACGACAATGACATGAGTGGTCTCGAGCCTGCCAGCCTCGCTCAAGAAGCCATGAAACCAGTTCAAGAACCGCCATTGCCGGACATTGGTTTACCTGCCAGTATGCCCGGACCTGACCCTCTCCGGCAGCCTGCCATGGGAGATGAGTGGATGGATGGAATAGAACATGTGAGCACTGTTGAGCAGACGCGCTACGTTCTTACCCAGGTGCCTTCCGGTCCACAGTCTTTACCACCAGACAAAATCGAACCGGACGACTACAGTAGTCACAATGACGACGTGAAAGAGTTCGACAATCTGATCATGCAAACCGCCGACGACATCATGGAGGCGTACTACAGTCAGCCATTGGAGATGGAGCCTGAGCGTAACGGGTGGCGGCCAAAGACCGCAAATACCTCTGATGAGCAGCAGCAGGATCTGTTACACGCATCGCCAGCTTTTCAGGAGCCTACCGCTTCAGGTGATCCTAGTGCTTTAGTCGAGGGACAGGATTCTGGACTGTCACCCGTGTTGTCTGTCTACGATGGAGACGAGGACCCAGAGGACGTCTCTGATGAGGAGATAACCGACGCCATTAGTGATGTCGGGGAATTCTCACCAACCAACGACTGGCAGGAGAACGACGCGGACTCGTTGCCTTCTATGGCCAGCTCTCCCATGGAAGCCCCCCGGACACTTCCACCATCTTTTGTGCCTTTCGATGACATTGACCGCCACTACGTTGTGTCTCCAACAACATGTCAGCGCAATGATGGGCAAGACCAATTTGTGGAAGATGAAGTTGTCTGGGATGACGATGATGACAATGAACCAGGCCCCCATGGGCAGCCGGAGTTCTTGAGCACAGCGCCCGACTATAGCGCCCCGCCAGACGACCCGAATGCTCCCAAGCCGCTTCCTTACACGGGACCTTCTCCTGCATACGTACCAATGGATTATAATCCGAAGGGTACCAATCCTCCGCCGGCTGCCCAGCCCAGCCCTGGCCAAGGAGCGTCATCAAGTACAGTGCTGCCGCTGCCCTCCAAATATCCCTTTCCTCAGCCCAATTACGATGACGAGGGTGACTCGATCTCCGATGAGCAATCCAAGATACAGGATAGACCAACCAGTCCACGGAAGATCGCCAAGCCTTTCTCACGAGCGTCACTGTTCGAGAAGAGTGGGATCAACCCCTTATCGCTCATCGACACCAAGCCCACTCCGTCTCCAGTCGAGCCTTCCGCGCCGCCGCAAGCAGAAGTGCCTCGCCAGAAGGGCAAGCGTGGCCGTTCCCCTGATGGAGGCAAAGCTGTCGAGATTCGCAAAGCCAAGGAAGACCTAGACCCAGCAGTCACGCCTCCTCAGCGCGATTTGAAGCGCAAGAAGGACTTGATGGGTCAGATGGCTCCGGCTCCTGATGCTCCGGCCTCGGATGCTGGAGTCTCTGAGAAGACTTCCAACGAGTCGCGTACAGACACGAAGGACTCGACCGAACGGAATCACAACGAACTCGTTGCCGAAGCGATGGCCAAGATGGACATGAATGCCCCTGGGCCGGCCCCCGTCGGTTCGGCGTTGGAGCTCCGCGATCGTATGGCGAAGTTCACGTCCGAGCAGGGCAGGGCGCTCAAGAAGTTGGACGTCGACGTGACAAAAGCACAAAAGCGCGAGCAGAATAAGCCGTCGAAGGAGCGAGACGGTGTGTTCTTGGCTCATGGGAAAATCATCCTGAAGCGCGTCCACAAGGTCGTCGGGCTTGTTGAGGACCTGGTGGATGAGTGGGATGAGGTTCACGAGGATGTGCGGCCAAGCTGGTTCGGCACGGAGTTTCGGCGGAGGCAGATTGCGATGCTAGTGGCGGCTCTTGAACTGATGGCGCAGTTCGCCTCGATGGAGAGGAGGGCCGTGACGTACCTCGCGTGGAAGAACAAGGTGCGGGTGCAATGGGAGGCTTGCGAGGAATTGTGGACCGCCATTGGCACGGTTCCCGAGAAATCAAAGAAGGGGCTGGCCAAGTGGGACGGTGTCCAGACGCTGCTGAAGGACGGCCAGTTAGCCTATGAGCAGCTGGACGCAGGGCAGACAGAGATGCAGAAGCAGGCGGACGAGGAGGCCAGGCAAAAGGCCATACGAGAAGCCGAGGAGGAGGGTCTCAGCGACATTGATGCGGAGATCCTCGGCTTGGGAGTGGGGAATGAGGAGCAGGAGAGGCAGGAAGAGGAGTTCTCAAGGTGGAGGAAGGAGGTTCCGGAGCGCGATCGTGTGAAGACGAGGGCAGAGGTTGAAGGTCAGGAGAGACGGCTGAAAGGGAAGGCGAAGGGGAAGAAGGATAGCAAGATCAAAGATTATGCGAATGCTTTCCAACGATGAGCTCGCCAAGTATAAGGGCTTGGGGAGGGTTGATGTGATATGTATCCTTTGGAGCTACTCAATGTCGAGGGAGAGAGGAGGGGGGGGAAGGGCTTTGATTCAGATTGGAGCCTTTGGGCCTGTCTGGTTGTTCATAGCCTAAACATCGTCCACATCCACGACATTGATCAAGATGCTTTTCTAGCACAAGATCTGTCCATGTCGTGGGTTGTACCTGGTTGTAGCCGTCTACTGGTCAACAACCTTTTTTCTCTGTTTATGCGAAAGCATCAAGTCCATGTCTTTCCGACTAACGCTGATCTGGACCGTCGTGGGGTTTCTTGACTTGTTTGCTCCATGTTCAGAATACAGCAGAGTCGACTAGATATGAGTCTGGGCCTGGGTAAAAAGACGTTAATTCATAAGAGCCGAAGATGGGTGGGTGGGTAGTGGGTACGAACCATCTCGCTGCCACCCCCTGTTGTTTTTGTGATCTCTAGCATATGGTCCTTTCTAGAAAGGACCAAAGATGATGAGAACCGTTATGGTGAATGGGTCCATTGTGGTAGATAGCGCGAGTTGAGAACGCCTATACAATACGAACCGGCTTTGATTTGCGTGTAGGAGATCTATGTCTTGAAGATATCTTTCGACCTGCTCTCTACGCAGAAAGCTCCTTCATGGGAGCTGGCTTTTATAACCCAAATAAGTCTCTAATAATAGCAGGGCGTACTGCGCCGTTACAACGTCAATGTCACGTCGAACTTGCTCCGGTGCGTCGTTTCTTCTGCTCGTACTCCTCCGGCGGACTTCCTGCACAATGATGACTTGTCTGACCACGTTCAGACACGAGAGTGGTCTACCAGCAAAGAGGTGGTGTGTGGTTTGCGTAGGTGGCACTGGTGCCAAGGGAAGGAATTCTCGTATTTGTGCAGGCAGCAGATCTGCCACGCCTCGCGACCAACAACGACACTGCGGCGTCTCCGGGTCAGCCTGACCAAGTGGCACGATGGAAACCGTCAGATGCGCTGGTCGTTGCCTTCTTGCGCTAATGATGATTGCTTTTGGCACCTCGTGGTACGTTGTTTGTTCGAGGGTTCTGACATGTGCTCCTGGGGAACAAGGCTCGTGACACTGACTGTTGGCTGGCGGCTTGAATGGCAGGGGCGGCGCCATTATCATGTACGCGTGGACGTGCCAGTACAGGCAAAGATGTCCGTCAGAGACATCACAAAAGACTTGTTGTCGAAGGGCGGAGCGCACCAGTGGCGCTAAACACCACTGCCTTACTGGCCTGAGAACACGGAGTGATCAGTTGCCTTGTTTTCCTGCCTGCCAAGGATGTGCAATGTGAGCTCTTTGTAGGTCACAGCCAACTGCTATTGCCTACGGTCCAGCCACTCACTGCAACGCCTGCACCTACAGATTGACCCGGAAAGCCTGGGATGTCGATCTCGACCTAGGAAGAGGACTTTCGACCACCACCACCCTCTCCCCCACCCCTCTTTCTAGGAACCAAGTACGATCTCCAGCCCTCGATTCCGTCCCTAGAGGACGAAACCGACAGCCAAACACTCAAACATATTACCACCTCTTCAGCTTTCCACAATGTCACCACCACCGCCGCTCTCGCCTTCATCAGACATGGCAAGCCTCACTCTTGCAGCATCGTTCCTCCTCGCCGCCCACCTGACCTACCGCTGCTGGACACCACCGAACCCGACTCCCACTCCCAATCCCTCAAACTCCCCGACCGTCGCCCTCCCACGAGACGCCGTCGGGCCCGGCACCTCGGCCATCCGCGTCCGCCGCTTCATCCCCCTCTTCCTCTGGACGCACCACATCCTGCTCACGCTCCTCTCCCCATCCCTGGCTCCCACAATCCTCTGTCCCAACCCACACAATCTCTCCCGTTCGCTGCTCACATGGTCACCGTACACCACCGCCATCGTCTCACTCATCATTACCGTAGCGCCCATCCGCCTCCTGGCCTTCCAGCAGCTGGGCCCGAACTTCACGTTCCGCCTCGCCCGGCCCGCGGCGCTGGTCACGACCGGCTTGTACGCTTACGTGCAGCATCCGAGCTATCTGCCCAACTGGGTGGTGCTGATGGCGAACGTGGCGTTGTTGCTGCGGTTGGATGGCGTGCTGGGGTGTGTGTTGCCAGGTGAGGTCGTGAGGTGGGGGATGGGTGTGGGAGGGTTGGGACCGTGGCCGGCGGTGCTTGTTGGGGTGGGGGTGTTGGGGCTGTGGGCGATTTGGATCAGGGTCAGGGATGAGGAGGCGATGCTAGAGAGGGAGTTTGGGCAGAAGTGGCGGGAGTGGCACGGGAGGACGAAGAGGTTTGTTCCGGGCGTGTTTTGAGACTGTTGCGGGGGCAAGGCTGTTGGTTGGTGTTAATTGTGTGTCTGGACGCTTGGTCTCGGTATCTCACATGACAGTCTTTGGGAGCTATGGGGGCTATGTGACCACCTTGCCAGCTCATGGGGCTGCGCTATCGTTGTCCAAGTCGAGTAATTTCCTCATGCGAGATCGCGTCGAAACACCGCTTCCAGCTTAGACAGCACCCAAGGAAGGGTTGCAAGCACAGCGAGATGCCAGGTATCTTGTTGCTGCTGTGCAGCACAGGGTGACAGATCGGTACGGACCATACGTAGCTACGGAGACACGTGCTTGCCGTACAAACTCACCCTTTCTGCCTCCTCAGGAACTTCCTCCTCTACCCGTCAAAGCGCAATCTCCCCCGTCTCACCCACCTCCCTCAACAACCCCTCCCTCCTTCCCGTACTCTGCGGATCCACATACGGCCTCTCCCCCATACTCACAGCCCTCTGGCCCGTCCTGTCGCCAAACCCCTCGTAATCATACGTCGCCGTGTGGTACACGCTCCTATTGTCCCAAATCGCCACGTCATTCTCATTCACCCACCGATGCCGGACCTGCAAATCATGGTTTTCCACAACCAGCCTAACGAACCACTGTAGCAAATGCTCGCTCTCGGCCTCGGAGACCTCGTTGATGCGCTTGGCGTGGTGGCCCACGGCGAAGACGGATTTCCAGCCGGTGACGGGGTTTGTGCGCACGACGGGGTGCACGGCGGTGAGGTCGGTGCCCGTGTTGGCGGGGCTGCCGCGCTCGCCGGCGTAGAGCTGGAAGTTGTTGCTCTTGGCGGATTCGTTGAAGATGGGTTGCGCGTACGTGGCGGTGAGGGTGTCGAGGAATTTCTGGTACGCGGGGGAGATGCGGTCGTAGAGCTCGTAGCCGCTCGCCCAGAGGGTGTCCCCACCTGTCTTCGGAATTTGCGTCAGGCGTAGGATGGCGTAGTCGGAGGGGACGGGCTCGAAGGTAATGTCGCTGTGCCAGCCTTCCTTGGAGGACTGCTTGCCGGTGCGTTGCAAACGGTCCGCGTACAGTTGTTTGGCCTGCTGGCTGGAGATGACGCTGATCTCGTCGTCACTGCCACCTAGGGCTCGACCTGAGTTCGAGACTGGGTGGATGTGCAGCTTGGAGGAGGCGGGTTTGCCGGAGAGGGCGCCAAGGCGGTCGGCTAGTTGCTTCTGAAGGTTGTTGTCGAGTGTGTTCTGGGCGCGGAAGAAAACGACGCCACGGCGGGAGACTGCCATCGGGATGTGGTTAGCTAGGGCAGAAAAGAGGTTGGCGATGGGTTAGCGAGGCGTACTGGTGATGGCGAGGTCGCGCAGCAGTTTGTCAGAGTCTGGAGCCTCGAGGAGGTCTTTGAGCTGCACACTGGGGTATTCGCGGCCGATAACGGGGGTCACGTCGAAGTGCTCATACTTGTCGAGAGAGCCAGAGTAATTCAGTGGGGCTTTGTTCTGGCTGGCATAGAGCTTGCCATCATTATTGATGGCATCTTTGGCTGTGTCCACCGTTGTCTGAATCGTTTCAGTGATGGAGCCCATGATTGTTGCCGGTTGGTGCACAGGAAGCTGCCAGTAGAGGAAAATGAGAAGTAGAGAGGCGAAGTAGTGAGTGAGGTGTCCATTATATCCTGCTTTATGTTGTCCGATGCCATGCCTGCACTGAATTCCTCATCGTCTCTAGAAATCACACAATGTCCAAAGATGCACATGGCGTGTATGCTGATAACGACAGTGGCCAACGATATGGTGTTTGGAGCGGTGCGTCCCTGCAGAGGTCGAGGGCGTCGAATAAGGCGCGATGAATTATATCAGGGGGTGATTGCGCTAGGCAGTTTGAGGGAATTTCCGAATAACGCCATATTTCTCCACGATTGCTGTAGAGGTGCATGACTTGATCTCACCACACCTGGCCAGGACCAATCATATGGTGTTGAGAGACTGCATCAGAACGACAGTAACTGAATGATGTTCTTGTCCCAAATCATTCTGAACCGTGTTTAGATATTGTGGCCGGAAAGTAAGGCATTGGTAAGGAAGCATGCTGCGTATGACTCGAGTCTCACCCGCAGACGTTCGAGGATCTCGTATTCAATGCACTAGGTGTTGTTCGATTTCCAGATGTCGAATTGATGCTTGCCACTTCTGTGCATTTACCGACTGTCTTGTCGCCAAGAAGACTTCTGAGCAAAGCGTTGCATCCTGCAAGGCTCCAACCCATCAATTGACAGGCCCGCCTCTTGTTCATTCAACCTTTCTTGCCTTTCTCCCTACGTTCCAAAAAGCAAAGCATCGGTGCTCGTTTGGCGATGGAGAGGCCGGCTGTCGACGGCTGGTCGACCTACTAGGTACCATTCCTGCGCGGGTTGGGGGCTCCGTGGGGTGGAGGGCCCCTGTTTGTCCGGCTAGACGTGGGGCGCGGGCTGGGGTAAGCTCGTGGTGTTGGTCGGTGGCGAGACTGCCTGGCGAGGCTGATTAGGCAGTCAACGGTCCCATCAATGCCATGTGAACGCGTAGGCCGCCTCTGGTATTTTCGCAGTTCCAAATTTTGTCGTTCCAGACACTTGCTCGATACCTCACCAATCCTTACTGGGGAGTCGATATCCTGCTGTCAAAGTCACTTGATGTGCTGCGTGCCACTATCTTTGTAGACTGCTGACGTTGTTGAGTTGAGTATCGATTCAGCCGTCCCTTTCACCTAGGGCATCCAGACCTCCCCCACGTCTGTCTATCACTCTCCGAATACGCCGGCGGCGAGTCACTGAGCGGCCCTACCGGTCGATCCCGATGGTAGAGACCATATCCCGGCGGCGTATGCACCCTCGCAGGCGGTGGACTCCTCGGCGTGCTCGTCCCAGCAGCAGAGCTCCCGGACCCCAGAGACTGAAGCTCCTGGCCCTGGCTCTCCCTCGGCGGCTCATAGGGCGGCAGATCCGGATCCGGCGCGGGCCGGGGAAAGGTCACCTTGATGAATCTCCTGGCGCGCCGCGAGGACTCGGCCTCGCGCTTCTTCAGCTGCCGTCGCCGGAAGAGGAAGAGGCCGACGAAGAAGAGAGCTAGGACGATGACGAGCACGATACCGCCGATGCGGAGGGGCGTGAGGCCATCGTTGCCGGAGGTGCGGCTTTGGCGTGAGTATATGACTGGCATGATGATCGGTGGCAAGTTGGTGTCATGTCAGAAAGGCGAGTTTGGGTTTTTGGCTGGTGGCGTCGAGGTTCAAGTAGCGGTCACGGGGGCAAGAACTCACACAACATGGCTGAGGCAGTGAAGGGAAGATATCAAGGAAGCGAATAGGGACGGGTACTGGGCAGTGTCTCCGCCGGGCCAATGTCGCCAAGGGTTCCACGCGGCAGCCATGCTTCCGAGGACTGCCATTTGCGCCATAACGATATGGGTCTCACGACGGTGATAAGGCAAGCGAGGTGGTTGGTGCGGGGCTGTGTTGCAGCGCCATCCCCCAAGTTTCTAGGGAGGCTGTGACAAGTCCATGGCGGTGTGAGTGAGTCCCAGACTGATTGGCATCGTCACCTTCATGGTGCCTTCTGGAAGCCCTGTCAAGTGTTCCCACCTTCCACCGTCCGTCAAAAGACGAAGAAAATACAAGAGGCAGAGTCCCTGAGGGCGCGCGTAAGCCGTGGAGTCCTTAAATCCAGGCATGTGGGATGGTCGCCTTGGCGCTGCACGGGGGCGGAACTCATGCCAGTGGGAGGGAATGTTCGGGTCCCGTCGGCCATGTCACCGGCAGCGTTACATCTTCTGCCGTGAACCTCGAAGCCCGAAGGTGGCGACGTGCAGTGTGCTTGTGCAACTTGTCGCCGTGGCGACATATAGCCGAGGATAGAGCCAACTTAGCTGCTGATGGGATGTTCAGCAGACTGGCTATCTCGTTCATCTAGTGATGTGGATCAGACGTCATCGGCAACAGAGACGGTAAGACCGAGAAGATGAGGAAGTGAGTGGAGAGTGTTCTTCAGATTGAGTGGACTGCATAGCTGGAACATGGATACAACGTGATGTTGACCCGAGTTTCATCGCTTGCTATATGTACAGATTCCTCATGTGCTTTGAGGTCAGTCTTCAGCGACGAAGCCATGCCGGCGATGCACCTCTTTCATCCACGCTGTGGCTCGATTCAATACGCGGACCCGTTGTTCCTCCATGATGAAGCTCGGTACTGTGTCTGTGTAAGCATGAATGTACAAACAAGGTGCCCACAGCTACACTTACGCTCCATCCACCCATGAAAGGCCTCCTCAATCTTGAGCACTTCCACCCTCTTCTCTAGCCCCTTCTCCGTGGCCTCTTTCCTCACCCTTTCGACAAAGGTCTCCTGCTCATGCACCAGGATATCAATCCCCGGGATCACCAGCAACACATCATCCGGCACCATAGTTACGTCCATCACCACCGGACTGAGCCTCGGGTTCTCCTGATGCTCTACTCCCGCCAGCCTGGCATACGCATCATACAGCGGCAAGAACACCCTCATCGGGTCCTTCTGCGGAATGCTAGGCGGATGTGGCTTCTCCCACGGTGGCAGCCTGAGTTCAAGCGGAGCGTAGAACGTCACCACGCCCTTCATGGCGGTCTCAGCCCGGCCATGACACCCCTCGCCCTGGCAGCTCGAAACCGCAAGGTTCCCGCCGGCGCTGCTTCCTCCAACGGTCATGAGACGTGGATTGGCGCCCAGTGCCTCCTCGGCGTGCATATGTAGCCAGGAGACCACATCATCCACATCGTCGATGGCGGCCGGAAAGGGGTGGATGGGCGCGATGCGGTAGGTGGTGCTAACGACAACGCAGCCGGTGGTGGCAGCGATGTGTGCGCAGAAGCGGACGTTGGCCTCGGGGTTTCCGCCTGCAAAAGCGCCACCGTGGAGGTCTAGGTGGAGGGGACGGAGGTCTGGTTGCGTGGTGGCCGAATGGCGAGGGTTGTAAAGTAGGGCGCGGACTCCTCCAGAGCGTGTGGGGATGCGCAACGTGGTGTAGGGTTTGCGTCGGAGGAAGTATGGCGCATGAGTGATGAGGGCTGTGAGAGTGATGATGGGCTGGAAGAGGAGGAGGCGCAGGCGCAGAGACCAGGCAATTGGTGGACTCGAAGGGCCGAATGAGCGGCAAAAATCGATTATGGGATGGAAGTGCTTGTACAGCACGGCGGACATTGCTGGCGTCAGGTGCCTCGGGCTGAGAGGGGTGACCCGAGAAATGGCGCTCTGGCGATAGTCAGCCGCTCTGTGGCGTGATCTCGAATGGTGAACCCAACCTTTGAGGCACTAAGATGGTAAACAATGATATAGCGCTGTACGCACAAGCAGAGAGAGTTGTGGACAATCGTTGTGCTTTGAGAAGGGAGCGAGCCAAGCATATCAAAACGAATACGAGGTTCTGATCGAGTGGCTGGAGGGAACGGGACTAGTCACTGCACTTAAGACCTGCATGGCCGCGAACGTCGAAGCTTAGCGAAAACAAAAGGAGTGGAAATCTTGCGAATCAGCAGCTGGGTTGTCTATGTCCTTTCGTGGATGCCATCCGACAGCTGAGAGTATCGAAGATACCTCGCCATTTCCCACTGCTCTTATGAATGTAATTCAGGAAGCCATTCCCGCCTTGTTCTGTTGGTCTCTTTCTGAACGCCTCGCTTCCGTGCTACATTGAATACGTTGCGCCTACCGAACGCCAGTGTCAGACGTCCCTGGGCCAAACGACGGGGAGAAGACCACCACCATGCTTTCTGCGAAACATGCCTGGCTCATGGATGATGTTGCGCTTGTTGGTAGGAGCTTTCATCTCCACAGTATGAGAGGTATTCCGTTGAGCAACTTGGCTTTCAGCCGACTGCGAAGATTGCCTAGACCGAGTAGGTTCTGGTAGGCTTCCAGGAGCGCTGACAGGAGGCACGTTGAAAGCGCCAGCGGTGGACGATGATTGATTGCCGTCATCTTGGAAGACTTGAAGAGTGTTGATAGCCCAATAAGCTTCAGAGAATGCCTCAGGATGGTTCGAAACGAAATCCTCGCAGGTGGATGCAAGTGAAGCACAGCTTGACTGAGCAAAGGCTGGCCCAGCCCACTGGAAATTCGTTAGCTTAAACCAGACAGACTTGAACAGCTAGACTTACAGCGCCACAGAATGTGGTGTCGAAGACAACCTGTTGGGTTTTGAAATGGTCATCCATGTTAAAGTCGCCGGCGAAGACACTTCTTGGAGGTCCCCAGCCAGGGTTGGGAGAGGGTCGGCTGTTGACAATGTCGTCTGGGAACTTGCCACGTGGGAAGAACCACATGCGAATTTGCTGAGAGGTCCATTCGACTGCAAAGACACCACCGCCAGCTTTGTTGAAGCCGGTGCCATAGGTGAGAAGCGAGGGGTCTTCAATAGCGCAACCTTGGTTCTCGAATTGGCCAGGCGCATCGACTGCGCAGTCCGGCGTAGAGACTGAGCCAGCGAAGTTGTTGGCGTGTTTTGCGTTAAGGCGAATGCTATCAGCGGTGTGGAGGGTCATGTAGTTGGTCTTCTGGTCATTGACGCCTTCGAGGATGTCAATCTCACCATTGTTCGGCCACTAAGAGATTGTTAGCGTTGTCTGCGAGTGGGTTGTTCTGCAAATCCTCACATCCTGTCCCACAGTCCAGAAAGCTGGCCAAGTTCCGCAGAGGCCGCCAGGCATGTGGACAATGTCGGCGATTAGCAAGAAGTGTTGGTAGGCTTGCTTGGAAGTGACCCGAACCGAACCTCGGCCACCAGGAGCGACTTCTTTGGTGTCGACGCCCATATAGATCGCGTTCGTCGCGTTACCGCCATCGATGAAACCCGCGAGTCCGGTAGAATTAGCATCGACCATGCTTTTGTACTGTACGTGGCCCTGGGTTGGGTCAGGACCAGTGAAGAAGTCGAATTCAGTGAAGAAATTCTCTCCAGAGTAGTCCTGAACAAGTTGGTAACGAGCAGAGGCGGGGAGGACAATGCTGGCCAGCAGCATAGTACAAAGAATAAAGCGCTGCATCGTGAGATTGTGCTTTCGAAAGAGCGTATGATCGGTCGCAATTGTAGTGGTCGTGGTCAAAAATTGAAGAAATGAATATTGTGCGAAGGTGATGAAGGTGTGCGAAAGGGATCTTGACGGCTGAATGCTGCCTAGCACCGCGTCCTGAGCACAGCTACAGAGGCGGGGTTGATTCTATGCATCACGAGGCTGGGGGATTGCTGGATAGACGGGGTGTTATGCGAACAGAGTGAAGCACGATGATGATACGGGACAGCAAGACTGGGAGGGGATTTTGCACAGCCTGTTCATTCCACGGTGCGGGTCCTGACCAGACTTGCTCTATCAACGACCCAAGGCTCTGGTCCCTGAGCGCCCTGGAAGGGCCATCCATACTTTGCACCACTTCAGCTTCCACAAAAGCCAAGCCAGAGACTGGTGGTGATAGACTGGAGCCTACCTCTGAAGGGGTGGTCGTGAACAGGCTCTCCCTAGAAAAGAGCACAGTATACTGGTGAGCAAGGCTCTGCGCCTGAGACGCGTTTATGAGGGAAGGTGTTTAGAGCCACTCAGGCTGCAAATGATAGGTCTTATGAAACTGTTGAAACCAGTGTGGTGGAGGGCGGTTGTTCGAAACAAACCCCCTGTGGCTGAGCACTCCCTCGGAAGACCTAGCCGGTCCTGTTGTGGACCTCTATCGTCACCACTGTGGCGATGTGGCTGTGTGGCGCATGCGAGCTGCAAGGAGAGCCAGGCGCCAATCTGGAACATTAAAAGGTGCGCAAGCCAACTCTAGACCCTACAGCCTCGAATCGTCGAACTCACCCTTCTCCTTACGCAACTGAGACGTCGCGCCTACAACCGGCTACTTCATAAACAACGTCCGCGAACCTCTTCACGCTCGTAAACAACTCTTCCGCTAAGCATCGCCATCATGAGCGACGCAGCTCCAGCACTTTTGATCGTCTTGATCACCATTCTGTTTCCTCCTGTCGGTGTTGCCATGGTCGCAGGCTGCGGTTTCGATCTCTTTGTCAACATTTGCCTCACCATTCTGGGCTGTAAGTACCCTTCCCATAATCTTGGCTGTACAGGTCGCCATGCAGTGTAGATGGGACCTGCGCTGTTGAGCTGTATTGACTTTTCTGCGCAGACTTCCCAGGCCATATCCATGCCTTCTACCTCGAATACGTCTACTTCGATCGCCGAGATCGCGCTCGACGAGGCGAGCTCACCGGGCAGCAGGCGCCTGGCGTATACAGCGATCGCGTACAGAGCGGCGGTTTGCGCCAGCAGGGCTATGGAACCCTATAAGAGCCAGACACAATAATGTTACTACGAGCGAGCAGCTACGTACTAGTCGGAAGCTCAATCTGCAGGAAAGACGATGACGCGAAGTTGGATCACCGGCCTGTGGTAGGGATGATGCTTTCGTGTCAGGCTCTCGCTGATAGTACGATAACGAGGGGCATGGAGGCTCCTCGATGTTACACGTCTCTTACTCAGATAACGACCAAGTCAATTAGTATGATTTCATTGTATGTGTACAGTGCGCTCCTTCACCTCCATCTTCTTTTTGCTCGTTTGGCAGACAGCCAGGCGATCGTGGAATCCAGGGCTGCATGCTGGAGGGGTCGTGACGCGCCAAGCGCCAAGACGTTGCGCGGCTTTCCAACATCATCGAGCTTGCGATCTGATCATTCTGCTCACCGCAACGTGACAACAGCATCAACCCTAATCGTTTCATCGGACTTCCCTGAGTCACTGGCAGAGCACATTTTGCAGGATCTCATTGCAAACGGGATGCTTCTGCCGCGCATGGCGTGACCTGGGGGACAGTTTTGGTGGCGGGGGCTTGCAACACCGGTGTGAGGTAGTCGCGCCCGTGAGGCTCATATCCTGGCCGAAGTTTTGCAGAGGCTTTGCTGCTGCTATGGAATGGCCTATATAATCACATGATGTGCTACATTCGACCGCCTGTGGGAAGCTACCTTGACAAAAACACGCCAAATCCAAACCGCAACATTGGTCAAGTCCCAACAAGAAACGCAAAAATCAGCCAGACCATCCAACGACGCTGTTATAGCACTTCTATTACGGAATGATCTATCTACGAATTCGGTCCCTTCGAATTTCGCGTGCCGTATTGATCTACGGACAACGCACACCACATCCAGCGAAGACCTGCGACCAAGCAAGTCTTGATTACGCTACAGGAGCTCATCTTAAGCACTATTGGCGGTCAACTCCATAACATGACTGTTGTGAAGCCCGTGTTGCTACTTCTGGCGTTTGGGACCCGCTGACGCGATTCCTCACCTCGTTGAGGCCAGCAGCGACTGCGTCGGCCCGGTGGCAATTATGGTCCGCGCTCTCGGCCCGGCGCATCGACAACGAAGAGAGTGCTTGTGCAGGGAGTAGAAGAAGCCTCATCAGGCTTCTCTTCGGTATCGATTCGCAGCATGTGAACCAGGGCATCTGTCACGTGCCCCTGTTTGAGCGACTAGACCAGCTCATGCGAGACTCACTTTGTTGATTGCGGAGGAACAGATGCTTTCATGGCTGTATCATTGTAGATAGATTCTCCTCGTGTCTGGCTGAGTGCAGTCAGCTGCCGTCCCTGCCGTGCTTGTCACCTGAAAGCAGTGCCAAGACTAACAGCTGCGGGGCCTCTGTGAGCGCGTTGCTGCGTCCACCTGCACCTCACACTGAACCTAAGCAACCCGCGCAGATTGGTCCGTAGAGACAGACTCGGATCTGGAGCAGCAGCCGTTGGCTCGACAAAGATGGCGAAGAGAGGTGGCAAAAAGAAAGCGAAAAGCACTCCAGCTACAGGACGACAAGGTAAGTCAAAACGGGCCACCGGAGCCAAGCAAAACCACCGAAGCCCAACTAGCGACTGATGCTCCATTGCGCAGGTCCCATTCAACGTTCAGCAGCCGCACCAGAATTCGACCTCCAGGCCCCAGCGCCATCGCCATCAAACACCTATGGCGAGTACATGGCTAGATTGGACCGTACTTCGCCGATGAAGGATCGCTGGAGAGCTGAGGACGACCATCGCGATAGACATTTGCAGCGCCCGCGCAACAGGAGCAGAGACCGTTGGAGCCGTTCACCTTCTCCGCGTCGCAATTTCTCTGAAGCCCCGTACAGAGGTCGAGATTTGGTTGACACTGATTCATACCGCCCGCGTGAGCCTCGTGAGCGTTCCAGGGATTCGAGGAACGCCACTCAAAGACGCCCATCTCCATCTCCGAAGCACCCTCCAAGAGCGAAGCCTAGTCACGCAACCCGTCCACGTCAGCCCGAGGACCGTATCCACCGACCTCGCGAGCCATCACCATCTCGATCAGCAAAGCGCAGGCGAACTCGCAGCCCTTCACCGGCGAGAAGCGACCGCTGGGCACCTGATCTTCGTCGCCGAAGTCGCAGTCGCAGTCGCGAACGTGCCGAGTCAAAGGACAAACGTCCCATTATTGACAGAGCTTTCGAACCACGTCGTCCATCGCCTCCGCGACCCCGACCTGAGCCGCGAGATCACCACTCCGAAGTTGACTCTTACATACCCTCCCGAAGAAGACGCGAGGCTTCTCCTCCACGACCGAAGCGACAAGATAAGCCGTCAAGATCTCCAGCTCGAAGAACACCTAGCCCACCTCGACGTTACGAACCGAAAGCTACTGCCAACCCCGAGCTTTCACCTTTCTCTGCCCGTGTACGCAAGACAGAGCAGCTCAAAGCTGGAAAGGCTGCGAAGCGGCCAACATCACCCAGCCGACCTCCATCGGTAGTCAGCGAGGCAGAGAAAGAACCCATGGATGGGCGTTACGCTTCACGTGGGTATCATGGTCAACGGGGTAGTCACATGCACAGAGGTCAACAGCGACCATGGGTCGACACACGATATCAACACGGTACTTCCCCACCAGCAGGCACTCCGAATAGCTCACATCATGGCTCTCCCCAGTCTGTCTCTTCATACAACAACCGCGTCGGCGGATGGGGTGGGCCTCAAAACTCACACGGGTAAGTACATCTATGCACGGGATTTCCATTTTGCTGACTAAATCTAGGCCTGTGAACAACTCATCGCCACCCTATCGCCAGCACAACTATCCACCTCCCTCAGGCCCCCAAAGTCATAATTCATACCATCATAATTCGAATCAAGGCCATAGTGGGCCTCCCAACGGACCATCGAATCGAGGCAATCGCGGTGGCTACCGAGGTGGGAAGTACAATCAGCAAGGCCCACCACAAGACCGACGGTTCTCGGGGCCTGGTGCGCAGTACCAGCCCTCAAATAGAGGACGAGGCAACCATCAGGATAATTCACAATTCACTCCAGGCGGTCCAAGACGGGGCGGCGGCCAAAATTCAAACTACCAACCAAGCCATTCAGGCTCCAGACAACCGTCCCCAACACATTCTCAATACCACTCTCGAGGCTCAAGAGAACAAACTGCCGAAGACGACAGCCAGCACAGACCGTCGAAGGATCTGCCGGGCGAAGAACGGAGAGAACCAAACGGCCAACCACTAGACAATCAGGGTAATACCAACCAGGCGAAGGATTCGAAGTTCAGCTTTGCGTTCAAGTCAAAACAAACTTCAGCGGCACCAGCTAAAGCTCCTCCAGATCTGAACACGAAGGGCAAGCCACCCTTTGAGAAGCAAGAAGGTCGCCCACCACCGACACAACCAAAGGGACAGGGCACTAGATTTGACCAGACACCGTCTCAGCGTTACGATAAAAACAATCGACACCAAGATCGGAGACCACCATTTCCCGATCAGAGGAACGCACCTGTTGACAGAAGGTACCCCTATGGCAGACCTCACTCCAACGATCGACGACCAGAACGCTCACGTTCGCCGCCTCCGAAACGCCTGAAACCCGAACCTCCTAAGCCGCGTCCTAGACTCCCACCCGAGTTTGCCGAGTCAGAATCCATCTACTACCGCAAACCCGGCAATGAGTCTGTGGTAGGTGCAGGCACATATGGCAAGGTTTTCAAAGCCATTCATATCTACACGCGCGACAAAGTTGCACTGAAGAAGATTCGAATGGAAGGCGAGAGAGATGGCTACCCCATCACTGCTGTCCGCGAAATACGACTCCTCCAACATCTTCGCCATAAGCACGTAGTGGCCCTGCATGAAGTCATGGTGGAAAAGAACGAATGCTTCATGGTCTTCGAATACATGTCGCACGATCTTACGGGTCTCATCAACCACCCTACCTTCAAGCTTACCGCCGCGCATCAGAAGAATCTCGCGTTTCAAATGTTCGACGGCCTCGAGTTCCTCCATCGTCGGGGGGTCCTCCATCGAGACATCAAAGCCGCCAACATTCTCGTTTCCAACACTGGTCAGCTGAAGTACGCCGATTTTGGACTGGCTCGTTTCTACACCAAGTCTCGCCAGCTCGACTATACCAATCGGGTCATCACCATCTGGTATAGGCCACCCGAGCTTCTTCTTGGAGAAACGCAGTATGGTCCGGCTGTCGATATCTGGTCAGCTGCTTGCGTCTTCATGGAAATGTTCACGCGAAAAGCCGTTTTCCCAGGTGAAGGCGGTGAACTCTCGCAACTCGAAAAGGTGTACAACGTGCTAGGTACTCCTACACGTGCGGAGTGGGCGGGCATCGTCGATCTGCCGTGGTTCGAGCTAATGCAACCGGCTACTCGCAAGAGTCGGCAATTTGAAGCTATGTTCAATCAGATGTTCTCGCCCAAGGCGTTGGAGCTTATCCAGTGGTGCTTCAAGTACGATCCCACGCAACGTCCCAGCGCCGAGGAAGTACTGCAGCACGGGTATTTTACGACCGAGGAGCCCGAAGCTCATCAGCCGGTCGAGCTTGCGCAAGTTGATGGTGACTGGCATGAGTTCGAAAGTAAGCAGCATCGCAAGGATAAGGAGCGTCGGCGAAAGGAGGAATGGGAGGCAGAGCGGGCAAAGCGCAAGAAGGCTGAGAAAGACGCCCGAGAAGGGAAGATATCGTCTGCACCAGCAACGGGAGCGCTGGAAGGCCAGGGCAATGCAAGCACGACGAAAGTTCCAGCCGCTCCGATGCCTGAGGCTGAACAAGATGACGAGGGGGGTAGTGACGGTGAAGGAAGTGCGAGGATGAGCATGTCCTGATATCGAAGTCACGAATCTACTAGCTTCATTGCGAGCGTTATGGCACGAGGACGGAGCAGAAGCCGTTCTGTCTTAGCTATGTACAATGCATGAGGACGCTATTGGAATGGCAGCACAATGAGAGACATCTTTCTACCTCTGGGTTGGACTTTCAACCTGCTAGCTCGGTGTTCGGACAGTGTGCGTCCTTACAAGGACTGTGAGTAAATCTACCTCAAAATGAGGTGCTGTTCGCTAGGATTTGACTTCTAACAGGGTGACGATGTTTGTCACTGCTTTCATCAAGGCCTCGTGCAGTTTCGGCCGGCAACTGCGACACACATCGTCCTGCAGCGTTATCTTACTTTCATAGGACACTCACAAAAGGTGTCGGGTACACAACACCGCTTGAGCTGATATCCTTTCTTCGAGCGCCTGTGGAACATAAATCCTGCTCTGATTTATTGATGCCACATTAGCAACGACATCGAGTATTCTACATATCGTGCTATCATTTGTCTTAGCCAATGGCCGGCCATCAGAGCGGACGACAATCCGATCCAGCATCACTGGACTGGGCTGGATGTCTTGATGACTTATCATGTATCTTTTCTTCGACGACATTGCAAAAGGACAGACCCTCGCACTTCTCAGTTTTGACGAGTGCGGCGTTCAGAGTTCGTCACTCAAAGTCTCTCGCCCTTCCCGGATGTTCTGGAGAACGACAAGGGTCGTCAAATAGCGCGAGCTATCGAGAAAGGCATACTGTGTGACGAATATATGAAATACTTGTTGAAGCGACTTCGTCACATGGAGTTTGATCTCTTGATGCGGGAAGTAAGCGAACTTCCGAACTCGCAATTGAAGACCTTTTTCCTTCTCATCCAAGGGGCGGGAGGTACAGCTCTCGACCGGAAGCTAGAGGCTTCGAATCATGGGTTGACAGATTAAATTTTGTGACCCGTTGTTTGAAATCCCACCAGCATACGGTCATAACGACGGCCGCCCTCTGGACCAGGTGATTCGTCATGGGGTTTGTCCAGAGAGGCTTGTAGCAGGCTGCAACAAAGGGCTGATGAGAGGCACGGGTTTCGTACCCCTCCTCCGCATGCTGCAATGTACAGCCCAAATCATCCTTTGGTCCCGGTACAATGCTGGACATGCAGCGGTGCTTGGGCAGTTCCGTGAAGAATGGCTTTGGGAAGAAAATGACGGGGCGGGAGGCATGCATCCTTCACCGAACGACACCATGTATCCATGTCATCTACGGTCAAGCGAATGGAGATCGGCAAGCCAGCATGCCCCATCAGAGTTTGTCGGTGCTTTGCTAGCAGCGGGATCATCGAGAACACAGGACTCGGAATTCAGACTCACAGTGTTACGACGGTATTACAACGGCCTGCCTATGGATGCAAAAGAGCAAATAACATCACAATCGGACCCATTTGTGCCACCAAAATAGCTTTGTGACAGTGTCTCTGACCAGCGCTTCCGAGTCGGACATAGATGAGGAGCGTCAGATGGCACCGAGTTGACCACCGCAGATGGCCCTGAGGCTCTTTGAGCTTCGCCGTTTGACGCTGACACAGTTGGTGATGTCAACGGCATAGAGGGAAGTGACTCAGGTATGAGTACAGGTGAGCGCCGAAGACGTTCAGAGGAGCCACGCTCGATCAATCAAGCACCAAAGGCTACAAACCTTAATGCCAAGATTTTCACTGCCTGATGCGCCGCTGGGCGTGGATGCCAAGCGTTAACAACAGTGGTATCTCAAGGTACCTCCTTCCTTGTCCGGTCGTTAGTGGAATGTAAACGTCCTCCTGGCCGTAGTGTTGGAGAACTTTGAGACCATTGGGAAAGATGCCGATGCTTGCTCCAAACTCATTCATCGCGGGCTTGTCTTCAGGACGGTGACCTGGCCTCCTTTCAGGGCCAAGGCGACAGCCGCGCCTACGCCCTCGATTCTCCCCTTACAATGATGACAGAGAGTCGAATTCAACCTTTTGAGTCGGTACCACACGTCACGGTAGATATGCGGCAAGGGCTGAGTTGTTCGTGAAGCCCTGTAGAGGCGGTTTAAGACGACAGTCATGACGATCGCTTGTTGCTGACATCTTAGGCTTCACGTACAGGTAGTCACAAGCCTTTGCCCCATCTCAGGCCAAAATCGCATCCTCTGAGATTTACAATGGAGGATCAAAGATCAGATATCTGATTGAAGGGTCACGCCTTGTGCCGACGAGGCTGAAGGTCATGGATATGTATACCCGAATAGGCATCCTTGCCGACGGACTTTTTCTTACGGGATTCCTCGACCTGAGCCTAAGTTGTTTAGGGCAAGCAATCCAGAACAATTATCCGTACTGAATACAAATTTGGAGCACGAGCACCGACGCCAGCGTCACTCTGCGGCTCCAATTGTCTGTCTCTACCACAAATACAACGCAGCGGCACGACAATGAGCAGCTAGCCATGCCCGCTGAGCATCCCACCGAGTCCTCCCGCCCTAAGCCTCGCTCTGCCGTACCTTCTCACATGCTCAACGGTGGTTCACCACTTCATAACCCGCCTGCAAAGACCCGGGCGCAAGAGCGAGAGAGCCTGGCCACATCGATCCATTCTACATATCGCCGTCGTAGCGTCTTCGAGTTCGACCGCCCCGACTTCCTCCCCGCCATGCCGAGCAGTGCCTCCGCGCCCTACAACCATGAAGATCCGCTAGACGGCTACGTTGATCAAGCCATACCGAACTCGACCTCCCCACCTAAAGATCTCAAAAATGCCGTATCCCTCAAAGAGCCGCCTCGTGACGTCCGCGACGAGGCACCACCTACCCCACCGTCGACCGCGACTCGCCCTGCCTCTCCGTATACTCTCAACCCGCCCATTGATTTTGACGGCCTCTCATGGCCCTCAATTGGCACTCGCGCCCGCCTCGAGCAGACGCCAGAGGAGGCGCAGGCAAGGCTGAACAAGCTGTCCGGTGCGGTGCGCACCATCTTCGAATGCCTGGGCGAGGACCCGGACCGCGAGGGGCTGCGGGAGTCGCCGCTGCGTTATGCGCAGGCGCTGATGTACTTCACGAAAGGCTACGAGGAGAATGTGCGCGACCTCGTGAACGGCGCCGTCTTCCACGAAGATCACGACGAGCTCGTCATCGTCAAGGACATTGACGTGTTTAGTCTGTGCGAGCACCACATGGTGCCGTTTGTGGGCAAGATGCATATCGGGTACATTCCAAACAGGAGGGTCCTCGGCTTGAGCAAGCTAGCGAGGTTGGCTGAGATGTTCAGCAGGCGGCTGCAGGTGCAGGAGCGCCTGACCAAGCAGGTGGCGTTGGCCATCGCGGAGGTCTTGAAGCCGCAAGGCGTGGCTGTGGTGATGGAGAGCAGTCATTTGTGTATGGTCATGAGGGGCGTGCAAAAGGTGGGAAGCAGCACCACGACAAGCTGCATGCTGGGCGCGATGAGGAGTAGTGCAAAGACGAGGGAGGAGTTCCTCAGCTTACTGAACAGAGGGAAGTAAAATGACTGGCCTAGAGGCCAGAAGGAAGTCGCGTTTTTGTCCATAATACCGGCGTTTTGGCTACACTGGGCGGTCTGTCTGATTGTTTTGCCCTGGGTTTGGATGTTTCAACACAACGATCAAATCACGAACGATGGCACAAAGAGCAATCTTCACTTCATCAACGACGTCAAGATACCCAAAAATTGGAATTGAGAGGAGAAGAAAAAAGGACCTCATCACTAGGCAGCCCATGAAGGGTTGCCTTTACCAGAGCATCATCATCATATCTTGTTTCATTTCTTCTCGGCTTAAATCTCTCTCTCCCGCTGAAGCTTCAACCCGTTTGCCCACACCCCAATATCGCCCCTCTGCTACGCTCCGTTGACACCCTCCTTCTGCCTCTCCATGCTCGCCACATGCTCCTCGATCTTCTGCACGGGCCAGCTGCCCGCCATGGTCGGATACAGGAACGGCCGCAGATCAAAGCGATTGTCTTCCGGACTGTACTCCTCCAGATGCAGGCCCGGCGGCAAAATCGTGGCTTTATGCCGGTTGACGTTGAAGTAGTAGAAGAAGCGGCGCACCTTCTCGTACACCTCCTGCGGCGACAAGCCGCGGCCGTGGATGGCGCCGGGCGCCTCCTCCTCCTCCTGCTTCGCCGCCTTGACGTGCACGTCCGTGGTGCTGCTGCCCATGCCCTTTGCCGTGCTGGCTTCTCCTGGCTGCCGCGGAGCTTCCGGCGCGGGTTTGCCCCACAGGTACACCAATTTCTCGTACATGCCCCAGATGCCCAGCTTGTGCACCTTGCGCAGGCGGCCGAAGACGCTGAGCTCCGCGTACGTCATGCCCATGTCGGCCTCGTCGCTCTGGACGTACGTGTCTGAAATGGGCTCCAGCTCTGCCGTGGGCGTCGCTTCGAGAAAATCGTGGAGGATGGGCATGTCGAACTCGTCGCGCGCGTGGGCGATGAAGCTCTTCAGGTCCGTTTTGCTGATGCCGCCGATGGGGTTGATGTCGGCCGAGCTGCAGTCGTACTTGGTCAGGTAGCCTCGCAGCTGCTCGTCGACGTTTGCGGAGCCGAGCACCAGGAGGCCGCCGCCGGAGCGGCGCTGTCGGACGGTGGGGAGGAGTTGGGCGAAGAGGTACGACACGACCATACGGAGGCGGGCTTGGATGTTTTGAAGGGCGAGACCTTCGGCGGGAGATCCGCCGTTCTGCTTGAAACGGGGAGTGAAGGAGGTTATGGTTGTGAAGAATGTGGTGAGAGCGCCGACGATGGAGTCAATGTCGCAGTCGATGTGGTAGGCGCCAATGGCGGCCGCCAGGTCTTTGGCGCGGTTGCGAGTTTCTTTCGACGAGTTTACCGTGCCCATGAAAGAGGTGTGGAAGATCCGGCCGCAGATATCTTGTGGAGAGGAAGGAAGCCAATCGGAATCAGCGGGCTGATCGCAGATGCGACGGCAATCGGAAATAACCTGTTTGCGTGTCGCGGGATCGGTGGCTTCGGAGTGGATGGCTGAGTGTACCATGCGGCACATGCTGAAGACTAGGGTGGCGGTCGCGCAAGAGTCGATACCACCAGAGAGGGCAATGAAGTAGCCTGCTGCACCGCCGCAGCGTCGAAGATAATCCCATAGCCACATCGCACAGCATTGCGCAATCTCTTCAGGAGGTGAGGAGCTTTTCAGGGAGATCTCGGACGAGGGGCCTAGCTGGACTGGCGAGGGACCTGATTTGGGAGATGAAAGGGCGACATCGATGTCGATACGAGGGTAAGACTCTTGCTTCTGCACTTGCAATCCGCGCGAGGGAGCGAATCTAGCAGCACGAACTTCCTCCAGGTCCACGGTAGCAGTGATGACCTCGACATCGTTGAGACTGAACTGCGATCCTTGTGCAACTACCTTGCCATTTACCAAAATCATGGCACAACCATCGTAGTACATCCGATCACCATCACAGCCTTGCTGATTGGCGTAGAGGTAAATGCCTTTATTCTGTTGGGTCGCTTCTCGAATTAGTGTTAAGCGTCGCAGGATTTTCCGAATCTCGAAATGGGAACCACTGCTGTTGGTGAAGATTTCACATCCATCCAGACCCAAAGGAATATGTGGTGGATTTGGAGTGAACAGCTCTTCACAGGTTTCTGCTGCGAATGCTGTATCCAGGGTCGAAATGATTGCATCTCCGAAGGGCACAGTTCGCTGGCCTGTAATCTCTGCGACGACCGATTCCAAGTAGTAGTTCTCGGTATACCGTTCACGCATCCAGGGTGTGAAATACCGCATCTCTCTGTAGTTGCCATCGTTCGCCAATGAAGACTTTGGCCGGATTAGAATGATCTTCTTGTTGTAGAAGATAACACGGGCATTATAGCGGCAATTGCGGTGCCGTACGGGCATGCCCACATCAACGATGATGTCTTGGCAGTCTGGATGAGAGATGATCTTCGCCAGCATTTCCCAAGAGTGCAAGAAGGTGTCGGACTCCAGGAAATGGTCTAGGCAGCCGTAGCCAGTAATCTCAAGCTCGGGGCCGACTCGCAGCATAGCTCCAGCGGCCTTCGCTCTTCGTACGCTCTCGATAATTCTGTCTGCATTGCCGACCCAGTCCAGAACCCATTGATTGAGCGAGCACGTCGCGAGTGTGACCAAGCGACCCATCCTGGCGATAAAGCCTGAGGCGTTTTCGTGTGGACGAGTAATATGTTGGACCAAGAAGCTGCAGTCGAGCTCCAGTAGCTGCTGTCGCCGGCGTTCCCCCGGGAAACACGGATAGGCGGCTTGGATGAAGACAATGACAAGCCGTGTAGTACTGCAAATCGAGCTCCAGACAAGCTCCAGACAAGGCCGCAGAAAAAGGCAGCAAAAAGGCGTCCGGGTAGGTGGATACATCGGGTATAGACCTCCGTATCTCCGGGGATGTGGGTGCCCCTCATTTTGCGCCGGCCGGAGCGCCGATGGCGGACAGGGTGCCCCTCGGTCCTGGCCCGAGGCAGTCAGGCACACGGTGAGGTCACCCTCGCCTGTATTTCGTCCGATGCAGGATTACTACTCGGATTGCACCATTTGCGCATCGACTCTTCTGGGCGCGGGCGCATGCTAAGTAATAGATTTCGTTTGGCGCTTCTTCGTCTGCATAGACCTGCTCCTGTCAAATCACTACCTGTCACCGGCTCATTGCACGCCTTCGAAATGCCGTCCCCACCGCAACCAGATCTGCCAAATCCGGCCCATGTTGAGAAAGACTCGGCCCTCGGGCGCAAGTTTGGCAAAGAAGTGGTCAACTATTTCGGGAGTGAGCGTGAAGCGATTGTCTGTTACGACTTTGAGCTGACTGGCCATTAGGTTCGCCGTTGAATCGTCTGTCATTCCTAAGAGACGAGCATGACTTCCTTGCTGGTGCATTCGACCACCCATCGACCAGATTTCTATGCTTCAACAACCTGGCACCTCTACAGGTCTCTGCCACCGAGATTCACTATGCCACACTGAAGGATATCGAATCTCTAGTTCCTGAGAATCCATTTGCCAAAAAGGAGAAGGAATTGATCGATGAGTTTGATTCCAGGAAAACTCACCCCCAATTTGTCTTCCTCGGTATTGACGAGAAGGCCAACGAGGGGTATACTTTCAGAAATTTCAGAGGAGCTCCTCGGTTTGCCGTCGACATTACACCCAAGTGGACCTTTGCGGACGAGGCGAACAAGGTTATCGATACATTCAAGAAGGAGGGTCTGTCCTTTGCCGAGGGCATGCGTGCCATGTTCTATCATGCAGATGTTGCAGCAGCTTACGCTCAAGGTCGGCATTATCTCGACTGGAACGCTCGCAACGCTTTCTGTGGTACATGTGGCCATCGAACACTATCACTCAATGCTGGCGCGAAACGTGTATGCCCACCAAAGGATCAGGCTCAAAACCCTCCAGAGCGTGAACCTTGCTCCACTCGGACGACTCTATCAAACTTGACATTTCCCCGCACTGATCCCACCATCATCGTTGCCGTTCTTTCTCATGACAGCAAAAGACTGCTGCTTGGTCGGCAGAAGCGCTGGCCGCCGTACTGGTTCTCAACCCTGGCGGGCTTCATTGAACCAGCTGAGTCAGTCGAAGATGCTGTACGTCGAGAAGTCTGGGAGGAAGCGGGAGTCGTGCTTTCCCGAGTGCTCATTCACTCCACCCAGCCATGGCCATATCCAGCGAACTTGATGATTGGTGCTATCGCACAAGTCGCGGATCCCGCAGACGAGAACATTAAGCTGGACAACGATCCAGAGCTGGAGGCTGCCAAATGGTTCAGCCTTGAGGAAATCGAAGAAGCATTGCGGGTTGGAACCAGCGGCTTGGGCGATCCTGCTCCCGAAGGTTATGTCGAGGGTAATCTTAGGCTCCCACCACATACGGCTATTGCGAATCAGCTCATCACCGCTGTGGTCAAAGGAGGCTTCTTGGAAGGCGTTACGCCATTGGCAACGGCTAGCAAGATGTGAATAGAATAAGTCTGAGATCTAGATATCCTGTTCGGGCAAGCACTGCATCAACAGCGAAGCTGTCGTCTCTAGTACAATGGATATGCTGCCCTTGTGCAGTTGCAAATTCCACATATCGACTTATAGGCGTCTAGGCCCTTGTGCCGTCTAATTCCACTCCTCAGTTGCTGCACCGTTCGTCTTTAGTTTCCTTTTGCGCACATATCTCCGCTCCATCAGGCTTGTCTCGCACTCTCCTCTATCCAAATTTAGCTTCCTAACGACTATGACCGCTCAAGGATTATTCCAGCCGTGGAATGGTATGTCCTATGGATGCCTCCTTGCCGTTGCCGAAGGACACTCATAGGCTGTGGTGCGAGAGAGCGTACTCGGACTTGCTGACTTGCGATATGAAGCCTAAGCAGCTACGACGATAGTAGGGACGCAACTCGGACCCAAAGGGTAGATCGCAGCGGCCAGAGGGACAGGTGACCCCCCAGGCAGACCCACATCAACTTTAGTCCAGGTACTAGTCACGATGCATCCAAACACCTAGAGTACTGGCTCCTTCCTTGTCTACGGTATTGGCTGGTGCAAGGCAGGAAAATCCACACAGCTAACGACCGTCACTCCAACCTTCCGTGGATAGTCGAGGTCCGTCCGGAGAGCCACACCCGAATATATTGTGTCTGACCGACTGACTGCTACATGCAGGCCAACCCCTCAAAAAGCAAAAAGATCAGAGGAATGTGCTCCCATAATAGGCGGTCTCATGGACCCATATACTAGTTCATTTGAACCTAGTACAATTCCTACTGAGAGATCTTACTTTTTGGCTTCTTACGGCATCTTTCTTTCTTTTTTGGTGGCATCCCTCCCCGAAAACTAACCTGCTGCAGTCATAATTATTGCATTGCATTCAGGCGTAAAGTTTTCAGTGGCAACGATCTCGACCCCAGGACTTAGCGGTTTTCTCCTGCCTGGTTTTTTTTTCTGTGCTTGTAGGTCTGTGCGATTGTTGGGAGAGATTTCTGACTTACTCACATATATGGTTGCTAGGCCGGGCAGAGGGCTGGGACCCTGTAGAGTGGGGCCTACATGTGCAGTGAATGTATCAGGCAGCGAGGCAACGAGGCTCAGGGGAAAGGTCTTGGCGTAGCTGAGTTTACGGGGCCATCCCCGAGCATAGGAGAGTGGACACCACCCCTTGGTCGCGGAGACTGCGACAACACGGGAAAGGTGATTGCTTGTGAGTGAGTTGCGCGGCTGTCGTACGGAGCTGTTACCAACGCACCGATCGTTCAGCCAGTATGTCACGTGTGACAATTGAGACCTGGACTACCAATCGTGTCCATGAGACATCGCGCAGCTGCATTCAAACGGGATCTGTTGGGGAAATCTTCTACGAACAGGAGAGCACATGGAGAAGAATTCTGCCTGCGGTTGCCCGCAAAAGTGGTGGACATAGCTCTGCGGAACTGGTATAGAACTTCTGTGGACTATCCAGACCATTTCGGAACCACCAGAACACCGTCATACTGTCCACCACGCGTGAGAAAAAAATGGTTAAGGGTTGGCAAAAGAAGGTAAGGTATAATGTTCAGGGGGGCTATACAAGATTTCGTGCTATGCAACAATATGCAGCGACACACATACACACATCGAAGAGCCGTTCGGTTCCCACTACATCGCGGGCGGGCGGGCGTGCTTCAACTTGCTCCCATATCTTTCGGTCTTATGCGTGGTTCATCGTAAAAGGGAACTTTATAGGAAGAGGCCTGCGACGGCGACCGCAACGCACACGGCGACGGAGAAGACAGTGCTGGTCAGTTGCTGCTCTGCGGCGGCGCCGGTGAAGGGGGACACAGGGCTAGCTCCGTTGTCGCTGCTGACAGGAGAAACGGGAGAGCTGGGCTTCGCGGTGCCGGAGGGGATGGGGACCACGGCAATAGTGGTGGCGACGGTCGGGACGGCAGGTGCGGTGTAATCGCTCCAGGATTGGGCAACGGAGGTGGGGGCGACGGGGCTGCTGGTTGGCTCGTAGGTGCAGTCGCATTCGGTGACGGTGACATCGACGGTCTGGACGACAGTGCGAGTGGATTGGCCTGCGGGAACAGATGCGGTGCCTGTGGGAATGACGGTAACATCCGACCACGCTGCGGAGGTGGTTGAAGCAGGCGAGACTGGAGTGCTGGATGGCTCATCGAAGTCAGACCAGACGTACGAGGAGGTCGTGTCGTCAGCAACGGGGATGCTTGAGCTTCCTGTGGGCTTTACAGGCTTGGTGGAGGTGGCAGTAGGGGTCCAGGTTGCGTCAGACCAGGTGTAGCCATCAGTTGCAGATGAGCTCGTGGTCGGGCTGGTATCCTTCGTTGTTGAGGAGGTGAAGGTACCGTGGTCTGCATCAATTAGTAAAATTGCCTTGCTTATCAGCGGAAATGTGACATACCGCCCCAGTAGTCCTGAGTGGTGCTCGAGGCGCTCGTGGTTGGGAGAGTGTCCCTCGTAGTTGATGAGGTGAAAGTGTCATGATCTGCAGCTATTAGAAAAGTTTCTATAAGCAGAAGGAAGAAGGTCATTACCGCCCCAATATTCCGATGTAGTTGAAGTTACCTCAGTAGTGCTGCTGGTGGCAGAGGTTGGGTGACCAGGATTAGTCGTGGTTGAGGTCGCTTGGCCGGGGTGGCTATAGGTTGTGGTAGTGCTCGAGGTGCTCGATGTAGTTGGCTGGCCAGGATGGCTATAGGTCGTGGTGGTCGAGGAAGTCGGGCTCACTGGCAGCTTGCAAGTCGCGTCGTAGAAGACGAATGGGCTGCTTTCCACGGCATTGAAGTTACCATCCACGGACCTGGGGTAGCAGAGGCACTGGTCGGCACTGACTGCGAAGCTCTTGAACTCAGAGCAGTAGACTTTGCAAGAGGCGAACGAGCTCGCGCCGGTGTATACCAAGGAGGCTGCTGGCTTGCCCAGGTCGTAGCCGGCCTGGCCACAGATCTCGGTGGGTTGAGGATGTCCGCCCCATGTTGTGGTCGTAGAGCTGCTTGAGGTAGTTGTGGTGCTTGCAGTGCTTGGCGAGCTCGTCGGCTGGCCGGGGTGGCTATACGTGGTGGTCGTGGTTGAGCTTGAGCTTGAGCTTGATGAGCTCGTCGGCCGGCCGGGGTGGCTATATGTGGTGGTCGTAGTTGTGCTTGTGCTGGACGAGCTAGTCGGCTGACTGGGGTGGCTATAAGTGGTGGTCGTGGTGCTGCTGGTAGTGGGGCTAGTGGTGGTAGTGGTGGTGGTAGTGGTGGTGGTGGTGGTGGTGGTGGTTGTAGTAGAGCTTGTCGTTGTTGTGGTGGTGGTGTGCGGGGGCTTAGGGCCACCAATGGCACCCCTGCACCCGGAGAGGTAGTTGGCATCGTTAGCGACAGCATTGCCATAGTCCCACAGCATCAGACCGCCAAAGTTGGGGCTGTTGCCGATCGAGTTGACCACGGTCTTCACCTCATCAGTGCTCAGGAAACCGCTTCGCCAAGCTGCAGCAGCAGCATTAGGCGATGCAGGCAGACCTAGGAACAGTTGGGTCTGGGGGGACGTGGATTGAAGCCAGTTCGACCACTGAGACCAGGTTTGGGAGAAACTGCCACCGGTGAAGTAGCCACGGGCTTGGCACTCGTTGTTGTAGAATTGGGCAAAGACATAGTCAAAGGCACCTGTGGCAAGAGCAGACTTGAGAGCGTCACCGAAGCCACATTGGGGAGCCGCAGAGAGATAGTAAGTCTTGGAAGCATCGGTAGCGAAGAGTGCGCGGAGTTCAGTGGCCAGGACGCCATGGTTGGCACTAGCCTGGTTGCCCTCAACATCGAAGTCGAAACCATCAACCACGGCGCTGCCGAAGGGACGGGGACCGGTGTAACCAGCCTGGACGGGGCCGAAGATGCTCCAGAGCTGTTGCGCAACCTGTTGAGCGTAGGCGGGACTCGACAATCTCACATCGGAAACCGATTCATCACCTCCCATTGAGAGCAGAACCTTCTTGCCATTGTCTTGGCATTTCTGGATGGTGTTGATGAAGGTGTGACATTTGTCAAAGATCTTTGTGTCCTTCCAGTACTCGCTTCCCCAGCAGTTGGCGGCAAAGTTGGTCTCGGGGAAGCCGCCTTGTTCCTTGGCGAACTTGGTGAGGAAAGCAATGGGGACGACGTCGACATTCGGGTCGGCGCAAAGGTCTTCGAAGGCCGTGCCCGATTGACCGTAGTAGACAGCGAGCTGGCCCCGAACTCGAGGAGTTGCAGGCCCCGGAGCAGGAGCAGCTGCTGTAATGGAGAAGAGAGTGGATGCCAGGACACTGGCGGCAATAGTAAAAGCGTGCATCTTGATTGAATTATAAAGCAAAAGAATGGCAGGGCCCGAAGTACCCGAAGAATGAAAAGGACTGGACGCAAGCAAAGAGCTTGCAAGCAAGAGAGCGACTGGCAGCGAGGTCAAAAGCGAGGAAAGCAAGAAAGCAAAGAGTCTGAGGAAACTGAGGTGTACATGTACCTAGCCTGGAAGAGTCTCGGTTACAACGGACAGTGGCATCGTCTGGTGTTGCGCCGCGGCCAATCTGGAACAGTCATGCTCCGCGTGGCGCTGGGGTAACGGCTTGTAGAGATGACGCCAGGGGTGATCTGGCGTGAGGAAAGAGTTTTGCTGGTGTGATGATGTTGGCGGCAAGTGGGAGGCACGGAGAGGGGACCGACACCTCAGAAGAGTCGTAGCCTAGACGCTAGCGGTGTACCAGCGGGTCTATTCTTAAGTCAGGAGTCTGGAACAGATGAGCGCTATCCCAACCAGAGGCAGCTAGGGCACACTCGGCTGGCAGTTCACCCAGTCGGGCACGCGAGAAGACATCGGTTCATTTCCGGAGTACCTAGGCAGCGGCAGCAGCAGAATCGCGAACGGCACAGGAACAGGTTAGATCAACGATTTGGCTTGATCACCAAGTAGTGCTTAAGTGTGTGGACGCTGGGGTGATTGGATCGGTAATGCTAAGTGCAGGGTATGTTTTGTGCTTCGTTGCAACAAAGTTCAAGACCAGGGATAAAACTGGTGTACTACTCCCAATACGGCTTAGGGGCACTTTCAGGGGTAAGATCACATCTGTCTCCATGTCCAACTTTTGCAACCGTTCATGTCCGGAGAGTCGGGCAGCCAACCGTGCCCGTATGATATTTTCGGGAAAACTTCGTCTTCGCAATCTGCCGGGTCTTCGCTGATCACTCAGGATCTACGATCAAGAAGGCTCGTCATGGCAGAAGATCGTCGCCTCGAATCCACCTTTCTGCTGCATGCGTCGGCATCAATGACCACAGGCGCAGGAGGCAGAACAACAGTATCAGCTGCGTGTCATAACCCCTCCTAGATTAACAGACGACGTGGGTACGATGGCCACATTATCCTGTAAGCTCTTAGCCCCCTACCAATTAGCCGGATGCTACCAGCCCTGGTTACTAATCCCCTTACAGCCCTAATCTGGCCTGTCTCGGACGCTCCTTGCGACGTCCTCTGACCGGTCAAGAACTGCTGAGAGTATCGACTCACGAAGTTTCGCGCGGATTCCAGTAGCGATACAGACCAGGCCTTGGGAAACAACTCGGCCTGGCATTAACCGAAATTTCTGCGGCCACGTACCTGAGGCCGCCAGCAGGCATCCTTGGGTAGGTATGAAAACCAAGCCACTCAAGTTTGATACCGCCGGTCGCTGCGAAGCAACCAAATCACGAGTCTTTGCAACGCACTTTCTGGAGACCCGGTCATCGATTACGCACCACCAATGGCTTCACATCTTGGGCGGAGTCTACAGAGTACTCTCTAGCTTCCTCGTCAGCACAAAACACTGTCTCACCGTAAGTCTTTCTGCAGTACCTTGCCCCTAGCGGTCTGGAGCAATCGCTCCAATACAAATTCGCCTCGGACCTTCCTAAAGTTGGCTCGGTTGCGAACGCGAGCCCTTGCAGAAGCTTACGAGGTCGTTTCCGCGTTGCTCTTTCTCAACATGACAGGCCCTCGTTGCTCCCAATTCAAGAGCTCTCTTGCTGTGATGAGCTGGCGTCTTGTATTATGGCCGGCCACGATCGTTGCGCAAAGGATTTAGAAATGACGATCACAGTACTTGCTGGCCAACAGGCGGGAGCGTAGGGCCCGCGCCCGAGGCGCTGACATGAGATCTAGAAAAACTGTTCGAACAGTGCACGTTCCTATCGTCAATGGAATTGGATAAGTTACTAAGGACTCCCAGGAACACAGAAGGCAATCGTCCGTTGCCGTTATCAACCCCCCAGCCTAATCCCACCTGTCAATCGAGCTCACACTGTGTAGAGCAACCAGTGTTGCCTCATCCCCCTCCCCCATCCAGCGACAACTCGCATGACTCCCTCCCGCAGCCTGCTCCAACCGCAGCCCCCATACCTCATCACCAACCCTAGACAGCGAGATCGATGGTATACTCGACCAAACACTCCTCCCTCCTCCCCCTCTCCACATTCCGCCAATACCAGCCCACATAAGTCTGCCGCTTAAGCCCGTCCGCCTCATCCCCGTGAATCACCGTACGACCGACCGTCAGCTCCGCCACATGCTGGTCCTCCTCGAGCTTCAGCATCACGCGGTGGCTGCTGAATGCGAGGTCGCCGCCGCGCCATTGCTTGTCGTGGTGCAAAGCTGGATTGACAGTCAAGCTGGCAGTGGCATTGGGGTGGTCATCGTCGTCATCAACCAGGCGTTTCGCGGTCTCCCACAGCTGGCGGGCTTCGTTCTCGAGGAAGGCGGTGAGGGTGGAGTAGTCGCGGAAGTCGGTGGCGGTGCGGCGATGGACCTGAGGAAACAAGGTCTTGTCGGACTCGGCGGTGTCGTATACGGGTTTGCTGTTGACCAGGATGTTGACGCGGATCTGGAGCTGCACGGGGACGCCGGGCTTTCTGGTGATGTCGAGGCTGGCGAGGCGCTGCTGGTTGAGGGCTTCGTAGATGACGATGTCGTGCGCTGATTTCTGACGGTCGAGCTCGGCCCAGGGACGGGGGCTGCTGCTTTTTCTGGGAAGGGTGGATCGGCGCGATGAAGGAGACCCGGTGGGTTTGCGGCCGTCGACTGGAGGGGTGGTAACCGAGGCTGGGTCATTGTCTGGCTTCGGCTCCGTGGCGGTAGGAAGCTTGTCTTTGGCGGAGTCAGACATTTTGTGGTGTCGAGTCAACGATCGTATGTCTGGAAGAAGTTTTGTTTCTGTGCCACTTCCTCAGCTCAGGAGCAAACGATCGAACATGTTCTGTGCAGCATGCTCAGAACGCTTAAAGCGCGCGGAAGAAGATGCACACGGCCAGTCGCGGCGTCACTCATGGCTAGGCAAGTGAATGCCTCTAATTTCACCAGGAGTGAATGGCAGCTGTGCTTGCCTATACACCGTGCGCACGTATTATTGCTCTTCACCAGGTGAACAAGTGACACCATCCATTCTCGGCATATAGCCATCCAAGGCTTTTGCGCGGGGGCTAGAAGTCTAGAGAGCAACGTCACCTCCAAACATGCAGTGCGCACCTTTCCTAGCCACAATTCTACACACCTTTCCAACCAGACAGGTTCATCAAAGACCTGAGCATACAACGCGCAGCAAGGTCACGTGATAGCGAGGCTACAGCGCCAGGGGGGCCTATGACTTGTGGATATGACGGTCTACACCAAGATGCTATGTAACAACTACTACAGCGTCGTCATATTCGCCATGCTAGGAGATAAAGTTCCACGGCTTCTCGCCGACCTGCTTTACGATGCTCTCGGGCGTACTCGCCTCCAGGCTTCCACTACCTGGTCTTTTTGACGATGAACGCCTCCGCCTCGCCATACTGCTCCCGCTTCCACCTCTCCGTTCCCTCCGCATCAAATCTAGCCCAGGCCAGCACGCCCATCGACCATCGCATAGCTCTGCTCGTTGGAATTACCGCTCGTCAAGACCAACGTGCTCTTCACCAGATCCACATCGATCTCTCCCTTGGTGTATTCGCCGAAAGCCATGCTCCTTACAGTGCGTAGCCAGTGTCATGACTGTTCCTGTACCAGCTACTGTGGTATGCAAACTTTACTGGCCATGGCCCGCGTAACGCGCTCCGTAGATAGTATTACGGCCAAGGACAAAGGATGTCATTCGTACTCTCTGATATCGTGTAGAACATGCGGCTTTCCGCTTCCAAGAGCATGTTCCAGACCTCTAGCAGCATGGTGCTGTGACCCATTCCTCGATCGTGGTGCCCTATCATGACTCAATCGTAGCTCAAGTGTAGGTCCACAAGGTCTTCATCCGCTAGTGAAGTCAGCTTCGACAGTAGGTTTAACACCTGTTCATTCTGTGCTTCGGATAGCCTAGCTCGATCGTTAGTATCGCCACCCTCAACACACCCGGCGTTGGGTCTGAACTAGTTGGGTGATGTGGCAGAGACTCAGATATTGTCGGTGGTAAGCAAAGGTTGAAGGGTATATCAATTACATTGGCATAACATAGCGTAGCTCCCTTGCGCCAAGCTCTATATTCGGGTGGCCGCTTCCAACGAGTAAAATGCCGCCTCGTTCATATAATACAGCCTTCCATCAACCCTGCATCTCAAATCGGGGCTGTTCCCTCGCAGGAAGCTCTTGCGTAGGCCGTGGACCGGTTCCGAGCTCTGCCGCCGCCGGCGGCGTCGGCATCGACGTCGCAGAGGGAGTGGTCGGTGGCTGGCTCGAGGCGTCATACTTGGGAGGAACCTGATCCAAGTAAGGACTGCTCGCGTGTGGTGTCCCTAAATCCCGGAAAGGCTCGCCTTCGGTCTTGTCCTCGCTGGGTTGTGTCTTAGCAGCTCGTCTCCTCCGCCACCAGAAGAATGCTCCAACAGCCGCTGCGATGGCTACTACGGGTCCCACGACGACTCCAGCGATCCATGCGTTGCTGCTCGAGTCGTCATCGCCGTTTCCATTCCCTGCCTCAGCTAGAACAGCCAAGTTGAAGTTACCGGACGTGCGGTTTTGAAGATCATATTTTAGGTAGCAGTTTTGGAAGCCCCCTGACGCACTTGGCTCGTACAAGACGCCAAAGCAACTGTTACCCCCATTTTCTGGCCTGTAGTTCGCACACTCGTCGATACATGCTTCAAAATTGTCGCTATGGACCTTTTTGATGTCAGGGCCGGATCCAGTGGTATCGCAGGAGGTATTGAACACTCCACCCCCAGACGCGGTGTATGAGCTGCTGGTGCAGGTGCTGTTGACCGAAAGTATACCAATGGCGGTTGTTGTGCCGGGGTCAGGCACAAGTTTGAAAGGATCGGAGCCATTCACGCTCTTCGGGTAGCAATTCCGATACCCGGTCCTCAACCCTTCCGAGTACAGCACGCCTCGGCAGAGTGGTCCACCTCTAGAGCAGTAGTTTAGACAATCGTCCAAAGTATCAGCATGGAATGGTTGGTAGTCCGGTCGTTTATTGATATCGTAGTTGTCGCCGTTGTGTCTGTAGCCGCAGTATATCCGGTATTGGTACCCATTGCTGTCGGTCTGTATTGAACCGTTTGTACACGCATAGTTTTGACCCCGGTCAGTCCAGACATCCTGTGCGAATGCCATGATTGTGATGTTTGAAAAACTGACATCTGCTGCGGTGGCGTTACCGTCCTTCTGGTAGCATCTGCCATCATTTATGTTATATGCAACGGCCTGGCAGGGATTCTGGTCAGTACCCGCCCCACTAGTTGCGCATGTATTCAGACAGTCGGTCAAGTTGGATGTTCTGCTGTTCCTGATGTCGTAGTCGGCGATGTTTGACTCGCAGGAAACGTCGAATTCGAGGCCTATGTCTGTTCTGATAGTCTGGTCCGTACACCCATCTGAGGCTCTTGTTAGTGCAACGTACATAAAATTGCAGAATATTGAACATACCCTGGCTCTGGCGCGGTAGTACCGTTCCCGTCGCGACTGTAGCCAGAAGAAGCCCTCCAAATAGCGATAACATCGTGTGCAGCACCACACCAATATGCAGCGGCACGGCAACAAAGTCGCTGAGGCCAAATATCCTTTCCAAAAAGCAACGGGTCGGCGGGTAGGTGAATTTCACAGAAGAGATGCGGAGATGTGATAGAGGGGAACGAAGAAGCGCAGCAGAACCGATTCAGCGAACGATTGACGTTCAGCGACGAAGTCTGCAAAACAGCACAGGGTACCCTGGTCGTACTACGAGCGTTGGCACAAGTGTCGCACGCTCTTCACAAAGCAGGAGAGGACGGGACTCATGTTGCAGTTCTCAACGATCTGCGGGTAACACCAGGTCAGTGGAGCAAGTCGTTCAGGCACTCTGACCTAGAGGTTGGCGCAGCGGCTGGCGGCCTTGGACCTTCAATGCGCCTGCCTTGTGAGGCATGCCAAGTTCAAGGCGAGATTGGCGTGGGTACATCTGTGGGCTGATGTGCTTCGTGCTTTCGGCGACTTTTGGGGACACCCACCACAGGTCAGCCCCGCAGACGACCAACAGTATCGGGTCCGAGAGCATAGTGGGATATAACTACTTTCACTCCATGGCGCCGAACGTATGGTTCTCAGGTGACGAGTCCGCACCGTGTGAACTGCTGGTAGTTCGGTCAAGGTCGCAGATATCCGCGAGCATCGCTCTGCAGTAGTATTGTTTGAGAGACGACCGTCGACTAAGCAATTTGATTAGCTGACAAAATTGGACCAATGCACCTTGGGGGCCGTACGCGTGGAGCAAGGCATTGCTGGTTTCAGGTCTCTCCATGGCGGACTCTACTCGTATCTCCGTCCGTCGTATGGCGCGTAATGGGCGATGACTCGACAACATAAGGCATAAGAATAGGTGTATGTAGCTTGATATAGATAGTTGTGTTGAAGGAGTAGCAAGCACGAGAAGTGGATGAAGTGGAAACGTACAAGCGTGTGGAGAAGCTACGGTCAACCGTAGCGTGACTTCTACGGGCGGTTTGTGGTAAGTACCTGTCCGTACCTTCGTTATGGCCGGTATCACTTCTATCACAACTATACTTCGCTTTCACCTTACCTCTACCTTGGCTTGCCTCGCTCGAGCTCGCTTCCTCCCCAGCACGCCCTTGCCTCACCCTGCATGCATTACCGTACACTTCTCTGGCCAGATAGAATGGCTTAGCTCACAGAGTTTGTCTAAAGCCCTGCTGACCCTCCAGCACAATCTCCCCTGCATCTGCTTTGCGATTCTTCCTCGCGTACACGACAAAGTTCTTTAGCACATGCAAAATGGTGAGTGCCTGCGTCGCGATGACCACAGACATAGCTGGCCTGGCAGGATACACATTAGCATCGACCTCTCCTGAACCCCAGTAAGTGACTCACAGATATTGAGGCGCATCCTGCTGGCGAAATATGTTGGCTGCCGCGATACCACCGCACGCACCACCACCGATGAGCAAGGCACTAGCTATACTTCTCTTCATCTGTCCGACGATGTTGTTGTGCATATAGCTCAAGAGACTCGGCACGTTGCTGTTCGCGCCAGCCACACCAAGGAAGACACCTGCGTATCTTGCTGCCGCGCCGTCCACGAATGCCATCATGCACACGCCGATCACGGCTGTGGCGCAGTTCCAGATGATGATGAGTCCACGCTTGCGGTAGTGGTCGGCGACCCAAGCCGTCGAGAACATCCAGATGGTGGCCACGGCGTACGGCGGGAACGACAGCACCTGGCTCATTGCCACTGAGTAGCCCATGTCCCCTCTGAGGATAATGGGCAAGCTGTAGAGATGAAAACGTCTCGTATCAGTAACTAAGGTATGCTGTCGGGACAGTAACTGATGCGATTTCATGAGGAGGGGTTGAGAAAATGACTCGACTTACAAATAGCCGAAAGAATAAGTGACAACGTTGTTTAGGAAGTATAGCCATGCAAACTCCCACAACTTCCAATCACGAAGATGGCGGAAGATGACCTCCCACGTGAGTTTGTCGACCACAGCGTCACCACGATCCCTCTGGATCCGGTTGATAACGATGCTGGCTTCATGCTCGGTGAGAAAAGCACGACGGGTTATGGTATTCGGTCGAGTAGCTTTGTCCGGGAAATCGACGATGAAGAGAAAGCCCATGACGCCGAGGAGGATGGTGATTGCGCCTTCGATAGCGAATATCCACTGCCACCCATTCAGACCGCCCAGGCCTCGCATCTCGGACAGGCCATACGCCAGAATATTGCTGAAGCCAGAAGCGAGGAGAGCCAAGAGGTAGAAGGCCGAGAAACGCTTCTGCACTTCATACCGGACGTACCAGCAACCTGCGATAGTGCAATAAGCTTATGCTCAGACGAAGGACAAACAGGATTTGCAGTTATTCAAGAGTGACAAGCTTATTGCGCATGAATCACGTCGAGGTGAAAGTGAGTGGAAGGTGACAAGGCTCGTCGAACGCTTGTGAGATCCACTTACTGAGCAGAAAGACACAACCGGGGAAGTATCCAGCTTCTAACACCCCAAGGATGATTCTGCAGCCCAGAAGCTGCGTCCAGTGAGTGGTGAAGCCCATGCCGATGGTGACTCCTCCCCAGCAGATGACCAGCGATGACAGCCAAAGGGCGGCACCTAGCTTTCTGATGACGATATTGGCTGGGAACTGAAAAATAATATACGGAATGAAAAACATCATCGTGACAATGGAGTAGCGGTCGCCGACATATAGCGAAAGATCCTCGTCCATGCCGGCGATGCGAGCCTGGATCAGTTAGCCAACGACCACAAATGCAGCCTATGTAGTCATTACATTGGGCAGATTGACTCGATCGATCAACGCAAAGGCGTATATAACCGCTAGGACCGGAAGCAGTCTGAGATCGATCTTCCTCATGATGCGGCGAGTCTCCTTGTCATCTTTCTCAAGCGGCCCTCTGGCGGGACCGGTCTGGTCCTGCTCGAGAACTTGACTGACATCGATTCCGCCATCACGGCCACCGTGAGGTAGTGCTTCCTTTTCATTGTCGGAAGCCTTCTGCTGCGGGTCAGCTGCTGCGAACCTTAGGAGGGCTCCGGCTGACATACGCGCTCGACATGTCTGGTATCCAAGTGCTTCTCATCATCAAGCTGGGCCATTTTGGGGGTGGTGAGTATTCGCGCCAAAGATATAGTTGCTTAAAGCATTCGCCAGCAGTCAATCCAAGCCCTGAGACCAGGTAGATATCTCGTGTGAAGCTTGAGCCGCATTAGATATAATGGTGCCTGCACCGGGACCATACAAAGTCATGCTGTGCTTTACCGAGAGCCGGATCCATGGCGAACAGTCTACCTCGGCGAGAAAGGTAGTTTTCATTGCCGAGATGTCCAAGCAGCAATCAGCATGCAATGCTGCGATAACGTGTACGCGAATGGGCGGGAGGACAAGACGTTTTGGCGAAGGCCAAGCACTTGTCTTCTCCGCACTCCAAATCGCGGAGGGAATACCTGGGGCAATGGGGATGGGGAGGCGGTGACGAGACACCGCCGCAGGAAGGGTAATTGAGGGCAGTGGGAGGCAAGTGATAATGGGGTACTCAATCTACAGTAAATATACGCTGAGCCTCATGTTGCAGTATAAGGCCAGAATGTGTTCCATCATACATCTCCTAGAGAAGAATCGGACATGTATGCCGTAGCAGAACCAAGCCCGAGGATACATTCAAAGCGTTGCTTTACTTAGAATTGAACACTTTTGCCCTAATAGTTGAGGTCGTTAACTGCTCCCACAAGAATCCGAATCCCTCAACCATACACAATCACCAACGGGAATCGTGAGAGTTCATGAAATCCTTGAGAAGCGTCACTACCTTCTCCAAGGCGGTGACCCATTTCTCGGCGTCTTCCAGTGCAGCCTCGCTCGTTTGATCGGCAGCCAATCTTCTGTAGAAGTCCTGGCGTTTGGGAACAAAAGTCCAAGCAGCGCTAAAGAGCGACTTCTGATACGAGTTATGATACTTCTGCAGAGTGCCTGGGTACGTCTTTTGGAAAGCTTCAGATAATGGTTTCTTCGGGTTTGGGTCGTCAGGTGCAATGTTCTTGTTGTCGTTCAAATCCTTGCGCAGGGATTGCGCGGTGAATTCGAGGGTGCGAGTCAACCACAGCAGCGCCTCGGCTGCAGACCCAGAATAAGCCACGCCGTCGCTCTTCTCATTGCGGACCAGCGATTGCAACGTTCTGGAATCGCCTGGAGCGTTATTGTAGCGGTTGCGGACCTTCTGAATGTTGGCATTGTTATCATTTCTCGCTGGATAAAAGCCGACAGCGCTGAGAAGGTTGAAGAATGCAGGTAGGGATTGGGCTGCATCGAGAAAGTCGACGGTATGGATGCCCTTGTCTCCGTCAATGGCAACATCATCGAAGCGCTTCTGGAGCTGGCCGAACCAAGTTGGACGATAGGGGCCGCCAAATTGAGGGCGGAAGCCGCCGCCACCGTTTTGACCGACGTTGGAAGCGCCTCCCCGCCCCGATGCGCCACCGCCTCGGCCGCCACCCCATTGACGAGGATGATGCTGCTGTCCATGTTCGCTGGTAGCGGTCGCTCCCAGGACGTAGAGCAGGAAGATGAAGAGCCTTGCAGCAAAGCTGCTGGTTGCGAGCGAGCGTGCTTGCATCTTGACCTTCAATCCCGACGCGCCGTCTGACTTGTAGGATGGGTGGCCAACAGCCGGATACATAACCAGGTCATATAGCTAACATACATCAGCACCGGCCTGCTTTTCAACTTCTTTCTCCTGAGGCCTAGAACGTAATCTAGACCTCCCGTGGCTACTCATTGTCGAGTGTACTCCGACCCGACAGGTCCTTTGTGCCCAGGACCGCCACCGCCGTGTGCGGCTGTGTCTTTGTGCTCAGCTCGGTCACGCATCGAGGTCACACTTTGCTGATTCCTCTTACGCGCATTGTCTGGGGTTTTTAATATTGCATTTCGCGGCGCACGATGAGGGACAGCACACTGATTCGCAGTCTTGGTGAGCAGTCGGCTATTTTTGACCTCATCGTCCGGTTCGTCGGATCAAGCAAGACAGCACGGACCGCCATCTGGCTCGTCCACTGCCAGGCAGCCTGAGAACGAGTGGAAAATCAGCAATAGCCAGGTTGATGTCCTTTGATATGCAACTGCGTCGCCGAGAGTCCACCTGCGCAGTGTATTATCGTGGCCTTCGTTGTAGTAGAATTTATGCTTGGGTCGCGACCATACCGTTCGGCTGGTTTTGGATGTGCCTTCCCTTCAAGCCTATTCGTGTCTTCACCTCGTATCTGGTGAGTGCGTGTGATACGTCTGGCATTTCCTACACTGTGCCATTCGGACGGACAGGGCGTACGATTCAGTAGAGAGTTGTTTCGCTCAGAGCAACCCCTTCCTTGCAAGGTCAATCTTCCTGTTCGTCTCACCCTGCTTGAAGCCACCCTTGCTCGCACAAACCTTAACACCGTCACCCAGCTCAACCTTCTCTTCAACTGCCGCGTGCGGACAGGGACAGTGATGCGGAAAGTGTACACATGCTAGCGTGTCAGGGCAGAGGTAATTCGAGCACTTGGCTATAGTAAACGGTCAGCAGGGAGTCCAGATACACCATATTTTAGTGGATGGATTGGGGTTGGCGGCTGGCTCTTCGAGAGCCGTCAGGGGAGCCTGACCTTGATCCCAATTCTGCTGGTACCAGTTCGAATCACTCGGAGAGTTGCCCTGTTGCTGCGCCTGCTGCCCCCCCTGGTGACCGCTGAAGAAGTTGTCGAAGAACTGGAATTGAGCGTGAACTGCACCCGCGAATAGCAGGATTAGACCCACCAACATCCGATTGAACATGTTGACGATCTGAAGTGGGCTTCGATTGTTTTATGAGGGCTCGTTAGTTGTGTCAAAGAGAATAGTGGTGCAGGCCACACTGGCAAGCGCAAGGGCAACCTGTCCACCGCACCATGCATTCCCAAAGCGGTTAGCGCAGATTGCGGACTTTCATGATTCTGAAGCTCGACCACGAATCTTGCATCAGACGACCAGCTCCTGTGCCATCGCCCCTGTACCATCTTTCGAGTGCAGCAGACCTTGGACGAGGCTACCGCGCCTGCAATATGTTACAGCCACGGTTATCTGTCGCCCGGCCCTGCATCGACAGCCTCACCACCTCCCTCTCCTTCATCTCGCTCCGCAACTGCAAAGCAATTCAAGTTCGACACGCTTCGCACGCCGCGCAAGGCCGCGCCAACGGTCCCACGGATTCCGCTGGTCGCCGTCTAGGTTCCAAAAAGTCCAATACGGAGCACGTCGTGCCGGGAAATATCATCTTCAAGCAACGCGGTTCAAAATGGCATCCAGGCGAGAATGTCGGCATGGGTCGAGACCACACCATCTATGCCTTGGAAGAAGGATATGTACGATACTACCGTAACCCACGTCTGCACCCTACAAGAAAATACATCGGTGTGGCATTGGCCAAGGAGGGCAGAGCCAGCGTGCTTCCTACACCTCCAAATGCACCGACACGGCGGCGAGTGGGCATGATGGCGGTGCCAATGAGAGCGCCAGCAAGCCAGCAAGCCGCAGAAGACTTCCTGGAGGCGCATGTCACGGGCAATTCCAAGCCCACTGGTGGCAAAGGAAAAGGTCTGAAGCCTAGCCCAGCGACACCAACGGATCCGCCGATAATGCGGACCAATGGATATCGAATTGCCAACATCCAATTGGCGAGGGATGCAGAGAAGAATGAGGTAGTGGTGCGGCCATATCTGCGAAAGGATCGGTGGTATGCGTGGAGGCAGAGGACCAGGAAGTTTAAGGAGAAGAAGATGGCTAGAGCGGCGGTTGGGGGTAAGAAGAGGGCCCAGCAGAGTAGTAAGGGGAAGAAGGGCAAGAAATGAGTGAATGACCGCCAAAGATGGACAAGCTATGGGCTGAACATCTTAGACGGGAGCCAAGCAGGGCGATGTGTCGTTGCAGCGGCGCGCTACCACTCATCCCGTGTGTACATCTAGTAGAGCAAGCAAGAGACAGCGAAACGATACCATTATCTCCTCCCAGCGTCTATCAGAGAGTAGGAGCACGACTTCATGGGTTAGCGTAATCTATCATTGGCCGGCGGTGGCCCTTCTTTTTGGCCAAAGTGCAACACTCGTCCAACCCCTCAGGGAAGGACCTACAGGCCATTTGACGTCTTGAACTTATCCCAGGCCTCGTTCAAGGTGGCGAATACGGCAGCGCTGATCATGCGCTGCTCCGTTGTGGCATCGGTCGGAATCTGCAGAACATGAAAATAAATCAGCCATCAGTTCTTACCAGCCCGTACTGCGTCGCGTCTGCGCATCCACACTCCATGCACAAGGCAAGAAGAAACACTACACGGGCGAAATCAAGCAGAGGAAGAAGACTCACCTTATCAGGGTGCACCTTGGCAATACCTTTCATGTACTGCACCTTGACCTTCCCCGGCAGCACCAAGTCCGCCATGCTGATCTTCTTCCAGCCCGCCTCGGGCCACAGCACCGTGTCCAGGCTCCCCAGCAGCGCCCGTAGATTGTCCTGCTTGCCGTTCCGCCAGTTGTTGATTTTCAGATCCACGCTGTCGGAGAGTGCAAACTTCTCGTCGTCCGCCTTATCAGCGGCTGCATTAGCGGCGCGCAGGCGTGACACGGCTGCAGAATCGCCTGATGGCTTCGCTGCGGGGCGACGTGGAGGTGGCTTCTTTTCTATTGCCGCAGCAGGTTTGGCGCTGGGCTTGGGAGGTGGATTCGCTGCCTTCTCGGCCCGCAGACGGCCTTGCATGGAGGCTGCACCGCCATGACCGCCTTCGACTGCCTCCTTCCATATAACTGCTGCGTCGGCCCACCGTTCCATCTGCTCCAGTGCTTCGGCTTTGCGCATGAGGGCCTTGCCGTAGTAGTCGCGCATGGGCTTTGCGGGTGACCCATCGAGGAAGTCAACGGTCTCGGATTCGCCTTTCGATACGCCAATAAGGGTGATGGCGACGTCGCAGTCGGCGATGGCCATCTTTGGCTCGCCGACTTTGAGGGCGGTCAGGGCATGGTTGGTCAGAAGGACGAGAGTTAGGGGGTGTTCAGAGGGTAAGTGCTTGAGCGATGAGCTATAAGAGTCATGTGCTGATGAATAATCGCCCCGCTTGAAATGCGTGTTGCCAGCTTCTCGGGCTGTATGTGAAGCTTTTAGGCTCATCGGTGGGATGGATGGGATTGTGCGTTTGGGTGCAGCTGGCCGAGTGGCAATCCGGGCGGCCTTGGGTGGTGCAGGTCGCGAGATTGCTGGACCGGGAGGAGGAGCCGCTTTGCTTGATGTGTCGAAAAGATCAGGCTCTGACGCAACAGCAGCGGGATGCACAGCAGGCTTTCGCCGTCGAGCTGAAGAGACGTAGGCTTGCGCAGCTTGTTCTTCGTTGGCTTGTCTTTGGAGTACAGTCCTTGACACAGCAGGTTGAGGCGATGGTCTTGCCTGCTGCTGTCGTAGGAAGGCAGGTTGAGGAGAGGCCGACTCTCGTAGGCGAGAGGGTACAGCGGGAGAATGATCCCTGGACGTATCCGCACTCGAGTCAACAGGAACTTCAGGTCTCCGTTTTGTTGCGCGCGGTGGAGGTGTTGGTCTTTGCGCTTCGAGCATCATCGCTTCATCTGTAGCACTCTGCTCTTTCCTCTTTCCCGTGGAGCTTCGCCGCCTCTGTCGTCCAGCAGACTCTCCGCCATTCGCGTGTGCTTGGCTGCTTGAGCTTTCGACTTCCCTCATCCATTTAGGCTGTCCGCCAGTATCGCTATCGGAGTTGAACTCCTGTACAGCCTGCTGCATCTTTTTGGCTCCTTGCTTCCAAAGCGAGTTGGCAGTCTTGAAAAAGTTGGTACCAAACTCGGCTGCCATCTGACTGGGATCCTTCTCAGCCTGGGGCTGTCCTCTGCGTTGCATGACTGGGCTTTCGTTATCCTCGACATGCCGTCGTGAGGTTTTCAGGCCTCCCCTTCCTCGACGAGGGACATCGTCGGTATGGCCGTTCCTGCCGGTGTTTCGATTCTGTGAGCTCTCCCTAGCCTGTTGATGAGCAGCGTTGAGCAAGGAGCTGACGGCAGCTTGGATATCGATGCCCGATGCTGTGGTCTCGAGGGCCTGCCGAGCCTTATCTACCGGAAATCCCATATCCACCAGTTCGGCAACTGCCCTGTCCTGTGGATGTGCGTTTTTCGACGGCTTTACAGGTTGCTGCTCCTCATCCAGATCTGGCTTCCGCTTGGATGGATCAACGGGTCTCCCGAGTAGTCCAAGCACATCATCGTCATCCTCTGCTAGGGTCGCGACCGTCTGTGTCCTCCTTGCTTCCCTTTGCTGAAACTCGGACAGGCCGAATGGGTCGTCATCGTCGTCTGGGAATTGTGAGGACTGTGGCGCAGGAGCGGCGGGCGCGGGAGTGGACGCGGGCGCAGGCTTGGGCTGTTGCGCGCTCGAGCTGTTGAAAGCGGCGAGGAAGTCATCAACGTCTTGCGGCGCGTCTGCAGGTGCTGGTTTCCCATTCTTGTGAGACTCAATTGCGGGAGTGCTTCGCCCACTTCCTAGGTTATTCCAGAATGCATCATCTCCATTGGCATACTGGCTCTTCTGTTGTGACTGTTGCTGTAGCTTCAATTCCGCCAGACGTTTCTGCTGCTCCTGCAGGGAGAGGTTGGAGGGATTCGGGCTTGCAGACCACGAGACCAAGTTGGCAAAGCTATCGTTAGCTGGCGTAGCTGACTTCGATGGGGGATTGGAGGGCGTATTGTTCAGCGGCGAGGCACGGCCGGAGACGGGAGGAGTAGGCTTCAAGCTTGAGAACGAGGGGTTCAAGGTGTAGTTGGCATTGGCGGGCTTCTGGCTGCTGGACCCTTTTGACCAGTCCAGGCCCGCAAGATCGTCCATGGTGCGTGGTAGGAGGGATTATAGGCTCTCATAAAGAGCTATACGCTGACCATAACATGCGGCCGGGAAACATGTAGATGTTGTTGCGGGTTCGCTGTTTCACAACACGGACAGTGGTATGTACTCCGGGGTCGGGGACGCTGCCATATGTGGCTGAAGTCTCCATTGAATAGTGGCGGTGCACTCAATGCCTCGTTTTCTCCGCAACCCCTACATCCCCCCAATAGCGTCAGACTTCATGAGAATCTTCACAACCTTCGCATGACTTCGCATGGCTACAGCGTAACTAAAGTGGCACTTTTACTAACTTGAGCTGCGCGTCGTTCTGCACCATTGCTGTCTATCAGCCAATGACGATCCTATACTGCGGTGTTGTACTGAAGAAGCTGTTCATCAATGTTGTCGATGGAACTCAAGTCCTTCAAATCGTGCACGATACCAGATTAGGCACTTCTACACAAAGCGATGCACGATCCTTGATGCTTAGGAGCGAACTTCGCAGAGCCTGTCCTGCTGTCAAGTCCTCTCCCATGCATCTGAGCTGACATCTTACATATTCGTGGCGGGATCCAGTATTCCATTGTATTTATCACATAGGCTACACGCCTCTTTCACGTTGGCTTGCCGCCTGCTCCCGGCCAGGTATACTCGAATTTTTCCCACTAGCTATGTCTCAAGGATCTGCCACCTCTGACATCTTCGAGAGCCATTGCCTGCCGGCCCACAACGCGCAAGCTGACCGATGTAGGCCACCAATAAAGCCGATAGAGGTAATCTTCACTCGCTCGGTTACTAGCTTAGTTGGGGAGCCTCATAAGCAGGTCGCCTGCTCTGTACTTCTCTGGCGCTCATCGGCGCTGCAAGCATGGCATTGGTGATATCGAGTCAGCACGGACATGCCACGAATGTACAACCGTCTGGGCTGACATAAGTACATGGGCTGCGACCATAGCATGGGCTTACAAATAAGTCCTGCTCTCGTCTAGCCCGCACTCCTTGTCTGTTGCTTGACACACGCACTCTGGACGACCCATGACTGCGTCCAGGCTGTTCAAAGAGGCCGCATGGACTGCTACGCGGCTACAAAACGTAAGGGCGTGCTACCCGTCACTTCATCTCACAAATCTAACGAGACATAGGATCCACGACTGGAAGCATAGCAGATCTGGCGGTGGGAACAGCCTCGGAGGTCTTAAGCTTGATGAAGGAATGCTGGCAGGGCCATTCACCTGCTAGGGGGAGAGGTGGTTTCACAGCGACAATCGACTTCGCGAACATGCTCGCCCAAGAGGATAGCGGCCTTTTCCAGCTACCGATTGAGATCCGCAACCGGATCTTTGAGTATGCTCTCGAGGAAGACGATGATCTGCTCCAGCCGTTTGGTCACGACCGCCTCTATTTCAGACCAGACCGTCGGTGCCCACAGGTGATTCAGCTCTTTTTCCTTCGAGCCTGTAAGAGAGCATATCAAGAGACGAGAGCTATGCCGGTATCGCTTGCCGATCATACAATTTGGCTGGCTGGAGGCCCTTATCGTCTGCTACCGAACAGCAGGGGAGCCACAGGCAAAATGTTGGCGTGGCAAGAGAGCCTGAACCGTGAACAGAGAGCGGCGGTGCGGCGAATCCGGCTTTACACCGAGTCACTCAAACTTCATGAGCTGCCGTTGGTGTCGGACCTCCACGCCGGGCAAGTCAGCTTGGTTGTACGAGCGTCAAGAGCATCGGCATTTGCGCCGCACATGTGGTCTTACTGTCCGCAGTTCTTCGCACTCTGCCCATGGTTGCCAGGCTACTGTTTCCCAGAAATGATGAGCGCTCAACCGCAAGAACCAGACATGTCCTTCCTTCGATCTAAGATGGACGAAACGACTTGGGGTGGCCGAATCAGTCAGATCGAGGGCTTGGAAAAGTTCAGATTGGAGTTGGAGGCCCCCGAACATCTGAAGGACGACTTTGAAGCCGTGCTAGCGAGGGCCAAGTACTGGAGGTTCCCAATCTCTGGGAGCTTTGACGCGCTTCTGCCCACAGGTGAGGTGCGAAGATGGTCGTGGAAAGGATACGCAGAACCAAGGGCGGACCATGAAGCCTCTTTGACAGACGAGGCAGTGGCTTTGCTACCTCAGACGACCTACATGGTGGCTGAGATAAGCTGGATAAAGTACAAAGACGGAGTGGCGGACTACATTTAGATATGGCTCGTATCGAAGTTTATCAAGATTCAGCGTGCACGATCGAACCACGTGTTCGACACGCCCGAGGCGCCATCTGTGGAGGCGACCAGGAGGCGAGGCTTTAATTGAAGGGGGGCGAACCTTCGGTGCCATCCCAGCCCAAGTCTGGCGGCGTAGCTCAAGCGCGGGCCACTCGCAGGGCCGGCGGAACGGTTTCATGCCTGTTAGCCTAGAGCGCATAGTCGATTAGGCGGTTGATTAGCGTTGCATCGCATGCACCTAAGTGTGGCCAGCAGCCAGAATAGGTTTGACCGGCCGGGTGCCCCCCGACTGGCCTCTACCAGGGCTCCCCAGTACTCCGTAGAGCCCAGGGACCCCGACCAGGGGCGAGCGTGCGCGTGCGTGTGTGCTGCAAGAAATTTAATTTCCAAAGTGTCAATCCGCCAGCTAAACGAAAAATCCGGGCGAACCCAACCAAGCAGGCCAGTGTCGACGGAGAACAAAATCCAAACCCACGGAAGGCAGCGTCGTTCCTCCTGACGTTCTCATCTCCCCCAACTTGATTCTCTGCCTGCGCGATTCATGCTACAAGCCCGAGGTCAGAAAAGTCTGCACATGGCCGCCATATCTCCAGCTGCCCTGCCCCTCACTGATCGCTGAGATCCGCTCTGTCGGGCCCCTAAACAGCATAGCTCCGGTCCCTTGCATTGGCAGCACAACATCAACTTTCGGTCACCTCCGCCAGCGTTATCATTATGGGCCTCTTTCATAAGAAGGATTCTCGCTCGCACGACTCTCGCAACGACAAAGCTGCCATACGCCCCAGTGTCACCATCGATAAGCTGTCCGAGTATTCCATCAGATCGCCCAAGCTCGTCAGCGACAGCGGCAGCAACGGCCACCTGCCCAGGATGGTCACCACCATCCCCAATAATGTCGAGATTCCTCCCGCTCCAGATCCAGCCACCAAACCCGCCGCCTACCTTCGGAGTATCCAGTCTGTGCGGGAGCGTTCGCGGCTTGTCTTGATGAGGGCAAAGTCGAATTCGCTGAACCACTTCAACGTTGACATGTCCAAGTTCCAGGAGACGGCCGACTATGTGATGTCCATTATCAAACGAGACTACGCCGGGGACTATGCAAACATCCCCCCTCATGGCAGATGGCAGCATTTCGAAGTTGGTGGTCGACCTCGCGTGACCCAACTGCTCCAGTCTTGGCCAACCACAATCGATAACCAGGAGCGAACACGACGACTGATCGACCTCTTCCTCGTCTCCGTTCTTTTGGATGCCGGTGCTGGAACTTCCTGGTCCTACAAGTCTAAAGAATCTGGCAGGATGTATTCGAGAAGTGAAGGCTTGGCTGTTGCAAGCTTGGAGATGTTCAAAGCCGGCTATTTCAGCAGCGACAAGAATCAACCCCACCAGGTAGACGCGTCGGGGCTGAAGAATGTCACCGTGGAAACCCTGGCCAAGGGCATGCAAGTGTCGGATGCTAACCCCATGTCTGGCCTCGAGGGCCGAGCCGGCTTGTTGATACGCCTGTCGTCTGCACTACAGAACCCCGAGCTCTTTGGCACGGAGGGCAGGCCGGGGAACATGATTGGTATGTAGCCTCATCATACGCAATCTGTCGGTACTAACCTGTCCAGATTATCTAATGTCTCACCCGACAACTCAAGCCGCTTCCGTGCCTGTCGTGCCGCTGCCGACCCTCTGGTCCGTCCTCATGGACGGGCTTACCGACATCTGGCCCGCTACCCGTACCAAGATCGGAGGTGTGTCCCTCGGCGACGCCTGGAACTGCACGACCATGCCCACCTCGCCTCCAGCAGAAGCTTGGGAGAACATCGTACCATTCCACAAACTCACGCAGTGGCTTTGCTATTCCTTAATGGTGCCCATGACCAAACTGCTCAATGTACATTTCGCGGGCGCCGAGCTCATGACCGGCCTTCCTGAATACCGTAACGGCGGTCTGCTGGTCGACACCGGACTACTCACCCTCAAAGACGCCGATGCCAAGAAAGGTCTCGAGACCTACCAGCGTGTCACCCCGTCCAACAAGGCCGTGGAAGTGGTGCCCATGTTCGAGCCAGGCGACGATGTCGTGGTGGAATTGCGAGCCGTCACCGTTGGTTTCCTGGACGAGCTTCTTGCCGCGGTCAACAAGGGCCTCGGAGCCCGGCTGACGCTGGCCCAGATGTTGGAAGCTGGCACCTGGAAGGTAAGAAGAAAAAGTAAACCCTCCTTTAAATGTCGAACCCGTAACTGACGACCGCCCCCACCGCAGAGTGGTCGCGAAATCGCCCAGGTATCACGACCCATCACCAAGGGGCCGCCCATTGGCATCATCAGCGACGGTACAGTATTTTGAAGCTGAAGCCACAGCTTTTTTTGTTTTCTTGACGAATGTTCACGACAGACGACGCCAAAGCCTAAGGTTTTATTTTGCTTCTTGTTTTTCCGTTCGCATTGAGCATATCACTGGAGAGTATAGGGGGAAAGGGGGAGAGGCGGCATCTAAAGAAAGGAGTTTTCTAGACGCTACGGGAGGGCGGGCAACGGTTGAGCTCAGCTCCTTCCATTCACCATTACCAACTTTTCAAAGAAAAGGCAAAGGGAGAGCAAAAGAATGACGAGGCGATGAAAAGACTACACGGGCCGGTAGCAGCCCTGTACAGACATACATTTTCGAAAGGGCCCCCATCGATCACAGCCCGGGAAAAAGGAGGTATTTCTTTGCCTAAAAAAAAGAACAATAAAAGAGGGCAAAAGTGGTCAAGTGGGTGGGTGGTATGGTGGTTTCGCTTCTTGTTGATGGTTGTTAAGAGTTCCTCTCTCGCATTACTTCCCCCCGACCCCCCTCAATTGACAGAAACTATTTTTCGAATTCTCAGTCCTTGGAAACTGAGTGATTGCGTGATAAAAGTCCCTCCCCCGGCTTTCCTAAAGATGCCGCGTCTGCACCCGCCATGGACGCCAGATAACGGACATCTCTCGGTGACGCCAAGGATGCCGAGTATGGCTATACGAGTTTCTCGGGTGAAGAAACAGTGGGGTGCGCGGTCTACCTGACGGCTGTTCAACCTTGCTCGAGCGGAAGATGGGGGTGGAAAAGGAGTGCAAGGTCTTGCTTGGCATGAACGTGGCGTCGAGCGAGGCTATACAGGCGAGGTGAGGTGGGTATATGAGGAATACGATGTTGATTTACTACGAGAACGTTCGGAGAATTCAAGGACGTTTGATTCCAAACAGATTCTTGAGTGCAAACCTCTAGGCCTCGTTCAGACTTCGAATGCATTCCCTTCCGCTCTACGTGCACGGACGAATACGAGAGTTGTTCTCCTCAAACGCCCGTATCTCCGGCACAGCATAACTCATCTCTTGTTCCTGCTGTTCCTCAGCAGAGTGCCGCTGCTCAGCATACATACGTCTATGCTCCTGCACTTGTTGTATTTGGCCATCAGGCTGCTGGCGAGCCGGACTGCGCGGGGCCTGCCTTGCCACCTCATTCCAGTATTCCTCACTGGAACCAGTCTGAATGCCGTCAAAAGGTAAGCACCTCAGAACATCCCGTGGCAGCCAGGATGCGTCAAGCTCATAGTGCGTGTGAGGTGCTTCGCTGGAGGATGCTTCTGCAGATCGTAAGCCTGCGCCGTATGCTGTACGCAGCTTCTGACCACGATCACGCACCTCAACTTGCAGGCGAGAAACTTTCTGCACCAGAACACTTCTCTCAATTAACGCTGATTCTGCTGCTAGAATTTGTCTCTGACTGACTCTTACCGAGATGGCACAGCCAAGTGGTGTTTATTCGCCCACTAGAAGCTCCCACGCACCTCCAGTCAGTATGAGAGGAATCAGAGGGAGGCTCAGCTGCTCCGGATACAGAGCTCTCGCCACCACAGCATGTTTCTGTGCCGCAGCTAAGAGATGACGTGACATTGCGAGACGCGCTCACAGTCGTTTGTTACATGCAAACTAAGGTGCCCGTCGGTCCTAAGGATTTCATCCAGGGCAAGTTGAGAAGAGTGGCTAACGCAAGCACATTTCGCTTGCGCTTTGCGGTGGTCGCGATCCTCCAATGGGGGTATATGCACTTGGCTTGCTGGGTCGTGTCGCAGTCTGGGGCCAGGCAGCTTCGCCCGTGCGCGGTGAGTGGTCCTGGAGAAGGACGTGAATGGAAAGTTGGCGCTTGGTACCCAGTCCAGTTTAGTGGCAATTTCGGAGCATCCTCCATTGAGCTCAAGGGGCTCGACATGCCTCAAGGATGTGGCTTGTCTGATTGCGATCGACGTTACAATCCTCTAGTCGACAGGAAGGAAGCCGTAGTGCCTTGTGCATGCGCATCTTGTAATAAGCATGTCAAGCTTATGGGAAGATCCATGATGATCCGGGGTATATACCCTCCCAACTCCGTAGGAGACTCGGTAAGCCCACGCATCTGCTTTTCGCCTACCTTACAGACGTCGCTCGTTACAGCATCCTGAGATGCGTCCATTCATTTTTCTTGCGTTGTCCTCGCTCGCTTATGGCATTGATGCTGAGCATCAGCCGGAGTGGGTGAAGAGCGTTGTTGCTTCGGCCAGTTCCGCATATGCCCCTTGGCTCACAGCCACCCCGAAGATCGTCGAACGACAAGTCAAGCCCCCTCAGCAAAGCACTCATCCTTTTTATAACGCCACTAGCCCACCGTACCCTGTTGCGCCGTCAGTCAATGGCACAAACGGCACTTGCTCCTACTGGTTAGGGGACATTCAGCATCAGGGCAAGGCACCGTTCCAGGATGATGCTGAGTATACAGTTTTCCGGAATGTGAAGGACTACGGCGCCGTCGGAGACGGCATTGCTGACGACACAGCGGCCATCAATCTCGCTATCTCGAGTGGTAACAGATGTGGTCCGGGCTCCTGTAACAGCTCGACAACTACTCCTGCTCTGGTCTACTTTCCCGCCGGCAACTATCTCATCTCATCGCGTATCATCAACTACTATGACACCCAGATCATCGGTAACCCCAACTGCTTGCCCACGATCCAGGCTTCATCCAATTTTACCGGTTTCATGATCGACTCGAGCGGATTTGGTGCGACCAATACCTTCTTTAGACAGATCCGCAATCTCGTGCTTGACATGACGGCAGTACCACCTCAGGAAGCAGTGACTGGCATATTCTGGCCTACTGCACAGGCAACGAGGCTTCAGAATCTGGTGTTCAAGATGAGCGAAGCTTCTGGTACACAACATCAGGGCGTGTTCATCTCAGAAGGCAGTGGAGGGATGATCAATGACCTTGTGGCCTATGGCGGCCTGTACGCTTTCAGGTATGCTAATTCGTTGGATGCAGATGATTTTCCAGCTCTGTGTTCCAGAAATTGAACATTCGCTGACTTGACCCAGTGAGTCTTACCCTCGCCTGGAACATGTCTCCAGAACATTGCATATCGATGGGTCCAGACTTCAGTCTGCGGCTGAGCTTCTTGAATCAAGATCTCTTTCCCTTGGCCTAGAGCCCAAGCTAACACCGTATAGATTGGGGCAACCAGCAGTTCACCGTATCGAATCTTACCGCCTTCAATGCAGTTACTGCAATCAATCAGATCTGGAACTGGGGATTCAGCTACTCCCATCTATCGATCAACAATTGCTCCGTCGGACTGAACATGTCAAGTGGCGCTCCTGACTCGTTGAGCGTCGGTTCCAATCTCGTGTTTGATTCGACGTTTACAGACACGCCCATCGGTGTTGCGTATGCCCGCAGCAACTCCTCGCAGCCGCCTGCAGCAAACTCTCTGGTCATCGAAAACGTACAGTTCAACAACGTGCCATCTGTCGTCCAGGGACCCTCTGGCACCGTGCTGCCCGGCTCCAGCGGAGCTCTGACCGTTGCAGGCTGGGCGGCCGGCCATGCCTACACACCCAACGGCCCCAACAACATCGAGGGAGCTATCGAGCCCAACAATCGTCCCGCTTCTTTGCTGGCTGGCGGCAGATACTATCGCAAAACCAAGCCTGATTTCGGTCGCCTTCCATCTTCTGCCGTCCTCTCGACCCGCAGTGCAGGCGCAGCTGGTGATGGCTCCACCGACGATACAGCCGTTTTCCAAGCCGCCGTTGATACTGCCGTTTCACAAAACAAGATTCTGTTCATCGATGCTGGTACCTATGTCCTTACATCTACGATCAGCATCCCCGCCGGAGCTCGCATCGTCGGCGAAGCGTACCCAATCCTCCTAGCCTCAGGCTCCTTCTTCAGCGACAAATCCAACCCTCAGCCCTTCATCCAAATCGGCAAACCCGGCGACACCGGCACTGTCGAATGGACAGACACCATGATCTCCGGCCGTGGCGGCGTTGCCGGCGCCATCTTCATCGAATACAACCTCGCCAGTGCCGGGCCCAGCGGTTCCTCAGACTGGACAGACTTCGGGTCCGCCGCCAGCGGGCCGTCCGGCTTGTGGGATGTGCATGTGCGCGTTGGCGGCTTTGCGGGCTCCGACCTACTGATCAACGACTGCCCGGTCGACACGACCACAGCCATTCCTCCTGCGCCCATCCCCGAGAAATGTATCGCCGGCTTTATGTCCATGCACATCACCTCCAGCGCGGCGAACCTGCAGCTCGACGCCACGTGGCTGTGGACCGCGGACCATGACATCGAGGATGGCGAGCTGCGACAGATCACCATCTTCAACGGCCGAGGCTTGTATATTGACCAGGCGGCGGGGCCACTTTGGCTGTGGGGCACGTCCGTCGAGCACCACGTGCTGTACGAGTACCAGCTCGCGGGCGTCCGAGAGGTCTTCATGGGCGAAATCCAGACCGAAACTGCCTATTATCAGCCTAATCCGCCCGCGACGCTGCCGTTTGAGGCGCTGCCGCAGTGGAACGATCCTACCTTTCCGGACTACTGCTACTCCACGAATGGCTTCAACTATACGGGTCAGAACTCATCGTTCAGCAACGCTTGTGATGGCTTCGGGTTGCGGATCTTGGATGGGAGTGGCGTTTTGGTGTACGGTGCTGGGCTGTACAGCTTCTTTGCCAACAACATTTTGGGTTGTACGCCTGATGGAACGGTAAGTTGTTTCCCGCAACCTTGAGAAAACTTGTCGCTAATCCTGAGGCAGAGCCCGGAGTGTCAGGACAAGGTCTTCAGTGTCGAGGGCGGGAGTTCCACCTCCGTATATTGTCTGAATACGGTTGGCGTGCAGAGCATGGTCAACGTCAACAACCAAAGCGTCGCCACTGCCGTGGACAACGTTGCTGGCTTCACCGATACCATCGTGCTGTTCAGGACGTGATGAGACAGTATCCAACTGTGGAATGCGGACGCCGGGAAGCATCTGAGCCACATAGTAGACTATAGCCCATAGATAAGTTTCTTCGGGCGGGATCTCAGTCCGGCTGTGCCCCATCCCCATCAATGCAGATCCGTTCGGTAAAGGCGGCAGAGGCGCTTTCGTATATCCGTAATGAGCGCCGTATTCGTTGCGGGATCTGCATTGGCCCAATCGTGGACTCTCTAGGCTCGTTTTCTCCAAATGCCTACTCCCATCTTGTCGCTTGACTTCTTGAGAAAGCTTGAGTGAAGTCTTGACTGAAGTCTTGACTGAGCCAAACTCGCGTTTCGCCTTGTCTGTTAGCTGTAGCGATGGGAGGAATAAACACGCAAAGCAGCGATGATAACATCGCGCTTGCGCTTGTGAGCGGATGCCCGTGGCCAGCAGAGTCCCGCGACTCTACATCGTTGTTTGGGACCCGACTTGCGTTTGTGCCGTGGGGCTGGGAAGTCGCAGCCGACGGCTCGTTTACGGACAGTATCACCAGCGCAACTTCTACGGACCAGGCTCTTATCGCACCTCTTGAAGAGAACTTTGCTTTCAAGGCGTTTGGCGCAAGACTCTGTGTCCAGGAACTTGATGCATTCACGGAGACGTGGCTCACTCTTGCCACAGGAGACTCGCGAAGCGAGCTGACGGCGGCACTTGCCCGGCTGAGGAGCGCAGCACTCGCTTTGACGGCATGTCAAGTAATTGGTGACGAGGAGCATCGCTCGAAACTTGATACAGCCCTGGCGGCAAGCAGAGTCATCGCCAAGTACTCAGACAGCCAGAGGCCGCCAGAGTACCATGACTTGGACGAGATCGAAAGTCTATCAAAGTCCACGTGGCATCTTCTACGGATGGTCAAGGGCTTCTGTGTTCTGCTGCAGGGCTTCAACACCGTCGATGTTTCCCCTGCGTCCTTCCCTGACTTCATGCGAGGATGGAAGTCGGAGAACCTGGACGTCCAGTCGATGGCTGTTGATCGCTACTATTCTGGAAGCCGCATTGGGGACCACATCAACAGTCTCAAAGAGACTGCATCTGTTAAGTCCATGTCCGACGCAGCCTACAGACTGGCGAGAAACTACATGTCGGCAGTGAACGGTGCCCAGCGGAAGCTCGATGAGCTCAGCCTCCAAACACCTTGGTCATGCAGTATCGTGGCAGTGAAGTGGAATAAGCCCCTTCCTCACGTCAGCAGACTGTCTTCCATGTAAGTCTGCGCACGCTGGGAAGCCTTACTTACATAAATAGAGCTAACAAGCAATGCCTCCAGATTCAGATACCGTGGCATGGATCGCTACCGGATCCTTGTCACAGCATCGAGCCAATTGGTGCCGTCGCAGAATGGCAAGCCAGCTGAAAGTATTGGGAGTGTCAAACATAACGGGCCTCTCTTTTACTTCGCCTACGAAGATCAGCTGTATGGCAATAATGAATAATGCTTGTTGTATCGCTAACATAGTGCAGGCAGCTGTACCCAGAATCCAAGCTCCAGATTCAGCTGCAATACATCGATGATGGCGCCTGGCGCAGTGGGCCAACAACGCGACCGTTCGACTCTGAGTTCGTGTTTGGCGGAGACCCACGCAAACGAAGTACTCATCCCTCTCTTGAGACCGTGTTGCCTCGTACTGACAGTACCCATGTAGTCCCTGGAACACGGCGATTCGAGACAGAGCCGTCGCGACATGTCATTGAGCTCGACATGCCTGTTTCAGATATTAGCAAAGAATACGAGAGGCTGGATCGTTGCCACTGGGCCAAGCTGCTAACTCTTGGTCCTCTTCGGGATTCGGATAATCCGCATAAACTGCTCTTCCAAATGCCTGGCAATCAGGCACAAGGATTTACACAAACTGCGGCGCCTCAGAAATAGATTTTGACGACGGCGGCCGGGCCGACAGAGGCGGGAACTGTTGACAATCTCCTATTCGGTGGCTTCGGCGAATGGTGCGCTCGACGCTATCGGTCGCGGACCACAGCAGCTTGCTGCTTGTTGATTCCCTGTCTGTGGCCCTGACTTTCGTTGGCACGAGGCTTCCACATGCATGACCAACCTTGATAAACTCGGTGCTGTTTGCTGGTCGTTGGTTCGCATAAGTGTGCAAATCTTCTGTCCGTGGATATAAGCCTAGCTCGCCTGCAGCATATACCGGCAGCCAGCCAGCAAATCAGTCACGCCTTGCAATATGGCATATCCCGACCCACAGCATCGAGTAGCCGATGAGCTATCAGCTGTCACCAGCCCAAACAGTTTGCCGGACTTGTCCTCGGGCGATAACGGATCAATTCACTCGTCCACACAATGTTACACTTGCAAGGTGTCCGCTTTACCCCAACCCACCAGCAGGCCGCATCACGACTGCGCCAATTGCCGAATACTAAGCCTGTGCGCTAATCTTAACGCCCTCGTTGCGTATGGAGCATGCAATACGTCCGTAGGCGCCAAGTTGATAGCTGGGACAGGAGCTCAACTGGTCCGGCTGGCCAGAGAGATCAGAGGACGGGGCAGCAGTCCATGGAGAGGGCTCAAAGATCGCAGGATCGGCGGACTTGGTCCAGAGATGTTTTCGTGCTTGACTTGTGGATCAGAGAACGGAGCTGAAGAAGAGGAAGAGGAAGACCGGGAGCGGGGGCGAGCAGAGAAAGAACCGAACGTCCAAAGCATCGATCCCGCCGAGCCTCGTCTTACATTCCGTCCTTCAGAGCTTCTAGGGCAACATAGGCCCTTCGTGCATGAGGCACGGTCATTAGGTACAGTGGATGATGATCCCGCGAGCTGCCCACCGCATCTGTACTAAGAGACAAATTGAGCGCGGTCGAACCGATGGCAGACAGCTTTTCAATCTGCTTGTGCTGGGGCTAAGGTCAAGCATGTACTGCCGTGGACATTATCGAGTCGTGTAGCATTCCAGGATGGGTTCTAGAGAATAGAGATCAGGAGGTCGGTTTTGGCTGCGGTTTCGACTTCGAGTGCCCACTGCTCTTGTGCAGTTACGATGCAGCCCTGAAGCTTGCAGCGTAGCCTCAATGAATCTCAAAACATATTCACAGTCCTGTGACTCCTACCTAACTGCTATTCCTGAACAAAACAGAGTCCTATCAAATCGAGTGGCCCACCAAAATCAGAGTCCAGGCAGAGCAGATCAGATCCGGTTTTCGGCCATCAAATAGTCAATTGCTCCCGCTCAGGGGCTATTGGTCAGTTCTCTTTGCAGCCTGATCGTAGCAGTACAGCCGGCGACAGCAGTTCAAGATGCAATGCAAGAGCATCGAGTTGCAAGACAAACCCAAATATGATTCCTCCCATCCCTAACTCCCTAAATTGGCCGACAGGACAACGTCGACGAAGAATGTGATCTAGCACCTTGCACTCAATGTGAAGAATGCGAAGCAACCGTTATATACCCTGATCCAATCTGGGTCACTTGTGTAACGCGTGGTACCTTGCTGCACAGCAATTATGTGGTCCGATTCACCACTGCTCTCCCCGCCCACCAGAGTGGAAAGTTGGATACTAAACCTCGAATTCCACTGCAGTATGTGCAGGCTAAACATCATACAGAACGAGTCTCAGTTGCCATCGATCATGTCCGAAGAGCTCTGAGCAGGGGTGAACATCAAGCCAAAGCTCGCTCTTGGTGGTTAGTGTCTCACTCCATTTTATTAGCACATTTCTGCAGAATTCGTATCCCCGTAAGACCTATTTTCGACACCCTGAAGAGGCAATCTAGCCCTGAACGGGGCGACACACAGATTGCTAAAAGTGTCTACTGTGTGGGCGGAAATTATATAACACGGCCGCGTCTTCGCCGTCATTGTTCTGTTCTTTATCCAGGTGTGCGTACTCCCCAGTACCCCTACGTTTGGCGATGGCTAATGAGTACCAGGCACGGGTTTTAACTGTCTCAGTGAGGGTAAGCAGATCACTCTAGCTCGCCCACTCGAGCCTAACGACCACAGATTCGTCCGAGAGCAGTTGTTTGCTAGTTGAGTAAGTCATTGCAGGTACCTCAGATTACCAACAGAGCTGACCAGTTGGCAGAAACTACAACCTTTGACCACTCAATTTGGTCTTCGGATCGGATTGGAATTTTTGCATAACACATCTTTTCATCACTGCCGTTGTCGAAGCAACACTTTGGGGAAGAGAGTTCGTACTCAAGGTCTTTGGGGCTGCTGGTAGCAAAGAGTTCCATACGGATAGACAGCACGTAACTAGTTTAGTCCAATTCATCAAAGTGAACAAGCAGTAAGTGCTTCCGACTCAATCAACAATGAGCGCAGAGCGAGCTCTTGTCGAAACACATAGCCTCTTGCAGAAAAATAGTCGCGCGATCTACACGTAGAGCTGCGTCAAAAATTGCAGAACTCCAATTCGAAACCTGTCGCAGGCCCCTACACCGTGACCACAATCGACAACCACCATGTCACAGACTGCGCTTGTTACCGGAGCCACAGGCTTGCTCGGCCGACAGGTTGTGAAAGCCTTTGAAGCTGCAGGCTACAATGTCGTGGGTACAGGCTTTTCAAGAGCCTCTCCGCCCCAGATCCGCAAGGTAGACATACAGAACGCGGACGAGGTCAGCAGTCTCTTCGGCGAGGTCAAGTACGCGTGCATCTTCGTTGAAACGTCTTCTGCTAACTGTCCAGGCCATCAGTCGTCGTGCATTGTGCGCTCATGGAATTCCATTATGATCCCCCACTGACAGACCGCAGGCGCAGCGGATAGGCAACCAGACTCGTGCACCAACAACCCGGAAGGCGCGCGCAAGCTGAACGTCGGAGCAACAAAGAGCTTAGCAGAAGCCGCCCAGTCCGCGAATGCCTTCCTCATCTACATATCTACCGATTATGTCTTTCCAGGTCGCCCCGGTGAAGCACCCTACGCTGCCAACGCGGAGCCCTCGCCCACCAATGTCTACGGCCAGACAAAGCTCGATGGCGAGGCCGCAGTCCTCCAGACCTCCTCGAACGCAGTCGTGCTGCGAGTTCCCGTACTCTATGGCTCGACCGACCCCCACGACAACAATAAAGAGTCTGCTGTGAATATCCTCATGGATGCGTTGCAGAGGTCGCAGAAAGAGAAGGTCAAGATGGACGATTATGCTATTCGATATCCCACAAATACAGAAGATGTTGGCCGCGTTTGTGCGGATATAGCGAAGCTCTACACGCAGTCGTCAGGCAAGGATTTACCGCGTGTCCTGCAATTCTCAAGTGAGGACAAGATGACGAAGCACGAGATTGTACAGCATTTCTCCGAGATTATGGGCCTGCCGCTCGACAACATGGAGGCAGATAAAGAGAGCGGAAAGAAGCCTGGTCCGGACGGGACAATGAGGCCCTACGACTGTCACCTGAGTACACAGGAGCTGAAGAACCTGGGCATCGATGTCAGCACCGTTAACTTTGTGGCCTGGTGGCGACGAAAGGTGGGTGCATACAGGCACTGAGCGTGCCACTTCAACAAATGTCCACATAATAAGCCGTTGAAACCGGAGCAGGTGGTCTCAAAGGGCCACCTAGCTCACCCATATATTTCTTATTCCCTCAAACTTCTTATGTCAACTGCTTCTCAGCCCTCCTCCCTCCCAGACCGTCTCGACGCATATTCATCTCCTTTCACATTCTCTTTCCGGGTAAGCACGTAACACAAACCATTCCAACGAGCCATGGCGAGCTCGGCAAACCGCTTCGAGTCATGTCAAGCGCAGGTCGGGTGTGTATACGACTACAGGAGGCCTACACTGTCTAGAAAGTCTCGTTGCTGGTCTCGCGGGCGGCATGCGGCCCCCAGACAAAAGACGGGTGAGATGCGGGGTAGGGGCAGGGGTGTTGATGCACGGAGTACGAACTGATCACCACGCGCCAACATAGCTTTATCTTGGCACCTACTTCAATGCACTGCTAAGGGCAAAGCCGAGCGCTGTACTGCTACGCTCCAAGCAGCTGTAGGGCACAGTGCCCACGGAGAGACGTGGCGCCAGCCGTTCGTCGACCTAGCATTCTCCGTTGACTGCGCTACACAGGTCTGTTGTGAGGCCGCGGCAGTGTCAGCATTGTTAATCAGCAATACTGTGAACCGACAGGCCTCCAACCGATGCCATAAGTTGTCAGGTCTGGGGAGTTCCAGTCGGTCTACGACTACGCCTCCATGTGCGGTTGGAAGACAACGTCGCAGCCGAGCTGAATGCTCGTTGCCGAATACTGGGGTTGGCTTCGACCCTCGAACGCTGACAAGAGTCGCTTTATTGGCGGCTGTGTTACCGTTGGCCTCCAACCAGTAGGTCTCGTCCACCGTATATGCGTGGCTTCACATCACACGGGGATATCGACATAACGGCAAATTCATCTCTTCTGATTTCTTACATCCGGTGAGCCCCGGCACACCCTCCCAAACTCAGCGCGATGTGCTATCAAAAACCCGTTTGGCCCAGGACGGATCTTAACTGCCTCGATCAGGGCAAGTGCGGATTCTGTGCTGAGTAGTGGCCCCAATAAGAGAGTTGGAGCTGTCGTATGAATCTGACGGCTTCTCGTGATCGCCAACGCTCTTTGATGCATGGTTTGACAGGGGTGGAGGGTATGCTTCCCCTCATCGCCTGAAATATATACTACAGCCGCACCTGGCTCCTCAGCTTTGCAGCACTGCCGTTCGTGTCACCCTCTCGCTGTTTTCCAGAACCACCGCTCGGCGCTACTTCCACGATGGACGACAAGAAGATCAGCCCTCCTCCCAGTCCTCCCACGCAGCAAATTGAGCATTCTCACCACCAGCACCATGACCGGCAGTATCGGGATACAACAGTCGACGGCCAACCGGCGTACGAAGAGCACGGCGCACTCATTGACCACAAGATTTCTCGAGAGGAGAAGGTACAGGCGCAGCCCGACCTACGCTGGAGCCGCTTTCGCCACTACATGCGAGAGCCCTTTTCCGAGTTCTTTGGAGTCTTCATCCTGATCCTTTTCGGCGACGGCGTCGTGGCTCAAGTGATCCTCTCCAATTTCGAGCGAGGTGACTACCAGTCCATCTCGTGGGGATGGGGTTTGGGTGTCATGCTTGGTGTATACGCCAGCGGGATATCTGGCGCGTAAGTCTCCCCGCTGAAACCTCGTTGCCGCTTTCCCTCTCCACTCCATAATGTATGTGTGAGCTGACAAGCGTCCTTCGCTTCCCGGACAGTCACATCAACCCCGCCGTCACATTCGCCAATTGCATCTTCCGACGCTTCCCCTGGCGCAAGTTCCCCGTGTACATGCTCGCACAGACCCTGGGGGCCATGTGTGCCGCTGCGGTCGTCTACGGCAACTACAAGTCCGCGATCGACACGTACGAGGGCGGAGCGGGGATCAGGACGGTGCCCGGTTACAGTGACCACGCATCCGCCGGGATCTTCTGCACGTATCCGGCGCCTTTCATGACAAGGACGGGCATGTTCTTCAGCGAGTTCATCGCCAGCACGATTCTGATGTTCATGATCTACGCGCTGAAGGATGATGGAAACCTGGGAGCAGGGCCGTTGGTGCCTCTGGGGCTATTTTTTGTTATCTGTAAGTTTTTTGCCCCGAGCCTCTGAAACCCCAGAAGAAAGTAGCGTTATGTTGCTGCAAGGTTTGATCAGGGGCTTTCTCTGGGGAAGGCGTTGGCATTTTATCAGCTCGGGTCCTTGGTTTGCGGTCCAGCACTGGGAGACAAGTCATCTTCGTCATGGGCATGACACTGTCTCCGAGGCCCAAGCCAAGATGTCACCACACAGTCTTTTCGATCGAAGCACTTTTGAGCACGGATTCGCTAATTCAGCCGTTTTCTTTTAGTTGGCATCGGTGCCTGCTTCGGATGGGAGACCGGCTACGCGATCAACTTCGCCCGAGATTTCGGCCCACGCTTGGTCAGCTACATGATCGGCTATGGACCAGAGGTATGGCGGGCTGGCGGCTACTACTTTTGGGTGAGTTTGTGCTCCCGGAGAGCCTGAACATACTGGGGCAAACTGTGACCAAAACGTCGGATCGCTGACGCGGGCTAGATTCCTATGGTCGCGCCATTCTGCGGCTGCTCATTTGGAGGCTGGCTCTACGACATGTTCTTGTACACTGGGGAGTCGCCCATCAATACCGAGGCGGCTGGACTGGCGAGGCTGCTCAAGCTGAATAAGGCGACGTGGTCGAATACCTATGTGGAGAAGTCCAAGGTGTAAAAGTGACGGGTCGAGGTCGTTGGACCGGTTGACATGTATTTGTTTGGTGCCTTCTCCAGGGAGTTATATAGCCTTGCCAAGAGAGAGACGTCTTGTTGAGAGACTACCTCGAAAAGTATCCACTGCTAGAATTGCGACCGGGAGGTCTTGTAGGTACGTACCGTCATGATAATACTAAAGCTGCGCCGATGCCTCCGGCGAACATAGACGCCACTGTGATGAAGGAACTGAAAGACATGGTCGCCATCCCGGAGATGCCATGTCCGCTCGTGCATCCACCAGCCAAGCGTCCGCCAAAGATTATCGCGAAGCCGCCGATTAGTGCGGCCAGAATCGACACAGGAACTTCAGGCAACATCGCTTCCAAGGTGAAAGGCACATAATGCATGGTCGCCCTGGCACCCGCGGCGACACCGGCAGCAAAGACAACATTCCCCCAGCCAGGTGGCGTCTTCCCTTCCAGGAGAGCCCAGAACATCTGCCCGGCGTCCTCGTAGGCGCTGCTCACCCCCAGTGTCTTCTTAGAGAACAGCACGGATGCCGCTTGTGCTGCACCGATCAGAAGGCCGCCTACAGCCGGGTTCAGGAAGTAAGTCCCCGTCGGAGCGAGTGAGTTGGCGGCAGTGATGACGGCCAGCAGCAGCGTTTCGTAGCCCAGGACAACGGCCGAAGCAGATAGACCTGTCTTTTGCATGATAGTGTGCTTTCCCTCTGGCGCGTCCGTCCGCGCAGCGGTCTTCTTCTTCCACTTGACGAACGCCGCACCGCCGAGCAGGCCGCCGAGCATGACCCAGAAGCCTCTACCGACCCCAGCTGCGGCCTGAACGAGCACGGTGCCGGGGCAAGCGCCCGTCAATGCCATGCCCACCCCTTGCAACGCCCCTCCGATGATATTTCCATCATATCTCCCCAGCACCCCGAGACTGCTGTCCTTCCGATGGCCGAGCCTGGCAAGCCCAGTATGATTTGCTGCGACGACGATGACCGCGCTGCACGCCGAGGCGGACATGAAAGCCAGGAGCATGTGGAAATTGGTGAGCCGCAACTGGTCGATGATGACTCGTGGGGACGCCACGCCGGCGAGTGTTAGGGCTGAGCCGAAGATGGTGCCGGAGGCGAGGGCGGCGAGGAGTTCAGCCATGGGTGTTTTGTGTTTGTGTTGAGCAGCGAGTCTGAAGCAAAGCAGCTAAATATTGAACAGATAAAAATCGAAGCAAAAGCCGGGCGAGTATCACATCAACGACGAGTCTTTTTTAGTTCCCACCTTTCTTTTTCACGTAGCCTTTCGCCACAGTTGCGGGCTTCTCATTGAAGCTCGAGGTCGTCGAGCACGCCATGTCCAGTCGCCGACTCCAATCACGCCTTGCTGAATTCGACGACCTACCGTATAAGTTTTTGGGTGTCAAAATGCCGTGGGCTGAGTTGTGCGATGGCCACTACGGCGTCTATCTCGGGTTCTGGAGGGCTAGGCGACGCTTGGAGCGGGAATGTCGGGGCATCTTTGCGCTTGTGGTGGATACGACGATCGCGGGCTGCTCTCGGGGTCTGCAGAGAGGTGGTGCACTTATGGTTATTGAGACTCATTGAGCTTTCATCGTTGTCGAGCCATCTGTCATCGGAGGGGAGTCGTTGTCAGTTGTCGTCGTTTCGTCAATGCGCAGACGGGCAAGCCAAAGAGGAGGCCTGAACGAACGGCCAACACGGTATCCCCGAACTGCTGCCGGCCACATGGCAACAATGGCGGCGGTGCCACCAGTTAAGCGAGCTCGCCTGCGAGAATTGAGTACCCCACTCAGGATGGCTCATCTCGGCTTCTGGACATCTGTGCGGGAACCTCGCTTCCTTTCTGGGTTGGACTGCGATATAGCATCACACGCCGGACTCAGAACCGTACGGGGGTCACATCTTGGCTGTCCGGGCGTGGGCATAGAATTCTTCTTATTGTGCAGTTTCGCCCCCACCACAAGAGATCCCAACCGTGCCTGTAACTGTAAACTGGCGCCGGGCCACCGCTGGGCCAACGGACATGTTTCTCCTTTCTGCAGCGCTGACCCGAGCGATCTCGACCAACACAGCAACCGCGTTACCGATTTTTGCGACGGCCACAGCTTCCGTCGACATCGAAGCCGTTTTGAGGCAACAATCCGCGCACGCGACGTGTATCATAGGTGCCTCTGTAGCTTGTCTCCTCTTCTTTGCGGGTAAGCCATTCCAGATATCGGTGCTGCCTCCGCCTCCGCTGCAAGAGACCACGCAGCGACCGTTGGCTTGGCCCGCCGCACCAGACCACGCACTCAGCCTCAAGCCGCGTCGAATTCAGTAGTCGTCCTGCCAGAGTCGGTAGACTGGTTTGCTTTCATGGTCCATCTCCGTTGTCTAGCTGCGTCTGCTTACCTCGCACCCCTGTGCGAGGCCGGCGCCACGTACTCCGGGGAGATGGAGGCGGTGATCCCACTTTGTGCCCACTATAGTACTATCAGCCACCGTGAGTAATCCAGGAGGGCTCTAAAACCCCGAGGCCAGAAAATACTCCCGCCCAAGGAAGCGATTACGTCGGGTAGAGACGATGACCGTTCTGATGTGGCACTGTGACTCTACTAGGTACGAACCCATGCGCCCCAACCGTGAGCGGACGTTTACAGCAGGCCTTCTTCCTAGACGCATCAACCCAACAGCTCTCACTGTCCTCGAAGCCCAATCTGGGGAGCAAGTTGCGCTCTCGTGACAGCGTCTTGCAGCAAGGGTTCGGATCCGGCCACTGGACGAGCGGGCTGCTGCATGCCACATTGCTGGTCGACCAGATAAAGTAGCATTATGCGACGAGCGTTCCCTTCGTACTCGGTACGCATACTACTCGACAATCATCCCAGCGACGAAACCCACCCAACGTCCAGAAGCAGCAATACTCATACTCTTTCCGATTGCAAGAATGCCTTTCATCGTCCTCGAGGACCGTGTATAGCTGTATCCTGCGACGCGAAGTTCTATCGCTCATGTACAACCCTGTTCGTACAGAGACGATCGGTTGGAACATGTCCGTCCGCGGTAAGTCACTTGCCTATAACCTCCTCGAGCGTTGGCTTTCGATGTCCTTGACTACCACACGCAGTTCTATCTTGCGACGACGAGCACAACCCCTGGTCCTTCAACTAAATGCAGGAGTCATCTCGCGCTGTCGCCCTCACCGTGTCGGAATCCAATCACGACAGCAGCTGAAGTCAGTTGCAACAGCGTCACAACGCCGAGGACAGCAACAGCTCGTTTGTCACTTCTCGATGGCTGTTTCCTTACCAATAGCTGGGCCCTTTCTCATGGCGAAGTGGCTATCTCCTTCTCTGTAGGCTGTAGCTCTTCAGTACGGGAAGCAGCACCTCCTCCATCTTTTCCTTTCCCCCCTCATGCTGAAAATCTGCTTCGTGGTCACTGGAAACCACGATTGGCTCGACTGTACCTTGATGAACTTTGTATCCAGAAATGAAGTGTACTCGTAATCGACAATTTTCTCCCCCGCGCGGGTTGACTCTCCCAGCTCTCGGCGGACCCAACATGTTGAAATACCTCCACGCTCATTATATTCATGTCCACCACGCATCCGCCCCAGCCAGAAAAGCATTCCTCGAAGGTAAATCAGGATCACCACGGGCACAAAGATCGCACGTCAGAATAAGAGGGAGTCAAGAAGTGTGAGCTCAAATGGGCTGCCAATCATGCTGAGGGTTCCAGCGAGACTCGCTCTGTGAGTGCTTGGGAAACTTCACCTTCCGTCCACCAGGAGATCCGACGTCCCAAAAAGGCGGTCATGCAAATGCCCCTTTCGTAAATGTTCTCATCGAAAGCACATCTTATCTCTGGATCCAGCAACTTTCTTTCCTCTTCTTACTCCTTCTCGCGGTAGTCGAAGACACCTCGTCACCACCTCACAAATCGGGTCATCGCTTGTTGGTCCCCTCTCAACGAGATCTAGTCCGGAAAACTCTCAGCAGGAGGAACTTTAGATGCATACTCCCAATTCGTCCATCACGCAATCGAAAGCTCTCCCTCCTTCCTGAGCAGGAAGCTCACTTGCCGTGCCCGTCACGCCAGCGCAGCATACGCCCAAATGGGAACAACGCCGCCCTCAGCCGACACCAAGATACCGCCGAGCAGGCTCTCGTACAAGAAAAAGCTGCAAGTGATCCGCTCCGAACAAAAAGACCCGATGCCCCTGCAATGGCCTACCGCAACGCCGACCTAATTGGCTTGAAAGCACTCAAGCGAAAGCCGGAAAGAGCCCAACGAACCGAACGAAGCTTACCTGGTGCATTTCCCCAAACAGGGCCATGATGGGAGCGGGCAGTCCCAGAATGAGGAAGGAATTCCGCGGTGGAATTTCTGAAGTGGTATGTACCGTATGCAGGGAACACGCGATGCGCAGCGGTTATCGTTGGCGTGGGCACTAGAGTGGGATATGATAGTCTCTGGTGCATTGGACGAAAGGGGCAGGGAAACAGATAGATACGGTACATACAAAGCCGAGGTGGTTTCCGTTAATTTACGATTACTACACTACACGGTCTTCCGTCGTTGCTGCTTCTCTTCTGCCAATGACCACGATGCTCATGCAGGAAGAGGGGTCAGTCACTACGCGCCCGAAGACCCAAAGCCCTCGTGCGGTGTACCATGCATCAATACAGTCAACAAAGACAACCGTATTCCACAGTCTTTTGGCAGAGTAGGTACGCCAATAGCTTTCACTGTCCTGCGTAGGAAGGCGACGAAATATATTTGCAGAACCATCCGGCCCGCACCGCCCATCAAAGCACACATTCATGGAGTCGTCGAAGAGATGATTCGACTGGATTCATAACGACATTTTTATTTTCCAGAGGCCCCTCCTTAATCCTTGGTTACTTCGAGCGTAAACAAATGCCGTGTCGCAACCCTACAGTGGCTGGCTGGCTGGTGCTGTACCCTATACCCTATAACTATACAATCATGTGAAGACCAATTCAATCCATTCCCCCGTAGTCGCGTTGCGCGAACACCCTCGCTAAATGAATTGATGCGCCGTGAAAACGACCAGGACCCCCATTTCCGCAACCTTTTGTGAATTGCCTTCTCTTCTCTTTTCAACCACTGGTCGGCCGCTCGCCATTCGTCTCAGCCCGCTGCTCGCCGTCCAGCTGCACGGCGCCTCCGTTATTCTTGTTTCCTCCCTCGCCTTCAACAGCACCATTAGCATTCCCGTCAAGCTGGCTCAACGCCTGCTGTAGGTTCTCGTGCGTCATACTACGCGGCTTCTCCGACAATTGTTCGCGCGAGATCTTGCCCAACTCGTCCGTTTCTCGTTTGCCCGATGGTGGGCTTCCGCTGGAGACCATGTTGGTAGTTTCCGACAGGTGACTATGGTCGCGATGTTTCTTGATCGGCCTTCTCGAACTCAGACTGGCGGCCTCGACCCCGTTGACAGCTTGCTTGCCTTGCGCTTCCTGCTGCTTGGCTTGCTCCTGTCCACTTTGACCCGAGGCTTTATCGCCGGGCGTGACCTTGGTGGTGGTCCCGCCATCAGCGGCAGCAGTTCTGGCTGCCTGCGTGTCGGTCATGTATTCGTCCAACATGCTCTTCAGCACGTTCTGCCGTACTGGCTTGGCAAGATAGTCGTTCATGCCTGCCTCGAGACACTTTTCTCTATCACCTCGGATTGCTGAGGCTGTCATCGCGATGATGAGGACCTTATTGACATTCGGGTCCGAATCTTTGCGAATCGCCTTCGTGGCTTCATATCCGTCGAGAACAGGCATTTGAACGTCCATGAGGACCAAGTGGAATGGTTCGCCTTCCTTTGACTTTCGCTGCAGAGCTTCATAGGCGAGCTTGCCGTCCTCGTAAGCTTCGCATTTGAGGCCAATCTTGTTGACAAAGGATATAGCAATCTTCCGGTTAATAGCGTTGTCTTCGGCAATGCAGACCCGCAGATCTTCTTTGGGAATCCGCGACAGATCCAGGTGGGCTGGCATCGGGTCTTTGTTCTCGTCCACACCGGCAGGACTGGCGGCTTGTGACCAATTGGCCATTGGATCTGGGTCTTTGGCAGCAATTTTCATGTCGGGAACTGCGCTGTCTTTGGGCGCTTTCCGGAACGTAAGTGTGAACGATACTGTGGTTCCGACGCCAGGTGTGGATTCTATCCAGATCTTGCCGCCAAGTACGTTCTCAATCATAGCTTTACAGATGGACAGGCCAAGACCTGAGCCGCCATAAGACCGTGCAGTCGAGGAGTCAGCTTGCGAGAAGGGTTGGAAGAGCCGAGCAAGTTGTTCTTCGCTAATACCAATCCCCGTGTCTGCGACGGAGCAAGTGATCTTGACCTTCTGGCCCGTCTCTGCAACCTTTCGAGCTCGGATTGTAACGGACCCATGTGGCGTAAACTTGTAGGCATTGCTGAGAAGATTCATGAAGATTTGATGGAGCCGAACGGGATCGCCGAGCACGAGATTGTCGTCAATTTGAAGATCTTCAACCGTGTTGAGTCCGTGTTCCTGATTGGTATAGGCGAGTGCGCGAACGACTTCTGTGATGGTCTCCTTGAGATTGAGCGGAACTGTGAACATCTGCATTTTGCCAGCCTCGAGCTTGGAGAAGTCGAGGATATCGTTGATGACGGTGAGCAAGGTGTCAGCACAGACGCGAATGCTGTCCGCATAACCTTCTTGGTCTTTCCCTAGAGGCGTGCCTTTCAGGAGCTCAGACATGCCAATAACGCCGTTTAGAGGCGTTCGGAGCTCATGACTGACATTGGCTAGGAAGATCGACTTTGCTTTCGCCGCCTCTTCCTTGAGCTTCACGTTGTGCATAGCTTCGGCCTCAGCCTTTTTGGCCTTGGCCTCTGCTTCTCGAGCTGCCACGAGCGCACGCTTTTGAGACTCAACCATGCTAGCATTAGAAGCACTGACTTTGCGCACCTTACGATACAGTAACGCGTTGCCGAGTGAGATTGCAACCTGGTTTGTCAAGAGGTTCAAGACGACATGATTGCGCTGCGTGAACGCGTGAGGCCGACCTTCGAGATGGATCACGCCCATGAGATGTTCAGCCTGGACAATGGGAATCGTGATTATCGCCCGTCCACCAGGGTTTCGTGCCAGGTATGGCTCGCCAACATTCGAGAATCGGTCATCCTCGAGAACGTTTTGCAGAAAGACTGTTTCTTTGGTCCTGAGCACATAGTGGGTGATCTGCTGAGCGGCCTGGTCGTCTACTTCCGAGAATGGAATGCCATCAGGATATGTCTTGACGCCAGTGTCGTGATCAGCGCTCGCAGCAACGCACCAACCTTGCTCTTCCGAGTCGATGACGATCGCACAGAACTCTGCTTGGCCACCCACAGACTCCAGAATCACAGACACCATTTTCGACAACAGCGAGTTGATCTGTAGTTCGGAGCTGATGATCCTCGAAAACTCAAGAATAGAGGTCAAATCCAAGATATCGAGCCCGAGACCAGATACGTCGTGAGGTGATCCATTGACTTGTTTAGGTTCAACCCAATTCTTTGTATATTCGCGCTTGCTTTGCTCCTCGTTGCCCACGAAGTCGGCTACGTCCATAGTCTGAACTCCCATGTCAACCGCCCGTGTGGTTGTGGCAGTCTTCAGCAGCCACTCATGTCGTTCGGCAAGGAATTTCGCCTTGCCCACGGCACTGATTCTGTTGTAGGCTGCCATAGCTTCTTGAATCATGACTTTGCCAGCTCTCTTTGCACCGCGTTCGAGGAGAAACTCAGCTTGCATCTCCACAGCGATTGCCTCTTCGAGAGCAAAGCCATGCACCTGACAGTGGTCGATGGCTATCTCGATGTTGTTGATAATGTTGGGAAAGTCTCGAGCAGCACATGCTATAGCCGAGGCCATGAGGTGGGACCAGGCGAGATAGTTAACGTCGTAAGCACTACCCCAGTTGTCGATCCATGCCTTCAGCGTTCGGGCTTCCTCGAGCAGAGGAAGCCGATCAGCCATGTCTGGCATATCCCATGCTTTGCACATGAGCGCCATACAGAGATAGAATCGTACCGCCGCACAAGGTCTATTGGACCAGAGATCGTCGAGGGTAGTGCTGATCAGTCTCCGGCCTGTCTCAACAACATAGTCAATCTGCTCGTACATGAAGTAGACCGAAATAGTGATGGCGTCGAAGAGGTCGCTAGGTCGATGAGGGTTGGAGGCATGTTGCTTGACAGTCTCCATCCATGTTGACTTTTTGAACGAATCATCATCCAGCATAGTGTCAACGTTGTTGACTTTGGTCTTCCCCTGCAATGCTCGTACTGTCTGACGAGTCGCAAGGAGGATGGCTCCACCTCTCATGTCCAACTCCCAGTCATCCCACTCTTCGGGCCCATAACTACAGAAAGCTTCAATTTCTGCGACGTCTTGGCCTGCCCAAAGCCGAGTGAGTGCCATCGCACCTACATTGAGTATACTGATAAATCGATCTTCGGACGCCATGGAGTACTCGAGTGCATTCTCAAGGACAGGCAATAAATTTCTGATAGGAGTCCGGAAATGACCCACGAACAGTGTGTAGAGAGTCCAGCCGCGGCCTCTGGTCCAGACATCGTCGTAGGCGGTGAAGTAGTCTTGGGCAGTCTCGCCATAGAGCATTGCAAGTTGAAAGTCTTTGAAACGACCGATGCTCGCAGCGGCCAGCATGGTAAACCCAACGCCAGCTTGCACGATATTTCCTCGCTCCACCACAATGTCGATGAAGTTGATGACAATCTGGTACCATAATTTGCTATCAAACCAGTACGCGGCACCAAGCATGTCGCTCAGGACAGTACCCAGGGCGATATCTGCTTTGGCCTCACTCAATGGTCTGCGCACAAGTGCTGCACGGTCAAGGTTCCGGAACTTATATTCGAGTTTCTTGAAGTCAATGTCAAGCTCAGTCCAAGACTTGTCAGGCAGTGGGAGGCCAAGGCCAGCCAGGCATTCCTTGAGTTTCGCAAAAGCAACATCATATTGGCCCTTTCGCGAGTAAATGCGGCCTTTCAGGATGTAGGACCTTGTTCTGTCTGCATCGCACCGGGCATTGGTGAAAGTTTCCATGAGCATTTCTAGAGCCTCGTCGTCCTTTTTCAGTGCGTACAAGATTTCGCTTGTATTGACACAAAGCTGCAAGGACTCGTCGTAGAATACATCAGGGTTGTCGGCGTTCCACTTGTCATTTTGCAGTAGAGCGATACTCGTCTGGTAGTACCACAAGGCGGTAGATTTTGCACCAGATTCGACAGCTTTTTGGGCACCGCGCCAAAGAACATCTCGGTACCTAATACGGTTGGGAATTCTTTCTTTGATGATATCGGCACACAGGCATATGTGACGCGCCAGCGGGTAGAGGTTGTACCGACATTCGCTGAGGTAGCTCATCATTGCTTGCGTGATGATGAAATGCATCTTGGTAGTGTTCTGGCATTCTCTCATATCATTAGCAGCACGAAGAACGCGAGAGTGCGTAAAGCGGAACTCGTCGTCCGAGTCGCCTGGTACGATCATATACATGTTCATAAGCTTCTGCAAGCCATCAATGCATTCTGATTCGGTCAAGTTCCATTGCTGAAAGGTCTTAGGGCACGTGAAGTCGTGACCCTGGTCTCGGCCACTGCTGTAAAAGTATTGGCCGGTCAAGATCTCTTGCACCAACCGGAAAGAAAACGAGGCTCCGATCAAGGAGGCCCATGCCAGAATAGCCCGGGGAGCGGGAGATAGCAGTTGCATCTTCTTCGTAATAAATGTGTCGTCGAGCGTTCCTGGGGAATCAGCGGAACTCATTTCGGTGAAGATCTTATCAAGATCAAACTGCCATCCAGAGCTCCTCCAGTCATACCACAAACAATCGCGTTGGTAGCATAGCTGAAGTATCTCACGAACAAGAAAGGGATTGCCGCGAGATTTTTCAAAAACGACAGCTGCAAGTGGCAGCACTGTCTCGACGGGCTGTGACATGGTTTCCGCAACATATTCGAAAACATGTTTTTCCTTCAAGTTGGTCAACTCAAGGCGGTATGACGCATCTTGCTCCATCACTTTACGAGCAGACTCAGGGACACCTTCTTGATCCGCACGGCTAGCAAGAAGGAAGACCACTGGAATCTTGCTCTTGATGATGTGAAGCACTAGCTCAAGGGAATCATTGTCGGTAGCATGAAAGTCGTCCAGACAAAGACAAATGACCTTGCCGCTGGACATGAGCCGAAGGACATCCACATAGGTGTGCATGAAACGGATAGACTTGGTACTGGCAGGACCACGTAGGAAGTCATTTGCGTCACGAACCCCCGTGACATTCGCGTTAGACGAAGCAGCTGTTGCGGGCCTCGTTTCCTCTGTCTTAATGCTAGGTGTCCCTAGATCACTGTTGCCCGTTGCAAGCATGATCTTCTTCGAGGGCGCAGTCGTGTCCAAAAGACTTTCGGGCAGATCCAAGACACTATGCAGAACATTCCACAGCGGGCGAACATGAGAACGTAAATGCTCGTGGTAAGAGGTGCTGACATCGCGCTCGGAGAAAATTTGGCGAAATAAGCTACTCATGACTTTGATGAGTGGCTCGAATGGTGTAGGCCTCGCGCGATCGAACCTCGCCATTGCGAAGTAACCATGACGGCGAATGTGCGGCTGGACTGATTTTACAAGAAGCGACTTCCCTACTCCTTGCGCACCAAGAACCGAGATCACATCAGTCTTACCCTTGGCTTTCCATTTATGACTGTTGCGGCGACGAGACATGGTCCCAAGCGAATCTGACTGCTGAGAAAAACCACCGGAGAAGCTGCTATCGCGATCTGAGACATCGAGGGAGTTCGTTCTGGCCTCGGCAATGCCTCGTCCGACACCTTGGAAATGCCTATGGTCTTTGAATGCACCGGACATTGCGTAGGGAGCAGTTTCGAGACCGACAGTAGTCGAGTTGCTCCTCGTTTCGCGCAGACTGTAGGAGCTGGAGGAATCAGTATCGGCAATGTCGACATCCAGCCTCTCTTCTGACACTGACGAATTAGAAGTGTTGCTGAGGAGTAGGTGCGTGTTTGGACCACTTCGAATAGCGCTCTGACTTTGACGTTTGTAGACCTTGTCAATGATCTTGACGATGCGCTCGTGGTCACTGTTTCGGCCAAATTGTTTAGATGGAAGGATGAAGAACGACGAAACATCATGCTCCCCGATTTTGTAAGTCGCAACTTTTTCCTGGTCGCCTTCTCCCAGAGCCATCTGGACTTGCGTCAGATCATACTTCAAGCCACTAATTGAATGGTATCGCGCATCCATCTGCTTCTGGGTCATCTTGGCAATGATGCGGGAAATGACATCAGGGATGTCGATTCTGATGGATGAGGCTAGGGGGAGACGGCTGCTGAGCACTTTCTGAACAATATCGATAGGTGTGTCGGCGTTGAATGCGGGTTGGCCTGTGAGAATAGTCCAGAAAAGGACTCCAAGGCTGTAGATGTCGGTCCTGCTGTCAGGTTCCGCTGGCAGTCGGCCAGTCTGTTCTGGAGCAATGAACTGAAGCTTGTTCTTAACACCCAGCTCTTTGCTTAATGTTGCCCAGCCTTCGCTGGACAGCAGATTCTCGAAGGATCTTGGTCCACTGCCGCAATTCATCAGCTTGACAACGTTTGCCTCTTTCGACCAGTGAAAAGTATCTTGCCGGATCTCTCCGTGAACCGTCTTAGCGCCGTGATGAAGAAGCTCGAGACACTCGCAGGTGCCTATAGCAAAGTCGAGAAAGGACGCCAGGTCAATCTGACCACTATTCTCAGGATTCACACTCTTCTTACGGCTTTGGAGACCGAAAAATGCAGGTCCAAAATCGGTAATCTCGCGCAGATGATTTATGCCAGGGGCTTCGTATACACAAACGATCATCGAGTGTGCATCTCCAGGAGTGGTAGGCAGGCGGAAGATGTCGATCGGTCGGCCGATATGGATGCAGTCGGGGTCATCTTGTTTGATGATTGATTTGTAAAAGTTGTACTCCCGTTCAAGCTTGAGCATATGAGTGCTGATTCTTGCAACAACGGGGATCCATATCATGTCCGGCTCTTCCTTCGAAGATGAGAAGTCGCTACTTTCTGAGGTGCCGCTAATACTGCTCCAATGCGTATGCCTCAGCGAGGGCCTGTGATCAACTTTCGGAGAGCCGCGCGCGGACCCTGAACGGGTCGATCTAGAGGTCAGGAAGCTGCTCGAGGTGGTCGGACCATCTACGTCCGGGTTGTGTAAGATGCCGAAGACGTGCCTAGTGTTACTGTTAGCCAGGCGTGAAAACTATCGGTCAACTGGATGCTTACCAGTGGTCGTATGTGGAGTGGAATGGCGCGAACTATAGGCGCAGTCAGTAATCGAAGTGAAGCCGGCATGCTCGAGGGGATCAACGCACCGACTGGTCCCATGTGTAGTTGGGTACATGAGCTAGCCGCTCAAAGAGCCGTGTGGGTGGCAGAGGAAGGTCCTCGCCGAGAATATTGTCGTCCATCGTGTCGCGACGGAGGCCCCGAGAAGCGCAATTCTAGGTCATCTTGAGGTCGGCTTGAAGGTAGAGCGGTGTGCGCAGAGTGGAGACGCAAACGCACAGATTCAGGCGAACATCTGCTGAAGCCGAGGGTGGAAAACCCAACTTCCGGAAGTGTCTACGGGCGAAAGACAGGAGGCAAGCATCTGCAGGTGTAGTAATCGGCGTGGAAGCCTGGAGTGCGATGAGTAAGCTCCTACCGAGAGGAGAGGATATGACATGCCAATTCTGGGCGAAAGTGCTTGCCCACCGCCGCCCGCGCGCGGGGCTGTCTCCTGTAGCCTATCAAGCTCACAGGGGTTCTCCAATCGCCGCCGCCGTCGTCTCGAACACCGTTGTTGCGTTCAAGAACACGCTCTGGCATAGGCCTGACCACTGTACATACTTATCAGAAGGCGGTGCAACGAGCGCTGTTCGTCATCAATAGCAGCGAAACATATAACAGCTGTGCTGGATCATTTATTAATTTTAGGGTGGTCACCTACTGCATGATGCATACATCGACCACGCTTGGTAATAGACTGCCTAACAGTTCGCGCTATTCATGCAGGGTTCAGAGTTGATGGTGAACGCTTGTGCTGTGGCAATTGTCTGCAGATTGCCATACCTCTCTCATGCAGAAGTCGTCATCAAGTCCCATACTCTGCCATGAAAGTCCTTGATCTTTCCTCGATCTCGTATGACTGGTCTTAGTAGAACACATATTATTTTTGTCTCCGATCAGGATCCTCCAAAATTACCCCTCAGAGTGACGAGTCTGGTCGTGAAGCTGCTTCAAGCCAACATAAGAGTTGCAATCGCCCATGCCAGCACTTTGGCTGCCATACAGTATACGACAGTGGCTGTAGCGAAATTGGTGATAGGAGGAATAATGGGTGAGCTGTGGCTCGAGTTTGTCGCCGAGGCTCCTGGTGTGCCAGTCATCATTGAGCTACCTGATGCTGGGCCTGTCGGATTGTGTGGGATCTCGGAGTCCGATACCACGATGGTGATCGAGTCGAGCGCAGTGGAAGCTGTGCTTGTCGATGATGAGGTAACGCTGAAGGTCGTCGAGGATGCTGACAACGACGACAGGCTCGTTGTGGTCACACCAGTGATGGAAGACGAGGAGTGTGAGGCTGTGATGATCACGCTGGGAGCAACGCTACCAGTTTTAGATTCGCCCTCGGAGCCTGCCGATAACGCCGACGGTAAGTTCCTCGTAGTGCTCGATGACAATGCAGCAGACGAAGAGCTGGTGATGACGCTTGTATCTTTTGCTCCTAGCTGACTAGCGGGAATTGCAGTGCCAATACCGCTACTGGTCCATGGTGTAGGAATGGGTAAGTCGGAGGGATCAGGCTTGTCCGCGGGAGACTCATCATAGATGTTGCCGGCTGTGCCATCGTGCATGTGGTACTCGCCTGAGATGAGATTGGCCATATCACCTGCGGGAGTGTAATAGCTGCCATCCCAGGCGGTACCGTACGAGCCATCTGGGAGGAAGTAACTGGTGGTGAAACGATCCTGCGATGCCATTAGCAGTCTATGTGACTGTGGATGGAAACAACTTGCCCAGCAAAAAGCGATTCTAAAGCTCCGGATCAGGTCGCAGTGTGAAGCTGGGGAGCCTATATGGTTGTGAGTGGCTGCTGTATGCTGTTGGGAGTTTAGCATACAGCAGAGTGAATCTCCTTCAATCTCCTGGCGGCGCATCGGAGCTACCAATCCAACCTTGCTGACAGATGCAGAGGAAAGAGGGACGTCTGACATGTCTTGCACCGTGTACACCAATTCATCAAAGAATCGAGCCAGGTCTGGGCCAACGATGGGCACGCCTCTGCGCGAAGCTCCGGTCGGCGCACATCGGATGAAGCTTGGTGAGCAGGCTTGTTCATCGGCAAGAGTTATTGTGGCAAGAAGCCAGAGGAAGAAGATGGTGTTGCGGAGCATCGTTGCGTTGGCGGCTGGGCTGCTGTGAGGTGGCTCGATGGCTTGCAACGGTCTGGAGATGTAATTCGATCGTTCTTACTCGCTACACTGGAGAATGGCTCGCCGATGCAATGACATATCCGAGCACATATAAATGGTGGCAAGACGCATCGGCAGAATGGTGGATGTTCTCTTCGCTCTGCGTCACCGTCACCGTCACCGCGGTTGCATTATTTGCAAAAGGCAGGTGCAACATGAAAGCGGCATATGCTCCTGCCAGAAAAGCCAACCCGCAGACACTTGCACTCGCCTACTGGCGTTCTGTGCGCACAAACAGGTTCATGGCTTGGATGAAAAGATACCTGGACTCTTTGCGCCTAGGTACTCATCCTCCTCTCGAGAACAGGGTGATTCTGGAGGGCAAGGGCCTTCGTCTGCACAACAACGATAGGGCGGCTTGCGCTCTTCTTACGAGCACGAAGGTATGATGCATCAATGACTACTTCAGCAATGGCGGATTGCCTCCTTCATCTGGCTCACCTCTGGAAATTTTACCATACACGCCATTCTGAGGCATGATGGTCCTGATCTCTGGAGCGCTATCGCACACGGGGCCCGCTCAATGGGCAGAAGCAATCAGCGCTGCCACAACTAATGCAGATCCAAAAGCCCAGTCAAGGCAACTCTTCGCATGCCACGAACGACAGGAGATGTTTGCACGAGCAGCAAGCCACGCAGATACTGCCATTGCCCATACTAAGCACGACAGCATCCGTCTCCATGCCCAGAAGTCACTATGAGCTTTAGTCCGAACCGGCCCCACGATTCAAGCAACCATGCTCCTCTACCGAAATTGCGGCAAACGTCACTGATCCTTTAGACATTTCGCAAAGCTGAAGACTGGCAACTGTCTACAAGCCGATCAGGCACGCCCGGTTCCGCAACGAACGGGGTAGCCCCACGCTATCTACACAGTCTCGGATCAGTCTATACCGCTATCGATGTGGCGGCGTGTGAAGGTGCTTGACAACTTGACGGCACCGCAGATTCCAATTCCATCTACCACTGGATCTGCATGTTTCCGTCGCTGGCGAAACAACAGCGTTGCAGATGCAAGATGTTGTGTGTCCGCATTCCCTCCCAACGAAGATCGACTCAACCCTTCCGAACTCTATCAACATGCCATTAACATTTGGCTAAGCAGAGTAACTGGCCTTTTGCCTATTTCCAACTGTCCTCAGTTACCCACGCGATATTCGTCTGAAGGCTAGATTTGAGGTGTATGCCTACCTATTGCCCGACCTTCCGTCGTCGACCACAGAGACGGCAATGAATAATGCTCCGTATGCCGCGAAGAGCCAGTCAGTCTTGGCTACCCCTGTCAATCCCAACTTCAACGCGGGCTCCGCCTTTGAACTAGCTGCTGATCCCCAGGAAGATCACCGCCGTTTCGGGAAGTCTGTGCATTCTTCACCAATGAATTCCATGCCGTCATGCCGTCAGATCATCAGGCTTGGACCTTAGTTAAGGATAGCCTGATGCTATCTAACCTCTCTGTTACGCTTGGCGTCTACTCTCGTCCTACCACGCCTCTATCCTAGTGATCATCAAACGCTGTCAATAGTCTGGCATGGATACGGAGTCTGTCCGCAACACTCTACTTTCGTTGGAACATGCAATCATACTGCCTTGGAGTTTCGCACGGTTCTCATTTCCAGATCCACTATGCATGACCCTTTTCAGCTCACTGAAATCATCCTTCGTGACTTGGCTAGAAGGACTAGCAACTATAAGACCACAGGTACTCCCAAGCAACAACACAATTCTCTCTCCATCCAAACGCACATTCACTACAATTCCACCTGTCTATTACAGACGTCCACTCATTACACCAACTACATACTTTCTCTAATATCCCAACTCCAAACCACCAATTACCATCAAAATGCGTGCCTCCTGGATCATTGCTGCCCTGGCCACCGCTGCCATTGCGGCCCCTGCTGGTAGGTGACCACATGCTTCCCCCCGCAGGCTTGGTAACTAACAGTCTATAGTTCAGAAGCGTTCCACCGACGTTGCTGCTGTTGAACTTTCCGTGCGAGGTGTTGAGTCAGCTCTCGTTGAGAAGCGTCAACTCGGTCTTGACGTTGGAGGTCTCCTGAGCACTGTTCTTAACACCACCGGCGGCCTCCTCTCGGTTGTCACCGGCCTCCTCACCACCGTCACTGGTGCTGTCGGCGACATCGACGCCCTCGTTCAAAGCATCCTGGACGGTGCAGTCACTGACGTCGAGGGTACCCTGGCCACTGTCGAGTCCGAGCTCGAGAGTGTCATTGAGCTCGTCCAGGGCGTGCTTGCTCAGGCTGACCTCTCTGGAGGTCTTGACACAGTCTCTGGCGAGATCTCCAGCACCGTGGCCCTCGTTGAGGGTCTGCTGGCCGATGTCGAGGCCCTGACTGGTCTCGTTGACGTTCCTGCCACCCTCGACACCGTCACTGGCACCGTCCAGCAGCTCCTCGACCTCGTCACCGGCCTCACCTCCGCCGTTGGTGTTACCAAGGCTTAAATTTTTACATCGACCATTGCTACGAAGAGGTTTAAAGAGTTCAATGATATCCATACATTTTGTTGTGCACATATTAGTACCCTGACGGTACGGCGCAGGAGCTTTGTTTCAAAGAGGGAAGCGAGACAATGTGAAGTAGCAGACCAAGTTATTCATTTGATTCATCCATAAGTGGCGGAACACAAGCAGCACAGTTTCAACCCCCCGGGACTGTAGTAGTAATGAAGCATTTCTGAAAACAGTGCATTTTTATGGTCCCGACTTTGAGCCCTTTTTGTTCCTCCAAGGTTGCCGTGGTGTCAACGCTGCGGAACTTGCAACAGTGGAGGTGCGCAAAGTTTAACCACTCTGAATCCCTGCAATCTCAAAGCGAGCCTCAGAATCAACGGGCATTCCATCGCACTAATTTCTCGCCCCAGTGGGCAAGTCTTCGCTTCCTACATCATCTCACATTCTATAGCACTACATGTGGCCAAGAAATCGACGCAGGTTGGCTATTAACGCTGCCGAGCTGTGACCAGCGTGTGAGCACGATTCTGCTGGCGACGTTAGACCTGACCCTCCATGATATAGCTAGCATATTTCGGGCATCTCCAATGAGTTGGTGGCAGTGGCAGATATCTGTTTGGGACCGATGGACCTCGTAGATCTCAAGGAGCCATGGTGAGTGTCTGATAGGGACTCGAGACAGTGCAAGCCTGTAAGGGGTGACTTGTTCGAGTTGCCCTTCGGATGACAGCCAGCCACAAGCTCGTAGACTGATTCATGTCAATATTCAGGTGCAAGGTGGTCGTATACTCCCGCTCTTCTCCCGCCCATGTGGGTAGTATGCCAGCGGTTCTCCAGCAAGTCATTACTTGCTTATACCAGCTTCCGATTCGACCCGTTGCGACAGACTGGTGCTGCTGACCTGACCAATCAATGTGGAATATGAATGCCATGGAGGCGTCACAGCTATATCTTTTTAAATAAGACGCGGGAGAGCTTCAGTCTGGTTCAAAGAGTCTCTCTCTAGTGTTCAAAGCCATCCTTGTCATTAACGACGCATGTGTCATGTACAGCCTGAATATCACTTTTCGTCTCTACCTACTTGCTCGCGACTTCGCAACATAATGCCAAGCATTACAGGCAGTAAATGGTCTTGGCGTGCTGCCCATATTGACTGCCAAGGTGCCTACATCTTGTACGTCAGTGCCTCAAGTGCTCTAACTTTCCGGTTGAAGCATGATCAAATATATGATTTTCCTGATGCTCCTTGCTGTCTAGGACTATTGACCTTGCAGGGTCGCCACATCTCGGCCTAGCTAGGGCTTCGAGAGCAATGCGAGGCTTTCCAAAGTCCCCAGCTTGAACATTCTACATATGGAAGCGTTCGACATTCGAGAAACCAAGCTTATTATACCTAGATGAAATGGTCGGCGAAGTCTTGATTGAACATCATGGACGTCCCGCAAAAGGAATGCTCGCCGGCCTTGCAATCAGCACTGCTTCTGTTCTTTCACAAACAAAGCCCCTTGTCATCATCACCAGGCAGAGTCTAGGCGAATTCTCGCCTTAACCAGGTTCGCACCTAGCCTTGATTGTCATAAGAGGCGTTTAAGCCCAAGCTGCCTTCAGGAATGTAGTCAAGCTGGGTTGAATTTGGGAACAAACACGCAGCTGCCGGTTGGAGAAATGTACTGGCAGCAGTGCCAAGGGGGTGCGGGGAGTCAGAGGCTCATGCCGGCCCGGAAGCTTAAATTTATATCGATTAAAGGCGCTAAAACCCTGGACACAACTCCCCACGTTCACTGCACACGCCATCTTTAGTGGAAGCACCAGCACTGACTTCTACTCAATGGTGTTTCTCCTCGCAGCTTTGACCATCTGAGCCTCCAATACCGTCTCCAAGCAGTCCAGCCTTCTGGCTGCAGCACTGCCCCTCATGAGCAACGTTCCTGATGCGTGGGACGACGAGTGGTCTACGGCAGCAGATGTACGTATTCGACACTAAAAATCCTCAATATGTCTTTACTGAAGCTGAATAGAAGGCTCCGACTCCTCTCGATCAGAGCGAGCCCCGGAAGATCTCCTCCAAAGTGTCCAAAGCTCAACGGCGAGCTCAACAAGCGGAATTCAATCGTCAGCTTTGGGCTGAAGCGTGAGCAACTCATCAACCTATGCAGAAGTACCAGCTAATAGGTCACTGTAGCGAAGGACCGCGGGAGACAAACTACTTCCTCGAGTCCCGCAATGCCGTACCCTTGCGCAGCGAATTCAAGCCTCCTCCCGTCCTTCTGTCGCGCAAGGGCCCTCCAATCGTCCAGTCCCGCCGACCGCCCACGGATGCACTGAACGACCTCAGGCTCGACAAGAATGCTGAGTCTTCTGAAGACGAAGACGAGATCAAAGCGCGAGAGAAAAACCTGGCCGAACGCCAGGCTCAAGCAGCGAGAGACCGCGAAGAGAAGCAGCGAAAGTACGAAGAGCGGCGGCAAGAGCTTTTCGGCACACCTAGCACAACGAACAATGCCAATGGCAGACCGACCAGTCGCTCCGGCACATCAACGCCGAACAGCAATACACCACCGAGCTCGAGGTCAGCTACACCCAATAGAGGCAGAGGTCGGGGCCGAGGTCGCGGAGGCGGGGGCGTGACCACGGGGAGTCAGTCGCATGGTCGGAACTCGCAGCGCCAGCAAGACCTATTTGATCCCACTTACTCCGCAAAGCCGGAATCAGCCTATGTCTCAAGACGCGAGAGCCCACAGAGCCTGCCAAAGCTGGAGCAGCCCGTTAGAACACCCAAGGGTCCGGACGGCAGCGGTCGCGGCGGCTTTGGATTTGCGACTCGAGGCGGCAAACGACCCACCACAATGAATGCGATCATGCCGCTCTTGGAATCGGAAACATGAAGCAGATCCAAGACACAGCAGCGCCCGACCTCATTGCAATGAGACAAAGGCTGTCGCTGAGTCCGATGTTTCTGCGAGATCGTCGTTGCACTGAAAGCGCTCACATATCAGGAAATGATTAGTGAGACAAACGAAGCCAAACAAAAAGCCAACGAGAGGCCTGTTTTTGGAAAGATCTTCTTACTAGCACGCCCAAATGACATTTTGGAGAGACAGATCGACACTCAAATCCAGGAGTGTCCGAGGAAGTGAGCTGGTTGCGGAAGAAAGAAGCAATACTGTGATCCCACGAAGTTTTCCACAGCCTGGGAAGTACTAGCAGTGTTTTTTCACAACGCTCAGAAACAAGAGTGCCAGACCACAGCTGCAGCTCACCATCGTCGATAAGGACGACAAGAAGACTACAATGTCTCTGGATCCGCGCCCAGCCGACCATACAAGTCACCACCGAGCCCGAACCCTTCACGTCGAATGACCGATCTGGCGTAAGCCATCTCGACCATACTCTTCTTGCGATCCTTTGCCCAACTGCTGTTATTCCACCCATCTTCACCCACACCTCTATACACCCCGTGATAGCTCTCTTCCTTACAGACAGTCCGCCGAACCCTCTCATCGCCCTCGACGGCGTTCACCCAGCTCTGCCAGCGCGTCCCTACCTCCGGCCGCGGCCAACCTCGATACCGCTCCAAGACCCTCGACAATCTAATGATCCACGGCGCGAACATGACGTCTACATAACTGATGTTCTCGCCAAGAAAGAATGGCCCGATGGCGTGACTAGCGTTGACCAGTTTCGTGATGGCTGCCTGCAAGGCGTTCATGAGCAGACTTCGGTTCTCCGTCTGCTCCGCGTCTTCATCATCGTGCGGCGGCGGCATAAGGAGCACGGCATAGAATGAAGGAAGAACTTTGCGCTCCACGTGGTCCACCCACAACCTGCAGTGCGCGCGGATCTGTGCGCTCCCTCTACCCCGCGGCAGCAGGGGCACGCCACCGTCCAACTCTTCGAGATACTCCATCATTACGCTGCTCTCCCATATGCCCCAGTTGCCATGGCGGATGCACGGAATGTGGCCTTCGGGGTTAACCTCGAGAAGAGCTTCGGGTTTGGCGGGCGCTGAGGTGACGACGGGGGGTATTACTTCCACATACTGATAAGGAATGCCTCTCAATTCGAGAGCAATCCATATGCGTTGTGCGAAAGGGCAGAAGGCGTTGCCGAAGAAAGTCAGGTGGGTGGAGACGTGGCCATGGTGGGCAGAGGCTGTTTGCTGTGCGAGACCTGTGGCACGGTAGAAGGTGGTGCTTGTTGTGCTGGCGGCAGAGGGAGTATTGGGGTCGGATTTACCCTGGACAACAAATTAGCTACCAGGTGACAACCAGGGGTGATCACTATACCTTCTTCGCGGCTTTCCGTTCTTTTTCCTCCTTGAGTAAGAAGCGTTGCACGGTATTTTTCTTGATGCGATCACTCTCCTCAAGTGAGTGCTTGTGATCAAGGTCCTTGTCGTCACCGTCACCGCCACCGCCCGCATCATCCTCAACGATACCGGTTGCCGCGTTGGAATGCACGCTGCCATTCACTCTTTGAATAGTATACCACCGCTTCCCATCCGCGCCCGGATGTCCACGTGGATAGCGCTTGGTGGGTTCTAACATCCCAAAAGCATTGCTATTGGGATCGCCGTTGACGTCGTTTGTTGACTCCATAACGATCTGCAGGCCGTCTTCGTTCGTGCCATCCATCTTTGGATAGTCTGGTTCAATGCCCAGCTCGCGGCATTGGTCCTCGCCGAACCACTCGGTGATCTTGATTTTGACATCACAAAGATCTCGTTCGCGTTTCTCACGCTTGCGCTTCTTCTTGTTTGGATCCTCGCTCTTCTTCGTGCCCGACGGTCTGCCCTTGAGACGGCAGTCCCAGTAATGCGACATGAAGGGCTTGCGTTTATACTTTTGCGTCGAACGGTGCGAGTAGACATTATCAATGTGAGGAAAGTATGTCAAAAACTGCGCCTCGGTGAGATGTACTGGTTGTTGGACGTTGAAGAGGCGCGTCCGCCATTGCTCAAGGTTTGGTGGTTGAGTGACAAGAGGGAAGTTGTCAGAAAAAGGGTTCGCAGATGGACCCGTGCTACCAGGGTCAATGGCGTCTTGTTCGAGCTCGGGGTCCAGAGGACCGGAAGGTAAAGGAGCGGCACCATCGGATGAGAAATAGTTCACGTTGTTGGTAGGTGTTTGCGTGAGGGGGATGTAAATGTCGGTGTTGCTGTCAATCTGGTCGTTAGAAGGCACAGCGGCACCTTGTGGATAGTTTGCAGTCGAGTTCTTGAATACAAGGGCGCTGGGCCTCTGATTTGGTCTCTGCTTGGGACTCGCCGTGTGCTGCGGAAGGGGTCGGGCGGCTGCGTTCAAGGGCGATTGTTGGTTGTTTCGCGTACCGCGCAGTCGCGCCCGCGGACTAGTTTGGCCATTTTGTAGTCCATTCGCGCCGCCACTTAGGTGTGACGATAAGCCGTTTGAGTTACTCCAGTCTTGCTCATGCTCTCGATGCACAATGGGCATGCCGTAGGAGATGGCATTGGGATCATATTGGCCCGTCGGCGCGGAATTGGGGGATTGGCTGGGGAAGGGAAAGCCGTTATCGAAGGGGAACTGCAGTCGTGGGTCGACGGCCATGACTGCATGCTCTAATGACTGGCGCTTGGGATCGGAGTCGGGATCGCGGGGCAGGCAGTGAAAGCGCAGCAACGTTAGAGCAGCGAGATGGAACGAGAAGCCGTGAAGGGGCCGGTGAAGAAAGCAGCAACCGTGGGGAATCGGACAAGGCTGAGTCATAGCCTGATAAGCCCCGCGGCTCGGTAGATGCACATCAATGTCAACTGTGCTTCTGGAGGGTTTTGCACATTCGTCATTCTGGACATCCATGTACCAGCACTCACCTGCCGAAATTCACTTGCAGAGGACTTTAGCCACGTCGTCGGCAAAGCCTGGATATGTCGGACAGATGCCTTGACAAGACCTATCGTAAAGCTTTGGCCGAAGGTACTGTTGAGCAGGACTGCGGGCGAAAAATGGCACACACGACCGACGGCAGTATCTGGAGACTCTCCCAGGTCATTTGCGAACGGGTGGGTAACCTAGATGTGCTCCCGCAAAAGCAGCGGCGACCGCAATAGTCCGCAGATTCCTTTCATATCCGAGTTGTGCATCGATATGAACCAAGACTGCTAAACTCGTACCACCCGCATACGTGCTTCCTACCAAGCTATTCTCTCCATTCGGGGAGTACTCGTACCGAGACTGTGGGCCTCTCTCGGTGAGTGCACCATAGACTTCCATGGTTTTACGGTATTGCAACAGAATAGGCAGGGATCGCAGCGCGTGACGGCAACATCTTGGGCAAAGCTGTACAACATTTGTACAGCTCGCTGGCAATGAGAGATCGCCAAAGGGTTGGGTACGCTCGCAGGGGATGAATCGAACTCAGTCCAACAGCTCGGTCAAGTTTCATTGCGCAGAACCATACACGAAGCAGCGCCAAGTATTCAGTGTATTGACAGGCCCAGAGAATACAATTATGGCGTTTATTCGACGACCCGTAGAGCAAGGAACTCAGGTACGCTGATGTGAAGATCGAACGCCGTGGTATTGGTGGCGCACCAGGTAGGCATCTCGGATCCTTTTGGTCTACAAAAAGTCCACCTCAGCGAGCGAGGACGCGGAGGGCAATGATAAGCATGCTAGGCAATTTGTTCTGCCTGGTTACTGACCAAGACGGACTCGTATGGTGCCATCGAATAGATCGGCACTCAGCCATGGGATACCGGGGAGGTTGGCATGAGTGGGATCAGTTATCTTGGAATAATCTCCTGGATAGCATACCAGTACTTGACCTGCTCATCAGGAAAGGCGTGCCCATCTATCGACGTGCCGAAGATGACTCACCCCCCTGCCCAATGACACGCAATATCGAGAGCTGATAGAGCGCGCGCACAGCGAGCCCAGACCTTACGCTGTGGGTTGATCCCAGTGTCGCCTACAATGCGACTGAGCGGGCACCGCAAAGACTAATGGTGTCTAGTTAAGCTTTGAAACATACCGGAGGCTGTGGCAACGACACAGACCGTCCAGATCCCTTTCCTCAATGATATCATCTGTACAACTACAAGGTAAGCGTGGAGGACCGGGTGTGAGTAGAGTTTCTCGTCAGGCAGTGAAAGGCTTGGCAACTCCGCCAAGACATCCACTGCCTAATGCCACTCCGGGACATTAGTCGTTTTCGACTTGTCGGTCGACAGGCCGGCGGACACCGTGAGTGCTTGTTGACAGCGATGATGTGAGCACACGCTTCATTGCCACCTTCAGCATGAGAGGACAGATTATGCTGGATTCGGCGCTCTGTGTGGCACAAGCCGGCAAGACTGGACGGCAGCTGCCTACGTCTCGGGCCAGAAGCTCGGGAGATGGTTCTGCAGTCACCCTCTTCGAACTCGGGACGCAGGTCTCGCTTTGTGTCTAAGCCTCCTCGGGCTTTGTTGTCGCTTCTCGTTATCTGGGCTGTGGAAAGGTAATGCAAGGCTTCCTACGCGCCCACTATGACACTGTCTCATGTGGAGGCTATGCCGACGCCCCGATCCGCTCTCGATCAAGTGGTGACTGCCTGGAGTCGGGCACTGGTGACGACTTGATCTACTGTGCATGTCTAAATCCCAGTACGGCAGGCTGAAGCCGTGGGTGCATATGCAGTGCATGTGTTTGGTCCTGACCGATGCCCAAAACAAGCTGTACCGCCTTTGCCTCGATGGATGCTGGGCGAGTCGCCACGTCAACTTCCACGACCCACTCTCGCCGTGTCTGCCGCAAGCGTGAACATGACCACCGCAGTTCTGTAAAGTGGAGAGCTCATAGCATTTTACTGTTCTCTAGGCTAAGATGAGCTGCGACTTGTTGAATCACGAAGGCTTCATCCATAACCGGGTCTCGGAGTGGTATATATCCTGCGCCTTTGAACCATCAGACCGTATCCATAAGTCAGCGAGGACATGCAATTTCCTTGCTCATCGCCCAAGCTTCCGGCTTCGATAGCGAGCTCTGCGTCCGGCAGATTGCTTTGTTATTATAGTGATGGCCACCAACTCCTTCGCTAAAATGGACTAACATGATTTCGTGTCTCTGGATACAGACGCTTTTCCCAACCAGACTGGCACACTGGTGGTGCCTTTAACTTTTTCCACAGAAGCCTTTTATATGCGCGTTCATTCGAGCATCCACATCCGCAGTCACAAATGAAGGATACCAGGCGTTCCTCTGTTTCTTTCGAGCGCTGCCATCTTAATGCACCCGGGACAAGCGCGAGAAGCCTGGTCGTAGTTGTTGAGAATGACCATAAGTGGGGCTGCCGGCTGCTAGCGCATCAGATCCAGGCAGGATCCGGAGGAGACCGAGAAGCAGTGGCCTTGGTGAGCCCTCAGTGGATCGCTCCTTAGAAACATGAGTCACGTTGGGATGATTCTCATCCCGAACACCTCTTTTCGAAGAGCTCGAGCGAAAAGGTGCTCAACCACGTGGAAGTCACGGCTAGCCCACGTTTCATGCAGCATGACTTGCTGTCTTCTGTAACGTTCATAGTTCATACCATCTTTTTCGCCTACCGCTGAAAGGGCCTGCCTTGTTACACTGGACCGCATCAAAGCACTCAGGACAGAACAACTCAAGACCCTCTGTTCGCATATCGAACAATGTCCTTACCACGTCCATGGCCTTCGGTCGTTTAGTGGGCTCAGCACATGTCATCTTCTTGATGAGCTTCAAGAGAGGCGTAAGACTCGGGCCGCTCGGCGGCTCTGCGTCTGAACTGCTATGGTGCCGTCGATGTTGATTGCCGGCTCCTTGAAATATGTCGTGGATCGCCGCGAGATGCGGGTGGCTCTTCCGCCTTTCTTCTGTGATAAGAGCATCAATTCCTTGGTGCAGCATGTTGATTTTGTCTTTGTAGTTTTGAAGTCGACGTGGGAATCCATTGGCGTCCCTGGAGTACTCCTGATAGAGCATTGAACCAACAATCTCGAACATGATGCAACCGAATGAAAACACATCCGCACTCCTTCCATGGGCAACATCGTTGTCAAGTTGTTCCGGCGCCGCGTACTGGATGGTTCCTTGAAAGTCTGAGTACGTGGCACTGTGCGCATTCGCATCTGTGGCCAGCTGCTTAGCTAGACCGAAGTCGGACCAGAGGAAATTCGAGTTGCCGTCCGAGCTGATCCGTTGGAATAGGATATTCTGTGGTTTGATGTCTCGATGTCTTTTGCTCTTGACTTCGTGGATGTATACGAGTGTGCGACACAGGCATCCAATGGCTTTGAGCAAGGAGGGCTTGAGGAAACGTAAAGCCTCCGGATCCTGAGCAGAGTTGAACAGGAGCTGCTCCAGGTTGCAATCCGCGGCAGGTGTGATCACCAGACCGAATTGATGACCACGGGAGAAGGTATTGACCAACCGAACAATGTGAGGAATATGTTCCTGCCGACAATCATTGCATATCTCCTGAAGATGTTCTGCGTCATTGCGGAGGTGGTCGTGGGCACGCGGACCACCAGAATCTTTGGTAACCTTGAGGACATATTGCTTGTCGTCGAAAGCATTGCGAACTATGTATACGTCGGAAAACCCGCCTTTGCCCCGGTGATGGTCTCTGTGATATGGAAGCGGTTCCTTTGGTGAGAGCTGGAAAAAGCGCTGATCCCCCCATGTACGTGGTTGAATTCTGCGTTGCTCGGCGTAGAAGCGCTCTGCATCTGCAGCGCAAGTCTCGGGAAAGACAGTCGATTTGAGCATGGCCTCGCTCAAAGGGAATGAGTCGTCGTCAATTTCCGAATGAAGGAAATAATCAATCCACCGAGAGCCTCGCATACTCTTTAGAGTCAGGACAATTTTCGGCATGCGTCGCAACCGCATCAACGTCGCACGAACTTGTGGGTTACTGCTCTGGTCGGGTATAGAGAGCCATGCGTTGCAAAGTATTCTAAGCACAGTTCTTGCCATCTGGATCGTGTCTGCTTTGATGACATAGCCATCGTTCTGCGGATTGTCGTTGATCCACTTTGAACTTCCGATCTCTTCCCCCACAGGGTTGTGTATAGGCGGAAGTTCTGACCATAGCGGCTTTATGGCTCCAATATTCTTATGAAGCAGCGGCTGCCCGCCTATCAGGGGAAGTATGAGCGCTTTGAGCGACTCGGTGAAGTGCTCTTCGAGTTTCCCGTGTCGGCTTAGTAGACCTCGAAGATTGGGGCTCGGGCCGTTCGGGATTCGGGATGGGCGGAGACGCTGTACCGTTCCGATGTCTTCGATGAGGTTGCGCAACTCTTCCTCTAAACTATCTCGGACACCAGGGCTTCGCATGTCAGTTGGGGACTCGAACAGGCAGCAAGATTAGACGTCTTACACATTATGTGGCAAGGGTAGGCTGCTGTCGACACACACCCGAATGATGTTGTCTACGGATTTCAGGTCGTTCAGAATGATGTTGAGGTGGTTCGCAAGACTTCCTTGGGATGATTCTTGGTCTTCGTTATCGTTGCTGATTTCGCCGTCCAATATTTGTAAGGTGGTCTCGCACTCGGCCAGATCGACTTCGGCCCGCCGCTTATCGCCATTTGATAGAATCTGTCGACCCTCGGGCTGATGGAGTAGGTTCTTGATTTGTCGCACCTTTTGAAGACATTGCGGGACGGCGTGTCGCAATACATGGGTCATGGCTGTGACATCTTGTGTACCTGATGCGCGTCAAGTGATGCAGAGAATTCTGGCCACAGGTGCGCAGGAAGACCTACGGCAATTGCGAACCACTCCTCCAGAACGGCTGGGGGTTGCCCGGTTTCAATGAGCGAAGAGGGGTCAGTTGCCTATTGGGTCTGGCTCCGGGCGGTGCATTAGCGTGGCCGCCTCGTATTGATGCATCGACCTTGTGTTCGAGGCCATGTGGCTTGCAGGATGCACTGCCGACTTGCGGCGCTCTCGAAAAGGTCGGCTGTGCCGACTTCCCGGTTTGCATTCTTCTCTCTTTTCCATCCTGCCGAGGAACCGCAGACCGTATGATGACAGCATGTATGATGGACCGACTGTCGTGCTGCTCACGTTAGGTGTGATCAAGACTTTAAAGCACGTGTTGGACACGTTAAAGGACTCTTTGAGCGACGATGAGCCAGCAGTGCGCTATACCGCTACCGAGTGTGTTGGAGGAGGTAGAGAGGCATTGCTGAATGTCGCACTGATAAGGTTGACGGCGTGGAGAGATCTTTGGTGGCCGTGCGAGAATGAACAGGACGGCGATGGGCATCGCTCTGAAGAGCTACTGTCTCTGCTTTGGGGTTCAGGAGCACTCGGCGAAGTCAAACGGCTTTTGACCATGATTAAAGATGATGTCCTGATTGTTGAGGCCCTTGTTGTGAAGGATATCCAGCAGCAGCATTCACGCAAAGGTATCATACCCCTAAGCGGCAAGAAAGTACCGCGCAAAGCCGATCAACAGACAAGGTCTTATCAAAGAGCCGCCGAAGTGCAGGAACGAATCTCTGGACTTTGCGACAGGATTCAGACTCTCGAAACCCTCGCTCAGTTTGCATTTCGCTCCCCGTCTGGGCCGGTCGCAAGCGTTGACCATGCTTCAGATGATCTTAGAGACTGCTACCAACGTGTTAGCAGCAAGCGTCGCGAAGTCCGCCCTTTCATCGACTTTTGCAACAAGTCTGAGCTATCATTGAATCTCCGACTTTCCAACTGCGAGCTCGCAGCAAAGTCTCCTTGGGGTCCTTGGTTGCAGCTACAGGACGTGCTACTCGTTTTCGAAGGCAATAGATCGGCAGGAAGCCGCCGACCTGCCTGTTTCGTTGTCAGCCAAGCCAAAACACCGCACATCGCAGTTGACCACTATCGTCAGGACTCTGTGGACAATGGCGACGAGGCGCGATTGGTGAAGTTGATGCAGGGCAACCCGCAGAGACTAACTCATTCTTGTAGTGCCGCTCAGATCCAAGTACAGCACAACGAACAAGGGTTCGTGGTAAAAGAGTGCCAACACACAGTGGCAGCCATGCACCAGGAACACAAACACAGGCATGATCGGGTCAGCCGTGCGCAAATTCCACTCGTTGAGGAGACCATACGTTTGGCGACTTCAGAAAAGATCGAGGTCGCGTGCAGTTTAGCGTACCATGCATTGATACTCCTGGGGAGCACCTGGGCATCTTGTTTCAACGCATGGAATCTTCGGCGACAGGAATCCGCTGACATCTCCTGGTGGAAGCTGCACGTGCACAACGACTTGGTGGATATCCCATCTCTTCGACAGCCCGCTGAAGCCATACTCCGCTTACAAATTGCCGAGTTTGGCCGTTTGTTACTCAGTCTGGCTGTAGGGAGTGGATCGATAAAGGCGTCTGATGGGGCGATGGAGTTGGCTCGAGACGTTTTGCCACGAGTGGAAAGAAGAATGGGCGTCAAATATAGCAGTGCATGTCTCTTTTGCCTGAATGCCACTGCACCACTGGGGCCTTCTTGCATTGCAGATGGCGCAGATGCCTCGGCGGATATGTTGAAGTCCTTCTTCCAGGAAGTCTGCCTGCCGTGAGTTGAGCCCTTAGCTGCAGTTACGACTTAGCTGACTAGCATAGTCTCCAACGACTTCAGGAGTGTCTCCAGCAGTCTTAGCACGTCCTTGTGGATGCTGTCATGCTGTCTCAATTTTACGAACTTTACGATCATCATATAACGATGGATTTCGATGATGTGGGCGGATATACGTAACCAGTGACAAGTCGAGAGTTTGTGGATACCATACAAGGCAGAAGCAAAGGAGATAGAAAGTTCAAAGGTATTTTCATTGAGTCAGCACCTGCGATTCTTTCTCGCTACCGGTATGGCGCTTCCCGCCAGGCCAAGGCATACTCACGAAGGCAGGAGGCAACCACTGCAACGTGCACTATCGTACCTTATTCGAGGACCCGGGATTCAGTCCATCGTCTCTATGTGCCACCTTCTTTTCGCACGTCTCGCCCCTTCTTCCACTCTCTTTTGATAGGAGTGAAATAGACCAACAGCACACAAAGCAATGTCACCCCTGCTGTCAAGGGAGCCGCAATGCACCAGAAGCGGCGAGGCCCTGAATCCGTGTTACCAATTCCTTTCAGATTCATGCCAAAGTAGCTGCTGATAAACGACGGAGGTAAAAAAAGCACCGTCACAATGGTGAAGACCATGATGGCTTTGCTGTTGTCGTCTTGCTGCGTCTCCACCAACTGCACATTCTGTTCCGCAAGCCGTTCTGCTCGCTCCTTGAGTTCCTCGCATTCAAGTGTCCTGCCCTTGACTTCCTGGATGATTCTATCAATACACTTACTTTCATCCTCGAAGCTAATTCGGCGATTTACACTCCTTCGGTCAAATGATGCCGGATCGAGGGCCCAGCGGAACATCTTTAGGATAGCGCTCTGTTGGCGCAGGACCTCATGGACGATATCGAGTTCTTCGACAAGGCTGTTGATCTTCAGCAATAACCTTCGGCTCGCCCCTTGCTCAGAGTCAAGTTTCAGTGCCTAAGGATGGTCAATGGTTGCAGCCGGCCCAGACGGTTTCATGTATCTCCAACTTACAATATCCTCGACCGTCCGCTCGTAGAGTTCTAGAATCTCGATCTTCTCTTCATTGTACACGCCCGCGCTCAAACGCTGTAGCAGCATGATTACGATGGCCTCGGATGTGACCACACTCCCCAAACCCTTTTCGGGTATCATGTCATCCGCTTCGACAATCAACTGTGCCTTTGCGTCTGCCAGAGATCTCTGAGCAGCACTAGCAACATCGGCAACCGACAGTCCATCGTCAGATGGTGTGCTGAGCTTCACCAATGTTGTCGCCAGCAAATCGAACACCTGAACCAGAGACAGTACAATCGTCTCAAGAACAACGCGATTTGGTAGAAAGTAAGTCGATGGTCTAGCGTCAGCCGAGAAAGCTAACTCTGTGCCTAAATGGAGCTCTTGTGCTAATCGCTGTATTTCCTTGATGTGTAAGATGGTCGCACTGAGACTGGGAATCTTCGTTGCATCATTCACCGCAACCTGCGCAGTATGAGGTTATGACCATTGCAGAAAACACACGAGTCATCACTTACCTGCACAATAGCTCGCACCAGGCTCCAGTAGAGGACTACAGCATCAGGGTCGATCTTCGTTGCAGAATGTGACAGAGGTGCCGAAGCATCATCAGCCTCAACGGGAATGTAAAAGTGGATGAGGCTCTGACATCGCTCTCGAAACTCGAAGAGTGTTTTAAGATTATCTGGACTCTGAGAATGTTTTCTCGTCTCCAGGAATTCAAAGATGGCGGCGTAGCTGTAGTGAGTAATGTCTGCATTGCTGCTCGACACAGCCAGTTTGCCATGTGTCTGGGGTGATAAGAGCTTTTCGTGCCTCTTGCAGAAATCTTCATAAGTCATGTTGAGAAGCGCAATTGCTCTTTTGACATCTGATATCTCGCTTGGTTTGCGGAAGTCATCGATGATTGGCCAATAGAAGAAAGGCACTCTATCAAACGAGTGGCCCCTAGGGTTTCTTTCCTTTGGTGGCGTTGAATTGCCCGGAGCAGACGTTCCAGATGCTGACAAAGATGTTTGTGTCTGAGATCCTGGCACTTGGGAGTTGATTGATGATGCTGGTGCATTAGATGATGTGGAGAATGCCGATGCATTACTCTGGGCGGGAGTACTAAGATTTTGAGCTTGAGGGTTGTTTGTTGCTGCTACCGCTGGCGTCGCGATCGGAGCCGCGGTACTTGTGGTAGCTGCATCCGCTGGAGTGATACTGAGACCTGGAGCTCCCTTTCTCAACCAGATATCAAGTCGCTCAATGCCTTGCTTCCCAGCTTCAGTCAGAATATCGCGCCAATTGTGGATGTCGATATGGTTGTCGGTTTGGGGAGTTTCGTGCCGACAGAAGATATACTCTTGAGCAGTAAGAGGCTTGAAGTTTACTTTGCTTGCTCGCTTTTCAGTATTCGTTCCACCCTGACTTTGGTCTTTGCGTTCGTCTGCGTCCACTTTATTGCAACTGTTAAGGATGATACGTTGTTTGTTTAACAAAGCCTGCAGGTCACATCAGCACAGAGGCCATCTTACCAGCAATGAGAGTCGATATAGATGACGGGCAGACTGCCCAAAATTAGAGCAGATCACCGACCAAGGTGTCTGCTGAGAGTCTGTGGACCCCTGCCCATCCATTTGATTGACTCGTGGTGCAGGGAATGATAGACTTACAAACCACCAACTACATTGCTCGCTTGGATAGGTGAAATACTCGGTTGTAAGAGAATGGTCGAAAATGATTCGGACAAGAGGAGGTATTGTCGTGTGTTCTGTTCTGTGTTGCTCCTTTGTCCTCTTGATTTGCACCTCTTGCCCTCGCAAGGATCTCTCGCTAATTGTTCCACTGGTGCACAGAAGATCGGCAAGGTGTTAGCGCCTTGCCGATAAATTTTGCTGTTACTTACCTTCACTGATCATTGCAATCCAAAGTTGTGGAACATGAATAAGAGGTGCCTCTCTTTCGCATTGTCTGGCGAAAGGAACCCGCACGCTTGGCGGTAAACATCCAGAGATAATGGTCGGGTCCACACTCGCAACTTGGGCTTTATCTTTCATCCTCGTTCTTTGGAGTCGGTAGCGGAATTGAAACAGTGAGCGCATGGGATGGTCGTCGGGTGCGCCCGCCTTGCAGCGATCGCAATTCCAGCAGTGATGATGTTCCAAGCTCAGATAAGGAAAGTTAAAAAACAGAGACGGCTTGTCCAGTTCGCTGGGACTTTTAGACTGTCCATCATATCTGATGGCGGTAGGGAGCAGAAACTTGCCGAGAACGTATTGCCGCTCGTCACTGCTGAAGACCCGGTTGAGCAGGCGCTTCGTAAGGCCGTGCATCCCAAAACCCGAGGAACGACATCCACGGTCCAGCACTAATCGCTACCGTGATGGTTTAGCAGACACGACCTCCTTCGGCAGGGTACTCTCACCTCAAAATCGAGTCTTTTCATGACATGTTTGTGGTCATGACTATTGGCGTCAGTATGAGTCATTCCCTTGGCTTTGCGTACGCACAGCCACCGGATGTGCCCCAAGCTCTCATGCGCGTGGGTCGTCTGTGCAGGAGGACCTCGATCAAGAACGTTCAGTGTCGGGAAAGGACCCTTCTCAACCTCGGCAACGTCTTGGCGACTCCAGTTGCGTAATATCTCGGTCTCAGTAAACGAAGTCTCCTGGTGTTGGCCGGGTGGAGGTTGAGGTTGAGCCTCGAATATTTGCGCCCGCCAGCCCCCATCGATGTCGCGCTTGTGGATGCGGAGCGACAGATCCTGAAGACGTTGCGAGGGAGATTGCCGAGTATAGATTTCACGCTCCTGTGAAAGGGTAGTTCCGGCGCGCCGAATAGGTTGCCCTGTTGCGCGATCATCTGGCGCAGAACCCGGATCCTGGTAGATGTAGCCGCCGTGCAGAATCGGAGGAAATGAAGGAGCCTGAGTAAGTGGCAGGAGATCCAGCCCCGACCTCGTCGATCGTGAAGGCGACCTTGAAGGCGGCCGTGGAGGTGAACTCATCGTAGGGATGATGGTGAGCTACGGAATCCACGATACAATCAAATCCGCGCAGCATAAGTAGTAAGCCAAATGCACTGGCCTTCACCATTTCGGCGAGGTCGTCGAGATAAATCATTTCGTGGGCGAGCGCCAGGCTGAGGATTGCAACACGAAAGGGGGGTTCATCACAGTCAATGTGGCTTGCATCGCCTCCACCCCGCATGCATGAACAGCCCAAACTTCGGGCCGTGGCGCACTGTAGTTGCTCTCACAAAGGCTGGACTTCTCTTCTTAGCTCCATTGGCTTGTTGAAGCTTCGAAAGAGATCGCATCGGCTCGAGAATACGAGCTCGAACCCCGTTTTGGGACAAAGTTTGCCAGCATCGCTGCGGACTTCAACTTCGGGAATCATCAGCCCCGAGAGCACTGGATCGGCAATGTCAACAAATCGACCTGCATACAGCCTCATCGATGGGAGTCATCGCAAGATGTTCAGCAGAGAGCACCACGCTGATGCAACGTGACAAACTTCTGCTGACCTCGACAGAACTCGATGCACGCCATTATAAAGGAAAAATGAAGGATCGAAGAGATGAAGGAGGAAGAGAGACCAATTCAAATGACCGGTCATTTGATTGCTATCCAAACAACCCTTCTACAGCCTCTAGAGGCTATCTGTATTGTTTGCCCGTCTCAGACCTCCGTGCAGATGTCTCACTGACCACTCCCAAGCTCAGTCATCGTCTCCGCCCCTCGATCCATCGCACACCCTCCCAGCTTCTTGCCTGCACCCTCCAACGCTGGCAAAAAGTACTTCGGCACGTCTTTCTCGCCCATCATCACTTCCACAAACTTCAGTCCTCTTGTTTCTTGTATTCTCTCACTGCCCAGCAACTCCTCCAGCTGCCCAACGGTCTCCACCCTTTCGCTAACGATAGGATACCCCTCCTGTGCTCCAGGGGCATTGCCACCCAGCATCGCCGGAGCTAGCGTATAATCCCAGTCCGCTACGCCATTGTAGTCCGCATCAGGGCCCTGGATCAGTCTCTCGTATGCATAGCCCCTGTTATTAGCCATCAGAATCGTCATATCAAGCTTCAGCTTAATGATGGTACTAAGCTCCTGCGCCGTTGTCTGAAAGCTGCCGTCCCCTTCCAGCAGAATAGTCCTTCCGCGCTGATCCTCAGGCAGCGACCGTTGGGCCAGCGCCACACCCTGCGCGGCGGGCAGCATCTGCCCGATGGAGAACCAGAGGCCGGAGGCAATGACACGAACTTGACGAGGAAGGGAAAACATGGCGCCCCCAATGAGTGGAGTTCCGTTCGCAAGCAGAATGTTGTCTTTGGAGCGGAAGAATGAAGAAAGGCGCGGCCACAGGTAATCTTGAGTAACTGGATCATCGGGCTTCGTATCTGGAGGGCGGATGACGAGAGCCTCCTTCCGCGGGAGAAGCTCGGCGTATGACAGGCCCGTTGCGTCTAGAGGAGCACGCTGCGGGCTGTATTGCTCAAGGAGGATTTCCAGCATCTTGTTGATGTCACAATGTTCAGTGCGGCCTTTGTAGGTTGCCACACTCCCTGAGAAACTCGCTGTACTAGCTTCTGGAGGCACTGCAGTCCAGCCCACGGTTGCCGTGTCACTGAAGAGCTCACCGAAAAGGAGGACACAATCGCTCTGCTGAACATAGTCGTGGATCTGTTGATTCCCGAGCTTGCCAGTGTAAATACCGTAGTAGCTGGGGTGGTGACTGTCTACAATCCCAAGCCCGTGGGTCGTTACGACGGTCGGTATGTCGGTCCGCTCAACCAACTCATTCAGAGACTGAGTCGTGCCAAACCTAGCAGCTAGTCCGTCAATCATAATCAACGGGCGTTTCGCCCCCTTCAGGTCTCTGAGGATTGAGTCTTTAATTGACGAGTCGCGATCTGAAGTCGTACTGTCTCGATTGAGCTCATATGGCTCCGAAAGGTCACTGGCATCCACGTCCATTGAGGCCATGTCGCTCGGCAATTCCATATAGACGGGCGTCTTAGTAGTCAAGCACGTACGTAGGGTGTCGTCAATGCGTCGGGTATGACAGCCCGGCTCAGACAGACGCAGTACGTCAGCAGTGACAGATTTGTACAGGTTGCTGTACAAATCCAAATCCTGACCTCTACCCAAAGCGTGGTGAACAAGGCCTTGAAACGTTCCCTTCCCACCTCTGGGATAGAGTTTGCGTGTATTGGTACTAGGAGAGCCGACAATATGAACCACCGGGACACGTTCGGCGTAGCTGCCAGCAATCCCGTTGATGGCGCTTAACTCTCCCACTCCGAAAGTGGTGCAAACAGCGCCCAGGCCTGTAACACGAGCGTATCCGTCGGCGGCATAGGCAGCGTTCAGCTCATTGCAGCTGCCAATCCACTTCATATTTGCCCGCTCCACATATGATAGGAAGGGGAGAGTGAAGTCGCCGGGTACGCCATGGATGGCTTCACAGCCATGTTGTCGCAAACGATGAAGAATGTACGTCGCTAGAGGAAGCTTCGTGCCGGCTTGAGGTCGTGCTCCGTTGCCCACCACCGCCCTTCGCCAGACGCTGGTAGGTCGCATTATCGCAAGCGATCAGAGAATCCCCGGTTCTGGCTCGTATCAACCCCAACCATGTTTATGAATTGTCGATTTCGCCTGTAATGCAGTTCACTCATGCCCCCTCGGACTTACACTGAAAGCCCCGGGGCACCGTAAGCACACCAAAAGTCTAAATGGCCTAGTGACACTGGCACGAAGTGGAGTATACGTGGTGGATCTGCGGTGCGAGCCAAGACTACATCAACACCAGGACGGGGAGGAGAGTCCGTACAGGCTCGACACAGGGGGAGGGAGCTCGTCGCGATCGGCAGAGTTGAGGACGAGGATAGCACACAGAACAGCAATGGTAGCTGGAAGGTTGTCCGAGGTCTTGGCGCGTTGGTTGCCTCATGCCACTGTCAGCACTACTTGCAGATGAGCTCTGATCTGACTTGACTTTTGATAATCAAGGTCGCGTCCTACCAGAACAGGTCATTTCTTTGCGACGTGAGCCAGGGTGGGCAAGACCAGGCGATGACAGACCTCGAAATTTCCTGGTTGCCTCCAGAAGACGATTGCTAAATGTTAGAGTCAGACTGGCGACTTGAGTTGGCTTGAACAATACAGGCTTCGGTTCTATTCAAGTGCAAGACACAGGTGCAAGCTTCAAGCCCCATATTATCTCGAGTAGCCTCGCCATCTACCACTTGAATTCGTACTGTAACGCCGTGGGGGTATTTCGCTTGCTCTGGAAGCCACACCTGACCACCTCCAATCGGGGTCTCGTCGTAGCTCTTATTCTATTAGAGCTTTCATGCCAATAATAATTGGCTCTCGTTATGTTTGCCTGTAGATGAGATTCATCTAACATGCCCTCCAAGCGCACAGATTCACACATCTGACCTCCGTCCCCCGAGCCCATGCGCCAAACACCGACCCGGACGCACATCATTATCGCCTTCCACTGCGTGTGCTCACAGCCGACGAATCCGCTTTTCGCTTCTGTTTGTCGCGCGCAATCTTCTCCCACTCGTCCCATTCCTTGGAGATCTCGGAGAGGACGCTGCTCATGACACTTGCGCTTGCCATCAGGCTGTGGCCTTCATCTTGTAGCACACGCAGCTCGCAGCGTTTCATTATGCTCTCCAGATATTTGACGTTCTCCAGAGGTACTCGGGTATCTTTCGCACCGTGTCGAATCACTATCGACCGTGTCACGTCCGCGTATCGAAATCCGATGTATTTCTTTCTTTCTAAGCAGGTCATCAGGTCAACGGCTGGATTCGCATTGAGCGTCGCAAGTGACCAGATTCGGTGCGTCAGTTGGGCATTATATAGAGCTGATCGCGCCTCAAGAGTGAGGCGTGGCGATGTTGGACGCGAAGCATAAGTAGATGATGTCCGAGGCTCGGGAGATGGTGAACCCGGTCGGCCGCCGACACGGAGGGCATGTGCCTCTCTGTTCATGCCTCTCACTGAGGGAGGTGCCTCGAGATCAGAGGCCGATACAAAGGAAGAACCGTTCAAGTCATCATATGACTGAAACAGTTCAGCGTCTAAGCTATCCAAATGTTTGCTTTTTTTGTTTTTCAACGGCTTGGCCTCGACCGAGGCACTTGTCGCTGAGAGAAATCTCGAATTGGCGACTTTCAGCATTGGTGCTGGAAGAACGCTCAAGATCCTGTGTGACATTGGCAAATTGGCGACAGGTTGAGCATCTGTGCCACCCACGGCTCCTTTGGGCATCTGAGACGGCGGTATCCATGGAGCCAAAAGATGGATTCGTCCACGCACGAATTGAGGCATTTTCAGCGCCGTTGCTAGGGCAAAGATGGTTCCCGCAGAGTGGGCTAGGAGTGAGAAGCGCGTGATTTCCAGCATGTGGCAGATAACAGCGACATCATCAACCCATGTTAGCGGGTTGTTGAGGCGTTCGGGTACCGCCTCGCTTTCTCCCACGCCAGGCCTGTCGGGTGTAATGATTCTGAGTTTCAAGGTCCGTGCCAGCTCATCGTAGAAAGACGTCACGAATCTTGTCAGGCCCATGCCCACACAGCAGAATACAACGAAGCCATTCGGATCACCGACTTCTGAGAATGCAATTGTACGGCCAGTCCGAGGATGCCGCAGTTTCTGTGTCAAGCGTGGGGCGCTTAGAAATGCCTCGACCTCGTCTGATATGGTTTTAATGTCCTCGGCTCTCGAGTCGGCCTTGTTCGAAGTGACAGATGTACGTTTGTGCTGCATGGAAGTGCCTCGATTGAGAGGAGGTGTAGGTGAAGCAAGTTTGGGAACTGTTGCTGGACTGTGAGTTGCAGGACGCGCAGATTGAGTTTCGCTCGCTGTGTCCCCCACAGGCGTCAAGGGGCTGTCGTCGTTACCAGTTGCAACCAATGCCGGCATCAGAACCAAGTCAGTCGCATTCACTCGAGCAGAAAGCTGTGGAGACGCTTCCTGTTCAGACTCAACCAAAACTTCTGTCACCGAGAGTTTGGAGCTTTGATAGGTACTAGACCTTCTTAAAGGTTTTGGACTCGGTGCAGAATGGCGCTTGGACGACCTTTCCGGGCTCAGGGCGGATTCTTTGCGCCATTCACTGTGGCGCTTCTCGCGCGCCTCCTGGAGCTCTCTTATCCTTCTGACTGTCGAATCATCCGAGCCTATCAGTTCCTCGTCGATCTTTAGGTCTTTCAAATCGCGACTTCCGGTCGAGTGCCTATGCTGTCCCATGCGCTCTGCTTTCCTGATTGACGATTGCCGGGAGGGAATCAAATGTTCCTCAAGCTTCTCTCGATTCAGCGGACTAAGCGTACTGCTGGCATGGGAGTCGTCTCCACGGTCATTACTGGTGCTATCCCGCCTTTTTGGTGATGAATCCTGCTCGCTTGGACCATGCTGCACCGGCGTAGCAGAGGCTGGGGGGCCTGGCTCTGGTCGGGGCTGTGGACTGGGGTTGCGCGACGTCTTCACCGGCGACGTTTTCCGGCTTCGACTGCTCATCATGGACAAAGCTAAACTTGTGACAGAATTATTACGCTTGTTGAGCACGTTCAGACTCTGCGCGTTCGAACCGTCCTGCGACCGCATGCTCTGCATAGAAGTCCGAATTGAAATGCTTCGGTCAGAAAGCATGGTATTAAAAGATTGGCTAGAGCCCAACTTCTTAGACCTCCTCTTGGGCAGTACCGGAGGCGCCCGTGAGAAGCGAATTACGGGTGGCGCGGCTGCATCTCCGTCGCTATCATCGTCGACATCTGACGCAGGGATAATCGAGGCAGCGAAAGCGCTTTCGGCGTAGTATGAGCCTGGAGATGGCGGTCCGTCAAAGTCAAAATCGTCGCTGGGTCTCTCAGAGTGGACAGTGTTGAGTGGTGCGTCGGCAGCAAGATCGAGTTTCAATTGATCTCGTGCGCTTTGCGATATTGCGGTTAATGAGTCTATCAGAGTAGATATGACTTGGTCGGGACCCGGGTGGGGAACAACGGCGGACGAGACAAAGGCGGTTCTGGGCCCTATCGGAGGTCGACGTCGCGGACGCTTTGGTGATGTGTTCGAGGATAATTGAGGGAGAGGTGGAAGTTCATCGTGCTCGACGTCCATAACCGTGGAGGAGGGGGTGATGGGCGCAGTCCGCAGGGGGCTCGACTTTGGGGGACAAGGAGGGTACCGGGAAATAAAGCCCTCGGGTACTCTGATTGGCCCTTCAGGAAATGAGTGTCTGAGGTAGCGAGGGCAGCTCAGCGTCGAGCGGCTGCATAGCCATGGAGAAGAAGGATGTTGTCATGCATAGGCGAAGCGTCGCACATTGTGAAAGAGTCCGGCTGCAGAAAGGAAGCAGCGACACCGTTCATCGTTATTTCACAAAGGCTCCAGAGAAGGTTGAGGGAAGGTCACGGTTGGTTGCTAAACCCCTGTCCTACATGCGGCGGCGGCGCACAGCAGGACCATGCGTGGCCAGCGGGCGCCAGTTTCAGGTTCCCCAAGAGATTTGACTTTGGGCCATGCGGTAGCGCTAGGCACGAGATCTACAAGTACGACCCCTCAAACAAATCATCGCCCACGAGCCCGGCTGTCTCCAATCAATTTGCTGCCGGCTATTCCATAGATCAAAGTCTGGTCGCAAATGTCCGAGCAAATCACGTAGGATCGCGCGCAGGGGATTTATTGCTCGTGCTCATGCGTTTGCAAGACATGATGCATGGTTGGATTGTCTGCACATTGCTGCTGTACGCTTGTCAAATCGCGAGTCAAGATAATCAGTTGCGCGTTTTACCTTCCTTGTGTTCCGACCGGCTGTGTCGTGGTGTAGATTGCTGCCAAGATCTTTCCGCGGCATTGCCTACAAGTACCGGACGTACCTTCCTGCAGGGGGTTGGTACCTACCTTGTATTTATATTGGCGAATTGACATTCAGTACAAGCTCTGGCTACCGAGATGAATCCACATTGATTGAACCACACCTGAGCATTTGCTGGATGAGGAATTACAGATCTTTATCCATTATCACAGTACTCTATGAGTGATGTAAGTGGTGTCGGAATACACATGGGCGCCGGCATGCCAGCCAGACGCACGACATGTGCGGACTTCTTCTAGAACGCCGCGCTCAAAATCACTCCTCGGCTGGCCAGTCTGCATGGCCATACCGTCTAGATGTTCGCTAATGTGTCCAAAGTCGTGAATGTATCGTGCCCACAGCGCATTGCTTCAATGCGAAACTATGCTGTCAGAGGTTGGCCTAGTCTCAGCTTCTCTCGCTCCTCAGCAAATAGCTGTCTCGACATCTCCAGAACCGCCTCGAACCCTTCGCGGCCGCGTGCAGCGTTCTCACGAAATCGTTCGACGCTCACATCTTCGATCTTGCTTCGAATCTTTTGCCACCCTCCGCACAGGGCAACAATTCTTGCAGTTTGGTCGAAGTCGGTCTTGCCCGTAGTCTTGTTAGGTGAATAGACGACCGTTTCTCGACATTGTAAAAGGTTCGACCAGGTCATGTTGGTGCTGCACATTGTGACCTTCTTCTCTTTGGGATCCACATAGCTGATTTCGTAGACGTAGCTCGTCGTCTCGCCACCAAGAATGGACAGAATCCACTGCGGTGCATTCTGCTTGCAGGTAATAAGTCGCTCGGTTCTCAGGATACCGGTGGCGGAATCGATTCCTCTCGATATCGTATCCACGGCGATAACATGCTCTGCTTTGTCGTTCCAGGGGCAGTACTTCCGCCAGTTATTGGTGCTGACTTCTTCCCACGAGTAGTCGAAGGTATATGATGATGAAAAGAACCTCATCTTCAGCTCTATGTGGTGTCGGTGCGGCAGAGGCTGCGTTCAAACGCGTCTTATCGATTATCCAGTGATGCTGTGCCTCGTCTGTCGTGTGCAGAGTACAGCGAACCGGCGTGAGGATGAATCGCTTGCTGCTGATGCGTGAAGGACAGTGTGTCTATGAGGGCGAAGGAGCGTGTCTAATAAATCGCAGATGAGCAACTAATGAGATGGAAAAGTGCGGAGGAAGGGTTCAAGACCGAAAAGAAACAGAGTTGAAAGTCCGGGCCGCAGGGCGATGGAGAGCTTGAAAAATTTCGCAGTAGTCGCGACTTTCCCCGACATTTGACGAGCGCTGATTGGTCACGGCTCAAGGCGAGAATCGCCAAAGCGTGGACTCCAAGAAACGGCCTTGGCTAGATTTACATTATTGGAGATCTAGATCCGGTTGTTCACATCATCGTTCCCAAAGCTTCTCTATATCAGGAAGCTTTGGGATGCCACGTTCCGACATAGTCTGGCCTGTTACTACGGTTGGCTGACTGCTTGCGAACACGTGCATCAAATTATGAGGCTCACGATGAGTCTCCCTTCCTTTCGCTCTCCCGTACAATACCGTGCGACGCTGAACATCTGTAGACTGGAAATCTCGACAGCGCCCGTTCTATTCCACCTTTTGCCCGCAGACCCAGCCAATTCCCGACTTCAGGATCTCCTCCACCACATCGGCCTCAGTCATTGTCTTCGGGGCGTATACCATTACCCACCCTTTGTCCACAAATGCCAAAGGAAACCTCTCCCCCCACCCCCCTTCCACCACCCTTCTGGCATCTCCTTCACTCAACCAGACATGTAAGCTCCCGTCTGCAGGATGTGCGTGTCCAACCTCGCCGGCCAGGATTTTGTTCTTCGGATGCTTGACCGCTGGATTCAGTGTTTCGAGCTCCTCTCTGCTGTAGATTCCATCTGCCGCTCCGCCTTCTGTCTTCGCCGGTGCGAGATACACCAGCTTCTCGTACTTCAACGCGAGTGTGGCGCACATACTCTGTACTCGCGCCTCCACGCCGTCATCGAAATCCGATTTCTTGTATGGGACCTGGCGCTGTGGCATCGTCCTTGCCATGATGCGGGGTCGTGGGCCCACACGGCGTTTCTGGTCGAAATCTGCAGGTAGGTAGCGCGGGCCTGCGCTGGCATCGAGCGGAGAAGGATCTCGCAGGTCGTCAGAAGCCAGCAGGCGATTGAATCGGATCTTGGTCATTCGCCAGTAGCCGGCCCATGTGGGCGGGGTCCCACCTGTTCCAAATTCCCTCCATGCGTTGTAGTCCATGACAACCCAGGCTGCTAGAAGGCTAGTCGTTGTTAAGGCTGTGGCGGCGACCAGATGAATCGGACGCTGCTGTGAGAGGAATGCCGAGACATTGTTGAGCTGGCTTGCGACTGAGTCCATGGCGTGCTTCTAGCCAGCTCCCAGGTATCGGTTTTGTCGACTCAGACTAAGAAATCGAGAAAATAAGAAGGAGGGACAAGTTGTCCGTCATTAGAGCAGGTAGGGGAGGTGGTGGAAGTTGAGGTGGGGGTCCCCGCGTTCATCACCCCCATAAGCGTCCGAGTCTGCCAATCGGCACTGGACGCGTCAACTTTACGCGAAGTCCGGAAGCATCGCTGTGCGACTTCCAACTCGCGACGTTGCACGGGCTCTTGCTAAAGGAACTCCGAAGTTCCAAACCCTCTGATTGACATACAGGACGTCAGGGTTGCCGTTTCAAATTGCACTCGGGATTAACGTTGTCGCCGCGGTCGCACGAACTGCGTGTCCAATTGCAGGCTCTCATATACAATCGGAGCAAACACAGCAAGGCAACTGGCAACTGGCAACTGATTGTGGAAGCTATCTCAGCCCCGCAAGATGGATGACAAACTCCAAAATGTAAGTCTTACGGCGAACTTGGTATTTCCTAACATCTTGTAAGGTCTACAGCAAATTGATCACTGCCAATCACATCCTCCACCATCATGGCGTGGTCGATGCATATGGTCACATCTCCGTCCGCCATCCTCAGGACCCTTCCCTCTATATCATGTGCGGGTACATGGCGCCTGCGCTTGTCAGCTCACCAGCCGATTTGTTAACCTACCAGATCTCTGATTCTTCACCCACCACATCTGTGCCACACCCAGGCTACAGCGAGCGGTTTATCCACTCCGAGATCTTCAAGCGCTTTCCGTCCGTGCAATGCGTGATCCACAGCCATGCCGAGGACGTATTGCCATATGTGGTATCCGGCGTGCCTTTGAGACCAGTGTACCACATGGCAGGGTTTCTTGGCAGAGATGTACCGGTCTTTGATGTGTCTCCTCTGTATGAGCAGGCTGCGACTCCGGTGGAAAAACGAGATATGCTGGTCAACAACATCATGCTTGGAGAGGGGCTCGCAAAGAAATTTGGCGATGCTGGGCAGGACCGTGGAGAGCCTAAGAGCAGCGTGGTGTTGATGAGGAGGCACGGCTTCACTTGCGTTGCAGATGGGATTGAGAAGGCGGTTTATCGTGCAATCTATACGAAGATCAATGCAAAAGCGTTGACAGACAGCCTGGCGGTGAGGAAGAACTTTGAAGGCATGGGAGATGTGGCGTTTGACGGAGGCGATCTAGGACTGCCGGAGGATCAAGTCGTGGGCAGTACGGCGATGAATGAAAGATTCCAGTACGCGAATGGATTGCGTGTGGCGATGGTATGCTAACTGCATTTTAGGGACAAACCGTGGAAGCTGTGGGTGCGAGAGGTTGAGCGAGGCGGGATCTACGTTAATCGACTGACATGAGCAAAGCTCCATCAAGTCGATCGCCGAAGCAGTGGTCTGCCCAAAGCATCTGACTCGAGCCAGTTGCCAGGCTAGTCTACGATTCCTCCGTAGCAAGTTTTGTTCTTTCCATCAAAAACACCTCCGGTGTTTTCTCTGAACTATCCGACTTGACCCCCTGTATATTCCCCGCCCACTTTTCTGCGGCACTCCTCTCCTCGAAACCCCCAAGTTCCACTAGAACATCTTCCTCCCCATGCTCTTGGCCCTTCTTGATGTTCCACGCCCATACTACCTCATGTATGCCAGCTCCCTCGTGTGTGTGTTCTTTTTTCCTTTCTTGGAGTCGTGTTCTCTGCTCCAGATTTAGGACTCCTACCCTCCAGGAAGCCACTCCCAATACCCACCCCTTTCGTCCCTCTCTTGCTGCCTCCGGCACTCGCCCGTTCCCCACGTCGACATACTCCATCCACTGGATATCCATCAAGCCATCAATCAATGGCCACAGGCGCTTCTGCTCCTCGCTTCCCTGGAATCCATCACGGTGAGCTTCCACACTCGGCCAACCCCCAATCACAAACATTGTATGCGGGTCCGTCAGCGACGAGAAGAAGCGTGTGGGCAACCCAGAAGAAGCTTCGATAATTTGGGTAACGGCGGGCAGGTTGGCCAATAGTTGTGGGGTGGCAGAAGTTGTCGGTGGTGGCAGGAACAAGCGAGCTAATTCGATGATAGTCATGTTGAGACTGGCCAGCTTCCTTGCGGGCTTTTGGATTACCTGCTCTTTGATAATGCTAGCGGTTGTGCCTGACTGGAGGCAGGGGTTGTGTTCGGATATCCGAGTCCAATTCGGACGTGGTCAGCAAGGCGTCGGAAAAGTGGGTCACTCTGCATTCACTGCCTGAAGACCTCTAGACGAGCGGCAATCGATCACAGAAGTGTTCATAGATCGACGAATATGTGCCAGGTCGTTAAGACCGACCTGATAAGGCTGATCTCTGGATAGTGCCGTGATGTAGAATGAGTTCAAACCCCGCAATGACATGTTCTGATGAATCGCGGGGTGATTCTCTGATTGGATCCAGCGCAACACAAACCTTGCGAGGGATGCCTGAGGTTTTACCACGCCTCAGCTCAATTCGCAACAAGACTTGACACAACTTCCCGCTCGATATCGCCGCCTAGCAAGGCTGTTTCGCTCGTTGTATAAGGTCCTTCTCGAAGCCGGTCATTGTCAATACTTGAGAAGCTCTAGGCTGGTTCGAGCCCTAACCTCGTACACCCATCGTGAATGCTGTCCCGATGGCCGCTAATTTCAATGTCATAATCATTGGGGCTGGGCTTGCTGGTTTAGCGATAGCTCAAGGTCTCAAGAAGAATGGAATACCGTTTGTCATTTTCGAGAAGGAAGTGACGCCACGCGATCGCAATTGGGGTGTCACTATCAGCTGGGCCGTGCCATATCTGCAGGAATGTCTCTCGCCTGAGCTCTTTGATCGTTTGAAGGAGTGCCAGCCCGATCCCGGCCTTGACTGCAAAGCTCGAGGTCAAGAAAGTGTTCTCATTCGGAATGGTGCCACAGGCGAGAGGCTGGTCGAATCGACCTTCCCCGGGATCAGGCGGCTGCAGATCAAGAAGACAAGGAAGATATGGGGTGAGAACATCAATGTCCAATTTGGCAAAGTCATCACAGGAATCGATACCCCAGCAGGCGGAGGGGTGACAGCACACTTTACAGACGGTACTTCTGTGTCCGGATCCGTCCTCATTGGTACCGATGGGGGTTCTTCTTGGGCTCGAGGCGCCCTCTTCGGCGAGGAAGCTCAGCCATGGGAACTTGGCTATCACTTCGTGAACTTCCCCTTCCAGCTTCAAGCGGAACAAGCTAGGTGGCTGGACGAGAGAATCCACCCTATTGTGGACGTTGGATGCCACCCGAACAAGCCCATGTATTCAGGCATCTTTATTCTGGACAAGCCAGAGCTGGACAACCCGGAGACATGGGTCTTCTATGTGCTGTCCACCTGGCCCAAGAGCGAGGGATCTTATCGTAAGGACGAAGATCTGCTGGCGGAATACCGACGGCACATGCAGGGATGGGGGGACCCCTACAAGCAGGTTGCCGATTGGATTCCACCGGGAACCAAGGTGAGAGCTGTGGAAGGCGGTCTGAAGGTGTTCGCCCCCAGGACAAAATGGGACAACAGAGATGGAAGGTTTACGATCGGAGGCGATGCGGCGCACTCGATGACGGGTAAGTGGTGCTCGTGCCAGCCGGCGTCGAGGTCTGGGCCTATATTCTGGCGAATTACCTCTATATTTATTCGACGTCCTCCCCAGCTTGTTCCTCTTTCTGTTCCTGAATGCTAACTCGAGTTTTAGTGAGTACACAGTCCATCACTACTTCAACTATCAGCGCTACACAACGACAGCGCTGATAACCGAAATCTCAAGAATCTGCTGGAACTGCAAGCCCCTTATCACCTAACTTCGACCATCAATAACTCAGGCTAACCTCGTGTTCCAGTTCCATCGTGGTCAAGGTGGTAACAATGCCTTAAGAGATGCAAATCAGTTCGTGTCAGCCATGATTGACGTCAACGCGGGAGGGAAGACATTGCGGGAGGCCGTCGATGCATACGATGCTGAGATGCTCCAGAGAGGCGCATCAGAAGTGGAGATGAGCTCGAAGCAGACTCATGCCTTCCACAACTATCAGGCTTTTCTCGAGAGCCCTATCATGAAGCACGGAATCAAACCCACAGCAGCCAGCGTCGATGGAAGTTCGACCGGAGCTTTAGATTCAGGGAATACCTCAGGTTCCTAGGAAGTAGACAGGGCTGCTATGAGGCAGGCGAGGCAGGTTTAGGCGAGGCAGCGCTTAATTGTCAGCCCCGCGCGCCTGGGGCAGCCGGAGACAAACTAGCAGTGATCTGCCTCTGTACGTAAGGTAGCTTCTGCCCTACGCCTCTTTTCACGAAATCTACTGGTGTTTTCAACGACATTCACAACTCCCTTCTGCTTGCCTATGGATTATCTGTGCCCGCGGCCGTAGACTTGAATGATTGCACAGAGTGTGCGCCAATAGTCCGAATCGGCTACTACTTTGTAGCACCGCAACTGAACGACATGTCGGAATATTGGAAGTCGACAGTGAGTACGAACTGGTCGCATTAAGTACACCCATTACTAACTTCGTGCAGCCAAAATACTGGTGCAAGCACTGCTCGGCCTATATTCGAGATACCGCTTTTGAGAAAAGACAACATGAGGCAACTGCAAAGCATCAGAACAATTTGAAGCGCTTTCTGCGAGACATTCAGAACAATCATGAGCATGACGAGCGCGAAAAGGAGAAGGCCAAAGCAGAGGTAGAGCGTCTGAACAAAGTGGTGGGAAGTGCAGGACCAACCGCAACGTCATCAGTTGCTTCAAAGCCTCCAGCTACCGTGCGTAAGACGCCCGCCGCGCCTCTCACTGCTACTGATCAGAAGCGACAATGGACCCAGTTGGCCGAGATGGGTATCGAAGTACCAGACAACCATCGGGCCGAGATGGCTATGGCTGGCGACTGGAAAGTTGTGTCTCAGGCGACACCCAAAGATAACAACGCCGCCCAGATTGATTCCCTTAGCGTTGGTGTGCACAAGCGCAAGCTAGATGAACAGGAACAGGAGGACCTTGAGTCTGGTACCTCCCCAAGTGCCAGAAGAGTCTGGGGCAAGTCCGTCCGAACATATCCCGGTGAGGATATCCAGGACTTGGACAACCTGCTATCTGGAACCATCGCTTTGAAGGAGAAGAAAGAGGAAGATGTGAAACGAGAACCTGCAACCGCCGCCCAAGCTTCGCTGGCCCCTAATGCATCACCGGTAGCCGGTTTCCCCGCTGACGACGCAAGCCTAGAAGCGAGTGCGAACGCTGCGTTGGCGAAGCAGGAACCGAACGTTGACTCGACGCCGCTAGTTAAGCCCGAGTTTGCAGCCGATGGCCCGGAAACGGCTCGACTCAATCAGATCCCAGAGGACACGCCCATCCCTGTCTTCAAAAGGAGAAAGGCCAAAACAACATCTGCTAAATGATGAAGGCTCTTGACCGCCAGAATCTACGTCGGATTGCTGTAGTAAGCGAAATCACGCGGGGCTTCTAATCGAGTCATTGAACATGCGTTGTCCAAATAAGTCACGAACACTACTCGCTCAATCGGCTTTGTTTGCACGAGTATCAGTGTGGCTCTCGTGATCTCTAGCCCTGGCACAAGTTGTGTCATGGGGGCCAAAAGTGGGCCACACAACCTGCGAGAAGCACACGTGCCAGTGGCAGTCCCAGGGCTATGCCAGAGGGATACTTTTCCCAGACGTTAGGTGAGGTCAGATAAGTGCCGCAACAGGCTGATCCCCGTCAGCAACGCACGGAGCCGTTGACAGACTGTCGTTAGGGCAAGAGGGCCGGGCGATCTCCGTCAAGCCATTGCATAGAATAGGGTTGAATGTCCGAACAAGCGCACAAAACAACCGCAAGCAGTAAGCTGACTGAAGGCAGCAAGCAGGCAAAGCCAGCCGGTGTGATGCAGCCCGCTGTAACGGTGCAGGCAGCCCCTTCTGGTTTGCCAGCAGGAAAGACATGCACAGGTAATGAATGGACCAGGACCAGCTCCATCCCTTAGCCTAGCAGATCACCTTTCGGCAGCTAGCACTTAACCGAGCTGCAGTACAGGGGGCACGCAGAAGAGCATCAGTACCGTTGGCCAGCGTGCTGGTCGGTCACACTTTCGCCACCCTCGGTTAGTGGCTGGCTGGCTAGCGATGGGATAGTCGTGCCTTGGACTAGGTCACCAGTCTCAGGCGAGGTTGTCGTGCTCTTGGACGGGCAGGGGGGATTGGTTTCGTCTATTGTAGTCGGAGAATTCGGTTTTACAAAGCTCAAAGAGCAGGCTGTTCAGAAGCAGGCATGCCCCGGAAAGCCAATCTCGCGCTTCGAGTCGGCAAGTGAACGAGCAGGTGAGGGATTAGGCTGGGCTGTGGGATGGTCCAAGCCTGCTGGCGAAGTCACGGCTATGCTGCCGAAGAATTATTGTGACGCTGGGGAATGAGTACTCCGTACAGGCAGGACGGAATTCAGGAAGGCTGAAGCTCGAGTGACACAAGCTACAGCAGCCATGCATGAATGGTGACAAATCTGCGACAGAGGTACGTACTGGCACTCCAATGTCCAACGGCGCTCAACGGGACCATGAGGAACCGTGCTGCTGGTTGCGCGACGACACAAGTATCGGTACAGACTAACAACAACGAATGAACGCGGACCCGGGTAGTGACTACATCCGCACGGCACCGAAGTGCAAAGGTATCATGCTCGCGTCGAATTCGTTTTGGTTTACTTGTATTGTTTCGAACTTCAGCCCCGTGGCGACTCATGTGTAGTCTGGTTACGCTGTCCGAGACATTCCCTTAGTCCTCCGAAGACCAGCTAGCGCCAGAGCGCTGGCAGATGCCGTGGTGATCGCATGCACCAGATCGACAATTCCACCCAGAAGAATAGAAGACTCCGTCCAATAATGAATGGGATTGCCACCTACTGATGGCCTAGTTGGATATAGGTATGCAGCATGATTTCACGCGGAGCACTCGCTGCCCCCCCCTTCCCACGTTGGCTGAGGACCGAAGCTTGAAATTGTCCTTGCGAGATCTGGGGGCCCAATGGTGGCGGAAGAAGAATCTCAACAACTTCCGTACTCCGTATGCTGACACGGTGGCATTGACCATACAGGTCGACTCTTCCTCCAGGCTTGAGCAGCACAAACGAAGAGCCGCAGCCGAGGAGATCGATAGACCGAAGCTCAACAAGCAGGGCAGCTAGGGGCGCGCCAAACGCTCCCTCGTCCAGCGCAGGGTCTTGGCAACGGTTGCAAACCTTGAACGTTAGAAAAACGTGTTAGGCGGCGGCAGGCGGAGGCCACAAAGGAGGGGGATCCCTGCGAGCGAGCAGCAGATCCGCAACTCGGGCGACTGGTACCCGGACCAAGACATCGATATTCTGTCTGGTACCAAAGGACCGGCCTATACCAGAGTCAAAGAGGTCAGTGGTTTTCCCGGTGGATCCTCGTGCTGGCCTTTGTTGTGTCTATTTCCCAACCACTAGTTGGATCGACGTCGACCTGATTTGAGTATTTCTCTGTGCGGAACCTGCGTGCCAACGCGACAGACCATCGGGTGGTGTCAGCCTTTGGCTTTGAGCTTGCCCTAGGCGCCCAGTGGGTTTAGCCTGGCGGAGTCGAATGCCTCGCTTATTCGCATCCCATGCACAAAGGGTTACCGTCAGTCTCACCCCTGCACGAACAAGGCCTTTAGTGTCGGGAGATGCCCTAAGCGAGTCGAGCGAGTGCAAAGCGAGCGTTTTTTTAGTGGCCGCTAGACACGGTAGTTATGGTCAAAGCAGCAAGCGTCTATTGCCCACCGCGAACCTTGGTCCCTGGTCGCTGGACGGTTGCAGTCGATGTTTGCCCGATGCAACGAGCTCCCGCAGCAACAATGGGGGACTAGGACGCGAGGAGGCCAAGGTACAGCGACTCGTGGGCATGACTATTGTTTGTGGTGACCAAGGACTACGAGGGGTAGGGGGAGGGGGGGCCCTGAAGCTGCGAGCCTGTGAAGCGATCCCAAGCGAGCTCGTCTCAATTTCGCCATCCACTGAAGCTGGGCCTTTCGGCACTTGTCGAGTCCGCATCTCCTTGACCATTCGAGCCTGGTTTGGACGAGTTTCATACCGTCTGAGATCGCATGCCAAAGGCGGAGTCGCGACAAGCCGCACCCAACCCATGTCGACTCACCTCCATCATTTACTGAGCCCGCTTCCCTGATTCGTGCACTGGTTCCTTTTCTACGACAGGCCAGCGGTGTGAGCATCAGCCCATATCCCATCGCGTTGCAGCTCTTGGTGCAGTAGTTGACTTCTTATTCTATCCAGCCTACATCAGTTCAGTGTTTAATGCTGTAAACGAGCGCGTTGCCTTCAGCAAGCAGCTTCCCGTCTTCGGCCCTCGATACTTCGCCTCCGCTTGCCATTTACTTTTGGTACCACCACCACTACTTCCACCACCACCACCACGACACCTTTTTTCCGCCCACCTTCACCAGCGGCGATCCCCCCGCCATCCGCCATCCTGGATCACTACAGCTATTCCAACTCGGCGGAAGTCGGCCTAATGAACTACCCTCATCACCACAGCATGACCAGTGCGGGTATGCAGCCGACCTCCGCCTCCATCAGTCTCCCACCCATCAGCAGTATAGACTTCCGTACACAGCAGGCGCATCACGCCTCACCAGATGTCCTACAGCCCATGCCACCACCGCAGCCGCCTCGACAACTGCCACCGCTTCCTCATCAGCAGCACTACTACAATGGCGGCAGGACCATTCCTCACCAGCCCGAGTACGTTCAGCAGCGCGCCATCTATCCCGGCATGCAGGTCGCATCTCCATACCAACTTGTTTCGAGTCGCATTCCCTTGCCCTCGACCACCGATCCCAGTCTAATTGTGGCGGCGCCCGCGAGACACAAGACCAAGGAAGTTAAGAGACGGACCAAAACCGGATGCTTAACCTGTCGAAAACGACGCATCAAGGTAAGCCGTGAGATCCAAATTCCACCTACCCTTGTGTTTGCATTTGCCTGGGCGGGAGATCAGCCTTGCCCGAGGGTCTGCAGCATTTGCGTGGCCACTGCAGTGGGCGAGTGACACATGACACCCGAAGGGCATCGCTCCAGGCGGCGGGCTGCGGGCGGCGGGCGGCGGGTGCAACAATTGGCGGGCTCCACAGGCGCTCGCGTGGCGCTACGGCAGCCGCTGATCTGCGCCCGTCACACCCCGAAGCTTTTTTATCTCGCCCTCCCCCTTCGAATTTGTTCCCTAACCGACAACGGAAACTCTTCTCCGACCGTCGCCAGCCTCTCCCCTGTGACACAATTATTGTCAATTCATCACCGCCGCTCCACGTGAGGGAGCCCGTCACCGCCTCACTCACTTGCTGCTAGCCCGTAGCCTGCTATCTTCTTGTCCTCGCGCTAACCTCTTTTTTCCTCCACAGTGCGACGAAGGCCGACCAGAGTGCCGGAATTGTCAGAAGTCGAAGCGCGCCTGTATGGGATACGACCCGGTCTTCAGCAACCAGGTCCCTCAGTCTATTGCCCCCTCGCAGCAATCTAATCCCCACAACCCGGCAGCGACGACTGCCACCACTCAGCCACAACATTATCAGACCAGCAGCCCGTCGAGTCATAGCCATACTTCCTTGCCCTCGTCGACGCCGCAGGATTTCAGCTTCTCCAAGCCGCCAGACCTGCTGCCCACTCTCAATCAACCCTACAGGATGGACAATACCGGCCACGCCGGTATGCACACATATTCCTCCGCGGGTCGCCGTGAGTCCTCTCATCAACATTGGGTATTGAATCGTACTCTTTCTGACAACCATTGGCGACCAACAGTTGCATGACTAACATGATTCCCCTTTGTCCTATTTAGCTAGCAGCAGACGCACTATAGAAGAAGTCTGCACCATTCCCGGTACCAAGGTCCCTGCCATTCCCGCCATCCCGCCTGACTCTGTACCCAACCTGGAATCTATCCGCAAGGTCTACGATGTCGCCTTTGCACCCGGGCTCGATAAGTTCCTCGAGTCCAATACCCATTGGTATGCCACCTACGGCTTTGACCTGCTGGCGAGCAACCGTAATCTCCTGGGGCTGATGCTCGCCTACCTCACACTTGTGAGCTCTCACCATGACGCACCGGTCAATACCAATCCCACCCTAGTCAGCCAGGAGGCGCGCGTCACATGGGCCATGCTTTCACTCTGCGTGCGCGCGGAGAACACGGCCCCCGCTGCTGGCGACGAAGCAGACAAGCTCGCTCGACGCTTCCGCACCGTCGAGTCTCTTTTGACTGGCGAGCCTCTTACCAACACCGCCGCTTCGATGTCCGAGTTCATTCACCAGGAACCAGAGCCACAGGCTATTGCCGAGGCGGAGGCCGAAGCCGAAGCCCGAGCTAAAGAGGCTGAGCAAGATGCCCAGCGCCCACCCTTTGCGCGACAAGTGGCACGCCGCGGCTCCGAGTTCTGGGCCATCCTAGAAGGCATCGCCACCGCGCAGGGCCGCGGTACGCTGGGCGCGCCGGATATCAAGGCCTCGATTGCGCAGATCAAGGGTTTGCTGGACGGGAAAGAGAACCGGGACGTCCTGTACGCTGCACTGCTCCTGGGCTGGGGCATCAACGGGGATCCGAGTGCAGAGCGAGAACTGGGGCGGCGGTTTTTAATTAATCAGGCGGGCGGGAGGGCCACGGACGCGGTCAGTGCGACTTTGTGCGGCATGTGCCTGCGGGCGCTGGAGACGGAAAGTAATGTTGAAGGGTCCGGTCTCAGCGGTCACGGTGGTGCCAGCGGTGGTGTTTGACACGTTGATGCGCTGTTTGAATTCATAATGTCTTGAATTTTATTGGTACTGAAGCATGGCATAATGTGGGCGAATGGAAGGATAAAGCTGAAGCAGCATGAAATGGGCGTTCGCAAGAGAATCGGGAGATTGGCATTTTTTACCACCACCACCACCACCACCACCACCACCGTCACCACCAACTTTGGGTTTTTCACAACAAGCATATTTCCTTACGAATCGAATCCGACTCATCTTTGACGTTTTTACTCATCATACGCAACATATTCCCCCCAAATTCAGTGTTACGAAATTTGCAATACCTAAGAGCATGCAGACGACGACGACGCAGAATACGGTTTGCACAATACACACAACACAAGACATACGCGCACACAGAGACAGCATCCTAAGCATTTGTCGTTGGCTTTGCGAGCAAGAAGTGATACCCCCCCCCCCCCGCCACCTTTTTCGAACGAAACAATAGCGATGAGAACTATTGAGATCAGCGCCTTAGTACAGCCCACGTATGTCGCGGGCGAGACATTTTTATAGTTGGTAGTATAGATTATTGAGATCGAGAACTGAGCCATGAGAATGAGAATGGATACGAGTGTGAGAGAAAGTTCGCTCGCAAGCATTGAGATTATCTGCCAGTACACTTACTTTGTTATTATTGACGAGCCTACTGGTGTCTGTTGCCCCATGCGAACTGAAGGCCGCCTGCCTTGAATCTACTGACTGATAAGTCTCTAACCGGCTCTATACCAATGACTCCTCATGCATCTTTTCTTTTCCTGATCTGTGCAGTCCTGAGGCACAGCCCGTGGGCATACAGTCTCTGGTCTCTGCTCAACCCCTGCGGGCACAAAGATCCATTGCCAATCCATCAGTACCAGTCCCCGGAACACCGGGGACTGCGAAGGAAGACCCGGAAATTATTTCCAGGCGGCTTGATGGTAGCAAGGCAGGTGGCGTACTTGCGACGAATCGTATACCACGATGGTGCCAAGTGATGCACAAGAAAGCATAAACTGGTGCCTAAATCATCCTAGTAGGAGTTGAGTCAGTGATCAAGCAGGTACACAATTCGTCAAGCCAACTGAGGATTGGTATACTTGCTTCTCCGGATGCTGGCGGCGTACAGAGCACAGACACCCATCGTGCGACATCTGAATCAGGTAGCTGTGATAAGACGGACGCTGTGCAATGATCTGCTGTATGTACTTGTGACACGATTCGCGAATGTACCTGTTACACGGCGCACGAGGCAGTAGCTGTCAAATCTCCGAGATGGAGCCAAGGCGTTTGGGTGGTGTGTCTTGTGCTCCAGTCGCCGCTTTTGGCTTGTATGTTGTATTTGACTCTGCCCGCCGGAATGTTTGCGGAAGCCTTCAATGGAGCTCCACGTACGCTGAGAGGAGCATTTTCAACCCCAGTCTTGAACACGGGCGGATCAAAGACATGGGCCGCAGCAGGCATGTGAGACGCCACGGTCAAGCATAGTTTCGGACCGCATATGAGTTCCATCAGGCATCCATCAATGCGCATAATATAGGCCGAAGACCAAGTCCAAGGGCCCATAACGGTTGAGGTTTTCGAGCGAAGTTGTACCTTAACTCGACGGCCCCCATGCGACTCTGGCTCGTATTCGACCCTGGCAATGCGCATGCGAAGTCGCTCGGTTACCAAACGAGCTGCCGTTGCAAGGGTTGATCCTGACGGTCAAGATCGAGTGGTGGCTGCCCGGCTCGGAGCAAGATTGAAGGTAGCAAGGTACTACGTACCCTGTACAATCGTAAGCCATAGCGCTGTCATTTGCTTCATGGTTTCACCTTCGCCCACTGATGACCGAAGTCAAAGTCCTCGGTTTGGAACATCAAGCAAGCGAGGCCGGGGAAGGATTGTGGCACCTACAAGGATGCAACGTAGATGCGAGTCGAAACGAGTCGAGTGGACCTGGGTAAGGACCAGGGTTGCTCGGACCGCTCAGAATTTTCTGGACCCTCCAGGCGCTCCACCGCCGCCAGGTGATGCTGGCCATGCAAAGAAACGATGAGGTTGATTATGCGCCGACGTCAAAGTTGAGGGGCCACATGTTGTTCACTGCGTGTTTGACAGGCGATCCCACGTGAATAGCTCGCTTAGAGGTTTTGACAGGTGTCGGGATGGGCCTCGCACACTCAAATGCAGCGTAAATCTGCTCCGTAGCCACGTCGATCTGGACGCTCTCCCGCAGCTCCCGCTTCGAAATTGAAGCAGGCATTCAGATCTTCCGAAAGTTTGTTTGCCTCCTCGCAGGCGTCAAAGGTTAATGCATTCGGTTCGGACTTCGATGTTTGTTCCTCATTTTGGTAGGAGCCCTACCACAGAAACCCAGTATCCAAGCCGCCTATGCCCACGGTCTGTCAGCAAGGGGTCGAGTCGAGTCGAGTAAGGGCCGATGACGTTGGGAGTAACAGCTTGTACACAGTCCTGCTGACAAAGTCTCGACACTCGGTGCTGTCGTGCCAATGATGATTAGCTCTTCGTCTCCAGATGGCCAACAACACTGCCGAGCTCCACGCAGGATTACGCCATCGATCATTTGTGGTTGACATTCAGGATCGATGTACCGTATAATCGTGTCTCTGTAGATGCAAGCACGACTCAGTCACTGCGTCTGCGAGTCAGGGTCTCTCCCCAGGCCGTACCGTGCAGTTCTAACTTCTTTGACTGATTTAGCGTATCGAGGAATGCAGCAGCGAAGTGCGCGTACTACACCCAGCCAAGATGCCCGTCGTATGGATATGCAATGCTGGACACTTCCTATGCATGCTTCTGTGACTGGGTGACTAGGTGGATGAAGCTCTGCGAGTACCCTATAGCGTGAGTCTCAGGTCACGAGACGGCAGCGACAAGTCATGTATTTGGAAGCAAGGACGAGCTGCAGTTGACAGAGTCCGCTAGGCTACGCGCGAAGAAGGAGCGAACGACGACCATGGCCCAATCATACCGCGATCCAAGCAGGAGCGATTGCTGGACTCGTTGCGCGCCTGACTGCGCAACATGCTCAGTCGACGCGCGCACCTATCCTTAGATCTGAACGATTTGTACAGGAACAATGAGGAAAAGCTGAGACGTGATCAAGGGCTTCGGGCGTGTTGGTATAGTGGCTACCTCAATCTAAAATAAATCCCTTTCAACGACCATCTTGCATAAAGCATCCTGCTAGCCGGTTCCTAGTCAAACCGCCCACTCGACGACTAGGTAGCGGGAGACCAACGACACAGATAATGCCTTTCAATACTCTGCCCCATTCCAAATTCTAGTTCGCACCTGCAGACTAGCCTTCTCGTCTACATCATTGCGGGCTCTGATACCCTGCCCTTCTGCCTTGATAAGTCTTCCAAAGAGTCAGATATCCAGGTCACTTGTCACTTGACGCGCCGCACTGATCCAGACTGCTAGTACTGGTTCATTCGGACACGAATGACCGCATTGTAGCCCGTTCGGGCCGGCTCTGAGCCGTAATTCAAGACACTGGACCCCAGGGTCGTGTGTATGAGGACCCGCTCGTGGTGTGCGACGCCGGTGCTGAGACTATGATCAGAAAAGTCTTTGCTCTCGGGCATTGCGCATGTCGACCTCGCACTCAGACTGAGAGCCAAATCAGCCGAAATCGCAGAACCAGCAGCGGCTGTTGTCTCTGGCTGTCAACAGTTTCTTGAAGCTCGGCTCCTGACAGTCGCGGGGCCGTCAGCTTTGTCCCCTGTTCGTCTCATAGAACCCTCCTAGGTCGTGGATGACCATTCAATCGTCCGTTTCCAGCTGTTTCGCGCTGACAATGCGTTTGCCGCCCATTTCCTTTATTTTTGCGAGAAGAACACCTTCTTGATGCATGCCGACGATTTCACTCGCGCCACCAATGCTTCGAGTATTGATCAAGATGTTCGGCACGGTCCGTCGACCAGTCAAAGAGGCCAGCAGATCTTGCATTTTCCGGCCGAGTGTCACATCGCCCATGCTGTCGACATCTGCATCCTCATCCTCATCGCCATGCGGTGTCTTATGCTTGGGTATCGGCTGAGTCATCTCATCGAGCTCAACCACGTACGGAGCCGGCTTGATATCGTACATGTGGAGTAGCAGCTGTTTGGCGCGTTTTGAATGTGGACAGTATGTTTTGCTGAAGATTATAATGGGCGACCTCTTGAGAATTTGCTGAAGCTCTTCACGTGCCATCTCCTCGCCTGGATCGGATGCAGCTTCGGTCTTGATCTCGTCCAAGTCCTCGGTCTCGGCAACTGGATATTTCGGCTTCTCCTTGGGCGCTTGCTGGAAGGGCGACTGTCTCGGGTTGGGCATACTCTTGCGTCCAGCGACCGGTATCTCGTCGTTCACGTTGCCTGTGGTTCCCGAGGGCAGCTCTGTTCCATCTTTGCGATCGTCAAGTATTTGCTGCAGCTTATCATTCGTCTGCGCCAACAGATCTTCGTCACTAATGTCACCAGCTAGGACACTATGTTTGCGGTGAAGGGCTGCTTCAGTCTTGCCACGAAAATCAGTGCCTTTATCCGCCTCTGACGAGAAGAACAGAATATAGCATAGTACAACGCCCGCGACGAGCAGAATGATCTGCGTTCGGCGGGTGCGAGGAGAAGCCATGTCTCTGCAATGGGGGCTGCCGAGGCGGGGTTTTGAGGTGAGTGCGCAGGCAGTATGGTGCGCCCAATGTGGACGCAGGCGTCGAGCTGAAGCGCTATGTAGACGGCAGTGGACCAGATGTCTTATTGCATATCAACGGGCCTGCTAAATCGAAGTTCGAAAGAGGTGGAGGATCGCAGCAAGAATATCGATCAGGCTGGACTTTGGCGGCGAATGATGGAGCTTGGTCTTTCTGGGGTTATCACTGCTGATGATTCTGGAATGCGCCTCAACGAATATACACTCAAGTATGTATAGATGGGCAATAGAATGGGTGATCAGAGGGGGAGGAATGAGTACAAGGAGTGGTCTGGAGTTGGCCGTGCCTGGCAGACTCGACATCGGCTCCTGCCTCGCGAATAATGATACAGTTCAAGGAGAGCGCGACGGGTAAGAATGAGCCGCCGAGATTACCTGCTTATGTTATATTGAAGGGGTTGCTTTTAGTTTCGCAGACAGCCCAAATGATCTGGCAACCAATTAGTCGATAGTAGCGGAGGCTAAAAGGTTGGAAGCGTAGAGCAGACGAACGAGGGCGCGGCGCTAGGAAGGTCGAATTGGCGGGGAGGACCAGGCCTAGAAACAGGACGCCTGGCTAGATCCCTCCTCAGTTTCTACTTGTGGCATACAAGCACGACGGCTGGATGCTCTGTGGCTCGCGTTCCTGCATTAGTTACTCCGTACGTGCCCACATGAGCTTTCAGTAGCCTCAGAAGCTCCAGCAACATCACTTTCACTACGTGTGGTAACAAGACCTCGTTCCAGCAAAGCGACCTGACCGGTGACCACATGATACTCTACCAAGACGGCTACAGCGGCGAGCAAGGCAATTAACCGTGGACCAGCTCCACTCTTTAATTCTAACTGCCCTACCCGTTTGTAGCATGAGATCGCCCGGGTTCTATCCTCCATGCTTATTGTTAGAAAATCGACCCCAAAACATCAAACACCCCCAGGAAGTCAGGTCGTCGTCAACGGGACGATTGCCGATTCTTCCGTGTATTGTTCCTACCGCAATCTTATGAAAATTTCGGGAATGGCTAGTTTTGAACGGCAATTGTTTTGGTACAAGTACGCCTTGTCAACCTGGGAAGCATGACTCAAGGCAATGGAAGGCAATTCGGCTTTTCCCCATGTCCGCATTGTGTAGCAGTGGCCGCCCGAGTCGCCAAGTCTGGTAGACTGTGTGCTAAGTAGGTAGTAACGTCGCCAGCCAACGCCTCGCTATTATTATTCAGATATCGTGTCATCATATCGGCAGTCCTGTCACCACGCCCTCTTGAGAAGGAACCATCGTCTCACGCCATAAGACCTCCGAGCACCACCTTTTGTACACTCATTAGCTCCTTCTTGGCATTGTCACGCGACGCGGTCTCAAATTCCTTCAAGATACCCCCGACCATCACCTTGCGTATACGGGCATCCACCTTTGTAAACATCTCACTCAGAGCAGGCGTGCATGTATCAGGTGCTCCAAGGAGTTGGAGCAGACGTTGGTAAACATCGATCAAAACCTCGCAGAGAGTCGCAAAGACCGTGTAAAAGTCCGGCGCGAAAGGCAGTGGAGGCGTGATGAGATGTGTATAAGGGCCTTCATTCGATGCTAAAGTCGAGTTGGGCCCATCATGCGGGCCTGGTAGGGGAAAGGCTGACGTCGTTGGGAAGCTCGCGGCACCTGGCGCCGTTGCACTGGATAGAGGCAGCTGTGTTGAAGACAATGAGAAACCGGATGTACTGTATCCACCGTCTATCGAGCTCTGATGCGCATGACCGGATCCAGGCTCAGGCATCGCAGGTGCTGATATCGTCTGCGTCAATTCCGGCCCAATCGCACCGCTCGATTTTCGTGGCCTGGTTGTCGACCTTTTGAACATTTGTGGTAGCCGTGCTCGACTCAGAGAGCTGGCTGCACTGCCATCCGTCGGGTGGTGCTGTGTGTAGGCGTCGAACTCCATTAGGAGGGCATTGAGACTTTTGAGATACTCTTGGGCGATCGCCCCGTGCTGTCCCGCGGTGTGAGAGGGGTGAGGGGCTGGGTGGACATCGATCACAGCCGGAATAGACATGCCCAAGATCATGTAATTCGTGGCTCGTCGCACGAGACGATTCGGTGTGTAAGAAGGAAGTTTGCTGATGTCCGTCTGTGAGAACTTGATCGTGTTGAACCAGAACGTCCGGCCTTCGTGTCTGCAAGACTAGTCAGTTGTTGTCTACGAAACCTGGTGGAGATAACTCTTACGCTTTGCGCATGTAATCCAGTGTAGCCATCCTCTTGCTTGACATGTCATGGATGTGCTGATACATCGTATTGGGATTCGTCGATACCGATATCACTGGGTTGTAGACAGCGGAACCATTAATCGGGGGGACCTTTGGTATATCACTCTGCACGTATTTGTATTGCGGCTTCTGCCCTAGATCGCTCGCACTGAGCGCCGGCACTCCATACATGGCCGTAGATGGTTGTGGATCGGTTGATTGAAAGTTCGCAAGGGCACCATCGCTCGTTTTTCTGGCTGCCACCTCGCTTTGTGCGATGGCGTTTAAAGATGTCGGTCCGTCAGGGGCAGTGATCCCCCGCTGAACGGGCGGGCGCGCTCTGGACTTAGAAGCTCTAAGTGTAGCCACACCAGTTGGATCGATCGATTCGGAGGAGGGCCGTGGCTTGTGTTTGCGGGAAGGGGAGCGCCCAAACTTCGAGAACAGGCTGTTCGCTGTGCCAGGGGTGGGAATATCGTTGCGTTCTCTGGATTCAGCCATGACTTCTGCATTGGCCATGCTTGTCTGCATTCACCTGAAGCCGCGGCCTGCCGCGCTGCGAAGGGAAGGTACAGGCTCAATTGAACCGATCGGCCCAGGGGCTCTTGTGATAGTACTGTAGTGGGTGCGTCAGGCTGGCCTTGAGACTCTCTACAAGGACTTGGGTATCTGCAAGAGGAGCATTTTGGGTTGGCATGGAGAGAAATGATTGGAGAGACGTGCACCGCAAAGTCGCAGAATTCAGGGGCACTGCCATCATGCCGCGCCCCTTGCAGGTCACTACACCTAACTCCCCCACACGGCTTGTTCCTTGCCCCACTACACCACCAGTCGCTGGACTTAGGCTCGTTGAGTCTGCGCATCCTGAAATCTTCCACTCACAAGTGATCCGGTGAAGCCTATCGCGCGTCAAACAATGGGAGATATACCAGAACCTGGCAAGTGGCCGGTTGACCCGCAGCAAGACGTGGAGATCCGGAAAGATCGCCTGTGGGTCGATGGCTGCTTCGATTTCGCCCACCACGGTACAAACTGCATCGGACAATTTTCCCGGACATGATCTGACCGCCTTGCAGGACATGCTGGAGCCTTGCTGCAGGGTCGCCAGCAAGGCAAGGAGCTCTGGTGCGGCATTCACTCCGATGAAGCCATTCTGGAGAACAAAGGGCCCACTGTCATGACCCTGGCTGAGCGGTGCGTCTGTCGCGCCCATATCTGGTAAGCAATTGCTGACCGCAATTGAAGTGTTGCCGCTGTCGAAGCTTGCCGTTGGGTGACCAAGTCTGTCCCACACGCGCCATATGTAACCTCGTTGCCGTGGATTTCCCATTATGGTTGTTGGTTCGTGGTTCACGGCGACGACATCACTTCTGATGCCGGCGGTGAAGACTGCTATCGCTTTGTGAAAGCTGCCGACCGGTTTCTGGTAGTCAAGCGCACGCCAGGCATCTCGACTACAGACCTAGTCGGCCGTATGCTGCTATGCACCAAGACTCACTTCATCAAGTCCTTAACAGACTCGATAGAGGGCAAGGCTGAGCCTACGTTGGGCGAGGCTGACGGTCAGGCTATGCTGCAGAGGATACGCAACTACGCCACTGATGAAACGGGCCTCAATCCAGGGCTTGAGGTATGGACATGGAAGAGCTCCATCGAAGCCAAACTAGATCCGGACGCTACCGACGCTGGAACCTTCGCAAAGCTGGTGGATGGCATTGGACCGAAGCCCGGGCAGCGAGTGGTTTATGTGGACGGCGGTTTTGACCTCTTCTCTTCGGGTCATATTGAGTTCCTCAAGCGAGTCAGCGAGGCCGAGGATGACGGAGCATATGTCATTGCTGGCATCCATGATGACCATGTCATCAACCATTGGAAGGGTCTCAATTACCCGATTATGAACATCTTCGAGCGGGGCCTCTGCGTTTTGCAGTGCAGATTCGTTCATGCGGTAATCTTCGGTGCGCCCTTCGCCCCAGTGCAGGCCTACATTGAGTCGGTACCGACTGGCAGGGTCGATGCTGTCTACCATGGTCCCACGTCATTCATGCCTCTGACGTACGACCCGTACTCGGATGCCAAAGCGTTGGGTCTCTACAGGGAAGCTGAGAATCACGACTTTGCCCACGTCAACGCTGGCGAGATTGTGCTGCGGATTATGAAAGGTAGAGAGGCTTTCGAAGAGCGACAGAAACGCAAAGGCGAAAAAGCAGTCGTCGAAGATGCGGCGCGCAAACAGGAATTACTAGCTGCGCACCGAGCGGCGGCAGAAGGGAAATCCGCCGAAGCGCTATAGACACATAGACTCGTCATAAACTTGCAGTCAACTTTCAATTCGAGTCTATGTCTTGCCCTGAAGCCTGACAACGTTCGCGCTCTCTCTAGTCCCTACTCCCCATCTGCGGCATATTTCGTACTCTTCTTCAGACAAAAGTCCGACAGGGATACTGGTTGTTATAAGTCTGACTTTCAGCGAGTTCGTACTTCTCGGCACCCACTGTGCCCTTGGCCCGCGACTGAACCGGCATTGGGGGCATCCCTCCTTCTCCGAGAACCTGAGCACCCAGTCCCTTCTCACCCTCGAAGAACACCGCCAGACCCTTGCCGCCCTCCTCCTTCACCGCCACCAATTGTTTCGCACCCTCCTCTCCAGCCAACAGTTTTGGGCTCGGTGCAGCCGCACTGCCCATACTCAACAGCCCCACCGCATCTCCTTGAGTTATATACGATGACACCGGATACGCCCGGCGCACATCACGCTTCCAGTAGGGGTTGTCAGCGATATCGGCAGCAGGGATGGTGACTGGGTCGTCGTAGTCTTTGGGATCTAGGGCTCCAGGAGTCGGATTGCGAAAGTGCTTGATCGGAATGCCGTTGCTGCGGTTGGGATCAACCGAAAATACGCGACGGATGGTTTCCCAGATGCCGGTGGAGCCTTGTGTGTATTTCTGGTTGTACGTTAGTAGCTGGAGAGCATGGTCGGCGGGCGCAGCAGAGGCGTCGAGTGGTACCTTCGAGATTGAGATGGCCTGGTTGAAAGGTTTGGCCATCTTGGCCACGGCGAGTGGGCTGCTGCCACTCAGATGATGCTCTCGATAGCTGTAGCAAAAGTCTGAGAGCAAGACTGCGAGATCTTGTTGGTCGTTGCAAGCTGCAGACTGCGAGTTCCCAAGGTCGCAGCTTCCCCGGTTCCAGGCATGAGGTGCAGTTGCAGGCTTGGCGCCTGCTCGTGCCAAGCCACTGGGCCAATCGACGAGTCCGAATGGTTGAATTGCTCAGCGTGTTCCCAGCGAATTGTCTGGGACAGGCGAAGCACTATGAAGCATTCTACATGTTTCTTCTATCAGAATATCCCAGACAAGAGGTACGTACGGTGGAGATATATTCACTAGTGCTCTGTAGCCTCTTCATATTGCTATCTACAGCAGCTTGTACAGGTGAAAGCGTATCTCTCCAGTCAGGGTCCGGTTGATCCCCCGGTGACCGGCAGCTTCGCCGGCCCTTTCCCTACATGATCGCTGATAATGGCCTGTAGTCCTGACGCATAGAACTGATCAATCAAAGACTTGCTTTCAAAAGCTTACGTTCTCTCAGACTCAGACTGCTGCGCGAGAGGACACAGACAGGCACTCGCAATGGCACCGCCCAGAATCCTGCTCCTAGGCACGATTGACTACGCGCAAGATGCCTGGGACTCACTGTCTGCCCATGGCCAACTCGTCACTCCCAAGTCAAGCAACCGAGCCGATTTCTTTGAAGAATGCCGATCTGGAGCGCTTGATGGTGTGGTCGCTGCCTATCGTACGTTTCCATCAGTCGCAATCACAGGCCGCTTCGATGCTGAGCTCTGTAATGCACTGCCCAAGTCCTTGCGCTTCCTTGCTCATTGCGGCGCCGGCTATGACCAGATCGACTCCGAAGCATGCTCGAAACGAGATCCGCCACTTCTTGTGGCCAATGTGCCAGATCCTGTCAACGATGCCACAGCTGACACGGCGATCTTTCTCATGCTTGGCGCCCTCCGAAATTTCAACGAGTGTATGAACAGTTTACGGCGTGGCCACTGGCGAGACAGTCCTGCACCAAGTATGGGTCACGATCCCCAGGGTAAAGTCCTCGGAATTTTGGGCATGGGCGGAATCGGCAGGAATATGAAACGAAAAGCGGAAGCTTTTGGTATGACAACCGTCTACCACAATCGCAACAAGCTGTCGGAGCAGCTGGCGGATGGTGCAGAGTATGTGAGCTTTGAGGAGCTTCTAAAACGAGCCGATGTACTCAGCCTGAATCTGCCCTTGAACCCGCATACGAGGCACATCATTTCAACGCAGCAGTTACAGCTGATGAAGCCAAGCGCTGTCATTGTCAACACAGCGAGAGGCGCGGTGATGGATGAAGCAGCGCTGGTGAAGGCGCTTGACGATGGCACTATAGCTGGCGCCGGGCTGGATGTTTATGAGGACGAGCCAACGATTCATGAAGGCCTTTTGAAAAATGAAAAGGTGGTCTTGCTTCCTCATGTAGGAACGTACACCTTTGAAACGATGCGCAATATGGAGTGTTGGGCGATCGACAACGTCAGACTGGCAGTTACAGAAGGGAAACTGAAGAGCCCGATCGCTGAGCAAAAGGCTCTTGCGCCGTGACGGTGTCCTGGACGTCCAGTTGCCCAGCCGATCTCTTTAGAAGACATAGATCAAGATACATGCTCAAGTTCATTCAATGGTCGGGTTGTTTAGCTTCCCAAGTCCACAGCTATGCTAGACGCTGCTTTCAAAGCCGGCCCCATAAACCTATACCCAAGACGGGCTTATCCAGCCAGAGCATAATCATGGCTCAATATTCCTCGTAGTTTGTCCGCTTTATCCTGACATGACGGCAACGAGGAACTAATAATCAGAGCGTCCCGTCATCAATATCCATATCAAAATCCTCCAGAAAGGGGCTGCTGTTGATCACGCCTCCAAAGGCCACGCCAGTGTTCTCCTGCCCTGCGCCAACCTCTTCCATCAGAACATTTTTGAGCACTGCACTCTTCTCCACGATCATTTGCACCCTCGTGGTCTTTCCATCCACCACCCTCTTCGGCTGCTTGAACGCCCCACCTGGCACTGCACTCTTCTTGGATGGGCTGACGTTGCCGGTCGCCCTGCACACCTTCAATGGCAAGATATCCCCATTCCGCGGCCGGGTCATCACTTGTGGCCCATCCCTAAGCCTCCTAGGCGTCTGCGTCTGTGTGGGCAGAACAGGGAACACGTGGGATGCCTCAACGCTCCCTTCGAGCTCCTTGATCCAGCCCTTCTCGCTCATGATGCGAACTACTCCGGTAAGGATTGCCACCTCGCTCTTCTGCAGCGTGCTCTTACTGCCCACAAGAACAAGCTTGCTTCTTGCTCTCGTCACAGCGACATTGACTCTCCGCCAATCCCTCAGCAGTTCCCCAACCTTGCCCTCATTATTGCTGCGCACGCAACTGAGTAGCACGACCTCCTTATCGCGGCCCTGATATTTGTCGGCAGTGTGCATTTCAACATCGCTGGCGGCGGCGCTGCCGGCATGTGCCTTGATATCGCGTTTCAGCAGGGCGAGTTGCGAGCGGTAGAAGGTGATAACGCCGATGCTGGATGGTGAGACGCCAGACCGGATGAGCACAGTGACGAGTTGAGAAATGAGTGACGACTCGGCGCTGTTGGTAATACGTGCGCCGGCGGCGGTCTCATGACCCGTGTTAGCAGGCGTCAGAGTGTCCGTGTTGAGGAATACGCAGCGGTTGGCTGGGCTGAGGGCATGGCGCAGGAAACATGACGGACCGCTAGTGCAGATTGACTGGGCTGTAGGCGAGCGAACGAGGGTTTCCACATTACCGTGGTGATAGGCGGACAGTCCGCCTTCAAGATCGGGTATGTGAAGGACTCTGGAGGCGACGTTGGCAGTGCCACATTTCAGGCGGTCGCTGTAGACCAGTCGGGAAGATAGAAGCTGGATATCTTCTGCCATGCGGTATTGGTGTTCGAGATTGACGACAGAGGTCGGATGAGCGTCAGACAGGAGCTTGAAGAGACTGACGTTCAGACCGCCCTCCTGTGCAGCTTTGTTCTGAACTAGAGGCGGGAGTTGGTAGTGATCTCCTACCAGGATGAAAGTCTGAGCATGTCGGATCGGTCCGAGACATACTGGTAGCGTGATCTGGGACGCTTCGTCGACTATGCAGTAGTCGAATGTGCGAGCATTGAAGAGGCCATGGTTGATGCCCAAGCATGTAGTAGCCACGACTTTACTGTCGTGCCATGAGCTGTGCAACTCCTCAATAGTCTTCTTCGGTAATCCTGTCAAATCCGCGAATTCCTTGACTTCGGGATGGATCTTGCTGACTGCTCCAATGCGCAAGATCGGAATCCTGTCGTCTTTTATTTTCAGGAGGATATTGTCAACCGCTGTATGAGTATATGACGCCAGGAGGACGGACTTTCCTTGCGAGACCAAGGCTCGGATAATGTGGGCAATTGTGGTGGTTTTGCCGGTACCTGGCATACCTAGTACGAGTGCATAGTCTTTTGCACTGAGCACCTTCTCGATGGCATGCTTCTGGTCCATATTGAGATGCTGTTGTGATGCTGGACCCCCAATGGAATATTTCGGCGTTGATGCCCGGAAAGCCGGTGATACATTGTCAACGATGAGTTGTCTCAGCTCACGTGCTTTGAAAAGATCCTTCTCCATTATGCGAATCAGGTTGTTGCGAGCAGTAGCCATGCCGTTGGCGAACTCGTCTTTGTCAATGCGGTACAGCCGTGTCGACTTGTGATTGCCATCTTGCGTCAGTGGTGTACCGTCCAGCCTTGTTTCCATTAGTCCTGTGAATGCCTGATTTGTCTCAGCATCAAAATCACGCTCTTTACAGTGCGCATTTTGCAATCTGCGATCCACCGCCACGACGACACGCTTCGGTTTGACATTGGTGATGTAGCCGCTGGCGAGATTGAAGTGGCCTTTCTCATCCGAGATAACGATTGGTTCCCCAATGTTGATTTGAGATTCTGTGAAAGAGAAGGCTGGCTCCTGCTTATGCTTGACGAAAGTATACTCGAAACGGTTGATCTTCGAACTTTCCTTGTTCTCTCGGGCAGATCCGGGCTCAATGACAACATTGGCGAAGCATCGGCCGAGAGCTTGACGTTCAGTACTGAGCATAGTCCAGAGCTCTCGTCTGAACCTCATGGTGTCTCGCTCCTCCTTCGTGAGTAGGTCGTCCCACTTGCGAAAGAAATCGGAGTGGGACGGCTTCAGATGAGCAACCATTTCCGTAAATGTCTCTCCGAGACCGCTGCTCTCAGCATCTCCACCATCAATCAGCTTGTGGTAGGTAAAGCACTCGGTCTTCGAATAGCAAGCCTTGCAAAGGTAAGGCTTCTTGAGCATAGGGGGCAGGTCGAGCTTGTCATGAACGTAGCAAGCAAGCTCATTGCGCTCGATGATCATGTGCCTAATCTCGTTGCGTACACTTTCCACTCTAAAAGTCTTCGATGTCTCCATGTAGTATAATACTCCGCAGGTGACATTGACATCGTATCGATCCGAGAGAAGGAGGGTGTAGAGGGCTGTCTGGGCTCGATGCGTCTCAACATTGTCCTTTTTGCCCGTCTTGAGCTCAAGCGGTACGACAAGAGTCTTGGGCGCTCTGACGCCCGGAATCTGCATCGTAGCTTGCACTGTAGCGTCAATGTTGCCCTTCAGGCCATGCATGGGCGACCATACATGTTCCTCGATCTCCAGAAGCTTGTTGATGGCTGTTGGCACAAGCCCACCATTGCGATCCCTAATCGCGGCATCTGATACCGGAGCATCACCAATAAATACGTTCGCCCAGCCAATGAGTTCTGGGGTCTTTCCCAGTAAGTACTCCCGGGCGTTAGCGACGGTCACACCAATCTCGTACAATGCCTCAAGATAGGTAGGCAACAGCTTCTGGATGATTTGATCGAAACTTTCTCTGCTCCAGAGATTCAGGCGCAGTGCTTCTCCGAACATCTCGTGGATTATGTGGCCATATACTTGTGGTGGTGTAGCTCGGCTGGTGGCCTTGACTCGATCTTGCAATGCTGCACGACGAGTACATGTGAAAGAGTCTCCTACCACAGTCGCCGATATGAGATGGTCAGGGTGCAGGATGATCATGTTGTCGGCATCGTCAACGATACACTGCCCAAAACGATCAAATTCGCCAATGATGTGAGCATAAGAGCCCTTGGTGCATCTAGTATCGTACCAGGACTGGCGTAACATGATGATGTACATGTTTTGCGTTCGCTCATCCGTGACTGAGAGCATCTAGGGACGTCAGAGATAGCATACACGCTTTCTGCACAACTCACCTTCTCTGGTCGCATCTTGCCATTAGCCGTTTCATATTGGCGAAGGAAAACGTCCACGATGAGGTATCGCTTGATAGCTCTTGCATTGAATTTCTATTTACTCTATCAGCAAACACGCCGCTAATATCTGGAAGCACATACTTGGCTAGCCGTACCTGCCGTGGGGTTTGCATGATCCAAATCGTCTGCTATTTGGAGCAGGAGGTTGTCATCGTCATCATCACCGTCATCGAAAACGCCATCCAACCCGTCAATGGTAGGGAGCTCGTCCGAGATCTCTGTGGGTGGTTGGGCTGGCTCATGCGGAATGCTCTTTCCTTGAGAGTCAATCTTGGCCACGAGATTTTCCATCTCGTTGGTAAAAGTGTCATCATCTTCGTCAAATACATCAAAATTGTCCTCGAAAACCTGCGAAGACGGCTGCTGAGCAGGATGTTTGTTGGGTTGGACTCCAGGTAGCCGGGTAGCTGCTTGTGACAGTGGCCTTTGGTGGATGTCTTGAGGGCCATCAAAGTTGTTGATAGAGGCAGACACCCTCCGCGATACGGATACTTGAGAAAAGCCCTTCTCTATCTCCTCGAAAAAGTCCAGATCTAGGTCATCGTCGTCGAAGTCATCTGCTACGGCTCCGTCCGTGTGTCCAAGTTCCGGATCCGGTGCGTCAGGATCTCCGTGTTCTGCAGTCTGTTGCAAGTGGCTTCTGAGTTTCGAGGGTGAGCGCGTGGGCGATACTTGGGAGGGCGGCATTTGGGAATGTTTCTCTGGGAGCGGAGAAGAACTTGACGGCTCGTCGTCGGTACGAGCCTGCCTGGCGAGGCTTTCTTGTATCTTCTCCACTAGTATAGTAACTCGCGAGTTCTTGGGCATGTCCCTCGCCAGAATTTCCCTTCGCGAAGCCGCAAAAATGTCCTTTGTGCGACCATGTGAATCGCCAACCTCGACTCTGCGTCTCTTTGGCTTCGATGCAGGCCATTCAACGCCGCAGCTTACGGTCCTTCTCAGCCCACTATCCTTGCTGCCTGTGCTAGGAGTCATAGGCGATGATGGTGGCAGCTGCACAAAGGAAGGCAGGGCGTCGCCATCTGCATTTCTTGAGCCATTTGCATTCATGTACCGCTTCCACAGCTCTTGAGTAGGGTCATTGTTCGGTGTCCTCAAGACTTTGTGCGGCCTGTTCGTGTCTGCTGCAACTACTGGGCCGTCGAAATGCACCGAGCGTTCGAGTTGGGAAGACGCCGGCGAGGAGCTGCGAGCTCGCTTTCGACTTCGTTGCGTTGGCTGAGCAATCGATGCAGACACATCTGAGCTCGTTGGACCGTTCTGCCAATGGACATGATCTCCGGGCGTGCCTAGCGGCGGAGGACAATTGAACGCATCTTCAGTATTTCCAATGAGGTCTTCCAGCTCGATACGAACGCCGGGAGTCGATGGGAACACTTTTCCCCCTACAGGATCGTTTATCGTCGTTTTCGCATCATCTAGGTCATCAGGAGGCAAATAATCGTCTCCTACGATGGTTTCGGCGTTCTCTTTGTCTTCCCGCAATTTGGTTTTACGCTTCGGAGTCGAAACAGCACCAGTCGCGCGGGGTTGCGGTGATGCCGACAAGGGTCCTGATGGCATGTTGAAAGGATTTTAACGAGTCGTCGCAGCTCAGCATCTTCTCAGAAGTGCTCACAGAAACATATGTGAGCACCGAGTACGTTGGCTGACGGAAAAACACACGAAGCATTCTGTTAATGGATGGGGCGCGTCACCATCCACGTCGACGCGCCAACGCGAAATCACGTGTGTGATGAACCCGAGGCTGATGCTTGGCATCCGAGCCTCGTTCGAACTGAGCCTCTGGCTCATCTGCCTCACTTCGAATGCCATTTCATCTCGTGAGCCTCAAGAGCTTCCTTAAGACTTGTGCGTTGGTTCATCCAAAATTCAGAAAGCCCTTCCCCAATCGAACGTTTTTGAGAGGCTCTAGTGCTTCGGTCAAGATCACCCTTGTACTTGCCTGTCAGCCCGCACCAGGCCACTGTGCCGTGCTTCAAGGTAGAAGCGGTGTTCAAGTTCGGTGTGTGTAGACTCTAAGGCCTGCTCTGAGCCGGGAAAGTCTCCTCTCGGAGGCTCCGAAGGAGTCGACTGCCATCCGTTACAGCACCAACATGTCGCCCTTTTGGAGGCCTACATTCCCGAGTAAATTGACTCATCACTCAGAAACCAGCTCCAAGCTCCGAGGTGAGGTAGTCTGCAACATCGACTTGACGAGGCAATCTGGAGTGCTTGACCGCTCAAGCGTGCACTGAGCACATATCAAGCTTGCTTGGTCGTAGGTATTTTCAAGGCAGATTGGAGCGCCAAGGTCACGTGCAAAGCACGTTATAGGCAACTGTGTGCATAATGTCTGAGGAAGATGCAATGGCATCAAGAGAGCTAGATACTCTACAAAGAGTCCCGAGCACTCCTACATCAAAGTCGACATGGCTGAATCCTCCTTTGTCGCCATCACGAAGCGTTTCTCTATCGCCATCCCGCATTCGCAAATCCCCGTATCTTAGCAATATGGGGCTGAACGCATCGGTATCGCCGCGGCGACACAGACGGGAAGTATCCACTTCTCCAGCTCCAAATCAGGAGGTGCGACGGCAGAAGTTGAACGAGTTCAACAGCATGCAAGATGCCGTCGATTTGTTGAAGGAGTCAGAAGACATCGTCATTCTTAGTGGCGCTGGTATCTCTACTTCTGTCGGCATTCCAGACTTTAGATCTCAGCAAGGTGAGCAGAAGCTGGTTGTGTTTGCAGCCAAGATTAACAAAGTCAGGACTGTATAACCTCATTCAAGATAAACGCTTCAGTGATCCTCAGCAATTGTTCTATCGAGATATGTTCGAACAGTATCCAAAGGAATTCTGGCGCGATGTGCGGCCCATCATTCCTAAACTACGTCAAGGCGCCCTCCTCAATGAAGATGGATCGAATGCCAGGAGTTTGATCAATGCTGTTCCCCCTTACTCGGCGGTGCATTCTTTCCTGGAGCTCTTACAGACAAAGGACAAATTACTCACAAACTTCACGCAAAACATTGATGCTCTGGAGCTCGATGCGGGCGTCGACATTGAGAAGATTGTTGCCTGCCATGGAACATGGGAAACGGCCACCTGCTTGTCATGCGCGGGAAAAGTAGCAGCGCAAAGCTATCTACCTGTGGTACTCGCTGGAAAGCTACCGCTCTGTGTATGTGGCAAGCCAGATCCTGTGGACCCAAACGCTCGTCAGTCGTCCCGCCTCAAGAAGGGGCCCAAGTTTGAGGAGGCCGATATCGAATATGTGGAGACATTCGGAGGAGAAGTTCCAGATAGTTCTCGACACGGCCGACACAAGCGGCGTCGCATCGAATCCGAGCTTGCGAACCTGCTTGCCCGTGACAGCGATGATGACGAGAAGTCAGACGCCCCTTCCCGGCCAGGCCTTCTCAAGCCTGATATCACTTTCTTCGGAGAGTCAGTGGCTGAGAACTACTACCCCACCTTAGACGCCATAAGGGATGAGGTAGATCTCCTCATCATCGTAGGCACATCGCTCGCTGCGCAGCCTGTTAGCGAGCTACCTCTATCGCTGCCTCGAGACGTGCCGCAGATCTGGATCTCCAACGAACGCTGTACTAACAAAGTCAAAAGACTGCAGGTAGATATTGAGCTCATTGGAGATGCTGATAGTATCGTCCGTGAACTTTGTGCTCGTGCTGGCTGGGGTAATGCGCTTGCAAACCGGATCTGGAAGAACCACTTGGGCTCTACGAGGCAGGCCAAGGCGGCTGTCGCGAAGGCCAAGGAAGAGAGAGTAAAAGCCACAAAGCCCGCGGCAACCGCTGTCAGTGCAGAGGGAAACATGGTCGACATAACCACACTAGCCGAGAAACAGCTTAAGCAGGAACAACCCGAACATGTTGTACGCGGTAAAGTTCCGGGCGATAAAGAACACAGGCGCGGCGATATCACCACAGCTTCAACGCAGGACAACGCTAAGGATCAAGAGGCAATGTTGGACATGCCAGCAACCCCTCATGCGCTTGCGATAAGCGATACGAGCCCACAGTCCATTCAAATCCATCCTTCTGCACCGGTTGCAGTCGGCATACCGACCGTGCAGGTCGAACGACCGCCCCTGTCACCACCACTCGCCTTCCGAGGTAACGCGAAACGTCCACTCAGCCTGGCAGGGACACTCAGTACAAGCACTGCTTCACTCGAGGGTAGTGGCAACAGCAACGGCCATACCGTAAAGAAGCCCAGGGCGGGAAGCCCCAATCCCGCCAAGGTGAGACCTGTAAAACCTGCTACTTCAGTCAGCTCGGGCAGAGGGATGGCAGATCCAAGCTTGAGGATCTTCCAGGATGAGGCGTTTGAGTGGGTCACGTATTTTAAGAAACCGAAGGTCTGAGAGTCATCGATCGGCATAGCGTATTGGGCGGAGCTTCAGGGAAAGGTTGTCTTGGTAATCACTGTATTGTTCCGGATTCGGGTATTGAGTTGTCGATTGTAATCCGAGGCTTTGAGCGGAACGCTGGTCATTAAGATACCTGACCTGCTCATCAGTAGGTGGTGGGTCCTGGAGGAAATGTTCTGAGAACGGCCTATCTGTCATTAGGTTCAAGTGTGCCGATACACGAGTCTGAATGGCACCACAATCTCACTGTCTCGAACCTAGCCCCGGAGCTCTATTCTGCATTTTCCCTATGTACCAGAGAGTCTGCGGGTATCCTGCTGAATGTCCAAGCCGAATTTCGCCAAGAAAATGCAGCTCTCGTTGACTTCAAATCTGCGCCCAGCTCCCAAACTTGTCTCCACAGTTGGGGAATCTATTGTCGTCGACACCGCTCCACTTGGTCAAGCTCCAACTGGCTTCGCGCCCATCTTTCGGAACCAGTCAATAACGTTGGTGTACACGACTAGCAGCACACCGCCACCGGGGCCCAAACGTAGCACCTTGGGCAGGAAGCCTTTGTACAGCGCCGCGAAACCCTCCTCCTTCATGATGGTTGCCAGGCCAGGCCAGGCCCAGTTGTACTTTGGTACGGAACCTGCGATCTTAGGCGAGTTCTGGATTCTCGACTTTACAACGTCCATAGGTGTGTTGAGGATGGTGCCGACTGTGCCACCAATAGCGCCCGAGGTGAAATCGGTGAACATGGCTTGAGACTTGTTGCCAGCAGCGGGCTTGGGCATCAATGCCTTGACCTGGAAGATGCAGCCGAAGTAGCCGGCGTTCCAAAGAATGTGCCTCCACATGGTTGACTCGAGACCGTTGTACATGGCAAGGGGACCTTCGCTCTTGACGGTTTTCATGACGCAGTCTACAATGCCATTATACTTGGCGGCTGAAGCGGGATCCTGAAGGCGGATCTTGACGAGTTCGAAGGGGACGACAACGAATGACTCGGTCGCGCCAGCGGTGGCTCCGGTGAGAATAGCCAGCGGCTGGTTGGCTTTCTCCACGCCGAACAAGTTGCGGTAGAAGATGCCCCAGGAGTCGTTGGCTGCGAACTTGGTTGCACGCTTAGGAGCCTCCATCATGATCGGAGCAGCAATGCCGCGGTAGAGGCGAGACGCTCCCTCGTTCTTGACGATCTTGCGGAAGCAGTCCAGCATTCCGGTATAGTAATCTTGTCCAGGAATAGGGACTTTGCCCTGGAGCTGCACGCGGGTCTTGATGACATCGAGCGGGTACATGATCAAGATCTGGAACCACAGTCAGTTATCGCTACATCTGGGGTTGACGACTGTGGGGTTGTGGGGACGCGAAGCTTACCTCGCTCACACCAGCGATCGCACCAGCGGCAAACTGGTACTGGAAGGGAAGGGGCTTATCTCCAGACATCTCGGCGGTGTCGTTCAGAATGTGCCGGAGAGGAAAGGAAGGGAGAGGTTATGGAGTTGGTGTATGGATTGCGAAATTCGAGAAAGACGTTCTTGCCGGGATCGGAAAGGGGTGGGACGACTAGCTCCGGCCGGTCGAACGCCGGATATCTCGAGCTCCTGGACCGGGCTCTGGAAGAGAGGAAGACACTGGAGATCAGGGAGCTGTGAGAGTCGCAACTAGCTGACTAGCTGCCACACAAAGAGAGCGTCTTAAGAGAACCTGTGTGAATCGGCGAAGTCCGGTTGTCGTGAACCAGAATTATTATTTTGCCGCAGTTGAAAGGCGCAGCAACTTCCACGACAGCAGGAGTTACCAGTGTTATCTCCGTTGGAGATTGGGGTAATACACATGACGGTGAAAGTTGGGAGAGCTTGGGGAGATGATTTGGGCACAAAGTGAAGTGAATGCAAGCTAGCAACTAATGCCGAATGTGATTATAGCTATGCTAGTGAAACGAAGGTGGCAAACGCTATGCCCTATAACATCATCCGTGAATACAATCGTTTCCATCACTAATACTCTTTGACGAAGATAGGAGATTCGGGGAAATGACGGGGTATCAAAATCGAGCAAGGACAACAAAAGAGCCCATCACAAGGACCATCCGACGCCGTAATGCCTTCAAAACACATCGCACCTGAGACCCAGCTCCGAAAATGACGGAAAACCCCCAATAAAATCGTCTCTCATACACAGAGAATGGCACCGAATAGCGCTTCCGTCAGATCACAGATCCATGTTCTCGTCCTCCTCCTTGAAGCTGATTCCGCCATGGCCAGCAGAATGCCAGTACTGGGGTTGGCCTGGACCGTTGCTTCCACTGTTGGTGCCACTGCCGCCACTATGGAAGCCCGGGCTGAGCTCGAAGTTGGATTGCGGGCTCATTGAAGAGTTGCTAGTCTGGAGCTTGTCACCGTTGAGGGTGGTGTGCTTAGGCACGCGTAAGCCAGAGCCATCCGTCCGTGAGTACGAAAAGGTTTCAACCCCGTTCTTTTCGATGGCTTCCATCACCTCACTGCGCATGCGCTTCTCGTCGTCGGTCAATTGGAATGGCCACTGCCCTCCCAGATGCGTAATCAACTGAGCTAGTTCCTCCTCTTGCATATACTTTTGATGCAGTGCCCACATGAGGTCGCGAGTCCAACTGACAGACCCATTGAGAATATCACCCTTATTAGGCCCTTTTTCGCGATCTTCCACGGGGAGCCCAATGGTGATGTTGCCAGCCGTGCTTGCCGCTCGCCGGCCACTAGCCCCAGCAAGGAGCGAAGTTGCAGCATTCGGTGGACTCATGCCTGTCGCGCCCATGCTTGGTGAAAGTGGCCCAACACTGGTAAGCTGCTTCTTGACCTTATCGTCTTCCAGGCGATGCATCGGAACCAGATGAGACAGATCCTGAATGCGCTCATTGATGTTGTCACGCCGTCTTCGCTCCACAGCATTGTGGGATGCTCTCCTCCTTCTCTTCTTGGCCTCTAATGACTCCTGGTTGCTGGTATTGTGGCCATTCTCAACCTTGGTCGGGAGAGAGGCGGCGCCAATAGTTTCGCCAATGCCAGGATGTTGCATTGACTTTCCACCGGGCGAAGACAGCGGAGAATCGAGATAAGAATGCAGGCTTCCTGGCGTACTGTCGTACTGGCCGGACATTGTCTTCATATGTCGGTTTTGCATGCTTTCTGTGCGCACGGGCCGGCCGTTAGCTAAGCTGCCAGACTCGGGAGTACCAATGTGAAGACCTTGCATAGCAGCGGTACGTGGCGTCATCGGGCTCCGCTGGTCTGATGACTTACGGTGAGCTTGCATACTTGGCCTCTTGCCGGTCATATACTGCGGAGTCTGGAGCGGCGAGAGATGTTGTGGCAGAGAATTGAGGTTTCTGAAGTGGCTGTAATCGGGCTGCCCAAGGTATGGACTCTGGATTGGTGCACCATCGGGAGTGCTTGAGAAGACCTGGGCGTGGCTGTTCACTGGCATGGCGTGGTTGGACCGTGGCTGGTGATTGTTGGGTGGCAGATGGTTGAAGTCGTCCATTCGGGTGGGATCGAGGCTTTCCATGAGCTCGCTGTCATCGAACCCGGATGTGCCCAAATTAAAGCTAGACGACATATTCTGGGAGCCGAAACCGTACTGTTGCATGTTGTTGTAGTTGCCACCGGACATGCTCAGCGCAGAAGGGTCAATGCTGCCGCCCTGCTGATCATTGAAGTAGTTGCTGTCGAAAGCCCCATTTGCGAAACCCTGGTTCTGCATAAAGCGATTGGGATCGTTGCCGAACTCGTCGGGTTCATTCTTAATGAAGGGCATGTTGCCGGATGTCGACATGTTTCTGGCTTGTGGTACCAGGATGGTATGTTGCTACAGACCCTGCAACGCGGCAGATGCGAAGCAGGCCAGACCACGCTTGCCGGTCCGAAATCGCGAATGTTGTTGCCAAGTAGGCGCTGGTCCGAGTCAGGGCACAGTGGTTGCAGCCTGATGAATGTTTTGAGACCTGTAGGCTGAGACAGGTGGAGAGGCCAGCTCTGAGCCGTTGGCGATGTATATGATTTGTAACAAGGTGATGCTATATTGGTCGGTAATAGCCCTAATGCCATGATTAGTGGCACATCTAGCAACAGTGGCAGGAGCTGTGAGGATGAGTCGGGTTCAGCCTTGTGTAAAGAGGCATCCGACCCGTTGATATACACCCTCACAGGGGCTTCATGACACCAGGCCACCTCATAAGAGAATCGGGTATACATACTGTGAATGTTCTTGTGCCACCGAACGGTGCCCCACTATCCACCAGCGTCGATGTAGCTCGAAAGTCGGCAATGCTGTAGGAGTGTGACAGGGCGCGCGGAGACTGGGGTTCTTGATCGACTCGATGATACTGGTGTGAAGGTCTGGCCGGGTTGTGCTCGGGCTATCGTATTTTCGAGTCGAGGTTGCACACCGACACCGACTTGTAGCCGAGCGGTCGGAGTACGGATATGACTTGGATCTTGAACAAAAGGAACGGCGGAGAAGTCGAAAGTCGCAAAACGGGGACAAGGAGCGTGGACGATCGATTATCTTTGCGAGGCAAACGTTTGTCGAGGATAGTCGTGTTCGAGGGAGTGAAGGGGGTGATGAGGTTGGTGGGGGAGCGAGGAGATAGATGCAGGCCGATTGCGAATCTGAACACACTCGCCTCAGAGTCTCGCCTAGAGGCACCCCGGCGCGGCTGTTCCGGGGCCTTTACGTAGCTCTGCGGCCTCTGCCCACGGGCCTGGCGCCTTGGCACGTGGCGCTAATTTCAACCGACGAAACCCGCGACCGTCGAGCGCTGGCTGAGGCGACTCCGCCACACAGCCACACTACTGGCAATAAATGTACTCCGTAAGAGGGATGCCAATCGGCTGGCGAGGAATGTATGACTCTGGGCAAAATAGACAAATCAGTCTTCTGTGAGAGAGTGCCCGCCTTGTCGGGTCATCCGGCGCGCGAGTATATATAACCCATATGCAAGGCTGTCCAGTGACGTTTGGTTTGGCTCTGATCCTACTCGATCAGTCCAATGTATACGCCACGCATGCTAGGACGACACCCTCAGGAAAGAAGGCGGATCCAATCACTGCCCGTATGAGAACAAGGAGCACTTGAGCTTGCGTTGACACTACAGGACCAAGGCAAAAGGAAAAGGCAAAGCAGTCCCTTGCCCCCAGAACAAGGATCAGAAGGACATGATTGACAAGATGACACTACTCCCACGCGGACGTCTGATGCCAACTTTTGGTCAACTGCTGCGTCCGCGACTGTCGTTGACTCAGCTGGACCCCATAGCCACTGTGACGGTTGTAGAGCGATACCATCACACGCATTCCAATGCGCAGGATGTCAACACACTACACGACCGTGGGTTGGTTTGTGCGACTTGGGCGGCTTCCAAGTCCCTTTTTAGTAGAAAAGTTCTCCATCTGCTGTGTGACAAGTCGCAAACATAGACAGACGCGGGCGGCTGACGGCGGGGCTCGCTGCCTGCTGCCATGGTTCGTGCCGCGCAGACCGCCTAGATGCGGCCCAAGGATCATCAAGCCACCTGCAATGCAAGTGTGATATGCATGATCGAGGACTCTTCCTGACATTCAGGGTCCAGGAAACATCTCCGCCCAGTGTAGGCATCATTGAACTCGAGCAATAATGTGGATGGCAAAAGGAAGAGGGTGTGAAGGAACAATGAGCAAAAAAGGACGCTGTGCCTAACCAGGCCTGGCGCGTGGGGAAGGCTAGCTGGATTCGTGCCCAGCGTTGGCTAAGTCTAACGCCGCTGTTCCATGCGCGGCCTCTTTCGACTGGACCTTCATTCAGCCTGAGAGTTATTGGGGGCAGCCTGATCTCGGGACTCGGCTTGCAACCTTCGTTGTTGACCCCGACCACATCCAGTCGATACACCACTAGCACCGACAGCACTATTCACAGCCTTGCACACGAGAGCTATTCGGAGCATCCGTCTCGTACTGTTCTCCCCTCCAAGCTAAATCTCGAATCATCCCACCCTGCAGCAAGCCGACCTCCGGCGCTTTCGCCTCAGACCCATCGCGCTTCCTGCGTCAACCCTCTGCCAATACTCCCACCTCGACCGCTTCAGGCAAGCTTCTTGTTACACTAGCCTTCTCTTCGCTGTCCAAACGCGCGAGACATATTCCCGCAGTTTCAACACCGGTCAACGCCGGAGTAGCATCAAACCCCTAATACCTGCATTGATTGGACCAGTACATCGATCGCTGGGGTTGGGGTGGGCTTTCACCAACTGTGTTATAGCCAACGTACAAGAAGTGCAGGGTAAATCAAACCGCTGCCAGATCGACGCGACTCCGGGCGATTGTCGTAGCCTGAGCTCTGAGACAGCTTTGAACAGCTCGAGCATATCACAAGAGCACGAATTGACTTGTCAGAATGACCTCCGCAGGCTTCCGTGACTCAATGAACTCCTTGGGTTGGTCCAGAAGGGAGCCGGAGTATACCGCCAACACCAACTCCTCTACACCCTTCCTCTCGACATTGTCGTCTCTCAATCCGTTTCAGCGAGGCGGCTATGTGCAACTGCCCACTCATGAAGCCCCCGGCGCTCCTCTGCCGGCACCGTCGCGACGAGAAGAAGAGGAAGGTTGGTTTGCACGTAAGTCTCCCCACCCGCAATATCCAGCATCCATCCAGGCTGGAGCACTGCCTTGAATCTCCGAATATATTGCTTCGATACTAACGCCTGCTCTTGAATCTAGTGAGCCGGTGGGATCGCCTGATGATCTTCGGAGGCTGTAATCTGGCAGCGCTCGCTTGCTTCGTCGTCTGTTTTGCACTGTTCCCGATTTTGTTTCCGCAGCCTCGCAAATTTGCCATACTGTGAGTTACCTGCCCCTCGTTCTCTAAAAACGTACACACCACTACGACTATAATCCCGGGCGCTAGGGCCATGTGACTTCGCATAATCTTGTGATGATGTCAGTCGTCTATCACTGAGACATGTGTCGATACTAAATGTTGGTCATGCCCTTATCGGGGGACAAAAGAACAGCGGTGTCGGGTGAAGAAGAAGGGTGTGCACTATGTCCAGGACATGACTGGCTGACATGTCGTTCATCTAGGTGGTCTGCAGGTTCTATCCTCTTTCTGGCCTCGTGGGCGGCTCTCATGGGCCCCAGGGCCTACGCCACTCATCTTATCTCTGGTCCTCGATTGCCCTTCACTGCCGTCTACTTTGGCTCGATCGTTATGACGGTCTATTTCGCCGCTGGGGTATGTTCATGGACTTATCATCGCATAATCACATAACTAACTGTTTTATCCCAGCTGCATTCGACGATCTTGACGATCCTCTTTGCAGGAGTTCAGCTCGTGGCACTGATCTGGTATTTGATCAGCTACTTCCCCATGGGCAGCAGCGGCCTCCGGTTTGCAGCTAGGGTTGGGGGCGGTAGAATAACTGCGTGGATGAACGATTGAGATAATGATGTGACAGCCAGCTGAAAAGATCAAATCACTTGTGACCAATGACCTGGTGCATGTGCTGATACCCTCGCCAGCCCGATGCTCTGTGCATGTTGCATGTAAGCGTGCCATGGATAGATGCTTTAGACAGGTTTGATGGCGTCCGAGGCTCACACCACTCGGCGACGCACGTCTCTCTCGTCACTGACGCCTCGGACGGCGTCTGTGATCAATTCACGCAGCTCTCGCTGACCTTCCTCGCTCTGGAAATTATCCCGCGCAGCGAGCTCCTCTATTCTGCGCCTAAATTCTGGATCTGGCTCTTGCTCTAAAGTGGCGGTCTGCTCTTCAGTCGTGTTAACCCCGATGCTGACGTTGGGAGGAAGGGTGGGCAAACGGGTGTTGCTGCTCGGAGAAGCTGTAGGCTGTTGCCCGGCCTGTTGTCGCAGATACGTTGCAATCTCGGGATACTCATCTTCTGACTCGAACTTTTCAGCAGCTGTCATGCCTTCGTGGTTGTTGATCGATGTGTCGATTTTCAGATCCTCGACCAGGCACTTCGCGGCTTCCAATGTTTCGACCACAAATAGGCAAGTCTCTCCGTCCTCATCCTCAAGATTGATGTCCACAGAAAACTCAGAGACAAGACTCTTGAGTAGATTGACGTGATTGTATGATGAAGCGGCGTGTAGCAGTGAATAGCCATGAGCATCTTGCCGGGCCGCAAGGGAAGGATCTGATCGGAGGAGGGGCAGAAGCCGGGGATCGGGGGAGGGCGTGTTCGCCGCTAGCAGGAATGGGTTCAGCTCTGACATGACTTGCTTAGGCGAGTCGGGCTGCTGTGTGAAGAGCCAGGCAAAGTCGATGCGTTGAATTGGTGGCAAGCGCGTTTCTAAAGCGTCCAGGTTAACAAAAGTCGGTCCCGCAGGTTGGAGATCTCAAATCCCACAAGATTCTTTAGCGGCTGATCGTGCGTCACCGCCAACGCAAGGCAGCCTCCCCAATCCATTAGGCAAACTTTTTTAGGATGCCTTCAGCCTTCTGCATTCACCACAACTCCCGGAACATCTTAGGTCGAGTCATCCTGGGAGTCATTGGCCGTATGACGTTTTGAAAAAGGTGACTCACACAAGGCTGTGCGCGTTCATTTGTAGACGCATGGCAGTCGCTTCAATTTATATTCTGCCTTTGTTGCAACTTCCTGGACTACAGCCATAATCGTTTCAGAATCTTCCGACCCTCACCTCTCCCTGGTCAGGTGAGGCGTCTTCTTTACATTCGTTCCAGTCCCTGAACTCTCCGGATCGTGGATCAAATTCGGACGAGCAGGTCAGCAATCGACATGCCTACCATGGCTCAAGACCCACATGTTGTGGCTGAGCTGTGCAAGGCTCTCCAGCAAACCAAGGGGAAGAAACTCTCATGCAAGAAGACCACCTACGCTGTCGCTGGCAGTCAAGGCATCACTGTCGACTCATGGCGCTTCAAAGACTGGGACTACAAGCGAGACGATCTGCCCACCTATGCCCGAGGCCTCTTCACCAACAAGCGCTCTGACGGCACCCCTGAGATCGTGAGTCGCGGATATGACAAATTCTTCAACGTTGGCGAAGTGCCTTCAACTGAGTGGGCGCACATAGAGACTCACACAGCAGGGCCCTACGAACTTAGTGTCAAGGAGAATGGCTGCATCATCTTCATGTCCGGTCTCGAGGACGGCACTCTGTTGGTTTGCAGCAAACACTCCACTGGTGCGAGGCAAGACGTTGACCGAAGTCATGCGGTGGTCGGTGAGCAATGGGTAAAGAAGCATGTCGAAAGCGCTGGCAAAACTACCAAGGATCTGGCCTACGCTTTACGCTCGCAAAATCTCACTGCGGTTGCTGAGCTCTGCGACGATGACTTCGAAGAGCATGTTCTCGAATACCCTCCTAACATGGCCGGCCTCTACCTTCACGGGCTCAACTACAACCGCCCCGAGTTCGCTACGATGTCTGGCGCTGATGTTCACAAATTTGCTGACGAATGGGGCTTCAAGAAGGCTGAGTATATCATGCTCGAAACGCTTGAAGAAGTCAAGACATTCCTCAACGGGTGTGCGGAGACTGGCTCATGGGAGGGAAGAGACACTGAAGGTTTCGTTGTCAGATGCAAGCTGAGGGGGAGCAGCGAGCATGGCGGTCCCGATTGGTTCTTCAAGTATAAGTTTGAAGAGCCATATCTGATGTATCGTCAATGGCGCGAGGCAACTAAGGCTATCATTGCTGGAAGAACCCCGAAATACAAGAAACATAAGAAGGTCACTGAAGAGTACTTGCTTTTCGCCCGGAGACAATTGGCCAAGGACGCAAATATTGGCAAGTTGTACAACCAGAACCACGGCATCATCAAGATGCGGGACGACTTCCTGGCGGAGAAGGGCCAAAAAGGGTCTGATATCATCCGGGAGGAGCAAGGCGAGGGCGGGGAGTGGACCGAACATATCAACAACATCGTCCTTGTCCCGATTGCTACCATTGGCTGTGGTAAGACAACGGTTGCCACGGGTCTGGTCAAGCTCTTTGACTTTGGCCATGTCCAGAATGACAATGTGGAGGGTCAGCGAGGTCGCCCTCAAAGATTTGCTGCACTGGTAACCAACGCCATGGGTGCTCATCGGGTCGTCATTGCAGATCGGAACAATCATCAACGACGCGAACGGGCTCAGATTATGGACGATGTGCTCAAAATTGTGCCCGATGCTCGCTTTGTCGCCCTTCACTATGTTCATGAGCCGAAGGGCATAATGCTGGATGGCATCCGTGAGGTCACTCGGAAACGCGTCCTGGACCGAGGCGATAATCACCAAACCATTCGTGCCGGCAGTAAGAGTCAGCAAGAGATCGTCGGCATCATGGAGGGCTTCCTCGACCGCTTCCAGGGCTGCGACACCTCAGCGGAACCTGATAGCAATTTCGATGAGGTTATCAACCTGGATGTATCCGCATCGTCGCTAGACAACCTCGAGACAGTCATAACTCACCTGTACAACGCGTACCCGAAGCTCTTTGGCGGTGAGATGCCCAGCCACCAAGACATGGCGGAGGCCATCGACTTTTCCTTGGACCACCAGGTTACGACCAAGCATGACTTGTCATTCAACAAGGCGCCGCGGGTGAACAAGAAGCAGCAGACACCGAACCAGGCTGCGCAGATTCCGCCAGAGCGAGTCCCTACCCCACAGCAGCTTGTCGGCCAGCTTGAATATTTCAGCATACCAGTGCCGGCCAAGGACATCACATCCATGCTCGAGGCTATGTTCGCTTCTGCGTCGGCAGAGGAGAAGCGGATGTACAACCAGCTGAAGCAGACGAGACGAATTCAGGCAGAGTTTCATGTCACACTGATTCACCGTGCGGCATCCAAGGACAATGCAAAGATCTGGCAGCAGTATGTCGAGGCATATACCGAGGCAGTCAGCAATGCCAACCTCGCCGATAAGGGCACAAGGACTCCCTCGTTGGGGTCTGCCAGGGTTAAGCTGGAGCGGCTGGTGTGGGACGACCGCGTTATGGCTTTTGTTGTGCGCGTGTTCCCTTCTGATGACGGAAAAAGCTTGTCTAGTGCAAACGCGATCACTCACATTACTGTCGGCACAGCCTCCCAGCATATCAAGCCCAAAGAGAGCAACGACTTGCTAGCGAGATGGGAGGCTGGAGAATCTGACGGTGCACGAATCTTCGAGAAGCCAGCATCAGGTCAGGCGATAATTGAGGCGAAAGTCAAGCCTGTGTTTCAGCGAGGGCGTGGTTAGGTTCCTCGCCGCCGCCGCCATTAGTGCGGTTGAAAAGTATGGATTTACGAGCAGGTCACGACAGCAAGTCAACTTCCTGCGAGGAACTTTGCGTGTAGCATGATAGCGTATGGGCATAGCCAAGGGTGAGCATGATACCATGGGCAAGTACTAGTAGACAGTCGAAAAGAATTTGAAGCTGGAGTCCACCCGAGACTGATCGCGTAGGTGCTGGCAGCCGTACTCGTAGGCATGATGTTGTAGAGAGACGATGCATTAGCGTGTCTGGTTGCCCCGAACGACGTTCCTCCGGGTTCCCGCAAACACAGAAGGCGCGATCGCTGATCGAACAGCCACGGATCTTCAGGCACAACTGAGCGGATCGAATCTCACTCTCATCTTCATCATCCCGCTCTAGCTTGCCCTGCTTTACTATTGCAGCCATACTCGAATACCTCTAGGATTATTTCGGTGGAATGAACGCATCTCCAACGTGCATCACACCCTTGCATCGTAAACGCCCCTAGCAGCCGCCAGCGGAAGAGCATCGCGCCTCGCGGAGCCCACCACAGCAACCCCACTCGGATTCAGCGCGACTTGGTGCCAAGACAAAACAACCTTGACCTCGCAGCTCCAACTTCTGCTGCACTCCTACACCAAAACAGCCATTACTTCGCTGTTGTATCCCCCTCCTACTCTGCAGTTCTACTCCTCTGTCTCGAGTAGCTGCTTGCATCACCAATCGAGCATCTTCCCTGTGGCTCAAAACATCTTCTGCATCGCCTTCGCCGCTTAGCTGTCGCGCTTTCGATCACACGAGTCGAATTCAGCCTCAGGTAGCTGAGCACCCATTTGCACCTCGAATACGCACGTTTGAAGGCAACAAGGGCTTCTCCACGACTGAATTGAAGCTACTGCCACATTCATCCTGTGGCTAACTTGACGACCGCGTTTGCAGACACGTCGAGCAAGCCCGTGCGTCATTCCCTAATTACCTGGAATTCTTCCACCACGAACACCAATCTGACTTGCAAAATAGCATCTGAGCTCCTCCCAATCCTCATAACCCGACTTCGAACCACATTTACTATCGTACGTGTGTAGTGTCGCACAGCCTTGTTGCTGTCAATCCCACAAGATGCCTGCGGTATGTTCCCGTCACAACACGACTTGGTCAACACGTACCCCTTGTAGTAGTGATCACTTTGCTAATGCCCTCTATAGACCCGCACTCGGCAGCGCATCCTTAACGACGAGAATGATGAGAACAGCTCCGGTGTCACCACACGCGCCAAAGCCGCCTCTCTAACTGACACCTCGGTCAATGGCATCAAGAAGACTCAAGTGAAGAAGACAACCACCACCGCCACAGGAACTCTCAACGGCCGAAGAAAAGCTCTTGGTGACGTAACCAACGCTTCAAAAGGTCCCGAGGCTGCTGCCGAGGGCAAGAAGGTCGCTGGCAAGGCTGGTCTCCCGTCCAAAACTGCTGCTGCCGTTGGTGGCGTCACCAAGCTCTCACGCACCAACTCCTCACGCTCAGCGCTTGGCGTCAAGGAGAACAATGTGAAGACCAAGACCAGCCTCGACACCAAGAAGTCCGGCAGTGGATCTGGTGCCCTGGGAAGCCGCAAGCGCTCACAGACTTCGGCCTCATCCACCGTCCTGTCCAAGGACGAGACCCCTGAAGTTGATGAGCCCCCTAGGAAGAAGTCGTGTGCCGGTATCGAAGAGCCCGAGACCCGCGAGGAATCTCCGGCGCATGATGGCTATGATCTGATCGCTGAGCTTGATGCTGAAGACCTGGACGATCCATCTATGTGTGCTGAGTACGTGCGAGACATCTTTGAGTATTACAAGGAGCTGGAAGCCACCACCCTGCCCAATCCCAACTACATGGAGCACCAAGATGACCTCGAATGGAAGATGCGCGGTATTCTCGTTGACTGGCTCATCGAGGTTCACACCCGCTTCAGACTTTTGCCCGAAACACTGTTCCTAGCCATTAACATTGTCGACCGCTTCCTGTCATCCAAGGTTGTCCCCCTTGACAAGCTGCAGCTGGTCGGCATCACCGCCATGTTCATCGCTTCGAAGTACGAGGAGGTCTTGTCACCCCATGTCGGCAACTTTGTTCATGTTGCTGATGATGGTTTCACCGTCGAGGAGGTTCTCAGTGCTGAGCGATATACCCTGACGACCCTCAAGTACGACCTCAGCTATCCCAACCCGATGAACTTTCTGCGTCGTATCTCCAAGGCCGACAACTATGACATCCAGACTCGCACTGTAGGGAAGTATCTCATGGAGATTTCTCTTGTCGATCATCGCTTCCTGGAGTACCGCCAGAGCCACATCGCTGCGGCTGCGATGTATCTTGCCCGCATGATTCTCGAGAGTGGCCCATGGGTATGTGAATCTTCCTAGTCCCTCAAAACGCATGCTAATGCAAACCAGAATGCCACGCTCACTCAATTCGCTGGTTACTCGGAAGAGGAAATTCAACCCGTATTCGACCTATTGATTGACTACCTCCAGGCCCCGGTGGCTCATGAGGCGTTATTCAAGAAGTATGCCAGCAAGAAGTTCCTGAAAGGTATGTGTTCGATGCGACTCGCTGATCTAAATTACTAATATTTGTAGCCTCGATCATGGCTCGAAAATGGGCTAAGGACTATTCAGCGACCATCCGAGGCGAAGGCGGAGTCTCCTTGGATGACAAGCCTGCTCAATAGAATCCCTATTGAACGATCTGCTCATTGTGCTCTTCACTAGCCCATCAATAGCATGTATAACCAGTACTGCTATGATCGAATAATGGATGACTTCATGCCATCGCTGTGAGGCGGCCTTTGCTCATCATCGATCGACATTATCACCATCCAGAACGACATTTGCATAGATTATCAGAAGCATTGTTAGCGTTGCCGCCACTACCAACATCAGCCTTGCCCGCCATGTCACTTCAGCTTTCGTCCTTGACGATACTTCAACTTGACCGCGACCTATCAATTTTAGGTGTCGATAGAAAGACTTCGATTACCAACGACCAGTCGACGAGGGGTGCAGACATGCGTGTGGGACGGAAAGGGAATTGCAATTTTACTGTACGGGAACGGCGTCAATCATAGGGGCACACAAGCGGGCATGGGCAACCATCGGCGTTTTTGCTACTTTCGGTGTGGATATGCGACTCAAAGTACGGACTGCCCTCATCGAAGGGACAGCCATGAGTGTGATGTTGGACTAGCGACTGCACTGGTTTTGCCCTCGACGGATGGGCTGGGCAGGGGATGGGATGACAATCCGGGAGGATAAGACCATCTTGTGTCGGTGATGCCGACGACGTATTCTTCGCGGGTAGCTTCATTGATAGACGTGTCTGTCCATCCAAAAGAATGAGATTCCTGCACACTCTAAGCTTGTCGACGTATCTCCATCTCCAAAGCCACTGAGACGATCTTTCTCAGTGCAATGCCAATGAATTCACGGCTGTAGTCGTCGTCGTCTCTAGCCCGCGAGCGGGACCCCGGCTTCATCAGCGGTATGGGACTCTCGGCGAGAGACGTAGAGTTTCCAAGTCACACTCGCGACTGCACAGATACACGTCCTCTTCTCAATATTACGAGGCCGATGAGCTAGGCTGCTGTTGTCCTGTATGCAGCCTGCCGATCTACGGTTCTCAACTATTCTATTGTGTCGCAGTCTTGCCTAGTCCAACATGTCCCAGTCTGTCTAGCTCTACCATCACATCATCGCAAAGTACACACACACCTTCCAAAAATACCGCTAGATCATAAACGCTCACTCTTCCCACTCCTCGATTGCAGCAAAGGTAAGTGATCCTCCCTTGCCGTTCCCACGACCCTGCTCTCGGTCTTACTCTCCCGGGAGGCGCCCGCCGACGATGGCGGCGCCTGCACCTCTTCATCTATTGTGCCCGCGCCGGCACTCGTAACTTGCGCACCATGACCGAACTCCGCTCGCCACTCCTCGGCTACCCGTCTGCGCATCACCTCCACGAGCCCCACGGCGTCGTCGTCATCTCGGTAGTGTCGCTGTCCGCGTCCGAAGAGTATGGCCGTCGCTTTCATGCCTTGGGGTACAGCAGCAGGAGTACGCTTCTTGGACGAAGCATCCGAGGAGCTTAGGTGGCGGTTGGAGCCAGTGCTGGGACGGGAGGGGACGCCAAAGGGCGTGTAGTGCGAATTGAAAGGGTAGCGGGGGACGACGTGGAAGTGAGTCTGTCGGTGGTGGAGGATGTTAGTGAAGGGTGGAACAGGTGATGGGCATAGGGGTGAAGAAGCAGAGAAGCAGAGCTGACATACGTGAGGGACTACTTGGGCGGCGCCGGGTCCGTTGTTTTGGACTACGTTGTAATCGACTTCTGCGTGCGGGATATCGGGCATGCTGGCACGGGTGACAGCACGGGAGATGAGGGGGAGTAGGCGGCCGATCTATCGAGGTTGTCAATATATGTCCAGGCCTTGCGTGTGGCCTTTGGCAGTTGAGGCAGGACTGAACCTAGCAGAGCAGCGTGAACCCGTCATCCGAGAACGTCCGTTCAAACAGCTGATGTCACTCTGCTTGGGCACTCTGAGTCTAGCCATTGAATGCTGCGGGGAAGGCTTCTTCAGATGTTCAATAGCTACCTCTCAGGAGAGAGTACGGGCTCAAGGGATACCAAGCCACTGTAGATGCTGGTAACAGCGGCCGAGTCTCTATTCATGGCAGAGTCGGAGATCTTTGTGTCACATGTGTCAAGACTCAACAGGGCAAATACATACTTGCGCACCTTCCTGACCCGTCATATCTCCCACCTTCTCGGCGTGCCTTCGTGGACAAATGAGTACGTGGCCCCGTGTTAGAGGATAGATATCTAAAAAGGCAACCACGTGCGGCGTCGACAGCAGGACAAAGGCTGGTGGTTCCAGCTTCTCTGGATCTAGCTCCGTAGACGTCGGAAATGCTGGATCTAAAGGATCCATGACTGGGTAGGCCGTTATGATCTGGCAGAAGATACAGTCAGGATCATTATATGGTGATGCCTCCGCGGCCGCCTGTGCCGAGGCTGAGGTGTCGTTTGGTCGGGGTGGAGGGGGATCCATGAGATGGGCAAGAATCGAGACGGCGGCGGCTGGACGGACGCAAAGAGAAGCTCTGCCACTTGGGTCAGGAGATGTGTAACAGCACAATATTTGAGATCTGGGATGCTGTGAACTGGAATGACGCGAACGAGGCGGCCGAGGCTGCAGGGCCGATGTCTTGGCAACGGAAGCTGCCTTGTCCAGAGCTTCGAAGAGGTGTTCGCTCCCTACGTGATTCGAGGCCAACCTAGGAATCGTGCTACAGGCTCAGAGGCTAGCAGCCTATGGACAAGTGCTGAATCTTCGAACAGACCTTCCGACGGGAGGCTGCATGGATCAATGAAGTCGTCCACCAGAATGGCGAATCGACATTTGGAGGTGTTCACCAGTTGTTTCAAATTGATATATGTCACTAATAAACACCTTCAGCTCTCCTCTATCTGTCACCTAGGTGGTTCTGCATCTCCAGGAATGGTGCAATAACGGTCTGCCCCAGTGGCTTGGGCGCTCAAGATGGCAAGCATGCCAGGGGCTCGAATACAATGTGCTTGATAGTGTCAGGCGGCATTTCCGCGGTCATTGAAGAGGGGCTGCCTACCGGCAGGGAATCTGTCGAGTTTTAGTTCGGAGGGCGATTTGGAGGGCGTGCTGGAGGACGATGTGGACTGTTGCCACGGACTGGTGTGTTCGGTGGCGGCTTTGCGCCAGACTTTGGCGGCATATCTAGTCAGTGTTCGGAATTTACGTCTGGCAGATCTCTTTCGCGCCCTAGAAATATATCTAACAGATGTCAAGTATGTGGAAGATGACAAGAGCGGTCCAAGGAGCGAGGCTCTTATACTCCGGTCGTGTCGTGATGGCGGTGACAGAGATGCACATCACTACCAACGCCAGCATGAGGCCCTCAAGCTTTTCGACCATGAGCCAAAACAAACCACGGCGTTTGGACTTTCGTGCCCCAAACGACGGTCGATACAACGAGAAGCTACAAACACCACACTCTCACCCTCTTTCAGCTGGCGGCCGGTTTTAGGAGCCCAGGCTTAGCGGTACTGGCCAGCATGCAGGACAACATGCAGGACAACATGCAGGACAACATGCAGGACAGCAAGTCTAGGCCTGGCTCGGACTCGGCGCAGGACAGCGGTAGCTTGCGGATAGGGATGTGAAAGCTCGCCTAAGCCACCATGTAGCAACGGCATGAGTGCAGCTTTTGGCTTATGATCATGACTTATTTGTTCAATGTAGCCCTGAAACGATATGCTCGGAGATCGTTGGCAACTATAAAATTCAAAAGCGATGCAGCGGTCTAACGGTCTGTGTCAACGCACTGCAGTCGTTGACTACGACAACATACCCTCAAGGTGCCGTTTGAGAGTGACTATTACATATGATAGCAGCGGTAACGAAACTCGCAGGGTCTCAGAGAACTTACGAGCCCTTGAGAGTTGGGAGATACATCTGGACGAACCTGGTCAGCGGTCATGAGCAAGAAGAAACTTGGGAAGTGGCTGCAAGTCTTGAAGAAGTCCGAGGCTGCTCGCTTTGGGTTGGTCGCAGCGGTTGTCTGCTCAAATTGCAAAGGAAGCACAGCGATTCGAATCAGATCATGACAGAATTCCCGGTGGGCCTGGTTCTCCTCCCCGACTTTAAGGATCGTGTGGAGGGACAACGACAATTGTAGCAGCGAAATGGGGCGCCCCAGCCACAGCTTGAACACGTCGGTGCAACTGCAAGAAGGCAAGGAAAGTGGGAGGGTTTCGTAATGGTCTAGGAATATGGCTCGGAATGCATATCGTGCAACATCTCCTTGCTCACCCGTTGGTTGAGGTTCCTGTTTCTGGCAGTTGTACATTCGCCCTGTTGCAAAGTTCGGTCACACCAGAAAGTACTAGTACCTCAACTCACAGGTCCATGTGACCTATATCCAAGACTCGCAGCTTCCTAGTATAAGACCATACCGGGCTCTTTTTAGAGTCTATCTCACGAGTGACTGATCCCACCAACGCTTCCACAGCCTCTGATCCAAGGGTGGAATCAAGCATACGAGGCATCGCTTCTTCTCCTCTTCCCACGCAATTGTATGCAAACAAGGGCCGGAGGAGAACCCATGTCCTGCGTATTGTCTGTTTATAGCCTCATCCACACACCATGTACCGAACCATCATCGAGGTTCGCCACGGCTTATGCCTGACCGACTTAGATTCTTCCGAGAGTTGGGAGACCGACTCAAGCACATCAAGGAGTGATTTCGACGATGACTCATCCACTCTCTCTGCGCACCTGTATGCCGGCAGTCCAATGCCACGCTCCTTCTTGATCAAGGATATCAGTTCGCGCTATCAATCCCGAGAAGTGTCCGCAAATAGTTATTGCCGACCACAGCCAGGAGCTCCAAGATTGTTTCGCTCGCAGTCTCGAAAGCATCGACGCCGGACCGTTCTCTTCGACAGGCCACAAAAGAATCATGATCATTCTGGTGGGTTGAGCAGAAGATACGCCGGGCATCGGAGGATCGGAGGCAGTGGTAAAATCGTCCATACTTGCCTTGGAGACACAAGAAGGCGTGGACGCAGGTACTGCGCCTCTCCCGGGGCTTATCAAACCCGTCCAATCTCACCGAAGCTGACAGGCATCCAGTCTTCAACGCCGCCCGGTCGCCTCAGCTAGCAGCAGCGCCCCAGTTATGACCGTCACCAGACCAGATCCTTCCGGGTTTCGGCGCCCGAGTCCAACCCGAGGCTTCAGCCATGGCTCAAGATATAACAGAAGTCTTAGTCCCGTCATCATCGAGCGTGGTGGCGGCTCAAAGACTCGCAGGTACATTTTCAACCGCAGTCAGAGCCGCAACCCGGAGCGAATCACACGCGTACATAGACGACATGTCAGGCACTACTCACCGGATATCAGAGGATGCCGAAACTCATATCGCGAGAAAGAAGAAAGACGCCGTGGAAGGGGACGGATACGCGCCAGAAGCCGTAGTCGCAGCAAGGTCCGCAAGAAGCATTCGAGGCGTGGAGATGATCGCAGATTCGAACGTCACTCGTGATTGAAGTTTCAGTAACAGCAATGGGATGGAGACTGAGCTCTACGTTCGGTATAGCACACCAGAATGATAACGATCATTGAGGCAGTAAAAGTCTTGGCGAGAATCGCATCGCAAGCTATGTCAATGCATCCTCCTTCAGTGGCATCTTGAAAAGGTGTCAAACCTGGCAATAATGCGATGAGACTCACCTTGGCCAGGTGGCTGATCGGTGAGATGGGGCACTGCTAGATAGAAATGACTGATTGCCAACACGCGTTTGTACTCTGATAACGGCGGAGACGCAGCATAGTTCACGATTCAAGCTGTGACCAGCGACGATACAAAGACCAGGCTTCCTCCGGCCGACTTGCTTGAGATCGGTAGCCGCAAGCGTATCCATGATAGGCGTGACCAGGCAGCGACTGCTTCCAAGGACATGGTTCACACCGGCAAGTCTACAGTATTACAGTCGAGCTGGAGCATACGATATGAACGGCAATCATGATTGTCTATCCTCAAAACATAACATCCAGCAGGCTTGAGCCGTCTCAGCTCTTCTCAAACCATGCTTCCAGTGATTGTGCCAAATCCTCATGAAAGCATCATGCAATATCGTGTCATCATAGCCAGAGGCTTCCGTACTAATCCCAAAAGAAAGCTGGAGCCGGTGGAGTAGGCGTGCGGTTTATGTTATCATCTTCGCTCGTACCGTTTCGAATTATTCAGAGCAGTCAACGTGTGTCATCGTGAAGTCGTAAGATGCGTGTACATCTGCCAAACACCTCAGCGTGTATCGGCTCGTGGGGGACCCATGGGAGGTGGTGGTATGTCGTATGGGTGCTGGTACGCTCCCGGATTGTACTGCGGGTTGTACTGCGGATGTTGTGGTGGCGGGGTAGAGTATTGATTTGGATTTGGTTGTGGAGCAGCGTAGGATGCGTACGGATTATCGTCGGCGTAGTGTGGAGGGCCCTGCGTGTGCGAGGCGTAATGACCAGTGTCGCTTCCATAGTAGGGGGAGTCGGATGGTGCAAGATTCGGCAGAGATCCGTTGAATCCTGCTTCGCGATACGATTGTGCCGCCAGCATTTGCTCCTTTCTTCGGCGAGCATCCCGCTTGACCTTGTGTCGTTCAATTGCCTCTTTTTTCTCCTCAATTTCCTTACTTTCGGTTCGCAGACCTTGCCATTCGCTGTACGCTCCCTTGATACCCAGCGCGGCAATGCCCACGCTGGCCGCATCCTGAAGCCGTGCCCTGTTCTTCTCCCTGCGTGCTTGCTCAGGCGATATGTCGCCTTCCTTAAGAGCCTTTCGACGTGCATTCCTCTTCTCCATAGATTGATAGATACTGTGACCGGCATGAATGGTAGCCACGGTGGCGAGAGCTCCAGTAACGACTGATTTCTTGCGGCTCTTTTTCATATCTTTCTCATCACCGGAACTGGATCCCAGGTCAGAATCGGAGTCTGTTTCAGGGTCGCCGGTATGGTGGGGCCCGAAGTCCGCTCTGTAAGGCTGTCCAGGCACGCGGCTAGTACTGGCCGCACGAGGAGCGCCGACGACGGGCCCGGCAGCGCCGGCAGGGGTAAGGGCACCTACATCTCTGGAGTCTCTATATCCACCGTTAGAGTAGTCATCATAACCTCTGGATCTATCATCGTAGCCCCTGGATCTGTCATCGTATGCTTGATCGTCATATTGCTTGGACTTGCGACGCTCCGGGTCGATCTTATCAGCCGCCCCGCCGAGTCCTATGGCACCGAGACCTTTGGCGACAGCAGCGGAGACACTGGAACTGCGTTTGCGCTCAGGCTTAGGGCGAGAGGGCGAGCGACGGCTGTCAAAGCTGTCGTACGAGGATTCTCTCGAACGTGCGCGACCACGAGATCGAGAGCGGATCCTGTCATAGAACTTTTTGCCAGTCGCAGCGAGGACACCACCTGCAGCAAGGTCGCCAATGCCACCACGAGACTGACTGCGGCCGCGACTATCAGGACTGCGACTGCCGTCTCGACGGCCGTGTTCATCGGGACCGCGGGACTTCGAACGAGCGCCATTGACAATGCGATTGGTAGCCAAACCCGCGACAGCGGAACCGATAACATCACGGGTAGAGTGGTCTCCAGATCTGTTGTGGGATAGAATGCCGTCAACGCCACCAGCGGAAACGGCAGCGGTGAGGACGCGTTTGCCCTTCTCGCCGCCCCAACCGCCTGGCTCCTTGCGTGCACGGACCGCTTCAACGACACCAGCCAGGAGGGCCGCTTTCAGAGCCTCGGCGCCGCGCTCCTTCTTGCCATTCCGAGATTTACCACGTGATCTAGAGCCAGAAGATGAGGAGGAACCTCGACGACGACGACTTCGGGCACGACTGTCGCGGTCACGGGACCGAGAGCGGGAGCGGGAGCGGTCTTTGTCTTTGTCCCCGCCCTTGCCAAGAAAGGCACCTGCCACGCCACCTAGTCCGATGGATTTCAGGACTTCTTCAGTGGTCGACTTGCGCCGTTCCTTGTCTTTCCTGGGCCGAGGAGATGGGCTGCGAGACGAGTAGTCAGAATACGAATCATAATGTCGACGGCGGTCGTCTGTTCAATATTAGTCACTATGATTGGGAGGGCGCTGCAGGAGTTGGCCTACCTCTGTCGTCGTATTTCTTGCTTCGCCTCGAGATATAGGTATCGTCATCTCGCGGGTCACGACGAGTGCGACGACTGTAGGTCGAGTAACGATCATCGTAATAGTCGTCGTCATCATAAGACTTGGAGCGGGTGCCAGCGGGTCGGTGGCCGGACTTTCTTACGGTCGTCTCGCGGTATACAGCCCCTCCGCGATCACCCGGAGGAAAGTCTCTGGTCACCTCTTCAATGGAGGAGACAGAGTCATCCCGTCGCCTCACGATGGTGGTGGATTTCGCATCACGATCGTATGACATATCGTCGTAATCGTCGTATCTATCTCTCGTGGGCTTATGGCGGGGGCGACGGTCGTCGTCGTAGCGGGACATGGCGGAAGGAGGGAGAAGAGGATGAAGCGAGGGGCAAACGATCGAAGTAGGGGCAGTGTGGCCAGGCGAAGAGCCGAAACCACAGACCAATCAACAGGCGGTGATGGTGCGACGCTGTACTACAACGAGCCGACGGTGTGGGTGATGGAAGTGATGTTGAGATGGGCAATGTATGAGGCTTTTGAAGAAGGAATTGCGAACGCAAGTCTGCTTGGCGAGCAAGTCAGGCTTACAGACCGGAGGCGAGTGTGCACAGGAGGGCGCAAAAGTTCCTTGTGGACACAACCGGGCGCAGACGGACGTTGGCGAGGTTGGCGATAGAGGGGTCGGTCATACGTAATTGGTGGGTTGCGCCTAAGTCACAGTAATGCTGGTGCCCAGTCGCAGAGTTGAGCACAGGGATTTGGCAATGCAAATTCGAGTGCAATTGGGTAGCAGACCGAAACGCAGCCCAAGAGATGCCAGGCAGCCAGAATGGTACCAAGGTGCTGGAAAGCGAAAACACAGGTTGGGTAAAGTTGAGCGCTGGGGTGAAGAGGATGCCCTGGATCGGGGCGAGGAGGAAGAGTAAAGCCGGCGGCCCCAGCCTCTCGACGATTGCCCCAGCCAATATTTTGTCGCCAGCACAGCAGTGGCAGTGCAACCTGTGGCAAAGTCCAGTAGGAAGCGTAGTCCTTTGCGCAAGTCTGCCTCGCAGTGCCTACCAGCACGCCACGTCGTTGCTGCGCCTCAGGTGCTTACAGTTAGACGTAGTAACGCCCCGCATGCAAAGGGGATGACGTTGCTTAGGTGGCCTGTACATGACACGTTGCTGGCGTTGTAAGTCGCAATCAAATGACTCGCTATTTGCTAAGGGCTTCGGTCGTTGGATTGGGCATGTGGTGTACTTTTGTTGCATTTACATCCGCAAACCTCAAAGCTTGCTCAACTCGACTGCTGAGACATTGGGGAGCTTAAAGTCAAAGTATAGAGCATTACTTCAGGCGCCTGAGTTGACTAGGCACAATACACAGACCATAATGTCCGCCAGAGCCCGTGACCAGAGCATCAAGGACCACTATACCGAACAGCTCCCACAATCTTCAGTAGTAGTTTCAAGGAGTCATGTACGCCGCTTAGTAGTTGCACACGTGATGCTGTACAAGTTCTTGCCCAAGCCGACAGTGATATAAGTTGTATGCAACGCAGCCTCGGGATGGTCCGCTTCTTCACGATTTGGCCAGAAGAGCTGCGGTGGGCATAGAGTTGACCTTCCCCTGCATGTGGTCTAGTATCAACGGCGGCGAGGTTGGACCCTGGGTACCCCTATGAATGGTACCCTGCAGGATATCTTTACACCAAACCCTAGATCTTGACCCCTTCAATAAGAGCGCATTCGCCGTTCATCCACCGTTTAACGAAGACCATGGCAATGCACGTGTTTCGGGACGCGACAGCTGCCGACGGCTGATCAGTGCACTACGTATACGGATGCCTGTTTTATTTTGACGACTTCAAACCATTGCAGCATTCGAGCTCCAGCATTGATTCGACATGCCGCAGGCTATGAATATCGGACAAAGTATCACGATCCTCGTGTTGACGCCCTCTCGCAGCGGAACTGACCATTGATGCCCCTTGTTACCACTTCCAAATTTGCGAACAGGACCGACATGCCAACCTGAAATTCCATGCAGAAATTCGATGCGCATTTGTTCATGATTGATGTTGACCGGCATTTCATCCACAGCCAACGCCTGCAAGGATATGATATCATTCTTGGCTCCAGCCGTTCCGGCCACGCGACGCGCAAGGGGTCCCTGCATTTGTGCAAATCCCGATCTGCCTCAAAACCCCGATCAGACTTCAGCATGGTGCCCTCGACTAGTTTGTGCTTAATCCAAGACTAGAAACTCCCGCCAAACAGTCATTTCGCTCTGGCGCTTCTTGGGGCCTTACCACGCCTCGCTTGCGACCCTTTGACCGCCACCACAGTCAGCGGCGGGGTTTGTTGCCAGGCCTTGGATGATGTCAGTCTTGCGATCTGGGTTTACAGTAAACAGCCTGAAGCCGTCTACTCCTCTAAAGAGATTGAACACTAGGGAGCTTCAGAAGCAATAGCTGAGATACGACACTAAATTTGGGCAATTCACAAGTTTAGAAGATCAGCCGATCTGGTCGTTGGCTAGGGTAGAGAAAGCAGTCTTTCTCGAATGCGAAATGATCGTCTGCATGCGCGCAGGGTCAACTCCCATCCAGGGAACGCCGGGTGCCCCAGCCCGCTGCGTCTCAGGCTCCACCGGCCATCGTTTCGATCCCACAAAATCAATCGACGATGGTCATCCTTTTTCTCGATCTTTCTCCCTGACCTCCTCCAGCATCATTACCCGCGAGTCTTCGGCGGGTACGCAGCTGGGGACGCTGTCCCGTAGTCGCACGTTTTGGTCATTGTTGTTGTCGCACCACACTGAGCAGCCCGCTTGCAGTCGAGAATGCTGCTTAGTTGAATGTGTGCATCACATGATCGGAGCGGCCATCGAGACCTTCCAAAGGCGTTCCCCAGGGTCCGAGCTGAGATTCCCAAAGAATCGGGAACAAGCCACCTGCGCCGGGCGGTTCATCAGGCGCATCAGCGATCGAGGGTGGGAAGAACCCACTCACCCGCCTGTGGAGTCGTGCTGCAGGCCTGGCTGAAGCCACTCAAACGTGCGATTTTACTGCCATCGGCGATGCAAGGCCTTCTGGGTTTCATGCCTGCCGCCTAGGAATGGAACATGATGTCGTCAAAGTCGCCAAAGTCGCCAACTTATGCTCTCCCCGTTAATCTGAAAGCCCGGTTTTCGTATCGCACCAGTGGCGCCGCTGACATTTGCTTGGTCCGACTCCACTGATCCTGGTACCTTTGAATACTCGGACCCTCCCCTCCACACTCCTACCATTTTCTTGTTGCTCTTACACCACGCGTGCCGACGTCCCTCTCTCCTCGTGCCCTGCACTTCTCAGTCGTCCAAGAATCTCACAATTCATACCGCCTTGCTCTCACGTAATTCGACTTGCACTCGTTACCCTGCTTGAGCCCACTGCCCACCCGCCGCAATATTGTTACAATCAGTGTCTGTTCTAGACCGATCCTCTGTCGTCGCGTCAACACAAATACAACACAATTGCCACCTCTCCGACCATAGTCGAAAGCCGTCACATTTAGCCGTCATTTTTTGAGCCAGCGTCATCTCAGCTGGCCATCTATTTTGAGGGTCTGACAATGGATGTTCGCAGCCACCCTCGGGAACGACTCTTCTCGATCCTCAACGACAACGATTCTCCGTCGTTCGTCATCCCTCAGCGCCGGTCCCCGTCGCCCGCCCGCAAATCTCCCAAACAAGAAAGACCAACATTATTCCGGCAAACAGAGTACCAACGCTCATCCTCGTTCTCCTCCAGTAGCTCTACTCCACCTCTCCTCCGCTACGATTCCAGCTCCTCCAAGAATTCCAGCAGCAGCATGGACTCTTCACCCTCTCCAATAACTCCTGCATACAATTTTGCTGACCCTAATCTTCTGGCATACGACAATGTCATGCGTCAAGATCTGGGTGCCTTTCTACCCTCTCCCTCAACAATAACTCCGTTCATGGAGAACTCACTCATGATCGGTCCCAACCTTTCCGAACAGTATGCACCGAAAGCGATGCTCCAACAACCGCCTGTCCAGTATCCCATTCTCCCGGCACCTACACTCGCAGATATTGCTCAATTACCGACTCCAGCCTCGACCCATTCCGCCGCAACATCTGTTAACAAGACCTCGCCTGTAACGTCGGGACCTGCTCCCGCGACTGGCAAGAACAACAAGTACCCCTGTCCGTATGCTCAGTCACATCACTGCTCTGCGACATTCACCACTTCTGGGCACGCCGCGCGCCATGGCAAAAAACACACCGGTGAAAAGGGCGTTCACTGTCCCGTATGTAATAAGGCTTTCACGAGAAAGGACAACATGAAGCAGCACGAGCGGACGCACAAGGGCTCGAACGCTAGCAATTCGGATGATGCCCACACCCGTCGAAGTAAAGCAGCCATTGCGCGAGACGTACAGCGAAACAAGCATGTCAAAAAACAGGACTCGGACGCCACGTCACTTTCGGATCCGGCTTCGGGTTCTTCAGTGAAGCGGTCTCCTCCCTCCGAAACTACATCCCTGGAGCCACTTTCGTCAAATGAGTTGGCTATCGGTATGGGAGATCCAACATTTTTCTCGGAACCAAATCCTCTTCTGCTCCCCCAGCAGCCGATCCCAGAGAATATGTCACCGCCGACAACGATTTATCCTCCGATGACCGACGATGCACTCATGTCGGCAAACAACATGCAGCCGATGGACGTCAGACTACCACCGCTTCCAGCTGGAAATCTACCTATGCCACCGCTGATACGGGGATTTTCGGATCTTGACACTCTCGCACAGGCTGCCGAGAGTTTCGACCCCTGCTACCAATAGCAAAACATCTGAGATTGGTTTCCTCGATGCAATAAACGATTTGATGACCAGTATACACGACGCGACAACACCATTGGGTTGTTTCTCATTTGAGCTGGCGCAAGCAGATGCTCCAGGTCGCGTACTGACGCGATTGTGGAGGCGTCGACTTCTGTATGCTATGATACCCGCGACGCATGTGTTCCTGTTGCTATTAGGCGTGGCGTCCAACTGTTGTGTTAAGGCCCATGTTTTGGGGTCTTTTGGAGGCAAACAAAGGACGGATTGCGTAGGACAGGGAGCGATATAGTAGCTGGGACCACAAATAACGCGGGCAGCCGGAGATGCTGAATCCTACTTTTATCTCTCTCAATACCTCCCACTCTGCTCTTCGAAAACCATCTTGCTGAATTGGTATCGATGGTTTAGAGTACACATTACATAGTACATGCCCCTTTTCGATTTACAACAATTTCTCGAGCTGCCTGTTGATCTTGCCTGGCGGCCACAGATGCTTGGGAACGTGCAGGTACTCGATGGCTCAGCTTTATACCTCGTGATCTGTCTCGTTTGGAGCTTCGTTCTGCGCGAGATTAGGCTCTGCGGACGACACACCTCACATAAGCAGCTTGGCATATTCCTGCTCTTCGTTCCCTGCTTCAGGGAACAAGGGCCATAAGTGTCTACCCATCCCCGTCGCCTGGGCATTGTCAACAGCACCTAAGATTCAACCACGCCACTACCGCCAAGGACCGCTTCTGATACGACTGCTAGCAGTGACGGCTTGAGCTCAACGCAACAATGGATCAATATACGAGCAACGGTTCCTCTTTGAGGAAGGCCTATACCACGAGCTCGACCAATAGTGTACCAGAACTGCTGCGTGGTCTGTCATTTGCATGCTTTTGGACCATCTCATGGGCTACTCAGGCCTCCGTAATCCTGCAAGGGTGGCAGGCCTTATAGTAAGAGTTTCGGCTGCAAGTTGCCAAACCGAGACTTCCCAGTCCCAAGGGCGACTGTCTTGACCAGAAGCCCATGCTGCATTTAAGCTCGGCAAGTGCCTCCTGTATGATTGCAACTTATGCACACCTCACAGTTCGATAGCATGGCTACAGAACTAGTAAGCACACAGTACTTCACCATTGCCGGTCTCATCCTCGCTTGTCTGGTCGTCCACTATGTTTGGGCAACATTCTTCTCCGCCCGAGCAAGGCAGCTCGCTAGATTACCTCCAGGACCAAAGCGCATACCTTTCATTGGAAATCTACTGGACCTTCCCAACAAACAGTCGTTCGGAGAAGAATACTGGACCAAACATCGCAAACTGTACGGTCCGATAAGTTCAATGACAGTGTTTGGAACAACCTTCATCGTCCTGAACGACCTTCAAATCGCGACTGAGCTGATGGACAAGCGCAGCGCAAAGTACTCCGGCAGGCCAAGCTTTCCCATGGCCTCCTTTGTTGCAGGATATGAGCACGCCTGGCTAACCCAGCAACATGACGATGTGCACCGTGCCTACAGAAAGATGACGCATGCTCAATTCGGATCGTTCACTGCCGTTGACAGATGGAAGCAGGAATACGATGTCGAGTCACGGCGGTATCTGCTTCGTCTGCTACAGAAGTCCGAGGGTTTCCTGGATCACATCAGATATGGATCCGGAGCTACCAGTCTGAAGATTTTATATGGATACACAAGCGATCCGTCGGGGAAAGACGATTTGATAGATCTCGCTGAGGCAACGATGCAGGACTTCTCGCACCTCATTACGCCGGGCGACTGGCTTGTCGATACCTTCCCACTCCTTCGATATGTTCCGGACTGGGTCCCAGGCGCGTCCTTCAAGAAGAAGGGACGCGAGATGCGAGAACGCTTGGTAAGTCTCAGAAATTTCTCGCAATGTCTGAACCTGAAGAGGCCCGTTGTGCAATCTAAACGCCTTGTGTCGGTTGCTTCAAGATACCAGACCTCATGGTTTCGTAGAATTTAGAACCAAACCTCGCATGAACATTTCATTCGAAAGCAAGGGAGCATATGGGACAATGCTTCTGCTCTGGGATGCACTAGTCCTAAGCTGTGCCCAGGAGTTGCCCCTCTGCGACCTCTCAAGCCTCGAAAGGGCCCCCCCAAGTGTGATACGAGTTTGCAAGGACACAACACACATTGATCCCCTGGCCTGTTTGCCACCTACTTGATCTGGCTCAAGGCTGACTCGATCTTACTATAGCATGCAGGTGCGAGGAAGGCTTACGAGTTCACGACCACACAAATGGCGAAAAAGACCAACAAACTGTCGCTGGTTTCTGAAGTTCATAAAAAGTTCGGACATAGCATGACGTCGACTGAAGAGCTTCACCTCAAGTGGACTAGCTACAGCTTATATATGGGTGGTGCAGATACCTCAGTGGGCGTAATAGAGATCTTCTTCCTGGTGATGACCTCGAAGATAGATTCTCAGCGCAGAGCGCAAGCAGAGATCGATTCCGTTGTGGGAACGGATCGGTTACCCGACATTTCTGACCAGGCCAAACTGCCGTATGTCGAAGCTCTGTACAAGGAAATCATACGCTGGAAATCTCTTGGATCTATCGGTGTCCCGCATCTCGCGGACGAAGACGATGAGTACGAAAACTACTGTGAGTTCCAAGGTTCCCTGAGACGCCCTCTCCGACCGACACTTCCAACGTCACCTCCATACGATGCTGGACCAGCTCAAGCCTGATCCGATGAGAGTTTATTGACTTACTGTTTTTCCTAGTCATACCGAAGGGAGCCGTAATCGTACCACACGCCGCAGGCATGTATCATAACCCGAAGGTCTACAAAGATCCGTTCGAATGGAACCCCGATCGATTTCTGGGTGACAACCCTGAACCAGACCCTCAAAGCATTACCTTCGGCTTTGGCCGACGAATCTGTCCTGGTCGCTACCTCGCAATGCGAATGATGTGGTTGGAGATTGCACAGACCTTGGCAGCATTTGATATCAGGGAGATCAAGGGCGAAGAGCCTAGTTGGAGATTTGCTACGGGCGCCATTGAACATCCTCTGCCGTTCAAAGCTGACATCCGCACCCGAAGCGCAAAGCATGAAGCACTGGTGAGAGCGGTGGAGGTGGAACACCCGCTCACTCATGGAGATTCACACCTCGTGCCAGCTTAGGTGGCGCATGGTTGGGAGCCTTGCTGGACCAAAGAGTTCTTGGGAGAAATTGATGGTGAGATTTGGCACGATGCGAAAGGCAGGAATATACGAGAGTAGTGGCATCGTGGCCCTGCTGGATTCGGTTCTGAGGGCGCGTGAGGCTCGATAGGATAGGGGCCGGACCCGCCCGTTTTGTAGCCAATCCTTGGCGCTGAACCTCAACTCCAGGCCTCTTCTACAGCATCGCGTGTCTGCTACGCAGAAACTGCTTCATCACCACCGCTCAATGCCCAATGCCCGCACAAGCCTAGACGCTCCGTATTTTGTCTAGCCGTAAGCACGACGTCATTGGGCATTCTGTCAACCTACATTTTGGCGTCTCGTGCCTGTATTGCCATTCGCAGCTTCGCTTAGGCATGCCTAAGCACAAGAAGGCCAAAACCTCGCACCCTGGTGCTGGATCGCAGACCAGAGGCAACCTTTCACACGCAGAGATATGGGATGATTCGGCACTGGTCAGAAGCTGGAATGAAGCTGTTAAGGAGTACGAGGTATCTCCCCCTCCTGCCCTCATCGAACCAGAGTCACTCCGAACTCAGCCTCTGGCGAGATGCGTTCCCAGAGCCTGCAACTGACATCATACAGTATTATCATTCTCTGGTAGCACAAGGGCTAGATGTTGAAACAATTCTCGATCAAGCGGAGGCAGCCGAAGCCAATGGCGAAACTCCGGCTCTTGGTCTGGAAGAGGTTGTGACGCACACGACGACAGGCGCCATTGTCGACGTCCTTCCACCTACGACCAACGAGTCTGACGAGGAGAACGAAGAGGGCGAAGTGCGGGACGAGCCTGAACGGCAGCCTACTGCCCAAGAGCGCCAAGCAGCGCTCAAGCGCGCTGGTTTGACTCTCGACAGCACGACCACCGCAAACTCAGAGCCCGCTACGACGGCGCAAGGGCCTATGGAGGATTCAGCGGCCCCGAAATCCGCTCTTCATCAGCCAGAGGCTACAGCTATAGGTCCAGGTAAGTCTCTCCTCTGCGTTTTCAGCATTTTCATATGCTGACATCGCTCAGATCAGACGCTCGAGAACCTCAAAATGGCCTACTACTGGGCGGGTTATTATTCGGGTTTGCACGACGGACAGCGGCAAGCTTCAGCGAGGATTGGCGAGAGTTCTATAAGCTGAGCCGTCTGCTCTGCGGACCTCCCAGCTTAGCATCGTTCACGCCAGCCGCAAGGGCACGCGAGACCGATCGACCCTGGTCCTTGGACGAGGCCTTGCCTAGTGCTAAAGTCATGCAGCAGACAACGCCACACTTGAAGGGCAGAACCTATGTACAAGGCCATTACCAACAGCCGCGAGGGTCCCGCTGCCGGCCGGCGAGGTAGCAACTGCAATTTGTTCTGGGCTGGCATTGCTGCTGACTGTATGTTACGGCACAATGATCATCTGGACACAAGCCATTTTCGCAGCCGGACTACGCTTGGGCTCTCGAAGCCGGGCTTGAGCTTCCACATGAGTCCACCCTGTCCCGGGTCGTCCACTCAAGAGCACGCTTATGGCTTGCGAGGGTTTCTTGCCTGTTCCCGAAAGCTATCGCGGGCTGAACGCCCGGGGATTGCTGCGATCATCGAAAGCGTCTCACTAGGCATTCATGGTGTTGAGATTGAGGTGGTTCAGGATGGCCAGATCGACGCTGGGACACGAGTCTGTCATTTTTGCGGCGCTGCGCATTGACTGGACTCGACTCGTTGGGCAATGAAGACGTTCCCCAAAAGTCAGCAAATGGATGAGACTATTTGGGTGTGAGAGTCCATCAGGCGAAGCACTTATTCTTGGTAGTTGACGCTGCACTCTTAGTGATATTTCGTATCATTCGTTTACAGCACGCTTAATCGCTCACTGCTGGCCTTCTGCCAGCCATGTCCCACTTTGATGCATTCCCTGGACTTGGCTTCACACTCACAGAGGCCCGAACTCGCTTTCAAAACCATGCCATCTAACGCGGTCTACCGCTCAGTTTCCTCTAAAACCACACTGCCGCACAAATCCTCTACACCAAACGTACAGCGATCTAATCGCGGCTGCATAAGAGAGCAGTGGAGCATGCGTAGGCACTACGTGCGACCCTCGTCTCAAGCTCAGTCAACATCGATGGTGCAGCACACGTATGCGCTGTACTCTGCACCGGCCTCAGCACCGCCAACATCCGGCCCGCCGACCGAGGTGTCTTCCTTTTGTATCCTGCCTTTAGAGTCCCGACCAAAGGCGTTGCCAGCCAGGTAGGAATACTCGGAATCCATGCCTTTGCGAGCTTTCTCTACACGCTTCTTGTCGGTCTAGTGGGGTTTGTCAGTAAAAAGTGGCTCGCTGTGGATGAGAGCTGGAAGGGTCGAGGAGCAACTCACTTTCACCACGGCCCCGACATAGTCTAGCGGCAAGCCGTACCGCAGTACCGTTTCCACAAACATTCGCAGCACCACAACGTGGACTAGCGCCATAACACCCTCACTCCAGCCCGTCCGCCCCAGTCGCAGGATCTCTCCCCATACCTTCTTTTCCTCGCTCTCTGCCTTCCGCAGTTCTCTGACCTCTTCCTCCTTGCCACCCTCCTGCGCTTTGAAGTCTCGCGGAATCCATTTGTGCTCCCTCGCCTTGTGCACAAAGTCCTGCGCGTGCTTCTTGAACACCGTGACCGCGTATAATGTGTACTCGGAGTCGGAGTCGACCAGGTAGGCGGAACGGGGCACGACCATGGGGGAGACGGTTTCGTACGAGCGGTTGAATTCCTTGACGGAGGAGGATGGGACAGCGACGAGATGGGTCTCGAGGTGCTCTGAGCCAGAGGTCTGCACAAGTATTTTGGGGTTGACGATGGAGAGTAGAGACTTGGTTGCCAGACTCCCAGACTGCTTGCGGTGTAGGGAAGCGAGATTGGTGCGGAGAGAATTATATTGATTGAACTTGGAGCGGACATCGTTGTCTATTGAGTTGATTTCCTGTAGGATTGGTTAGACGGCTGACAAGGTGGGTGGTGCAGGGCAGGATCACGGACTTTCTGGAGTAGACTGAGCAGCTCGGCGATGGGTTTGTCAGCGCGGTATTTGACCTTGTTCCAGGAGAAGTTGGAAAGGTACTGATCTAAAGGTTCTGCGGGCAGTTGATCAGTTTGAGACTCAGACTCCGCGCTGCATTGCTGACATACTGTCGTTGACGCTCTTGTGTGTATTCGCCTTCTCCTCGTCCCCGTCCAGGACATTCTTTAGGGTATCTGCCACCTTGCTCACCACTCCATTGCATACATTCTCCAGCTTAGCCAATTCGTCCGACTGCTGCAAGCAAGCATCGAGGGTGCCGATCTTGAATTCGGGAAGGGAGAAGGGCTGGACGTCGCCGTTCGATGGGTTGACAGCTTTCTGAACAGATCCCAAGGCATCGTCCTTGTGGCCGGATGGAGTAATGGACGAGGGAACAGAGACCAGAAGGTAAGTCGGCTTCGACATATTGGCCGTGGAGGGGTGTTGGTGCGGCCGTGGGATGCCAGATCCAGTCGGCGCCGTGGGGAATGTCGATTTTTATGGGCGAGCAGGCCGATGTCCAGACGGCAGCTTCAAGAGATCTTCCTGGCGTCTTCGCCACTGCTGAATCTGCTAAGCGTTCTGGAGAATCAAGGCGACATTTGACTGCCTGTCTCAAGCTGCCATGGGAGCTGGAGCTACGACATAATGCCAAGCGATACCCCGGCTGATTGATTTTGCGGCGACCGCTTCACGCGCCGACATGCCTCCGGGTTGCGTTACTGCTGACCCAGATCTCGCTATCCCGAGACGATGAGTTTTATTATGAGATTCAGACTTTAGTGTACATCCAACGAGACTCCCCCTATACCACACTGGACACCTCTTGCAACTGATTGTCCCCTCTACTACGTCCTATTGTTGTTTATGAATCAAAACATGCCGTGCCTGTTACCCCGGGTACGTGATTGGGTTGAAAACGGGGAGGCCACTGCATGGTAGACGCACGTAAGACCCCGTCCTAGGGCTATGTGGAAGGTAGATGAGTGGGACACCTGGTCACGTCGGTAGATCATGACCAGAGTTCCCCGGGATCAATCGATCCGGCCGGGGGCATTTCTTGTGAACGATTAGGAACGATGGGCTGTGGACTCCTTGACACCTCTTTCAATGTGGCGCCGGTGACTGGAAGTACAAACTTCAGCCATCCATATGCCTTAGACACGTTGCGAAAGATGTTATATTGGAAAGCAACGCGATCTGCATTCAGATATCTACTTGAGCATTATCTGGAGCCACTGGTAGGAAACCTCCCTACGGAGGGGAAAACCCGTCAGTGCAGCACGGCAAAAACGAAAGGCAACACTAAGTCCGTACGCCCCAACACCCACTGGTACTCCTTCAACAGCCTTAGACGACAGAGCTGCCATCCTGAGGCGTGGACTTGCCACTCTCGCCGTTGCGCCTCTGTGTCTGCTTGACCCTGAAGCGCTTGATGGCCTTCCAGCTCTCGATCACCGCAACGTACATGACCAGACAGCCAACGACAATGCCCCACTCATAAGTGATACCCTTGTGCTTGAACACGGTGGTGTTGACCTCCGGGATGTAAATTAGGGGAAATACAAGAATGAAGCCAGAAACAACCGCCCAGAATAGGAACTTGTTCTGATAGACGGCGGGGAAGACGGAGAAGATCTTGGAGCTGGATGATTCTGGATCGCGTTTGACACCAATGAGACCCATATTGAAGAGGGAGGCGTTGAAGTCCTTGACCTCCCAGGCGGTGATGAGGAGAGTGAAGGAAAGCACCGCGAAGACGGTGGCACGGGCCTCGAAGACACGGTCGCAGGTGCCGTTGTAGTCTTGGTTGCACTCTTCGCCTAGACTGTGTTCGCCGCTGCCAATGCCGTAGATGACACTGACGAACGCAACCAAGCACAGAGACCCCATGGTGATGCCGTATACCATCTTGTCGATGATGAGCGACTTCGTAAACACACCGACTTTCATGTCCCGTGGTGGGCGGTCCATAATGTCCACGACCGAAGCCTCAAGGCCAAGACCAAGTGCTAGTGGTGAAGAGGTGACCAAGTTGGCCCACAGAATCTCTAGGGGCGAAAGGGGGAAGACGGAGTTTTGGTTTGCGTCTTGGAAGGCGAGGGCGATGATGAGCAGGACAACTTGCGCGATGTTCGAGGTAAGCAGATGGAGGAGGAACTGGTTGTAGTGTCAGTAGGAGCCCATTCAAAACCAAAGGGTTGCAGCTTACCTTCTGAATGTTGTCGAAGAGTCTCCTTCCCTCTTGAATGGCACGGACAATCGAAGCGAAGTTATCGTCAGCGAGTACCATGTCGGCAGCTTGCTTTGCAACATCACTGCCGTTCAAACCCATAGCGATACCAATGTCTGCCAGCTTGAGGGCGGGCGAATCGTTGATGCCATCACCAGTCATGATGCAGAATGCTTGTCGACGGTGCAAGGCCTGTACCATGCGAACCTTGGTGGTAGGCGAGCAGCGAGCAACGACGAGCGGGAGTTTCTCCAGCTGGTCGAGCTGGTCGTCATTGAGCTTATCGAAATCAGAGGCGAGCATGACTTCGCCGGTAGAGGTGGGATCCATGTGGTAGTGTCCATGGCCAACGATGCCGACTTCCTGCGCAATGGCGGTCGCGGTACGGATATGGTCACCCGTAAGCATGTGGACAGTGATGCCGGCGCGCTGGCAAGTGCGAACGGCATCAGCAGTCTCTGCGCGAGGAGGATCGTACAGGCCAATGAGGCCGACAAAGTTGAGCCCAGTTTCGGCCACGTCGCGGTCCGCAACTGCTTTCTCATCATCAGGAGAGACAGTCTTGTGCGCAAGGCAGAGGACACGGAGACCTTGGCTGGCCATGGCGTCTGCGTCAGCGGTGATGCGGGCAATCTCCTCCTCTGTGCAGTTGGAGATGGACAGAACGGCTTCGGTTGCACCTTTGGTGAAGAGATCGACGACATTGTCCGCTGGGCGGGTGTATGCCATAGTCATCCGCTTAATGGAGGAGTCGAAGGGGAACTCGCCGAGCAGAGTGCGATCTTTCTTTGCCATAGCTTCAGCTTTGCCATGCTCGAAACGCATGGCGAATACTTGAAGAGCAACCTCGGTCGGCTCGCCAACAGCTGTCCAGCCGCCTTGGCCAAGGGTCCCTGCAGGCTTTGAAGAGCCGGTGACGGTGCGAGAAAGATTCTGTACCGTGGACAAATTGCAAAGAGACACAATGTCGAGGTAGAGATCCAGTGGTGTACCAGCCTGCACATCTGAGATAGCGTTTCCGTCTTCTCTTTCGACTGTGCCGCTGGTAGGATCAAATGGGTTGGTCGAGTTCTGCACCGAAAGAGTTTCCGAGCCCTTGACCAAAGCTCTTCTGACAATCATCTTGCCCTGAGTGAGCGTACCTGTCTTGTCAGAACAGATGTTGGTGACACCACCCACAGCTTCGAGGGACGAGAGCTTTCGAATAATGATATTGCTCCTTGCCATGGCCTTTGTGCCGACCGCAATGGTCAGGGTGAGCACCGCGATAAGTGATTCGGGGATAACGGCCACAGCAACGCAGATACCGTAAATGAGCACCTCGTCTGAGACGTCCCATTTAGCGGTGGAGAAAACGATGACTGCCAAGAGGATAGCGAGCCCAAAGAGCAGGAGTGCGAACTTGCTGAGCTTGACCTGTAGAGGGCTACCCACAAGGCCCAGAGCATGCTTGACGATCTCGATCGTACGCCGGTAAAAGCGTTGGAATACATTTGCGTCCGCATTAGAGGCCTTTTTGTCTTGCAGCAAGGCGGCAATTTTTCCGACCTCGGTCAGCATAGCCGTAGCGATAACAATGCCAGAGCCGCGTCCACGAGTTACCATGGATGCCGAGTATACCATGTTGGTACGATCGCCGATAGGTACATCGGCTCGGGTGAGTTTCTGGTCGGCGAACTTGCTGATGGGCAATGATTCACCAGTGAGTAATGCCTCATCGGTAGACAGGTTCACTGAGTCGAAGAGGCGTAGATCGGCCGGAACAACGGCACCAGCGGCCAACAGGACGACATCGCCGACGACCAAAGTCTCGGCTTTGACAACCTGGATTTGCTCACCGCGGAGAACCTTGCATTCCGGTGACGACAGTGCCTGGAGCGACAATATAGTCTGCTCTGCACGGTAATCCTGGATGAAGCCAACGACGATGTTGAGGAAGATGACTGCTAGAATGACGGCAGCCTCGATGTAGTCGTTTAGACTGAAGGATAGGATCGTAGTGATCACGAGAACAAGCGTGAGAGAGTTGGAGACTTGTCTCAAGAGAATCTGGAACACGGATATCCCTTCTGAATCCTTGATCTTGTTGGGTCCATCCTTCTGGAGGCGACTTGCCGCTTCGTGGTTGCTAAGGCCATGACTAGGCCTGTCAGTCACTGCTGCTAGGGACGGGGGATGACTCGGCAGTCTGGGGACCGGCCTTGTAGGACTTACTTGACATCGACCTCAAGTTGGGCCGAGAGATAGGCAACGTCGTTGACGTGGGCGTTCTTGCAAAGGTCCTCTCTCGAGGAGGCTGGAGTGCCCGCTCCGGCCGCTTTCTCGTTGGTGGATTGTTGGTTCACAGGCTGGCGTTGGGCACCTATAGGGGGCTCGTCTTTCACGGGCTCAGCTTGCTCAATCGCTGTGGTAGAACTGCCATTTGAGGGGGTTGAAGTAATAACCATTCAAGTTGGGGCAAGACAACACTTTTGGTGCCGCTTGCTGATATGATAAATGAAAGCTTTGGAGGACTGAAGGCTTCACAGAAGTCTGGAGTCGAACAGAGCTGTTCAGGAAAATGGGACGATGTGTAAGGAATGCAAGTCTTGAGATGACGCCCTTGGAGAGGTGTACCGGTTTATCTAGGTAGGGCGGCTTGACGCGGGGCGGGGAACAGCGTCCGGGCGTGCCTGTGAGGGCGGCGAACAAAGAGTTCCAAGTTGCAGTGACAAGCTGCATCTTCCAAGAGCACAGCCTCAAGCATGTGGAGTGGGCAGGGCAAATGACAAACGATGCTCGGAAGGACAAGCCGCCACCAAGCATGTCTAGATTGGCTGAGTCTGAGCGGAGAGCACTTGGCACGTTGGCGCCATCATCTTGGAGATGCATGGCGGGCGAAATTCGCCAACGCTATTTGCTTCGCCCTCGGTCGACGAGAGTGATGCCGGAGCGGGATACACTGATGATGTGAGAGGAGCGCTTGGCCCTTCCACGTATTCCGCATCATGGCTTGTGGTCGGGCGGAGCGATGTACCGCCGCCTGGGCCAGCTGTGTACAGGCCAACAATTTGGAGTCAGCCAGCACCAGGTCTTGGTGGCAAAATGTTTTGGCATTGGCAACCAAGGCGAACCTGTTACAGCGAGCCGAGCAATACATCATCATTACCCACACTGGACTGTAACATCAGGCGCAGCGGTGCGATTTGATAATGGTGGAACCATCCCGTAGGAAAGAAAGTGCCAATTCCTTGTCATCGGCCAAGATGGGGTTCAAAGCGATAAAGGAGACACATCAACGGCCCTGCAAGGTAGTCTTCATGCAAGACAAGAGCCTCAAGATCACGTTGCAAGACTAGTGTGCTGCATGTGCGGAGGTTGCAATGGAGAAAGTAGGAACGATGGCGGGAGACTCGGAGTAGTGTAGAGGGCGGATTTCGTGCCAAGACATTGGTGCCGCCGCGTTGTCTTCCTCCTGCATCTGGTGGAAAGCAGCACAGTGTCTCATCGACAGATTCAATCCGGCAGAATCACCCTGTATCTCTCTATAGTCTTGGATCAACGCGCGCCGCAACCTCAGTATCTCGTCCACAGAGAACTCGACTGCTACCTGCGTTGGCGCTCCGACGCCCAACAGTATCTTGTTCCGGGGCGGGGTCAACCCTTGTACCGGAAATGCATTCAAAAGCCATAAAAACCCTCCAGTGTACGGTAACCCTTGACGGCACCGTCTTTGGCGAGCCCGCCATTCCGAATGCAAGAATGATCCCAAGGGTCCCAATAGTCTATATAGTCCACCGTTCGAAGTATTGGAGAAACACTGAGCGCTCAGGACGTGACTCTGTACAAAGACTTTAAGAACTGCAACACAACCACGTCAGCCAACGTGCTCTGCCTTGTGCAGCAGCTCCCTTACCTTTGCATGCTTTGGTTCAACGAACAGTGCCTCTGCTTCGACCAGCTTCTCGGGCTGCTCACCCTCAGCCACCTCCAGGCTCTCGATCCATCCCTTTGCCCACGCCTTGCGACCCTCTACCTTAGTAGTTTGGGCGCGGAGGACAAGGAATTGCCCTGCCATCGTGGGCTTGCGATAGTTGATTTGCAGGTTTGCCGTAACTCCGACTTTATTCTGCATTGCAGGGAAGGCACATCTGGCCAGTCCCTCGTCCAGCATGGTCGCGATAAAACCGCCATGGACGATGCCCGGGTGACCGGACACATCCGTCCCAACGTACATTATCTGCACCATCTCCGAGCCATCTTTCTTGTTGAAATAGTATGGGGGAACGACAATCATGCCCGGCCCACTCAATGTCCCGGCCGTTAGGTTATGTTGCCGCACGGCTTCCGGAATCTTCAGCGACGGTCGTGACTCGCGCCACGTGGGATCGTTGCGTAGGGTTTGCGCAATTGCACAATTCTTGATATGCTCGTCTATCTCTCGCGAGAATTCGTCAGGCGGGTTGTACAATTCCAGGGTCTCCTGGTCGGTGGGAACGTGAGACCCCATGAGAATGGTGTTGAAGATAGGTGGCGCGTAGTGTAGCGCGTAGTATGCACCCAGGCTGAAGGAGAGCGTCGAGATGATGAAGAAGGACACCCCGCGGCGTAGTCGAGATTGGGGCTTGCTATGTACAACAACTGTCCAAGATTAGGAAGGTCAACAATTACGATGGTGGCATCTAACCTGTTGCGTAGGACCTGCTCCGCGGGGAGAGCCTAAGTAGCTGTGGAAGGAGTATGGAACGAGAGCGACTGCTTCTGGCAAGGAATGGAGCTGTTCTGGATAAGTGAGAGGTGCTGAATAGTCCCAGTACTGACTGCGGCAGAGCCATATTTATGGTCATTGCGGCGATGACAACATTTGGCTGGCAGTAAAGTCTTAGGCCAGCGGCGAGAGGACCGAAAACTTAGTCGGTACGCCGGCTTCCGAAATCGTACCTGGACGCACGGCGAATGAGACAGATTGATGCACGTTGGGGATCGGAATTGGCATGGCTTGATAGCACAGAAAAAGAACGACGCTACCACGCTTGCCGAGGCAGTTCAGCTTCGGCCTCTGCAGATTACCGTGTGGGGTTAGCCGCCTCACTTGTGCTCTGCAGCTCTCAGTCCAGTATTGCTTCTACCCGGTGTATCGCATCTTGACACTGCTAACATGCTGCTTATCTCGGAGTACAGTCCGCTACATCATGTCTACGCTGTATAAATCGGCACGCAGCAGATCTACCAAGACGGACAGCAGGAGCAAATTGATTAGACACCCGTATACATCTGCAGAAGTTGAGACCTCGCTGTACATTATACTTTGTCTATAATCGCTAAAAGCCACAAATAGGCTGGACTGGTAGGAATAGAAGCCCCTCTCCGTGTCACAAGAATCACGCCTCGGGCACATGCTGAGATGAATTGCGAGAGTGCGACCTTCTGGCATCTGGGCTGTGCGGCGGAGCGTGTTCAAAGAAAGGCGCCAGCTCAGGCCGCTGACTCGGCGGCACCTTAGTCTGCTGGAAGTTGGATGCGAAGACAGGATCGTCTTGCTTGGTGTCGGGGTGAACCTCCATGCCCGCCGTGCCCTCAACCCCAGATGCTGATCGTGAGCGACTAAATTGCACAGTTTCTGCCTGTTCCGCGCGTCGCTCCAGGGGTGACCAGCCACCCGCAACACTGCCTGCAACAATCCCGGCCATTGCAGCCGCTGGACCAAATATAGACGTCGAGTTGGACCGAGCTCTCTTCCGCGGTGTTTTTTCTGGTGTCTGCGGCGCGCTTAGGCTGGCATTCGACTCAGCCACTTCGTTGTTTGGTGTTTGAGGAAGGTCAACTTGTGACTCGTCCCGGGATCGTGACGATCCACGAGATCGAGGCAAGAACGTTTCTCGTGGATGCTGTAATTTGTACGCCAACTCTCGCATACGACCGCCGCGAATCTTCTTAAGAAACGTGAGTTCTTCACGAATCTCTTCGAGTGCCGGATTCCATTGCTGGGTCTGATCCTCGTCGTCTTCAATGATAACATTCAGGCTCGGCTTCTTCCTCCTCGGAAGTCGAGGGATGAACTTCCCGAACAACTCGTCTGGGATGAGTCGAATAATGATAGCGATAGGTATGGACAATACACCAAGGACAAGAGAAATGCCCCACTGTGGTCCTGTGATCCGTGTGACGGAAAATGCCTCGCCACCAACGAACATAATGAGACACTGGCCGCCAACAATGATGAATTGAATGCCACTATTGAATCGAGTCAGTACTCGTCTCCACCACAGAGCAGGGAGCGTCGGAGAGGCAGATGCAAGGACACTTACATAAACCACCAATTCCGGTGAATCCCTTCAAAGATATTGAAACCATTGTCGAGTCGTCGGGAGCTAGAACAGTTAGTAACGTTCTCGAAGCACACAGTTCTTTAGACTTACTTGTACTGGTTGAAAATCTGCATGAAGACAAAGGTGTTGAAAATCGTGCTATGCCACCTGTCGATCTCATCGTCGGTCTCGTATCCGAGAATGCCTTCTCCGGCGAAGAAGAGGATCAGCGTCACCACCAGCTGGAAGATGGACTGACCGATGATCATCTTCCACATGTTCAAAGTGATCAGGGGCGCAGATTTGGGTTCAGGCCGTCGATGGAGGATGCTCGGCAGTGGAGGATCAGTGGCGAGTGCGAGTGCGGCGAACGTATCCATGATTAGATTGACCCAAAGAAGTTGAACAGCAGTAAGCACTGAGCTTTCCTCATCGTTGGCAACAGCTGAGATAAAGGTCAGGACGACAGCCGTAATATTGACCGTGATCTGAAACTGGAGGAACTTCTTCACCGCATCATTAACTGCACGTCCCCAGGAAATGGCTTTAACGATAGAGACGAAGTTGTCGTCCATGATGATGATAGCCGACGCCTCTTTAGCGACTTCGGTACCTGCGATGCCCATGGAAAAGCCGACATCGGCAGCCTTCAGTGCTGGAGCATCGTTGGTACCATCGCCAGTCACAGCAACTGTCTCCCCGAGCTTCTTCAGGTGTCGAACAAGTAGCTTCTTGTCATCAGGGCTTGAGCGAGCCAGAACCTGCAAACGGGGAATGACCTGGTTGAGCTGATTCTTGCTGAGTTTGCGGAAGACAGGGCCCTCCATCGCGAGACCCCCAGCAGTGAAGATTCCACATTCTGTAGCAATTGCTTTTGCCGTCATAATGTTGTCACCCGTAACCATACGAACGAAGACGCCGGCAATCTGGCAGTCTCGTACGGCATCAGTAACACCTGGGCGAAGAGGGTCTTGAATGCCGACCACCGCAAAGAAAGTCATGTCTTTGAAGACCCTATCGAAGTCAGCCTGACGTTTATCGTCTGCCGACACAGCGCCACGAGGTGGCCACTGCTCGAAATCGCGGTAGAGCAAGGCGATCGTCCGCAGAGAACGAGACGCGTAGTTGGCCACAATGCCATTTAGCGCTTGGTTCTGCTCAATGGTCATGACGGAGTCGGTAATGTCGACAGTTGGATCTGTAACGATGCGACTGCTCTTAGCGATCAGGATTTCGGAAGCGCCTTTTACCAGCATGCGATATTTGCCATTCGCCATCTTAAGGACCACAGCCATGCATTTGCGTCCAGAATCGAAAGGAATCATCTGCGCCACATTTGCGTTGGCTCGCTCCTCGGCGACGGATCCGATGCCCAGGTTGTCAGCAGCAAATTGAAGCAGAGCTGTTTCGGTCTTCGATCCGATATAGACTACTTTGCCATTTTCCTCGCTTTCAAATGCAGTCGAATTAAGAACAATCGAATCTTTCAACAAGAGCTTCGTCTCTTCTGCTAAGGTGGCAGTGAACTCGCCTTGGCTAACATCGCAGGTGATGTTGGCAGGTCCTGGTAGCTTGTCCTTATCTGCTACCTTTTCGTTGATAGGGACATCTTTATCGCCGAATCGCGAGGCCGTAGATATGGTGCCAGCCACCACACTCATTTTGTTCTGGGTCAAGGTCCCGGTCTTGTCTGAACAGACCGTAGTAGCATTCCCCATAGTCTCACAGGCTCTTAGCAACCGCACCAAATTGTTGTCCTTGAGCATACGGGTTGTTGCAAAAGCTAGAGCCAGTGTTACAGCCAATGGAAGACCCTCGGGGACGGCGACAACAACGATCGTGACCGCGACAATGAAGATGGAAAGGAAGCGTTGACCTTTTTCCTCTGAACCGCCTTGGATGGATCCTAGTTGAGCCAGGAATTTGATGAATAGCACGACGAAGAGTAGGAGACCGGCAGCCAGACCAAGCTTTGCAATATACTCGGCCAGAATATTGAGCTTCGATTGCAGGGGTGTGGTTTGGCCCTCATCTTGTAGAGACATAAGGGTTTTGCCGTAGCTTGAATTAACGCCGACGGATGTGACCAAGAAGGTACCCACGCCTTCGGAGACTTTGCCTCCAGAAAGGATGAAAGGATCCATCTTATGTAGAGACAAATTGTTCTCGATACGGTGGAAGACTTCGTCGGCCGCTGTCTTGCGGAGAATGTCAGATTCACCCGTCGCAGAGGATTCATCGCACCGCAGATTATGCCCATCGATGAAAACGCCATCACAAGGGATCACGTCACCGGGTTCTAAGTGCAGAACATCGCCAACCAGGATATCGTAGACGGAAATTTCCTGTGACTTGCCGGACCGGACAACCTTGACGAAGCGCTCTTCCTTTTTGCGGTTGAGCTTGATGAACTGCCGCTCCTTCTGGTAGTCGTTCAATGCTCCCACGAAAGTGACAACGAAAATTGCCACCATGATGGCCACGCCCTCGACCCATTCAACCCTAGCTTCGTGCTCTTCCGCTTTGGAAGGACGTATAGTCTGGTAAATGCCGAGAGCTAAAGAGACCACAGCAGCGACGGAGAGTAAGATGAGGACTTTGTCGTTGTAGGCAATCCAAGCCAGTTGCAAAAATGACTTTGCTTTCTTTTCGGGTAACCTGTTGTCCTTGTATATGCGTTTTCGGTCGGAGAAGGCGTTGTCATTGTCAGTCTTTCCAGAGTTTCCGAATGACTGAGATGTCATCGATCGCTTGACGTGCCCATAGTCCTTGTCAGCCGCCAAACCGGCTTGAACGACCTCCTGAAACGAGACCGATCCCTGAAGTGAATGCTCATCATTACTGAGACCACTCTGTCGATCCGTGCGTAGACCCTGTTCCAAGCCAGTCAACCCGCCAAGAGCATAGAACGCGGCGAGGCTTTTCGGGTTGATGAGCTTGTTCAATTGACCAGGAGTGAACGCGAACTTGTTGTCCTGCACTTCGAAGTCTTGTTCGGAGCCGGGATCCGGGCGTAGTGCGTCCTTGTCGTGTATTATCTCGTCATTGTTACTCATAGAAGACTTTCTCAGGGCATCTTCATTTGGCGAGACTGATGAAGCTAGTTGAGTGTCACCACCATACGATGACGACGGAGAAACGGCAGAATCGGACTCTGAACTGGCTCTTTCTCGACCACCAGGAACTGCCAAAAACCCGCCAGAGCCGTCCAGGAACCGAGTTCGAGGAGAGGATACGTTGTGAGGGGAGGTGGGCCGTGACTCTTTGGTATCAGGTACCGGCCGTGTGTCCGTCGGTAAGGGGTCGAAGCCTGTCACTGGGGGCTGTTCTGAAAGACCTTCCGTCTGTATTCGCGGTAATGGAATATTGGATCGTTCAGGCGACAAAGGAACATCTCTAGGAGCAGCAGGCCGGGTCGCAGTATCGTCTATACTGATTGTAGGGGCACGCTGCCGGGTTTGGCCGATGCTAGGAGGAGGCGGTGGCTCGTCCGGATTGGAATTATCTGAAGCAGACATGTTGTTGTGTCAAATTTGGTGAGGCTAGTAGAACTTCACTGCGCACAGACAGGGATGAGAACGAAAACAGGCGTATTTTGGTCTGGAAAAGGCGAGGCGAAAGCCTGCGCGGATGCGGTGGCTTGTTTGTCTGGTCCTTAGGCCAAAAGTGACAAGTCAGCTGCACCGAGCGCTTGGGTAGGCGGATTCGGTGCACTGCCCCACGGAAGCCTGCGCAACACAAGAATCGGATGAACGAACACTGGCTGAAATGAAACAGGGCAGGCTCAGCGAAATGTTTGGCGGCTGCCAGATGCTTTGTTCGGCTGCAGTTCAAGGGCCTGGCCGCAGTCGTTGTATCCTCCTATTCTTCTTTGCCAGCTGTGGGGTAAGTTGGCAGCGAAGGTCGATGTGTGCCATCTATAAGAGCAGATATAGTTCGGGGGGCGAAGTCGACGGGCAGAGGGAAACAGCGGGTGTCAACAATCCAGGGTGTCTGGCACGGCCGGTGCATACGCTGGGTGTTGATGCAGATGAAGGAAGGATGGACAAAGACAGTGGCCTGGAACGATACGCCGGAATAGACAGCACACCTGGACGCCGTCCTCAAACTAGAATAGAGGAACCCTATAAAGACAACATGCTGCAAGTCCAAAAGTCATGGCGAGGTCAAGCCCATGCACAGTGGCATCGCATCTCCCCAGACACGAGCCGACTGCCAAGCTTCGTCTCGTCTGGGGCTAGCTTCCGTTCCATGCTCCACTGCACTAACTGGAAGCTGGCGAAGTTCGTCCTCAAATTTCAAGAGCCTCCAACCCGTTCACGCATTGCTCATTCTCTATCTCAGCATGATGAAGCCGCTCAACAAAGCCATCAAGTCTTGCTCTTGCCCACGATCGTCAGAGACTGACTTCCCGGGAGCCTGCACACCCCGCCGAATCGATCATGATCAGTGCACAAAACACCCCTGCCGCAGCCAATAGAAACTCGGATGGCGCTGGGTCACTTTTGCACTGCCACCCTCTCGTAACCGAACCGCGGCCATGAAAGATTCCTTCAGGGAGGCCTCGCCCGCTCACCGGAACGCCTGCCTACGCTGAGCGATATTCGCAGAGCTTTCTCATCTGGTGTCGCTCGATAATCACACCTTGTCGCCGCCATAAGCCGATGCTGCTGACCTGCGAGGGTAATCATGCCGTCACTAAGATCTAGCGATGCCCCCCTATCACGAAGTATTACGGACTCCGCTACATTCCCCTGGCGTTGGCCAAGCAAACTCATCTGCCATCACCCTACGCCAAGCTCAACCGGTTCACCGGGCCTTGTCGTTGCTGCAAGCATTTAGCGCGAGTCTTGTCGTCGTCTTGACGCGGTACACGTGCCGTCTTGCAGGCTGCCATTTGTTTCTCAGTACCTGAAACAGTGCACGCCCTGCACAGGCGACCGGCTCTTCGTCCATCCTGGTCGCCAGCCCCAGATGAACAGGCTACAACCCGCACAAAACCAGGTAGGATTCGTTGCCTCGCAACTTGGGCATTCCATTGTGGAACGAGCCAATGGGAGAAAATTTCTCAAACTAGCTATCATATCACTAGTGCAGCGGCAGGATTTGTGCCCTTCCTGGACCGCCGTCAGAATGAGTACTAAGCATATTCAGAACGCAACGCACCTTTCCGGCTTGTCAAGCAGGGATGTATGTACATATTATGGTCAACCAGATCTCAACTACAGTATGCAGGCAAATCCAGCCAAGATCGAGTCCTCCTTCCGTGTTCAATACAGCCATCACTCCAGCCATTCGAATGGGCCTCCTTTCGCCGTGTTCTTGCTGATCGTTTCTTCAAACCCCTCGATCCTGGACACCATTGCATACGGCTTGTGTTTCTGCAGTCCCCAGTCAGCACAGGGTCGCTGTCGTTCGGTGCATGGAAAGCTAGTGGCTGGCAGCTACGGGAAACGTGCACATCTACCACCATGAGGTAGTACTCACCTTTTCCAGCTCAACCGTTCCTCTGAAACAACCCGTCCAGCCTTCCCGTGGCCATTTGCCAACCACACTCTTTACCGTGCCCTCGCTAACCAATTCCTTCCCTGCTCCAATGTTGTCCAGCAAAGTGCCGATATGAACCAGCCTCGTTACCAACGTCACCTTCCCCTTATCCTGCACATCCTGATGACGAATTATTGCCTCCGCTACACTTTCCGCCTGCTCCTGTCCTGCCACCGCTTCACTGGCATCACCACCGCTGCCGACTCCCGCAGTGTGGTGCAGGGTAAGCTTCGCATCCCGCAGGATGTCCAAGGCATGGACTCCGGCGTAGAACTCGTACGACAGGCGTGTGCTCATCAACACCTCCTCGGGCGTCCCGATATCGTGAAGCATTGCGGTGAGGAACCTTATCCATCTTGAATTAGCCGCAGCCTGCCCAAGACCCCAGATGTGCTTCGCAGACAGTCGATGCCACGTCTTCCCTGTCAGACACCGATAGCCCAACACAGTGGTAGACTGCCTGTCCTCTGACCCATCTCCAGACTCACACAGAGTAACAAGAAAACTTACCAAGTCTCTTCCAAGCTACTACCAGCCTCGACCTTCCAATCCGGGAAGCAACCCCTCGCCGCCGCCAAGCCATATGCATAAACCCGCAAGCTATGGTGGTACGTCTGCCTCGGCAGCTTCGCTTCCGCATACGCATTTATGCGTCTCGCAAGCGGGGAGGTAGGGATCTTGAGCTCATCAACGCTGACGGTAGGTGGAGATGTCGTTACGGGCGGAGTCTTAGAGGCATCCGCAGGAAGGGCAGTGAAGCCATAGTCCTGTGTGGTCGACCGGTCATAGAGGGCGGAGGAAGCAGAGTCAGGTGCCAAGGTCTGGTGGTGAAGCGGGGAGGACGCCCGCTGGTTTGACATGTTGCGGGCTCGCAAAAGACAGACTTTCTAGGTCGGATGATTCGGTATCTGCCGCTGTGCTACGTGTAAGCAAACCTTCAAAGCAGTGTTGACGAGGCAATAATGCGCCTGAGTCAAGCTATTGCTGGTGACAGTATATACTTGCTGTCAGCGTCTACTACGCAGCTGCAGCGAGGCACGGCAAGACAATTTTATAGCAGAGCCGCACCCGCACTTTCTCCTCGGAATTTTTACGTGCTTGTATGTCATACTGACTAAACCTGCAGCCGGCAAGTCGATGTAGTTTGGCAGTTCTTGTCCGCGCTGATGTAATTGCGTTGTGAATGGTCAGTGTCAACCCCAAGGCGTACGACTGAATACGGGAACCATATCCGCCTTGGATTCCATCATAGAAATGCGCCTCTCGTTACCCCGCAAGCATGCTATTAGTACAGTCTTCAAGCACCAATATGGTTAGGTAGGATCGTTCGAGGCTGTTTTGATTTGTGCTACCACATACTGGTGGTCGACATCTTGTTGATAGATTAAACGTGCGCTCACTCGCTCGCTCCTTCCCTAAAAGGGTCTTTGGAGCGAAGAATGGGCTGACAGCTTCAACCCCCAGCGGGTGTATTGCCCGCACGACTTTCTGCACAGTAAGTTTTGTTGCGCAAGCCAGAAGTCAATTGCCACTGAATGCTTGGACAGAAGCAATCTGCTCTTCAGCGATACACGTTGTGACTGAGACGCAGGCGCGGACGCCGAACCCAAACAGACACAACTCGTCGCAGAACTAATTCCACCCGTTCCCCAATAAATCAGTCGACACTGTCCATGCTGCGACTCAAGTCCTTCCACCTGACCTGCCACATGTCCAACGCCTTGACTTTCTTCTCACCCGGCTTCTTGCTCCCGGCCTCGTTGGCCAATAGCAGACTCTGGCCATCAAGTGCGAAGGCGCTCACCATTTCCCTCATGCGCCCACTGTGGACGAACGCATCTGTCAAGCTCGGCGTTGCTGCGAGGATGTTCGCCAACTCCATGCAATTGCCCAACCACGTCCTGCTGATGGCATGGCCTGCAAAAAAGAGCACCGAGTTGTAGCCCAGAACCAATTCTGGTAGGTACTTCGTGCGAATCTTCTCAAGCACCTTTGCCTCCTTTTCATCGAATGCATGGCAAAGAAACCCCTGTGTAAGCACGGGCATCATGGCCGTCTCCACCTGACCAAGTGCTTCCCTTAGCTCCCGCTTCATAGAGCGAACGGCGGCAGGATTATTCCGATTGCTGGCACAAAGTTAGCTAACTCACATGGTTGGGCAATTCACTTACGCATTGACCGTGTCTGCCAGATCCTGCCATTCCTCCAGGGCTTGAAGAGCATTCACCAATTGCTCCAGTTGCATCCAAACAGCGGACTTGTTGAACAGAACCTCACGAGATGTGCCTTCCGCCGCGAGGGGATGACGGCTACGCTTCTCCTGACGTTTTCGAGGACTCATAACGCCGCTTGGCTCATCACTGTCGTCCATCTTCTTGTCACCCTCAGCGTCCTCATCCTCCTCGTCCGAACCGAAGTAGAGGTTCATGCTAAGAGCAGCCAGAGACAAATCGGCTAGACTCGCCCGTTGAGCAAGTGAACGCAATGCACTATACCGACCTTTCGCCAGCCAAAGCTTGTAAAGTGTAGAGATGCTGAAGCACGCTCTGCCCCAGTTTTCGGCGTCGACCCAACGGTACCACTCTACGCCCAGGATGGCTTTGTCTTCTTCATCCGAGATGTCGTCACTCATGAATGCTGACCGGATCTTGACCTGACCCTTGGGGGGTTTCTCGGTTATTCTTGGCGCTTCAAATTCACCCAATCCATCCCTGAAGTCGGCCAACCGAGAATCAGTGGCACTCACAGCAATGGCAAACAGTACTTCCGCCACGTTGATATTGTATTTCCTCATCAGGCGCACCAGCTGTCCTCGCTCCTTATTGTCCGTGATGTCAATCATTGTCAAACCCAGGACAGTTGAGCATCGCTTCTTAGACAGTTTGGAAGCATAAAGAGGAATGAGGCTCCATTTCTTGTCCTGCTGCAGATAGCCAATATAGCTTGCAATGTTGCTCTCAATATAATAGCGTTCGTAAAACGCCGTTTCGTTGTCGGCACTGTGGTTGACAGAGAGTGCGCCAATTGCTTGGAAGGCGAGCTGGAGATGAGCGATGATGCGCACTGAGTCCGCATCTGATGCTGTCGCTTGGATGCATTCGCTGACTTCCACATGTTGAGATACGTGGAAGAGATGATTGAACAGCCCAGTGGTCTGAGCAATATACACCGCTCCTTGCCCCATCTCGTGGAAGAAATTCCGGTACTCGACCGCAATAAGCGCCATCTCAATGTACTTATGTGGTGACAGCATTTCATCTCGAAAGTCTGGACTCGACTGCAATGATTCGAGTAGAGAGGTTATCTGGCTCTGATCACTTGGTAAGGGCTGGAAGCTGTGCAGAGCCGAATTCTGGAGCTTTTGGCGATAGGCGGACAGATAGTGCATGTAACGTTGGATCAGGAGTCCGTTGACCAAGGAGAAGACCATGTCATCAACGTCTTCGCAAGCCAGATTCGAGATTGTCGATTCGCCGCAAAGCAGACCCAAGACCGCTCGCTGGACATGGTCGGCAAACGTCGAATCGCTTGCGACAGCTTTACAAAGGCGCAGCCACTGTGCGTTGCTCGCCAAGTTCATTACTCGTTGAAAAGGTGACGTCCGGGCAGGTTCGGGGCCGCAACTGGTATTGCTGCACACAAGTGCTCGGTACGGCTCCTTCGTGTCAGTCCACCACTTGCTGAGTTCGGAGGAGGTTGCCCCTCTTCTGAGCATTTCCCAGCAGACCTGCCACGCGGCTTCTTCGTAGTACTCGTCTTGTGGATCTAGTCGCGCTCGCTGCCGGGTGGGAGCGTCAGGATCAAGCTGTGAAGCGAGCCCATCGGCAGTAGGGTCAAGCGGACCCACTCGGCCTGCGAGGCGCTTCTTTTTCTTGATCTCGTGGCTTGTGTAAAGAGGTACGGCGGACTGGACATCGCCACGATTGGCCTGAGACAACGTACTGGAGACCTTGGTCTGAATATCACCGCTCTGAGCACGGCGCTCGTGTAGCCAGACAAGAACTGTCTCGTATTCTTGCGCAACGGTATCGCTATCGAGAAACGCATTCCAAAGATCGGAACTAGTAGTGTATTGGTGCAACCTGTGAGTGTATTAGTCACCTGCCACGCTATGCTGCAGGGTCTAGCAGGCAATGCACTTACTCTTTCAGGCGTTCACTCTGGCTATGATGGGCATCGTTCGCCGCCTTTGGTCCGCGTGACAGTAGCAGGTTCTTCGCGAGCACCCAGATATCGCGCTCCAACTGGATCTTCTGCAATTGGCTCTGAAAGTCTTCATCGCTGTCAAATGAGCTGATACTTGAGTCTTCTCGCGTCTGTGTAATGGCGCAGAACTGATCAAATAGCTGGCTAGCATCGTCCCAAACGTCTGAAGAGTTGTGTTGAGCTTGAAATTTGTGGAGGCATCGGGCAAAAGCTTCGACTTGTTTGCTGACCCGTTCAGCGGTGTCGTGCAGCGGCTGCAGGAAGTCGTGGAGGTTTGCTTGCGAATGTTCATCATCTTCTGTGAAATCAATCAGCAAGTCCATTTTCGAAAGCTCGGCCATCGCCGCGGCGAATGTAAAAATTGCCATTCGCGTGTTGCCAGCATACCAGAGTGTTGAGAGTTCGCAGAGTCGTCTGGGCTAGGTGGCGCCTTCCATTTGTTAGAGACTGCATATTGAGCTTGCGGCGACTGCGCAGACTAACCTCCTGCGCTCGCGACGAACGAGTGAACGGAGGCATCGCCACCCCCCAAAGCTACCGAGGACCTACTGAGATCTGGATGACCGAACAGTGTGAGGATGTGCGGCGACTAAAGCAATATGCAGGAATCCTCGATGTGTATGCGGTGCGTTCGGTACAGTTGAAACTCGAAAGTTTGGAACGCGACGCGAGCGGAAGATCGACAGCTAGGACTAAAGCGGAATAGCGTATCGAAGCGGGCGTGATACAAAATCTCGAACAGCATCTTCACACACCAGCCTTTCCTCTTCTTCAATGTCTATTTCAGGCAGTCATTAGAGTCTCGGGACAGACCATCCATTCAGTGTCAGTTCAGGCCTACGGGTCTCTTTGCGTGCTCACGACTGCCTAAGAGCGTGCCCGGCATTCGCTGTTCAGCTGACCAGACCTTGCGGAGTGATGGTTCAGGTAGAAAAAATCGATATGCTACATTCCCAACTTCCTGTGTCCATGGGTGTGGTGGCAGCGTGTCCAGGACAGGCAACATTGTCCCCAGCACTGCGATCTGGTCACTGGCTCAACCCTCGTTGCTTCATTTTCAATTTCAGCAGACTTGACTTTGGACAACTGGTGGTTGTCGCATCGTCACCCTTGTCTTTATAGAAAGCATTACAGCACTCGTACAGCCGGTCGACGACGTCCTGGCACTTGTCTTCCTTAAAGTTGTGCTTTTGAAGGCAGTCTGCCGATTGTCAATAGATGGCGTTGGCAAGGTCAATGTCACGTCAAACCTTGAATCGCACACTGAAAACCTCATCAGCGCCTGACTTATGGAAGAAGGGTTGTGACTCACAGCTCGGGAGTGACAAGGAGGGTCAGTCTTCAGATCATCTTCAATTTTAGCCTGTCACGCTCGTTGTAAGTCACGAGAAACGAGACATTGCCGTTGGACGTCGCTCACCATGGTCGCAAATAAATCTGTGATGCAATAATTCCCTGCCACGTAGATAAATGAAGTTGGCAATGATCGTAATGAAGAAGCAAGAGCACAACTGACGACGAAGATTTTCCTCCTGACAATAAGCTATAGAGGGAATCAGCAGTTTTGTTTGCTGGACCTGAGTCGGCTCTTTCTCTAGCCTTGTTCCGACTTCACAAGGCGGCGGCACCCTCGCCACTTCACTGCAGATCGGGTGTTGCCCTGCGGCGGGCAAGCCAGAATTCTACATAAACCCGCCTAATTCCAGAGTCCTTTCCACCACCCCATCCTCTTCGCACTTTACGTCGTGCACCTCCACATCGACTTCCGCTTTCCCCAGTAAGTTCTGCATCTCCTCCGACGAAACTTACGGGCGGTAACGCATCCCTCGTCGCGCACCAATACTAACCAAGTCAGCCCTCATACAACCTCAACCTCCCCACTCAGGCCTTTCTAACGATTCGTCTACCGACTTGCCACCAAGATGTCGGACCATGAGCAATCCCCCAACGGTGCGCCGACGGAGCCGGCTGGCGAGCACCTCAATATCAAAGTCACAGACAATAATAACGAGGTCTTCTTCAAGATCAAGAAGAGTACCAAGCTCGACAAGCTCATGCGCGCATTCTGCGACCGTCAAGGCAAAGACCGGAACACCGTCAGATTTCTGTTTGACGGCGTGAAGGTCAACGACTATGACACTCCCGATGGGGTAAGCTTCGACAACATTTCTATGATCGCAGTTATGGGTTGCTGACAGTCTTTAGCTCGATATGTCTGACGGTGACACTCTCGAGGTTCATCAAGAACAGATCGGCGGTGCGTCTTACATTCAGTAGGAGAGATCCGTGCTCAGGCACCACCGAGTCTGATGATGGAACGCCTTTACGGCAGACGAAGCAACGGATTGAACGAGGAATGGAGGGCGGCATACTGGTGGTCAAGCAGAAAGATTTCGAGAGAAGCTATTGCTACGATATCGATGGCGTAAGGGCACTTCAAGACTTTGCGTACTACAGGGCGTGCATCTCGGTCAGACAGTTGAAGTATGACTATTGCCTCATCAGGAGTTCTTCTGTTACGGGCAGTTGATGGGTCGCTCAGGCGCTGCATCGCAGCGATCTAGTCACCGCTCAGCATTGCGCGGGCAGCTCAAATAAAGGCGACTGAGATTCAGAAATGCGTCAAAATCGGCTATCTTACAGTTTCGGCATCACAACCTCTTCGGCCGTGACGAGGCAGCGCTGCTGGCCTCCTCAGCTTTCAAATCCACAGCTACAGCACAGAAGACTCTTGCTCCCGTCAGGAGTCATCTCCTCAATGCTGCCAATGCTGCTCATGCATCCCATACAGCAGCCTTTGCCCGTTCATCTTCGCGCCGTTCACGCTCCCTCTCCTCCTTCTCTCGGTTTTTGCGCTTGATCTCCTGCTCCCTCGTGGCTCGGTCATATTGTCGCTGCTCCTCGGTCTTTTTCGGCGCTTTGACGCCCAGTCCAGCGGCGATCATGCGACTTGCGGCAGCTGTAGTTTTCTCTGGCCGTCTCTCACTCTCAGATCGCGGCGTATCTTGGCCAGATAATGACCGAGGCTGGGGACGGCCACCACCGAGGACACCTGCAGCGGCCCAATCGTAACTTTGTCCAGATGATGGGAAGATGGGTGTCGGTGGTGGAGGACTAGGACCAGCATTCGACTGCACTGGTTGTAGACTTGGGCTCAAAGGATCAGTTGGCGTCATCGCATCCAGATCTGCATCCTCATCCTCCCATGAATCGGCTACGACCTTGGATTTGGCTGCTTTCGCTCTAACACCAGGCATATCAATATGGAGGTTTTCAGTCCGTCCAGCCATGCCTGCAAGGGGGCCGCGTTGAGAGGCTGAACGACCGCCGAGTGATGACAACACTACCTGAAATCGCCAAGCTTCCTTTGCTGCGCGTATTTCCTCGTGTGAGAGATTTCAGTGCGGTTCTCGAGACCCACTAATGCAGAACTAACGTGATGATGTTATGTGAGTGACAAAGATACCAACAACTACAAGACCAAGTCGGATGAGACGAAGACATAGAATAAGGTCACAAACCAGATCCGGCCACTGGGAAGCTGTCGAGATTCCCCGCATCCTTCGTCAGCCCCTGCCTCCAAGTTTCTGGGGCTGTTAATCGCGATCGTCAGGGCAATCGATTGCGAAAGCTATATTATCTGACAGTAGATGATAGTGGAAAGGCACTCGGGACGGCGTATGCCTCTCTCTTAGCCTGCATCAACTTCACCACAATGGCATCGACTTGTGCACCCAACACGGCATGTCTCCGAATCGGCGCTTCTAGCACAATTCGTTGTCCCGACGCCCACACGAGCTGCCGATCTCGCAAAGTCGCATGCGGCTCATTCTCGAAATGGCCCCCTGACTAGCGCCAATTTCTCGGGAGCAAGCAACATGCATCATGACCTGGAGCCTCCCCCTCCTCATTCGCAGAACCGACCTCGGAATAACGCGAGGTGGCTCCGTCTCCAACGCAGCATTGAGTGCTGCTCCCAGGAGCTTCCCTTTTATAATGCTATCTCTACCTCTCTTTCGTGGGTCTTATTATCCTCACCTTCTTATAGACCTCAGCTATACAGTGACACGAATTCGGATGCCTATTTGCTAATCTCAACAGTGTGCTCTAGATCGCTGGCTGCCTCGGTAAACGCTGCGAGAAGGCCAGAATGCTGAAAGGAGCTGTGCCGAGGAGCTTACGAGCCTCCTCACAGCAGTTACCACCTCTTCGCAGAAGGCATGCCATCGGTAGCACAGCTCTATTTTCTAGCACTGCTCGCCAACATGGCTACGAAGATACCATCAGCAACCTCAAAATCGGTAAACATACCAGGGTGCTTTACCAGGGTTTTACCGGCAGGCAGGCCACCATGAACGCCAAGGAATCTCTCGAATACGGCACCAATATAGTTGGAGGTGTCAAACCCGGCGTCACTGGCGAGCATCTTGGTCTGCCTGTTTTGCCAACCGTTCGCGAAGCCGTGGAGAAGCTAAAGCCCGATGCCAGTGCTATATACGTTCCTGGAAGTGGCACGGTGACGGCCATGGAGGAGGCCATCGAGAACGAGATACCGCTTATTGTGGCTGTGGCAGAGCATATACCCCTACACGACATCATGAGAATACACCAGATGTTACGAACTCAGTCCAAAACTCGACTGGTTGGCGCCAACTGCCCCGGCATTATAAGCACCCACGGCCGCTGCCGCCTCGGCTTCCAACCTCTGCCCTTCTTCCAAGAGGGCAACATTGGCATTGTCGCGAAGTCTGGCACCTTGAGCTACGAGGCAGTGGCATCTACGACACGAGCAGGGCTTGGTCAGACGTACGGCATCAGCATGGGGGGCGATGTTTTTGCAGGCACGAATTTTGTCGAGGCATTCCAAGTCCTTGTTGAGGATCCCAATACAGAAGGCATTATTATGATCGGCGAGCATGGTGGGCGTGCCGAGCTGGATGCTGCTGAGTGGGTGAAGGACTATCGGAAGCGAACTCAGAACCCGAAGCCTTTCATTGCCTGTATTGGCGGCGTCGAGGCACCTCCCGGTCGTATCATGGGTCACGCTGGGGCATGGTCGGCGCCTGGCGAAGCTGTGGCTCGTGAAAAGATTGCTCTGCTCGAGAAGGCAGATATTGAAGTAGTTGACCACCCAGAGAAACTCGGTGAACGCATGAAGGCCCTCCTCCGAAAGAGAGGCGAGTCAAAGAATGCTAATCGCCTCGGCGAGCAACAAAAGCGTGGCTTCCATACCATGCGTCAGCGGCCAAAAACTACTACAAATCATTCTGTCCAACATGAGCAGCGGAGAAGCCTGTATCTCAAGCAATCGGATGCATTTAATATGCTCAAACAGCGAGGGATAGAGATCAAGGACCACGGCAATGGCGATTCGACAAAGATGGTCGCCATCTCAATCGATAGGTCCGAACGCCAGCCGTGTATTGTTGCGTCTCCTGTGACTGACCCTGATTCGATCTTCTCTAACACCAAACGCTTTCCCTTCGCTTACGGCTCGAACGACGCGGTTTCCGATGACATGATCAATAAGGTGGCCAGCCATATGCATGTGCACGGCGAGGGAAAGAAGGCTTTGAGGAAGCTGCTGACCAACCTGGTTGACCTTTATATGAGCAAAGAGGCTTTCGTGATCCGGACTGAGATCGCGTTCAATGACAGCACCGGGGATGTTTATGTCACAAGAGCTAAGCTGGGCTTCGACGATGCGGCGTACCGAAGCACGGGACGGCAGAAGGACGTTCACGCTCTGCGAGAGATCGATAAAGAGGAGCCAGGCGAGGTTGCCGCCGAAAAGGAAGGTATGGTCTACGTCAAGCTGGACGGTGAGGGAACCCTAGGCACTATTGTCAATGGCGCCGGTCTCGCTATGAATACCGTGGACAACATCGTCGCGCGTGGGGGTCACCCCGCCAACTTCCTTGACACTGGCGGGAAGGCGACCTCTGAGACAATAAAGGCAAGCTTCAAGATCGTGACTTCTGATCCCAGAGTAAAGGCCATCTTTGTCAACATCTTCGGGGGTCTTACTCTTGGCGACATGATAGCGAATGGGATTCTTCTCGCGTTCAAGGACCTCGACCTTAAGGTCCCCGTGGTGGTCAGAATACGCGGTACGAACGAGGCGGAAGGACAGAGGCTGATTCGTGAGAGTGGCTTGAAGCTTGATGCATTCGGTAGGCTATCCACTTTTAAATATTACAGGAAAGTAAAGCTGACATGATCTCAGACTCCTTCGATGAGGCCGCTGCGCGGGCTATCTCCCTTGCCAATGGGACCGCAACCATGGAGAGCTGAGTCAAGCGTCACGTACGAGCACGAGATAAGCGGCGGTCGCGTTCGCAGTCGCGGTGTTCGCAGATCACACTGTTTTTTTCTTTACAAGCATGGCTGCATCGCAAGGGACATTTAGGAGATGGAAGAAGACTGTTCGCGCAAGATATGATACCCGTATAAATGCAGGAAAACTGATTACATCTTGTAAAAACAAACCTGAAATCAGTTGTAACTCCCAGGGCCCCAGCGCCGGATGCTGACTCGCATGGTAATGCATATACCGGCAGTCGTCGACTCGCTGACATGCCCCTGCCGAGCCATGGGTCCCGCCAACGCTCGCAGATATATTTCGGGTCGATTATTAGCCCGAACCTCGCAACGAATGTGCATTTATGCAATAGCAAGCCTTTCTAAGTCTCTAATGCGTCCAAAACCGTTGTGCGGCTCTCCTGAACCGCCTCAATATAGGCGAGTGTAACTGCACAAGTTGTCACCTAGCAGTACCAAGGGCAAGGCTTGCGGAGCACGAGCAAATGATCAATGCTGGCACTTATATAAGCAACTCAGAAGCTGCTCATCTCCTCGACAGTCCCCGTTCGCCTTGCACTGTTTGAGTCATTGACTGGGGCAGAGTCTCTGAACATCAGCCACTGTACAGGACGATGGCCAATCTCACCAGTATCACCGCCGCACTTCCATTTGTCGGATCCAAAGCAACGCCACACCTCATACCGGCCCTTCCGCCACTCCAGGCAGTCTTCCCGTATCTCGTGGCGTTAATACCAGTCCACCTTCTCCTGGTGCGACTCTTCCGCTACCATACCGTTCGCCGACTATACCGCAACCACCCATTCAGCTCTAGGCCAAATGCTTTGCAGAGGCAAATTGCGGAATTGCCCCTCTCCGCCGCTCACGATATTGTTCGCAAGATATCGGGCACCGAATTTGTGTACATGTTTAATTTAGGTCTACAATTCGCACTCATTCGAACGTACGCAATACCATCTGTGAGTCTCCCGAAGTCCTACAAGTTCTCCTGCGAAAAACTGCCCAGCTCGATACTGCTGGCCGGATCATACCCTCCTGCAACCCTACCACACCATATCTAACAACCCTCGCTCAAATAGATATCCCACCTCTTAGTGGCCACCGCACAGCTTTCCAACCGCCAGATCAACACAGTCGGCAAGCGTTATGCCGACACAACAGCCCTCGTCTATGAGATCTATCATAACCTCCCTGGAACGACCCGTTCCTCCTCCGCCTTCGCCCGTCTCAACTACCTGCACGGCCACTACCTGCGACAGGGCAAGATCTCCAACGACGACATGCTTTACACGCTATCCCTATTCATGAACTCACCACCGGAGTGGATCGCCCGCCTCGAGTGGCGGGAGTTGACAGAGCTAGAGCTCGCGGGGCAGGGCCTCTACCACCGCTTCATGGGCGAGGCCATGGACATCAGCTACGCGGCGCTGGACGACATCAGACCCGCCCCGCTACCCGGCATGGACGCCGCGGCGGCGGAGCAACGCAACTGGCGCGACGATGGACTGGCCTTCTACAGCGCCCTGGACCAGTGGAGCAAAGCGTACGAGGCGCGGGTCATGCTCCCACACGAGGACAACTACAAGACGGCCGTGCGGACCCTGGAACTGCTGAACAGCGTGTACCCGCGTTTCATGCACGGCGTCATCTCCAAGGCGTTTGTGGCTCTCATGGACGAGAGGATGCGCATCGCGTGCATGTTTCCGCCGAGCCCGCCGAGCTACAAGCAGTTCTTTGAGGGGGCTTTCAAAGTTAGGGCCTGGTTGATTCGGCATCTGTTCCTGCCGCGGCGGAGCCTTTGGGGCTGGTGGGTGCCCGAGGATGAGCGCGGGTTGGTCACGGAATACACGAGTACGGATGGTAGGCGTTGGTTCACCATGTACGATGCGCTGCCGCACTATGTGAAGCCTACGCTATGGAATCGGTGGGGACCGAGTGGATGGCTGAGTTTGGCTATGGGAGTACCCAGACCGGGGGACGATGAGATGTACGGCGAGGGGTGGAAGGTCGACGAGATTGGGCCTGAACGGTTTGCGAAGAAGGGTCAGAAAGAGTTTGAGGTCACGAGGAAGAGCTTGGAGGGCAGAGTCGAGACGGAGAGGGGCGTGTACGGAGGTGACGCAAGTGTGGGAGGATGTCCCTTCTTTGTCAAGATATAGTACAATTCCGATGTTGCTGTTGGCCGGGTATCCGTATCAGGACGGTATTGGTCGCATATACAACGCATACAAGATGAAGCAAAGCCACATGGAAGATTTCAGTGGATTTTGTTACAGTTTGAGACACATGTAGCTATTTGTCCGTGAGAACCTGTTTCATTTGCAGAACTCCCAACCCCTGATTCGGGGTTGACTGTTGAAAGGGGTATGCATCTAAGCCGCACATCCTATCCTTCGCTAGTTATCCTTGGAGCAAGAAATTTAGTCGAAGGGGTTGGTGCGGGTGCCCCACCAGGTGAGGAAAAGGGACAAGCCAACGGTCTCGAAGACGCGGCTAACGACGCCGACGGCGACGATATCGAGGGGACGCTTCTCGGAGACGACTTGGGCAATCAACTGCAACAATGTCAGCTTAGTCAAGTGGAACACAAGGGTAGTGACGTACACCAGGGCCGGCGGAGGCGAAGAAGACCAAGCTACCAAGATAGGCAGCACCCTTGTAGCTGAGAGTACCAGTGGCATTGAGCAGAGCAGCGACACCATAAGTTTGAATACCGGAGCCGACGATAGAAGATCCCCAAGAAGCAGCAGCGGTAGCTGTCTCTCTGGACTTGAAGAACTCCTCCTTCGAGTCAGCGGCCTTAGCACGGTTGTAGGTATCGCCAAAGAGAGGGGTGAGGACGGCAGCGGCGGAGGCCTGAGTGAAGACCACACCGAGCGCGATGGCGGAGGGCTTCACAGGAGGAAGGTCTGGATGGCTGTTAGTCTTGCGGCTTGATGGTATTGCAGGTCAAACGAGGTTGTGTCAATGACGTAGAGAGCTTCAGACATTGCTGTCGAGGGGTGGAGGGCAGAGTGGAGGGCAGAGTGCACGTACAGTGTAGAGTAGCCATTGTGATAGGATAGACTGATTGAATGAAGTTCTGTGTGTGGTGTGGCTGAAGTTCAGTGATATGACAGATGGAAAGAGAATAACGGAGAGACGAATGATGAGCTTTAAGAAGGTTTGTTGTGCAGTGACGAGGGTTGCCTCGGTGGCTGAGTGGAATTGAAGAGCCAGCAAGGAAGGAGCTGTCCAAACGTCATTGTTTGGCGTGGTTGCCATCTCCACTCGGATTGGTCAAATGATATCATCTGCCCCTCGAAAGGTACCATCAGGTGAGCTCATGCATCAGAATTAGTGTCTCTGTGCCGTGCAAGTGCCTTGAGATGTCGCGTGCATCTTGACGGTGTTCCTGACTGCCGGTCTGGCGTCGGTGAGCTGGAGGTAACGGATGAGAGATACAACAGGCAGTGAATTTAGTTCCACTTTCCCGGATCCTGTTGCGGGCCAATCAAATTCGTCCCACTATCGTTGCTCGCTTTTCTGCCAGGCCGGAACTGCACACCACAGACCTCGTCTTCAGAGCACAATCTTAAAGAATGTCGCGCTTATGACATTTGACGTAGGCTGCAGAGCCGAAGAACCACAATCATCGTTCTTTCTCCTATCTGAGTCTGTAAACCATGCCATCTTCGATTCCTCGCCAATCGCGTTCGCCGTCTCCAGAGAATGATATCTTTGCAGTCCCCGACTTTATTGTACCTCCACGCGAGATCAAGACCGCCGGTTCAACGGACCTTACGTTCAATGGCATACTTCCCGCACCTCTCAAGCTGCACGAAGACCTCGCTGAAGGCTGCGGTGGCCAGCTCTGGCCAGCGGGCATGACGCTTGCGCAATATATGCTTGCGTACCACAAGAATCTGCGAGACAAGCAGATCGTTGAAATAGGTGCTGGCGGAGGCCTTGTGGGCCTTGCAGTCGCCATAGGATGCGAGGTGAACACCCAGCTGCTCATGACAGACCAATTACCGATGCTGGGTTTGATGGAGAAGAACGTGGTGATTAATGGCCTCCAGGAAAAGGTCAGGCCATCTGTATATGACTGGGGAAGCATTGAAGTGCCTACTTTCTCCACAGCTACTGGCAAGCCGGATCTCATTCTTGCCGCCGACTGTGTATACTTCGAACCAGCGTTTCCACTACTGCTCCGAACTCTGACAGATCTCATCGGAACAAACACGATATGCTACTTCTGCTTCAAGAAACGGAGGAAGGCCGATATGCGTTTCATACGAGACATGCGACGTACGTTGGAAGTTAAGGAGGTAACGTACGATTGGCAAATAGATGATAGAAGGAATATGATCTTCCTTTACGAGGTCACGAGCAAGATCAGATCATGAGAACATGCTTTCAAATGGCAGTAGATCAATTCTGTAAATGCTACAATGTGGTATCATTCGTCGTCATTCATATCGTACAAGAGGCCGTCAATGCCATTGCGCTCGGTCATCAACATGACCCGCAGCTACACGCGCTGCGTCAAACTTGCGTTGCGACCATTCTAGAAGCCTGGCGCTGAAACGTCTCTGCCCCGGGGGCAGTTCGCGCTTATATGGTTCCTGAGACTTCAAAAGGGATGTTGGCTCAGTAAACGCGGCGGCTCCCCCTCCCATCGGTGCCATGCATCCGGCGAGTTCCGGCCGCCTTTTTGGCCGGATTGCGGGTGAGACTACCCTGGACTTTCTTCAGAGCACCAGCGACCTTGTCGCCCATGCTTGGCTTGCGGCGGTGATGGGTGGCCACTGGTGCCGCCCGGGGTGCCCTGCGGCGCGTACCCCAACCAGATTTCCTCTGTGTGCGAGGAGCAGTTGTGGTAGTGGTGGTGTGAGTCTTGCGGGTGCGACCACCGCCTGTCAGGCGGCTCATAATGCCAGGCTTGGTTGTAGTAGTTGTATGGCGAGTGCTGCGGGGCGCGGCGTGAGTACGGGGGCTGCGTCTGGTGCCGAACATTGTGAATGTCTTAGATAGAGAGTACTTGGTTGATACAGTTGTGCGCTTGAAGATGCGTTGTTTTGCGTGATGTGAGGGGAATTGTAGTTTCGAAGGAGGCAAGCATTACTTTATAGATCTTCTGGGCCCACGGTTCCTTGATAGCATGCGGGCGATAGAAGGCGATAGGACGCATGAAGTCATTTGGGCTGTTCCATCGTACGTCATATGATTGCTACAAGGCACGAGCTCCTGATTAGTCTGGCGCCGCCTCCTAGACCCTGGCTTCCTCTGGCGGCCATGAGGGTTGGTGAGAGGCTCAAGGACCAGACTTCGGATTCACAAGCAGGTTTCCGTGCTAGATCCTTGCTGATCGGCCGAGGAGGTGTGGCTGCAGCCAATCACGATGTGGCCCTTACAGCGCTTGGCGTACGTAACGGGCTTTACCTGGTCAACGGCTTCTTCCATGATTCCTGATTCATCCCAGGCGAGCTCTGGGGATCGAGCAACCACAACCTTTATCGACGATGCATGGTAGCCCTGTGGCGGTGCATCTGCCATCTGGAAGACCCTGGCCAAGAAGCGTTGTCGCAGTTTCTTGGGGTAGATCGATATGGCTAGTAAAGGTCGTAATGGTGCGTGCTTTCAAGTGGAGAAAATGTACGACTCCCATGATCTCACGCTCTGCTGACCCATCGGAGGACGACGCCGTTGCTCGTCTGCATGCCTCTCAGTATGCCGAACTTGGGCTCGATCAGATAGAGTGTGGCCTGACTTCTCCTGTGCGTGTTGTCTCTAGCACTTCGACGTGAAGACATACATGATGGGAATTGAAATGATCTTGAGTGACAGATATCTCCTTGGCATGTGAGGTGCAGGTGAGTCTGAAGTGAGATATCACAGAACGCGTCGCTACCCTTAGTCGATACCTCAAATCTGCTCACTGGAGATTTTCGTGGGCACGATAACACACTGCGGATCTTTCTCAAATTTCTGTTCAACCTGGGACGATTACACACCTGAGCGTCATGCCACTTAGCCCGGAGAAGTTGGGAATGAGTTTGTGGCGCAAAGCACGTTTCAGCGACCCTGGACAGCGGCGTGCTACAGCAGCTAGGAAGCAGTATCATGGGGTGAAGAAGAGCCGGTCGGGTCCGACACTTCGAGGGACACCATTCTTCGACGTCTCCAAGCGCAAAGAAGTACATCATCGGTCCAAGTCACCAGATCTAGCCGATCAATTTTCTGGTACGTTAGGTTTTTGGTTCGCTCCCTATTCTGACAGAACTCAGCTCAACTGGACGATTATCGCAATCGACTCTACGAAAACGCAGAGAAGAACCTAGAAGGCATCGAGACGGCCCACACCGAGAACATTAGGGCTCTGGCTAGTCGATTCGAAGACCAGCTTGCACTGATGCATCGTGGAGAACGAGAGCTAACAAGGTCGATTGCAGACGAACGGCTGGAAGTAGGCGAGGTGAATGATGGAAACTCCAATCTGGAGGAAGTTATTTTTCGTCAACGCACGGCAGATTTCAACAGTCTACTGGAGACAAAGGAGACTGCGCTTCAGGGTCTTTTTGACGAGTGGAACGCTGTCCAGACCGCAATACTTACTCTCGCAGTCCAGGTTTTGGGTTCGGGTGCTGTCGAGCTTGAAGAAGATCACCTGCATAACGATTTGAAGCGGGCCATTTCCAAAGCCTCGGCCAAATACGACCAGGCTGACGAGCAAGTTCAGTCCAAGCTGGCTGAAATAGACGCAACGGAGAACAGTATCAGCCGTCTCACAGCAGAGACTAAAGGTGCGGTGGAGCAATTGCAGAAGGCAAGCATCGATGTCCAAATGGCCCGCTGAATGCTAACATCATCCAGAAACGCAACTTAGAGATCGAGCGTGTCAAAAAGCAAAAGCAAGCAATGACAAATCTGGAAGCTCAATTGAGAATAGACTATTGGGGCTGATAGCAATCATCGCGAGCAGCATAGAGTGGCGTACAAGAGCCTTCAACGCGTCGAGCAGTCATAGGGAATGTGCAGTATTCTCAAGGTAGGTGTGGACATATTTGGCGGACACCCGTCACGAGTGGTAGAAGATGTTTATACCTAGCTTCGGTTTTCTGCGCCACGAGGGACGACGGCGAAGACTGCATGCCTGCAGCAACCTAGACAACCTAGGCGTCTATTGCTGTCCTTTTCAGCAGTATTGTGCCGCGTTCTTCTATTCTGTCAAGAGATAGATACAGTCCACGCTTCCAAGGTCGAGCATTGGGCATGCAAATGAGTACCAAACTCAATTGACATCTCAATGTAGGTTCAAGCGGCGTGATTTGCAACTTCGTGCATTTGCTGTGATATTGACCGATGCACCGCTGTGCCGATACCAGATCTATGATGATCCGGTAGAAGGATCTGATGCTCAAGCAGCAGTAGCCTCAAGCATTGGCTTTCGGAACGACACTTTCTCTACGGCGACGTTCTCGTTGCCATTTTCGTCGGTACGCAATTGATAGACGTATAGCACCAGCACATCTCCTTGGACCTACCCACAATTAGTGTCATGACCTGCCTTGTTTCCCGGGACAGAACGTACATCCATCAGACAAAAGCTCGGAGTAGGTTCTTCCTCGGCCGCAAGCCAGGAGGTGCTGAAAGCACCAGTCGCCGAGCCTGGGTTCACAAAGAATTTCCCTTCCAATTCATAGGCTTCGAACTTGTGTGTACCGCCCCAGAGCAAGACATCCACGTCCATCTGCCGCGCAGCAATAAGCAAGCTTTCGGCATCGCCTTGTGGAATTATAGTATGGCCATGGGTGAAGCCAATTCTTAGACCTCCGTGCTGGACCACTTTTGAGAGCGCAAGATTCGTCGCTTCTGTATCAAAGTCTCCCTTCACGATGTGTAGGTCGGGCGCTGTCTGCCGTAGAAAGTCGTAAGTCTCGCGGTCGGTGATGTTGCCCAGGCATATGATTTGGCCGATCTTGCCAGGAGTGAGGAGCTTCCGAAACTGGTCTCAATGTCAGAAATGGGCAGCCAGAGGCGTGTACGGGACGAGGTACCTTCGCCGGGATTTCCTACGAGAAATCAGTCAAGGTAAAGCGCGTGGGAGTGAATTCAACGGACGGGTGCTCGATCAGGCACAAACAGGTCGCCTATGACAAGGATCAACCTCGACGCCATGGCGAAGGAATTAAAACTCCAGGGTGGTGTTACGAGCGCATGTTGACCCGCTACGTTCGAAGCGATCACGACAATTCTCAGGCAGCGATTATTGGGGGTAGAATGAAGCTGTCTCGATGGGGCCGGGTTCAAGTTGAGGTGTGGGGTACTGGTGATTCAACTGGAACTTTCACGTGACTTGCTGCCCCCTCGATCGTGTCAAGCCAGGAATGGCAGTGCTGTCTTTCTTCCCACACTCAATGCTATCAAAATGGTAGCCCACAGAAGCCCGCTTCAAACACACCGCGGCAGCGCATTAAGTTCTAGCTAGTGATTAACGGTAAACAGTCCCAGCTGAGCATTGCTGCGCTGTTGGTACCTACAGTCACGTTGAGACAGCATAAGGCGGGGCTTCACATTTGCAGTTTGTCGATGCACTCACTAGACGTGACAGAGACAGCCGCTATCTTTATTTGGCAGTGAGTGGTCCCAGTGAATAGAATGCTTATGCATTGCTGTGGACAACTCAAGAGTCAAAGTCTACGTTGGTCTTGCGCAAGATCGAAGCTATACCATTAGCCATGCTGAGCTTGCTGCAGAGACTCGTTCTCAGTGAACCCTCGGGTCAACGTAGCGGGATTCACTCCACGTCGTTCGGCTGGGCTAAGAACTACCCTGTACCTGTAAGTGCGCGTCGAGATAGTCACCGCAGCATGTCAGATGTGCCTTGGTCCAATCAGAAGCCCAGCGGAATTAGATAAAGCAGCCGTTGAGAGATCCCTAGAGTCCGGCGCTCTATCATGCGGTCAACAAATGGGCCAACGGTCGTGCTGGCACGTTTTTGGTCCGCCCACCGGCCTTGCAGATACTTAAAAAAGTCTGCATTGCATAGCATGTGGAGGACACCATTTACGACGCAGTCTCCAACATGATACATGTCGCCAGACGCGGGGGCCAGATCCGGCCTCTTTCAACCCGACTCTCCAGCGACGAGCGCATTTTGCGCGCGTACTGCCCTCCTTCCGTTGCTCGAGCTCGGTGCTTAGCACAACTCATGGCACCAACGTACAGACACTAGCTTCAGCATCAGCTCATTCGGGTAGAATCTCCGCGGGAGTCATCTGCTACAAGTGGAGGCTAATGACCACCCACCCACTCTAGAGCCGTCGTCCTTTTCTTCTCGGGTTAAGCCTAACCACCATCCCTTCGAGCCACACCATCAACTAAAAGCATATATTTTCTGCTTCTCGGGCTCTCATAGAAATCGAGTTCGTTCCGAAGAGTGATGGTATTAGCAAGCTCCAGAGTATGACTGCGCGCCACCAGGTGTGGCTGACACCGAAGTCCACCGCGGATGTGGCTTGATGGTCGCCGGGTATATACTCAGAAACAGACCGAATCCCACCTGGAGAGCTAGGCTTTATAGTACGCATGCCAAACATAGGCAGATCCAGCACCGGCTGCGCACTCTGCAGGAGGCGGAAAATAAAGGTAATGTTGTCAACCTCATGCACGATCCGAGTGGCTTATGAGGCTGAACTTCGACACAGTGTGATGAGGCGCGACCTGGTTGCAGAAGATGTGCTCAGGCACACAAAGTGTGCCCTGGATACCCTTTCCAGATAGAACTCGATCTTCGGATACCAACCGCATCGGCAGCAGATGTCGCTGTGCAGCACGGTCCGCCGGTCCAACAGCAAGGTCTACCCCCACTTCCCACTCCCACTTCCTCCACCATCTCCGCCTCGCCGGTGTCGGCTGGTCATATCAAGGACAACACGGCACGAGTTGAGCTGAAGGAAATCAAAGCCGAAGACGATCATAATAAGGTTGTTCTTCTGCATTCGACACCTAGACAACAAGTCGAATCGCCTCCGAGGTACGACATCCAGCACCAGTCGTTATGCTTCTTTGTGAATCTCTTCTGCCTCCAAGGAAGCAAGCTATACTCGTTTCCGATACTCGACTTTGTGCCCAGTCTCTTGCAGGAGTCTTCTCCGGGGTCGCCGCTGTCACTCGCTGCAACTGCGGTCTCGCGAATGACCCTTGCCGACCAATACAGTGGCAAGGATATTCGGCTTGAGACTGGCCGAGACTATGGAGACGCACTGGCATATGCTGCAAGGAGCATACGCGATCCCACCAAAGCGGTCGAAGACGAGACCATCATGACTGTATGGCTTCTTGGGACGTACGAAGCCATTCATGCCATTCTCGCACATCGTCGAGGAGACGGTGCACGTTCGCTCGAGGCTGAGTGGAAATCTCACGTGAGTCATATTCGCGGCGCTATGAACCTACTGAAGATCAGAGGTACATCGCAGCTCAAGACCGCTCGAGGCGAGAAAATCTATAGCATTTTCAAGGCCGCCATTCAGATGAGGTTATTCGTGCTCAACTCGGTCACATCATCCGATTTCGCCGATATGGAACTCGAGCTCTATCAGGATGTGGACGAGTTCGTACCATCGAAGACTGCCAACACCGCCACCTCGTTTTTCCACAACGTTGCCCGGCTGATCGGACAGATCAAGATGTTTCTACTCTCGGAGAAGCCACCAGAGAGGAAGGAGTTGGTCTCCAATTACATAAGACGAGCCATCAGGTACGCGGAACAACTGGACGAGGACATGAAGGACTGGAGCAAGCAGGAGGACTACTGGGACATGATGCCCGCCCAAGGAGCAGCCAAGGGCACAGTCTGGGCACAGTACCCGTTGCTTGCACAGTCATTCTTCTTCTCACCCTGGGTCTATCTCTACTGGCTTAGGTTCCTCATCGCTCGAGTCAAACTGTACGAAACGTTGATTGAGGTGGTCAAATACGACCCATCGAACAGCACTGGGGCTGGAAAAGCCGAATGGCTCGCGACCGAGTATCAGATTGCCAGTTATCGAACTCGCATCCAGGTCTCTACGTCCGAATTGATCGGATTGACGGCGTACGCAATTGGCGATGTGTCCAGCAGAGGCACCTTCAGCGCCACGGCTACTGGAAAGTACCCAGGCAGGGCATTCCAGGAGATCAACGTTGTGGCCGCTTTGCAGTTGGTCATACCACTGAAAGCGTGTTTGAGATCTGAGCATACGACGGACGACCAAAAGGAGGCCATTGATCTAGCAATATCACAAATCTCTGAAGGCTTCAAACGCCAACCGCTGAATCTTTCATGAGACGGGAGCCTGGAATTTGTCTCTAGAATACCACCCGGTGGTAATGCGTTGAAGATATCGAGCGTTCTCTTCTGAGCGGTACTTGAATGGTCACGAGATATAAGTACGAATAATGACAAGCAAGTTGATGGAAATGCATTTCAGAAGTGGGTCTTTCATAGGAGGCGTGGGCCGATGCGGTCGATTGACGCTGGCAGTCAGTCCCCTTGTAAACTTTTTTGCTTGTCCGAATCACCAATCCACCATCCTCTCAACCCTGCATTAAAGCCCCGTTATCCTTGCCTTGTGTGGGCCAACCAACGATTGCTCTTGCAAGCTTGATGCTGAAATCATAGTGTTGGCACTTTTCCATGGCCCCGGAACCTGGAACCGGATCGATGTTAGGTGCTCCTCATGCCCCGCTTTCTCACACCACATGCACACATGCCACGAGCATCTGTTTGGCGATAATGATGATGTATACAGCTGTTGATCCCGAACCTGGTGGCTTCGGAGCATCCTCCACCCTGCGTCACACCACAATGACTTGAATCATCCGCGTTCTTTTGACCATTATCGCTAGAACTGCTATGCCCCCTATCACTCTCAGCATGTCTACGTTCTTTGATCGAGCTCACCCACTTCAGCAACAGATACACCATGGATCTGGAACGAATCAAGCAGAACCTCCGACTCCGGTCTGGTCGACCGAAGAAACATAAGAAACCGCCGACAGCACAAACGATTCAAGAGCGGCGGGCTGGGCAACCCAACGGCGACGTTCCCAAGCCTTCCCAGCGGATTCCAGAGCGCATTGAGAAGACCACGAGAGATCAGTTCTCGCAGACGCATAAGGAGGAGGATACAAAGAAGCAGCCGAATGGGGGCAGGGCTGCAGCACAGGAGGATCCCGAAGCATATCCCCCAGAGTCAAGTGAGAAGCCTGCAGCTCGCTCGACGACCGCCAGCCCTCGCCCAGAAAGTCGCTTGGAGGGTCCTGCCAGCGAACAGCAGCCCCAGCAGCCCATAATGGCTGAGCCACTCACGTACACCTCCGACAACTCGGATGGCAACGACTTCGACCTGAGACCGCCGGCACCTCGTGCGCGGCCACCCTCATTGGAGACTGTCACAGACCTCCTCTACTCACCCGGGCATCTTCATGCAATTCTACACGATCAGCAGTCTATATCACGGTTCACAGCTTTCCTAAATCGGTACAGGCCGGAATATCAGCCCCTAATACTACGTTTTCTGGAGACCCAAAAAGCCATTAAGGCAGTAGAGTATGCCAATGCAGTCGCTGAAGGCGCAACTGCCACCAAGAACTCTGATATCAAAGCCGTACAAAAATCTGTGCCTGCATCAGCTGCCAGGCTTGACAGCGCCTTTGAGGAGGCTAGCGCCACTGCCTTCAAGGCGTTGGTTGGGGAGGCCTTACCTATGTTCATCACCTACAATCTGGTCAAGGTTGCTTCCGAGTGCTTGGTGAACGAGGTCACAGGCAGGCAAAGTAGGATCATGCAAAACCTGGTAGGTGGTCTCTCGGAAGTCTTTTGCATCACAGATCCCAATCAGAGGGACAATCCTATCATCTATGCTTCCGAGGAGTTTTATCGATATACGGGTTATGGTAGCGAGGACGTCATTGGCAAAAATTGCCGCTTTTTGCAGGGCTCCAAGACTTCGAGGGACGCGGTAGTGCGATTGAAGACAGCAACAGAAAACGGCGAAGAGATTTGCGAGGCATTGTTGAACTATAGACGTGATGGACGCCCTTTCGTCAATCTACTCATGATCGCTCCCCTACATGATAATAAAGGAAAGGTCAAGTATCACATCGGCGCACAGGTGGATGTCTCGGGCTTAGTCGAGAATGGCCGTGCTCTTGACAGCTTTCGACGATATCTGTCTGTTCGCAATGCGGACAGGGGAAGGCGTGCTCTGTCAGAACCCGATGAACACAAGGAGAAGGCCCTCACCAAGCTGCGAGAGCTAAGCGAGATGTTTGATTTGGAAGAGTCTGCTGTGGTCCAGACGCACAGTCGCGCCGACTCCTCTACGAGAAGCGACAACAGCCAGAGTATCGGCAGCAGCGATCGACCCAAAGGCCTTAGGCGCCTTTTCGTGTCCGACTCGAGCTCAGATAGCAATGACGAACATGAGACGGAACGTGAGATATCTGACGACCAATGGAAGCTCGGCCAGCAAGGTCCAGCTGGGAAGCCATCGGGCAAACTGCCGGGTGTCTACGACTCCTATATGCTCATTCGACCGGCACCATCACTACGAATAATATTCGTCTCTGCTAAGCTCCAGAAAGCTGTCAAAACAGTTCAGAGCCCATTCCTGTCTCATGTGGCTGCGCCGAGCAGAACGCTATCCGGCCTGAAGGAAAGCTTCATAGCCGGGATGCCTGTCAGTGCCAAAATCAATTTCATGGCCCAGTCTGGCGAGAGAAGAGATGGCGTCAAAATCGATACATCTTATAAGCACGAAGATGGTAAGAACGGCAAAGCATACTGGATCTCAGCTACGCCTATGTTGGGTTCCGACGATCTGCCTGGCGTGTGGATGGTTGTCTTTGTTGAGAAGTCGAAGGCACCAAAGATGGTCAGTGGACGAAGCGCTGAGGTAGAAGCCCAGGCCGAGGCCACAGCATGCGTGAGCGGGCATCGAACAGGAACTAACAAGCCTGATGCGAGGCCCTCGGAGCCGGTGAATGATACGCGGGACTCTGGTCTGACGGAAAGCAAACCGCCGCTGCGGAAGGAGCTTTCAATCAAGCCAAGGCGACTGGGGGACCCAGAGGCCGTGTCCGGAAAGGGGAATGAGGCTTCGCAGGCCAACATCAGCGGCAACACCGAGGCCATGACTGAAAAGAACACCTTCGAATCTGAAGATTACCACGATCCCGAGACTGGCGATATCGTCGACCACACGAGCGCCGAGACGCTTAGAGAGCTTTCTCCACCACAGCAAGCTGGCGATTTTGCCAGAAGCAAAAGTCCCTCTGGATTACAGACACCAGAAGAGAACGAATATGCTCAATCCAACGATCAACTAAGCCCAGCAGACAAGACGAATGAGCAGCAGCAGGGTTTCGAACAGCAACACGTACAGAACCCGGGCCGGACAGAGGACCACGCCCACGACCATAGCCATACTCATGACCATGAACAACAGGAGAACCCCATTTCGCGCGAGCGCTCAGATACAGGCTACGAGTCAGCGCCGAACTTCAGACTTGAATTGGGAGAAGTTAGGAAATTTACACCGCCACCGAACATCGACAACAATATGCTCACGCAAACCCCAAGAACAGAAAATGGGGAGCGGGTAGAAGGCGACCAGGCACCCCACGAGGATGCCAGCTTTGAAGGAGATGAAATCGACAACACGCCGGTGGCGACAAAAGCCCATACGAGGCGTAGTAGTGGTGATAAGGGTCATGACCCGCTTCAGGCGCACTCACCAGTACCGAGGTATCGCTCCCCGCATACGGAGGCGCCTGCTGATACCGATGGCGCCGATAACGATGCAGACGAGAACGGCGAAAACACCTCCAGCGAAGCGCGACCTGCAGTGAAGCGGGATTCCAATGGCCCGAGTGGTTTAATGATGGATTATTTGACCCAGCCAGGGAGCAGAAGGTCCAGGGTAAACGCTGAGGAGTTTGGTAAGGCTCTGCAAGCCCGAGGCGGCACACAGGGTGAGGAGTGGAGTGACGCTGAGTGTATGCGTACACCTTATAGTGTTGATTAGTCTTAGAGGCCCAGTGGCGACCAAGGGGAGCGAGCAAGAGCCTGGGAAGTCTCCGCCTGACGTAGCCGCTGTGCTCACGTAGTGTATAGCAAGTATATATAACTGCCAGGATTTTGTGGATTGTTTCGTTCTCTGTTCTCTGTTCTATAGTTGATATCTACACATCATGCGCTTGTACTTAATGCTGCGGCATGGTACAAGCTAGAGATACCCAACCTGACCAGATTATTTATCTCAGAAAGTCTGCGAAATGACCTGCACGACGGAGCAAGTGAGATTGAAATTCACTGCCTGGCCGCCTCGCGCTCCACTCGATCTCGGCCAATCAAATCCCGCCAAAGATTTTTTGAAGCCCAGGACTCTCGAGACGAACATTTACTCTTCACGACTTCAGTCTGCCATCACCGTCCAGCCGGCCCAAAATTCACTATTAACAGAAGCTCGAGACAGCATGCTCGACGCAAAGCGTTCGAAGATCACCAAACCTGCATCTGCAAAGGCAAAGAAGGCGAAATTTTCTTCATCATCACCCAGCGTCAAAGCCAACGCCGCAGCCACCTCGCGGGCAGCTACCAGTCCGTCCACAGACGCCACCACCACCTCGACAAAGACCTCAAAGAAGACCTCAAAGCCCACGAACCTGCCTCCTACAGCATCCGAGAGGCCTCACTCTGCCTCCACGACCGCCGGCATGTCTACTACAGCCGAAACGCCGCTCCCACCACTCAAAGACCTCGCCTCATCCAACCCCGCCCTCCGCCGCCAATGCCTCAGCACCGTCATCTCTCACCTGGACTCCCGCCCCGCCACATCTCCACTCACCAACACGCAGGCCTTGCAGCTCTGGCGCGCCTTCTACGTCGCGCTGTACATGCACGATTCCAAGTCGGCGATCTCGGTGCAGAACCTCGCGCGGACGCTGGCGGGGACGCTGCGCATCCTTTGGGGGAAGGACGGCGAGGCGACGGCGGCGGCGGCGGCGGCGGGGGCGGGAGTGGAGGCGGAAGAGGGCAAGTGGCGTCACAGCACGACCTGGGCGGACGCCTTCTGGGGTGAGGTTGCGCGCGAGTGGGCCGGCGTGGACCAGTGGCGCATGAACAAGGTGCTGATGCTGGTGCGCTTCTTTGTTGCCGAGGCGTTTGAGCTGGCGCTTGAGGCCGCTGCTGGCAGCGTGACGGAGGTAGGAGAAGTCGATGAGGCGAAGAAGGGGGAGCAGCTCGGGCAGTGGCAGGATTACGTGGCTGATGTCGTGGCGCTGCCGCTGGAGACGGAGCGGTCGATGCCGGATGGATTGAGGATGCATGTGCTAGACGTTTGGGGCGATGAGCTAGAAAAGGTCGTGGAGACGGGTGAAGAGGCCCCGCAAAAGGAGGAGGATCGGAGGAAAGAGGTCGCGAATTTGTTGGTCAGAGCGGCAAAAGAGCTGAGCGTGTTTCGGCAGGGCGAGGTCAACGTGCCGCGGAACGTGAGGGCGCGGGCCAAAGAGGTCGTGGAGGGGTTTGGAGGGAAGTAGAGTTGGAATTCTTGGTCTTCAAGATATGGTAGACTCAGGCCGTGGCGGAGTAGGCAGGCACTCGTCCGGTAATGAACATGGCAAAAGAGGAGTTTCGGAGTCAGGAAATATGATGGATACCATCAAAGAGTCTCAGTATTGGGATGTGGCGGATTCTCATTACAATATGCCACGTACTTCATGCTCCGCCCAAATTCGAAGCTGTCCGCTTCTACCAGGCGCCCAGAACGCCACGCTTGCTTGCATGTTCGTACGACGAAGCACCAGACCAAGAATAGATCGAATCACTATTACCCCAGATAGCCCACGGCGCATCCATAGCTGTAACTCTCAACTGGCCAGCACTGTCCGTTGAGACAGCTCGGCCCAGGGTTCAGCCTCGCCCACTGCATCGGCCAGTCCGCATGAGATATCGCCGGCAATGTTGCTTGCGGATATGAGTCCATCGTTGTCGTAGCTGCTAAACACGGCTCTGATCGACCCAGTCACCGCTGCTCGGCCCTCGACTCCGCGCCACGGCTGCCCCACTAGGATGTTGCGAAGATCGCAGGTTGCCACCAGCTGCTGCCTCGCTTGGCGGCGGAAGAGCTCCCATCGTCGGCTATTTGCAGCTGAAATCAGCAGAAGCCCAAAGGTAAATCGATGCATGCGCGCAGCCTTAGGCGGCGAGACACATCCATTGACAAGAAATGTCTAGTCCTCAAAGAAAGACGTACCGGACTTGCCCTTGTCGCTCTCCTTCTCCCCCACTTCAATCTCGGGCAACGTAGGTGGAGCATCGCCCTTCCCATCATCAGTGGTAGTTGCATCTTCCTCCGTTGCATCCTTGGACGCAGCCTCCTGGCTAGGTGCATCTCCGGTGTCTGCTTGAGGTTGTTCACTAGTAGAGGAAGCCTCCGCCTGCTGTGCCTGTTCCTTCGCGGCTGCCTCTCGTGCCTGCTTCTCCATCATCCTCTTCATCCTCCTGGCCTCAGCCTCGGCCTTCTGTCGCTCTTGGGTTTCCCAGTTCTCCTTGTGCGCGGCCTTGTCTTTCACGGTTCGAATACGCTCGATCTCCTCGACGCCGCCGGTCTTCTTCAATTTGCCGTCCTCAACAAAGCTCTCGACTTCGCGCTGGAATTCTCCGCCCTTACGATTCTGCAGTTCCTTCTGACGAGCTCGTTCCGCCCGTTCGATAGCCTCAAGCCGGGTCTCATGGTTGGGCTGCAAAGCACGAACCTCGTCGAGCATGCCCGATTTTGCCTCGTGTGGATCCACAACGGTCTCGAATGCGATTGCTTTACTAGATGATCGTCCGCCTTGAGTGTTCGCCTGCAGATTCTGCTGCTTAGTTGCCGCCTCCACTAGGCTGAAGATATCAGTCACGTCTTTGAGATCGCCATCAAGATCGGCAATGATCTCGTCACGCTGGGTCAAGTCATCTCGCTCGCTCATCACCATCTTGAGTTCCTGCTCCCAGATCCTAGTCCAGACAGGCTTCTCACGTTTGACGTATTCCTTGATCTTGACGAGATCTTTGGCAGTGGAAGCGATGTCCCTATTGACGTCTTCGAGTTGTCGAGGTAGAGGACGCACTCCACGAGTGACGACATCTTTACGCAGTTCTTCCACGATATCCGCAAGGTCATCAACGCGGTTGATGAGCGACTCTGTCTCCGTAGAAAGATGCTTCTTTCCAGAGTTGATGTGCGTACGTCCAGCATCGCCTTCGTAGGTCGGCACAGCAGCGTCAGCCGCCACGGTCTTTACGTTCGCTGCTTTGGCTCTGATCTCGGTCATTGCCCCAGCGAAGTCGGAGGACATGCTGGAGTATGTTTGGCGAAGGACGGCAATCTCACGGCGTAGTGTCTGAACCTCCTGGAGCGACGAGTCTGTGCTATGACTTAGGGGCGCCTTGGCACCAGCTGTGCCCGCCGAAGCCTTCGGCGTGTGGGGTGGTGGTAGCGCGGACATACGTGCCATTTCCTTTGAAGCCTCTAGCTGACGGTCGGAGAACCTTTGCATCATGGACCCTTGCCCTTCGAGCAAGAATTTGAAGCTGTCAAGGGTCTTCTGTATGCCGCCCATGCCCTCGTCAAAATGCTTCTTCACTTCATCAAGTGCTTCAACGTTCAACACCAGCACAGATCGGTCTTTCACATCATGGAGATCCTCAAGTTCGTGTCGCACACCTGAGACAGGGTCCTGAATATAGATCTCCGGCAGCTCAAGACCGGCTTCGTTGGTATTCCATGAGAATTTCTCGATGAAGGCTAGTTGCAAGCGGGCGAACGTAAGTTCCTCGTAGCCATCAATCAAAACAAATTTTTTGATCTTCGTTTTGTACTGGAGAAATAGAGTGAGCTCTTTGCCTTGGGGAGGTGACGACTCGGTCTCAGGAGCTAGAGCTGGAGGCGGAGTTGCCAGATCTCGGACCGTCTGATCGGCTGCGACCGTCGCAGTGTCGGCAGAGTCTTCAGATTTGTTCGTCTTCTTTGGCTCAAGCTCGGTCTGAGACTTCTCCTCTTTAGGCGTAAGGAAGCCAACATTTAACATAGAATCCGGGGGACTCATAGGCCCATTAAGCGTAGCGCTGAGGATCGGAGCATCACGTTTCTCTTGCGGCGATCTTGGCTTGTGGTATTCGTCTGGAGTCTTGGCGATCGGGCTATCATCTGCGCCAGCCAGCTCGGACGGCGTAATTTTTGGCATGTCCAAAGACTCAAGCTTGGGAGGATCGTCTCTCTCTTCTGAAATCCTCTCCGGTGCCTTGATCGTGCCGCTCCTGCTGGGAGACGATTCAGGTTTCTGATGCGCTTTCCGATATTGGGACGTCCTGGACCTGACGGCAGTCAATGACTCGCGTGCTTCGCGACCACGATTGGGAATAGGCGAGTTCTGCGTTGGTGGAAGGTTGGGAATTCCATTTGGCGATGCACCAAGATGCTTCGAAATCTGGTACGCCGAGAATCGCCTCGAAGCTCGTCTTTCCAGATCACCACCTCTTTGTAGCTGAGCGAGGGCATCGGTTTGCTTGGGCGGCGGCGGCGGTGGGTGCGGAAAATTGACCTCGGACGGCGGTCGGACATTGGCCTCGAATGGAGGCTGTACAGGAATATTCTGTGCTGTGGTGCTCGATATCGACGAGTTCGTGTCGGAATGAGGAATTGATTGCTCCCGTTGCATGCTATGACGGCTAATAGACCCACGACTGAGTGAGCCGGCCGTGCCAACACTCGGTAAGGGGAAGTCGCCCTCATTACTTTTTCCACTAGCTTCTCTGCTGTGACCACTAGGAGTTGGACTTGCCCCTCTTGTAGGACTTGCTGTTGCTGGGACATTCTCCAGCATCTGCGTCAGACCTGTTTCGTTGCTTGCAACCGAGTTGGCCAAGCTAGCATTGCGGGCGGGCGGGCCTTTCGAGCCTGCGGGACCAATTGACTCCTTTGTGCCTTTGCCGCGAAGTTTGCTCTGCTTCCTCTTCAAGCCATGGAGTAGATTGATGATTATGTCACGTATTCTCGGCAGGTAAGTGTCGAGCGCTTGGGGTGACGCCGGCTGGCTGAGGGTATCTTCGAGTATATGGCGCAATAGATCGGGTACATTTCCCAGGTCTGAGGTGTCAACGCCTATGGAATTGAAGGCGCGACATGCGAGATTGAATTCATAACCCAGGCGAACATAGACATCAGAGACCTCCTCCTCTTGCGCTTGGTTGCGCGACCATTGAGTGAGGGTTTCGAGGAGCTGCTTAGTAGCAACGAGGAGATGAGTGACGCTCTTCTCGATCTGCGAGATCTGCTTATCGGGCTATGGGGACGGTTAACAACACCGGAGGCGTCTAGGTCGAAGGGGTTCTACTGACATTGGCACTCCTCGACGATCTACCGGAGCCAGAGGAGGCTCTACCTGTTGCCTGAGAGGTGGAGGCGGAGGTCGAGACGGCGCTCATGGCCGGGTGAGAAGGTTGCGTTTGCTCGGGGTAAGTCTGTTGACGTCGCGGAGCTTGTGAGGGGCGCGGTCCTGGGTTGCTCGACTGCATTGCGATAATCTGGCTGCCTTCAGAGTGTCGACGCTCGGACCGCCATGACTCGTAAAGGTGAAGCCGTGTTCATTGGGAGCAGTGAAAGTGGTGGCCAGGGCTCTCCGAGTGATCAGATGCAGGGGAGCCACCCTCGCCGCCAAGTGCAGCGTAGTCCGCCCGCCGCTTCCCTTTCGGGTCTAATAGCAACAAGTAAATGCAACACGAGCGCGACGCCATCTGCAACCGATCTGCATGGTCTTCATTATTCTGTACAATTTCAGGGTAACGTCTAGACATCAAAGCATCATTCCCAACCCCAGCGCCGCGCTTGAAAGTATTCCAGCCACCACCATGAAAGCCCAGTCCATCTCCTTAGACCAAGTCGCACTACTCTCCGGTGCGATCTTCCCGACCGAATGATCCTGTCCGCTAGGCAATGCAGTCGCAGTGCAAGTCGCTACTTCACATCCATATCCTGTTGGGCAGCATCCACCTCCCAGGTCGGCGTTGCAGCTGAACCAACCGTCACGACAGGTTCCCGATGGCACGGATCCCGTGACACCTGTGGGAGCGTCTACAGTAACGCCACCTGTGTCGATGACCACCGTAGTATCAATAGGCGGACAGGAAGTAGTATCACAGTCTCGTCCTGTCTGACAGCAACCCCCTTGATGAAAAGCCTTGCACCCGTAGTATCCAGTTGGACAGCCTGCCCCGCCGGAAGGCGTCGTGAGCGACTCTGCCGTAGTCGTCGTGACGTCGCCACTCGTAGGTCGATTCGGGGGTTGCAGTCCAGATGAGGTGCTGGCTGGGCAGAGGTTTCCAGTGCCACACGCGCGATCCGTGTGACAGCATCCGCCACCCAGGCTTTCAGGGCATGTGCGATAGTTTGCTGGACAGTCAGTCGAGGACGGGCTTTCCGAGGTTCCGCTGGTGGTGGGCGCACTCGTCTGCTCCGTTGTCGCTCCCGTTGGCGAGCCTCCAATGATCACAGTAGTAGTCACAGTAGACGGTTCGCCATTCGATTGTGAGATGGTGGTGACTGCAGTCACTGTGACGGTTTCTGGAGCTTGGGAGGTCGAGGGTGCAACGAGGAGGGTAGTGGTGGCAGTCTGTACACATCCCTCTTGATAGCAAGCATAACCTGGTAGGCAACAACCACCTCCATCGTTCGGACAGTCGGTGGAATCGCTCCCACAACCACTCAGCGTACCGCCGCATGACTGACCTGAAGGACAGCACCCCACATCACCGTAGCCGGTGTCTGCAATCCGTTGACACGTTGAATCGTCTTCGCAGCAGCTGTTAGGCCGATCGATCGAGGTACAGGCACTGGAACCCGCAGGGCATTCGAAGTCGCGCTTGAAGAGCTTGGAAAGACCCCTAGGGTCGAGATGGCGCGGGACAAAGCGAGACTCGGAGAGGTTCCCATGCACGCGGAGCGAGTTCGAGAGCGCAGCTAGAGCGGAGTGGTTCGTGATAGTCTCTGTCCCTTCTTCAAAGATCCAGTAGTCAAGGTAGAACTTCTCGCCAGGGTCTCCGCTCATCTTTCGCACTGCGGCAGGCCGGTGCCATTGGAGCTTTTGCTGTATCTCTTCTTCTCTGCGGAAGATGTGCTCGTGTTCCGGGAAGTATTTGAAGTCGACGGAGAGGTCGCGAGGCCGAGGGCCCTGCTGCCCGACAGAGGGATGCCCCCAGGAGGCCACGAGGAGTAATAGTGAAGGCGGCAGGGCGCACCACTGCGGCGCTGGGAGGCGCATTCCGCTGGGTGGGGAGCAGACCGGCACGAGCCGCAACGAGTTGTCTCGGAACTCCAAGCAGTAAATTGGAATGGCCGATGCGCTGCACGCTATACGATGTCAGTACTCTTATGATCGAGTGACTGCTTTTGGTTTTTGTGAATCGTCCCCTAAAGTGTGGACGCTGAGAGCCGGGTTGGGGGTGGCTGGGCTGCAGGCCGTCTGTGCCAAAATCAAGGCACCGCGTTGCCGCGGAAACTCTTTACACGATCTGCGGGGCGGGACTCTCGACACCAGGAGACCGCAGGACGTTGAACTTCTTGCACAATTTAATTTTCTCTATCACATATTGGATGGACTACCTAGGATGTGTGATGCACAAACGCCGTCGAACAGCAAACCACTTACAACTTGCTCCTGAGGTTCTCGCGTTGATCGTCCTGGAACAACACCTTCGAGTTTGGGTTGGGATCAAACGTGATCGAATTCATGGGATTCAGCTCGCTCGCGCGGTGGAACATGTCCTCGTAAACCTTGCCATCGTATCGGCCGAGACTGCTATCCAGTAGCCAGTCGGGGAACTTCCATGCGTCGACCAATCTGACAGCATGTGGCCGAATCTCGTCCAAGAGATTCATCACTGCCTTGGTTCGCGCTAGAGTGATCTGCCGAATGGTCGTAGCCTGACTCGAGAAGAACTCAGACGCTTCTCTTTCGAGAGTGTGCAGCGCAAAGAGCCGGTACAACTTCTTGAGTAGCTCTACTGTATCAGAATCCAGTTCTTGCTTTGTCTTGGGGTTGGTGTAGAGCGCGTCGTAGAAGTTTTTGACGACCATGTACTGGGCGTGCGCAGTAGACAACCGCCAGAAGTCGACCAAGAGGCTGTTCCACGATTGCTTCTCCTCGTCACGGTGGCGAAGAGCTTCGAAGGTAAGGTGGGACACACGCCACGCAAAGGCGGACACAATCTCAGCGTCATCCCCCAGCACGTCAAAGGCAGCGCCCATATCTTGACGCTTCTTGTATTGAGTCAGAATGCGAGTGGTGTCGTTATCCTGTGCATTCCCCTTGAGCACTGCACGAGCTGACTTCAAGAGGTATCGGCTAACTTGCTGAGTCAGCATGTAGTTATCTCCCTCCCATGTGACGGTTGGCAGATAGTCGGCATACCAGCTCCCGACGCCCGAGAAAGCCGAGTAGCCGTGCCCACCCATTGCGCGCCTGCAGACCTCTAGTCCCTCCGCTGCGACAGTCGATGAGTAGGCCTTGAGCGCACAGCTGGTGGCGTGAAGGTCTGCAAGAAGGTCGGAGCCAGGACTTGTCTCCTCGGGGCCCGGCGCGCGACTGTTATCAGATGGCCGCTGTGCTGCCATACGCTTCTGGTTTTCCTCGTACAACGCGATCATACCACGGCCCGTGAAGTGCAGGGCGAAGGTGGCAGCAAGGAGTGGGAGGAGTCGGATCTGGACCATCTTGTAGTTGAGGACTTGATTCTCGCCAGGCTCTGATGCCGGAGCATCACGGTCCTGGAACTGGCGGCGCACTGCACAGTATCTGGTGGCAATAGTCACACCTCTGGCCAAAGTAGATCCGGCCTGCAACACGATAGTGCTCCGGATATAGGTCAAGGTTCCGTAAATAAGTGACGGATTTGCGGGACGGACATATTTACTCGTGTTTGGGTCGACACCAGAAAATCTGGCCAGCATATTGGCATGAGGCACTTTGACCTTGTTGAAGAGAAGGAAGCCGTTGTCCATGGTGTTGTATCCAAACTTGGGCCCGATGTCACCGATGTGGATGTTCTCGAGCGGCTGATGCGTCTTCAAGTCTCGGATCTGCACGACAAAGGGATGAGGGCCGTATGGTTTGCCATTGATGAGCAGCTGGGCCATCACTACCGCATGGTTAGCGGTGCGGCCGAGTGAGCCGATCCACCACTTTGAGGCTGTGAGATGAGGCGAATGGATGGTGAAGGTCTTATCGTCTGGGTTCCATGTCGCTGTGGTCTCTAGGCCTCTCACATTGGAGCCATGGCCAAGTTCCGTCTGAGCGTAACAACCAATGTATTCGTACTTCTCTGCTTTCTCGAGGAATAGTTTGTGCTGCTCTGGTGTACCCTGCTCTTTCAGCGTTTTGAGGAACATGCCAGCATGTAGGCCATAGGGACCGGGCTCCGAGATAAGCTCATTGGCGATGAAATATTCTCTTTCATCCCAGCCATGTTTGACTGAAAGCTGGCGCAGTCTCTTTCCTCGAGCGAGCGCGGCTTCCATGCGCGTAGTGCGGCCACGAAAGTAATTTTGAGACTTGTCGAAGACGGGTTCGGACTTCAGGATCTCCAGGATGCGAGCCCGCTTGGCCAACTCCTCTTTAGTGAAGAGGTAGTCCGCGAGCTGATCAATGTTCAAGTTCGACTTGGCTCGCTCTTGACTGAGCAGCTCAGATCCTTGCGGACCAGAGGGTTTGAGGGCTTTCACCCAGGCAGGATTGGACGGCATCGTGACAGGTATCGGTTAGGGAGGGGTTCGATGTTCGAGGGCGGAAGTGCCGGGCGTTTGCGTTGATGCGATGTGTCTTATACACGTCTTCCTCTTGGTGCCGCGGCAATGGGCGTTCGGGAGATCGTGCCCAGATCTCGGAGTTTTATTATTCTCGTGCTTGAATATCTTAGCTGGAGCTGTGAATGAGCCGAGGTACGCAGGGCATTGGGCCAGCAAGGTGTTTATGTCATCGAAATGTCGTCTTAGTGCCTTTGTAGCCGATGTCGAGTGCCTCGGCCCTCGCAAGCACTTCCCTCATCCGTCGATAGCGCCGACTTCTCAGCGACACAACATGAGACAGCAGAGAAGGGGCCGACGTGCAGTCATTGACGTCCAGAATGCGGAACATGGCGAAACTTCGCAGAAGATGATGTGAGAGTCTGGTCCAGTCTGCATGTGAGTCTCGCAAAGGGTAGACGCTCGGCTGGCGGCGTCACACAATTTCGAATTGGATGGTCTGGGAGACATATGCAAGGACTACCGGTCATGAAAAAGGTACGGCAGCGGCGAGTATATGCACTAGCAAGAAGTTGTTGACGTCGAAGTAGATAAATATCATTCTTTATCAATTCGCAGGTTCAAGTCCTGCTTGCCCAACCCATCCCGATGCTGTTTGCCAGCATCCTCTTACAAAACCCCTGTCGATTGATGAAGAACAGAGGCGGCAAGGAAACCGAGCCACTTGGCCCGGAGGAAAACCTCGCCTGTTCCCTGGTCGCTGTGCGTTGTCGAGCATCCCCCATCCCGGGTTCCTCTGACCGATCAACGCCAGTGCCATCTCCATCCTCCCTCCCTCCTAGTCTCGGGTCGTCGTCAGGCATCCCCTATCCCAGGTTCCTGTGACTGAGCGACGAGGAGCTCATCTCAATTATCCTTTATCATAGTGTACACGCCAGTGGAATCTAGGGCGGAAGAGGGTATCATGTCATGGTCTCATGAAGTCGTTGAATCGTGATATCGTGAAGCGGTCATGTTGTCGAGGGAAGCTGCCAAGTGGTGTATTGGGTAAGTCGAGTCAAAGGGAAGTCGGTAGCCGTGAGTATCATGCTGTGAATCGTCGCACAGCGTGCGAAGTGACTTCATGACCAAGGGAAATACTGTTGAGTAGCGAACGCCAACCAATCAATTTCCTCCTCGGCCGTCATTGCTGGTCCGACGAATGGCGGCTGTTGTTCAGGGTCCATGGGCGCCAGGACGCCGTATGTTGGTGTCTGGCGATTCCTCAGAGCTACCCGGTCCATGCCACGTGGAGCACCAAAATGGTAGCCACCGTTGAACTCCGTGGCTGCTTGAAAACCAGCGTCTCTGGGGGCCCCGAGCTGGTAGTTGTCGAGGAAGTCGTAATTAGTAGTTGGGTTTTCCCAGTCGATGAACGCGGCATTGGGATCCCACTCCTGTCCCAACACCCCCGTGTCGATGTTCTCGGGGCTCTCTTGCTCGGTTTCCAGGCCAGCAAGCTCCGGCACTGCTTGGGTAGCCTCATTGCCTGCATTCACTGGCACTTCCGCTTCCGCTTCCGCTCCATTGCCATTGTCCCCACGCTGCTGGTCTCTGGCACGGGGAAGAGGCAGGCCACCATGCTGTTGGTGGATGTGGCGGTTGAGATTGTCCCGCCGGGCGACTTTATTGTTGCAGTAGGGGCACTGCCACTTTTCCTGTCTGCCCTTGGTTCCTTTGCAGCCACTGACCCGGTGCTTGTCGAGATTGCTGCCGTCGATGCACAGCTTTCCGCAACCGTCGCAGCAGTATAGAACGCCACGGTGGACAGTCGCTTGGTGTCTGGCAAGCTGTGCTGCTGAAGAAAAGCCAGCTTGGCAAATTGCGTCGTCGGGAAAGCCATTGAGGCCCCCGGGACCCGACAACCGCTGATTGCATTGGTGCGGTTTTGCACCAGCGGGGGGACTGATCGTGGCCGTGAGCTGCTTCCCCGACTCGGGGTTGGTGAAAGTCATGGAGTATTCACCGTTGCCCTTCCATTCACCAGAGAAGGTGCAGGTGACCTTCTGGCGAGTCGAGGTGCCCTGGCGAGGCATGGTGAAATAGATCTGCTGACTTGGGATAAGTGACTGTCTCTCGGGTGAAGGAGAAGCACTGACTTACTTGAGGTGTCGGGATGGAGACAAGCTATTGGACAGTGACTGTCCAGTAGTGAATAAAGCTCAGTAATTGAGCATTTGTTGAGATACTATGTAGAGTGAACAGATCAGTGAGCAGAATGCCGTGGGTGTCTGTGTCGAGTGTGCTGAGTGTGTCTGCTCTGTTGATTTGTACTGTGATCTGTTCTGTGCCTACGGGAGAAGAGAAACGAGCAGAGAAAGTGGGCGGGCATTTGTAGCTTCTGTTTACAGTGAGAACTCAGGCATCAGAGTCCAGAACGGCTATACATGGGCATGAGGGTGGGAAAAATCATCACAACTGAGTGAGAGGAATTGGTAGAACCGTGGAAGTCAATGTTGTGGATTGCTTCAAAGTGTGTGTGGAGGGAACAACATTGGGCCACTGCTAGGTAGCAGTGTTGATTGAAAGTTGAAGCTCAGTGTACCAGTAAATTGGTCTCAGCCGTGGCAACTGAGAAAGGCCGCAGCATAACACACCACAAAGTCGACGTGATTCTGCTCTGGCAGCAGCTCCAAAGGCTCTGCGATTCGTATACAAAGATTAAGCTCGTTGAGGGGAGCATTTTGATATCAATCTTCACTTGAATCAATCGAAGACCAGCGACGATTTTGAAGCCGTCAAGAGCATGTGGGCTTCACGTTGGGCCTGCACGAGATTGTTGGCCTCAGTCAAACACAAGCAGTGGAGACGGCTTAGAGGAGGCTGAAGCGAAGAAGATAATCTGAGAACAGCAACTTAATGGAACTCCGTCTCCGTGATGAACCTTAACATGAGAATGGAGGGGCACTGAGCATATGATGCGAAAGATCGTGGAAGACGTATGACGCCGGAGTGACTCAACGTCTTTTGAAACAGTGGTTCGTAATATTGGAGTGGCGATGGGATGACCTACCGTCGGCAAACGCCTGCAAGATCATCACAGTCGAACAATATCAGCTTGGGCAGTGTGGACAGCCTGCAGAAAACAAGTTACAACAAACTTGTCAAATTTCACGATGCCGGAATTTCTCGAGACGACATGACAGACATCGCGGATCAATACGGCCAGAAGATGGCCCGAATCGCACTGTAAGGGGAAAGGTTCATTGGAATTTCCAGTCGCAAGAAGTAGCAACACTCATAATGGTCGTCGTAACCAATGCGTCCTTCGGGTGCGGACAGCAGACCAGTAAATTGCCCAGGCACACACTGCAAGCAGACCTCGTGGCGGGAATAGCTGGGTCCTTGCTTGAGCCACCCTGCCTGGCTCATTGCTTGGACCAGGTTTGGTGATCAAGGCCATATGCTGTTCGACACCCAGTTTCTGCATTCAGGCTTTCGAAATTCACCAAAAAGCCGACAGACCACTATCTAGGCATCAATGCGCGGATCTGTTCATCGCATGGAAATTGTTCAAGAAGTAGCTTACACACCTTGGAGGCAGCTCAATAGAGGCGACCTCGCATTGTGGGCGGATCTAGATTAGGGGCAGAGCCTTGGCCCCCAAATGGCGGAATTCTTGAGGCGTCGCAGGGTTCGTGGGTATTATGCCATCTCAAGAGGTTTGGCTTAGCAAGTTGGATTTTCTACAATGTAGTTGCGTTTGACTTCAGCCGCATGCGCATGAATAGTAGCTCAGCCCGGAATGAGGACCCCTGGTTACTCAGGATCGCACTGAGGGAAAATCAACCGCGAAAGTACGGCGGCACTGGGCCTCTGACTACGGTGGCCCTGGGCGGCAAGTTGCGTCAGATTGCCGACTGAGGGCTTGGATGCGCGCCAAGCAGGCCGAGAACGACTCTACCTTCGCCTCAGATGTCCTCGTCAGCCGTTCTTGTCGTCCTTGCTTGCAGTACCCTGGGGATCAGACTGACAAAACCGCGGCGAAGCTAGATTTACAAAATGGGAAACCTCTGCTCAAAATCATCGAACGAGCCAGATCACTTCGCGGCACCTGGCAGACCCCTCGGTTCAGCGTCAGCGACTGGCCCCTCATCTGCTCCTGTGCCCCAGAAGATTGCGAAAAACTCCCCTGGACGAACACTGGGTGGTGATAGCTCAAGTCCGGACGACGCCAGGAGTGCTGCAGCACAGGCTGCAGAGGTAAGCCCATGATTCCTGTTGTCCAAGTCATCTCGGTCCCCACAGGTCGATACGCAGAATACCGCCGGTTACGCCCCCTCGTTGGAATGACACAGTTTCAACACTCATTCTCTGCACCGCCCACCCCCAGCGTTTGCATGTGCATGACTCAGCCTCCTGGATGCAACTGTGATGCGGATAAACACACAGCACCAGTCGCAAGACCCACCTACTGACTTTCTTGGTTCCTCAGGCACGCGCTGCAGCTGCCAACAAGCCCGGTGGCAAGCTGTCCTCCCAGCTATCGGCGCAGCGAAAGCAGACACAGAACCAGCTGCTAAATGCCGGCTCCGAGCAGGAACGTCGGGCGAGAGACGCCGATCAATCCGCTCGAACGCAGGCCTACAACTGAGGCATTTGTCTACGTGGACTGCTCACAAGAAGTTCACTGAGCAGCAGCTCTTCTAATTCTAGAAAGGATCGATCTTGCACGAGTTCTTCCCCACCCACTCGTCGATACGCGGCACACCTCCGGCTTCAATATCAGCTTCGAAACCTTCGCTTCTCTCTTCTTTGGTACCTGCATTGGAGAGTCTAGATCATACTCGTGTCCAGGCAACACTGAATTACAGTTTACTCCTTGTTCAGTTTAGGTCGCAATGGTCTGGTTCTTGAGAAGATTCTAGAGAAGGATCTGGTCTGAGAACTCAGCCGTTCCGTCATTGTCTATGTCTGCTGGGACAACACTTGACACACCATAGCTCGGACACCGGACATCCGCGTTGATTTGTTTGCGAAATGTTTTTCTCTGGCGCGCTTAGCGAGTGCACATTCCAGGAGCTCTATCCACGGGAGCAGCAGGGTGGCACGACTCTCACCCATGTAGATACGATGGCTTCTGCACAGCAATGAACATATGTGTAAGCCCAATAGCTGAAAGAACTAGCGACTCGTGAGGCGGCTCTTGCAGACGTACACCTTCCGTGAGGATTGCCCAGGGCTATAGGCGAAGTTCAGTGTCCATTGTCGCCCATCAGTTCAATTGGAGTAGTGGGATTCGAACGCCATGCCATGCCATTTTCATGCTATCTGATAGCCCCGGTGACCCTTCTGCAGTCGCACATTGATGTCTCGTCACATCGTGAGCGTTGCATTGCATTCGTACAGAAACGCCGACGGCCTTCGCTGCGGCCTCTATCTATTGCCCGCCCCGAAAGCAGGTCCGTACTGTCACTCTGCAGGCCTTCAAGCCTCAAGCCTCGCTAGGCGCTCCATCCGGTAGCAGGTTTCCACGAACCGCAAACATCTTGCCTGTGGCGCCCGCCACAAAGCCATCCACCTGCCTGGCGTACTGCTCGACTTGCCGCGTGTTCAGCATGCTCTCCAACCGGCTTGGCTCTGTCGGTAGCTTGAACAGCCGCTGCCACTCGTCTTCGGGCAAGGGCGCCTGCTTGCTGAGCGCACGTGCCGCATTCTCTGCTTTCCGCTTCGCCTGCCATTGCTGGATTTTAGATTGCTCGCGCGCCAGTGCGCGGTTGTAGTAGCTGAAGTTATTAGATTCAACATGATGAGTCTCGATAGCGTCGAGGAGATTGTCGGCGGTTTGAGACAGGAACGGATCGTTCGAAAGGGTGAGTGCATTGAATGATGGGGCGAGCGAGTCATGAGCGATGGCCGGGTTGGACTCGACTTCGGAGAGGGAGGTTGGTGCTGCCATGGAACCGTTGGAAAGTAATGAAGGTACTTGATTGAGAAATGTGTTGACCAGGTGGGAGTTGTGCAGGGTGATGGGAAGCTCGACGAGGATGTCGGAATATCTGAGGCCTGATTTCTGGAGGCTGCAGGCGGGGGTTAGTGTAGGTATAGGACAGGCCAGTAGGGTACTTACTTGTCGGCAGTGAATTTCTGCTCCTTGTAGGCCGCCATGAAAGAAGGAGCCAGACGGAAAGCGCGTAGCGAGAGGAGCCCCTGTGAAGTTCTGCTCACATCGTGGACCAGTGCAATGACCCGCTCATTCATCTCCTTCTGGTAGAAGAACTGATTCTCGATGAAATTCATGTTGACAAAGTTACCCAAATTGCAGCTCGTGTACCATCCGACGTTGTTAGCATCGATGTTTACTTCTCGTAGGACTTTCAAATATTCGGCTTGATATGCGGTGTTGGCTTTTGCTCGCGGGGCAGCCGCTGCGGCGTTCAAGTGAGGTTGTTCGTACTGCGCTTCGGGAGACAGGTCGACCACCGGGAATGGGAAAGCATTGGTGACTTCCATAGTGCCTTCGCGATCCATGCCCACCAAGAAGCCAGTCGCAAAGGTGGGAAATCTATCGGCGCAATGTTTGATCACTTTCATAACGGTGAGGGCCTCCAACTGGACCGCCTGGAGCGGCGCATCCTTGGGAATTCTGTCCATGTGTTAGCAGTCTCGCCAATAGATTTTTGGATCGTCCATACTCAACAGCGGCCATGTTGGGTGGGTGTAGTGGCACGGTGGAGGGGTCGTCGCCGGTACGGCCAAATTTTGGGCATTCAGACATGGCCTCAGCAGGCAAATTTGCCGACTGTGCGCCGCTAGACGGCAGGTCTAGCCGGAATCAAGCCATTCACTGCCTGCACATATTGCCTTCCGAACCGTTTGCGCAAACGACTTTAGACATACAAAATCATATCAGCTGACACGAAGCGCTCATCTAAGACATGTGAAGACGTTTAAATGTGCTGTGGATGCATTGTCACGAGCAGAGGCCAGATTCGAGGCCGCCCAGCAGTATCCGAAGCGTATGTCCGCAAGCAGAATTTATCAGATCTTAGATTGATAACGCTACCATAATTTCCTCCATCGAGGTCGTCATCACCTTCTCCTCTTCTATGCAGGTATCCCTTGGATAGTGTGACCGTACATGTCGTTCAACAGCAACAGTGACATCTGGCTGGTATGATTGACTGATCTTCAGCACCAAATGATTATCAGCTGACATACAACAGGCCGGAGCGTTCGCTGCATTCACTGTCGACCTGCTCGTATACCCGCTAGATACCCTCAAGACTCGAATACAGTCCCCGGACTATCGGCTCAACTATAAGAATGCCAATGGCTCTACCAAACCTGCACTCTTCCGTGGCCTATACCAGGGCATCGGCCCTATTGTGGCAATCACCATCCCGTCTTCGGGCGCGTTCTTTACAACATACGAAGCTCTGAAATATGGCCTGAATGAGCTCACACCACCTAACTCAACCCTCTTCGTCCCTCAATCAGCCATCCACGCTGTTGCCAGCGGCGGTGCCGAGCTTGTCAGCTGTGCGATTCTGACTCCGGCAGAGGTCATCAAGCAAAATGCCCAGATCCTAGACAGAGATAGCATGGGTCGGAAGGTATCTCCAACGGGCTATGTTTTCAAGAAGTTTCTGCGCCAGCCATCCCAGCTGTGGCGAGGATACACCGCGCTCGCGGCCCGGAACCTGCCATTCACGGCGCTACAGTTCCCGATTTTTGAGAAGCTCAAGATGTATTTCATGGAGAGGCGAAAAGCCAGCAATGGTGGCAAGCCAGTCGAGGGCATTTTCGAGCGAGCAATCATCACTGCCGGAAGTGCAGCTATAGCTGGGAGTGGGTCTGCATGGATTACGACCCCTATCGATGTGGTAAAGACACGGATCATGTTGGCAGCAGGCCAGGAATCGACCAAAGCGAAACCTGAGGGTTCGACTCAAAGTTGGCTTACCCACGGGACGACTGGAGACCGCAAGGGTGGTTTTGTCATTGCACGAGACATCCTGAAGCATGAAGGCATCCGGGGCTTATTTCGTGGCGCCGCCTTGCGTGGTGGATGGACAGCCTTGGGTAGCGGACTTTACCTTGGATCTTACGAGGGTGGTCGATTCTACCTTGAGGACCAACGCAAGCAGAAGCATGAGGGCGACCACGTTATGCAGCGTGACTGGAGCAACGTCAAAGTTGGCATTGGCGCCAGCCGCTCTCAAGGTGAGAAGGTCAAAAAGAGCGCCTGGCAAGATGATTGAGAATATACTCGCACGCATACCAATCCAACTACGTTTGGGAGAATCAAGAGCTGGGCCTATGGGTTCCAAGCAGAACACTCTCAGCCATCGCAGGCCAGCCGCCTGCACAGTGCATTCCCTGCGACCGAATGACTGCCACGATTTTCACCCTGAATCCGGCTGCGGAGCTCTGCCGATTTCCGATTCACGACGTGTGCGTCTGGCACATGTTGCCACGACCCGTCCGCCTGGCAGGGTGCAGCAGTGCTTTGATGCAAAAGTCTCACGCGGTCCCAGCATGTGTGTCAAGCATCTCCGCATTCATGTCCGCCTGAGCTTTGCTGGCAATACCTCCGTCATGCTTGCGCTGACTAGCTTGGCTAAAACCAGATGTTGGTGGGAGAGATGAGACCACGTTCCACTTGATTACAGGCGGAGTAGAATGTGCTTGCGGTTTTGAGATATGTTCGGTTTACTGTCTGCGGTGCCACGATTTTTATGACGGTGCTGGTGCTGCGCCGGCCGAAGATGGTAGAAGTAGTGGTGGTAGAATGAGATCAGGACAGGCAGAGGACTCCTTCCTGTCACCTTGCGCACACGCGTGCAAGCGGGTTGAAACCGGTCTGAGTGGTAGTAGTCGCCGTCATCCATGTTACGAGCGTTGTTACGTGACAATTTGAGGTGGGAGCTCAAGTCACTTCTCTCGCCACGATAAAGGCGTGGTCACTTCCCATGTCACCTTGGCCGGGATCGTGAGGGCAGATTGAATGAGAGTGGCTCGGATATGTTACCACTACCGTCTTCTTATTGTCAGATGCTTTGTAGCTTCACCTTGACCGCATCTCCGTGTCGCATCCTCAATAGCATCTGCATATCCACGTCATTGACCACGCTCAGCACTCTCCTTCGAGTGTCCTCCTGGTCCTCCCCTGGCATAACTACAGCCTCCAGTCTCCGACCGCCACCAAATATAGCCGTCATCACGGCCACGAACTCCACCTCGCTGAATTTGAGGCCGGGGCAGTTCTGCGGTCCGTCACTCCAGGGAGCGTACGTGCCTTTCTTCGGCTCTAGAAGAACCTCCCGATCCAGGTCACTCACACCACTACCCCCGTCCGGGATCCAGCGCCCCGGTCGCCAGACTAGCGCATCCTCACCCCAGATCTTTGGGTGCGTATGCACGGCCAGCACGCCCACGTTGCAGATCGAGTTCGGCAGCAACACTACTTTCCTGCCTTCGTACCCAGGTGTTGTGAGTGTAACAGTCTGCGCTTGTGATGTTGTGCGTTTTGGGATGCCAGGAACCGGTGTGTAGAGCCGAAGTGTCTCCCGGAGCACAGCACGGCAGCGTTTCAACCGGGGGAATAGCTCTGCGTATTGCCAGGCTGAGTTGCGAGTGTAGTATTGTACTTCCTCGGCTAGCCAGTCTTGGACCTCGGGGTATGCTGTCAGCAGCAATGCTGCAAACGCGAGCGTGTTAGCGGTGGTATCGTGACCGGCAAAGTTGATGACAAAGATGTTGCCGAAGACCTCTGCGCGAGATAAGCCTCTCGGGACTTTTCTGTCGACATCGCTGGCGTTAGACTTGATGTTGGTAGTCAGCGCACGCACGAACGCGGTCAGTATACCACCTCCACCCTTTTCTCCTTTCGCGAGCGCAGCCTCCTCCTCATCCAACATGCGGCTCATGTGTTTTTTGAACGCCTCGGCGGCAGCACCGACCTTTTGCCAGCGCTGTGACCAGAATGCGCGATTCAGCGAATCTGTGCCCATGACCAAAATCAGAATGATGTTGTCCAAAACCATCTGCAGTGCGTCGCGATAGCTCATCGGCCCCTCCTGATTCTCGGTTTCGTCCTCGTCCATCGCACTACGAAACTCCACTTCCTTCTTGAAGCCTGCCGTTGCCAACACATTAAGACTCAGTGTACGCAAATCTTTCGACACGGTCGTGACAGCCCGTCCCTCCCATGACTTGACCAGTGCGTTCGCGTGCTGGAGGGTCTCGCGCCATACGTCATCCATCACCGCCTCGCTGAACGGCGCAGCCAGCACCTTGCGATGCCGTGGCCAGTTGGCGTTGTCCGATGTGGAGAGATTGGGACCAAAGACATTGAGCAACTCTTCAGAGGGAAAATGAGAGGATTAGCTACATCTTCTCCAGCCCAGCATCTCAAAGTGGTCTTGGCCCCGATTGCATACCAGAGTACCCCAGAGTGGGAAAGAAGAGGGCAAGACTCACCATAATTGTCGCTAGGCCGCTCGAAGCCACCATTTCCTTTACCTACATCTCGCCGTTCGAGCACCTCGAGGCCTGCTCCCGGGTCATAGATCTGAAAGTGTACACTTCCCGGACTGACGAGTGCCCAAATTGGCCCCAGCCGTTGAGCCGTCTGCGACTTGTCGTAGAAGCGAGAGTCGCGGGGAATATGAACTGTACATGCTGGCTGGAGAGCTAAAGGCAGAAGGGACAGGAGGTGGGCCAGGGGATCACCAAAGGTTTGGTAGAGAATCGAGATCGGAGAGGCAGGAACGATGACGGCCGGAACGGGGTACGGGAGGGCTGCTAGTTGCGAGAGATTGCGGTGGAGGCGGAAGAGCTGATGGAGAATGAAAGCAATAGGGATGGTGAGGAGAATCAGGAGGATTGAGTGCATCTTGGTCTGAAAGTTGAGATTGCAGGCTCTAGAAGATCCCTCGATGATATATAGCGACCGCCGACAGCTTAGACTCGGCTGGTGTTCTGTTCAAGTATTTCCGCAGAACTCATGCCCAATAGAACGAGGAGAACACCCGCACCTCGCAAGTCTCGCTCCTCCAAGAGAACACGGTTCTCATAATGGTCGGCCTGAATGTGGCAGCGAAGTCGAGAAGCGAAGACGACACGAAAGTCTTGGCATCCGCAGCGCATGTTCGCCGCGCTTTTTTTCCACTGCGACCACGACCTCGACTCGCAACTTCCTGTAGTTCTCAACCTCATTGACCCTTACCATCTTGGTCTGCTAATCTCACACAACAATCGCTGCCTCTATCGCATCGCATCAAGCTGCACGTGAGGCGTGCGTGCAGCTGCTAGCTCTCATGATGGATCCGTTCGCGACCGCCATTGTAGTGACACAAAGACTCGAGAGGAGGACATCAAATGGCTGATATCACGCGCAAAGTGCGCGGCGATAACGCGCATGAGCCAGACAATCTTGCATACGGCCATTTCGGGAGGCCCAGATACGACAACGATACTGAAACTTGGAGGTTTCTGCGAGAGCCACGCCAAGAAAGCGACGAAGCTGAAGAAGATGACTCAGAAGAGAATGGTAACGGCTTGATTTTGGTTCACGAACGCGCAACACCCGGTACGAATGTCTTGTCCGACCAGGATGTCCGGAATCTCCCTTCGACAATTGGAAAAGCGCCTCTTTGGGGACCATTTCGCCGTCGACACGATCTGGTCCTTGCTTTCAAGTCCGCATCTCTCGCCGACCCAAGCATTGCCACGGTCAGCGGAAAATACAGTCAACAGAATCGCCCTTTGGTCGCCTTCGGTTGTGCCTGGTCTCGTAGTGAGACCGGCCATCACAATGCACCTTCGCCGATTGTCCTTTGGATTGAGTCTGCGGATGGGGTGCTGAGATGCAGCATACTTGAAGCTGTCGACCATGACGACGTTGACAAACTACCTCTTCTAGGTACAGCGGGGCCGGTTGGGTCTGCTCTTTTGATCGAGCCTGTCCTGGGGCTCTGCTTCTCTGCAGATAAGCGCTACCTGGCACTCCGCCAAAGGTCTGGTACCACCATCTGTCTTCTGGTCATGAATGGGTCTGGGACCAGCAATGAAATTGGACGCCACCAAAATATCAACCTACAGCATATTGTCAAGCTCGAGCGCGCTGCTACAGGAGGACACTCGCACGCAGATGTAGCTTTTCATCCCTGCGACCACAATTTGGTCGGGATTGTGGACGAGCATGGGAATTGGAGCGCTTGGCAGATCTCCGGCAGACGATCCGCCACAGCAAGGATACTCTACAAGGCTGTACTGCGTGCTTCAGGCAAGCTTTTGCCTTCGTCCATTAACGCGAAGCAATTTGGAAAGCAGCCCTACTTTGATGGATGGCATAAGATCTGCAGTCTGGAAAAAAAGGTACAAAATTACCGAGACAAACAGCCGAAGCAGCCCGACAAGACCAAAGTCCTTCTGGTTTGCAGCCGGAGGGTGTCCCGAGCATTCTGTTTCGACGGCTCTGTGCGAGGCGATGTGGATATGAGACTAGGACGCGCCTCTGATAAGAATTGGATCTTGGATATTCAAGCAAGCGCATGGAGACACGATGTCTGCTTCGTCCTAACGACCGCTCGTGTCATGGTCATGCGGCTCTCAGACCACAGCAACAGGCAAGATGAGCTTGAGACGATATGCTCCTGGATTCACTTTCGAGCCAGAGGAGATCTGAGCCTGGACATGACCGTACTTGACACAACTCATGGTGAGTCGAAATCATGCCATGCAGATACTCTAGCTAACTATGTCAGTAACTGGCCTCATTATTTCTAGCCAACATGGCTTGAATGCCACTATCTACTGGCTTCACTGGGCTGATACGGAAAACTTATCGTGTGCCATGGATCCACAGCATTTCACTTTACCACGACGATTGCTCGAGCCGGGAGACTCAGGATCGACACACAAGTTCGAAATTGTGTGTATAGACAACAAACAAGGCGGCACAATAGGGCCATACGCACAAGGTTATCTGAAGCTTGTAGCGCTGCTCGAAGAGGGTGGCTTTTTAGAGGCAACCTACAGAGTTCCACAACTGCAAGCCTCATGTGCAAGCGCCCTTGACATCAGTTCGGGCCTCGGATTGACGCTGGGTCAGCAGTCCCGAGTAAAGAGCTCCAGAGTTGTTGAAAACGAGGAAGAATTACTTGATTTCATTGTCCCGGATGACAGTGTACCCACCCCAGGCCTGCTCCAGCCCAACACCAGACCGCGACCCGACTCATCTACAAAGAAGGCACAACGGACTCGAGATTGGGCCGAGATACTGGACAGTGACAGCACTCGACACAGGACCCTCAGTCTTGAAGATGCTCTGGGACAGTTGAACAGCGTAGAGCATGATGAGAACAGTTCCAGTAGTAATCTGCAGACTCTGGCGGAATTGTTGTCTGGCGTACACATCTCCGATGTTGAAGAGGCGTCAATTGCCATCGAAGATTGGCAGCAAGCTGTCCATGCAGACGACAAGACTCCCCAAGCGCCGGTCTACAACCGTATGAGTCTCCCCCGGGGCACAAGATCTTTTCTCAGCACGTACCAAAAACTCACGAGAAGTTATTTGAATCCTATGGCGAACGATCTGCCTGATCGTGCGAAAGTCCAAACCGAGCGGCTGTTGCGTACCGTGGCTTTCGACCAGTACATGTCCGCCGTGGTCAAGCAACCCACGGAAGCAGACCAAGTGCCAGAGACATCGCTGACAGCCAGAGAGATCGAGATGACCTCATCCCCTCCAGGAACGCCACCATCGCAGCCTCCGAACGAGCCTTCCGAAGATCCCCTGTCTGTCCTCAAACGCTACACAACCATCACCAAGCCCCCTCCCTCTACCGCCTTCACCATCAAAACAGTCACCAGCATCCTCGCCCACCTCCCCACCGCCCACCCCACCAATCCAGCAACCTACTCGTACGAGCAAGTGGAAGCCCGCCTCACGCAGCGCGAGAACCAAGACGCCCTCGCCAGCCTGGACGAGCGGGAGCGGCGCCGGGCCGAGCGGGCGGCCGCACGCCAACAGAGGAAGCTGGCGCAGCAGCAGAAGCTGCGCGAGGCCGCCACGCAGCAGAGCTCGCTCGTGCCGGGTCTGGTGGTCATGTCAAGCCCTGGTGCGGCGAGGGATCGGAGGGAGGTGCAGAGCAGTCAGCTGGCGCCGTTGATGGGAGCGGGTGCGAGTAGTCAGCCGAGCGGCGTGGTGATGACGCAGCCCGAGAGGGGAGTGCATGGTGAGCGAAGGAAAGAGAAGGGCTCCGGGAAGGCGGCGAAGAGGGGGACAAAGAGGATGAAGGGGTTTTAAGAGAGCAGAAGTAGCTGCGTGGATAAACTTGGACAAAGCCTTCCGCAGTTCCGTTTGGAAGCATTGTTACTGAACCTCTGGAGCTTGGTGGTATCACTGAGTAAACGAGCAAAAATCGTCAAATACCCAATTCTACAGTTTCCTACCTGCTTACTACCAGGCGACAAGCGAGTCATCAATGGAGAATTCCATTCGCCATACCACGAACCCTCCTCCAGAAGTGAGATCCACAAGTCCTCCGCGCGAGAGTCATCACGATAATACTATCGTTCGTAAGAGACCGAGGCGTCTGTCTCATGATCATTACAATTATATACATCTACATAAAAAGAGCCAATTTAGCTCCGGGGGGTATCTCTAACTTAAGTTCTAGGAAAACATGTGCAGACAGAAAGAAGTCTCTCAAACGCTTCCCGCCGTCGCCGCCACCGCCATCCAGCGCTATGCGATGCATGCGATGCTGTTGTCCCGAGACCAAAGTCAACCCCGACCCCAAAAAGTCATATAGCTCCGTTATCCCTCTATGTGCATGTGTATGAGACCAGCAGAGCCCCCGGCTCACCATATACAATCCTTTTGTCAACTGCGCCGCTGCCTCCTATCCGCCAGCTCAGGAAGCGACGCTGATACCAATCAGGCGTTTCTGTCTGGCATCGTGGACGTTTCGACTGCATTTTTTCAAGCGTCCTGCTCGAGTTCGTAGGCCGACCTCATGAGCTGGTGAATTCATCCGCGGAGCTGGCCCTCGCCCAGCGGAGATCTGGTGCTGGTTTGGCGTCCTCAGCGGCGTAGCTGAGGCAGGCCCTTCGAGCAATTGTGCTGTTGCTTCGGCCGCGTACCAACATAACCCCTGGTTCCGTTGCAAAATTCGAGTATGTCGCTCATCTGAGAGCACCGCTGCGTACGCGGGTCCAGCATGCCGAGCAGCACGCTCACACGAGCACCATGACCATGGCCCACGCGGCCGAAAGAGCTGCAATGCCAAAAGGTTGAGCCATGGATGCGGCGTTGCCGTTTCCAGCATTGTCGCTGGAGCTGGAGCCGGAGCTCTCAGCACTGTCATTGCCATCGTTATTCGACGTGTTGCCGTCGCTGTTGGTCTTATTATTATCTTTGTTGCCTTTGGAGGTGTCTTTCCTCGGCCGCGGCAGATTCCACCACCTTCGGATGATGTCGCTTGCAGTCTCCGCGATACCGTAGGTGCTTCCGACCAAGTGCGCACTGAACGCGATAGGCGGGACGCTTGCGTCAGCGACACGCACGTTGAACGTGCCGTAGACTTTCAACGTTGCGTCGACAACACCGCCCTGGCTCAGGGGTAGCATGGCGCAGGACGATGAAGGGTGGAACTCGGTGTCGACCTTTTCGCGCATCCAGTCCTCCCAGTCGGCATCGCTTTGCACGTCGGTGCCAGGGGTGACCTCGGCGGTGAGAGTGTCCTTCATAGGCGACGTCTCACCGAGTTTGCGTGCGAGCTTGAGACCTTCACGAAGCATCGTGACGTCTGCCGGGTGTGAGAGGTAGGATGGGTTGATGACAGGGTAATCGATCGGGTTGTTTGAGGCGATGGTGATGGCGCCGTGAGACAGAGGGTGCTGCAGAGCAGCGGTGATGCCAACAGTACCGTCAAGGGCCGAGGTAACCAGGAGGAGTTCAATCTGTCCCTGCTCTGAAGGAAGGATGACCGAAGCGGTGGTGTTGTAAATGGCACGGTAGCCGGCGGTGACGTTCTTGTCCGTGGTTCCCGTAGGGTTGGACTTGGACATCTGGGAGGTCACGCTATCCTGAAATTTCTGGAAGCCATCACCGAAGATACGATCGCCATTGAGGTAGGCGACGGCGTCGTTGACAAAGGAAAGGAATGAGGTGTCGTTGCGCTGCTCATCGCTGTCGTCGACCCAGACGGCACCGGGGGTTTTGGTCGTTGTATTCCAGTAGACGGTGGCGAGGAGATGATCCTGGAGATTTTGACCAACGCCCGGAAGCTCGTGTACCAGATCAACGCCCGCCTCAGAGAGCACATCCTTGGGTCCGATTCCACTATGCATCAACACTGCGGGACTACCCACGCTGCCCGAGGCAACAATCACCTCCTTCTTGACGCTGACTGTTTTCTTGGTGGCACCACCATCTTGAGAGTACTCGACGGCGTTTGCGGTAAAATTGTTTTTAGGGGATTTGCTGTCGAAAACGATGCGTGTAACGTGGGCATTGGCGAGAACGTCGTAGTTGGGTCGCGGCGGCAGCGCATCGAGATAGCCTGTGCGGCTATAGGAGCGCTTCCAGGTGGCAGGGTCAATCGATGAGGTGGAAATGTAACCGCCAGCGTTCTTGCCGCCATAGGTATCTTTCGCCGGAGGAACGTCCATGTTGTTGAGAGCCAGATTCCAGGCGCCATTCTGTTCAGGCATCCAGGCGGGGTAGGAGGCTTGAATGGGACCTTTGCTTCCATGGTCGTCAATGGTGAAGAGAGCATCTGACTGCGAGACGATGTAGTCGAGGGGCGCCGTGAAGGTCTCGCTCTTTTTGATGGCGTTATCGAAGTTGTTCCAACCCCAATAGTCAGCACCGTCCATGTCCTCCAACATATCCTGCCAAGCGTTGATCTCGATCTCGCCGGGCTTGTTCAGATACAGGCCGTTGATGGCAGAAGAGCCTCCCAGTACCTTCCCGCGTGGCCATGTCATCTCTCGGTCCTTTGCGCCAGGCTGGGGGGACGTCTTGAAATCCCAGTTCAGCGGTGTCACCCATAGTGAGTCAAAGTAAGAATATGCTGGCGTGTCTGCGACCGAGTCAGTGTAGATCACGACGGTCGAGCCGAGTAGGCTCACCTATGCGCTGGCGGTAGTCATCGCCATTCTCCCCCGATTCGAGAACGAGGACGGTGTGATTTGAATCTTCGCTGAGTCTGCCTCCAAGCACAAGACCGGCCTGGCCGCCTATTGCTTGTCAGTACATTCTTTGCGCTCTTGGACGGTGTACCTACCCCCGATAATAACAAAGTCGTACGAGTCCTTGATCTCGCTAACAATACTACGCTGGCGCACAGCATATGGGTTGGCGAGGGCACTACAGGCGCTCGCAACCGCAATTGCTACCTGGAACCGCATCTTGTCAATGATCGGAATGTTAGATAGCAAACCGCAGCACCATAGGGAAGATATGTTTGTTTGCCGGCAAACATGCTGGGCTGGGCATCACCGGCGCGAAAAATGTTGTCGCGTGTCTAGTGTGGAGCGCAGCAGTCACCCAACCTGTTCTCCTTGCCTGCTGGAGACAAGCGATAGCGCCGGCTGCTCGTGGGAAATTGACCCTGCATGTGATTGCGCGGCGCCGTTGTGCTGGTATGGTACGCTAAGATGCATGCCATCGCCGGGCTAGTCACGGTAAACTTTTTCTATGCGATGTTATCTTTTCTCCGGTTGGAAGGGTGCCGGGGGGTGAAATATTCAATCTGGAATGGACAGCCCAAGCGTGTTTTTAAGCTCCAAATAAGAATTGACAGAGGGACCCCGGCCCCTGAATGGTGGTGGGTAGCCGCAGAGACCGCCCAAACTCTACCGCAACTGTTCTCCGTGAAGCGTCGACGACTCCGCTCCCAAGTTGCGCTCTATCAGCACAAGCGAAACACCTGTCTCGTTTGAATGCATCATTGAACACTAAGCATGGGAATTCTGTTCCTTCTTTCAAGGTGTTCTGACAAGGATGGCCGGAGATGCAGCGAGATGCGGATCGGTCGGCCAGATTCAAGGGGTGAGATACACACGTACAGTATGGCGACCGTGGAGGCGACCCAGCTGTGGCCACAAAAGACTGTTTGTGGGTACCAGGCAGAAAAGTCGATTGACGTTAACCTCAAGACAGCGTCTCACTTTGCTACGCTGATCCCTTTGAAGTCTGAGTTTGAGAGGATACATACGTACTTTTCTCAGCGTTCAAGGTCCGCTCGTAGTGTCGACGCCCGTTGCCCGTTGGACCGCGGGGGCTATGCAGGGCCCTCAGCGCCGCTGTGCTTCGTGTCCGGGGCGCCAATGCTGGGCGGGGGCTCGCATGGAGCTGCCAACCGTTTCGAGTGTCGTGAATTCAAGTTCTTGACAGCTTCTTGACAGATGCTCCCTGTTATCCGAGGCCTGATGTCGACGTGTTTGATTGCTTGCACAGCGGTTGTCCAGCACGATGCCAGCATGCATGACAATTGGCAGCACCAACGGAAAACAAGGTTTCAATCTGACGATCAGGTGTGCAGATCTTGATCAGTGAGACACCTCAGAGTTGCCTTGCCTCGAGTTTATATGGAGTCTTCTGGAGCCGTTGCGTGGTTTTCTGGCAGTAGACGGCGAAGACAGCGAAGCTGGAACTTGAAGCGGCCATCGATACACACTGATGCAGACGCATCCGCTTTTCAAGATCTTGTGTAGCAGCAAGATCATACCATGGGTGCGCACAACGCCGCACCATGACATTCTGGATGCTGTGGTGACAACTTGGGCCTGGCTTAGCGGCATTGTATAATTGCGTAGTCAATGGTCCCTGTAGCCCTCTACTCGCTCCTGTATTTACGGCCTGCCACGGATAATCCAGGTCTGGAGTCTGGACTCTGTATACTAGAGCCCTGATGTCAGGCTCTGCAAGACGCACCCTTCAACCGTCAGCACCACGAAACAAATCGACGTCAGCCTAGCCAGTAAAAATTAGATCTATGCCGTCGTGCTCATGTGAGGAAAATCTGCAGTTTTGCTATCTCAAGCTCGGCGCGTGTTGCGGCTCGATCAGACGCGTGCTGATTCTGATACTGTCACGAATGCTGCACATGATATGAGCGACGCACATCCACCATCATCACGGCTATTCCATGACTTTGACTCTCAGGCTCAAAGCGACTCATAGGTCTGGCAAGAAAACTTACTATTGGGTCCAGGGACGCGGAAGGCAAGAACAACTGACAGTTTGTTGACAATTGCCTTGTCAAGTCTTGGCGAGGCAAACTCGACATCTCGACCGCGATCAACCCTCTACTTCTGCATTGGAACAGGCATCCTTCCTTCGTTTTTCTAACTTGACGAAGCTACCGCGGGCGGCTCTTGCCAGTCGTTAGTCACGCATTAGAATCCCGATTCGATTAGAATATCTTGCTACGATTTTGCGTCGATCGTCACCTTGACTTGCGAACCGACGGCCGACATCGAGACCACCCAGATCATCGGTCCAAGCGAGCAGTGCCTTTCGAGGATCGCAGTGGACCATCACAAGAGTACCCACGGATCCATTGTTCTTCTTAGACGCCAACAATAATGCTACTTGCCAGCTCGCTGCCCTTGCTGCCACCACCCCCCACCTCGCTCCTACCCCCCCACAGCACCAATGACGACATCTCTTCTCAACCTTCTCACAATCAACATGGACACTCCCACCTCCATCATCACCATCACCACCCACATCATCGTCGACCAAAAGCCCAGCCAAATCCGCATGCTACGCTGCCCGCTCTTAGCGCCGATGAGCGCCTGCTCCACCAACGCAAGCATGCCATTGGCATGTACGGCTACAGCTGGCTCAAACCCGCTGGCTGTTCCAAAACCATGTTGGGCATGCGCGAAGAATTGCTAGAGAGGGAAGAAGTCGAGCGTCAGATGCGCGAGCTAGAGATGCAGGAGCGAATGCAGGTGGAAGCAGAGGAAATGGAGCGACGAATGGAGCGGGAGGCAGACGGAGATATGGCAGGTGTAGAGGAGCGAGACCTGGATGATGAGGTCCCGGAAGCGGAGGAAGGTCACGAATGGGGGAGTGAGATTGATGGGGCCGATGGTGACGACATGCAGGGAGATCTGGACGATGAGATTCCTGATGCAGATGAAGCAGAGGGGAGCGAGACTTTTAGTGACGAAGAGATGACTGGTGAGATTGCACCGCAAGACAGTCCGCAACGGAATGAGTGGAGCTATGACTCGCGGAGGGAGCCTGACACCGATGAAGAGTCAGGTGATGAGGCACTGCAACGAATACGCGCGTTGGCGAGACAAACCCGAGAGCAGCGACAAGCAGGTTACCAACGCCGACCCGGTGCACCTGGGTCCGACTACGGCGTCGACGAGCGCGATTCCCAAGCGCTAGCCCTCACCGAGGAAATGCTCGACGAAGACGAGATGGGCGATGTAAGCTACGGTGGCGAGGATGAGCGAGATCTAGATGGGAGCGTTCCAGACGCCGAAGAGGGCGAGTGGGAGCACACCGATACCGACGGCGACGAGTTGGACGAGGAGGACATGGATATCTCAATTATGCCCGCTCAAGCCCGGACGCGAAGAAGCGATGGCCCACAACAACTGCTCAGTAGCGCGGGTCGTAGCGTGAGGAGCACAAGAGTCGTCAGCGGCAATGCTGCCATCGGTAGCCACCATTATCAACGCGAAGGCTCACGTGTCAGCAGCAGCATCGCATCCAGCACCGGCATTTCAGCGCACGGTCGCTTGAGGCCGCAGGGCCTTGTCCCGGGTCAATCTAATCTACAAGGGCATTACGAAACACCGACAGGCGTGCAAGGTCACGGACGTGGTCTACCACGAACATCCATGCTCCTGGCGACGGAGAGTTCAGCCGGCGCAACCACGGACGTTCGCACAGGTGCAGACGATTCCAATAGACAAGACCCAAGCCAAGGGCAAGCAAGGCGCGGCTGGCTCAACCCCGCCAGTGCGAGACGAAACCTTTTTGGCTTAAGCCGGGGTGCGGGCGGGGGAAGGGTGGCGAACATCAACAACCCCCCGGCGGAAGGCAGCGGAGGACTCTTCACGCCCGAAGCGCCCGGGGGCCGTCTGCTTGCACATTCGCATCCACAACACAACGACTTTGAGACCCCAGAGCAGGCGGATCCTCAGTTGGGTTCGGGGAGGCAGACCAGGAGTGGGCGGCTGTTAGCGGGATTTGGTCGGCGCGCGAGGCGTGATGGGGAGGAAGGGGGATGAGAGATTTCAGGTGGTGGCGTGGGCGACTTACACAACCGGCATGAGGCGTATGCTACCTGCAGAGTGCGCCATGCCTCGAGAAATTACGTTGGATCGAGGCTGGCAGCTGAGTTTTTGAAAATGGCTTCACGACTGTTCAATTATTGCTTTTTGTACAGTGAAATATGTACACAGGCACGTTCCTCGTTCTCGCTATAATACAAGGCCTGGAACTGAGCATCGTTTCTTTGTGGTCCGATTCAACTTCCTAAACGCCTCGCTGAATGCATGCCATCAGTGAGATGGCTACTTTGCAGATTCAAATGATGCTGACATGCAATGCCCTTTCGGTACGGCTGCGACAGCCGTCCGAGAATAACGGACTCTGACTCCTTAGATCATGGCCAGTATATCGTTGTCTCAACAGCGATCTCGTCTGAATACTGTATTACACACTGGCATCTGTACAGCCGAGCTGGAGGCATTCCTCTGGCTCAATATGGGGTTCCCGCCGTGTACCCGAAGTTGCTGGTTGAGACACCCCCGAGTTGACCACGAGCGCTTCGCGGTGTTTCCTCGTAGTGGTGACAGCACGGTCCAACGCCACTGCCAGTTGGCATCCAGCTAGAACAACCACACGTAGACGAACAGCAGCCACACGGCGCAGAAGAAGCCCAGCCAGACCCTCCATCCCACACCCGTCTTCTCGGCCATCCGCAGCATTCGCCGCATTGTGCCTTTCAGCCTGACGCCTGTATTTTCAAACGTGTTGTTCAGCTGGTCGGCAAGCGTGCTGCTGTCACGGATCTCATCGCCAATTGCAATTGTAAGCTGCTTGAGCTGGCCGACTTTTTGACTCAATAGTGTGGTCGCAGTGTTATCATTCTGGGATTCGAGTTCTTCAAGAACGGCGGCCGAGTATTGGCCTTTCTTGTTCGGAGTGGCAGGTCTGAAGCCGGAGTTTGAAGGTGCGCCATTGGCGCCGGCAAAGCCGTAGGGGTTCGGGGACGTAGCATGAGTGTAGGGAGACTGTGACCGCAGGTCTGAAGTCGACGAGGAGGGTCTTGAGCCAGGATATGAATCGAACAGTGTGGATGTAGCGGGAGTGCGACGGTTCAGGCTAGAGTAGCGATTCGCCATGACGGGGCAATGTTGTCATGAACGTGAGGATCTTGAGAGGGTCGTTCTGTCCTCACAGGGACATAGTAGGTTGTCGATGGATGTGAGGCTGCTGGCGCCTGTTGTCGATTCGCAGACGTGTCCAGTTTGCGCCTGAGTACCTAGATGTTGACAAAGACGAGAGTAATGGTAGAGCCGCCGCGCCTAAAAATCGCCGAGGGCAGAAGTGACGTGAGGCATCGCCAAGCCGGTGATACTGGCTAAATCCGGATATTGCTCGCTCGAGAGTTAGGCCCGGTAGGTGAGAATAGGCGGCGACTTCGCATAATTCAGGTTCCTCTGATTGTCTACGTCTTCATCTCGGGTCTTGTAACGATATGAACGAGGGGAAGGAAAAGAAGGAGCCAGCGCGAGCCGCACTCAGCTGCCTGGAATGCCGGCGCCGGAAACAGAAGGTACGCTCCGGAGTACCCCAGCTGACTAAGTTGCCCTGGCTTTGAAGATATGGTGTTGACGAACATGTGTTCCAGTGCAGTCGCGAGTGGCCGTGTAATCACTGCGCGGCACGCAAGCTATCACACCTCTGTCGCTTCTCTGCTGCTAAGGATTGCACAAACCAGTCCATCGAGGACCAACAGCAAAGCCGCAAGCGCAGCCATAATGGCGAGGACGATGATTCAGCTATTGACGTTGGCATTCCGCACAACGATGTTTTCACTCATATCGAGACTCACCTGCCCGAATACAATCTATCTAAGCTAGCTAGCGAGGTGTGGTTGTCTAGTCAAGTGCAGCCTAAAACGACCGCCCAACATGGGGAGCTTCAGCGAGCCATTAGGGTCCTTCCATCTCGCTCGATAACTGATTCCCTGGTTCAACATTTTCTGGGCACGGTCAACTATACATATGACGCCATCTATGCGCCAACCTTTCTAGAGGACTACACTCGCTGGTGGGCTGATAGGGCTGCGAGACGGCCCCTGTCTCCTGAGTTCACATGTCTTCTCGTTAGAGCATGCTCTCATGTCGCTCAGTACCTAAGTCCCGCCATGCGAGAGAGTCTAGAGTTCGAGCTTGCGGAGTCTGCATCCACATTATCGGAAAGGCTTCATCAAGCGGCTGAGGCTCTCAGCAGCACGTTCACACCTGGTGAGAAGGGCATTACACAAGTCCAACAGCTGTTTCTTGTGGTGGTCTATCTCAAAGGTGAAGGGAGGTTCATAGACGCATGGCATGCGATGGCAACGTGCGTGCGAGAAGCCCAAGAGCAGGGCTTGCACTTGGATGACAGATCCCTTGACATTTCAGAGTATGAGCGAGAAATGAGGCGCCGGCTCTGGACCATCATCTATGTCTGGGACTGGTTGATGTCCAAGTGGCTCGGCAGGCCGCTACTGGCAGACCCTGACAGCTGCACATTCCAACTTCCAACGCTTCAGCTCGAATTCGATCCCGAGAAACCCGATGTACCGTCACCTTTCGCACACTTGAATATACAGGTCGAGCTCATTCGTCGCATAACTCCTGCACTCAGAAACGCCGATGTTGACCCATCAGAAGACAAAGTAAAGGATTTGCGCAAAATACTCGACGACTGGTCGGCTTCACTTGCGCCGGTATGGTCATACGAAGCTCCTGACACTTCTTGGGATGACGCTTATCCTAATATCAAGTGGCAGCGCGAATTACTACACGGCACTGCTGCCATGATTGCGCTTATACCGTTCAGGCCCTATCTGACACGCAATGCCGTCGCAGAAAACCCAGAAACTCAAGCTTGGTTTCTTGGTCTGGGTATCGAGGTCTGCATCTTGAACATGGACCTCGTCAAAAGGGCGTACGCATACATGTCTTTATATAGCCCGAAGCACTTCTACATCAACTTCATTTTTTTCGACATTACCACGGTTTTGATTTCAGCTCTCATACACGACCCAAAGCAGTTATTACCCGGGCGCGAAGCGGCCCTGCGAGCTGTCAACACCGGTCTTGATAACTTGGGAACGATGGCTAAGTTCTCCAAGGCTGGGGCAACATCTAGCGCCTTTGTGACGAAGCTTGCCCAGTCCATACCACTATCGAAGGAGGAGCGTTCAAGGTGGTCTTTCGGGTCGAGAAAGCGTCCCAAAACCGATCATTTCTGGCCGAAATCTCAAACCACTTATGATCCGGTGCTACATAAAGGTCTTTTTGTTAGTGGCTCAGACCCTTCTCCAGCGACAAGCGAATCAGTTTCTCAATCTGTCAGCAGTAATGAGACTCTGCAAGAATCGGTAGTTGTTCCCAGTCTCCAAGACTTCGAGTGTACAGATTTTGGTGTTATTGAGGAGCTGTGGGATTGGCAAGCGCTGAACCTTGATCTTTCGGCCGGAGGCATGTTGGCAGAGCAACCGGGACTCCTGCATCTACCACTGACATGACTCATGACGGCGTCGCAACAGATATTATCAACATGCAGTATTGCAAGTGGATAGTGGTACTTACCACCTGGCCCGATGCAACGCGAGCAGCCGCTGCTGGCCAGATCTCGCCACTCCCCGCGACGTGGACAATTCGACTCCCCTGCTCATACTCGGTATGCCACTTACCACAGGCCAACCGTTGAAGACGCCGCCCGATCACCCCTCACGCCTGCTTCTACTTGCGATCGGAGCCTCGACTATTGATAGGCGAAGTCATGTGTCTGGTGGTTAGCTAGGTAATGGCGCAACCCGCATCACAGTCCCGGGAGCTAGGGGATGACTAAGGCTGACTGGCGTGCGTGAGCCTTGAGCTGATGAGACGGAACACTTCCTGGTCCAATTCGTCGATCTGGGTCTCGGTGAAGTCATTCGGTGTCAAAGCTTGCAGCTGTTGGAGGAGGTCTTTTGGCATTGCGCCGCTTCTTAGCACATCACCTGCGAAAGCTTGCATCATGTTTCCAAACCTCGACTGCTGGGTACCATTGCAGATGAAGTCGAGCTGCGTTCCAGCAACAGAAGCTGCGCACCACTGTACTATCGCCTTGACTGCAGGACTCCCCCCGAAAGCGCCGCAGCCCCAGAAGCCTGTGACGATTTTCGCGTATGGCGTTGCCGCAGACGTAAAGGCTGTGAGCGCCTTGCCGTACTCGCGGTCAACATTTCCAGGAAGAAGGTCTGGCAGCAGACAATCATCGCCATCCAATTCGAGTGCATCCATGAAGAACATGGTCCGTCGACTCCATCGCGTGTGAGAGGCCTCCGCAGTAGATTCTGGTACCGGCTGGACCCCAAGATGCATGGACCTCCCATGGCCTTCGATATTGATCATCAGTTCTGCACCTGACACAATTAAGCACTCGTCGCCTTTCAACACAGGTGCGATGAGTACTAGCGGACAAGCTTCTGGCGATGCGGCTACTTGGCGCTCCTCCTGTGTTCCACTTTGGCCAAAGCCAGAGACTTTGTTGGCTGATATGACACACGCGCCGTTGGGAAGACCGAGATATTCTGATTGCGTGGCGTCATTGAGGAGATGAATGATGTTCAGACACCCAAATATTGATACGGCAGGCTCCCCCGATTGGCTCTTGAGTGAGAATGAGATCTGCCAGTTTGGGTAGTTCAGCGGAGAAAGAGCGGCGGTCGAAGCAAGTCTCTCAAAATAGGTCAAGACAGAGGTAAGGTAGATTTGTGCTGCAGTTGCATGAGGCTGCTGCGAATAGTACCAGATCGAAAAGTCATAGTAGGAGTCGCGGGATGGTGGACTTTTCAGGGTGCAAAGGAATTGGTGGACAACCAAACAGGCTATCTGCCGTCTGCTCAGCCTCAAAGTGCTACAGAATGGAGACAGAAGTGGCAGAGTATGATCCGGGAACAGTATAGGTACTTCAAGTGCCAGAGCTCGTATTACGGGCCATGTTGACAGCAAAAAATCACGCCGTTCGGAGAGGATCTCTGTGAGAACATCATAATCTGGCAATGAGGTTCCCCTTAATGTGAGCGAGATTGTCTCGAGTATATCGATGAGGTCTGATATACCTTTCAACTCTCGTCCTAGTAGTGTTTGCAATATGGCCCAGAAAGAAACGGTCTCGGAATCTGTATCTAGTATGCTGAACCGATCGTCACACTGTATATCTGGAGACGAGGGCAAGAGATAATGAGTGGCTGTCGAACTTGCTATCGCGGAAGAGGATCTCATTATGGGATTGGTCACACACAGATGGGAGTTCGAGTAGTATCCAATGTGTAGGCCGTCAGAATAGTGACCCTTACCTTTCTACCGATGAACAGCTCGAGAAGCAGTCCTGGCACCTTCGGAAGAGATCTAGCCCAAGGAGTTGGACATAATCACTGAGAAGTTGTGAAGAGGATGCTGATGTTGGAGGTGAAGCAACGCTTGGTGGAGTGTGCCAAGGTTGCATTTTGTGCGGCGCAGTTGCGTGGAAGTGCGCGGGGTTGTGACTACGCGTTCAACATCGTGAAAGCTATCAATCATGGGATTGTACCACCAACCCTGGGACGTGGTTACGGGACGTCCTGGTGCTACGAAAGCCTTGGATATCCGCTTGTGCTGCCTGACAGCCCTTCATCCTCCCCTCAAATGTTCCGTGAATGAATCTACCGTCGGTCGTCACCTTCCTGTTCTGCTCCAGGAGGCAAGTGGTTCCTAGCCGGCCTAGCAGATCCACACGAGCACGCGTGACTCTCGTGGTCTGTCTTTCGGATTATCGGGCCGTATGCAGCTACAAGCAACCTTTGAGATGCCGGTATAACTTGACGGAAAGGAACCAAAGGAGAAAGATTGCCTTCTCCGAGGCATAACATTGGCCCTCCGGAGCAGAGACCGATTCTCCGCACCCACTGCATCGGCACTCCAGAAGCGAGAACCCACATTTCGTTATGAGATCTAGCAGCTGGTCCAAGGCTGAGGTGACAGTCGCCCTTTTGCCAGACTTCCGCCTCCAACAGCGCCCCAAAATTTTCGGATGCATCCAAAATGCGAGATGAGCTTTGCCGCCCTCTGTTCATCACGCTCCGTTGGTCAAGATTGCGTCCCGGCCAAAGTTTGTACAAACCCGCTCTCAGATTCTAAACGCCGCTCCAACCCGCCACGGCGGACTACCCACACCTACGTCTAAGGTGAATCTCACCTCGGCGGGACCTTGCAGCATTCACATTATTTCTCGGGGCGCGACCAGTCTTAACCCCCGCCGCACCATAATTCATCCCTGTTCTCGGCCGTCTAGCGCGGGGGCTTCTCGCCCGAAGTTGATTCAGCCTACGTTAGCCACGACTCTCTCTCACCTTTCCTTTCTCATCATTGCCTGTGCCACCGATCTCAACGCTCCGAAAGAGTAAGTCAAGTCGCATCCTAAACTGGTATTGGGGGTTCGTGCATGCTATGTAAATGCCCTTCCGCTGCGAATCTTCACCGCGTTATCCTCCATTTTGGCTTCTCGACTCTCTGATCGACGTCATACTCACTTCCCCAAATATTCTTCACAACTGCGACCATGCTCTCCACAGAAAGAACTCCACGTCCACACCCATTCTCACGATTCAAAGCAGTTCCTCATATTAACCCTGTTCCCCGCCTGCCATCGATGACGACTCAGCCACCGGAAATCGAGACCATCTTTGTTGTTGGCGGTCCTGCGGGCTGCGGCAAGACTACCGTTGCATCGTACCTCGCCGAGCAATTGGGTGCCCCATACCTCGAAGGAGATGATGTAAGTCAAGCATTCGCCTTTGGTTACCAAAGGCATCACGCTCATTGCCACAGTTCCACCCCGCATCCAACAAGGCCAAGATGGCGAACGGTACCCCTCTAAGCGATGCCGACCGATGGGACTGGCTTATTACACTCCGCAACGAAGCGGTAAAGCAGTTGCAGAAGTCCAATACCGTCATTGTCACATGTTCTGCCCTCAAGCGCAAGTACCGAGATGTTATCCGCGTCGCCTCATACGAGCATCCCACTGTACAAGTTCATTTCATCTATCTCAGTGTCGACGAAAAGACTCTCCAGCAGAGGGTCAAGGCACGAGTAGGACACTACATGAAAGAGACTATGGTTCACAGCCAAATGGAAACGCTAGAGGAGCCTTCGCCGGATGAGTTCGACGTCATCAAGATTGACGTACGGCAGGATGCTGAGGCTGTACGCACAAACGCTCTCACCATGGTGCGGGCAAAGTTGAAGGAGTATGAGACTCCCATAACGAACGGGCACAGTGATTAGTGGCTTCTACAGTTGTGCCATGACTTGTTTCGCCATGGACTTTGTGGAGTCCTCGACAGTGGGAGGTGCCCAACCGCCAAACCACAGTATTAGCAGGGTGTCTGGAGTGAACCAAAAGTGCGCAGGCTGCGATTGTCATAGAGCATGGTCTGGACCGACACACTTGAGCATTGGCATAGGTTTGGCGGCTTGGCATCTATGAGTGTGCAGCATGAGGATGGGGAGCGGAGAATTGGCTCCTACGGCATGGAACCGAACCGGGAGTAATGCAAAATGGGTGGAGATCAAGAACAGCACGTCGCTCGCAGGGGCCATGGCCGGCCTCATGGGAATTGGTGAGCGGTGCGGACGATCCTCACATCTACCATGGCAGATCCGGAGGAGCAATCTGCAACACGGAGCAGATGCGCCAGCAAGTAGCTGGAGGTCTGCCGCAGTAAGTGTGCCTCACTACAGTCGCAGTCACGCTGGCTGTGTGGTCTCTTGGCGGTGCTAACGTCACCCCTGGACGAGTCCAACGCAGCAGTGTGAGCAGCATCTATCAATTGGGCTACTGCTCCGCGCGAGCGCTTACGGAGCACTTCGGACGACGGAGCGTCCAGCTTAGGAAAGTATTGCAGAGGCACGGCTCAAGCATAGCGGGCAAGCGCTGAAGCGAGAAGTTGCAATAACACCCGGGCTTCAATTTTCAACCTATCTCGTCCCTTCTGCGGCCCCTTGGCTCTACCACAGTAGTTGTCCTGGACCCGCCCGGCTGTACTTCGGGTAGATCTCTTGCGTTCACTGCCTGTTCTTGGATCCACTCTCTCATCGTCCCACTCCCTGAGCCCTTCGAGCCCTTCTTGACCCGGCTCACGTGTACGTCGTGAGTACTTTGCATCTAATCCCTGGCGCCTGCATACGTCTGAATCGAAGCTGATTCAGTCCGCCTGCGGCTCGCCTGAAGTCAGCCGTTGTGCACTGCCTCGTAATGGTGCCAAATGTCTTTCCGCAGCATTGCTCATGGTATCAAGCGGTGACTTGCTTCTTGCACTTATTGACGGCGATGGCGGAGACGACAGACATTCCTTGTCGAGGAGGCCAGCAGCTCTCGGGCGAAATTCAAGGCGGGGGAGGACCACTTCAAGGTGTACGTCTTGCCCGAGCGAGAACATGGCCTGTCTACCATGCTCGCAATCCCCAGCACGAAAGTATGATTGTCGGAGCATACCTTGTTCCTCCGGGACACGCTGTGGGTAGGTAGAGCTCAGACCATATCCAGAACCATCGACCCCGGCTGCTCCAGGTACCCACGCACTACCTCGGCAACGCGCGCCATCGTCGCCCCGTCCACAACGCGGTGGTCGGCGCTCCAGCTAACCTTGACGACCTCGGCGCGCTCGAGTTCACCTTGGTCGTTGAATACGGGTACGGTCTTGATCTTGCCCACACCGCAGATTGCCAGTTGACCCTCGACGAGCACCGGCGCGACCACTTCGCCGCCGATGCTACCGACGTTGCTCACTGTGATGGTGCCTCCGCTCAGATCTGCGGAGGAGAGCTTGTTGTTTTGCCCCTTTTGTGAGAGTTCTCGGAGCGCTCCGGCGATCTGGCCTATGGATAAAGTCTGCGTGGAATGGACGACAGGCACCATCAGGCCGTTGGGGGTGTCAACTGCGACGCTGACGTTGTGCTGACTGCGCATCTGGAGCTGAGGACGGCCTCCAGAGGTGTCGAGGCGGGCATTGAGAAGAGGGTACTTATTCAGTGCCAGTGAGACGGCCTTGACAATGAAAGGCATGTAGCTGAGTTTGGGTGTGTCCGGTGAGCGAGAGGCGTTGAGTTGCTTTCGGAGTGCTGAAAGGGCGGTAAAATTCACCGTGTCGGTGTAGAGGAAGTGGGGGATGTTTAGAGATGCTGTCATAGACTTGAACATGGCAGATTGTATCGGGGTTAGCGATTGAGCTGTTTCCGACTGTGGGCCGGCGACTGGCCGTGGAGTTGAGGTGGATGGAGGAGAGGTGCTGGTCGAGGAGGACTTGTTTTCGACATGTTTGAGCACATCCTCCTTCATGACCCGACCATCTTTGCCGGTGCCGTGTATGTCTTCGATCTTAAGACTGTGCTCCTTGAGCATGCCGCGCACAGCCGGGGTCGCAAGGGAACCGTGTTTGCCCTTCGGCCTAGGGGTCTCAGCTTCGACCTCTATCGACTGTCCCTGTTCTTGCGGTTTTGATTCCTGTGACTGCGTCTCCTCGGCTGGCTGGTCAATCTCCTCAACCTGAGGTTTGTCCGAGGACTCTTCCATGGCCGGCTCATCCTCGCCCTCTACCTCGATGTCCACCATCGCGTCACCAACCTGCACTACAGCATCTCTTGGGAAATACAGTTTCTTGATAACGCCCGTATACTTGCTGGTGATCTCCACGGCAGCTTTGTCGCTCTGCACCTCGCACAGCGGGCCCCATTCCTCGATCTGGGCACCCTCTTCCACGAACCACTGTATTATTTGTACTTCCTTGACACCTTCGCCAATGTCACTGAGTATATGCGTCTCTGTTCTCAGTAGATTCGGCGAGTGGTGGAAGTGACGCCGCGACCGGTGCGCAGAGAGGAATGGCTGGATGGTAACGGGGGGGGCTGCAGTGGGCCGCACGAGCTGCCGCAGATAGCGGAGGGACTGAGGAGAAGGCACAACCTTCATGATGGACAGTAGTGACCGGATGGAGGACAATAAAGGAGCGACCTGTTCAGGGCAAGAGCACCAAAATAATATTCACAGCAGCGCGCTGTCGAAGGGAGCACGCTGCACATTGGGGTAGCTTCGGTCAACCGAGGGGATGCGAGGATAACCGCGTGCCCGGCCCCTCGGGAACTGGAGAAATTATGATGACATGAATGCCAAGACTAGAAATCTACTGCCCAAGAAATTCACTGCCTGATGCTTCTTCATTACAGATACGAATCGTCTTTTTTCTACCACGGGAGTTCCATGCCTTCTCGGTGCCAGAACTTGCCCGTGTCATCAAGATTCTTGCTCATAACGACTTTCCACAGCTTTTCTGCAGCCTCTACAGGCTCAACGGCATCGGGAATCTTTCTAATGTTCTTGCACATTTGTTAGCTGGGCCTTCCGAGACGGCCAATATGGTGCTCACATCATCTGGGTCGAGGTTTGATTTAGTGAAGCCTGGGTGTAGCATGCTCACAATCACCTCTTTGTCCTTGAGCTCCACAGCAAAGTTCTTGAAGAAGCTATTGACCGCTGTCTTCGATGCTCGATACGAGTAATATCGGCCAGAGCTGTTATCCGTGATTGATCCCACACGTGATGAAGTCACGCAGACTCTTCGCGGTGCCGGAGCTGCCAGGATGTTTGGCAACAAAGCCTGGGTCAAGAAGAACGGCCCAAAGGCATTGACACCGAAGCATTTGATCATGGTCGCCATCTCTAGCGAGTCGAGGTCGTCCTTCGCTATAGACGGCATAACGCCTGTACCAAATGTTAGCGAGAAGCCGTGCAGGGATTGGTCTTTTAGCTGACCAGCGATATTCAGCAACACATCGATCGGCTCGTTGCCGAGGCTGTCTCCGAAACCACGAATTGAGTCTATATCAGACACGTCGAGCTGACCGATCTTGCACTTAGGTCCTTCTAAGCTGCGTAGCTTGTCCCCTGAAGAGACATCGAGCGCATACACTGTATAGCCCTGACTGCCCGTCAGCAAATTCAGAGCTTGGTGAACAAGCTAGCTGAGCGCTTGAGGTAATGCACAATGTCTCAGGGTGAAGCTCACATCACCAATTAAGATCTTTGCAAATTCATGTCCGATACCCGAGTTGCAACCGGTGATGACTTCAGATTTTAGTTTATCAGCCCTCGACACGGCCCACTGGGATCACTCACCAGCATTAGGCATCTTCGCTAAACTACGGGAGGGAGTCTGCCGCTCGCAAAGAAGAGAAACCGAGGGATCCAGCCCCGAATTATCCTTATGCTCTTTCTGCATATGCCAACCTGGGGAAAAGGCGGGGTCGCGATCTCGATGGCGCCAAATCTATCATGTGCTGACAATCGAGGCCCCCTTGAACAGTTTTCAGTCTAGCCCTTGACAACACCATGTGAATTTCGGCACAGCGAAAGCTATTTGAGTGGTCTCAGTTGCCCGATTCACGCACCCTGTCACAATGTTGCCAATCAGCTCGCTGCAGTAAGCGGAAGCTTATGCACCCCGCATTCCCAGCCTGGCAAGACCATACGCAGCATCGAGCGCATTGTGTAGACTGTTATAGCCAGAATGCCATCCGCTCAGTGTCCAGATTGCCCTGGCAACTTTCTGCGCAGCCATGATCGAGGTCTACGGCTACGTCCCCGCCTGGGGCCTTCCAGACATCTCTCCCTACGTGACAAAGCTCATCAACTATCTCACAATCACCAAGACGCCCTTCACCTACCACTCGCAAGATCTCTCCCGCATCGACATCGACTGCCCCTACGGCAAGCTTCCCTACATAATCGACAGCGACGACGGAACCAAAGTCGGCGACTCCAACCTCATCATCGCATACCTGCAGAAGAAGTACGGCGACCCCCTCGACGGCGACCTAGGCGATGCCGAGCAAGCCGTCGCCCTTGCCTTTGACCGCATGATCGGCGAGCATCTCTACTGGAGCGGCGTGATCCAGCCGCGCTGGCGCATGGACGAGGGTTGGGAGGTCTACATCCCGTACGTGGTACAAGGCGCGGAGGTAGGCCCGGAGCTGCGCGCCGCCTTGGACGGCTTCCGGACCAGAATCCTGGCAGAGTTCGACGGCCAGGGAATGGGCAGAAGGCCGGCTGAATGCGTGCTGGTATTCTACCGGAAGGACGTCGATGCGCTGGCCACATACCTGAAGGACAAGAAGTATTTCATGGGGAATAAGGTGCATACCATTGATGCCATGTTTTATGCCATGTTGAGACATCTCGTGGATCAGCCGCAGAAGTGGGAGGGTACAGGCTATATTGAGACCAAGCAGAACCTGGTGGATTATATGGCAAGGATGCGATTCGAATTCGGTGTCTGAATATTGGCGGCCGCCAAGACTTTTACTGCCTGCTACCGCGGCCCCGGAGACTATCAGTGTTCGGGTGTTGACAATTACGTGGACATAGTTGCAAAGACGAAGCCGTTGTAGCCAAAAGGCAATCTGAGCTGTGCAGAAGAGCGCGGTGTTTTATGCTCTTAATCATGAGCTTCACCTACTCGTCAAGCTCAAGTCATACGCACATCACCATCTTTGTCCCCATCTGCTGCGCCACCGTTGACTTCGTCGTCTTCCAGAACCTCAACCTCGCCATCTAGATCAGCCTCGTCGTCCTCGTCTTCCCAATCGTCGTCATCATCGTTGATGCCGAGGTCCTTGTTGAGATTCTGCTTCAGTTCAAGTGCGTGGTCTCGTAACCGATCGTCTTCATAGCCTTGAATCTGATACAATCGCAGGCAGTTGGCGATCCACGTCTTGGCCTTCTCCTTCGCCTGTAACTTCTCGCTGCCTTCTTGCTCTCCAATCAATACCTGGCACCACCCACCCAAATACCAGCTCTCCACACTCTCATCATCGTCCTTCACCAATCCTTCTATTACCCCCATCGCCTCCTCCAGCATCCCGGCCTCCATCAGCAACCGACTCGCACTGACCCGCGTAGGAAAATCTGGCCGACTCCCACTGTCCACCTCTGGCGGCAAATCTTTCCAAACGTTGAGACTTCTCCTCAACGCTTCTCGCGCCTCGTCCCACCTCTCCTGACTAATTCTCACGCTTGCCAGCGTCTGTAATGTCCCTGCCGCCAGCTCGTCCGGACACACTGCGACTGCTTCCGTGACATAGCCCTCACACTTAACCTCCGCATCATCCTCAAATGACAAATCCGTCATGTACACCTCGGTCATCCCACACAGTCCCTCCGCCAACTTCGCCTGCTTGAGCTTGACGATCATGGCGCCCTCCTCATCCAGCTGCGACCCCTCTCTCAAACTCTCAGACAGCACCTCAATCTTATTCCGTAGCACCTCGCACCCTTTCTCAAAATATGCAATGCTCTTTGCGCCGCCCTCTTCGCACAGCTGCGCCAGTTCCAGGTATGGGTCTGCAGACACAAGCGCACCGTCCGGGTCTAGACGCACTGCGGCCTCAAAGTGTGATGCGGCGGCCGCGGCGTCGCCGAGGGCGAGGTGGATCTCCGCAACGAGGAGGACGGCTTGTGGGAGCGTGGGCTTATCTTGCGCCGCGATTTGCAGGAGGCTGTCTATGTAGGTCTCGTCAGGAAGAGAGGCAGGCGGCGGCTGCTCGGATTGTAGGCGGCGAAGCGATTCTGTGGCAAGAGGAAGGGCCGACTCCGGCTGCGATTGTGCAAGCAGGTCGGCCGCTTCGGAGAGTAGCGTCGAGATGGGTTTGGTGGTGGGGGTTTTGATGTGGGCGGAGGTGGTGCGCAGGACTGAGTCCGATGGCTTGGAGCGGTGGGATTTCGACTTTGTCTTCGCCATGGTCTGAGTACCCGCCAGTGACGCCGAAATGTAGATGTATGCGGGTGAGTCTTGTGAGTGAGGGAAGCAACTACGCTTGCCCGCGGCCAAAAAATTTGGGGTGGGGCCGAAAGGCAGCATCTGCCAAGGGATTGGAGGCCCGCCAGTGGTCGGCATCAGCCGGTATGTTGTGGCTTGTCATTGGGTCGGGGCTCCACATTTTTACTGCCTGTATTTTCAGCTGCTAGGCGCACATTCAGCTGTGACCCCGTTGCAAACAGTGTCAAAATCGCTTCAGGCATGTAGTAGTGCAATATGTCGTATAAATACATAGCAACAAGTAGATTGTGAGTGAACAAGGTGCTCATCGAGGTACTGAGGTCGGTATACTGCAGCCCGATTCCTTGGCGCTATTTTCTCCTATTGCAATACCCTCTTGCTCTCGATCAAACAACATCCACCATTCCAGACATCATCGTGTTCCTCGTACTGTTAGAGATAGCCTAGAACGATCTGAAGCTGAAAATTCAGCTTCTGAACACGTCGTTGTGGCTGTAAAATGCAAAAAATGCACCCTCCTCCTCAAGAATCACATCTCGCCTCCTGGTACCTCTCTTCCACTTCCCACTCTTCTCTGGGTTCCCAAAAAGTAGCAATATAGCAACGATCGGTTTCGATCCGATGTCCTCCGGGTTATGAGCCCGGCGCGCTTCCGCTGCGCCACGTTGCTGGTTAGGGAACCTCTGTGCTGATTACATGACAAAATTTCGGGCTATGAGTATATAGAGCCTAATCTTGGCGCCCGGGGTATACCTGGACGATAGCCGTGGATAGCCGCTGCCACGCTTTAGCCAGGTTGGCCCGCAATCTGCCTACGGAGAGACAGGAATAATCAGGTTCATCATGAGCCGTGTTTCAGTAGTACAGCTGCTGAATTGAAAGCACCTAGAATAGGTCAAATGTAGCAACATCATCAATCCTTCAGCGGCCGGCGGTGACTGTGATTTTAACATGTGGATGATCCTTAGTGTCCCCAATAATCTGCCTGAGAACAGGTGAGTCTGCTTCCATTAATATCACCCTGGTGCAAGGATGGGTCAGCATCACGGCTTCTGTCCTGGTCCATCCTTCTGTACTCCGGTACCATGAGCTTCATCCCACCGGACCTACATGTGAAATTAGACTTCTGGGTAGCGGCGTCGATGTACCAAAGAAGAGGCTTTGTTGATGAGCATCCGCTGCGGAAGCAATCGCAACTGGCCCAGTCTCACATATGATCTCCTGCTCGAATTGGCTAGCCCTCGAAATGCTAGCCAAGAAGGGAAATCTCAAGAGCGGGAATATCAGGATCGATGTTAGCCTCAAGAACCGCGCGGTAGTAGAGAAGTACACAGTCTTGACCACATTGTGGGTATCGTGCATCATGTTGAAAGCCAGAAAACTCTTCATCTGCGTCGGCGTAGGGGGCGTCGAAGTCAGCAATTCGCAGCTCGAAGGGCTGCTCTAATACAGTTTGCAACTTTTGGAAAGGGTTGAATTAGTAGTAGCAAGAACGCCCGCTTATAATTCTGGCCCTGGGCAGAGTGCGTCTCAACTCGTTCTCAGTCTTCTTTGAGGAGTGACGGAATGATTCAATTATAGCATCGTAGTGAAGCTGACAGCGAGAAGTGGAATGGGTGTGAAGCGGAAACTGGTACGGGATCTCATACACATTCCACCGGGGTTTAGTAAAAGTGACGGGAGGTCTCCACACCATCAGGATCATCTGACCAAAGCGAGGTCGGAAGAGGAGTCAAGTACAGGTATGTTTTTCGACAGCACAACCAGCAAGCATTGAACGCCTCTCTCAGCGACCGTCTTCATGAAAATCTGTCTTTAGCCATTTTTTTCGTTGATCAACTAGAGTAATCCATACATGAACGTCGATCGTAGCGAGTTATGTATCTCAGACAGCCCAGCCTCTGCAAAACGCCCTTTTCCCAAATCGTCGTTCGTAATCATTCTGAGAAAGCGATCGTCCTCATGCTCTCAATCAATGCCTGGTCATCAAACGACTGTAAAGAATATCAAAAAGAATTGCTGTTCTGGGTGGCCCAATGATTGCAAAGGCAGCCATGTCCATGTCCTCGGTCCTAGCAAAGAAAAGCGGTCCATTGGGGTATCGGCTAGGCCCGCCACTGTTCTAACGTTCACACTTATCCAATTTCTATCATCACTTCTGCGCCGCAGTGTTGGTATTGGCTTTGTATGCCTCAGCTGCGTGTGCCATGTCGCCATAGCCGTTGGCCTTTGACTCCTTGACCTGTGGGACGGCGTCACGAGCGGGCATCTTGACAATACCACCAGTGACGGGTAGCAATGAGGCTCTTTCCATCAGGAACGAGTCGACCTGGCGGGCACATTGCCGGCCCTCGTTAATGCCCCAGACGATCAGAGATTGACCACGTCTGCAGTCACCGGCAGCGAACACGCCATCGATGTTTGTGTCGTACTGACCCTTGGGTGTCTTGATGTTGCTGCGGCCATCGAGTTCAATCTGGTCATTGAACAAACGGGCTTCGGGACCGAGGAAACCCATGGACAGCAAAACCAGGTCGGCAGGGAAATGCTGCTCGCTACCCTCGACGGGCTTCATGTCCCAACCACCGGACGCACCCTTGGCCCATTCTACACGTTTCGTATTGATGCCGGTGACTTTGCCGTCGGCGCCCTCGAAAGAGGTAGTCATGATGCAGAACTCTCGAGGGTCTTTGCCATAATGCTGCTTGACTTCGGTGTGGCCGTAATCGACACGGAAGATGCGCGGCCACTGTGGCCAGGGGTTGTCGCGAGCACGCTCAGGAGGAGGCTGAGGCAGCAGCTCGAAGTTGGTGACAGATTTAGCACCATGACGAACAGACGTGCCAATGCAATCGTTACCAGTGTCACCACCGCCAATGACAATGACATGCTTGTCCTTCGCAGAGATATACTTTCCGTCATCAAGCTTGCTGTCAAGGAGTGATTTGGTGTTCTGGCCAAGGAATGTCATGGCGAAATGGATACCATCCAGATCACGGCCGGGACTCTTGAGGTCGCGGCCTACAGTAGCACCAGTCGAGATGATAACAGCATCGTTAGCGGCGCGGACCGAATCAAGGCTGTTCTCTTCCTCAGGACCAACCGCAGTTGACGTCACGAACTTGACACCTTCTGCTGCCATGAGATCCACTCGGCGCTGGACGACACGCTTGTCGAGTTTCATGTTTGGAATGCCATACATGAGAAGTCCACCAATACGATCCGCCCGTTCGTAAACTGTGACCTCGTGGCCGGCGCGATTCAACTGGTCTGCAGCCGCCAGACCAGCAGGGCCAGAGCCGATGATGGCAACTTTCTTGCCTGTTCGCGATGTGGGAGGTTCAGGCTGCATCCAACCCATCTCAAAACCTTTGTCGATAATGGCGCATTCAATCGACTTGATGCCGACGGGGTCTTCATTGATACCCAAGACACAGGCTCCCTCACAGGGCGCCGGGCAGACACGCCCAGTGAACTCGGGGAAGTTATTGGTCATCAGAAGGCGGTTCAGGGCGTCCTTCCACTGATTGGCGAAGACCAATTCGTTCCATTTGGGGATGATGTTGGAGATGGGGCATCCCGAGTCGCTCTGACAGAATGGTACACCACAATCCATACATCTGGCGCTCTGATATTTGAGCTCGTCCTCAGACAAGCGTGAAGAAAGCTCGGACCAGTCCTTAGTGCGAATCTTGGTCTGGCGATACTTCTCGGAGCGACGGGTGTACTTCATAAAGCCACGAGTCTTGTCAAGCACCAGGCTAGACTTCTCCTTGGCCTTCTGAGCATCGCCGTTGATGCCCTCCTCAATGTCAAGCATTTCGGCCTTTTGCTTCTGCTTTTCTTTCTCCTGTGCTTTCTCACGCTGGTCCTGATGCAGGTTACGGACAGCGTTACCTGGGAGAATTGGAAGAGGATACTCGGCCTTCTTAGCCTCCTCAGCCTTCTTGGCACGCTCCTCGAGAACGCGCTTGTAGTCAACAGGAAGAACCTTGACGAAACGGGGAAGAGCGCGATTGAACTCAAGGAGAATGCGAGCAGCAAGCTCTGAGCCCGTGTAGTGATGATGATCCTCGATAAGTCCTCGAAGGAAGGCGATTTCGGCAGGATCCTCAACGCCGGAGACTTCCACCATCTCCATGTTGATCTTGGAGTGGAAGTCCTGATGCATGTCGAACACATAGGCAATGCCACCCGACATACCGGCAGCAAAATTGCGACCCGCAGCACCAAGGATGACAATACGACCGCCAGTCATGTACTCACAGCCGTGGTCACCCACTCCTTCGACAACAGCAGTAGCACCTGAGTTGCGAACAGCGAAGCGCTCGGCAGCCACACCACGGAAGAAGCATTGACCGCTTGTAGCACCGTACAGGCAGACGTTTCCGACGAGAATGTTCTCCTCGGCCTTGTACACAGCGCTGCGCGGGGGATAGATAATGACGCGACCACCCGACAGACCTTTTCCAACGTAGTCATTGGCGTCACCTTCGAGCTCCAGTGTCACACCTGGAGCAAGGTAAGCACCGAAAGACTGACCAGCCGAGCCACGAATATTGGCATGAATGGTGTCTTGAGGCAGACCAGTCTCGCCATAACGCTTGCTGATCTGGTAGGAGAGAGTAGCACCAAGAGCACGGTCGGTGTTGACAATGTCGGTCTCGATCCGGCAAGGCAGACCCTTCTCAAGCGCAAGCTCAGATTCGGAGATAAGTTTGTTGTCAAGGCGTGTGTGCAGCTTATGGTCTTGCTTGCGAACGTTGTAAGTCGCCACACCTGGTCTGATCGAGTGTGCAGGAGTCAAGATCAACGACAGATCGATGTTTTCGGTCTTAGGAGTGCGTAGGTCATCACGCATCTGCAGGAGTTCGGCACGACCCACCATCTCGTTGACAGTGCGAAGTCCAAGCTTGGCCATGATGGCACGGAGCTCATTGGCAATGTAGTAGAAAAAGTTGATGACGTGTTCGGGTGTACCACGGAACTTCTCACGCAGCAGAGGATCTTGAGTGGCAATGCCGACCGGGCACGTGTTAAGATGACACTGTCAAACGTTAGTAAATTGAAGTTACTTGGGTCGACAACGGCATACCTTTCTCATCATGATGCAACCCATGGCAATAAGAGGAGTGGTAGCGAAACCCCACTCTTCCGCGCCGAGCAGGCATGCTATAGCAACATCACGTCCAGTACGAAGCTGACCGTCGGTCTGGACGATGACACGGCCACGGAGATCGTTGAGCACCAAAGTTTGATGGGTCTCAGCAAGACCCAGTTCCCAGGGAAGACCGGCGTATTTGATACCGGTCCACCGAGAAGCTCCAGTACCACCATCATGGCCAGAAATAAGAATGTGGTCGGATTTGGCTTTGGCAACACCAGCAGCGACAATACCAACTCCAACCTCGGACACAAGCTTGACCGAGACACGTGCTCGGGGGTTTGAGCATTTCAAGTCGTAGATGAGCTGTTTGAGATCTTCAATGGAGTAGATATCGTGGTGTGGTGGAGGCGAGATCAGTCCGACACCAGGAGTAGAGTGTCTAGTCCTTCCAATAGCCTCAGACACCTTGTGTCCTGGAAGCTCGCCACCCTCTCCGGGCTTAGCGCCTTGGGCCATCTTGATCTGGAGCTCATCAGCGTCGGCCAGGTAGTTTGAGGTAACACCGAATCTGCCAGAGGCGATTTGCTTAATAGCAGATCGCATCGAATCGCCATTCTCCATCTGCAGGCTTCGCTCCGGATCTTCACCACCTTCGCCGGTGTTTGACTTGCCGCCAAGTCTGTTCATGGCAACGGCCAGCGTAGAGTGAGACTCCATGGAGATGGATCCGTATGACATGGCACCGGTCACGAAGCGGCGAACAATCTCGGTCCAGGGCTCAACCTGGTCGATCGGGATTGGAGCGCGCTGTTCAAAATCGAAGTCGAGCATGCCACGAAGTGTGCAATTCTTGATCTGCTCGTACTCGGAGAGCGAGTACGCTTCGTAAGACTTGTCATTCTTGGTGCGGACTGCATCTTGAATGTTCGCTATGCTGGTTGGGTCGTTGATGTGAGCCTCTCCACCGTCACGCCAGTGATACTCTCCAGTCTCGGCCAAACCAGGAATTTCACGGATCTCTCGCGAAGGATAGCCCTTCTCATGGAAGGCGAAGGCATCCTGAGCAATCAACTCAAAGGTCAAGCCCTTGATGCGGGTAGCAGTTCCAGCAAAGCACCGGTCGACCACAGAATCATCGATACCAAGCGCCTCGAAAATCTGAGCACCCTTGTATGACTGCAGAGTGGAAATACCCATCTTGCTCATGACCTTGAGAATACCACCGTCGCAAGACGCCTTGTAGTTGGCAATGATTTGTTGGTCAGTGAGCTTCTTGCGGATGAGACCTTCCTGGTTCATCTTGAGGATGCACTCCATGGCCAAATATGGGTTGATGGCGTCAGCACCGTAGCCAACAAGTACGCACATATGGTGGACCTCACGAGCTTCGGCAGTCTCGACTACCAAGGCAACCCTAGATCTCCATTTGTTGCGGACGAGATGGTGGTGAACGAGACCAGTGGCAATCAAAGAGGAGACAGCAACTCTGTCAGCGGAGGTGGCTCGGTCGGACAGAATGATGACCTTGTCGCCGTTGCTAATAGCCTCGGTAGCAGCATCGCAAATGTTGTCGAGAGCCTGAGTGTAGCCTTGAACCCCAGACCACTTATCAAAGGTAATATCGATAGTCTTCACGGTCCACTCCTTATCGTAGGCATCCACGTTCTTGACAGCATTGAAAGTTTCAATCTCCAAGATGGGGGATGGGAGTAGCAGACGGGCACACTGCGACTCTTCCATCTCGAGCAGATTGCCTTGAGGACCGACATAGCACTCGAGCGACATCACAATTGCCTCTCGAATAGGATCAATGGGCGGATTGGTGACTTGAGCGAACATCTGCCTGAAGTACTCGAACATCAGGCGAGGCTGCTGGGCGAGACAGGCCAGCGGGGCATCGTTGCCCATTGAGCCTAGAGCTTCCTTTGAGTCTGCGGCCATGGGGCCAAGTAGGAGACTGATTTGCTCGAATGAGTAACCAAACGCACGCAGAAGCGGGTCATCTTGAATGTTCGTCTTCGAAAGCTTGAATCCCAGGTCGAGCTCCTTCGATAGGGTGTCCACTATATTGGGCATCTTGTAGAGGTGCGTATCGAGCCACTGTTGGAAATTCTGTCTGCCAGAAACCGTATGCTTGAGTTCAGCATCGTCAATAATGCGACCAGCCTCGGTGTCGACCAAGAGCATCTTTCCAGGCTGTAGGCGGCCCTTTTGAATGACGCGCTCTGGCTCGATGGCAATGGTTCCAACTTCAGAGGCGCAGATAATACGGTCATCATCAGTCACATAGTATCTGCAAGGTCTGAGACCATTTCGATCAAGGTTGGCACCGCAGTAGCGGCCGTCGGAGAAGGTGAAGAGAGCAGGACCGTCCCATGGCTCCATCAAGCAAGCTGCGTATTCGTAAAAAGCAGCTTTCTCCGCGTCCATGGCAGTGTTGCCCTGCCATGCCTCAGGTACCATCATCATGACGGCTTCAGGGAGCGAAAGAACTCTGTTCATGACCAGCAACTCCAGAACGTTGTCAAAAGCAGCCGAATCGGAGCCACCATCCTCGACGATTGGGAAGAGCCGCTCAAGATCGTCACCGAAGAAGTCAGAACTGAGGACGCCCTCGCGCGCTCTCATCCAGTTTTTGTTGCCGCGCAAAGTGTTGATCTCACCGTTGTGGGCAAGCCACCGCAAAGGCTGTGAGCGATCCCAGGAGGGGAACGTGTTGGTTGAGAAGCGAGAGTGAACGAGAGCGAAATGACCTTCGTAATCCACGGACGCCAGGTCGTGGTAGTATTGGTAAACCTGCACCGGTGCAAGTTGACCCTTGTAGACAATGTTGCGGTTGCTCAACGAGCAGATGTAAAACCAAGGCTTCCACCGGGTATCATGCGTAACGGACTTTCTGAGCACATACAGCTTTCTTTCAAACGCAACGGAATCGAAGGACTCGGGATCGGTGTTCTCAGGTTTGTTGCCGGAACCGTAAGCAGATGCCAGAACCACAAATGGCTGCAGGATGATGGGCTCGCGAGACAGCGCAGCCGGACCAAGCAGAGTAGAGTCGCGAGGAACCTCACGCCAGCCCAGAGTCCTCAGACCAAGCTCTGAAGCCACCTCCTCAAAGCTGGTTGTAGCATCTTTCAGCATCTCCGTATCAGGCTTGAAGAACAGGTTGCCGGCGGCGTATTGGCCCAGAGGGGGCAGATCGATGCCAACTTCGCGAGCAAAGTTCTTGACGAAGAACTTGTGGGGGATCGAGGTCATGACACCGGCACCGTCACCATCTCGAGCGTCCGACCCGACCGCGCCTCGGTGGGTCATGTTGCAGAGTAGGTTGCGGGCATCGCTGACAATCTTGTGGCTAGGCTTACCCTTGATATGGCTGCAGGACTGTCAGATAGAGCTTTGATGAGGGATCTCCGGGTTTCTTACGCAGCGAAGCCTACACCACAGGCATCTTTCTCTAAGCTGGGGTCGTACAGACCCTGCTTCTCTGGCAGAGCCTCGCCCCAGCCATAGCCCTTTTCGGGCTTGTAGGGATTGTACTCCTGCGGTTGCTCGGGCTCTTCGATCTCTTGTTTGTAGGTTTCCGCCGCGGTAAGGCCCATTCTATCGTCGACGAGCGACGAATGCGAAAATACGAAGGTGGGTTAGGTTGGTGGCAATCTTCTCCAGGTGAGCGAAGGTGGCCTAGGAAGGTAGCACTTTTTGTAGTCTACCGTGGCTGAGTAACAGTAGAGAGCCGAAATAGCTCTACCCTTTGTGAAGATTTGCCTGTGTGGTAGGAAGGGTGTGGGAAGGTAACAGCTAGAGGGAAGGAAGAAAATAATATGGACAAAGAGGGCGAGAAATCGGTCGAGTGGGGTGGTTTGGTTCGAGCGACGAGCCTATAGGCAATCCACCATATCACAACCTTCCGCTTCACTGCATAGTCTTCTTCACGGCGGAATTCTCTTAGCGTGGACGGAGCCGAACGGCCGGCGAGCGAATGTCTACGGGTGTTAAACTACTGTTATTTGCACTAGATTGCCCTTGGACAGCTTGTCACACCCGAAATCCAGCGCCGGCCGTATATGTAGAATTACCGAATCTCCCCAACTGACAACGACGAGTACCAGCTATTGCGGCACTACCTCATCACGATCATTGCACAATGATTGTCCAGGTGGCGAGCCAATCGTCTACGCCCTGACGCCGTGTAGGCGTCGATGCCGCCGTGGTAGAAGTTCGCACAAGCTCGCGCTCTGCGAGTTCATGCAGGACTCCATTGCCAGAACCCGCTTTACCGGCCCTAGAAGCCCACCAGGACTTGACACACTGACCAATGATAGCGTCTACTTTATGGCTGATACTGAGCATTCTACAGTTTGGCGGCGATAAGCAGAATGTGACCAATCAGCATATCGCTGACTCCTTGAATTGCTCAATGCAAACGCAACTTTTTGACCCTGGCCCTCCGCTTTCGCTGCACCTCCTAGCTCAGCTCCTTTCCTCTTCGGGCTATGGAAGCTGATGGGGCTTCTTTGCTTGTCATCGAAGCAGTCCAGACACCGGTAACGCCACGCATCGTATCCATCTTTTTTTCACATGGCAACCTGGCGGTGGTGCCCGAAGGTCAGCCAGCACACGACTTGGGCGCGCCTAAGCCTCATCTCCGAGCTTTCCCGCACGTTGTGACATTTGTACCCCAGTCCTGCGATAAAATTGCTGCGCTCTCATGACCAGAATTACCACCTGGTGGGACAAGCAGTCCAGGTGCAATAGCGCCCAGGCGACCACCGGCGCCCAGCAGAAGCAACGATCATTACCGACTCGCAAATTGACCTTGCAGCTAGCTACGGCCCTATATAACGTCCCCGGAAGTCTAGATCACTGATCAATGATGTTTATGATATGAAACATGTGAATATTCCACTCAACCACGGCAAGTCATCGGCAACCTTTCAATCATCGCCGCTCCAGTACCCTCTGAGGCTCGTCTATGACACGGGCACTTTGCGCACAGACCAGTGAGCTGCACCCCACGTACCAGGGTGCTCGTCATTTCTTGTTACGAGATCTCTTCAAGACCCGCAGGAGATCAGCTTAGCCGGGACGCTAAAACGAGCCGACATCGCAGCTTGCGCCAAACTTTTACATCATTGCACCTCGACCGCCAGTATTACCGTGCATATGACTGGCTTCTTTCCACACTATTATGCGGCTTCCTGTGCGATGGTATACATCCCGAACAAGCGGCCGGCTATTAGGGCCCCTGCATCTCGGAGCTACGATTAAGATTACTTGGCGACCCTGTCTGGCGGCGCCTACTGCGACTGGCATAGGGTAACAGTAAAAGTGCCCTCTGAAGAGTGCGTGGGAAAATGTTGGTGCGGGCCAAGAAATAGATAGTACAAACATTGATTGAATATCACGGTAGCAGTGCAGGCGCCGCTTTCGTGTCACGGCGCAAGGTGTGCTCTCTGTAGGGTGACACGATAGCAGCAGAGGACTTTACAGGCATACATATATGGAATCTTCTTGCGCGAGGAGAACCCTGAGCCACTCCTGGCCCGACCGTCCACTGAAGAGGAGACTTAGCGGCTACTACAACCAGAACCCATTTTCTTCCCTATTTCCTGGTCTACTACTACGGAGAAGATTCGTTATTTCCCCGGCACGGTGGATGGCTTTCCATGCACTCCGCCGTTGCATGGGCCCTCGGAGGGTACCCTCGGTGGAGGTATTCTCGTGTTTTGGGGATGCCGTCAGAGGCTGGCGAAATGGTCTCTATGTCACGCTTCACCCGATTTCACCTTGTCCTTCGCAGCTGCCTAGTACCCGACGTGAGGCTTTTGTCTTTCGTATGACATGCCGCGATGTCAAGCATGGGCTTATATTTGCGGCTCAAGTCATCCTCGCTGTAGCTAGTCCACTGTTCTCATGACACTCCAGATTCGGATACACATTGAGAGGAGCCATGGGTTTGAACCATTTCTTCTTGTATACGATCCACCTCGCCTCACCCCACTGACATTGACTGTCTAGAATTTTCCTAAGGTCGCCCGAAGTGACAGCCTTAGACGGGCTTCGACAGCCTCATACTTGCCGTAAATGAATTAGTCTCCCATGTCTTGGCATTTTCCTGCGCAAACTGCGCAATATCAGCCTATCTTTGAAGAAGTTATGTCGCTTTATAGTACACTCAACGACAGTGATTCCGACCTGGGGCACACAGAATCAAGAAACAAGAAGCGCTTTCAAGTCCCGCATTGCTTAACGCGGCCCTGACCAAGCAGTAACGCTCACTATCCGCAGCCTGAAAATGGCTCGGCGAGGGAACACACGCTCACCATCGCCAGTAGGGAGTTCCTATTCCGCATCGAAACGAAGCCGGAGGCACGATGATCGAGACGATGACCGCAGTGAAAGGAATAGAAAGGACGATGATCGCAACCATCGCCGCAAAAGATCTCGCTCAAGAAGCCCTGATGTACGTCACAGTCTTATCCACCATGGCGGAAGTGAGTCTGACTATGAACAGCGCCGGTATCGAGACCATGATAGGGACCGAGATCGGGATCGTTACCGAAGAAGAGATCGTTCAGTAGATCGTCGGCATGACGATAGAGAGAGTTACTATGCATCGTCCAGGCGTGATCGATCAAGAAGGAGATCGCGTGACCGCGATGGTCGTAAACGCAGTCGTAGCAGGGACCGCCAACCCAAAAGACACGATTCTCGCGACCGCGATCGAAGACCACGGGAATCCTCAGCGGAATCAAGAAAGCGCAAACGTGGCGACAGCAGAGATAGGCCGTCAACGCGGGACTCAGCTACGGCTTCGAAAGATGTGAGTCAACGCTGTCTACCTTTCCTCTACAAATCTCATAACATGTTGCAGACTTCGAAGCCGTCAACTCCCACTGCGTCTACAGCAGACGAGCAGAAGGCCGCAAGGCTTGCTAAACTGGAGCAATGGAAACGTAAGCAAGCTGAAGACCAAGTTAAGAGGCAGAAAGAACTCGAAGCAGCCGGCGGGACACGAAATATACTTGACGAAATCGACCGCAAGGCTGGTGTCGCTCCCACTGCCGCATCACCTCAATCGCCCGTAACGCCGACCGTGCCAACTGTGCCTTCACCAGCGCCTGCTCCATACCAAGGCAAATTCGACCCAAAGGCAATCGCTAAAAAGGTACAGGGCCCAACCGTGACATCAAAAGTCTTAGGTGGGGATATTGCTCCACCACTCAATGGTGCTGCTGTCGCCGGCAGGAAGACCGCGTCGCCAATCCCACCGTCAAGGGTGCTCAACGAGTCTAAAGGGAAGTCCTTGAAACCTTCCGGCAATCTCAGTCGTTTTGGACTGGCCGCAAGACAAGCTGCTGATGCTGAGGTGTCTAAGAAAGCTCTTGATTTCGAAGACGACGAGGACACGAAGAAAAAGCTCGAAAAGCTACCGACTCTATCCGAAGCCGATACTGGACTCGTCGATGGGCCTGACAGACACGAGTCAGACGATGACGACGGAGACGATGACATCCAGGAAGCTGAAGATGACGAGGTCGCCATGGCTGCGGCTCGAGCTGCCGCAGAACAACGCAGTCAAGCTGAGCGGGGCGATGACACAGCCATGTCAGAAGCACCAGCTCCTGCCGAAGTTGATGCAGTCGAAGAAGACGAAGAGGTCGATCCACTGGACGCTTTCATGCAAGATCTGGCTCCAGTGTCGAAACCAAAATTCAAATCCCAAAGGGTTAAGGCGAAACAGCAGGAGCCTGAATCCTTCTTCGGCGACGATGACGATATGGGCCTAACCGCCATCGATGAAGATAACCCAGACAGTATAATGGCTATGGCTGCCGACAAGGTCAAGAAGAAGAAGAAAGACATTCCAGCTGTAAATCACGACAAGGTTCAGTACGAACCATTCCGACGGAGTTTTTACTCGGAACCAATCGAGATGTCCGACATGACCGAGGAAGAAGTTGCCTCGCTTCGAATGGAGCTGGACAATATCAAGGTGCGTGGCGTGGACGTCCCGAAACCTGTCCAGAAATGGGCACAATGTGGTCTTGGTGTTCAGGTCTTGGATGTGATTAAAAACCTTGGGTACGATGCTCCCACCAGCATTCAATCGCAGGCGATACCAGCAATCATGTCCGGCCGAGACATCATAGGTGTCGCAAAGACCGGGTCGGGCAAGACCGTTGCCTTTTTGCTACCTATGTTTCGACACATCAAGGATCAGCGACCTCTGGAATCGCTTGATGGCCCAATCTGTCTGGTCCTGAGTCCGACTCGAGAACTGGCAACCCAAATCCATCGTGACTGTAAGCCATTCATGAAAGCTTTGGGCTTGAGAGCTGTCTGTGCTTACGGTGGAGCGCCCATCAAAGACCAGATCGCCGAGATGAAGCGCGGTGCTGAGATTGTGGTGTGCACTCCTGGGCGCATGATCGACCTGCTTGCGGCCAACAGCGGGCGTGTGACGAATCTGAGGCGAGTAACCTATGTTGTCCTCGACGAAGCAGACAGAATGTTCGACATGGGTTTCGAGCCACAAGTGATGAAGATCCTGGGAAACATCCGACCTGACAAACAGACAGTCCTGTTCTCAGCCACCTTCCCGCGCCAGATGGAAGCCCTTGCACGGAAAACACTGGCCAAGCCCGTAGAGATTGTGGTTGGCGGGCGTAGCGTCGTCGCCCCTGAAATCACCCAAATCGTCGAAGTGTGGGCCGAAGACCAGAAGTTTGTCCGTCTGCTCGAGCTACTGGGAAATCTTTATGCCGAAGAACAGAACGAAGACGATCGTGCTCTTATTTTCGTGGACCGTCAGGAGTCCGCCGATGGCCTACTAAAAGCTCTCATGAATCGCGGCTATCCCTGTATGTCAATCCATGGCGGCAAAGATCAGATTGACCGCGATTCCACCATTGCGGACTTCAAAGCCGGCGTCGTGCCGATCCTTATCGCCACGAGTGTTGCTGCGCGTGGCCTGGATGTGAAGCAACTCAAGCTAGTGGTCAATTACGACGCCCCAAACCATTTGGAAGACTACGTGCATCGTGCTGGGCGCACAGGGCGCGCCGGCAATACGGGCACAGCTGTCACTTTCCTGACCGAAGAGCAAGATCGCTACGCCGTTGACATCTCCAAGGCGCTCAAACAATCCGGACAAGCCGTTCCGGAGGCTGTCCAGAAGCTTGTTGATGCCTTTACAGATAAGGTCAAGACTGGCAAGGAGAAGGCCTCCGCTGGTGGTTTTGGTGGTAAGGGTCTTGACCGCCTGGACCAGCAGCGTGATGCTGAAAAGGCTCGCGAGCGCAAGACATTCAAGTCGGGCGAAGAAGGCGAGGAACAAGAGGAGAAAGAGGAAAGTACAGCGAAAGTTGGTGACGACATCTTCGCTAAGGCGGCGTCGGGTGTCAAGGCCTCCGAGGCTGCCACCACTTCTTCCACGCCTGCATCTTCGCAGATTCCCGGCGTGCCCAAGGGCATCGATCTCGATGGTAAGATTATCGTGCACAAGACTGAGCGACCAGATCCGGGCGCCAAGCCCGCGAATCGTATGGACGCCGTCGCCGCTGCGGTTGCCAACATCAACAACAAGCTCAGCAAAGCAGGAGTCATGCGCTCCGGGGTCCCGATCGACAACAAAGGCCCTGACGCGGGTGCCTTCCACGCCACGCTCGAGATCAACGACTTCCCGCAGAAGGCGCGCTGGGCCGTCACCAATCGCACGAATGTGGCGAAGATTTTGGAATCTACGGGAACCAGTATTACGACGAAGGGCAACTTCTACGCTACCGGGAAAGAGCCCGGGCCCACAGAGCAACCAAAGCTGTACATCCTCGTTGAGGGCGATACGGAAGTGGTGGTGCAAGAGGCCATGCGCGAGTTGATGCGACTATTGAAGGAGGGAACTATGAGTGCCGCGGAAGCAGAAGGCAGCCGTACCGCCGGTGGAGGCAGGTATTCTGTTGTGTAAGCTTCAGATATTAGTGAATCTAAGTTGTACGTGGCGACGCCGTTGGTACAAATTATCTGGGCACTTGAAGTAGAACGAGTCATAAAAGCTCGCTCCCCTCCGACTAGTGGGCTGAATGACACATTATTCTTGAGTTTCCATTATCCGAAAGGGGGCTCACACCTGATCCCATCATCGATTGAAGAAGAGGGGATGAGGTGAGCTGAGTGAGGGGAGACCGCGCAAGGCTGGGCCACAAGGCTTTGACTTGCGGCACTAGGGTCACGAGACCTGGACCGGTGGGCAAGTCGGCAGCCAGCGACGACTCCCTTGACTTCCTCGCTATTCTCACACCATGCCTCAATGACAGCGAGCACTCCTTCTCTTGAGCCCGGCAACGACACAGGGCCCGAAGAGGTGGAATTGGACATCATGGCTCACAACGACTCGGGGATCAGCGAGCCGCTGATCTCCAACGACACACAAGAAGCAGATGCGCGGGAGGAGACCTTTGTAGGGTCAGCAAACCCTTTCGTGTGGGCTCTCACTATCTCGGCGTGTGTGAGCGGTCTTCTCTTCGGCTACGACACCGGCGTCATCTCCTCCACCCTCGTCTCGATCGGAACCGACCTGTCCCACCGCGACCTCACGAACCTCGACAAAGGCCTCATCACGTCTTGTACGAGTGCCTTTGCGCTAGTTGCGAGTCCGATCGCTGGAGTTTTGGCAGACAGAATAGGTCGCAAGAACATCATAATCATTGCCGACTTCCTCTTTGTGGCCGGCGCGCTATGGCAGGCCTACACAAGCACTGTCGCTGGGATGATATTCGGCAGAAGCGTTGTTGGCCTTGCCATTGGCGCCGCGAGTTTGATTACACCACTCTACATTTCTGAGCTCGCTCCGAGCCATCTACGAGGTCGACTCGTCACAGTGTCCTTACTCTTCATTACGGGCGGGCAGTGCTTAAGCTACACCATTGGCTGGCTCTTTTCTACCATGCCAGGTGGTTGGAAGTGGATGGTTGGCCTGGGTGCGTTGCCCGCCATCCTTCAAGTTCTACTCCTGATCTTCATGCCTGAGACACCTCGATATCTCTGCAAAGCTCAAAGGCAAAGCGAAGCAAAAGCGATCCTCATCAAGGTGTACGACCGCATCAGTGTCAAACCAGATCAGACCGCCGCGAATATCGTTCGCGCTATCAATCAGGAGATCAATGAAGAGTCAGAGTCACGGCTCACTCTCGGAAAAGATCACCCTGGGTCGTCTCGAGTTATTCTACCAGCCACTCTGTCATCCCTACTACTGTACGCGCCGCACCGTCGTGCCTTGATCATTACGTGCATGCTCCAGGGGCTTCAGCAACTATGTGGTTTTAACTCGCTCATGTACTTCTCAGCAACCATATTTGAGCTCTTACACTTCTCTTCACCGACTCTCACCTCCCTTTCCGTCGCTGGCACGAACTTCCTTTTTACGATCGCGGCCTTTTACCTAATCGACCGCATTGGCCGCCGGCGAATCTTACTCCTTACGATACCCATCATGGCGTTGGCTCTGCTGCTTTGTGCTGGGAGCTTTACACTTATAGAAGCACCTCAATCACCAACCTCACCATCACAAGCTCCTTCTAACCCCGCGAATCCTCCGGTGCCGAAGTCCAGCGGCCCGGCGCTCGCAGTCCTCAGTTCCCTCCTTCTCTACGTCTCTGCGTACGCCACAGGCCTCGGACCAGTTCCATGGCAACAATCAGAGTTGTTCCCTCTTTCCGTCCGCTCGTTGGGCTCATCCTTAGCAACGGCCACCAATTGGGGTTCCAACACCATAGTCGGCCTAACATTTCTACCCATGATGCAGTTTCTCACGCCTGGATGGACGTTCGTGTGCTATGCGGTTGTCTGCATTGCCGGCTGGGTCATTGTGAAGATGATCTATCCAGAGACTATGGGTCTGGGCCTCGAAGAAGTCGGTGAACTGCTCAGCGAGGGGTGGGGAGTTGACAAGAGCACTGTCCCTGGTAGGAGGAAGCAGTCAGTAACTTCTTGAGCAATACCAAAATGATTTAAAACGCAAACTCCATGACCAACAATCATCTTTACGTGCACTGCTGCTGTGTTGATCCTCGATGGCTCCGAAGGTTGTGCAATCACTAAAGGTGGTGTAGCCTTCTGTATCATCCAGATTTATGCATCTAGAGAGGTTCTTGTCGCTGTGACATTTAGCCTCGTGAGACGTCGCGCTGTATGAAGCCCCACCTAGCCCACCTCTACCCTGCCTAGCGTCCGCTCCGCCAGCCCAGGTAGAAGTGGTTCTCGCACTTCCCTGGCACCTCCAGGATCCTAGTCTGGCCTGTGGTATACATTCATACGTCATCTTTCGACGAATTTGGCCTCGCCAACCTAGAGGCAGCGTTCCACGACGCCCGAACGGGCGACCATGCCTTGAAGATTGCCGTCGTCTGCCCCAATGCCGGCAGTTGGTAGTGACCTGGGCGAACCACAATACATCTACAGTGAACCCAAAATCAGTAATGGAACTCGACATCGACATTCCGTTTGGAGAGCTGTACAAACAAGGTGACGTGAAACGCATTCTACAAGAGCTCTATCAGCACGTTGGCACAAGGAATGATGCCCAAGCCTGGGCCCGTAATCTGCGTTTTCTTACTCCTACCTCTTTACAGAATACAGACACTTCAGAAGATCGCCGCAGCTCCGACGAAACAGAAGATGTATGTGTCTGTAATTCCCGATCGCCATCGACGTTCAACGCCATAGCTCCAGGCCCGCAGGGTCTACTCCACGTCACAAAACCGTCCCAGCTAATTGACTGCACCCACTACGTTGCTGTATCGTGGGTCTGGCGAAGCGGCGTGCCGCCCCATGGCGCGGTGGGCGCTTGCGAGCAGTATGTCGTCGCCGATGAAGATCGAGAGTGCTGGATCCCTCAGCACGTACTCTCACGTGCCATCAGCTTCGCTGCGCATTACGAGTTGTCCTTTATCTGGTTCGACAAGGAGTGCATTGATCAGGACACTCCGGAGGACAAGGAACTGGGTATCCAAGCCATGGACATCGTGTATCAGCGCAGCCTCTACCCGCTGGCGCTCCTGCAGGCCTACATCGCAACGCAGCGGCAGCTAGATCTGTTCTGCCGGTTGGTCGAAGGCGTCGATATCCCAGCCGAGGACCTTCCTGCCCTGCTGGAAGTGCTTCAGCTTATCGAGACCGACAAGTATTTCACACGGACCTGGTGTCTGCAGGAATCGACGTCCGGTGGCTTCGAGATGCATGTGCTCATCCCGCACGATCCCAGCCTGTCCAAGTCCGACATCCTCGGCACCCTCCCGGGCGAGATCGAGACGAGTATCTCCACCCTGATATACGCTGTGAACTTTGCGTATGCGTGTGTGTCACTCTGCGACGAGTCAATCAACGCCGCTCTCGAGTCTGCTCTCTACCGGACGATCGACCGGATCCTATCATTTGTCCCTCTCGTCATCGATCAACCCACCAGCGGCTTCGACGACCCGGAGTACAGGCAGGCATGCAACGCTGCCCAGGCCCTGACATTCTTACACCAGCGGGACAACCATCGCGTCGCCGATCGCATAGCTGTTCTGGGCAACTTGTGCGACTACAGACTGCGACTGGACACGAACGCGATCGAGGCCGCTGGGTACGGGTTCAGCATCTGCGCCTTTGCCCTGGCAATCTTCAACGGCGACTTGTCCCTCTCGCAATCTGACAATCCTGTCGGAGCAGGCGTCTTGGACTACTCGTGGGGCCCGCAGACAGGCCTGCGACTCTCACAGCTGGAGCATTTCGAAGATGATAATCTCGTGGTGCGGGCTGCGCCAGCAGCGCTCACAGAGGATGGGCTGCTGGTGAAAGGGTGGTTGTGGAAGCTCGAGGAAATCAAACCAAACATTCCTTCGTCTGGCGACCCGGCTCTCTTGATATGGAGCTTCCTGAAGTATTTGCTGCGTAGCAAGTACACTGATCTTGCACAGGTCGTGTGGAGGTTCACGAAGGAACACCGGTTCGGGGCCTCGGCAGAGAAGACAGTGCGAGATAACACATTGGTGCCGCCCAGGTTGGCGGATGTGCTGGATCAGGATGGCAACCTGACATACCAGGACAGCGAATGGATGAGGCACGAGGACGACTTCCGCAACTTCCTAGAGCCAACCGGCAGCGGCTCGAAAGACACGCGGACGGTCGACCAGAGGGAGTTCGACAGGCGGTGGGACTATAGCCGCTGGTTCTGGACACGGATCAAGAACGGCAGCATCGCTCTGGCCAGACACGAGCAGGAAACCGCGCCGTCAGCAGTATTTGATGCGCCAATCTCGGCTTCTTCGACTTACGTGTTCCAGCCAGCAACGGTGCTCGACCAACAACTGGCCACGACACAGCGACGGAACGCGCCCATTTTCTGGGTCGTTGACCTGCTCAGCGAGGGTGGTGGCGAGGGCAGACCGAAGATTGTGAAAGGCACCGGGCAAATGTGCAATGGCTACTACATGATCCCTGACGGGCAGAGCCCGGAAACGTTTGTCTTCTGCTAGCGATCGTGCCAGGAATGCCACAAGATACGGTTGAAACTAAGTTCGATCGAAGCAGCCGCTAGATGGCTCAGGTTATATTTCCCTAGTGCATTGTGCAAACCAGGCATAATTTAGATCCGAGGTTTGATATATATCCGTTCGCGCCTAGGACTCAGTTGTTCAAGGGCGGGCTGTGAACCTGAAGGGAGTCCCCTGCTTGTCAGGAAAGCTATTTGCGGTTCAAGTCAGCAGACAATTTCGTGAGACCAGAGGAACAGTGTTGTTGGCCGTACCGGGTTGGGCGTGTGTGAGGCAGTCCTAATGCTTGACACTTGGCCGAGCCTCTTCCATCACTTCTGACCATGACGGGATTGTGGACAAACGAGATCGACCAAGCACATCTACGGCGGAAGTGATCATCAACTCATTGCGGGTAAAAGAGGATTCACCCCAGTCACGAAGGCGAAAGATCAGGATCGTGATCGAGATGGTCGCCCAAAGCAAGGCCGGGCCCCCCGCACCGCGATTGGCCACGGAAGGCTGGCGGAAACGCATTCGAGCTCTCTCAACTCGCCGCATGTTCTATCCGATCCTCGTCTTTTGCGCCCAAACTGCGGCTCCATGGCTGGTCTTCCGTCCGCGATTCGGTGAAAGCAAGGCCCTTTGCCTGCAGTTTCATATATATCATGTCGCTCGTCGCCACCTGGCAGTCGGTGTACCTAAAGAACTAGGCTGCCCCAAACCCCGCAAGTAACGACGGTCGCCTCCACACGAAACATCCACCGGGCCAACGTACCACCACCACACCACTGCGGAAAAGCGAAGCTCATCGAAGAAAGCCGCACGCACCCACCATGCCACCGGGTCCCGACCCCGAGCAGCAGCCCCTACTGTCCTCGGACCGCAGGCGCCTCGTCGGCCTCCACGGCGACGGCGACATCGTCGACTGCCACATCCGCAAGATCCACGGGGACGATACGCCGGTGCTGCGGTTGCGGACGCAGCTGCAGGCCTTCCTGGCCTCGAAATGGGGCCACTACTTTGTCATCGTGCTGGTGTCGCTGGACATCTCGTCCATCTTTGCAAACTTCCTGATCCAGCTGCATGTCTGCGAGCACACGTGTGGTGACAAGGCCGAGGCTGGCTTCGATGCGCGGCCGTGGGCGCAGGCGGTCGAGGTGCTGGCCGTCTTCAGTTTGCTGTTCAGCAGTCTGTTCATGCTGGAACTGGTCGGGAGCTTTTTCGCTTTCGGTCCTAGGTACGTTTACTTACGGTCTCATTTTCGCGCCCAGTTTTTTTTTGGGGGGGGTATTCACTTTCTTCAAACCCTTTACGCGATCGACACTCCCTCCGCCTGCTGACTGACGCTCCGAACAGCTATTTCCGCTCTCCATTCCACGTCTTCGATGCCGTGGTCATCATCGCCGCCTTCGTGATTGATCTGCTCCTGCGCGGGCCGCTCGAGGAGGCCGGCTCGCTCATTGTCGTGCTGCGGCTCTGGCGCGTGTTCAAGATCATCGAGGAGTTCAGCGCGGGCGCGGCGGACGAGCTGGAGGACATGGCGCAGCGCTTGAGCCACATGCAGGACGAGATGACGACGTTGAAGCGGGAGAACTCGACGCTGAAATTAAGGCTTGAGGGCGATGGCAACGGTAGGATTCACAATCTTTGACGTGTTGGGCAGATGATCGGGAGAGGGGACGCAGGCAAAACTGATCTCTACGACCATGGACGAGTGGTGCGGATGTGTTTCGGACTGAAGTCAGCCGAAAACCCACGTATCTTGACGACCGCTAACGATTCTCCGGGCAAGTGCAGGTCCAACATCTGGCGGATGGCCTGAGTGCCTGGTCCGCCGGCCAGCCAGAGCCAAGTCTGGATCTAGGCCCTGTATGTCTACTAGCATATCGTGTGAGGCGTCAGCGGACCGTGGCTCGGTATCATACGATGATCTGGTACCGTGGGTGGTATGATGGTGCGGCATCCCGACACCAGCCTGGCCCCCAGATTGACCGACTTTGAGTCCCGGCGCCCACGGGCCTCGCTCGCAAGTCCCCAGGCCCGTGTTGTCGGCCCGACACCAACATACCAACATGGCGCCGGCAGTATAGAGGTATTGTCGTTGCCATCTAGTGTTTCCATTGGGCTCCATGTGAGGAATCCAGGACTGTATCACCAACCTCGACGTTCGGGAATTCATTCAAGGCCGGACGGAAATCCTCAACCATAATAAGGGATGCAAGTATGATTACGGAAAAAGGCGACAGGATGTTTGTTCTCAAGAAGATCTCTTCCATACTTATCATAGCAGCGGCCTCGGCATATTGATGACCACCAACCCACCTAGGGTTTCAAAACGCAACCTTTTTTGCTAACGTGTGATGCACTCCTTGGGCCCTTTGCTTCCCACAAATCCAACCAACGGCATTCATGATTGCCCTTGTGAAAAAAGTCATCCGAACCGCCTCCAACAAATACCCCGTTCACATGCTCAGCTGGGATTTGTCCACCCACGAGCTTTCGTACTGAGTATCTCTTTCCCGATTCGAGAACCATACCAAGGTTTGTTTCCCAGATCCGTCATGGCACGGCATGGCATGGCCGGATGATACTACTAACTCCCTGATAACGCCCCGTGGTGTTTGTCGTGATTGATCGTTAGAAGTACAGCCCGCCGCCGGGCGTTGCAAGCCTCTCCGTACCGAGAAGGACGCCGCGATTTCCCTTTCTTCTTGCCCGTAAAGAGATAGGTTGTGATGGTATGACGGTATTCGTGTGTAAATGAGGAAGAGTAGGATAATCGCGCTAAAATCCCTTTGCGTTGAGAATTGAAGTAGGAGCAACGACATCGTGAATGGCTCGGGGGAAACGTGTACGAGGTAGATTTTTCTCTTGCTTCTGCTTCTGCTCCTCAAGTAGCCACCTGCATCTGCACCATGCGCTTCAGCAACGAGCAATCCTCGCACTTGACCAGCTTCTCGAGCGCCTTGACCCTGTCGCTCAGCCGTAGGATTTCGGTCTCCATGTGCCGCATCTCCACCTCGGTCTGGTTGACGTAGTTCATGGCATCGTCGAGGACTTCGCTCTTGCGGAACTTAGGGGCGGGTCCGCCGGCGGTGAAGTCTTTCTTGATCATGGCTGGGGCGTCACCACCGTCGTAGTCGTCTTCGAGGTCGATATCCGAGTCGGCTTCGTTATAGCGGCGGGGCCCGTAGGCCGCGTTCTGTAGGGTGGTGTGAAGGAGGGAGAGCTTGGTGTTGAGGTTTTCGCGGTACTTCTTCTCGACCAACGAGTGAGCCTGTTTGGCGCGCTGCTTCTTGTCGAGCCTGGAGGGTGCCGGCCGGTCTGCTGACGTGGTTCTGCCGGCTGCTTGAGGGCGGCGGGTGGCGGCTGGTGCTACTGCTGGCTTTTTGTCCTCTGATGAGGATGATGACATGGTTGTCAATGAACGTTTGGTGACGAGCGCTCGTCTCACGCGCGAGGATGTCCTTATGTTGGTCGGGCTGCTTGAAGTGGGTGGCACCTCGTCAGGGGGTGTCATGCAAGGGATTGAGGCACACTCTTCGATGGGTGGTAAGTTGGCAAAATTCATGCAGGGAGCGTTAGGCCCGCACTGTGAAGGTTCGCAGGTGTCGGTGTCGCCTGAGATAAGCGGGCACATTCTCTCTTGTAGCGGAGGCAGGGCTGAGCCGGAAGTGGCTCTAAAAGCCGGGGACTGGCTTGTGGCCTCTATGCCAGCAAGCGATTCAGTTCGCACGGATGATGAACTGGAAATGTCGAGTGGTGACACTGTGTTCGAGTCCATGTTGATGAGATCAGAGAAGCCAAAGGGACCAGTGTTGAACATCTCGACTGGCGTAGAGCCGTCGGTCGACGGCTTGCTCATTGCTGTGGGGCGGAGATAGGTCGGCTGTGAGTCGTTGGTGTCCATTGACGTAGGATTCCTGAGGCCTGAAAGCTGGGTGGTTTGATTGAAGGCTGGATGACAGGTGAAGTCCATTTCTTGCTCATGCCACTGATTGGGGTTATAGGGCATATTGAGGTCATAATCTTCAGCACCTGCTAAAGGAGGTTCCCGCCGATACAGACGGGAGAAAGGCATTGTGGGGGCTGGCTGGGCAGGGTGAAGCGAGTAATCGGCCCTAGAACGTCGTCGCTAATTCGTTTGAGTCCTCTGTGGAAGTCACGCTACCTTGGGTAAGGAATACAAAAGTATCAGACCACGAGAGGAGGAATCAAGGGAAGTCACTGTTTAGAAGCAGATAGGGAGATGGAAGAGGATTAGTGGCTACCGGGTTCGCGGCTGGCCTAGAATGAGGTACGCCTGTCACACCACAGCAGAACATTGGTACTGGGAGCATTGGGTTGTTGATCACTGCGTTCTTTAAGCAGACGGCAGTTCGGGACCGATTGGCCGAAGGGCCAATGGGAGAGTCTGGACCGCGAGATCTGAAGCAGTTCCTCACTGACACGGCATGTTTGAGGGAAGTTTGTGATGCTTGATACCCAGCCAGGCTGTGGAAAGGCCCGGTTGAGGCTCTTGGAAGAGGTCCGGGTTCGCCCACGACAGGAAGACGAGGGCCGGAAGATGCAAAAATGGCTCTGAAGATCCACTATCCACGTGGGCAGCCATTGGCAAATGAGTTGTATTGTCAGACATGTAGGCTGAGCTGTAGGGGCTGTGTAAGAGTGTTCGAGGATGGTAAAGACAGTGTCAAGGGAGCTGAAGTCGAGCTGGATCACACCACCCAGTCCCACATTGGCCGAGTTGGGCTTGGTATTAGCCACTTTTTGCTGCTGGGGGAGGCTTGGCCAGCGGAATGCGGAATGAACCGGCCAATTTGGCATTTGAGCTTTTCGCAGCTTCGGACTCATCTCGCGCAATCTCGGACCGGCCAAATTCGTCCCTCGAGCTCCCACTGCATCGCCGCATGAAACAACTCGATGCATATTGAAACGCGCATCAACCATTTTCCCATGATCACAAGTCCAGGCGTTGCGTGACTGTTGGGAAATGTCCGATATCACCAGACGTCGGCGCTCTCCTATGCCAAGCCCCTCTCTGTGCCTCTACGGCTTTCACTGCTCTGGCCAGTCAACTCGTACCACTCCTGAGCACGCACGCATCTAAGTTGGTCATGCTACACATCAGTCTGGGGATGTTGCGTGACATTCCGGGAAGGCACATTTTCGTGCTTGGTCGTCATGGCCTCCGATTGAGGTAATTGTAGCCAATGCTATCCTGTGAGTGTATACCTATATCAAGGTAAGTCAACAGTGGCAGTCACAACACCGCTTCAGCATCGACCAAAACACCAAAGCGTTACGAGTACAAAGCAATATAGTCAAAGTGTCAGACCTCACCGTCTCATAGCATCCCACTTTCAACAATCATCATCACAACCACCACCTACACCTATATCCACACACCAAAACAATGAACGCCCTCGGCCCCCGCCTCACCCGTCCCGCCATGGCCTTTTCCAAACAGGTCACACGGCAAGCACCTCGCTACGTGCACATCTCTGCAAAGCCCAACTATCATCCTGCGATGAGACCTGTCTTCTGGACTGTCAGCGCCAGCGTTGCCTCTGGATTAGGCTACGCAGTAAGCCATCCCCCCTCCTCCCCTACTCTCCCGCCACCAATCTAACAGCTTGTGGCTGCTGAATACCCCCAAATACGACGATTGGGAGTACCTCTGCTTACCATGACCCCCCTACACAGGTTTCAAGATCCTTCGGCAGGATCGGCGGCCGCTTCGCTAGCCGAGAGACGCGGCTGAACAGAGACAAGTGGTTCAAGGAGGGTGCGGACGAGAAATCCTTCTGACTACATCTGGTGTATACGGAGGCTCTGTACGATTGAAGGGGTGGTGACTAGGATATCCGTTCCAGCGAAGCAGCAGCGCTCGAGAAGAGGAGAAGAAGCGAGCGTGTCAGCGACATATACTTGATTTTCAGCGGCGTTTACGGATACCATACGGCAGAACAGGGCACCAGCAGGCTCAGATTGCTTCGAAAGGGATTGGAATGGGCCTGGCGTTGACACTCAAGGCGCTGAAGGCGCGATGTCGAAGGCACTCATGCAGCGCCAGCACTGCCTGATTTTAGCAGCCCTTCATATAGGTGTTAACTCAAAAATACCGAATCAAATCACACATCAGAGCGACCTGTCCATGAACGAGCTGAACATACCTCCCCAGCCGAGTCATATCTCTCCCCCAGCACCAACGCAGACGAGTCATATTCGCGGCCAGAAGCACAAAGTATGTAGTAGCCGCTCTTAGCCTGCCACAGCCACCACTCATGTCCCCCCAGACTACACAACCCAAATCCCTCATACACACAGATCACGCTACCCTCAATCGGATCAGCCACCAAGCTTTCAGCAACCGAGATTCCCGAGGAACATGCCAGCTGCGCGCACCTGGCGCTTAAGGGAGAACGGGCCCCTGGCAAGAAACCCTAATCACTCACGTAACCTTCCAGCTTGGTGACCTACAGTATGTGCTTCCTCTCCGCAATCGATTTGCAAAAAAAAAACGACCCCCGCCCCGGGAAGCAAACCGATTGTGATTTCGCGTCTGCCCCTGCAAAGTGCAACGACGGAAGAAGGGCCTCGGAAACCCTGTCTAACATATCTTGCGCCCTTCTGCCTCGAGAGTTGGAGATACGACAGGGACGGGATCCGCACATATGCCCCCTTGTAATCGTCCCTCTTCTTACGTACTTTGAGACTTCATTTTTACAAAAGCCGAGAAAAAAGTGGCGTTACTCTGCGGCTGATGTGCAGTTACGATGGAACCTGTGTTTGGCAAGTTCCGCGAAGGGGGGACCGTTTTGGGGGCGATTTGTGAAAAAAGCTTCGGGGTCCGTAGGTTTGGGGTGAGAGGAGAAAGTCCTTCGTGTTGCAGGGGGAGAGAGTGCGGCGGATGGAGAGAGGAGAGGGGAGATGTTGGGAAAGGGACCTGGTGATAGGCTGGAAGAACTGTGGTGTGATCTGTTTCGGGAGTCGGTGTCTACGTGAGAGCTGGAGATGAGTTTCATTGTGGTGTGCGTCAGTAAGTTTGTATGGTCTTGATTTTGAGGTTTGTAGACTACAGATAGAAAATATGGTAACACGGGCCACTGCAACCAACATCGTGCAGCTGACCTTTCAAGGGACGAGTGGAAATCTTTACCCTCCCCCATTACCAACCAACGCCGTCGCTTCGTGCCATGCCATTCTATGCCATAATAGGCCAGGCCCAAATCAAAGGATATCATGCTCGTCCGTCCCAGCCCCGTAACGCTCTCGAGGTAGAAACTGTAGCCTCGTGTTGCCAATAAGCCAAATTAAGATTGATACCCGTTGCACCACCATGCGGCACACTTCAGCTGCCAAGTAATTCAAGACAGCTCTGAGAGCGCGGCGAAAAGTGACCGCCCTTCGCCCCCTGTGGCAGGAGAAGCACTGCCCGTTCGCCGTGATGGAGGAAGCGGCCGGAGCGGGAGGAAGTAGCACCCACCCGTCAGCTGCGTCTGCATGTGCAGCTGCGGTGCCTTGCCCTCGCCCTCACCTGCCAGCATAGGCTCTTCGGTGATCGGACTGGGCGGCTCACTGTTGACGCTTTCCGGGTCAGTGTCGCTGTCGTGATGATCATCGTCATCCCGGTCCTCGTCTCGATCGAAGACCAAGTCATCCGCGCGCCAGTCATCGTCGCCGTCGTAGCTGTCATAGTCACTGGAGTCGTCGCTGTCGTCGTGGTCGCTCTCGTACTCCTCCACAGCCACCTCGTCCGCGTCGTCGTCATCCTGCGTCATGTGATAGAGCTGGCGAGATGCCGCCTCCAGGCGAACTTGTGAGAGTGTTGCCAGCTGGTAGGCGATGGCTTGCTGGAAGGATGCGATGTCATACGAGTGCGACTGTGGGATGGTGGGGGGCACGGTGGCCTGTGAGAGGTATTCCTTGATATCGGCGGCATTATCCGGTGACGCTGGTGTGCTGTCGCTGTCTTCTTCGGTGACGGCGGTGAGGTTCTGTGATAGGCGGCTGGCTTCGCTCATTTGTCGGCGGCGGAGCTGCTGCTCGCGCCGGCGGGCTGCTGGTGAAGAAGTATATAGTGATTGTTGAGCCTGTGACTGCTTGTATTCGCGGATGGCATCGTAGACAAAAATATGACCGAGGAGTTTGCCTAACCGTGGCTCGTTGCGAGAGGCTTCCAGGCGTAACTTGTAGTTGGCCGTCGAGTGCACCCTGTTGCAGATGTACTCAGGTGATGGAGTCCATGGTGATGCTGCTGGTGTGCTTTGTGAACATGAGATTGAGGAGTGTACGGCTGTGGCGTTGATCTGCATGGCAGGCTGTAACGAGGCCACGGAAAACATTGTGATATTGTGTGAGCCGGATTGAATGCCAGGCTAGATCGTGCGTGGTGATGATATATGCACTTCGTGAAATCGTCGATGGAGGTGATGTTCCAGGGGAAAATTAGCGTGCCGCCGCCCTTGCTTCTGATGACGATGATGATCGACTTATCGGTGTTCAAGGTACAATAGTGATCGACACTTCAGACGATCAACAGTTCATGTGCGGCTCAATGAAGATTTGGTGATCAAAAGAAGGCGGCACGGGCGAGATATATCAGACACAGGCGCCAGGCCAATCAACCCCTCACCTCGACTCAAGGCAGCCAAACAGCCATGCATGCTTTTCTAGAATGCACGTATACGAGACGTCCCAAATCTGGGCCCTGGCTAGTCAAGATGGTGTCGCAGACTTGTCGGTGACCTCAGGTGAGAACAGGACAGCCACAATTTTGGCCAATGCTCGCAGGGCACGTCAAATGCGCTGTCAAAAGAACCCACCTGGTCACTCCACCCTGCTGAGCCTTTCGCCAATCTGTCGCTAGAGGCATGCCTCTTCTGCAGGTACCGAGCCCAAAGCGTGAACGAGGCGGTCAGGTTTGGTGAGTCGGACAAGGGTTGATCGCTGGGGCACCGATTCTGAACAAACCTCATGCCAAACGAGGACTGGTGCAAATGCTGAGTGTGCAGGGGGGTGTCCAAGGAATAGAGACTGGTGTTCATGTGGCTTCGCATTGGCCGACACGAGCAGAGATGCAGTCTGCACGTACAGCACGATAGTGCCAGCAGCAGCGCCTGGTCAGGGGCCAGCAGAGTGTAGCAGTCCGCTGGTGCCCAAGTAGGCGACGCCCAGTCGTTAGTTCAGGCGAATTCCGGGCCGCTAGAGCTCAATCAAGCATGCCTATGCTACAGGCCCTGACAGGTGTTCCTGGGTGAAGTGCCTAGCGGTGCCTGCTGTGCGCCAACCAGCAATCTCGATTCCCTGAAGCCCTCCCAACGAGTTCTAGCTGCCTGCATGCTGTGCAGACAGGCACTCCACCCCCGCCAACCGGCGACCCCTGAGAGGTCCACTCACCAGTGACAGCAAGCCTCAAGCAGGTCCATCGTGGCCCAGGCCTCCGCCGAGGATTGCTGCTGAGACGAGCCTGATCTCCTCAACCTGTCTACCAAGTTGGTCCAGCTGATCCAGCTAGTCCAGCTAGTCCAGCGCTGCATCCGTCTGAATTGCGATCTTCATGCACCTTTTTCGGAACTTGTCGAGCAAGTCTCTGGATACGCGTCATTCGACCTCTCCCCCTCGCATATGCCCCTGACACCGTTGATATTTTGTTCCAAACCTCATTCCGATGGAAATCTCGAAATCTCGAAATCTCCATCGTCGTACGAACCACCTGCCAAGCCTGCCTGATAATCTCCCGCTCGTAGTGCTCAGACCACGTTCTTCCAGCCATGCCTGGCTTTAACGCCTCGTAAGCCACAGTCTGTCCGAAGCCTCATCGCCAGCCTTGTGGGCCCCTATCGCCCCCCAGTCGATCTCAATTTACCAAAAGTTCGGAAGCGTGAGCGCTTGTTTACATCTGCCTCACACGTGGTTGCCAGGTCTGTTGACGGACTATCCGTGATTATAGCTGACGCCATGCTCGATAGTGTCAATTCTCAGCGAACTCTCAGATGAGGCTCTCTCGGGAGGCTGTACTCAATATTTGCTGGGTTCATGGCACGTGAGCAGGGATACTCTTTCTACCAACGCTAGCGAACGCACAAATCATTGTTGCCCGGACTAACATCATCAACTCTTCGCATCCATGTCGGTGACCAAACCGCTCAAGCGGGCCAGAAACTCGATCGCAGACTCGGATGCAAGCTGATTAAACCCTTTCCAGCGCACTTGTAATGTAGGGGGTTGGAGCTCAATTTTCCGCCACGTCTAAACTTCCACCCCTCGCATAGGGCGGCAGCGATGCTTTTTGGCGCTTAAGACACCCAACGTCCATGACGCTCACATTTGTCCCGCCACTGTGGCTCCAACCTTCTGCATCCCGTTCAACGACCCGCGCCAGGAACTGGATTTCCGTCGAAGGAATGTATTCGTTCCATAGGAAGCTAATGGCAACGGCGAGGACCATCTGATGCTGCTCATGTCCTGCATCGATCGAGATTCAGGTACAGATTTCAGGTTTAAGTTCGCGGATGGTATTGGACTCAGCGCTCCTCCTGCCGTACTGAGTTGCAAGCGCAATCTGGAGTGGAAGCAGTCATGCCATCAAACATCGCCTTTCAGCAGCCACCTCTGATACTTTGCTGCTGGTTTGTATCCATCACGAATGCTCCCACCCTCACGGCTTGATTGAGACGAGTGCAGCCTCGAGAGCCACGTGGCGGCTGGGGCCTGCTATGTGCGGCGTTCGAATTCCGGCGGCTTCCATTCTTCATCTCTCTCAGGCAGCCTTGTGCCATGCTCAACGTCCCATATCGTGATTTCAGGGTCTAGGTGCCACATTGGCAGGACCGAGATTCTTCTCGATCGTGTTATCCCAAGGGTGGCCGCAGCTGACAGCATTTGACGGCGGCGCATCATTTCCGGAAGAATCCGTATAGAGAAGTGCGAGCATCCAAGTTCTTGACCACATTCTTCAGGATTCGAGAAACTAGTGCAAGGCAACACCCCTCCCTTGCAGTACAGAGCTGTTTCCCACGTGTCACATGTTGAATCCCAATGCGAAGGTCCGCATGAGGAACATCTTGGTGATGTTCTGACAACTCAGCTATCAACAGAAGTACACTAACGGCCTGTTGCTTTCCGTAACATCCTCCTTGCATCGAAAGATGGTGACGGTTTTGCAGAGAAGACTGTCAGCTCCTCACTAGAATCGCGATGCCACACCATGAAGTCTTCAGGGAATTTGCTCGGACATTCACTCGTGGTCGTTCTCATGTAGGAAGGTCAGCCCCGGAAGGCATACACCCTGCAAAGCTATGGGCATAGCTCCATGCATACCAGGAGTAGCTGTCAGTCAAGTTTCTCGTGCCACAGCTCTTACGCTCAGGAAGATCGTTGATGGCGAAGGTCGGCAACAAGCATCGGTAAGGGACTTAGCACAGACCAAGGTTGGCGGCGTCCCGACTCTCGAGGGCAGTCGCGCATCCTTCAGCATCGTCTTGTTCATTCTTCTGCCCGCTAACAAGACCGTGCGGCTTGCCCGGTATCGTGGGGGCGAGGTGTGCGACCAGAGAGGTCGACGAGCAAGGCCAGCACTTGCGCACGCAATTCGCACCTAAAGGCACATCACCTCTCCATTGCGCATGCCTTGCGATCTTGATATCATTCGTTCCCACTTTACGACAGCACGAGAGCGTCGTGATCGCTTGTGAGTATCGACACCAGAACCTTGAACGGGACAATTCGTATCCGCGAGTCCCATTACCGTTCTGTTGAAGATACCATTCCTCCCCTTGTCCCGTCTCACAATCCCCACCTCAATCCTTCCCTCCGCCCGATCATACGGTTCATCACACTCTCAACAATCCAATCCTCGTGCGCATGCTCACCCCGAGAACTCACCGACCGACTGCACGCAACCCGCCCAGAAAGGCACAGCAAGCCAGACCGCGCGGACAGAGACAAGCAGCTGAAAGCGCAGGCGAACACCGAAACGCCCCCCACCCCCATCCCCGTTTCGTCCAGCCGTGCAAACAAGCCTTGCAAGCACCAGGACATGACCCGTCCCCTTCAATCTGACGTCTCACACCACCTGCAACCAAAAAAAGAGAGAAAAAGACCTCGCGAGCTCGCGGAATCCTCTTTCCGCCCAAAACACGAACGGGGCCACTTCTGCCGGACACGATACGGGGGGGTCAGGTCCAGGCCCCAAGCAGGCTTCAGGAACATCTCCCCTTAGTGCCAAGCCTGTAAAGTTTTCCACGGGGTCTTTTTTTTTCAAAACGGGTAAAGAAAATTCCCGCTCCATGCCTAGTTACCGGCGTCCCCTCATCCGCGCGCAACACTGGTTCCGAGATCCGTCAACCGACCGCGCCCAAGGGGAGGCTGAAGTCTTTTCCATAAGATTTCTTGGCAAACCCTGACTTACCTGGCTTGCTTGAATCCTGCAATCCTGCATCCAGCTGGGAACTTTGCCGAGGCCCCGTGTCTATCCGCCGTCGTCTATGATATACCCAGTACCTGACTTGGACATCTGATCCGAGAGGCTCGGAGACCGGAGCCCGGAGACCGGAGCAACGCGGGCAGACAAGAAACAGGGTTAGGACTTGCCCTCCAAGGCGAGCTTTTGGGGGGGCCAGAGGAAGGGGAAGGGGGTCAGGGGTGGCCTACTACCCGAAAAAGAGACGGTGCAAAGGAAACCGTTTTTCTCGTTCCGGTAATGGCTGCAGTGACGAGTCGGGTTATGGGGTTAGCTGGTATGGGCTTGGCAAAGTATGCGTATGCGCATGCGTATGCGTTCCAATGGCCTGTTGCCGGTCTTGTACGCAGTACGCGAGCAATGGCGGTCAGGCAGACACAAACCGAGCATGTACGCTGGATAAAGCGAGCAAAAAGGCCAAGGACACGGATGGGTTCAACGGCAAGTTATTTCTGTACATGGACACACCAAGCCGCCTCGTCTCGTCTCGCGGAGCGACCGGCCGGCAAGATCTGTTGTTTTGCTTGGCTCCTTCTGATCTTTGTGACTTTTGTGAACTTTCTGCCCTGTTGCCTACCTTGCAGGGCTGATGCACGCGGTATGTAGCGAATTCAGATTGGTGCCGCGTCCCGACTACGACCATTGAGCACCTTCATGTCATGACCCCGTAACGGAGCCAGGCCCTTTGTTGTGTACGCAATCACTTACGCCTCTCATCGATTCGATCAATGCAGCCATTATGCCGCTCGACATCGATCCACAACCAATCATACATGATCAAGTCCTATGTGGAAGAGTCAATACCGGGTATGATACGAAGGTTTAGGGAATAGCCAAGACGCGTTGCTGCCGGGATGTAGCATTGTATCCTGTTGCATGTGG